ATGCTTGTCCTCGTAAGTAGGTTAACACAAAAATCACTTTACTTACTTCGGTAGGGAGCTTAGTTTTATTTATATCTATATATATGTCTATCTAAGTGAGGAATCCTCGAAGCTTAGTTCGGTTCCCTTCGAAGCACTTAGCCTTAGGTAGTCGTGGCCCTTAGACTACACTAGTAGGTGCCGAAGCGATAACCTAAGCATATAGCTGCTTAAGGTGATCCTTCACGCTTATGCTATGTTAGTTATAGTTGCCGCCGAGTAACTCTAAGTTATTCTTAAGTTCTCGCACGATATATTATAACTCCTAAATACGGTTATCTCTTTCGTTATCGGAATCGGGGTTAGTGGGTCGGGCCACTAGCTTCTTTCCGGAGCTAACTTAAGACATATTTGCTATGACTCGAGTACTTAATTCGAGACGGTGTTTAATGTGTTACGCACGACTAACGGGTCGTCGCTATATTAGAAGATTCCTAGGTTATACTTACCTAATACTTCTCTGCTTCTAACGTTAACGATCTATCTCTTAACTATACCGTCGCCTAGTAGGCCTTATACGGGCTAAGTCCTATTAAGGGTATTGAGGAGCGATGCTAGATAGTGCGCCGAACTAACCTATACCGAAGTACGGGTCTATTCGTAGTGTTGTTAAGTTATAATCAAGTTATACGAGTCACCAAAGGTTCTAAATAGTAGACATAAGTAACAATATATGATTAAACACGAAGAACTAAACTAGATATATAAATAAGTGTCCTTATATATCCTAAGTCCTTCCTAAGTAGAATAGTAGAAAGTAGAATGGTAGATCTAGCTTAGTAAGATCTACTCATCGACTGTTAACCTTTCTACTACTTACATAATCACGTGGTGGTCGTCTTATTGGTTATTGCGGTATACAATAAGACAGCGAACGGAAGGCCGAAAGTGGCCTATTGGCACGTAGATCCTATCTATTACATATAGGCACATATATATAGGATAAAGTCTGCCGGGTAGGTCCGCTTAGGGTTAATCATGCCTTTGCTCACTAAGCGCTCACTGAGCATGATTGTGTTTCTTTTCCCCTTGAATACCTAGGGTGTCTAGGGTATAAGGTACGGCACGTGATCTGATAACAGATAGATCGGTTGGCTCTCGGTGGCCCATCAGTAAGTTGCGGCCCCATAATCGATTGGTGCCTGGTAGGTCCGTAACACTTAATAGTTACGCCCGGCATAGTTAGTATAGTGTTAATTAGCATCGTAACCTCTAAAGTCATAAATCCGGTGTGTTCTAACGCCCTTATTACCTTTGTATCCACTAGCTTTCCTACTAATTGCCGCTCTAGGTCAATAATAGGTTGCTCGTTCTTATACCGCGTTAGATTCTCGCGGATCCGCTTATTCCGTTATCGCTGCTTCTAATTGCGTAGTCTACGGACAGCTTTGTTAAACTTCCGCTTAGCTTCTATTGCCCGATCTTAAATACCTCTTAGCTTCTCCCGTTGCTTATGCTAGTGCCTAGAAATAGCTCCTTCTTTAAGGTGGCTAAAGATAATTTGGTATAACCGTTTAGCGTATTCTATTTTGGCCTAGCGATCTTCCTACTTCCGCTTACGCTCGTTAACCTTGCCCTACTCTACACGAACCACTAGAAGTTCGTTAAGGGAGCGAGATTCTTCGGTTAACAGCTTATACGGCCTATCTAGGTCAATCGATACACTTAAAGAACAAGCGAATCGCACTAGCGGAGTTTAAGACCCGGTCTTCCGCACAATACCTTAGACATTAACATCGACGTCCACTTTATAGTGTTTAACGAAAGTGGAAATATCTACGTGTTATAAAATAACGTTCTAGAGGCTATCTATTACCTCGTCTATTCGAAGGTTAGTCAAGTAGTAGTTAATAGAGCTAAGTAACACTTACCACTCTAATTAAAAACCTTAGCCCCGGCATACCGGAGATTATATAGCTTAGTGATATCTTCTATGCCTATGATCTCACCTACCCGGCGTATACGAGATCCTAGCATTAACGCCGTTATCTTCTTCTCTAAGACGATACGAAAACCGGTTATATCCCGGGCGACCTAGCAAAAAACAAATTTGTCTAGGATTTCGTCCTTCAAAATTAACTACTACTGCCCTAGGCCTTCTAGAACTCGAAGCCGGTATAGATTCTCCGGGCAATCTAGCACTAGTCCGGTAGAGGACCTTGTCTTAAAGCCTCTAATATAGAAGAGTATGCCTAGCAAACAAACATACGGACTAAGAGCTAGAGTGGGATCAAAGATAATTTCCGGGATTTTAAACTCGTTCCTATTTATCAAGTTAGCCGGTTACTCCTTCTAAAAATGTGAAAAGTAGGGGTACCCACGGAGCCTTCTTCCTAAGAAACCTCTTAGTAAATTCGGGAGTTAGGAAAATAAAGAGTCGTGGGGGTCCTCCCTCCGGGTTTCGAATCAACGTTAGCACAAGGTCCCGATAGCGAAGGCCTAGGAGAGCGCTCGGGCGGTTTGCAGTGATAACTACGAGTTAGTAGTAAAGACGGAGTTAAATACGCTACTAGCCATAATTAAATATTGTCTCTATGGTAGTTAAGAGTACACGTGCGAATTCGGCGACATCTTTAATATATATATTTTTCTTCGGCCGCCTAGTGAGCTTAAGGCCCTTTTGCTCCGCTACAAGGGCAATAATCTATAGACAATCAGTAACTATTGCTTACTAGCTAGTTATAAGTGTATCGATCAACTACTTATATCTTATACTTTAACAATCGTTTCCTTCGCCAGCCCCGACGCGGTCTCTTATTTAAGAACAAGGTACCACTACTTCTAGAATGACTCGAGCGAGCTCTTATATCTAATTCCTAGGTGGTGTCGACTATTTTTCCTACGTCGTATATCATAACGCTAACTAAAAAATCTATATAAAAAACGGACCGTCTTATCTAAGTCTAAGATCTATTGCTAGTGCTTTAGAGGATTAAGGTTAAGATATTCACAGTACCTACAAGGAAACCACCGGTTAGCTTTCGACAAGACTAGGCGGTGGACATATAGTCTACCTAGTCTAGTACGCGGCAGTTTGATCGAGTTTTTCTTAGGTACCGTCACTATACCGCTTTTGTCGAAGCCGAGAGACATCTAAGCCCTCTGCTTCGGCTAGATAATATTCGGGGGCTAGCTAGCCCTCGTCCTTATTGGATTCATCGCCGGGGTCACTCTTATCATCCGAATCTTCGCTGTCGAGTTCCGATTCGCTGTTAGAATCACTTTTAGATCCGCTATCAGTAAAGATCGCGCTTACGTCGGAGTCTACGTCGCTCTCGTTCTAACTCTCACTCTTAATAGGTCCGACCGATCGGCAGCGAGGCGCTATAGGTAAAATAGCTCGCAGAGAGGATGCTATGATAGGAAAGACTAGAGATATAAAATAAAGCTAGAGAGAGGGTAGTGCTTTCTAGGTTTAGGAGCGAAGTGAAATAGACGGAAAGTGATAGGAGGGGGGGGGTTAAAAAGGCCACGGTCGGCATAGTGGGACTCGGAACTAGAGAAAATATAGTGGTGGAGGAGGAGCCATTTCTAGCTCCTTCATTTTCCATCATAGCCGTCTAGGTAGGTAGGGGATAGACAAGAGCGTCCTGCGTGGAGGTAAAAGTCGGGCCGTGGGGATTAGCACACTCAATGCCAAGACCGAGACGGTTAGCAAGACTCGTAAAACGGCAGCAGAAGCAGCCCTTTTTAGCCGCCATCTAACCGTCACATCGTTAAAAGGAGTAATATATATATCTTACAATAATGAATTGCATGAAATTTGACGAATGTCGAATGCTAACTTTGGGTTGAAATAGTGTGGAAAAGAAGTGAGATAATAGCTAGGAAGCTTCAAAACCCCCTGAATTAATTGCTACCCCTCCTAGTTATTATTGACTAGTATTATCGAGGTTGTTCTATTCGTCTAGAGTGCTGTGGCGGCGTCTTAGGTGCTAATCGTACACCGTAATAGTACACCCCAACAAAACATCTACAATTTTTAATTGCCTATTTCTCGAGAATTAGAAGGCTACGCATACTCCGAAGAAAATAGGAGATAAATTAGATACTCTATTATAACTAGTCAAAATTTAAGGCTAATCGGAGAACTCTACACCTCCGTAGTCTAGCGACGAAGTAAACCTATAGTTAGGCGTACGACCCACTTTTCCTACTATAGTTAAGGGAAAACCCTAACCTACAGTCTACTAGACTATAGCTACCCCCGTGGGATAGGGTGAAATAGTATAAAAGAAAAGTGAGACAATAGCTAGGAAGCTTTCAAACCCCCTAAATTAATTGCTAGCCCTCCTGATCATTATAGACTAGCATTATTAAGGTAATTAGATACGTCTATAGTGCTGTGGCGGCGGTAAAGGTACAAAATCCCCTACCCTAACAAAACATCTCCGATTTTTAATCGCCATTTTCTCAGCCACTAGTAGGCAGTGCATGCTCCGAAGCGAATAGGGGATATGTCAAATGGTCTATTATAACTGACCAAAATTTGAGAGCTGTCAGAGGTCATTTGAACCCTAAACCCTAGCGAGGAAATTTACCTAAACCCTTGCGGGACCCACTTTTTATGTACCATTATCTCCCATAGTGAAGGGACCGCCAAGACCTGAACTCTAGTAGAGTTCACCACCCCCCGTGGGATAGGGTCGTTTCGACCACAGATGCCATGCCCACGGGGGATGGGGACAGAGCTGTGAAGAGGAAATTGTGAGATGATGACTATATGGGGTCGAGATCATGTAGCGAGAGGGTTTATGTCAAAGGAGATATGGCGCTGGATAAAGATAGCATGCTCCAGACCGGAATCATTATTATTGGCTGCATGTAGAATCTTTCAATTTAATAGAAATTCTGACATATACGACAAAGGATACACATAGACACATGACAAAGAGTTTGACTTCTCATAAGCTTTATGATGAGCTCCATCTTTGGGGGAAATCAACGTGGAGTACTGCGAATCACTCGATAGCGACACTCGAAGCAGCTTCAACCCGGCCATTGCTGCCATTTCCCAATTTATGAGGACCTTCGATAGAATCAGCAGCCGTATCTTTCTTGGCCTCCGCAGTACCATTCTCCCTTTCTGCGAGACTAGCTAAATACTCCGCTCTGGATACGCTGGTCGGGTCGAGATATGGGCGTTCTCCTACGGAGAGAACACGCCAACCGCGGCGCTTTCCAACATGATTCTGGATGGGCGCATGGTAAACGGCTCTGTTGTCCCAAATAGCTGTATGATGTTGGTGACTCGTTCAGCTACAAAGCGAAATATAGTGGCAAAGGACTTACCAATGTCGTGGGAATTCTCCCACCGGAATCTGACTTGCAGGTCTGGATTCAGCGCAACGAGATGAATGATCTTCTCTAGAATCTCATCACTCTCTACCTTGGTGACATCGTTGATATGATGACAATGCACTCCCAATGCAAACACTCCTTTCCATCCAGTGATAGGATGGGTTCGCACCACGGGGTGGACTGAAGTCAAGGCTGAGCCCGTATTGGCGGGGGAGCCCCTAGGGCCCTGGAAGATGGTAGTACCCTTGGAGGCTGCCACTTGGTTCAAAGCCTCCTGTGAGTAGGTGGCGGTCAGATCCTCGAAGAATTTCTGATAGGGAGTGCTGAGCTTGTCATACACGTCGTAGGAAGAGGCCCAGAGTGTGTCTAGCAGTGATGGATGAGAAAAGACCCAATTCACGATCGAGAGCAAACTTACCTCCACCTCCTCCTGGAGGAAGGTCTGTCAAGCGCAAACTACTGTAATCTGGTGGATTCGCCTCGAAAGAAATATCCGTGTGCCATTCGTTGATACCCGACTGCTTCTTGTCGCCTTTGGCCGTCTTGCCGTAGATTTTGATGACGCCCTCCGGGTTGAGAAGCTGGAGTTCAGGATCTGGCTCTTGGCGAATCTGGTACAATGGGTGAACATAGAGTCCATTATCTTTAGGCTTGCCGCCGAGAGCTCCAATTCGGTTGATCAGCTCCTTGTGACGCTCGTTGTCAAGGTTCGTCTGTCCGCGAAAGAACACCACACCGCGCTCGGCAACTTATCAAAGAAGTTAGCTCATATATTTCTGCTCTCACAGATTTAGTGGGCGGCATACTAAGAATTGCGAGATCTTGCAGCAGGCGGTCGGAGTCAGGGCTAGTCAACCACTCTGTCACATCAACCTGACGAAACTCTGTACCCAGGATCGGAGTCAATTCGAACTTTTCGAACTGGTCAAGAGAGCCTGATTGCCGCATCGGCTGCGGATACTGTTGTCCTGTCATTTTGAATGATATTGGGCTGATGATCGCAAATTACGAATGCGTGTTAACCAAATTTTACTTTGACTGAGCCGGATATATATAACACAACGAGGTCCTTCGCAATTTAGCAAATGCCCCGTTCAAAGCGACATCCATGAAGACAAAAGCACGCCCTCTTTCCCCGCTATTGTGACGTGGGGATGGCCGAAATCGTGTTGTTCGGTCAATCTCGGTGCTCGGCCGCCGTGAATCAGATGGGCGAGGCCCGAAGGTGCCGGCCGCGCCAATTCTCATCCCGCCACACCTCACACATCTGATCAAAAGGGGATGAAAGCGATGAATATAATGGGCATCGGTCATTTTCTAGCCGGGTTGGAAATGAAATTCCTTCCCTGATGAGACTATCCGTTCCTATATTCCATCATGGCGATTAGCTCGAAGTTTGAAACGACATCCACAACCAATACACAGACTGCCGCGTACAATGAAAAAGGCGGCATTACAAGCCAACTTTGTACCTGGGTAGGAGATTTGACCTTGGATGACGTGCCCGAGGCCGTACGCACCCGAGCCAAGTATATCTTTCTGGATGGGATCGCCTGCGCCTTAGTTGGAGCCAAGGTGCCTTGGTCCGCCAAGGCCTTCGAGGCTTTTTCTAGTTTCGAAGATCCTGGAAGACATGTGGTAATTGGGTATGAAGAGGTAAGGAAAGCCCTCATTTTGCAAAGCAACACCCAGATCTAACTTGACGGTCCTGTGTCCAGCGACTAGGAGCGACTGCGGCGGCTACTTTGAACGGCTCATGGATCCAAGCCTGTGAGGTCGACGACTATCACAGTGTCGCTCCTTTGCATTCGCAAGCTGTGGTTATACCGCCGTTGTTCGCCGCCGCCATAAGCGCCAAGTACCACCCCCTGGCTCCGCAAGTGCCTGGAGGAAAGGAACTGCTCTTAGCCACCATTGTCGGCTTCGAAGTCGGACCACGTGTGGGTATGGCACTCCATGGAACAGAGGTGCTAGCAAGGGGATGGCATTGTGGCTCAGTCTTCGGAGGTCCTGCAGCCGCCGCAAGCTCCTCCAAGCTCCTGGGTCTGTCCGCTGACCAGACCGAGGACGCGATCGGAGTTGCGTGCACCCAAGCGAGTGGGCTGATGGCCGCTCAATATGACGGGATGGTCAAGCGAATGCATCACGGATTCGCTGCCCGCAATGGACTTCTGGGCACTATGTTGGCTTGGAACGGGTATCAGGGAATCAAGAAGGTATTTGAGCGGCCGTATGGAGGGTTCCTCGCCATGTTCGGGGTGGGATCAAAGCACACCCCAAATACCCTTCCCGAAGAGATCACCAAAGATTTGGGCCAATTTTGGCATACAGCCGAATGGATTCGCCTCAAGCTGCATGCCTGCTGTGGGGGTATTCATGGCACTATCGAGTGCCTTGCAGAGATGCAAGCCCTGTATCCCAATCGCCTCCGGGGTGTGGAAAGCCTTGCGCAGATCAAAGATATCCACATTCAACTCGGTGATGCCGTCTACCATCACTGTGGATGGGCCCCCGAAGAGCGGCCCTTGAGTGCTACCGGGGGGCAGATGAATACGGCATTTGTGGCGGCCTCCCAGCTCGTCGACGAACAAGTGCTTTTGGAGCAATTTGCGACTCCTAAATTAAACCGAGACGAGATCTGGAATCTGATTTATAAAACGCATTGTACTCATACACCAACTCTTGACAAACCCAACATTGGCTGTGGTTCGATCATCAAGATCACTTTTCAGGACGACACGCAGATCGAGCATACCCTGCTGCAGCCCAAAGGAGTCGATGAGCCCATTACCAACGACGAGATCCTCGAAAAGTTCCGTCGCTTGACGGGCAATCTAATCAGTGCCGACCGACAAGCGAGAATTGAGGCTTTGGTCCTGGGTATGGAGGATCTGACCGACATAGAGGACCTGATTGATTTACTGAGTGTTGAAGTACCTAACTCGTTGCAATAGTTTCATTCAAGAGTGCCATTTTTCCAGGCCAGATACCGGCACTGTCGATAGGTTTAATGTATATACACTTAACTTAAACAGTATTAGATTTAAATGATGTCTCTTTTCCATCATCAAATTCTTTTTGCCCGTGGGAGTAGGCAATGAACGAATACGAGCTAGATGAAGGTTCGTGGCTGTCTTTCGGTCTTCGGTCGCCGGAAAGTCGCCCGGCGAAGGTAGAACCGAAAACAAGGTCAAGTCTGTCTCCGCCACGGGAGAAGCTGTCAGAACGGACCTAGTTGCGGGATCCAGGTATACGATTGATTGAATGGCCTTTCGCTCTGGAATTTAAAAATAAAAGCAGTTGGAGCTATCTATGTCTCTGTGCAGAAAGCAATAATTTGTACCAACGAGCTCTTGGATATTCACTACCGATAATCAACACTTTTCCACCATGCAACTTCTGGTTTTTGCCATATTGGCCCTTCTACCGGTAATAGTGCACGGTAAAGGAGCTGTCGCGGGCCCTTGCAGCAAGTACTCGTTCCCCCATGTCACATGCATCGCCCGATATGGTGCAGTTTTGACGCCGGGATTCTATCGCGAGGTGCATAATCAAATTGGGGATGCAGACCCTTATTCGTCCACTGTCTTAGTCGACGATCCCTCGTTCCAAAGCGTTTCAAATGCTACCTTTCTCGTTTGGGATGCCGATCAGGCAGCTGACATTTTGGGCGAGACGCCGACATTTGAATATATGTTCAGTATTTCGCATGCTCCCCATGAAGCCCCTGTTTATGTACCTCGAACCCACGAGCTGTGGTTCTCGCGGTTGGAGCAGGGCTTTTTGCCGCAGCTCGTTGTTGACTTGAGGTCGGACCCGCCCAGTCTCTCGCAAAAGACGACGAATCCACCTCTGTATGCACCCTCTGGGGCTAGATACCGGAATGGATCTATCGTATATTCGTCCGGAGGGCTGAGTCGCTCTCTGGCAGATGACAGTTTCGTATCCGGGATATATCAGGTGGATCCCGTCACGGGCGAGTCACAAACACTGGTCAATAACTACTTCGGCTGGTATTTCAACACCTGTGATGATCTTGATGTGGATGGGAGTGGGAATATTTGGTTCACCGATAACTGTATGTCTTGGTTTTTCTGTTTCGTGGTAGAGCAACGGGATCCGCTAACATAGAAGGCAGTTTACTCCTGGGCAGATCACACCAGTGACACCGCACCACAGCTGGGAACGGCTATCTACCGTTTCAATCCACGCACTGGAGCGGTGGCCATTGTGGACGACACGCTGGTTGAGCCTAATGGGATTACGTTGTCCCCCGACGGACGCCGGCTCTATCTGTCCGACACCGGGGCTGGGGAAGCGGTGATCGATCCTCGGATTCAGCCCGTTCCTGGACTTCGATACAACAGCACGGGCAAACGAACAGTCTATTCGTTTGATGTTAGTGAAGACGGCCGATCGATAAGCAACAAGCGGCCGATCTATCTGGCATTGGACTACGCGCCAGACGGGCTCAAGGTGGCTCGTAACGGAATGCTCCTGACAGCCACGGGCCACGGTGTGGATATTCTTGATGCGCAAGGGACGCCCTTGCTTCGCGTGCAGACCAATTTCACGGCAGTCAATATGGAGTTTGTTGGGCCCAACTATGATGAGTTGTGGATAGTGGGGATTGGAGGAGTGGCGCGCGTGAAATGGGCGCTGCGGGGACCGGTATATGCATGATTATCCAGAAGGTGTGCATCCATTTGGTGCATTGTCGACTGGTTCAGCCTAAGTAGACACTGATTCAGTACCTATCGAGGGGTGACGAGAGGCAGTGAATTTTACTTCGGGGATGACGCCCTATACATTGTTTCAACATAGCAAAGAAGCGCTGTAAATATTCGCCGCGGTGTAGTTCGGGCCTGTGGCAGTAGCAGTGTACAGGGTTCTAGGGGTACCAAACTGCAATATGAGAATGCAGTATTTTCACCTTTCCTGTACCCCCATAGAGATTATATTATTATGTATGACTTTAGGCAGTCGTTACTAAGAGGGTTTCAGAAATAATCAGTAACCAGAATAGACTCAGCGGGCAGTGTTTTCGCCCTTAATGTCGGTCCGCGCAGCTGGAGTTACTAGTGTTCTGACAACCTTCCAAGGTTGGAATGCTCTAAAAATTCTGGTGATAGTTTATGCTAACTTCCTCTCGCTCTATGAACCTTAGGAACGATCAGCCACTCTATATTGACAACTTAAATGATTTCAGGGAGATTTGAAAGAGCAACGAGAAATAGATGGAAATCAATAGGTGGAAAGACATGTAAAAGAGGACTGGGTAGACAGTTAGAAAAGATATATATTCGAAAGTAGCGCCAGACTTTTAGACGTGATGAGTAAAATGATAATAAGAAGCATTAAATCCCAGGGTCCTCTAATAGTATTAGACGAGGAAAAAAAGAGCAGGTTTCGTGTGCTGATTCAAATTTATTAAAATCCATGAGGGAGTTGGAATACTGGTAAAAACACAGGCAATTTGGGCGAATAAAAGTACCCCCACTGTTCTTCTTAGCATGCCCCCCACGTGGATATCGCGTCTTGCCCTTCGAGGCGTCTACTTGGCCTTGCTTCTCCAATGAACAGACAGCCATCACCACTATACCTCTATTGAATGGCCTCCCCCCACACTTGCCACGGCAACTGCAATGGCCATTTCGTCCGTATGGCTGATGCTCAATTGGACCCCACGCGTTCCCTTCTCCTCCGCCAACTGACGCACGTCTCCATGTAACTGCACCGGAACGATCAGCTGAGAACACAAGAAAGCAAAGGAAACCTACGCAATAACTTACATGGACCGTAGGAATGCCACCAGAACTCAGGATCTCGATATCTTTCAGAGGGGCACCCGCCCCCTTGGATGGCAACTGTAGACTCTTGAACACCGCCTCCTTGGCCGCCCACCTTCCCGCGAATGACTGTCGGGGGTCGGGCGCGCTGCGACAGTATTGCTGCTCACTGGCCGTGTAGTTACGTTCCAGAAACACGTCGTTGCCGATATTAATCGCAGTCAATGGCTCGACATCCACCCCAACATGTGATGCACCCTCTGTCAAAACCGCCTGCTCCACCCACTTCTGACATCCGTCCACCAGCCCCTCCACGCTGGGCGTCGATGGAGTTGTGACTCCTGTCCTGCCCGAACTGGTGTCAGATGCCGAGGCAGAGTCGCTGGAATGCAAATTGTTCGCATCGAAGGCGTAGTTATCCCCGACGCGAGACACTCGCGCGAATGGATCTAGGAACACCCGAGCTTCGTCCTCGGATGACCAGGCTGATGTCGTCTTGGCGTTGAAGAGAGAATTGGTAGATAGGCCCTCGATGAATGCGCGATTGGTGGTCGCCACGCGAATGGCGCACTTGACGCGATACGCTTCATACCGAGGCCGGTCAATCGCGGCAAAGACATACCGAGGGGCCAAGCCCACCACCAAACCGCTCTTCTGTCCAAATCCAAACGAGGTCAACATGATTGCTTTTACACCGGCGGTGGCAATGGCCTCGGACGGATAGATCAGATGCTCAAACTGCCTCAGCGCCAAGTCCACGTTGTCGGCATTCTTGTTACCGGGCACGACTCCTGATTGTAGGATCTGTAGCCCGCCATTGAGCATCCAGGCGCCCGCTGCACCTTTGGGATGACCTGTCAAATGCTTCTGGCACACTACGAGAAGGGGATTCCCCTTGGAGCGTCCCAGGTGCTCCATCATGGTGTTGATGACCTCGGACTCGTTCTTGTCGTTTGCCTTGGTCGAAGTGCCATGAAAAGACACAACGCCAATGTCATCAATGTCAAGACCCCAGACTGCTAACGCCGCACGGATGGGAGAGATTCCATTGTTCTGCCGCCGCAGGTCCAATCCCCAGAGATTGCGCGCTTCACGAAGGCGTTCGGCAGTGGCATTCTCGATGACATCGACCAGCCCTGGTAAGAATTGTCCGCTTTGACTGGCACGTTCTAGCTGTGAATGCTTCCAGTGCTGAATCTGAATCGCACACTCGTCGAATTGCGTCTGGCGGAATCTGGAATCCAGGAGTGGCGAGATTTGCGCCGAGATCGACTCCCTTGCAGCCGTCATGACACCTTTGCCGGGGGCAGGCACTGATCGACCGACTTTGTCGCCGGCCATCTGGGAGTGAGCAATGATTCCGTAGATTGGGACCCCCATATCAAGAGCAAGTTCCGCGGTCATCAGCACCTGAACGCCGCATCCCGCCGACTCCACAAAACCAGCCCGGGAGCTTGCCGTAGGCCTGGATATCTCGCCGGGAGCCCGTCCACGAGAAAGCTCCTCAACAGTATTGGCGGTGGCCTTCATATTTGCAAACTCGTAGGACATCTCTTCTTGCAAATCATCTGTTCCGCCCACAAGCGCCACCTGGGATTTGCCGCACTGGAGTGTTTCGCAAGCAATATCCAGCGATTCAAACGCGGTCGCACAGGTGCCCGATGGTGACTTGATGGGCCCAGCCGCCCCAAGGAGAAGCATGTTGGCCCACGCATCCATGGCATTAGCGAATGATTCTTGAAGGATATCGCTTTGGACGTTGCGATCCAGGTAGCGGTCCCTATAGACACCTCTCATGGCCAGGAGGCCGCCTGCACCAGTGCCAATACAATTGGCAACCTCGGAAACATGTACATGGCGGTAGAGCTCATAAGGGTCCTTGATCCCAGCGCTTAACATGGCCTGCGAAACGCAGCACAGCACATAGACCGTGATCGGGTCAACCTGGGAGATGATATCGTCGGGAATGCCGTAGTGCTTGGGATCCCAACCGGTGGGCAACTGTCCGGCTACCAGCCGATCAAAGGGCTCGGATCTGGGGATCAAGAAGGAAGCTCCGGCCTTGAAATGAATGTCGAAGTCGTCTCCGCCCTTGGCTGATGGGGAGATGATAACTTTGTCGCCATGCTTGAGCTTGAAGGCCTGGGCGACAGACTCAGCGGCCTGGAAGACGGGAAGATCATCCTCCACAACCACTTCCTGCAAGAACTCCTTTTTGGCTGGATCGTACCCATCGAAAAGTTCCGGCTCGACAAAGCGGATGCCGGCATGGTCTTTAATGTGCGACCCATACCGTTCCTTGAAGTCGGCGTCGTGGATGGGCTCCCCCGACTTTGCGTCCACCCAACCCACATACGGTGCACCCTTGACATTTCCGTCGACATGCTTCACGAGCCCCATGATCCACGCCATCTCGATATAGCCTTCGAGACTGAATTCATGAGCATTCTCCATCTCCCATCGTGTACGGGCGCTTCCCCATGGTCCCAGCTCCGAGTAGCCAACCACGACAATTGTCTTTTTCAAGTCAATTAGCTCACCCGGTACCTGAGTGCCCGCGGTAACGGTCTCGTACTCAGGCAGCTCGGGATGACCGACGTGGAGATTTGCCAATCGTTGCTGAGGAGGCGGGCCGTCCGTAGGGATGGATCCAAACAGAAGAGATTCTTGCCGCTCGTCTTCTGCCGCGATGGCTTTTGCCGTCCGAGACCGTGTCTGGATTTCTCGGCGCGCCTTTGAAGAAAGTTCCTTCAATCCCTGCAGCTGTTGCATACCACCGCTGATATCCGCGTATATGGGAGCATCCTCGCACAGCTGGATGATTTCAGGCGCCATGAGCGCCAGAATATTAAGAGCCATCTCGGACTGCGAGAAAGTCACCACATCGTGAATCTCAATTGCGTCCGCGACGATGTTGTTAGCGCTCATGAGGCCCGTACCACGAGTCCAGCCGATGACTGCACCGCAGATGGTCAAATAATCGGACCAACTCTCTGATTGAGATCGGTTGAAGAGGGTTTCCAGCCCAATCTTTGACTCGGAATAGAGACCATCTCCACCAAAGGTGCCATGGTTTGGCGACAGAGGAAGAATCACATGGGTAGGATTGGCGACATATCCACGACTGGCCTTTTGCTGCTTGATGCAGCCCAGCAAGCGCAGGAGGTTGACCAGCATGGCCCGCTGAGCCACTTCAGATACACCATCAAGCCCGTCGATTTCCCGACCGTTCTCCGGGATAGCCGCGAACGGAATCACACAGTCAATATCGTTCTCGCGACTTAGTATCTCAGTGTACAGGTGGGAAATGAGTGCATTGGTGTCCTGCTTGCTGGCCTGATTGAACGTGAAGACAATGAGCTCTGAGCCGCGACCGCAATGTTCTCGATACATGGACCGATAGAATTCAGAGTTGGATCGAGTTGTTGTGACAATGACCCTCGCTCCTCCGGCCAGCAAGCCCTGGACGATCTCTGCACCGATCGACCGCGCACCCGCTCCGGTGACCAGCACCGTCTTACCGGCAAAGCTCAAACCGCGAGATGTCGCTGCCTCCAACACATCGAGGAATAATAAAGTGAGATCCTCTTTGTATGTGAAGTGAACGCCTTCCTGGCGGCGCAAATGAATGAAAGGGGGTTTTGTTCGATCGGAAGCTTCGAAGCGACTGCCGCGTTTCATCAGGGCACAATAAGTGTCTGGCCTCCCAGATACGGTTCTCTGGACTTCTTGATACTCCACGATACCGTTGGATGTCACCGACGTTTTTGGACCCAAGGGCAAAGCTCTGTGCTGGAAAATGGGCTTTTTATGAACTGTATCTTGCCAGCTTTGGAGACATGACTCGAGGTAGGCACTCTTCGGATGGTTATCCAGCGTGTCTATCAACATGGACGTGTTGTAACTGACGATGTCTAAGCAACTCGCATCAGATCGATTCAAAATTCGCTGCAGACGGATTTCCATGGATAATGCATCCTGATGTTCAGTCGGCGCAGAAGATTCCAATAGCAATGCTGCAGTGTCCACTCGCGCCCAGCTCCACCAAGAATCGTACACGCGGGCTCGAAGTGGGTCGAACTTGGGCGATATCCCCGTCAAGTACTCTTCTCCCAGTTCGGCTTGCCAGAGTTCCAGTTGCCGTTCTGCTGCTTCCCAGCGCTCCTTGTTCTCAGCCACCTTTCCTATCAGATCACCCGTATCTGACTTGGTGATTCGCCCCAGAGCCTGGTAAAGAAGCTGGAATGAACCCTGCTGCTCCTGTCGCACACCCTCGACCGCTTTGCTGTCGACCATCGCATTGGGATTGGCGTCGGAAAATTCCGTTCGGTTGATTGCGGAACTAAGGGTGATTCCATTGTATTTGCTATAACGGTTGACGATGCTGTCCATGAAATCTCGGGCCTGTTGCGCATTTTCCAGTCGCACGCCCGGATCTAAAGTCACCGCAAAACACAAGACGGCTGTTTGACGTTGTGGGCCCAGCGCCCAGTGCTCCTCGAGATGAGCACCAGCAGCGGCCTGGTTCCACCCCGCGGGCAATCTGGACGAGAATAATTTGGATATCAGGCCAGACATGACCTTCGCTGGATGTCCTGCGAAGTTGGATTGCAAGGCGGCCCCTACGGCACTCAGAGGAAGATCCTCACAGCCATCCGGGGTACCACCAAACTCGGCCATCAAGTCTCCAACGAGTTCGTTTTGCAATGTGGATTTGCCTGTTGTCACTTAACATGTGTTTACTCGCTTTAGGATATGGGGTATTGAGCTTACCTCCCGATAAATCACGAATTGATTTCTCTGTCGGAACCTCATCAAACGGCCGCTTCAATTTCTGTGCTGTCAATGCGATGACAATGTCCAAGGCACTGAGGAGTTTGTCCTCCACGGGAACCACCACGAGCGACGGGGCCACCAAAGGCTCAGCCTCGGGGCTATTAGTTACCACTGGGGTAGCGGTAGGTATTGTCTCAGGGTTTGGTGTTTTGACCGGGGCAGGCAACTGAGGCTCTTCAGACTGATAGCAAATATCTTCGTAGTCGTCCGAATACGACAGAAACTGGCGTCGTAGCAAGCGAAGCTGATCCTGCAGCTGATACTTCTTGCTTGCCGTCTTTCTTCCCATCGCGGATAGGACCTTTGCAGGTCCAACTTCGATGTATCGCTCCACCCCATTGCGCTGCGTCAAGAAGTGATCTTGAGTTTCAATCCTGGTTCTGGGTTAATCTAAATATCTTCCGCTCTCAGCTGGTTGCCATCTACTCACCAACGCACTGGAAAGGCAAACTGGTATCTAAGAGATGCATCAGCCTCACAACTTCTCCACGATGGCAACGCGATACTCACGCCAGCAATTCTATGAGCAAAGTTCGGGCCAGCGCCCGTTCTTGCTGGTCCAGCTCTCTATTCGACATTTGTTTGGTTTGCATTGCGGATGCTTTCTGGTGTGTTCCAGTGGGCTCAATTTGCACGAAGCCTGCTGCCTGAAGTGGGGTGCTTAATTCCTGGTTACTCACGGATCATATACGGATTCTCTGTGAGGAGGCTATTCACAGTCACCTTCTCCGGTTACACGGAAGCCCGGCATGTTGGCCGACACGCTCTGTTGAGACGGCCCGAAACTATCGAAGCCCACGGGCGATATATTTCCGGTGGAGAAATCGGCACAATAGGACCAGCAGCCCCATTGGGACTCGTCCGGCAGCCGGCGACCGACAACCGACATCGGGTGTCGAAGCAATAGAAACGGTGGGCTTTTGATGCTATGAGGGTAAATTCATGAGTCCGGAAGGCTGATAGTATAAAAGATTCCTGGCAATATAAGTGGCTGCTTGGGTCCAGTTGTTGCAATCGCCGCCGTGAAGATTTACCTAATTTGCTACTGAAGCCACAACCATCGCTATTCGTCTATTTTACAATACAAAGTCATGCCCGCATCGGAAACTACCAAGACAAATGTCCACAATGGCACATCGAACGGCAATGGGGTAAAGATTGAGAAAGGAGACCCCCCTGTCCTGCACGTCGTGGATAGTCGTACTGGGAATTACTATCCCATTCCCATTGTCCACAATGCTATCAGTGCCAGCGCGTTCAAGCAGGTCAAGGCGCCTGAAAATCCAGAGCACCCGGAAGATCAAGTAGATCAGGGCATTCGAGTTTTCGATCCCGGATTCTCCAATACTGCCGTCGGCGAAAGCCAGATCACATTCATGTATGCACGCTGAACCCAATTCCGTCCATGTAAGAAACGCAGAATCTAAATGACGTCCAGCGATGGATTGAAAGGCACGATTCAATATAGGGGATATCCAATTGCGGACATTGTCGGCCACAAGAAGTTCATCGACACGGCCCATCTTCTCATCTGGGGGAATTGGCCCTCTCCGGATGAATCTCAGAACCTGCAAAAGAAATTGAACAACGTCCCATTAGTTGATGAGTCTATTTTCAACGTGATCCGCTCGTTCCCGTAAGTCTGCTCTCGCACCGCATTGATTGCAAACTCGCGTCTTGGAACTCACACGCTCCCCCTAGGCGAAGCTCGTCAATCATCGGGATGATGATCGCTGGACTGTCTGCGGTTCAATCGAGTCAAATGGATCGTATTCCTGCTCATGTAGCGAAAAACCTGTACCTAGGAAACTTGGAGCTAGTTGACGAGCAGATCATTTACCTCATGGCTACCCTGCCCATGGTGACAGCGGCTGTCTACTGTCATCATCTTGATCGTCCATTCACGCCACCAAAGCCTGGTCTGTCGTATATTGAAAACTTCCTGCTCATGATGGGCCATGTCGAGACTTCTACCGGCCTGCCCAATCCGCAGTACGTGGATCGAATCGAGCGACTCTGGGTGCTGATCGCCGATCACGAGATGACCTGCTCAACCGCGGCTTTCTTACAGACTGCATCTTCGCTGCCAGATGTCTTTTCTTGCATGATCTCGGCGATCTCGGCGCTCTATGGCCCCCTGCATGGCGGCGCCATCGAGGTCGCTTACAAGAACTTTGAGGAGATTGGATCTGCAGAAAACGTTGCTGCAAAGATCGAACGTGTTAAAGCGGGCAAGGAACGACTCTATGGCTACGGACATCGTATCTATCGAGTGACCGATCCTCGTTTCACGTTCATTCGTCAAATCCTGGACGAGCTGGCGGAGGAAATCTCCCGCGACCCGGTGCTGCAGATCGCGTTCGAAGTGGATCGCGTCGCGTCCCAGGATGAGTACTTCACGTCGCGGAAATTGCGGCCGAACGCCGATCTTTTCGCGGCCCTCGTATACAAGGCCATGTAAATTCGCCCTTAACGGATAACGTGGAGAATTTAGCTAACTATAGACGTCTGCCTTGTTTAGGGGCTTCCCTAGCGAATTTATTCTCCCTCTCTCCCTTCTCTCACGGACCCAGGGATTCATGGCACACTGGAGGGAGGCAATGGGTAAGTTATGCAGCGTGAAATCTTTCCTGAATTGGGCATCTCACTAATGGATTTCCAGCGGGAACGGCGCGGATCTGGCGCCCCAGCCAAATTTACACGGGCCATTTGAATCGGACCATGTATCAGTAAAGGGCAGTGGCGGAAGAAGGCGCCTTTTAGATACCCACACCGGGAGTATAGATAGCCAACGGCGACAATTCAGATAAATATTGATTTTGGGAAACTCAAGCCGTGAAATGTTCCGATTATTTGCCTCTAGTGCTTAAGAGAGGATTCGTCATTTCATGCCAACTACCGGGATCTGACTCCTTCACGGATAGAGCGCAAATTGGACTGTCAGATAAAAATCTATACTTAGGGTACGCCGGTAAGATAACACCATGGAAAGTGGATCACGAAGAAGCTCTTCCAACCAGACGGACAGTCGCAATTGACTTTCTGCAGGTTTCGGCCGGAGAAAGACACATTTACCATTTACCGCATGAGGAATGCGCTTAGTAAGATGACTCCATGGCGAAGGAGGGACTGGTGCCAACCCTTTTTTCTTCTCACAACGGAGATAGCAGGATGATGATATGCCAATCACGACTGCTTCACAGTGAGATCGAGGGTGTAGCGGGGCCCGCAATAAAGCCAGGACGTTCCAGGTCTACCGGTGTTCTACAACCCTGAAGCCGATTGTATTGCCACCTGTGCTTCACGACATTGCTGTTTGGTTGAAGGGCACCCTGTCGATCACTGACCGAGGTCGTGGCACGGCTGCGGGCGTAGAGGAAGCTATCGCAATCTGGGATAGCCCCCCTCCTTCCCGCCACTCATACCACACAGAATACGAGCTTTGACGTCAATCTGGGCGTAAAAAGTACTTCCAAACCCTAATGTTCCCAGATATGAACAAATACATCGCCAAGGAATCCCACTGCAGAAGTCGTCACTTCACGGATCCTTCCCGTCATGAAGTCGCACATATACTTTGTAGCGTTTTTATCAGGGCTTATCACTATAACCCCGGTCCAATCATCTTTGAGAATCATGATGCAGAATAGTTGATCTGTAGCATTGACCCTCGCGATCGACACTCATGAACGTCAGCTCGCCTATCAGGGTTGCAGCAACTATGCCGTGTCGGAGGATTCACACTAGCGTTAATCAAGCTCATCCTTACCCATCATCAAGATGCTTATCCTAGATATCTAGTCAACCTCAAGAAACTTCATGGTTCTGAGCTGTTTCTCATTCAGACGTGACTAGTCTTTAGGCTGTTTTATATCTGCAGTAATATCTTTAGCCCATAACTTAGCGTATGATGTCGTCTTAGGCCCTGATGTGCAATCACTGTTGTGCCCCAAGGGCATTGATATTTCGATGGCGTCCATTCCCAATAATTGGCATTCTGAGGCCCATTCTTTTGTTGTGTCAGGATACTTCGCTTTCATCCACCCGCGTGATATCCTTTTTTCCCCTCCTTTTTGCCATTAACGCCCATGATGAACGATCCAGATTCGACAGGACCGAATCGGGACGAAGGAAATCCCACCGCGCAGCAGGCGGCCTACGAACCTGCTTGCGACGAATGTAGGGTTCGCAAGGTCAAATGCAACAAGGAGTATCCAAAATGCTCCAGTTGCCGCAAATCCAATCTCCCGTGTGGATTCTCCAACAAGGGCAAGCGGGTGAACCACACCAAGAGACTGTATGTGTTATCTTCCCGGCGCAGGACCTTTCTGACTCTATTGATTTATCAGGATCAATGACGTTGAACTTCTTGGAAGTCGCCTGGGCAAGATCGAGGATGCGCTGACCCGATGCCTCTCCGCAGTGGAAGCCTCGAGTTCGATACATGGCCATTCCACGCAAACCGCCTCTCCCAAATATCTATCCACTTATGGTCAGATGGATTTATCAGAAGATTTTGACATGAGTCCAGAACACTTAGACGGCAGCTCAGATGATTCTCAATCTAATCGGTATTACTTATTTGTTGGGGAGCACGGATACGAGAGATTCTATGGGCCGAGCTCAATGTTTTCGCTATATGCGGAAGCTCAAACCGCCTGCAGTCGGCTGATGTCGTCGTTGTCAGGCTATGATGGGGATAAATCTCTCCAACCGCCTGTTTCAGTGGTTACCGGGCGACTACAAGACGCAACAAATCTCTTCCAGACGATGTCAAAGGAAAGCCCATCGGTCGTGGAACCTGATCTAGGAGACTTCGTCCCATCCATTCCCCCTCGAGTGCTAATGGAAGTCTTCCTGGAGACCTATCTGACCGACCTCAGCCCCCTATTACCAATTTTCGATCATCGGAGTATCTTAGCCGCCATGCAGGAGCAGTACGCATCGGACACCGAGTCACCCGATCTCGCCTGGATTACTTCATTTAATCACATTCTCCTACAAACCCTCGCTGCTAAGCTCAATGCTTCGCGGAAGTCTGGGCTTCTGGGTTGTGGCACTCTTGAGAATGGCCTCATATCTAATCTTCTCCAGAATGCTAAAAGATGCTGTAATAACTTTGAAAAGCTTCTCAAGCCCCGTGTGGCCAATGTTCAAGCTCTTCTGAGCCTGGTAAGCTGTTTGGAATACGATTACGTTATTTGAAATGGTGTGACTAACGTTAACTCAACTTTCGTACAGGCTCTGATTGCCTTGAAATACTTTTCGTTCACAACGTTCGAGGCTCTCTTTTCGCAGGCGTGCCAGCTTTCCAAATCTATCGGCCTCCACCACAACATTTCTAGGGCCGGCCCGACAAATGAATACCTTGAGACTGAGCGTCAAAACTTGTTTTGGTCCCTTTTTATTGTTGATGTGATTTGCCCACGCGATCCCCACTGGAGAGTTGTTTCTCACCCTGATAAATTATAGAAACACGCTTCGTTGATCGCTGGCAAACCCTGTTTGCTACCGTCATATGACTGCAGCGTCCCTCTGCCAACGGTCGATAACCACTTCACTGCTCGAGTGCACCTTGCTCATATTCAAGAAGACCTCTACCGCAATCTCTATTCTGCCGAAGTGTGCCATATTGGTCGAGATTCGATCAATCGTCGTGCCAATAACATCGGGCGGCGGCTTCAATCCTGGGCAGCTCAACATGAACCCGTGCTGTCCCCGACTGGTTCTGGCCCTGTTCCGTCTCCGAATAAGTACTGTGCCATGGAGCTGAGGTATGCACTTTCGACCTGTTGGGTTCTGATACAGCGTCGTATGGTTGCCACCCAAAGTAAGAATACCTCTATAGAGCACGCTCGGGCCAGTCTTACTTTGTTCAAGGAATTTTGCCTGAGCTATCAGCCTGGAGATGGCTTCTCAGGCTTTGGGGTTTTTGACAAGTATGTGCCGCTGTTCAAGTGTCTGTTTCAACCCTCTGATCTGTCTTCGTTAGTATTTGCCTCAATTACTCCATGATATCCTTTCTGGAAGTTTTCATTCACCTACTTGACAACTATGAGTCCGAGGACCAACCTGACTATGATTCACTTTCATTCTTCGCCTCCAAGGCCGAATGTTTGGCCGCAATGACAGCTTCTGGGTCATATTCTTCAAAGATCAGACATGTGACTGATCACTGTAATCAAGTTGCCGAGAGTCTTAGATCTTTGAAGGAGGGGGGCCGGGCTCAATCGCTATCAGCAGCCGTATCTTCCCGGGGGACGACTCTTTCCAACGGTCATTCTACGGGACAGGGTTCTTTTGAACCAGACGCGTTGAGAACTCCTTCTGGAATCTCGGGCGCTCGAGACCAATTTTGGGATGTCTTTTCATATCCTTTGGAAGGCTCGCTGGGTTTTGACAAAATGACAGCGGGGAATAGAGAACAAACTGACCATGGCTCTCTCGTGGAATGCAACAGTCAATTCCTGATGCCTGACGGTATAGGCTCCAATATAATGCCACCTGACCCTGTCGACTTCCACTCTATTCTGGATGCATTCTCTGGCGATAATCATGGGTTTGGTGGGGCTGTCTAAGTGAGAAGACCAACAGGTCGACATTGCGTGATTATTTATGGAAGGACGACGGCGTTGAACTTGTTGTTTTGTTTTTCTTGTGGTTGCACTTTTCAGTGCCATGCAGATCATATTCGACCTTGGAATTTAGATACCGCTAAACATATTACGTGCAGGAGGAAATGACATCAACTACAATAAGGAAATCATCCATGTTCTGTAGCATTTTGAGAGTTAATACATGTTGTTTGGCACTGATTTATTTCCAGTAAATAGTTCTCGATGCGCAAAATAGTTAGGAAGAGAGATAATCGGGTCGTCGAACGCGGCCACCAGGCGGTGTCCGGGTTCCCGGGCGTAATCTCACTTTTCTCAATTCCATCAACAAATTCATTGAATTTAAATAGCATCACCTTCTAAATCAATACAAGAAAGATCATCAATCCATTTCCGAGGCCTCTCTTCATCATAATCTGACCCAATTTCTCCTATATCCTCGATTTCTCCGTCGGCAATTGCTTTTAAAATAGCTACATCCCGCCAGGCTTTCTTCGAACGATTGAATGATTGTAGCCTTTCTTTATCAACCCGATCATTTATGTGCTTTTTACAATCCTTAACCAAACGAGGGCCTATTTCCGGAAGCCTTCGCTTGGTCTTAGCGGTATTAGAACGCTTCTTGCGCCGTAGAATTCGCAGATTGTCTTCCGCAAACTGAGCCCCGACCTCAGCGAGAACGAGGCCACCCGCTAGTATCTAAGCGGGGCTTTATCGCACCTTCGGGGAGATTGTCGAGTCATTTTGAATATGCTTTATAACCTTAGTGCTTACCTTTCTCAGTTTTTGTACTATCTCGGACGGGGTATTAGGCAATAAGCTTGATAGTCGTGGTGGTGTAGTTCCGGAAGTAATATCGTGGATAATACGCATTCGATACTAGTAAGGGATTCAGCTTATCCGCCGGTATTATTTTTGGAATTTCCCCGGGCTGAAACAACGTCCTAGGCCTTGCCTTCGCCAATTCGGAACCCGGTTTCGTCGAAATTATATAGATTCTTCGGGGTAATTCCATAGGTTTGAAGCGTATTTTGTAGGCGCTCGTACCAACAAATAAAATAACCAGGTTCGCAGACTTCGTATCGTGCTTTTGCTATCGGCTTTTGCTTAATAGTTTCAAAGTTTGGAGGTAGACGGGCGATAAAGTCGTACGCCTAGTTTTTCCGAGCGTGCGGGTAGGTTCATAACGTCGAACAATTTGTAGAGCAGTAGCCTGAATCTGCCCTACGGTTGGGGGAGAATAGGCCTGGTCCAAGGTATCGATCCATAGAATTAAGGCTTTCTCTTGCTCGGGTTCTAGTGCTCTGTTGGATGGGATGCGATTGTGACTAGACTTATGGCCTTTTAAGGCGGCCCCTCAGTATGCTAGACGTAATGCCAAATTCCCGGGCGATCGCCGAGACGTTAGGTTTCTGGGTGGCAGAGCATACTGCTAAGGCATTGGAGATACGGTCTTCTAATTCTTAAGACATAATTATGAAGAAGGTGGAATGGAGAAAAGTAAGATTACGCCCGGAAACCCGGACACCGCCTGGTGGCCGCGTTCGACGACCGGATTATATACTTGTCTCACCGGGAAGTAAAATCTAATATGTGGATCCAGCGTGCTTTCTTGTTCCTGGAAGGTACAAGAAGTGTAAAAAGAATTACGGATCTCGATTTTTATAATATAATGAACAGACTCGATACATTATTCAAAACCAATTGATGCGTGGGTGCTATGTACTTGTACTAGTGATTTCTGGTGGTCCCGGATTCTCCAGCGCAGATCGTCATTACCCCTTGATGATCCTCGACCTACGGACGAAACATTTGGATAAATTGGCACGCGGGCAGTGAAATAAATTCTGCGGATGAAAGAGTGGACATGATCTCCTCCACTCGAGCAGATGGCAATCGGAGCTCAAGGTTCTTTACAGCTTTGAGATGGACGCGATCCAGGGTTCCCTCGCGACGGACATGGCCCAACGGGTATGGAATGAAGACATCGGGAAGCTGCGTGCCATCGGTCAGGGTGACAGAAAGCGCATTGGCTACACTGCGCATGTTGGGATCGTGATAATCGCGGGTGAATGTCGGGTCTTCGGCCATGGTGATCTTCTGACGCAAGAGCTCCACGCGTTCGTCAGTAGCCCATCGGCTGTTGTTTTGGTAATCGGCCGTCTCGATCTGCGCGCCCTTCAGCAACACCACGGCTACCATATATCGCAGACAGTGATCGCGATCGGCGGGGTTGTGTAGCGCCCCGTTTTTATTGATAATGATCATTCCGGCCTCTTGGGTGCGTACATGGATACTTCCAATGTCGACTGCCGGATCGAGCCCTTTCTGTCGCATTGTGTCACCAATTTCGAGGGCAGCTTCGATTGCCGTCATTCCGTGCCCCTCAGCTGTGTTGATCTTGAAAAGCACGGTTTCGACGACCCACGTTCCAAAGGGGCGAGGTAATTCAAATGCTTTGCCTTTGAATAACACATCATAAAAACCCCATCGTGGGGTAGTCAAGGCCGTCGCAGCGCCCGGCTGATCGGCGCGTGCCAGTAAGGCGAGATGGACAGCGCGCATGCATGCATCCCCGGCTGCCCACCCCTTGCGAGGGCCTGTATTCGGGGCCTGTCTATATACGCGCAGCGGGTGGCCGTCCATCCACGCATGAGAGACTGCGCTTTTGGCTTGCTCGGTCGAGAGACCAAGCAGCCAAGAGATGACAGCGGTCGATGCAACTTTGACAAGAATGACATGATCAAGGCCCACTTTGTTGAAGGCGTTTGCAACCTGGAAGCAGCCTTGGATCTCGTATGCTTTGATCAATGCGGATAAGACCTGACCCATGGTGATAAGCTGCGATTGGTCCCCATTGACCAAAGCTAACTGACTACAGATATCTGCTGCAGCCAGTATACCTCCCAGGTTATCTGTATAGCGTGTTAGTGACAAACAAGATTTGATTTGAGTGAAATCTACCTGAGGGGTGGCCCCATTCAGCCCCCGGAAATGCATCGTTATGATCTAAGTACCGGATCATCGTTCCCATATCGAAAGCGCCTTTGAGTATATCGAGCTGGTAGGATGTTCCCGGGAGTCGGAAAAGACCCGACACACCTGGTGCGAGGGGAAGAGCCGGTCCTAGGAGTCGGGCGCATTCTGGACTTTTGTCGACGCTTTCTAACGCGGCCCCAAGGGCATCTATTAGAGCCGCCTTGGCCCGTACCCAAGCTTTTTCCTCGGTAATCTCGTAGTTGTAGACATAGTCCACGATAGAGATGATGATTTCGTCGTAGCCGTGACTTGAATTGTCGTCTGGGTCGGGTATGGTCGCCATTGTACTTTTTGGTTGAGACTGCGCGGCGACTTAGAGACGAGATATTATTCGCATCGAGTCTGTATCCCAAAGGTATTTTAACACCCAAGAACGCAAAAATTCCACTGAGCATTAGCTGTTCTCGCCGAGCCTCGGAAAAAGGTAGACAATACGCCTAGGGCTGAGACGAATTCCCTTCGGCTCGCGGCCGCCGACCTCCAGGTCGGGCTGAACAGCACCGACCACGGCCCAAATTGCACGGCGCATGGAGAAACACCAACAATTTCTCCCCTTTTGGTGAGATCGTCCACCTCCAACTCGCTTTGAGCAGTAATGGCGAAGTAGTTGCCCTGTTATAGTATTATATTAGAATCCATCCAGCGGACTTCGTGGATCAATACGCACAAGCTCTCTTACCCAATTACATCGAATTACTTTATTATTTTCGTTCGTTCTTCCTCTATTGAACGGACCAGAATTCCAAGACGATAGACTGCCGCCATGACTTCGGCGCTGGAGGTCATCTCTCCATCCTCCGGAATATGCACGCCCAGTACGTCTTCAGCAGCTCACCTGCTCGATTTCTATCTACAATACGGCGAGATTGTGGCATCGTTACCGGTCGATGCGCATATCATCCCCACGCTCCACTCCTACAGAATCCCATTTTTGGAGAAGTTCTCCAATCCAGCAAGTAACGGGGAAACCCAGACCGCACCCCAGTCGGCAGAGACTCTTTCCCTGCAGTTCTTGGGGCATTTGATACACAATGGTGTCTCTGCCGACATCGTTGACACATTACTTCGATCGTTTGAATCACGATATGTGCGCAACTCTGATATCCACAGCGTGATAACTGGGACATCAGATCCCGTGGCTAGTCGAAGGAATGCGTTGAGAAATTATTTTTCCGCGATGGAATATGTTTCGATCACTCTGACCCCTGCGAAGAGTGCTTTATTCCAGTCTACTCACACTGGTATGTCCAAAGTCATGATGTTGTTTGGTGGCCAGGGTTCAGCCAACGCTTCCTGTGTGCGGGAGCTGAGAATTCTCAATACGACCTATCGATGTCTGTTGCGACGTCTCATTGACACCATCACGCCAGTGCTCGCATCACTGTGTCAGCGCCCTCACACGAAGCAGTTTTTTGCAGGCCGAATCATCGACCTACAGTCCTGGCTCGTTGATGATCAAGAGACTCCATGTGAAGAATTTTTGAGCACAGCCCCAGTGAGCTTTCCCATCATCGGTCTTCTGGACCTGGCTCACTACTGTGTGACCTGCCATGTTTTGGGCAAATCCCCAGATGAGATGATTGCATCTTTGAATGGGGTATCAGGACATTCTCAAGGAATTGTTGTGGCAGCTGCGGTGGCCAAATCGACGTCGTGGGACGCGTTCTACACAAATGCCTCCCTTGCCATGGAGATACTTTTCTGGACCGGATTCGAGAGCCACCAAGGAGCACCACGCTGTTTCATATCCCCCGATAGCATTCAGGACTCTCTGTCGAAAGGATATGGTCAGCCATCCCCCATGCTATCAGTCAGAGGGTTAGAGCGCACCAAATTGGACGAGATTCTGCAGAAATGCAACACATATTTCTCGCTCAACAGCCAGATACATGTTGCTCTGGCGAATTCCAAGACTAATTTTGTGGTTGCCGGCCCCCAGGCCTCCCTCTATGGCCTTTGTGGGTATCTTCGAGATATCGCTGCTTCAGCAGACATGGACCAGACAAGAATTCCATTTAGCCAACGAAAGTCCGTCATCTATCACCATTTCCTCCCGATCAGCGCTCCTTTCCACACCACCTACCTGGAAGAAGCGGCCGCCAAGATCAAATATCGCCTTCATGACAAGACATTTACGACCAGTGACGGACAAGTGCAGCTGATCCACACTACCACCGGTGAGGCGATCAATATGGATGGTGAAGTTGCTCTCGTGCAGTCTGTCGTGGATGCTGTCACTACCGGCTTTGTCGACTTCCCTAGACTGTTGTCTCACCCCAACACCACACATTTTGTTGTATTCGGCCTCGGTCGCTTGGGAGAGCTGGTGAAGCAGAACCGCCAGGGTTATGGTCAACGAATCATCTGCGGAAGTGAAATTGACGTGGTCGGCCGTGACACTGGATCAAAGGTCGAACTCTTCGCATCAACCCTGCCACCCCGTGAGCTCCCTTGGGGCGTCGCATACGCACCACGATTACTACAGACACTTGATGGAATGCTGGTCCTCGATACCAAATTGAGCCGTCTGCTTCAAGTTCCTCCAGTTCTCACTGCCGGTATGACGCCGACCTCGGTTCCTTGGGACTTCGTGGCTGCGGTCATGAATGCTGGATACTACGCCGAACTAGCGGCAGGAGGCTACTATTCGGAGGACGTTCTGGAGCGTGCGATCGAGAAGTTGGTCTCTGAGATTTCACCCGCTCGTGGAATCACACTCAACCTGATTTATGTAAATCCGGAGGCAATTTCCTGGCAGACGCGACTGGTTCGCAAACTCATCCGCAATGGGACACCGATTGATGGGATCACCATCGGTGCTGGTGTCCCCTCCCTCGAAGTTGCTCTAAACTACATTGACGAAATTGGCTTGAAATACATCTCCTTCAAGCCAGGCTCTATCGACGCTATCATGGCCGTCCTCGAAATTGCGGACGGCCGCCCGGGCTTTCCGATCATTCTCCAGTGGACTGGAGGCCGAGGTGGTGGTCATCACTCCTTCGAGGATTTCCATGCGCCCATTCTGGCTACTTACCACGAATGCCGGAACAGGCAAAATGTGATTCTTGTTGCTGGAAGTGGCTTTGGAGCGGGTGAAGACACATACCCATATATGTCAGGCTCTTGGTCCAAGCAACTTGGTTATCCCATGATGCCTTTCGATGGAGTATTGCTGGGTAGTCGCCTCATGGTCTGTCGGGAAGCTCATACGAGCCCACAGGTCAAACAGCTCATCTGCCATACGCCGGGCGTGGCAGACGGCGGCTGGGAGCAAACATACACCGGCGGTGCGGGAGGCGTGATCACAGTCAAATCTGAGATGGGACAGCCAATCCATAAGATCGCCAATCGCGCTGTGCATCTCTGGGCTGAATTGGACCGAGAAATGTTCGCTCTTCCGCGCCCGAAGATGGCCGAGGCGCTCCAAAAGAAGAAGCAGTACATCATCTCGCGATTGAATAGCGACTATGCAAAACCTTGGTTTGGGCAGGACTTGACCGGAAATCCGCTCGACCTCATCGATATGACCTACACGGCGGTGCTAAAGAGATTGATCCAGCTTATGTATATCAGCCACCAGAAACGTTGGATTCACGGTTCGTACATGCGGCTAGTCTATGACTTTGCCCTACGATCCCTCGCCAGAATCTCTTTTGGGTTTGCTGTCGAACTTGACGCATTGCGAGATCCAACGAGATTCATTGAATCATTCACATCGCACTGTCCTGAAGGTGACAGGCAACAGCTGCACCCTGACGATGCGACTTTTTTCATTCAAAGATGCAAGGCTCGAGGACAGAAACCCGTCAATTTCATCCCCATTCTTGACGAGAACTTTGAGTCCTGGTTCAAGAAGGACTCCCTCTGGCAGTCGGAGGATATTGAAGCGGTTGTGGATCAAGATGTTGAGCGAGTTTGTGTTCTGCAAGGACCGGTCGCTGTCAGACATTCCATCAACCGCGATCAGTCGGCCCAGGACATATTGGGCAAAATCTCCGACTTCCATACGACCACCCTGCTTTCAGAACATTATGACGGAGACTTAAGCCGCATCCCAAAGATGAAAGACCCTGCTTCTACATCCCCACTGTCGCATTGGCCGCTGGGTCATTCCAATGAGAATACCGCCTGCATCCAGACGTTCCGTGCCCTTCCAGATGACTCAGTCGACTGGCTGGAAGTTTTGACTGCCAACTCATTTGGATGGGTGCATGATTTGGTCTGCGAATCGCATATCATCCGAAATGGTGTTCGCAGAAAGAACCATTTCCAAAATCTCTTCAAACTGAAAACAGGGCAGACACTACTTCTCGATCATGGGGCACAACGGATCGTGTTGGGCGACACTCAAAGTGGAAATAAACTCGTTGTGTTATACCGCCACGATAGCGACAATACTCTCGGGGTTGATCTATATCAGCCCAGTGACTTCACGGCCGTGTCAGCAGTCTTGTCACTTCAGTATAAGCATCTGTCAGCAGGGGTGTTGTCTGCTCTGGTCGAGCTTGATTCTGAGAGAGATGCCCGAATCAAATCTTTTTACAGCAAGCTGTGGCTTGGTTACGAAATGGATGCCAGCTCACCGCACGCTACATTTACTGCGCCAGCGATCACTTTGACTCACAAGTTGCTTGACGAGCTTCATGAGATACTGGGATCTCCACCTACCAGAGAGAGTGAGAGTGCTGTCCCCTTGGACATCGCAATTATCATTGCCTGGGAAGTGTTAGTCAAGCCTCTACTGCTTCCTGCTGTCAAGGGGGATCTGCTTCGACTGGTCCATCGCGAAAATACGACCGAGTATTGTCCGTCAGCGACACCATTTCAATTGGGCGATGCTCTTCAGTCAAGCTCTCATATCCAGAGCATCAACATTGAAGAGACAGGAAAATCACTAGTAGTCAAGGCAACCATTGAGAGGAACGGAAGCCCTGTCGCATGGGTCACGTCGACTTTTTCCTGCTGGGGTCATACACTGATTTTAATGACTGTTTTGAACGCATTAAAGAGCCCGAAATTGAGATAAAAGTATCATCCTCCATTGAGGCAGAGCTTCTACGATCGAGGAGCTGGCTCTCACTGGATGACCCCCAACTGGACCTTGTTGGGAAAACGTTGTCGTTTCGGCTCACGACACTCGCTTCCAGGAGAGACAAGCAGACATTCGAACAGCTCAGCACCACTGGGCTGGTGATTTTCAATGCTTGGAATGGTGAGAAGACCGAAATCGGTCGAGTAGCCTTCCAAGCCGGCGGCTGCAAGGGAAATCCAGTGTTGGACTTCCTCGGCCGAAAGGGAGACCCCGCCACTGAGCTGAAAGAGTTAAAGCACCCAGTGCAGCTCTACAGCGCTTCACAGGCCGTGCGGGTTCCAGAGTCTAATGAACCATACAGTCAATTCTCCAAAGACTTCAACCCAATCCACATTTCTGAAATCTTTTCGCAGTATGCGGAGCTCCCTGGCACAATTACTCACGGCATGTACACATCTGCCGCCATTCGGTCTGTCGTCGAACGGACTGCAGCGGATGGAGACATCCAGCGCTTCCGGCGATGGTCCTGCTCATTTGTTGGAATGGTGTTGCCGGGGGATCAACTGGACGTTCATGTGGACCAGATCGGCCTGGTAGAAGGCAGGCTTTTGCTGAAAGTGGCGGCCATGAACAATCGGACACAAGAGACGGTACTTCGTGGAGAGGCTGAAGTCGACCAGGCTCCCAGTGTCTACGTCTTTACCGGTCAGGGTAGTCAGTCCCTGGGGATGGGGATGACGTCTTACCAGTCCAGCCCGGCGGCAAAGAAGGTCTGGGATGATGCGGATCAATTTCTACTTGGGAAATTCGGTATGTTTGCTGCGACTCAGTCAATTTCGCTCTCCGTTTTCCTAACATAAATTGCTACCTAGGCTGGTCCGTCTTGGAGCTAGTTCGAAGCAATCCCAAGTTGCTTACGGTGTATTTCCGAGGCCAGCGCGGCCGACAGTTACGATCTAACTACATGGCGATGACAATCGACTCGTATCGCCCCGATGGCTCTGTAGTTAAAGAGCCTATTATTAAGGATCTGACGAGCGAAAGCATATCATACACCTTTTCCGATTCCCGCGGCTTGCTCTTTTCTACCCAATTCGCACAACCAATCATCGTGTTGTTGGAGCAGGCGGCCATGGCTGACTTGAAGGACCGCGGGATCATTCAGGAGGGCGCATCTTTTGCTGGCCATTCTTTGGGAGAATATGGTGCATTGTCCGCTTTTGCTGAGTTCATGCGCTTCGAAGATCTTCTCCAGGTGGTGTTTTATCGTGGTCTCGCGATGCAAATAGCCATTGAGCGTGATGATCAAGGACGCACCAACTTCTCCATGGCTGCAGTGAATCCCATCCGGGTGGGCGAATGTAAGTTGCAGACCACCACTCACAAACATGGCCTATTTGCTAACCTGCTGCTGCTAGTCTTCAAAGAAGCGGCGCTGAGAAAGCTGGTGGAGGTGATCGCGACAACGACAAATGAACTGTTGGAGATTGTCAACTTCAACGTGGAAGGCGAACAATATGTCTGTGCGGGAACGGTGAGTCTTCTTCGCCCTTTTTTTAACTAGCAGCAGACATTGACGATGTTCGGACAGCTGGAAAATCTACACGCCTTGGGGGCTACTCTCGACCATATCGCGAAAGCTCCTGGTGGAGCGATCCTAGCTCGGATGTTGATGGACAATCCTCAGTCAGAAGAATGCCTCAACATAGTGTCGCAGAAAGTCCACGAAGCTCAGCAGCTGTCCAGTCCGATTACCGTGCAACGCAGCACTGCGCTCATCCCACTTCAGGGGATTGATGTGCCGTTCCATTCAGCACATCTACGCGGCGGGGTGCCCTCATACCGGAGCTTTTTGGAGGAACGGATCCGCGACGGCGATGTCGACCCCCAACGCCTGATTGGGAAATGGATTCCCAATGTCATGGGCAAGCCATTCTCGTTGAGTTCAGAGTACCTCAAGGATGCGCATCGGTTGACCGCCAGTCCAGTTCTCGGAGAGATTCTGTCCGTTTAATTTGAATATAACTATCACCTTCAGGAGTATAATATTATGCCTATCATTTCCTTGTAGGTGTGTGCCGTACTCCCGAATATTAGTTTCGTTTTTCTTACAATTATCAATCAATGGATCATAAATCATTATTCCCTGTGTGCACATATCATACTTGTCGGGCCGCGGCTGCCGAGCTCCGCAGTTAGACACATATAGATAAACACCTTCAACCATGCAAGGTTGTCAATTCTCTTCTCTCAACATCATTCCTAGTCACACAGTATGTCGAGCACATCTTCTACCGAGAATCCCGAGAAGGGGCCCGATCCTCCACAGCCGACGTGGATAGTAGAATGGGACGGCGAGAATGACCTCGAAAATCCCCATAACTGGTCCCAAAAGTACAAATTGTTCGTCAGCATTGTACTCATTATTCTACCTTTGATCGTCAATATCGGCTCCAGTGTCATGAGTGGTACTGCTTCATCGCTAGAGAAGGAGTTCCACGTCAGCTCCGAGGTGGCAGTTCTGACCACCACCATGTTTTTAATTGTATAGTCCCCTTTTTTCACATCCCCTGCAAGAATTTCTAGAGCTAATCAATGGGCGTTCTTTTTTACTTATAGGGATTTGTTACCGGCCCTCTGATCTTCGGCCCTCTATCAGAGAAGTACGGGCGGCGATTGCCTATTCTCAGCGGCGTGGTTCTCTTCGCTACCTTCTGCATTCCGATCGCCGTCGCCCAGAACTTTTATACAATCTTAATCTCACGCTTCTTCAGCGGCGCCTTTGGTGCGTCATCAATGGCTGTCACGGGAGGTGCATTGACAGACGTGTGGAATACTGCGGTCAGTCGAGGAATCTCGTTGGATTGCTTCGTGGCCACAGCCTTCGTGGGTCCCGTCATTGGACCCATTGTGGGCGACTTCATCACGCAGAGCTATCTGGGCTGGCGTTGGACTATGTGGATTACGATGATCGCCGCTTACAGCTTCTCCATATTCGCTAGCATCGTCCTGCCCGAGACTTTTGCACCAGCCCTTCTCACAGCCAAAGCCGCGCGACTACGATTCGAAACAAAGAACTGGGCATTGCATAGTAAGATGGAAGAGGAAAGCAAGACAACGATCAAGTCTTTTTCGAAGGTCTATCTCGTGCGCCCGTGGAGTAAGAGACCCCTTCACATTATCATTATGCCCACTAACAACCTATCCAGTTCTCCTTGCAACGGAGCCCATCATGATCCTGGTCACGCTGTACATGAGCTTCCTTTACGGGCTGCTCTTTCTCTTTTTCCAGGGATTCCCCATCTCGTTCGTGGAGCAACGTGGCTGGAAGCCTCAAATCGGGTCCCTTTCTTTCCTCGGGCTCTTCGTTGGCATCATCATCGGGCTAGTAGGCATGTTTATCTGGTCCATGACGGTCTTCGCGCGCCAGGTCAACTCCACCCCAGGTAAATCAGTACCGGAGCGTCGTCTGCCGCCGATGATTGTGGGCGCCGTTGGATTGCCCATCGGACTGTTCTGGTTCGCGTGGACCAGTAATCCCCATATTTCCTGGGGTGCGGAAATCATTGCCCCGGCGGTGGTGTCGTCGTCGATGTTCGCCATTTTTATTTCGGGTCTGAAATACATTGTTGATGTGTATCTGATTTATGCGAATAGCGCGATCTCTGCCAACACGGTTGTGCGGAGCTGTTTCGGGGCGGGGTTTCCTCTCTTTGCTAATGCTATGTACCACAACCTGGGCTTCCCTTGGGCGACTAGCCTGTTGGCGTTTTTGGCTGTCGCGTTGGCTCCAGTGCCGGTCATCTTCCTCTTGTATGGGCAGAAGATCCGGATGTGGTCGCGCATGTCAGCCAACAAAACTTGAGTGGATGTTAGAGACGTTGCGGAGAATAATAAGAGAGAAGGAATCGGACTATGTGCTTTTGGTGGCGTTGCATCAGACTTCTTGGTGATTTTGACAGACTCGTATCCGGTCTTCGATGAATATGTAGTCTGTTCATCTACGCCCTTTTGCACTCGAAGCCGATGGTGTGTGCAGTGATACCACCTACATGATGCCTACATGATGCCTCGGAGATAATCCTAGCTTTCATGGATAGAACTGGTGGGCTGATAAATAGGGTATATAATTCATGGATATGATCATCAAAGTTCTAATCTACGTGGCGAAATGCCCTTCCATGAGCAAAGATTCAAAAAGTGTAGGGTCAAAGAAGTAATCGGGCGATGAAAACGATCCTAGGGGATATGGTTGCTCCGGGGTCAAAGTATTCTCGTTGTCAAGCCATTCGGTTGTAGAGATATACCCGACCGACGCAGATGGCCGAGGGTCACCCAGATCAGTGGTGGTCGCCGGGGTCAACATCAATGGGGCTGGCTCCCAGGTCTGACCCGCGTCTGAAACCATGCTAATCAATTCGGTACACCAAGTGACCCCATGGTGGAGCTTCGTCAAATATGCGCTGGATACCTCCTGGTGGTCTATGGAGCTCAATTGGCGACGGACGTTCATCAGTCGTGGAATGAGGGTCGCGGAGTCGACTGTACCATCTCCCGTAAGGTATCGCACGCAAAGATCGTGGAATGCAACGAGCGGATAATTTTGGAACATACTACGGGGAATGTGTCAGTTTCGGAATAATGGATATTAAGGACGCGAAGACACCTACCGGCCCAGGACAAGGCAGCTGCTTGGAGTCGTCGACTCCTCGAAGACATCAACCATGATTTGGAGGGCGGAGACGGCGTGGTCATGGGTGATCTGCCGTTGCTCGGCCGTCCGATCGCAACGGTGAATCAGACTCTTGCTGACATGGTAGCAGTATTTGATCTCCAGTTGCATCAGACGTAGGCCGGGGTTGTGGGACCGCAGTGAAGGGATTAAAGGTAGAGCTTCGTCACAGAGACGTTGCAACCGATGGACCTGATCTCTGCGATACTCTTCTCCTGAACGTACCGCCCGCGCTGAGTATAACCCGATATAAATTTCCTCCCAGACAGTCATCATATATGCCGCAGTGGCATGAAGTTGCATCTCAGGGGAGCTATCCGCGGTAGACTGACGGGGTTGGAACTCGGAGTCAAAGAAATGAAGATCGGGAGAGTTGCCACTGAGAAAGACCCGGCTCTTATCCATTCCATACAAAATCCAATAGAGTCGCTCGCGGGATTGCAGCGCAGTCTCATCCACGCCGACGGACCGGTGGAGGCCCATAGATCGCGAAAGTTGACAAGCTGAGTAGCAGGCCCTCTCAAATACCGCAGTGATAAAGAACTCCCGTGTCACCAGAGCCTACAAAATTCAGTATAACAATTCATGATTCACCCACAGGGCTGTCTCTCTTACCAGCATAATGCGCGCCTGAATGTTGACCTCGGTTGGATGCGACAGGGTGTGCGGATCGTCTAGAGCACGACAACAATTGCTCAATGCGTCGGAAATTACCTGCGAATAATTATTCCACGGATGAATTTTGAAGCCAGATCGTCGGGCCACTCGGGCATCTAACTGCAAAGTCAGCAGGACGATGCTGTTCAAGCAGACCAGCCAGGCGGGGTTGAGGGGAGGGCCATCAGGTTGGAAACATCGTCGGATGGCGGCATATAAATCATCAGCCTCAAACACTGGAACAAAGAGATTGATGTGGTTCAGGTAGCGATCGATCAAGGAATACACGACATCCTGAGGAGGTGCTGAGATGGGTCGTTGGTCACCAGTGATAGGCGAATCGGTACACCTCTTTCGAAAGGGAAACACCTCACAATGGCGCAGTAGCGATGGCCGTAAGGCAACATTCTCTGTGCTTTCCGCGAGTGGACCGCCCAGCGACGAAGGCTTGGCGTGAAGGGCCGCCTTGAGTAGCTTCTGCGAGGCGCGAAATAGACACAGAGCGGCGGGATAGCCATACAGATGCTCGCTACATTCCTCCGTTGAGAGAGCCGGCGTTATTGGAGTAACACTCGAGCTTCCTTTTCTATCGTTGATTTTCGGTCTACATTGATCTTGGGTGGTTGGCAAGGGGTATAGCTCTTCCCTAGAGGTGGACTTTGCGGTCAAGGATTCGACTTCTTGAGACAGGCGGATCAGCGATCGATCTATATGGTCCAACCGGCTAAGAACCGACGAGAAGTCATTCATCCTGTCTCTGTTAGTCTTTTTTTTTCTTCGTGCAACAATAAAGATAGCGTGAGGAATTGTACAGTTGCTTGGCCGGATTGGTCCTTTTGAACGAAGCGGAAAAGTCACAGAAGACACCAGCTTTGCGGCAGGTGGAGCATTCTGGCTGGATGCGATCGCATCGAATCTGAACGACAGTACATTACCACATGATCTATCTATATATTCTCCATAGTATGAACACTCACCTTACGCGACCGGCACTGATTGCAGGCAGGTATTGTGGAGTCAGCCTCGGGGGTGAGACGGGCGCGTTTCCTGCTTTTCTGCATTATGAGAAGGAAGGAAGATGATGCCAATGATACTAGGAAAAGATAAACAGATTCATTGAAGCAGAATAAACGATACAGGCGGACTGTGATGCTGGTGATGGGTGATGAGGCATGGAAAGGTGATGAGATCAACGGTCGGGGCTCGGCACGCGAGGTCCGAAGGTCTTGCTATCTGTGCCACTATAGAACGGGCTCCAAGGGACTTTTCCCAGATACCTTCGCTGACTCCTTCGGACGATCAATTAGATATAGACCAAGCAATAGAGCCCATTTAAAAATATATCCGAGGAAATCAAGCAACTAAATATGTAATTTTGGAGACAATTGCTACATCATAGATAGTTGTGCCCATGTATATCGCAGTCCTGGAGGGAACATGCTCTAATATGTTGAGAATTATGGTTAATTCCTGCGCCACATAATTGCTATGCCTCAGTCTTGAGTCAGCCCCTCCCCCCTTCCAATAGGAAAGGAAATCCCTCACCGCTTTCCAGTGGTGGAAGTTTACGCTAATGTTAATGGACCTGACCAGGGTAGAAATTACAGTAGTGGAGCTATCAATAAAAGGGTTCACACTTCGTATAGTAGTTGGACCGACAAGTGTGCTGAGATAATTTGAATTCGCTATAAGTATATAAGTAGGGACGAATTATGCAAAATGAAACAACTGCGACTTGGGCACTGCCGTCTTCTGTGTGCCGTCTACTTCCGGCTGTTCAGCTGTGGTGACAGATTTTCCGATTTCCTGCCATGTATAGTCAAGTTTCCCAATCCACTGCGGGTCCGTTATATACCGTTTTCTTAGCCTAGCAGATTTACTAGTTGTTCTGGTTAATTAATTATGGGCCTGAAAACTACAATCAAGCACCTAATTGGGCTGCTAACCAAATCTTATATACCGTAGCCAGATCCTACAAGAATAAAAAAAATATGAAATATTATTTATTGGCCTGCCCCTGACCATCAGGTCCTACTATTCTGTGAAATTTCCCGCTGCAAAAAATTTCCCCTTCAGAGTTCCTTCAAAATGGGAAACGCCCCTAGTTCACCAGCTCACGCATGCCTGCTCTCCGCCGTCGGGAATGACTCGTCCCTTCTGGCTTTTCCGAGCCAGCCTTTTTACGAGTCGACCGCTGCTAACCCATACAATCTGAACTGGCCCATCTACCCGGCCGTCGTCGCAACCCCGAAAACTACAGAACAGGTTGCTGGCATCGTAAAATGTGCTGTCGAATATGACCATAAGGTCCAGGCAAAAAGTGGAGGTCGTAGCTATGCGAACTTCGGTATGCGCGCTGCTGTGATCAGCCGACTTTCACCTCAAGCTAACTAAACTTCACGGTTAGGTCTCGGCGGAGTGAACGGTGAAGTCGCGATTGATATGAAGCATTTCCAGCAGTTCTCGCTAGATAATTCAACTTACATGGCCACTATCGGACCAGGCCTGCAACTCAGCGACGTAACACGGAAGCTGAACGATGCCGGCGGAAGAGCCATGCCGTATGGCGCTGTCCCCGAGATAGGTGTCGGCGGCCATTTCACCATCGGTGGGCTCGGCACATACTCGCGCCTGTGGGGTTCAGCACTAGATAATATTGAGGAAGCAGAGGTCGTCCTGGCCAACTCAAGTATCGTGCGCACCTCCAAGGAGTCCTACCCAGACGTCTTCTTTGCTATTAGGGGCGCGGCTGCGAGCTTTGGGATTGTGACCGAGTTCAAAGTGCGTACTTATCCGTCGCTCAGCCAGACGGTCCAGTATAAGTACGAGTTTAGCATTGGCAGTTCCACCGAGCGGGCAAACTTGTACATGGCCTGGCAGGACTTATGCTCGCAGAAGAACCTGACGCGCAAGTTTGACACGCGGATGATCGTTACGGAGGGTACGATGATAATTCTGGGGCAGTTTCACGGCTCGAAGGAGGAGTATGAACAACTGGGACTTGAAAAACGCCTTCCCGCTTCAAATGCCGGCAATGTGATCGTGCTCACCGACCCGCTCGCTATGCTAGGACACGATATAGAAAAATTGGCCACTGGCATCGTCGGAGGGGTACCGTTAAACTTTTACGAGAAGTCGTTGTCCTTCGAGACGGATAAGCTTCCGCCGAATTCGACAGTGCAGGAATTATTCCACTATCTGGATACGGCTGATAAAGGGACCCCAACATGGTTTGTGGTAATCAGCATAGCGGGCGGCGCAACTAACGACGTCCCTGTCCATGCCACCGCGTACGCCCAGCGAAATGTCATGTTTTATGTGGAGTCCTTTGGAGTCAACCTCCTGGGCCGCGTGTCAGAGACAACCGTCGACTTCCTCGACGGAATTAATAAACTTGTCACGAAGACGGTTCCGGGAGCTGATAGAAACGTCTACCCTGGATTCGTCGATCCGTTCTTACCCAATGCCCAGGAGGCGTATTGGGGCCGTAATTTGCCAAAATTGCAAGAAATCAAGGCTGCTATTGATCCGAACGATGTGTTCCACAACCCGCAGAGTGTGCGCCCAGCGGGTAATGAAACATAGTTCGTATGCCCATCTGCTGTGCGCTGGTGTTTTTGCCCTTCAGAGGTGGACCGCCAGCTGGCCTGGCATTCCTGCCACGTCCTGTCTGAGGAGGAGGAGACATGTTCGCGGCTGATATGCTTGCACGGATGGTCCCTAGCTGCATCGGCCGACTTGTTCGCTGACGAAGGTCGCATGTTGGAGGAGCGTTTTGCCCAGATCAGAGGCATTAGTATGTCTAGAAGATTCGATATTTACCGTCGAGGCTTCAAATTTGAAACATCGGTTAGTGAAGGCTCAAAATAGTTGGTAGACTGAAATTGACTATTGTCCATAGTCGGAAGAGTATTTTCGGGAGTGTCGCCGGACTCGGGAGTCGATTCCATAAATTCAGATCGACATATGTTGTTACCTTCCACTTACCATCCCTACTTTGTGCGGCTTCACTGGTGTCCGTCGGGGATAAAGTGCGCATGCGTCTAGAAAACGGTGCTTGCATCTCTTTCGTGGGAGGGACGTAACCGTTATTGTTGAAAAAGCTATTAGGCGCCGTTCTATCAAGGGGCACAATCACTTACTATCATAGTGTTGTTGAAGCGTCTCAAACCACTGCGACGTCTCCCCGATGACGTCGAGAACTTGGAGCGAACATGAATTTTCCCTTTCTTCACTGGACAGGCCGGTTTCATAGATTCCTTGAAAAGAGATTCGACAAACTGAGATATTGCCGTAAGATTCAGATACCCGAACCGTCCGATAGTTAGCCGTCAAAGCAGATATAGCAGGAGGCGTGTCCAGTCCTGCCTGCTTCCTTTGATGGAATAAATGCTGAATGTTGAACTGCGCCAGGGCTTCGATGTATGAAGATGCTGTCTTGAAACTGGCATGTATAACTAAGTAATTCAGTAATTATTGAGATCGGCTTGAACCCCACTCGTATTATTGATAGTAGGCCTATCGAGGAGCCGCGGGTGAACCGCAAGAACCTAGAAATGGGCGAGTCTTGGCGGTCCTCAGTTCTGTAAGCTAGAACCGCGAACCTCCAGCGGTTCGGTTCTTCTAGGCCCGGATTATTTGTTAGAGCACTGCGGTTTATTCAACAAGTGCAGGTCATTTCCTATTTCGGTATATTTCAATTGCTGATTCAGCACACAAATCCTGTTGAATAAACCGTCCACCCATAGCTGAGACATACATCCTATTAACCGGTCAATTTAAACGTAATTAGTCGACCACGGCAACGAGCGTACTGTATCCTCCGGAATTGACAGGTATGAAAAAGACTCTGCTTAGGTGTGATTTGTAGTAAATTAATTGTTCGGGAGCGAAAATGAACGACAAGTCCGTTGGCTTCGGATTATATTATGGATATATGAAGAGACCTGTTGACATGATTTGTCCTGCCACGGATACTCAGCAAGGATATAAAACGGATGGTTGCGATCAACCATTTATCTGTGCTGAGCCAATTTCATCATGCTTACGACCAATTGATGGGGGCTTCTCTGGGAATAGTCCACCCCTATCTGGCTCTACAGAGCCACTGTATGAAAATGATGACCTTCCCTCTTCTAAACCCAAATGTGAGGCAACATGATTGTGCTGCGAGAATCTTCACTAACTGAATAAAAGGGTGCATGCCGCCATTTTCGATGTCAAATTCATTCCTTACAGCCGATGAAACCACCGAGTTTAATTTTATTCGCCAGTTAGAAGCAACAGATACAAATCTGTCTTTCCTATTGAACCTAGTTCGTGTTGTTGGGACGAAAGATGAAACGAATCCACTTGATCAATCCCAAATCATCCCGAATAGAGCCTGTGACAGCCGTGATGAGTATCATCTTTCTCATACTTGCGAAAGCGGCCAAATCATTGAAAACGGTCCTACTCCGTCCAACAACGCTTTTCATGCTGTTCACTGGCTGTCCAATCAATTCAAGTGCCAGGGTGGTATTTGTCCTCATGCTGATTGCCGAAAATGGTTTTAGGATATAAACGCTCATGTTTTAACTTATGAGTCTTAAAGGCCGGAGAGATGCCCTATGGTTGATTGCAAATATCACGACCGAGGATTTGCACGAAAGTACGATATGACTCGGCGTGTTTTGGGGCATTACAATAGAAGATTTTGGTGCGGGTTTTGCGATAGGAAACGCGCCCTAGGTTCCAAAAAGCTGAGTTCTAAGAGCTATTTGGCCGCTTGCCATGGTGTGATAACGAATGTCGAATGCTGACTCTAGGGTCTCATGGTGTTAAAAAAAATAGTGAGATGATAGCTAGGGAGCGTCTAAACCCTTAATTTAATTGCTACCCCTCCTGATCATTGTGGACTAGTATTATCGAGGTTATTCTATTCGGTTGGAGTGTTGTAGTGGCGTCTTAGGTGCTAATCGTACACCGTAATGGTATTCCCCCTTCCCCTTCCAAAAAAACTCCGATTTTAAATCGCCATTTTCTCGAGAGCTAATGGGGGATATTTCACATGGTCTATTATAACGTGCCGAAATTTTAGACCGATCGGAAGCCTCTAGACCTTGGCAGTCTGGCGACGAAGTTCACTTGCTGCCAGGCCTCCGACCCGCTTTTCCTGCCATAGTTAAGAGGAAAACCCCAACCTGCAGTCTGCCAGACTGCAGCTACCCCTGTGGGATAGATTACCATTATTACAGACTCTCACTTCCTATTTTGTACCAGCCGTAGCAGTTACCTGTATAACTTTGACTTTTTCTTTCATCAGCCGAGGCCCTTGGCGCCTTCAGCTTGGTGATCGACGAGATGTGACTCAGAATGCCAAGACGCTGCGCCTCGCCGATGGCACACATTCAAGAAGAGTCATAGCAAATTCAATATCCCTGGTACTTATAGATACATCTCAGTTCGAAAGTTTCAAGTAGACTCCCTTTCCCCCTTTCATATCTACGATCTCAGGTGAACGTCACCTAACATGGTTTCATCAGAAACTTGTCAATCTCTACAAGACCGCAACGTCCCCAGACTTAATGTCGAATTCTCATGGAAGAAATGGAAAACTGTGATAACGGATGACTGCAATCCCGATTTCAACCCTATTTATACCGTCAGTTTTCAAAAATCAAACAAATCACCTCATTTCTTTTTCAAATCTGCGCCTGATTATGGGACCATCGGCACCGGAACGCTACACACATTCTCGATCAATGCCGAGTACGAACTCCATGGTCAAAAAGACACACTAGTAGCGCAAAAGCGCTGGCAGACTGTATACACCTACCACTCGCGTGCATTCTCTGACAATAGCTTCCCGGTTATCCTGACTTGGTCTAGTAGCAGAGGGTTCAAGAAATGGAACTTTGTTTGCATGAACGAGAACCAAGGAACAGTAGCGAGATTCTCTGTCAATATTTGGGCCCTCAAAAATACCGGAACTATTGAGTTTATGGGAGCAAAGGCCGAATGCGATGCAGCAAGAGAAGAAATTGTTGTCACCGGGTTAACACTTTTCTATTGTACGATATTGAGATCGTGCAGTATTTTGTCCTTCTTGGGAGCGATCTTAGCTTGTCCTGGCGAACAAAGAAATACTCCATCGGACGCTTTGCCTGCAAGAAGGAATTAGCCTTGCTCAGATGGCGTATCTTGTCATAGTTATTTCAGATGCTTGTTGTTATTAGATCTCCCCTTCCTGTACGATATGTCTCTCTCTGCTTAATAACTAATATTCAGATTGATAAACAACTAGCATTAAAGAAGCTCGTAGGAGTTGAGATCCCCCATATGGTGCCTAAAGATTATCTAATACATAGTGAAGAGGAATTCGCGGTGGCAGCTAGTAGACCTGGCGTATCAACGGAAGCAAGAGAATCCAAATGTGAGGGGCTACGGCTGAAGTGATTCAATTGAGCGGTGCCAACATGCAGTTTATCTAAAGCTTAGAGAAATGTAAAAATTTAGGTGTGAGCAGCGGTGAGTAAATACCCTGCGGAACTGATAGATCACATCGCGCAGGCTTGGCCTGGGCAATAGATCGGGACCTGGCCTGTTACACCAACGGCCAAACAGAATTAGGAAGCTTGCAGTGGTGATGGCAGCGATAGGCTGATGGCAGATACTGGCCCGAAATTCATCATTAATAGGGAGGTCAACAATTCTTCATTTCGTTGGGGATTTGTGTAAGATCCAAGTCTAGTTCTTTCACGACCAACTATATGAACACACTCAGGCCATAGATGCCAAATTTCGAGCACAAAGGTAGAAGTTCCTCTTTAGGGAGTACCAATGCTAAATGGCATACCCCACTACAATAGTTACTTTAATGGAAATGTTACTGCGTAGCTAGTCATATCTGTCCTAGATGAATTTGTCCTCGTATGTGTTTGGGATCGGAATGACCTTGCTTGTCCGGGGTAAGGCTTCTAGTCGTGAAGAGGAGCCCGCTGTGTCTGATCACCTCTTGGCTTCGTATGCGCCTAAGCCTTGAATGAACTTGGCAGTGACCCGTGGCGATCTGGAACGGTGGCGGGCGCATGGGTTGTTTTTTTTAATGGCTATACTCCTTTCTTGTTGCATGGTTGATTAGCGATCGAGCCCTCTTTTTGGTACGGATCTAACTCTCAATATGAATGAGTTATCTGATCGTACTTCACATGGAGGCCGATTTCGATTTGGAACTTCATTGTGTAATTTGGTATAGATTCTGCACAACTAGTACCGCGTGGGTGGCTGCATCATCAGTATCTCATAGTCACGTTGGGAATTTTCATTGTGTGTAGTGAGTGAACGAAATGTCAGCACTGGCTCACGCTCACTATGCACACCGATGCAAGGATCTTCGATTTGTCTTGGTAATCAGGAATAAACTTTCGGGGCCATTTGGAGAAATTAAATTAGTTGTTAATAACATCGGCTCGTATGAGGCGGTGCAACCGTATCCGCAGAAAGTTGATTGGCCGTGCACACGTCTCCACTGGCGATCTGCCTCCGCCCAACACGAGGTCGACAACTCAGCCTCACCTGCTGGTTAACTTAAAATACTTTATTTTTTCTTCATATATCGATGCGATACTTCGATACTTCGATTTGAGAGGGAGACTCCATTCTTCTGAATTTACCTCCACGTCAACATGTCCTCTCAACGTTACTTAGACGTTGCAAACACTGCTCGCCCGGACAGCCAAAGCTCCGCTGAGCTCTCAATTTACAGCGACACCCCACCCACAGCTCCATCCTCACGCCTTTTCCATGTATATCATCGGCGACGTAAGCTCGATTTTGCCATCTCAACTGCCGAAAAAAACCCCCTCGCCTACGTGCGGTGTTCAACATTTACCATTGGCAAACCAGACCTAACATACCACGCCGGCGAAACCGAGGATGCCCCGATCACAGCTGTGTGCAAATTCATCAATTTCTCTCGACACTGTAAAGTGGGACTCGGTAATCCGGATGATCCCAACATCGCCTGGGAGGATTTGACACGCCATAAACTCACGACGCATTATCGGTTCGAGATTACACTGGATACTGGTGAGCGGAGGGCTTTTATTTGGAAGCGAACCAATACCGTTGGGATTGGAGAGGAGAAGCCATCTAAAATCAGCTCAAAGAATTTTAAGCTTCAGGATGAACAGACTGAAGAGCTCGTCGCTGTTTACCTGAACAATGGGATGAAAAGCCGGAAGAAGTCTGGCAAGTTCCAGATTAATGTGGATTATGGGGCTGTTTTTGATACTATGGTAATTATTACCGGGTTGGGGCTTTTAGAGAAAGAGAGGCGCCGGGCGAGAAGTCAAGAAGGGGCCGCTGGCGGTGGTTAATAGAACTTGTTTTCTGTCTTCATTTCTCTAGCCAGAGAGTATTACAGGCTGGAACCTGATTCTTTGACGGCGCGTTGTTGTCATTTTGGTCAGGGCTTTAAAGCTTTTATTATTCGCGCTTCCGAGCTATTTTGAGAACTGTTATTCTTATTGCTCACCCGCAGAAAAGAGGGAATGGCTTTGCATCAACGAAAAGTGGTGTTTTCTACGTACCTTACGCTAAAACATACCGCTCACTCTTGAGTGTCGTGCACGCAATACACCTGTAAAGACTTTTTACTTCCCCAGAGTAATTGTTGTGCAGAACCTTTCGCCATTATTTAGGCTTGCCCCATTATCTCAGTCCAAAAAGATGTTCTTGGAATTTCTGCTAGGGTGATTGTGTTCTCCGAAGGTTACAGCGCCATTCATGGCATTCCTGGTCCGGAAGGAATTTTTTGGCTTGACTACACTACTGTGACTCGCTCGCTTAACTTAATGGGAGTATCGGCCCCGGAGATGACACAAATGTACACCTCCAATGGAAACTCATCGACGAGCAGAATGGGGAAAGGCAGAATCTGATGTAATAAATCTCAGTTTGGGCTCTTTAGGCCATCCGACCATTCGAGGAGATCGTTCGAGCCGCTCCCCAGAAAGAACAATATCTCTTGCATCAGTCGCCGCGGCTTACGCAAAACGGGGATTTTTTGAAAAATCCGCAACTGTGATTTTTCTGGCCACAGAAACCGACCAAATTAATAGCAAAGGAACTCCAACTGTGGTTCTTTTCAAGTAATCATAAGTCCCCGGAGTAGCAACTCATAATTGTAACGTCTTAATCTCCTGCTTATGGTAAAACACATAAAACGCTCCATATACAACATATGCAGAAACAAGAAATGCATGTCGGATGGTAAGCTGTGCTAAGACGTTTCCCTTGTAACTACACAATTCTAGACAAGACCAAAGACAAGGTGCATATTTTTTACGCCTCATAGTGCGGTGGCATTTGGCTCGCCTTCTTGATCCAAAAGTCTTCAGTGAGGTTTGGATCGGACAATATTTCTGGTCCCAGTGTCAGGTATATATATGAAGCATACAAGATGAATGGAGGTAAGACCCACATGGTGCATATGGGTTCCTCTGATCGCGAGGAAGCCTGTCTCTTTTCCTTCCTCGCGCTACGTCTTGTATCTAGAGTCAACTATATAGTTGTTCTTAATATCGATTATTCATCTCGAGACACTACCTACCTCTATCTATACGTGAGACCTTCACATCCACATCGGGGAGGTATAGGTCTTCTGGAGCCTTGTTTACTACTTCTGGGAGCAAGCAATAGCGTGCCTGAGCATGACCAGAAATCTCAGTTTTGACGGAAATACGAGTGGAGAAGTTCGTGAGTCGGTTATTTGGGGTGATGACAATGCAAAAGAGCATGAGGTCTAGGACTGAGAAGATCTCAGGACATTGGCCGAGCTCCGATGACAAAGTTGTAGATGTGTCAGCTAATTCCCGTGTCGAGTCAGTTATTTATGTGTCAATCAGGACTTTCTTTCTTTGGGAATCCTAAAACACTGAAGCAAAACTTCCCCAATATCATGATCACGCTCCGACGGCGCATATGTTAAGCTGATTGACGAAAGTCGGTTCTTGGTAGGTGTCCACAAACAGTCTGGCGGGTCATCTGAGGTTAGCGCAAACTGACCGGGCGTAGGCGGACTAGTGCTGCCGAAATCTTTGAAAGGAAGTTCAGAGGGATGCCTGTTCAGCTGCGCTACCCGTCAGACCTTCTATCACCGAAGTGGGCCTAGGAGAACTCGATGGAGGGTTATACTTGTGAGGTAAATTGATGGCGGACCAGTTTCGTGTCACCGACAGCTATGATCTTGTCTTGGAGAGCAAGCTGGTCGAGTTGGGGAAAGCTGACGTCTTGAGGGGTATAGGTACCTTCGATGAAGATCCAGTCTAGTAAGCTAAGGGTCTCCTTGCCGTCACTACTCTGTGGATTGTAACGTTTGAATGAACCCGGACACACTACCACGGCGATATGGGGATTCCTGGTCGGATTGCGTGTTCGAGAGCGATGTTCACGCGGAGTAATCAGTGTACTGTAATAGAGGCTTCCTACTTGTCTTTCGTTGTTTATAATACGGGCGAGATCGGCAGAACTCCAGGATCTAATTAAATCAATTCGGAAGCGAATGTTCTTGGTGATATCTTGAGCGGGTGCACCACCCTCAATAAGGATATCCCACAGCTTCATCCTCATATGAGATTGGAAGCCCTGCAAAGCCTAGAGCGGTTCCAAGCTTTTCAGGGTATCATAGGTTTGCTTGGGAGACCACCGGACGACATCGAGCGAGGTCATTCGATCATCTCGTACTTACACGTCGTGGGTGACTTTGGGGGGAATATAAACCACCACAGGCTGACTATTTCCAAAACCTCGCATTCGGTTACTGGGTGAGAATGCCCAATCAGCACCGCAATCTCCGAACCGAGAGCCTCGTCAGAGTGGGTCTGTTAAACAGACGCAATTATAGGAAGAAAATCGTGCTTGTATATTAGTACAGGATGGAAGGGGCTCTCCACTTCCTGCATGTCAACTGGTTAATCTTATTCAGAGGCAGGATCCCCCAGTACGAGTAATTATTGATGTCAGAACGCAGACCTTGGAGTCTAGGAACTAACATGTTGCCCAACATTGGCTTTCTCTGGCGCAGTCAATGATGCCGATGCAACTGTCTTTTAAGATGAAGATGACGAAGCCTCCGTCATTGACCGCGAAGGGCACATTGAACGGCTCTTATGCTCGCTGTTCCGGCAAAGAATGCATAGGTGACTTATGTTCTTGGGTTAACAGCATGCGCGTGGTGTTGATCTAACACTTCCTTCGACATGCCGTGCGGCCGTTACGATTAGGCCTCGATTGACCAAAAACAGACTTATCTAAGGTAAGCAGTGTCCTTTGTTTAATAAGGGTCGTATTCCTCTAACATAGTGCACTTATTTGTATTAGGATCGTCAAGGCCGTAGCCTTATGTTGTGAGGGAAACCCCTGAAATCACACTAGAAAACAAGTATTGGAGATAGAGAGGGCTTAACTCGAAGAAACAACGATGATAGGTGTCAGCGTATGTGAAGTATCAATGTGCTCTACCAGCCTCTTTGTGGCCCAGTAATAGGTTAACCACCAATTTAGCGGTCAACAGGAGCCATAGATGTTCGGACCCTAGTCCGCCCACCTAAATAGGGCTTTGTCGAATGATACGGACATTTTTTGCGAACAACTTAACATCTCTATTGCATATCACTCGGGTAGGCCAAAACTCAATTTGACTGAGAACCACGATTTTAATATATTTATAGAACACATGAGATCTCCCGGGGTAGTTTATAAGAGCCTGATAATAGCGGTCATGACTCACAAGGACGCCATAAAACCGCTCTACTTGACGGTGACAGGACAAATGATATCCGACCCATTAGTCCTGAATACGGCATACTAGCGTGACAACCTACAATCCACGGTTTTATTCAATAGAGCTGTTTAGACCTTCCTCCGAAAGTCTCGCCGGCCTGCTATTTTTATCGGGATCGGGCCGCACTTAAACACTGTCAAGCCCGTTACGTCAGATTTTGCGGTTGCATAACGCGGATCAAGCTTCTAAGTATATCCCTCCCCTTATTCGCGGCCAACCGCCATGTAAAGCACTTCTCACCACTGCTAGGCGACTTTATATAAGCGGTGGCTACATTGACCTATTTCAAGCTAATAGTGCTGGTAGGGTTCTGACAGATCTACCGTCCTACCCATGGCAGCATGAGGAAGTCTCCTTAAGTGAGACAAGGCTGGTCCAAAACAAGAAGAATCCGAAGGAGCTCCACCATAAGCTTTTGGGCTCTCGATCTCTAGAATCAACTGATATCGAGCCTAAATTTGCAGAGAACATTGCTAGTGTTGACATCGTCCTGTTTTGCGCCGGCTCCTAGCAGCCGATACGAATCACACGATAGTACCGTTCAAAGTCGGCACCTCTGCCCACTGCGCGGGACACGAGACGGCTAACATGAGGATATTAGGCACATGGGATAGAATTTGGAATAGAGGGACGATCTAAATATAGCCCTCTGACAGGGCCACTTCAAAAAACCAGCGCAGGTCGCGCACAATAGGCACAGCGGTCCAGACGACCCGAACACCCCCTAAACTTACAAATATATATACCATCCGACCAGGGCCTATCTATACCGTTGACAGTCATCCGACATGCTAGAGCGATATATATAGGGAGGTTCGGTGAATGGCCTAATAGACGCCGACTTGGCCACCACACAAGCATTTCTTCACTGCTCAACCCCGAGACGAGAGTCTATCTGTAACTGGTCTCAATCCTTCATAGATCTGCTTCGCACTCTTTTAGATATTTCATTTGTGACAGATCAGCTGCGGTGCTATGAACCGTATTCCTTATTCTCTGGCGAATAACTCTTATGCAGGAAAACTCCGACCAGCTTCCTAAGTGGCTTAGGTTATGTTCGGCACGACTTATTAAGCGTATCCAGTTTAAATAGACTGTATCCCTTGGCCGCTTATGCGGGAACTGCTCGCTATAACACTTTATAATTATCCATCTGAAAGTTACTACATTCTCTTTATACGTGGTCTCCCAGTCAACTGGCCGTGCGAAGCCAACGATTGTTGACTGTGAGACGGGGACTTTAACACTGTTTTTAGACTTCTCCAAAACCAAATTGGGGTCCAAAATTTAGACCCAAATCCCAACCCAACCTAACAAAACCTTGAAGACAGCTATAGTAGAATCCATATAAAAGGGATAGCGCTAGGAAGCAACCGAAAAGCTACGTCAAGTTCTGGGTAATACAGATGCGCTATGTGTGACCCTCATAGATGGTATTTCTCCGTTACAGTGTGGATCCTGTCAAATACTATGTACAAAATGCCGACCTGTGTCATCTCAGGAGACAATCTGAACACCCTGCGGATTGTGGAAGATGTCCTTTGGATCTAAGTCTCGCTTGAGCTCTTCCAACCGTGGAAGGTTACTACGCCAGTATGCACACTGGGCATCGGGCAGCTTAGGATCTGGACATCCGAGATATGCGTGTCCCGCACTGTCTGGCACTGCCTGAGCCAGAACATTGTAGAGTCCATTGGCAAAACCATACGTAGTTTGCGAGATTGGACCAAGCGGGTTGGCTACGAAAATTTGGACCCAGAAAAGCACATCGCGGTGGCCATATGCTGTGGCATCTTCAGACACGGCATTGATAGCTCCACCCGCCAAGCTGAGCGTGACGAACCAGGCCAAAGTGCCGGGGTTGGTCTTGTGGATGTAAACGAAGAGGCCGTCGATGGCTGAATCAGAAATCAGCGTGCTGGGGGTGAATCCGAGTGACTTGGCGTAAAACCAAGTCGGGGAGTTTCCGACCAGCCTCAGAATGGTATCTTCCAGTCCATGAACGATCGTCCCCAGCCAATCCGTCAGAACTAGCACAGTACCGGGCTCGCTGGTGGGGAATTTGTTCTCCAGGTCGAGCTCATCGTACTCCTTCTTTGAGCCAAAAAAAATACCTTCGAGAATGATCTGGCCGTCGAAGATGACCATGTTGGATTCAAACTTCCAGGAGAGGTTCTCCTGGGCTATAAATGCCTGCCAATCCTTGACGAGCTTCGCCTTCTCGGCAGGAGTCCCCAGATTGAACGGGTACGAATATTGTACGGCCAGGCCAGGTGCCTCCTCCGTGCGTATTTTGAACTCTGTGACTATCCCAAAGCTAGCAGCAGCACCTTTCACGGCAAAGAACACATCCTGGTTCTGAATATCCGACGCTCGCACAACACTCGAGTTTGCCAAAACCACCTCGACTTCCTCAACATGGTCAAGCGCTAGGCCCCACTGGCGCGCTGCCGGGCCCAATCCGCCCATCGTCAGGTGGCCACCTGTCCGGATGGTCGGGCAAATACCGTGTGCCATCGCTCTGTTGCCTGCATGGTAAAGCTCGGTGTCCAGATTGCCTAGAGTTGTTCCGGGACCCAAGGTCGCGATGAAGGTTGACTTGTTCATGGAGAATTGCGAGAAGTGCTTCATATCGACCACGATGGCACCATTTTGTCCTCCGAGGCCTAGAGCAAAGTAGGGGTTAGTCATCTGGTTGCTCGGGCAGCTGAACTACCATCATCAGCGGATTGTCATACCGTAGTTGCCAAAACTATGGCCTCCACTGCGAGCCTGCACTTTGTAGTCATAGTCGGAGGCACATTTGACAACAGCAGCGATTTCGTCCGTTGATTGAGGGTATGTGACTGCCGCCGGGGTGACCGGGATATTCAAGTTGTATAGCTCGACTGCGGTAGCCTGATAAAGAAGTGTATCTTGGAACGCGACATGAGCAGCAACGCCTCCGACGGCGGATACGAGACAGTCACGTCCAGCAGTAATGCTGGTGGTATTGCCCATAGCGAAAAGGCCGACTTAAAGATAATGCAACATGTATTACGAGAAAGAGACGACCCTCGCGTAACTTGGCCTGAAGGCCCCTTTTCGCGTTTACTGTGTTTACTATGCTTGGGCCGCTTACGAACACTGATAACGTAATCTACAAGCGAATAATGGAGATTGATACGGATACAATAGCTTAGGACATGCGATCGGGACAATAGGCCTAGGAATTACTCTCATCTTGTCAATTGCTCAATGTCAATTAGTCTTGTCGGGCAATATGCTTGCGAGGCGCAACGAGCGGAACTGGAACGCGTCGCACGACGCGTCCGCCTCAAGCCACTTGAATGATCAACACCCCAATTTGATTTCCCTAAGTATTAAGGGCAGCTATTAGGGTTTCGGTAACTAATTCTGGTGGAGCCAAGAGCCGGAAACTAACGGCAAAGACAAACATCGCCAATCACCGTACACAATTAACCCCACGTCATTTAACTTTAGGGCGTTACTAAAAGGACCCCCATTCTGACCGTTTGGACCCTACCTACGTTCACTAAACCCGATTAGGTCTCATGCAGTAATTGTATTTCCAATGCATTAAACGGTAAAAATGCATCAATTTCTTGGCAATGCTAATGCCCCCGAGAATTGGCGGTTATAGATCTAAGGTACTTCTATTTACTATGCAGACCCCTAGTAAAATTAAGTCACTACTAGAGACTAAATCAATTTTAACGTATTTCCTAATTGGGAAGATGCCCGGTGCTTCCTAAGGCGACTAGACTAGGCATCCTCACTGTAGGATGCCGATAGAGCTATTCCTAAGCCCTAAGATGTCGCCGGCGAGGTAGGAACGGCTGCAGGCAATGCCTAGGCCGCATTCTACGCTCCCTAGGATGCCGGCGAAGCTATTCCCAATGCCTACGATGTAAAACTACTCGCTAGCGACGTCGGGGGCTTAATTTTGCTAAGTGGCTGCATAGTAAAATAGAAGTACCTCAGATCCATAACCGCCAATTCTCGGGGGCATTAGCATTGCCAAGAAATTGATGCATTTTTACCGTTTAATGCATTGGAAATACAATTACTGTATGAGACCTAATCGGGTTTAGTGAACATAGGTAGGGTCCGAATGGTCAGAATGGGGGTCTTTTTAGTGATGCCCTAACTTTAAAAAGACATTTGGTAGCTTAGTTAGCTTTGTGTCACAGCGATCATTTCGGGATTTCTTCCTCACTTGGTTTAGGGCTCATTAATGTGAGACAACATCTACTCCGTATGGAATTTTATATAATGAAATGGGGATGGCTCGATGGCAGTCTGATATGGCAGACGGGTCGATATCAATGGAGAGAAGACAACCAACCACTCCCATGCCCACCGTAGGCTTAGAGAGTAGTCTCAGGAAGCGACTGAAGTACTGATCTTGAAGCTATATCATGAATGAAGAATCTGGTGGAAAAACTGTAGTCATATTGATGATGGTAGGATGCTGCCCTCGAAGGAGAAGATTGCATGCAAGCTTCCTAAGGCATTTGTGATACCTCAGGCCCTTAATACGCTACTGTCATGGGTTCCACCACTACAATAACCAATAAGTGTTCACGGGCGACGGGTCGTGATTGAGTGATCGCGTAGTGCTGTTTCATCTTAAGAACGGCTTCCCACATTTCATCGGCTTAGAAGCAATCTCCGATATCTTGCTTAAATAGAGTGGGACAAGACGATGATCCAAGTCTGCTATATGAGAAAGTCTTCTCTAGACGGCATATAAAGAAACCTCCATGCGCAGTTCAAAATGTCTCTTGCTATAATTCACCATTTTTCAACTGCACCGAGTCATTCTTTTTGAAGTCGTTTTGGATACATCCGGCATTCTTTTACAGAGATCAAGATTCTCGTATTTATGGGGGACTGATCGTCGTCGTCATGAAGGGAATTTTTTACTTTTTTATATTGGCTTGCGTCGCTTCTGCTTGCTCAACCTTTACTCACCCAGGGCTTCTTCACACCTCTGAAGACTTTGATCGCATCCGGGAGAAAGTTAACGAGGGGGCCGAGCCGTGGATGGAGGGTTGGAACAAACTTGTCGACAGTCCGTATTCCGATCCTTCCTACAAACCGAACCCAGCGTCTATCATCTACCGAGGTTACGACGGCACCCACGCCGAGAATTATGCCCAGTTATACCAGGATGTTGCAGCGGCCTATGTGCTTGCCATTCGGTGGTCTGTGATGAAAAACAGTACCTACGCAGACGCTGCTGTCGGCATCCTTGATGCATGGTCTGTGAACCTTACTGAGATCAGTGGCACCGCGGATTTGTATCTTGTGGTCGGAATTTACGGCTACGAATTTTGTCAGGCTGCTGAAATCATGCGCACTTATACCGAATGGAAGAATTTCAACCGCTTCGTCGGAATGATGCAGCGCGTCTTTTACCCAGCAATTAATCAATGGTTTGTGGATCATGAAAATTGGGGCTCCTGGGGTGGAGCTGTGTACCCTGGGTGGGATTTATCCCAGATCGCTGCCGCAGTTTCGATTGGAGTTCTCACCGATAATGAAACAATATACCAACAAGGCGTGAACTGGTTTCTTAATGGAACTGGAAATGGACAGATAAACAATGCAGTTCCCTACACTTATTGGTACGACAATCAAGTCCTGGGTCAGCCAATGGAGACTGGTCGTGATCAAGGTCATACCATGCTGGATATTGCACTCTTCGCCGCGATAGGTCAAATGACCTACAACCAGGGGAATGATCTATTCGCTCACAATGATAGCATCATTTTGTCTGCGTATGTCTTCCGTTCTGACTTCATTGCCAGTTGTGATCCACTCCTATGTTCCTCCGTACTCACAAATCCTTTTAGCGCTGAATACGAAGCCAGATACAATCTCGGCTATGATGTTCCCTACAAGGCATACGGCAACGTGTATTTAGGTTTACCAGTCATCAGCAACTCCAGTCGCGGTAACATCCGTCCAACTTGGGAATTGCTTTACAATCACTATGGGGTCCTCAAAGGCCTGAACACCACATGGACGAAGAAATATAGAGACATGGTTGTGGCGAATGGAGGAGGATCTGAAGGAGGCTCTGGGAACTATGGGTCTGATAGTGGTGGTTACGACCAGCTAGGATGGGGAACTCTGCTCTATACCCTCGAGGGATAAGGAGTCAAGACTAAAGCTAAACTGGCATAGCCTGGTCTTCTGCGGCAAATGCCTGTGCTAATCTATGTAACATGTAGCTGGAGCTACGGTGCTAACCTCCGCAAAACATTCAAGGGAAAATTCACCTCCGGGCAGTTAGACCACACTTAATCAATGATCCCTGCAACCCCGCACTCCCCGCGAGGTACCTCGAAACTCCGGCGGGGGCGAGGGGAACAGTTGATGATTTTCATCAACGACTGATGGAAAGACTCTGTTAAATTGCTCCATCGACATGACGGGGGAAATCTTCGTTACATCAGAGGCATGGGGTAGTCAGCTATTGCATGTCAATTTGCAGGGAACGAAGGCCATGTGCATGAAGCTAATTAGTAATTGTCCGATGAGGATTGTGAGAGATATATTCCACTCCTTCCCTAATCCGTTGAGATAGAAGTCCTTTTACTTAGGCAAGCCATCCTTTTATTGAATAATTATTCAGGGCATCAAATATGGGTTTGAAGAAAAATTTGGCCGTTGCTGGCTTGGCTTTGTTACAGGGAAGCCTCGCTGCTTTGCAAATTGTCCGTGTCTCCTTGATCAGTATGTGATAGCCGAATATATTTCGCTAATATTGTCAGGTCCCGGCTGCGACGTGGACAGCAGCTGGTACAAACCAACACGTCCAGGCTCATGGCGGAGGTATGTATGTAGATCGAAGTGTACCTTTGTCAGTTATACCCCAGATCTCACACATTTGCCACCTAAGGAATAATCGAAGTCGGCTCTATCTACTACTGGATTGGCGAGAACAAGTTGAACGGAAGTGCCTTCCAATCTGTCAATTGTTATTCCAGCACCAACTTGGTGGAATGGGCCTTTGTGGGAGAACTGCTCTCCCTCGAAAGAAGCGGAGACCTCGGTCCAAATCGAATCGTTGAGCGTCCCAAGGTGATTTACAACGATGCAACATCTACATATGTGATGTGGATGCACATTGACAGCAGCAACTACGGGGAAGCAAAGACTGGCGTTGCGGTATCTTCCAGTGTTTGTGGCAAGTATAACTACTTGTGAGTCTCACAGGAGTTATCCAATGTCCATTAACAATTCCTTAGACTTATTCGTTCCTTCTAGAGGCTCATTCCGGCCCTTGGGCTTCCAGTCGCGCGATATAGGTCTTTTCAAAGATGAAGATAGGTCTGCCTATCTTTTATCAGAGGATGTTAGTGTGTTGATTGGCACTCAGTGTCTTTCGTTGTATGTCGTACTGTACATACACAGTTCTAACAAATATCACCAGCGCCCAAATGGGTTGAGAATTGACCGATTGACTGATGACTACACCAACGTTACGTCCAGCACATACTTGTGGCCCCAGCATATTGAAGCTCCAGCTATATACAAGAAGGACGGCGTGTATTTCATTTTTGGATCCCAGTTGACAGGTCAGTGCTTGTTCTTTCCACTACGATCTGGTCTAACCAGATTCGATTATAGGATGGGGTATGTTTGTCGTCTCTCCAACAACCCATTGTGGATCCTGCCTAGGGCTAAACAGCCTTTGCAGCTACAAATGATAACAAGTACAGCACCGCTACGAACCTGAAAGGTCCTTGGAGTGCCTGGGCCGATTTTGCCCCTGCCGGCACGAACACCTTCAACTCCCAAACTACATTCATCCTGGGAGTAGGCAAGAATGTGATGTATGTCCCGTGGGGGAAAGCATTGAAAGAAAAATATTCGTACGGTTTGATTCTTTGGCTGATTTCATCAGGTACATGGGCGATCGATGGCTCTCCTCCAACCTCATGGCATCAACTTACATCTGGCTTCCACTGACCCTCTCTGGAACGACCGCGACCCTCGTATGGCTCCTCTCTCCCACGCTCATTTTAACTCCCTCTCCGCCCCCATATTTCATGAGCCCGAACTACCTCTGTTCCTTGCTAAAAATAATCTAACACCCATAGACCGACGAAGAAAGTTGGATTATCTCCGAACAGCAGCCCTGGACACCGTCCCCTGCAAAAACCATCCCCGAAGCAGAATCTCCCTCTAACACGTTATCCAAGGGAGCTGTGATCCTCTCCTGCAGTGGCTGTTCTGGCGGAAAATCGGTAGGATATCTAGGAGGCACCAGCAATGGAACCCTCCAGTTCAGCGGCATCTCCAGTAATGATACCTCGAAAACTACAGTTCAGGTGAGGTACGAGAATGGGGATACAAAACAGCGGTACGCAACAGTGACGGTGAATGGGAAATCGTACGTTCTGGCATTTATCCCTTCGACAAATGGAAATACGCCTTTCTCGTCGACGCTGAATGTTGAGCTGCATGCTGGGGATTCGAATGCTATTACTATCCGCGGATATGAGGAGGGATGGGGTAAGTGATGCTGACCATGTTTGGTGGTGAGATATAAATTGAGTTGGAGCAGGTTAACTAATTGCGTCGTATTTTCAGGCCCGGACGTCGATTGCTTGGTGGTTCCAGAGCGGTAGTTAGGCAAGTGAAGTATGCCCGTGGTTTCTTTGAAGGGTATTCACCGCGTAACGCCGCACTAAGAATGATGAGTGGATAAATAGATGCCACTTTGGTATATTGTGCACCCACACATTGTCGAACAGCAATTCCATCATGTTTCCCGTGGCTGCTCTCGTTTCTTCTTATTTGCTTATCCTTGTCAATGTGAGTGTATATACTCCATGAAATGCCCCCGGCATCACATTAAGTGATAAACGTGGTCGGAGGTCTTCTGTGGTAAAAGACCCTCTTTAGAATATTATGAGCAGACTCGGCAAAAGACCATTCGTGCAGCATGTGCAATACTCTTTATAAGCATTGTATATCCGTTTCACAACGAGTGATTTCCAGGCTTGAAGGAGAATCCACACCAGCTGACTCTTCAGATAAACGACTATCGTGAGGAAATATAATCGGAGCTTGCCAATACTGAAGGAGGTTGATAAAAAAGGAGCATCCGGTGTGGATATAAGTGCCACTACAGAGGCTGTAGCGGTAATTTTTACAATTACGTGCGCAATTTTGGAAAAATGGCCGCATGAGGACGAGGGAAGTACATACAAACGCAAGGTTGAGCTCTAGAAGGGTCCACAGAGCTTCTTTAGAGCCACTAGCTATATTATGAGTCAGCTTAGCTCGTTAAATGTGGTAGCCCTGACCCACAAGTAGCGTTATTTTTTATATAATTTTTGAATGCCACTAACCGGAGAAGACTGAAGACACACACTCTAACATAAAGAGGTTAACAAAGCAGTAGAATGCTGTCCAGAATACTTACAATCCGCCAATAGAAAAGGCCACAGTGATCTGGACCTTCTGTCGGATGGGCAATCTCAATCGCCAGACAACAGCGACAGGAAGGAGAAGAAGGACGACATCTTGTATGAGGGAGAGTGCGCCAATTGACATAAAAAATGCTGTCTGTCCATTTATGCATGCCCCATGGGTACTAGTAGGCAGCCAGAAGTGTTGAGGGGGCCAGCATTGGAAGATGTTCACCAAAATTGCGGCTATACCCCAGGCAATGGTATAGATGAAGAGAGCTGTCGTAGTGATTTCCCATTTTCGTACAGAGGCGAGAAGGCTGCGAAGAAGAAGAGTCACTGATAATTTAATGAAAATCTGGGACAGCGCCCAAAAGGTTTGGGTGAGCCAGAACAGCTATCACTATTAGCATCTTCATTTCTGCTTGCATCAGGTGATCCCATGGACGTTATCTTACCATAATCACACGACCGTGGTATTTGAGTTGTAGACCCCAAATGTCATTTCCAACTCCACTGAATGCAGCTAAAGTCAACATCAGCTCTGCACATAACAATAGTTCATTGTACCCACCGAGCATAGTACAAATAGTTACTCCGTAAGAGATGAACAAGCCTAGAGACATTAAAATATCTCCAGTGTCGAGGTTCTTTTTTAGGAGGAGTCGACTGTAGAGACGCAGAAGGAAAAAGACAGTTGCGACGACCGCACCAACAATGGGGACGACCGCTAGAACCGTTCGCCAATAGGTTGTAGTCATCATAAACCATCGGCGCTGCCTGCTGGTATTCTCCTCAGCAATGTCTAGGTTTCAGATCATGGCGGTAAAATTAATTTTCCGGCCATAGCAGTTCAACATACCTTCAGCTCATCCAAAAATAATCTGAACTTGAGAGGATATCCCAATATATGTTGATAATGCGGTCAATGTGGTCACAATTTGCCTTCGATGGTTATTCCACTAGAAAATACAAGGCCCGAATTGATGTATATATCCCCTACATATATCATCTTCACAAGTGAGTAGACCGGGGAAGAATACTTGCAGCTCAATCCAGTGTTACAAAGTAATGCATCTATCGAAGAGTGGTGACATCATTTGCCACTGTTTCCCAAATTCAGTATGACGTGGAACAAACTCGCGGATATTCCCGCGGCCCTCGCCATGGTCCATTAATTCTGCTCTAGACCAAATATTAGCAGGTGTATAAGTTGGGTTATAAGCGGTAGGGGAAAATTATGAGCTCCAGTTCTTATACTGTTCGAGCGCTTTAATTCAAGATCAATATTAAAAGGGCGAAATTAGAAGGACACCCATATTTAATAATTGGACCATAGCAAATGTACACTAAACCTACCTAGGCCGGCCGCAGTAATTGTATTTCCAACGCATAAAAAATAATGCATTTCTTGGCAATACCTGATGCCCCGAGTAGCGGCGGTTGAGGATCTAAAGTACTTCTATTCACTACGTAGCCCACTAGTAAAATTAAGTTACTCTCGACCCTTGCTAACAACCAACTGGCCGTAGACGAAGCAATTCGCATTTCCTAAGATGCCGCCGGCGACGACGGGGGCGTAGCTTAAACTCCCTAGGCCATAGACGAATCTATTCCCACCCGTTAGGTGCCTCTACATCCTCGTACACGTCCTCGACCTTGACCTCGCTAGCTCCCCGTTATATCTGCCAGCATTCCTGTGCTTCCTAGGCATCCAATCTCAAACCGCGGCGGATCATCCCGCTATGTAGATAATACTAGAGGGTCGGGAGTGACTTAATTTTACTAGTGGGCTGCATAGTAAATGGAAGTACCTTGACTCAGGAGGCTAGTTGGTTGTTAAATTAATGCAGTTTTACTAATTAATGCATTGGAAATACAATTACTGCGGCCGGCCTAGGTTTGTTTAGTGTACATTTGCTATGGTCCAATTATTAAATATGGGTGTCCTTCTAATATCGCCCTATTAAAAGGACCCCCATTCTTAGAATTGAGTCAGTCACTGGCCAAGGTGGAGCAGGCATACACGCACGAAGTATTATATAGAATGGATAACGAGCAGATGAAAATCAAGGCCGGTGCTTCATATGTTAGGAAGATGTTGTTGCACATTTTCCTATGGATCTGGGATAACACACGGAACAAGATGGCTAACCTTCGGGTACCTACCGACAAGGTGGTCGAAACGGGATTTTTCAAGGAGATATAATGTTGCAAGTTCATGCTCCTTTATAACGGTGTCCACCATTCACGTAAGATATTTATCGCAAGATTCCCCACCTACATAGCTGCTAATATTACTGTGAGTGCCTCCCCAAATTACAGGAACCCGGAGTATATATACACCGCCCATTAAAAGCTCCCAATGCTTAGCACACGGATTGATCCTCTCTCGTGAAGTAAATCGATGCAAAGCCCAGTTGGGCTTTGCATCGAAAGACAGCACATTTTGTGAGCAATCGACTGTATACGTTGTTTTGTCGCCATTCTATTTCAGCTTTTAGCTCACTGCTTCTAACGGTACGAGATTTAGACATAAAGTGACAATCACTCGACCCTTATACCCATGAAAGTAGTCCGTATCGAATTCCACTCATGGGAATGTCTGCTTTGCAGTTAAAAGAAATGCCAAGGCTACTAGTTTGCGCAAAATGGCCCACGATAGTCTGTTGCGATGCTGCAAAGTTACAAGACATGGAAGCTCAGCTGCGCAAGACGGGATCCTTAGAGAAGTCTAATGCAAGACGATGACTTGAAGTACTGGCTTTTCACAAATTTTTCCCTAAATGTTTTCGTGCTCCTGGGAGAGGCTGACGGAAATTAAGCTGTCTGGAAGCGAACTTCAATAAACCTTTTCACCCTGCAAGATGTCATGAGGTGCCATAACTTACCTCGAGATTGAATGGCTGGCTCTCGGAGTTTCATCGTACACACCTGAACTTCACCTAGAGCTTTTAGTGGATAAGGTATAGTTCATGTTCAGCTGATTAAGTTCCCAGGGCGTTCAAGCTCATATATGTACATGGGCAGGACTACCAAGACTTTTAATCTTCATTGAAAGCACGATGGCCCTTGAGCTTGCTTTACAAACCATCGATCATGACTAGACCTATCTGTATAGCGGCGTATGTATTGACAATTATCACAATGAAGGAAAGAAGGCAATCTCAGAAATAATAGAATATATACTAGCGGCTCGGACTACATGTCGGTTGTCGTTTTCCATTTCATCACACGCTGATCTTCTGGCCACTTTCATCGCTATCGAGCTTCTGTCCCGCATCGTGCACAGAATTTGTCTCGTAAAGAACGGATTCCTCAAGATACTCAGGCTTAAGCTGGCCATGCTTATCGTAGCGGTGGGGCTCTCTGATGGAGAAAGAAACGGCATTGAAGACGTTCGTAGACTTTTTGAATATCGCATCCATCTCTTCTAGAGACCGATAGCGAGTTTCGGGGAAAAACAAGTACACAAACGGGAAGATAAATGCGTTTCTATAATTGTCAGCCAAGCCTCTAGACCAGTTGGTCTAATAAAGGGATTGGGGCCTTACATAACAGCGAAGATGATGTAGGTTTTGTACCCAATGCTATCGAATGCGACTGGGGTAATCATGACGACCATGAAATTAAAAATCCAGTTGGCACTAGTGATGATAGTTAGAGGGTGCTGTACGAGGTGTTGCGAAGTAGTGACCGGTCTACCTTGTGGCTAATGCATTGGTCGGTGCACGAATCCGCAGGGGTACAATCTCTGCTGGGTACAACCACGTCATTCCAAGCCAACCGATGGCGAAGAACGTGTTGAATACAAATAAGAACACAGCCTGGCCAACACCGGCTTGCTGGTCACCAAGAACAGTCAGGCGATAGTTCGTACCGGCAAGGACAGCCATAGAGAGTGACATGCCAGCGGCCTGTTTATATGCAAGTTAGTTAACCAACATTATTCGAAATCAAAGTTTGAATTTCCCAATTACCCCAAAAAGCATGAGTGGACGACGTCCGACTTTTTCAATAATGAAAATAGGAATGAATGCAGCCATCAGATACTCTGTGCCGTTGCAAGCGGCTAACAACTTGGGAAGGTTGCCTTCCCCGAGACCAATCTCCTTATACAGGGATGGCGCCTGTGGAGCTGTGTTAGTACGCGGCTGAAATTCCCGTAGTGCTAGGGAATATCTCACATAGTAAGTGATAAGATTAATTCCAGATATTTGCTGAAACATTTGGTTGATATAGGCGAGGGCCACTCGATGAAATTCTCGATACTCGCTCATATCGAAAAGACTCCTATACGACCCCTTTGACATTTCCTTGACAGTTTCTTGGATGGCTAAAAGCTCATTCTTAATGTAAGGGTCATCGCGAGATCTTTCGTTAAGGCACTCTAGAATCTCTAAGGCATCGTCGTTCCGCCCTTGCATCACAAGCCATCGTGGGGACTCAGGCAGGTTAAGAATAGAAGTAAAAATCACGACGGCAAAAAGAATTTGGAAGGCAAGCGGGAACCGCCAGGCCACTTCGCTTTCCCCGATAAACGAGAACCCTGTTTTCTGGTCATCAGAAATCGCAATTTTTTACATGTGTGGGCCATGTTTGCCCTACCGTAATTGATCCAATAACTAAGCGTGATGCCTGCGGTGATGAGCATTCCTTCGATCATAACCATCTTACCGCGGTCATGAGACTTTGCAGATTCTGACTGCCATGTTGGCACTGTACTTGTATTCATTCCATTTCCCACCCCTGTAATGATGCGCCCAACAATGAAATGCGGCAGATGGAAAGCAGTGGCTTGCAGTAAAGCACCCGTGGCCATGATGACACAGCCACAGAAGATAGTCCTTCGTCGGCCTAGTGGATTTCCGATAAAGACCGTCAAGATGGCACCGAAAAAGCAGCCCAAATTATACGATGCAACCGCGATGCCTTGGTTTAAACTGCGCTGTGATCTGACGGCCGGGTCATTTTGAATGGCTGGATCCGCGGTATCAATATCGGTAAAGTACTTGGTGAAAGATGGAAGGTCTAGCAGTCCACCTGTCACACCTTGGTCGTATCCAAAAAGCCTTGCGATAGTCAGTACACGTCAAATAGTATAACCACCAGAAGATAGCACTATCATACAAGAAGTCAAGACTCCCAAGGGAACTTATCGCCAAATTGAGGGCTCTACCCCTCCAACCAAAGAATTTCGGAATCCCAAACATGGTGTCCAGATGGCGCAGATTCGAAAATCGGAAGGAGCATTGAGGACAGGGAAAGTGCGGACATTGCAAGTAACGGGTTATATAGCATCCACTCCCCAGATGCGGCCCCGGATCGACAAATGCGGTATTCCGAGAAAGGTACCTTTCCATGGTGCATTGGCGAGGCCAAGATATGGGGAATAAAGCGTGCGTGCGTAGTAGGGATAGGGTGTGCCACCGATGTAGGATTTGGGGGCGGCTCCTCAGACACACTCTAACTGGCTAGAAGGCCAAGTTCTCACCTTCCGAAACAATTCGTGCGACTTTGTTGCCTACGTGCGAGACGCTTGGCAGGCAGACAAAACACCTCGGCGGTGGCATAGCATCCCTTGGCGGCGGCATGGCACATCTTGGCGGCTTACCCCGTGGGAATGTCCCAGCATATGAGAGTACTGCCTTGCATTCTACTCCGGATTTAGCCGGCTTCGGCTCCTGCAGTAGAAGCTGGGAAATAGTTGATGAAAATGTGAGCAATACCGGGTGCATTAACATATAATCTAAGTGGGAAGTAGCCGGCAGCAGATTCCAATTTAACCTACTTACTGGTGAACAGAAGGGGTCACTACAAATCCCTGAATCTACTTCCATAGCCCAGGTTGACAAAATCACTTTTAAGAGGGTTCCTTTCCTTCGCGTGGCTCTCGGGCCATTTGTGCCAAGAGCGCCACACAACCGCCGAGGGATGGAGCAAGTTAAGACGTCACACTGGAAGCAATACCTTGATGAACCTCCCGAAGGTGATATTATCCTTGTCTATTGTGTATCTTTAATTTTATTTTTCCTACATTCTATCCAATGAAATGTATCATTGTTGGGGTACTTCTGATCTGATATTGAATTTGCTCAATGAAACGGCATTATACGAGCGGCTGAGATATTGCCCTGGAACAATCTCTCTAGTCGCTGAGATCAACTAATACAGATGGATCGAATACTATAGAGTAATATTTAATTTTACAGTAATCGGAGGTATATTGTCCGTAGCTTAGTAGTAAGTTCCATAGGAATGAACAACATTGGATCTATCCTACTAAATAAACATGTACCGCTGAGCATGCGACAGCCGCAGATTAGAATGACTTCTATCGTTACTTATTCTCTCTTATAAATCAATGAATTATTTATAGGAGGCCTCATGAGTTGTACAGCTTCATGATCAGTAACATGGATATCTCCGCAAGACAGGATGTGTTTAAATCTTAAGTTTATCCTCCGTTTTGAATCGGTTAACAGACATCGCATGCGCCAGAACCCTTTCCGAATGGCTAAATCCTCTCGAGATCAATGAAAAACGTATTTTAACTCCGTCAATGGATATATTGCCAATCATGATATAATAGGGCATGATAGCTCCATGATAGCTCCATTTTCGGTCCGAAGACTCTCTGTTTCGTTGATTGCCAGGTCTAGAGTTTTAAACAATTCAGGAGTTTTCCAGCGGCTCTTCGTCAAATACTATTTAGGTTCCAGTACGGGTTGATGAAGGCCATCAGCGCTCAGGTTAACTTCGATACATTACTACTCAGGCTGATAGTGTTCCATAGAGGGAGTGTGATGAGAATAATCCAAAGGGTAATTATATCACAGTGACAATTAGATCCCCTTCGAAAAAATTGCCTAATGATAGACTGTCAATATATTTCAAAGGAATGCGGACTACAACGGCGCATGCTTTGGAAGTTCTGCAGTAGCCGTATTCTTCATTCGCCTTGTGGCCGTGACCTACGGCATCCGTTCACAACCCTGTTTGGACTATATATGGACTGACGTGAAAGCCAGATCAAACGGTCCTCAACTCCAATACCCGTCGATGGACAACAAATCGAAATCGAGCTAAACATTCTAGCCGATCAGGCCATATAATACATGTAGGGTTGTAGATATATGAGGTAGTATAATATATGATGAATTGAGTGCGCCCTCCAGTCTTCTCCTTGATTCACATCATTATGACTTCCGCCTCCAATTTATATACGGTCCTTTGTAAGAACGCCGTTATCTTGTATTCTATTCCCTGGCAGTCTTTTCTGAATTGTAGACGAAAATCTGACGTTATTCGATTTGACAGGAACCGTTCATGGTGAAACTATCACTTGAACATGTGTATATATAGCAGTGTTTGAAGTGTTTACCTAATCTTTGGTTCCCAAATTGCATCTACATTTCGTACTCCATTTAGTTCGCGTTGCCGTTTCAAAGTACTGCTAATCCAGGATATGTCATTCTAACAAACAATTGATCGTAACCGAGATCTCATCACGTTTTCATTCGATCCAGGATGGCCTGTACATCTCCTCGCTTTATAGGCTTAATCAGGAATGTGTCGATACCAGACCCGAAAGCCTCTTTTTGGGCATTGGGACTATCGAGCCCAGTCAATGCGGCAATGATTGTATCTGGCAGCCCTTTTTGGGCTGCTTCAGGTAAGCCTGCCCGGTGTTCCTTCTCTGAGCGGCGCATCTGTCGGGAAGCCTCAAATCCATCCATGACGGGCATTGATATATCTGGCACTGTCAGTATTTTTGCGAGAATTTGAGGGGCAGAGTAACTTCAGCATCTTAAGATAGAAGAATGTTACAATGAGGGGACATACCTAGGATGACAACTTGGTACTTGCCAGGGTCGGCTTTGTATATCTCCACCGCTTCTGCGCCATTTTTCGCAGTCACATAATTACGACCACACTTTTCTGTGTAGGCACATAGTAACTGCAGATTCAGATCATTGTCATCGACCAGCAAGACTGTCGATCCAGGACAATCTGCCTGAGTCTCTTGCTCCGCCTTTTCGGTATTAGGCATCGTACCGGTGACACTCTGTGGCTTTGCTTCTTGGAGTTGGGCATTTAGTGAAGACTGGGCATCTTCATGATCTGGACCGGCCATTGTATCCGCTGTTGGTCGCTTGCTGATTTTCATTCGTTCTTTGGGCGGATCAACAGCCCCGAGGTCTATTGGTAGATGAGATGATTCCGGCATCTCTACCCAGTGAGTTGGCTCATCAGCACTGGGGCGACCAGCTTCATGATCCGTCTGCCTCTTAATGCAGATGTTCAACGCGCGAGCCAGTTTCCGCGGTCCACATGGCTGGCTGATAAATTCGAAGAAGGCCGTTTGATCACGGTTCTGGGCTGCAACAAATAGTCGATGAGCTTCCTCGGGAGACTGGCAAATAACGACAACCGGTGAGCGACAACCATCCTTGTAAGCAAGCTGTGAGGCTAGGGCAAACAAGTTCCTCCCCTCGGTATCCTCGCTATCCAGCTCAGTCTGCACGGCCAAGTAAAAGTCGAACAGGAAATGCTCGCCTTTGATGGGCGACACGTTGGACACCTTCAAGCCAAACCAATCGCGACACAGTCGCTCCAACGACGAATAAAGGGCCGTATCTCGTTGGGAGTGAAGGGAGGATCCAAACCCTAGGAGACCTATTGTCTTTTCCTGCGTATATCCCTGCAAGGAGCTAAACTTCGAGTCTGATGATGAGGTGTCCGATGTACCAAGGGAACGGGTGAGTGGAGTTCGAATCGAGAGAGTTGTTCCAACTCCCTGAGTTGATTCAATCTCAATGGACCCACTGAGAAATCCGACGGCTTGTCGAACTATGCTCAGCCCCAAACCGCTTCCAGACGCAAGAGGATCTTCCTGTGTGAACGGGTTGAATATGTCATTTTGGAGATACTGCGCCCCGATACCTTTGCCAGTATCCTTGACAGTAAGGGTGACCTCGAATTCAGTATTTTCGTCTGCGGACCCGGATTCGTGTTGCACAGATTTCAATCCAAGGTAGATATACCCCGAGGGTGTGTATTTGAGGGCATTTCCAAAAACATTCATAAGGATACGGCGCCAGGCTCCAGCGTGGGTGTAAAAGTCCCATTCCGTGTCTGGCTGAATATCGAATATGATCGTAACTTGACTGGCTCTAGGGCCGACTGTGTCGGATTTGTTCGTTGGGCCGGCCCATCGTGAGGAGTCCCCAGTCAAGGCTGGAGGAGGTGCCTGTGGGTGAGTGTAGAAACTATATCCCGCAAACACACAGTCTGCAACCTCCTCAAGCACTGAATCCAGTTCAACATGCGTATATGAAACATCTCGTCCACGGTCCTGGGTTGAACCGCCGCTCGTTTCCTTCGAACCTGCGGGCAATGCTTGGTGCTTCTTTCTCGGCTTCCGCTTTGACCGCGGGACTTTCTTCTGGTACTTGTCGATGAAGGTGAGATCAAGAAGATTGTTGATGGTATCCAGAAGGGTCCGACCACATGATTCGATTGTGTGAACCATGCCATGTTGTAAAGCATTCATAGCTGTGTCACTAAGAATGTCCGCCGTTCCTAAAATTGCATGCAACGGATTTCGAAGTTCATGGGTGATGCTACTGACAAGATTGGTTTTGGCCTTCTCTGCTATCTCAACATCCAATCGCCGTATCTCGGCCATCATACTGTTCGTGAAGGCCGAGATGTACACGAGCTCATTTTCCGATGTGAAGATACGACCTGGATCGTTAGTCCAGACTAGTGTTCCGGCAAAGCATCTGCCTTTGTCGGAGTCCCAAATGGGAAGAAGAAGGATATTTCTGGCATTGGCAAATATTTTGATCAAATTGTCGGCATCTTGTTTGAAATGTGGTCTGCGTCGCTTCTTGCTTCTAGGGCGTCCCTTGCCACCTCGGGAGACGACGGCAGGAAGATTGGACTCTGGCCCGGTGCTCCTTGTGTCGCTGTCCTCTGAAACGGATCCATTGGCGTCATAAATGAAAATCTTCCCACGGGGATATCGACGAATGAGGGAGGTAAAGAGGGGCTCTGGAATCACAATAGCTTGACCAGACCTCGGCCCATCATTGACGCTCGAGGTTCTGGAGCTTGAGAAGCCCAAACATTCAGAGACAAGCGGATTCTCTGATTCAGATTCTCTGTCAGAATCAGGCGTGTGACGTTTTGAAGAAGATGCTGAATCTGTACTTTCGTCGCCGCTTGAAGAGATGTCTTTCGAGGTTGGTCCCGAGACTTTGCGATGGGTTTGCTTGACTAGGCTTCCAAAACGCTCGCTGTTGGCATCAAGAAATATCACACCCTCAGCTCCAATCGATTCTCGAATCAAGTTAGCTGCTCGCGAGCACACCTGCTTGATGCCGGATGACAGGCTGTCATCCTGGAGGGTTTCTCCCGCAAGCACACTTCGGACAGTATTGTCTTCGACTTCGACCTTGGATCTTGGATTGCGGTCTGACCGTGGTCCGTTGCAGTTTGGTTGAGAATTGGTGTCATCTTTGACTTTCCCTGGTGAGTCGCGGAAAGCAAGGTCTGTTTGACCTTTGTTCGTGGCACGTTCCTGGAGATGCTGTTGCTGAATATTCAACTGGCCTTCTACGGTCTCTCCGGACTGTTCCGAGGCAGCATACTGTGCGTTGGCTTCTCGCCATGAATCACGAAGAGTTGACCTGCCCTCCACAAAGCTGCCTAGGCCGACGATCATCCGTTCCGCCCGGTAATTCTTGAGTGCAGAGTGTTCCACTGCCAGATGCTCCATGATCGTTCCAGCCATATCCTTCATGAACTGCAAATCACGTTGGTCGGGATTTGACGTCCTCGCTTCGGTGTCCATCACAGTGTAAGCTCCAATTGTGTACCCTCGAGGGCTGATGATGGGAACTGCAGCATAAAACTTGACGTCGGAAAATGCGTCCAATACTTCACGTCGGTCGAATCGGCTGTTCTTGCTCATATCCAAGACAACCAATGTGCGATCACCTACAACATCGGCATACTCCGTAGCTTGCTTGGACGGTAGACCCTCCACATAGTGGCAGAGTCCTTTCTCTTTGGGCATCACACAGCAACCCAGTCGAAGATTGTCACGCTGATCACGAACATGGCCGCCTACCAAACTCAATGACGGAGTGGCTTCTGCGACCACATGCTGGTGGGTCCGATCGAAGAGTGAGATAAACGCATGCCGAGCCCCCAAACGGATAGCGCCTAGCTGGGCAAACGAGTTCAAGGCTGTGTCACGGGAGGGCTGCGGTTTGAAGGTATTCTGGCTAGCATTGTCGAAGGGGGCGTAATGCGACGCGAATTGTTCACGAGGGATATACCTGCCCCACCGAAGAATCAGCATCCATTACATGTACGTGGGGCTCAAACGAAGCCTTACTTGTAGAATTCCCGTTCTTGGGCCAGTCTGTAATACGACTGGGGAGCAGAGCCCCCAAGCTCAGTCATGATCAAAAGCGATGGTGAGGAAAGCACTTTGCAAAGTCCAAACGAAGTTGAGTCCTCGGTAAAATCCGGTTTGCGGAAACTGTATAGACGTCACCCAATCAAACCGGCGTGTGTCAATTCAGGGCCTTCTGGGGCCATGATATCATCACGGACCCACTTCAGGGAGTATACAGTAAGCACACCTGTGTAAGTAGATGGCACTACATTTATAAGGAGGCTTTGGGGGTGATCATTTCTTTATTCACAGGGCCAATACCTGCGATATGTTCAGCCAGAAATATGAATATGCTAAACGTATGACACAATATATATGCCCTCACTGTGTTCACCTGGAACGTGTCATTCTTTCATTAACTTATCATACACACTCAGTAACCTTCAATAGAACCAACGGAATGTTTCACAAGCAGGTCCGTCCTGAAGGTATTCTGTTGGAATATTCTTTGCCTTAAGGTGAACCCCCTGCGTCCGGTCTCTCTTTTTGTTATCTGCTATCATCCAACCTCCGAGGCAAAGTGTTAGAACAATGCCAGCACCGCCGAATGATGCCGTAGTGATTAGGGCAGGGAGATAAATTGGTGCGTCTTGGTTGCGAAATATGTTTGAGCTGACGACTCCCATCAAGTTGGCCACAGGAACAGCGATGCTCGTCAAGACGACACGTCGACCTTCATTTGCGATATTGTTGTTGTACCAAGTGTCGAGAAGAACAGAAGGCGCAGAGGTTCCCCTAGAGAAGCGTTAGCTGGATGTCCCTCTGTCCAATTGAGCCGGACTGACCAAGTCATCAAGAATGAGGCGAAATATGCAACGCTTAGATCCCGCTGAACGTCGATGGTTGCGTAGATAATGAATCCAACAAACGTGAACAGGAATCCTAGTGCGATGAACGGAAATCTCCACCGGGTCCAGTCGCTGCCAAAAGCCAATATAAGCAACACTGCAGCACCGGAAATGTTAGGCGCTACAGTGAACAAATTGGTTTTCACAGTGCTATATCCAAGACGCTTGATGATAACCGGAAGAAATAGCTGGACCGATTGCAGCGGAACACCCAGGCAAACTTGAATGGCTAGAATTGCCCAGCTAGTACCGTGTTTGAAAACGCGGAATGCATCACGGATGTCCAGCTTTTCGTTTACCACCGAAGAACTATCAATCTGCAGTCGAAGGTATGCGAGCTCCTTTTCTTCCGGGGTCAAGAACGCAGCCTCTGAAGCCGACCGAGGCAAGTACCATAGTGCAAAGAGTGCAAAGAGAATGGTTCCTCCACCTTCGATCAGGAACAGATATCGCCAAGAGGCCAATGGACCCGATTCTATTTGAAAAACTCCGAAAGCGAGCAATCCAGAAAATGCTGAGGCAATCGTTTGTGCAGCGTAAAAAATAGCTAGTCGGCGGGCTAACTCGCCTCGGCGGTAAAAGCTGTAACAGAATTAAACCACAGCTCCAATATGACAACGGAGGAGGGGAACAGGCATACGTCGTTTGGTAATAGATTACCAATGGAAAGAAGGCACTTTCTGCCATCCCCAAAAACCATCTGATGGCGAAAAGGCCACTGAAGTTGAAAACAGCGACTACCAGAATGGTACAGGTGCCAAAAGCAAGCATCATACAGGGTAGCACAATGTTTGGCCCATATTTCTTACCAAGAAGACCCAAGAAAGGAGCAGTCAAAACATATGGCACGAAAAATATGCTCAGGATCAGATTGTACTGGGTTCCTTTCAATGAGAGTGTCTCTGTGGTTTTGTTTTCCATCAATACCATAATCCTCACCAGTCATCAGGAATTACACACCTTCAAGTCCAGCTGTCTTTGCGTTCCCTAGATTGGATTTGTCCAAGCTGTTGAACAGGTACATAATTGCAAGGACAGGGAGGAGACGAAGATCGAACTTCCAGACTAATGCGCGCTCTGCCCGGGGATCGATATTGACACTTGCAATAGTTGGCGCCTCCTTTGAGATATTGGCAGTTGCAATAGTTGGCGCTTCCTTTGACGGCGAGAGACGCCCTGATTCAAGCTCTGCGTTCGGCATGGTTACGAATGCGGCCATAATCAGCTACCCTCATACTCCTTCTAGCTGGATTCGACTTCTATATAGATGCCCCGGATAATAGAACCGGAAAGATAACGCTAATAAAGTTTAAGCACGTGGCTGTCTTGGCTGATAAGCCTCCGCCAATTAGGTGTCTACAGGCCGATGTTCGGGGGAATTCGGTGGAGCGATATCGGCTAACCCAACCCAATCCCCTATCTGACCCAGAGGATCGGCAATCTGAGCGTTGGCCGATTGTATGAGTCTTTTTGGTGACACACAAATCATTTGCCCTACGATAGAAAAATAGCAATGCCCTGAGACAACCTACACACCTACACCCTCACCAGTAACATTCACAGGACACGCATTTACTCGGAGACTCACTCTGAACCTAGCTTGAAGGCTGAATTTTCCTGCTCGGGCTAAACTCTCCCAGTTCGTATAGAGCATGGTCACAGGCTGACTTGCCAGTCTCGTCGACAAATACTAAGTGCACCATACTGTCCCGTCTTCCACTGTGCAAATCCCTCATTAGATACTTTGACCACTTCAGGTGAGATCGTTTTATCCACAGACTGAATAATTCTGATTTGGAACCCGTATCCTTTGGATAACGTCGGATCAATTCAAACGCAGCAAGAAGCCCCGCAATTTATCAACTAATTTTGTCATTAGCCCGTTCATTCGGGAAAATCCATTGTTTGAAATTCCTGGGTTGACTCACAAAACTAGGCATGAAAATAACTCCAGGGCTCTAAAATATCGTCTTTCAACACTATTTCCGTCATGCCTTGCCTTCCTCTCCACATTTCAAATCTCATATTGCTAAAATGATATATCACCCTCCTAATTGAATGAATGCTGTACCTACTATCCGCACCACTGGCTCTGGTTTGCTCTGTTTGTTGCGCCCAGTGGTAGACTGATTGCGTGTAATCTATTATTTATTTTATTTTATTTTAATAAAAGCAAACCGGTCCCCAAATGTATCACAGATCTATGTGCGATATTTGAGACCTCATTAATTGAATGATATACGGAGCAGAGCAATACGCGGAGAAACATCCTGGCAATTATAAACTCGCAGCCGCAAATCCTAAAGCGTAATCCAAAGTCTTAAAATTGTACAGAGCCCACTCAATCAGATATAAATTCCAAGCACTTAGCCTATTTGACAGGAGAATAAGTGTCGTCTTTTACTTCCGATAGTCTAATAAGCGGTGCGACAAGTTATAATCCTTGGCCAGCCATTAAGTAAGCGGAATCAGGCCACTATGCTATAAAACATCATGAAAGACCCCTTGCGCTTCATTGACGGTAGGTAGAATGATCTCGCCACGGCTGAAAACCTTATGTCCGGAAAAGCATATTTTGAAATAACAATGGTCACATCACAAGCATCACGGAATCACCACCCTAACGATGAACGACAAATAGTCAATAGAATAGTAAACTAGATAAATTGGATCCCCAAATCAGAACACCATTTTCATACTCGGTGTTAATATTAAGTATTTAATGTCGATTTCCCCCGTTTAGCCAAGCATCCTGCAAAGCGGGTAAAAGATACGAAACATACATATGATTTGCCGGTTTGCTTTTTTCTAGGTCAACCTGCACATTCCTTTGTAGACCCAAGATCCACATCTACTTGATTCTCATTGGGCATAATCAGAGATACGTCACTTTATCTACAGGTTTATTTGGTTGCATATAAGGGGGTTCCTACAACGTCCACCCATGGACGGCGACCTGGATCTTATCATGGTTTCTGTGCTTAATTTCCGCAAGTAACACGAAAATTGTGCTCTCGTTCGCGAAATTAAGAAATGAATAGTAGAGAAAGCTTGCATCAGACTACTCTGGATATAAGAGACAGATCACGAATTCGAACCCAGGTCAGAAAATCAGATACGTTAAGGACATCTGTGGTCGCACTCCAGACTTCCATTTGCCAGACCGAACTTACAGCTAGGCTTGGCTGGAATTGTGATTTCATGCAATCCATTAGAATCCCGGGTCAATGGCCCACAAAGCACTTTAACGTTCGAAGGAGGAAAGAGATAATACGTGACGGGTGTTGGTGATTCGATGTGAAATTAATTACTATCTTTTTAACAGTAGATTTGAAAAAACACGATAGCTCTCCGTGCAAGCCCGATCGCTTGGTCAAAGGTACGACGTTCCCTCGGCAAAGTACGGACCCCGCGTAATTCCAGTCCCAGCCGCTGGGCCCCAGGGTTGCTCTCTCCGGGGGTTGCTCTCTCCCCAGCACTTCACCAAGTTAGAATGAAAATGACGTCTCACATTCCCAAGCCTGCAATTGTGCAGACAATGATCCTCAGTGAAGATAATCACCGAGGTTCTGTCTCCATGACGAAACTTCTGAATTGATCATCGTGAGTTTTAAGGAAAGGATCGACATCCATATTCCCACATTCCCACATTCCCACTGCAAACGCAACTCTTTTCATAATGACTCGGCATTTTGAGCCTTGTTGCAACAAAGGGCAGGGGCAAGCGAAGAGGCAATCCAGAGTTCGGCCCCAGGCATTCATATATCGACTGAAGCGCATTTATTAAGAGGGTGACGTGAGACTCCACCGAGTCCCCAATTTTGAGCACACCACATGTATGATATTTGAAATACGACCGAGAACCCGAGGTTTCATGCCCACTTGACCTCAAAGGAAATGGGTTATCGTACTCGAAGTTTGGCTCATGTTGGCTTGCAAGTGATCGTCAGTTCCAAAGTCAGAATCATGGGGTGCATGGACCCAGTTCCCCAACAATCCGGGGGACCGAGGCTGCTTTAGTAGGGCATAATGAGGGGTTTCATGTGGATTTTGGACGATCATCTGGGGAGGCGCGAATTTATATCATTGACCCCGCATACCCCCTGAGGGCCTTTGGGACTTTTGTATAGATAGTTCAGAGGTCCTTTTCCAGATTCAACGTGTCGACTTGTTCTCAATTCCTTATTGTCTTGTCCTTTGTTTCTACAACCTCACTGCATCACCACAATGGCTGCCGACGGACCACGACCTGGGTTCCTTGGGAACATCAACCAGGAACAGGAGGCCAAGCTGCAGAAGCTCTGGACAATTCTACTCAAGGCGGGCGAGCCGTCTATGGGCGAAGAAGCACCGAATGGCTGCGTCGAGGAACATACTAGCCCTGCCCAGCCCCAAAGACGCCAATCCCTCCTTGGCCGCACGCAAAGCAATCTTTCTGATAAGACTACCACAGCGCCTACTACACCTTACCAACAAAAGATCTTGAGATATCTTGGTGAGATCGGAGCAGGAGCGCCCGAGTGTAAAGCAATCCAGAATGCGCTCTCCGAGATTACACCCACGGAGCTCCGTACAGGAGTGCTCGATACCCTTAAGCATGACCACCCGGATGCTATGCTCCTGCGATTTCTACGAGCTCGAAAGTGGGATGTGCCAAAGGCATTTGCCATGATGATGGAAGCCATTGTGTGGCGAGTGAAAGAAATGCATGTGGATGAGGACGTTATGGCTAAGGGAGAGCTCCATGCCCTCCGACAGACTCAAAATACATCGAGCACGAGTGAGCAGAAAGCTGGGAACGACTTCCTGTCTCAAATGCGCATGGGAAAGAGCTACGTGCATGGCGTTGACAAGGTCGGCCGGCCGATCGTCGTGGTGAGAGTTCGCCTGCACAAGCCAGGAGCTCAGACTGAAGAGTCATTGGAACGCTATATTGTGCATGTTATCGAGTCGGTGCGATTGACATTGTCTCCCCCAGTCGAAACTGCTGTAAGTTTTTAGTATACAATGCTCTGGCGTACAGGGGCTATTCTGACGTTGCACCAGGCTGTGTTATTCGACATGACCAACTTCGGATTATCGAACATGGTATGTGGTGTGGATCTGAGGAAATAACCAGCCATTGTTTTGAAGAGCTAACAAAGTTTCGCGGTAGGAATATCCACCCGTAAAATTCATCCTGAAGTGTTTTGAGGCGAACTACCCCGAATCCTTGGGCATCATGCTCATTCACAAAGCCCCATGGGTGTTCTCTGGTCAGTCTATCTCTTTCGTCGCAGGATAAGTCACTCACTAACTGGGTCCTTCAGGCATTTGGAAACTTATCCGAGGATGGATGGATCCTGAGATTGCCGCCAAAGTTCAATTCACGAATAGTGTCGACGATCTCGAGAAATTCATCTCTCGTGATCAGATTGTGGAGGAGATGGGTGGCGACGAGAAGTGGTCATACGAATACGTCGAACCGGATGCCCACGAAAATGATCGGATGAACGATACTACTACCCGCGATGCTCTGAAAGCCGAGCGTGAAGCCATTGGTGAAGAATTTCTATCCGCGACCTCATCATGGATTGATGCATCCAAAACAAAGGACACTAGCAAGATCCAAGCCAGCGAAAGTGAGAGGGCTTATCTGGTGGAGAGACTGCGAGTCAACCACTGGAAGCTTGACCCTTATGTTCGAGCTCGTCTTTGCCTGGACCGAACGAGGATTATCCAGGAGGGTGGAAAGATTAATTTCTACCCAAAGGATGTTCCCGCCGAAACTCAGGTTGTTGAAACAACGAAGTTATCGGAAGTGGAACACTTGGAAAGGGTGAACCGGAGCGCTACGCAGACCACTGTCTCTTAAATGTTGATGAATCCCCAATATTATGTCGTCTACGGTTTAGATACTCAAATTGACCCATATTTTTTTTTTTTTTTTTTTTTTTTTTTTCCCTCAGCAGCCCGTTCGTAATTATTTCTCCTCCCGAAATCCTAAAAGACCAGTTTCTCGTTCTTTGGCCTCCGTAGATACACATACTACGTATTACTTGTTCATAGAAGTGGAATAATCACTCTTCCTCTCCCGCTTCGATCACTCACGAGTTTGAATCCGTTTGGGGGTTTCTCAGTGGTTTTCTTTCTCTATTCAGAATCTCGTTCTAGTATTATATTATTACTATATTACATGCAGCAGAATATACGGAATATTGAAACTGAAAATAAGTACGACTACAATTTTACCAGGTATATCTCAAGAAATATGAACTAACATCTCTCCGTAAAGCTTTCCTATTCTCCCCTCTTGTTAATCACTCCTCCAGTCAAGACAATTCAACCTTGCAGAGTCACCAGCTTAGTCTGTACTCGGCTCTGAACCCAGCCAGCTTAAATTCGAGTCATTGTGGAAATCATAGCTATTTATTTATGAGTAACCCTTCATATATCGCAACAGACGTACTCACTATATCTAGCTTGTTTCAAATTGAGCTTCTCAATCCCAACATTCTCCTTCTTGCCTTGGCCATCGGCCATGCTGCCCTTGCGTAGTGGAACTGTTGACTCTATATCGTCTTTCCGAAAGTTCCGGCTACCCTGCTTCTCTCATTCATTCAGCATGAATAACACAATAAAATGAACTTGAGCTCATTTTGATACCTTCGCTGAGTCCACTCTTCTTCGTAGCTTGTTCAACAATATGAATGGGCTCATTATGAAAGATCTGAGAAGAAATGCACAGAAGCGCGCTGAAGATATGAATGCGGATAGTCTTCGCGACTAGCAGAAGGAACGAGAGATAACAAGGTAAATTGTGATAATCTTGTGTTGAGCAGTTTTTATCTGTATTTATAGCCATATAATATTGTTCCTAGTATATTCTATTGTCTACCAATTCCATGTCACTCAAGGGTTCGGGATTCGGGACTCGGACTATCAGCAGACAATATTTCGTTGCTTTTTACAAGCTGCACATTTGACCCCATTAAAATATGGAGTACTGGTTAACTACTTTCGGTCACCGAAAAGTGTTATTCAAATAACCTGCCAAGAATGCACGTTGTCGTTCAGCGATCATTTAGAAAGTATGGACAGGTAAGTTTTCCAGAGTGTAACTATTTTTCTGCTTTAAAACTCTAGTTAGGCATCTAGCAGAAGTCTTATCCTATACACGGCCATGTATGGGACAAGCTAGTGTAGATCGCTCACTCCTTGTCGATGACCAGCATGGGATGGCCTAGGAAAAAGGAACACTTTAACAAGTTAGTAATCATACACGGGTGGAGTAGGTAAGCTCCGAGCTCCGAGCTCCGAACAACCGACACCTCTAGTCCTGCTTATCATGACAGACCGAGAGGCATCTTCTTGCAATGGCAACCCCTCGGCGTAACGGTCAGCTATCATCGTGCGAACCGTGTCGCACATCAAAGCTGCGATGTGACCACACAAGTCCCGTCTGTGGACGCTGTTCGCGCCGTGGTCTTCACAACCGTTGTATTTACCATCCAGCACCGTTGACTAACCAAGTCACCGCCATACATCCAAAGAAGAAGAAGCGCTGTGTAGCTCATGGAACGGATACCTTGAATATATCAAGTTCGCCAACGAATGAAAAAGATGGCTGGACTCAAAAAAGTTCTCTGTCTCTGCTCCAGGGTTTCTAGGCCAAACTAGCTATTCTGATGTGTTCACAGACACCCGAAGCGGCCTGCCTGCTGAAGCTCTCTCACTTGGAGGCCATGATACGGTTCCCGTCGATACGAAACGAGTCCACCTCGGTGCTCAAGTATTGGCGCTTCTAGAGAATCTTCCGTTCTACAGAGATCTGGTCACTGCGAGATTTAAGATATGGAAGGGATGGACTATCGGCTGGCCAATTACGAATATGGTCTTTACTGTAGTCGAGGAAATGTGGAATGATCCGGACTATGACGGCATGGACCTCTGTCAACAAACTCTTCTGATGTCCAAGAAACTCTTTGAAACTCACGCCCGGCCTTTGGAGGTACGGCCTTCTATGAGTTGGGAAGACTTCAAGTCCGCATCATTTGGTAGATGGGAAGTCATTGGCCTTCTGTTCATTTTGACAGGTATTACCACAGACTGGATCTCTCACGATGACCCCATATTTACACGCCAGGGTGCAATGGATGCGAAAAGGCTTGCTATTACAGCCACCGCAGTTGGTGACACATGCCTTCAGTTTTGCGATAGCAGTGGCATAATCAACGACATTGTAAGCTGGCTTCTGTTGCATCAGACTTCGCTCCTTGCGATAGTTTATGGTGAAAGTGGTATGTAACCCCGATCCCTTTTGCGAGAAGAAGGCTTAACGGATTTGCAGACTTCCGACCATGGAGAAAGCTGGGAGAACTGTCGACGACAGTATTCGCCCTAGGTCTTCATCAAGACTCGAGTGCAAATACTCCGTTTTTCCTTGCTGAGATGCGTAAAAGAACGATGGTCGCAGCCTATACAGTCGATAAGGTGCTTGCCACCTTCCTTGGTCGACCACCACTCATCAGTTGGCGCTATTGTGACATACAAATGCCTCTGGACTTGAGCGTTGAGGAAATATTCGCTGATCCGCCCTTTCGCGATGCTGCAATTAGAAAATTGGATAAACATACTGGATGGAACCAAGAAGCGAGTTTGATGAAAGGCGCTTGGCCTCGAGTCGCTTTTGTTACGAGTGTTCTTCGTGAAAAGGTCTTGGAGCTATCACTGAGCTGTCGCACAAGTGATCTGAGTCATCGAGTCGAGTATGAAGTCACTTTGGTCAATAGCAGGACTTCGCTGACTTGAACAGAAATTTATCACACGAATCCCGTCAAGAACGGCAATTGTTGCCTGAATTCCTTCATTGGAACCCTGACAGCGACGGGTCCGTTATATCTAGGGTAGAGGAGGATCTTCTTTTCGAGGTACATATGGAGTTTCTCTATAATGATTTCCTGCTATATCGGACCTTGGCACAACGCACGGAAACCGAACCGGAGGCAATCATTGATATCTCGCGAGAGATACTCAGTGCGGTGATCCTGATGGTATCGAAAAAGATTCGCTCTGGACACTCCCTTAACAGCCATATAGGAAATGTAGGAGTATACCTGTCCGTCGCATGGCGAATGATACGATGACTAACATTCCAGTTTGTATTCTAGATGTGCTTGCCGGGTCTGCCTTCGGCTGGTGTTCTCTCTGTGGAGCTACTGCGTCAAACTCGACCCACGCCGCGATCAACAGCGCTTAATCTTCCCCGCTCGGAAATTATTCAAAATCTTACTCTTTTTGCGTCATACTTGGACGCCATCATTGCGCCCCACGATGGGAACTATCGTGTCGCACAGCAGGGTCAGAGGGCAATCCGACATGTCTTGAACCAAGTGCTTTCTGTGAACAGTGGCCCCTGTAGCATCTCAGTGGGCCCTGCAGCAGGTCATAAACTAACCGAGGATGACAATTTACCTCATGATATGAATACCGACGACGACTTGTTTCTCGGTTGGTTTGATGGGAGTATGCCACAAATGTCTGAATCATGGCTAGCATGGGTGAACTTTACATGAATATTGCAGTATAACCAATTATAGCATAGACAGTGAGTTCAATACGTTTTGGTTACTAGCACGAATATGAAGTACTCAACATGTAGCGCGTCACGTGTCGCGAAATGCACTCTCGGTCGTGACCGTCTCCCGGGCTTGTTCGGATGTCATCCCGAGCCTTTCCTATGTTCTTCGTTGTACTTCTTGCATCGGACTTTATTGCCATCATGAACCGCCAATCTTCCGAATCCCAAGACAGAGTGAAGCGCCGAAAAATTGCTGTCGCATGTGACGATTGTCGCGCCAGGAAAGTCCGTTGTGATGGTGTGCAACCGAGTATGTTACTGATGAGACCCGGAACGGAACCCGTACTGATTCGACCTAGTGTGTGGGCCATGCAGCAAAAGGACCGAACGCGGAGTTCATTGCGTTTATACAGGAGAGTTGGAGAAAAAAAGAGCACGACAAACGCAAGTTTGAATACCTTTCCTTATGTTTCACCAAATACAAGCTAATACTGGGTACATGTAGGTATATCTCCACTCTGGAATCCCGGATTAAACAACTTGAAAGCCCCCAAGATTCAGAGAAGACCCGGGGATCAGGCCATACACCGGTTCGCGCATTAATGGACATTTAATATACAGCTAATTGAACTATACTAGTGCGTGAATACGCCGACACCGACTTCTGGCATTGGACAGCCCAATGCATCCCAGAGTTCTGCACGAAACATTCCGAGTGAGCGTAACATATCTACTCTCATCGGTGATGGCGATGGCGTCAATGCGATGATGGGTGCAGTCGAGGAAGAGCGTGCTAGCCAAGGATTCTTCGGAAGCTCTAGCGCAGCAGGATTCATGCGTCAAATTAGGACCGCCGTCGACAAGAGGGTATTGTCTCCACATCAGGGGCCTTCGCTACCTCATACTGTTATTCCATCGAACATCGTTCCAAAACGGTCCGAGCGACCACAGTCATCTGCGGGAAATTATGTGCTACCGCCGCGGAAAATGGCAGACAGCCTGATGCAGGTGTATTGGGATTATGTTTTCCCATTATATCCGTTTCTGATCCCTGACGAGATGAAGGATGAGTATGAAAAGATCTGGAGTGGTGAGAGCCTGGAGTATGATGAAAGCATGCTGATGTGCACTCTCAACGTTATCTTTGCTCTGGCTAGTCAGCTGGCTGATTTCGTCCCACCGACAGAGCGAGAAACATCCGCAGATGTCTTTTTCTCCCGGGCGAAAGGCCTATTTCAGTTCAATTTATGGGACACTGGATCCATTGGTCTGATTCAATGCTTGCTACTTATGGCTCAATATCTGCAAAGCACCGATTCTGCGCATCAATGCTGGATTGTCACGGGGCTCGCAATCCGTAACGCGCAAAGCTTGGGACTTCATCTCCCTCAAACGATCAACCGCCTCCAAACCTTCCGAGAACGGCAATTGGCGCGCAAAATATGGCACGGGTGTATTTTGATGGATAGGTAGGTAACGCTTTACATTCGGCTGTCATGGAAGTTGCCTTGTTCCTGACTGTGACTTCCTGCAGAGTTATATCTATGACATTTGGCCGTCCTGCGATGATCTCGAAGACCTCCAGTGGTGCAGTCCCTCTCCCAGCCGCCGTGGATGAAGAATACATCCCCCCTGGATCAAATGTGGAGGTAGCCCAGCCATCTAACCTGCCTTCCATCATGGCATTCTTTGGCAAATCGTTGGAGCTTTACGAGATTATGAATGATGTTCTTCTCAGCCTTTACAAGCCCATGTCGGATGATGGTTCAGATGATATTCATGATTTCTACTTTAATAACGTTGCCAGCGAAGGGGATAGGACAATATTCGAGCTTGACCGCTCTCTGGCGCGATGGACGCGAAGCCTTCCTCCCCATTTGCGCGGAGGATCCTCATTAGTACCTGGAAACCCTATCTTCTGTCGCCAAAGCATTGTCTTACGCGCCAGGTCAGATAATATTTCCATGATTTTCTCGGTATTTTGCGTTTAATAACTAATTATGACAGGTTTTTACACGTACGGATGTTACTTTTTCGGCCAATTCTATCCAAATATTGCGCTACCCGAGATTATTCATCAACGGATCCGTTGATCTCGATGAACGACTCATTCCCCCATCGTGTTGCACTCCAATGCTCCATAATATGTGTCAAGGCTGCCCAGGAATCAATCGAGCTCATCTACAACAACGTTCCTGCGGATGGCACCGGGGGCCCGCTACCAGCCTGGTGGTACAATGTTCTCTGTTCGTACCGGTCCTTTCTTATGTTTGCTCATTTAATTCTGACTCGGATAGATGTTTATACATCTGCCACAGTCTTGATCGCGGGCCGATTATGCTCTGCGATCCTTGCTGAAGTAACAGAAGATTCTGTCACACGGTCCTGGAACTGTGCACTCGAAATCCTTCGCAAATATGAGAGCTATAGCACGTCCGCACGACGTTGCGTGGCTGCCCTTGAAATTCTCTATGAACAAGTTGTATCTGAGGGGTTGCAAATCCCCAGCCAAACGCCTCGTCCAGACTTTTTAGTCAACTCGACAACTGCATTGAATGAGATGTCCTTTGGGGAAGGCATGAATGCGGCGTTCTTGGACAGTTTTGAATTTCCCGACTTCCAGGATATGTCTTGGTTAAATAGCGTCCCGAGTAATCTTTTCTAGTGTGACTTTTTTTCAATCCCAGGAATCACAAATATACGCCCAAGTTTATCACATATTCTTTTGGGGTAGGTAGGAATATGTACATTTTTTTGTTCGTGTCGTGCCATGGTGTTGATAGAACTAGAAATTCATTGGCCAGACATAAATGGATGGCGGTGCCACTAGAACAGCGTAACGCAGCAGTTTCCTCTAGATCTTAATGCTTGTCCGCACGAGTGGCGACAAATTGAACTGCAATGACTGGAAACAAGGCACATCCACCGATAATTGCGACCATCACACCCGAAGCCCCACCCAGCCCCAGGGTGGTGAACATATCCGGGAAATAAAAGGGTCCAAGCTGGTTGAAAAACAGTTAGTAACGTCCGTGAACAATCTTGATATTGGTAGCATCTTACAAATCCATAGATTTGTCGGCACACATTGACAAAAACTCCAACCTGGCTGGCACGTTCCTTCTTGCTTTCGACGGCGAAGGTTGTGAGAATAGTGGTCTGCATCTGGTTACCAAAGCTCGCAATTGCGGCACCGATACAAGGAGTGACATTCCAAGTTGTCGCATGCTGTAATTGAAAGCCCCAGGTTAGCAGACCAGCGAATATTGTACCAAAAGCAATGTAAGAGAGCCAGAGGCGATCAGCCGGGCATGAGCTCCCTCTGTTCCTGCGAACACGGCCAAGCAACCAGTCACACATTGGCCCACTGACTTGTTCACCTAGCACACAACCAATAATGATAGCAATGAACTGAAGCCCGATTTGTTGGGCGTCGAAGTGAAACTTCTCACCGAACGCAATAGGCATTTCAACAATCAAAGCAATGTTTGCGTAGCAGAAGGTAATTGCATGAGCACATGCGGCGATAGAGATGCGCGGATATCGAGCAAGAGAAAACGGTTCGATAATGTCCTGGAGCTTTATAGAACGAGAGTTGATCTTTCTTGGAACCATCTTACTCCAAAACCCAGTTGTCTTGAGCTCGTTCTCTGGATTGTAAATTGTTTCATCGCCGAAAGCAAGGTAGAATAAAAACTGGCACAAGTTGATAATGGCAAAGATCCAAAAGATCCACTGAACCCCGATATGTTTGATGACGAATCCCATGAAAAACGGACCCGCTGGTGTACCTATTGTTGTCATTAGGGTCCACCAGCCTAACTTCTTGCCTCGATGCTCTGGTTCACAAAGTTCTGTTATGACACCACTCCCGTTTCCGATGGGAGGAGAGATCAAGAACGCTGTGATAACCCGAGTGGCCATCTGTGCACCATATGATGTGCATCGCGCCCCGCCAATATTGCAAACCATACTTCCAAAAGCTGAGAGCAGAGTCACTGGGTATCGGCCGTAGACAGCGGTGATTGGGTTCCAAATCAAAGGCGATAGGCCGAGAAGCAGGATCTACATGATTGTATCTCCTTGGTAAGCGAACGCGCCACACTTAGGTGGACCAGGACAACACATACCTGGAACGATGTCAGATAGCTGGCATCGGGGACGGTGACACCATACTTTTCCGCGAAAGTGTCATAGGCGGGTATGATCCCGGCGGCCATGAATGTTCCCATCATTGAATGAAAAGCCACCATTAGGATCTGTGCATTTTTCTTCGAATTGGACCAGTTGCGGGGGTTTTGAGGAGAGTCATTCTCCCAGATCCTTTCGTCTAGGGCCTGGTGATCTACGGAAGTTGATCCGACATTTTCCAAGTGAACTGGGCTTCTAGATCCAAGGGTCTTCATATCGTAATTTGGCCCAGTGCTTTCGGGAGCAACGCGGTCTGCAACGTCTGCTGTCATTTTGGGGTAGAGGGCGCTCTGTCGCGGCCAAGGAGATCAGAGGTTGAATAATCAACAACCCCCGCGGGTGCACTCAGTGGTTGGTTGCCGTCCTGATTGACAACTTTTCATAGATGAAAAAGCGTTGTTAGCAAGGCGGTGCAAAGGGAGGAAAGGCGGCCATCTTTAAGTCCAGCTACACCTCCCTGATACCCCATGGGGAAGTCGGCTGGGTGTGGGAACTGTACAACGGACTGACGCCCGCACTTGGATGCGTTTCACAAAAAGGTTGCTGTTCATTGGCGCAGCTGCCGACAGGGACCACTTCATCTGTACTGACACGACTCAATTCCGCGTTAATATTGCCGATGCAGAACAAAATCCCGAGGTAAGCACTTCGGACCTTGACCCGGAGGCTGTTCGGGATGAGGTCCGGAAACATCGCCAAATATTCGATATTCCCGTCCCCACGGGGGTATTAATGAAACGGTCATGTGGGATGAGGCCGGGATGTCATCTGGCAGTGAAACGCCTTTCAATGTACGTGTCGACGGAATAGCTCCATGGGATCTGCAGTACTCGAGGACATTCGGAACGTCTTTCGGAAGTGAGGTCGGCAGTTTGATCTAGTTAACTTATCTTGTAACTAACGTTAACCAACCTAACTAACTAATCACGGGATTTTGAGGCCTGGGAATCTAGGCCAGCAAGTGTCGCGATTACCTTGCGAATACTGCATGAAACCGGTCGATAGATGATCCGTCGGCATAGCTTATGTAACTAGAATGGACCCATAAATAGTGAGAAATAGGGGTAATGGAAATACAGAGTCATTTACATCTCCAATTGGGTGGATACAGGACAAATCGTGACAACAAGGTCACATGCCTTCTTCACCCCTGACTGGCTTCTCTTCTTTCCCCGAAGTCTTTATGTTCGAGCTCGGGGGAATCCTCTCCGGTCAGATCCTTAGTCTTTAACAACTAACGTTAAGGCGGGCGAGCAGCGTCCGAGAAATTTCTCCGTCAACCCCGCACCCAAGATTAGTAGAAGCTTTCTTCGCTTCCTTAGAATCGAGTTTTTGGATTCCCCAGCTATTGGCGGATTTTGATGTCCGCGTGCAAACGCAAACATGGAATTGACCTCAGGAAACCCGCTATTTCGGGCCATTGATACCCGGTATTGCTTGTTCCTTGCTTTATTATCTCGCCGCTCACCATGTTGAATTTGCTGGTTTAAACGCCGCAATTCGTAGATTCAATATGCGGACCTCGGTGGTGACCGTTCTCTCAGCGTGGGCTGCCACAGCCGCAGCACTACACGTTGCGGAAAACCAAACCTACATCACACTCGGCAATGATCGTCTTACAGCCGTTCTAAAGAAGAGCGCTGGTCAGATCGTCGATCTCTCTCTTGATGGCCAAGACTTGCTGGGTCCCCAGTCTGGATCCACAGGAATAGGCCCTTATCTGGATTGTTACTGTATTCCTTCGGGCTTTTACACTGCTGGGGCCACGACCCCGAGCATGGAAGTAGTCCAGGGCATAGACTCAACGGGCACCAAGTACGGGGGGATGATTCTGACCGACACTTACACACCCACGGGCCAGCAATTCCAACAATATTGGTTCCTGCGTGACGGCGAAACTGGGCTGCATATGTTCAGTCGACTGACATACAACAACAAAACTACCCCCTTCCTACGCAATCTACAGGAGTTCCGAACCTTGTTCCGCCCCAATTCTGATCTCTGGACCCATCTTACATCCAGCGATGTTCAAACTGCACCTCTGCCAAGCAAAGACGCCATTGCAAAGCAAATCGTTGTTCAAGATGCGACATGGACATTCAACAACACACCGAGCGATCCTTACGTCACTCAATTTTCTGACTATTTTACCAAATACACGTTCTCAAATCGTATGGCTGCTTCTTTCTGCTCACTCTTATCATATGTTAACCAGGGTCGATTTTTAGAATGGAGGAACAACAGTGTTCATGGTCTCTATGCCGATGGAAGCACGTCAGACGGTGCAACGTATGGAGCCTGGCTGGTGATGAATACCAAAGTGAGTCCCGCCCCGCTCAACCCAAGTTTTAATACAAGTTTTCTGACGATTTCTTTTCAGGATACCTACTACGGCGTAAGTCATAACTCTGGCCGTGAAAAAGAGATACTAATTTGTCTTAGGGCCCACTTCACTCCGACCTAACAGTCGATGGGATAGTCTACAATTATATCGTGTCAAACCATCACGGCGAGGGCACACCTAACATCACAGATGGATTTGATCGAACATTTGGACCTCAGTTTTATCTGTTCAATGGTGGCAGGGGGTCGGCATCGCTTGAAGAGTTGCGATCAGAGGCAGAACAACTGGCAAATCCTCACTGGAATGCTGCATTTTATGACTCCATTGCTAAGCACGTCATTGGGTATGCTCCTTCTAGCCAGCGTGGGAGTGTCAAAGGAACCGTCACGCTTCCTCAGGGCGCCGTTCGCCCGATCGCGATTCTCACGGTCGATGGACAATATTTCCAAGACAACAGCGTGGTCCCGAGCTCCTATCAATACTGGACAGACGTGAACGCGGATGGCACCTTCAGCATTGATCGCGTTAAGGAAGGGAAATATCGACTCACTGTCTACGCAGAGGGTATCTTTGGTGATTTCGTTCTGGACGGAATCACTGTACGTGCAAGCAAGCAGACGGCAGTGCACAAGGAATGGAAGCAGGAGTCGGCGGGGACAGAGATTTGGCGAATCGGTACTCCAGACAAGTCATCTGGGGAGTTCCGACGTGGCAATGCCAGAGATCCAACTCATCCGCTCCATCCACCTGAATATCTCATTTACTGGGGTTCTTATGACTGGCGTGCTGACTTCCCGAATGGTGTCAACTACACGATCGGCACTAGTGATCCGGCCACTGACTTGAGCACTGTCCACTGGTCAGTCTTCGGGCCGACGGCGAGTGACTCTCACGTTGAGTACGACACAACCAATGACTGGAATATTCATTTTGCACTCACCTCGAAGCAATTGCGAAATGTGAATACTGCAACATTGACGCTTCAACTAGCGGGTGCAAAGACTGCATCGGGTAACACCGATGTGTACAACCATGCTGAGCAATACAACAATCTATCGCTCGAAAGCTATTTCAATGACCAGTCAAACCCCCTCACATTCGTCATTGGGTTCAACCAATCAAGCAGCTGTATAGTGCGGTCCGCGGTGAGCTGCTATCAGGTTGGATCAAAAATGGAATTTCCTGCAGATTGGCTTCGTGTCGGAGACAATGTTCTGCGGCTTCACCTGCCCTTTAATGCGACAGACAAGGAGACTGCAATTCTTCCGGCCACTGTCTATGTGCAATACGATGCAATTCGGTTAGAAGTAAAGTGATTGAGATCTGGCGTGACTTATGCTACGCTTCTTAGACTAGCAGAAATTTGATTGCTTTTGCAATTTTGCATGCCGCAAGCTACGATAGGTGAATTTTATTCCGGTGACAGTTTCCCGGTTCAGGGGAAAATAGCAGATGTCCCAGGTCAGTGGGATTCCGTTCTGCGGCCATCATGGGTTCCAAGGTCCGATAGCACGCGACCCTGTCAAAAGCTCAGGTTCTCCATCTCCTTGGACTAGGAACACATCCTCATGTCTAACACCAAACTTGTCGACCAGATAGATACCTGGCTCGGAAGTGAAGGTCATGCCGGTTTTGAGCAGGCTGTCCAGGTTGCCTTGGTTCAGATATGGGCTTTCATGGGCTGTATACATACTTGGCTTAGCTTTGGTACTCGAAAAACAGTGACCATCTACTGACCTTTGATTCCGATTCCATGTCCCACGCGATGTGTGAAAGTTTCACCGTAGCCTGCATCAGTGATGACCTCACGAGCAGCGATATCCACACTCGATGCTGTCGAGTTTTCCCGCATCTGGTGAATAGATTGTGTTTGGGCTTTGAAGACAATATCCCAGACCTACAAAGCGTCAATGAGAATTGGTTAGTTCGGGCGTAATGTAACGTACTTTGAGCTTTTCTAACATCCGAGGCGACAACGTGTCTCCCTTTGATGGCTTTTCGAGAAATGGTGGGAAGAAGGTGCGGCAAATATCCGACGAGTAGCCATATAAATGAGCCCTTTGGCGTTGTCAGCTCTCCCAGTCGGAATCGTGGGGCTGTTCAGGAAGTACAAACCCAACATCGATTAATACAAATGTCTCAGACTCTAGAACTTTGGTTCCATTTGTTCCTCCATGGGGGTTCGAGGCATTCTCGTCTAGCGTTGGTCAGCATCAAGTTGTGAGGCAAACTTTGCTAGATGGATCAGACCAAAGAGCACAATATCGAAGAAGGGTTCCAACCCTGCGGCCCGCAAAGCATTATCAAGGGCGACGGCAATTTCAGTCTCGGTGAGACCAGGATAGAGGCCTTTCGAGACGGGTTAGCATTGGTTTGAAAGAGGGCGTTGCAGCATGTTACATTTCCTGATCTGCCGCACCGCCTCCACGGTGCCTGTGTTGACTGCGCGCAGGATGTCGACTTCCTTGTCGCTCTTGATCTGTCTCACTTCCTCGACTTTACCTTTGAGGCCAACCACATCGAAGCCGACAGTAGCGAGCCCGCGTTGTATAAAGTCCCGCATCTCTTCGTCAACCATCAACCGTGGGGGTCGTTGAAGACCAGAGAACACGTTGGCTTGCTGAAGGGTTCTATACGGGTTCCAATGTTCTTCCCACGGAACTATTTGAATAGAATCACTGAAAGGCATTCCAAGGAGGCGAGCTCGTTCTGCTTCAAATGATGGACAGAGGAAGGTGGTGTTGGCCCTGACGGTGCCTGTCTCATCCTCTTGGGGACGAACCACCATCAAAAATGGGCGTTCTTCGGGCTGTAGATATATCAGTGCCTGCATTCGGATAGATACGGGGTGTGTATTACCTCCCAAACCTCCCATTCCGGCTGGCTCACGTTGCCATAGTATTTGAACGTATAGCCCGGTTCCACGACAAAAGCGTCGGCATCTTCGGCCACCAGAGCATTGGCCAGGCGGTCCCGACGCTCCTCGAAATCTGCGAGCGTAATAGGAGAAGCATTCATAAAAGGAAGACCAGTCCCAAGCAAGTTATCAATTGCGCATTGTTGAAGGTTGGGTGAGCTCGTTAGCGACCGTGGGATTTGATGACGTCCATAACAATAACCCGTCACCAATAAGCCCAGGGCGGCGACCACATAGACACTCGAAAATCCACGCTTTGGCTGCTGCCATGCTAGTTTAGACATGGTGATGGTGAAGAGGGAAATGATCCAATCCTATTCCTTGGACTTTTATCTTCGACTTTATCTTCGACTTTATCTTCGACTGTATTTTCCGAGTTCCCCTCTCTCTCGCGTGGGCCTTCCTTCATTCCCTCCTTGCCGCTCTTTAGCGTCAACTACATCGTTAGCTTCGTTCAAACCCCGCAGATTGGTGCGATCAAACTGTGAAGGGATTGGCACTGCACTATCTCCTATATAATGGCCGATCCCTACCCGTTCCCCTGTTTTGACAGAAACGGGGGCAATACTACTCGAGCCTACGGAGACGTCAATCACCATGTCAGAGATGGAAGAGAAAAAAGAGCCCCAGGGCATTGTATCTGCCAATCCAGAAGCCCCTGATGTGGCCAACGGTGATCGGGGTTACTCCCGTGTTTCCATGGTGTTCATGGTGATTTTCAGTGGTTTGGCTATTGGTTCGGATGGCTTTAACGCCTCGATCATCGGCAACTTGGAATTGCTCATGGGGGTCATATACCCCGAGTCTCTAACCACTGCAGTTGCCGCTCGACTGTCTAATGCGTTCATGGTTGGCATGATTATTGGTATGCTTTCGTTTGGATACATCTCGGATAAGTTAGGTCGGAAAACAGGCGCAGTCCTTACCACTGTCATTTTGGTCTTGGGAATTGCCCTCAGCGCAGGCGCCAGTGGTGTCAATGAGAATGGCATGTTTTGGATGCTGATCATTGCTCGCGGGATTGCTGGGGTTGGTGCGGGAGGGTCAGTCATCAGTTCGGGATACTTAGAGATCTATACTTACGCGTTATAGGGAGTATCCTGTGGCCGGTGCTGGTGCAGCAGAGGCGACCGATGAAGCTCCAGGTATCCGCAAGCGAAGAGGTTTCATCTTTGCCATGATCGGCGACTTGTCCGCTTCTCTGGGGTTTGCCTTTGGTGCACTTGTCCCTTTGATTCTTTTGCTGTGTTTCCACCAACAGGTGCGACATTACGAGACGGTTTGGCGTATCTCTCTAGCCATGGGCGCCATTCCTCCGCTGTCGATCTTTTGGTTTAGATATCGGATGGTCATGAGCTCGGCGTATCGAAAGAGCTCTATGAAGAAGCAGCGAATTCCGTACTGGTTGGTATTGAAGAAATACTGGCGATCCCTACTCGGAGTCTGCGGTTCATGGTTCATGTAAGTTCTCCGGGAGAATGATTTGGAATTTTATCTAATTCCTTGTCAGATACAACTACATCTCGTATCCCTTTGGTCTTTTCTCATCCACCATCGTCGGACGGGTTAATCCAACATCTTCATTAGCCCTCACCATGGCATGGGGAACAGTGATCAATTGTTTTTATATTCCAGGTGCATTTATTGGAGGTCTTTTGTCAGACAAAATTGGTCGTCGCCGCACCATGGCATTAGGTTTCGGACTCCAGGCCATCCTAGGATTTATCCTGGGGGGTGCTCTAGGTCCGATCCAAACCAAGCTGCCGCTGTTCATTGTTCTTTATGGCATCTTTTTGACCCTCGGAGAGGTTGGCCCTGGTGCCACAATTGTTCTCACTGCAAGTGAAAGCTTCCCAACTGCAGTTCGCGGACATGGGGTGGGTCTTGCTGCCGCCTGGAGCAAGGCCGGCGCAGCAATTGGAACGCAAGTATTCAAGCCAATCCTGGCTAGTTGGGGTGATGATACTACCCATGGTACTCAAGCTGTATTTTTAATCGGCTCCGGCTTTGCGGTCCTTGGGGCGTGTTTGGCATGGTTCGTCCTGCAGGATAGCGATACCATTTTGGATCACGGTGATCAAGAATGGAAGGACTACTTGGTCGCTCACGGATATAATCATATTGAGTGGGGTGTTGAGGAGCAGCCGACAACTACAGACGTGAAGGTAGTGGATTAGTTTGGTTGATAGCAACGCTGATTTCTAGAAGGGTCAAGAATTCCAACAAGGCTTGACGGAAGGAAATGAGAGCAAGGACCTTCTATTAATAGTAGGAATAAATACAGTAAAGGAATTCCAAAGTCCGGCGACAAATGGAAGACAAACGAATGGCTCGATCCACCTTCGACCACAGTCTCACAAGTTGGATACTGGTCTAATGAGATCGCAAAACAAAGGCCCTTGCAAGGGCTTGTGAGTGTACATATTTGTACTCGTGTCTGCTATCAGCCCTCCCCGCAGAAACCACCAGAATTGACAAGGATGGTGGCTCTTGTTGATATTTCCATGACGGAAAAGGGCTCCGTTTGACAACAGAGAATTTACAGAAGGCTGCCGAAGCTGACACAGGGGGCAGCAACGCCAACGAGGTTGTGGTGCTACTGCAGTTAGTATGTCTGTTTTCCGTCTCTACTGGAGGTAACACTTACAGCCTCGGAGCTGGTATCCTGGCAACAAGCAATGTTCTGCTGGCAGTTCTTCTTGAGGAAGTCGGTCAGACCGGCAGCACCAAGAACTATGCCCATGTTAGCTTCAATCTCTAACTCGTCTTTCAATGTCACTTACCAGACACGGGGATATCAAGCTGAGTGCAGCCTTGGCCGATGCCGAGGCCGTCGCTGCCAATGGCACCGAGAACGTTGGACAAGACTCCGATGTTGTTCTGGCTAACACCCTCGTTCTTGTTGATCTTGTTGCAGCAAGACATCTGGGCATCGTTTCCACACTTGTTGACGGCGTCCTTCACCTTGTTGTCAGAAACGTTGCTGTTGGCGGATGGCAGAGCCATGGCAGTGGCAGCGAGGAGAACAGCGGGGATGAAGAACTTCATTTTGAAAGGTTTGTTTGTTAACGCGAAGAGCGATTGGAAATTAATGAAACGAGATGAGCTTAAAGGCTTTGAAGTAGAAGAGCGAAGTGATGGTGGATGAAAGACAATTTGAGCCGGGAATCTCTGTCCTTTATAACTTTTCTGGTGGTCAGGTCTCGCTCTCGCTCTCCCCTATCGCTTGTTTTTGTCCCTGTACCATCCTACCTCTGGGTCCTCCCGCGGAAATTCAAACAGACATCCCGGCTTCACTGCAATGCATGGGAGTGGATAACTCCAAGTTACACGGTCACTGGTCATCGTAGAGTATTGCTTCTTGGCAGGGGTCAAATAGCTGAAGCTGCATGAACGTAAAGGTTTCCCCTGCCGATCGACGGTCCCTACTATGCGTCGGCTGCATGTTCCCCAGATGCGAGTGAAAATGCAAGGTACACCGGTTAAAACTACTGGAGGTTGGCGCTTACAGATTGGGGTCTTCAACCGTTGATCCTGCACTAGTTGCCTTTTTTGCTTTTTATATGTGAGACGTCAAGCTTCCCCAAGTTGATGGACATTTATGACCCATCATAACGCTCATCACTTCTCCATTATCCGGGGTTTGCCTTGCACAAGAACCGACTGCCTAATTTCTTGGCTCGTTATATTCCTTGAATAGCGTTAATCTTCAATGACTGGATATACTTTACTGTACGGAGCTAAGGCACTTGCTGGAATTGTTGGGCTTGTCACATTACGATTTCAATAGTCACTCATATGTGGCGGTGGCTGCAAGCCCCTCCTGCGTCGTGCATAAGCACCCCTGTAAGCCACCAATATCCCCAGGCCTCAGCTGCATCATCAGGCTCGAATGAGAACGCATCTCCTGCGAAGATCGATCCTACGGACAAACTTTTGGTGGGAAACAAGTTTGGAATCGCGTAGGACAAAAGCACCTGACAAATGTTCTATTCCGTATATGCTGAAGTTACAAAACAGATCATGTTCTATGTATACAAGTCATGAAAATATGCGTGGTCGTTGAATACCCATCAGAAATCGCCCATGAGACCCCTTGCCTACCATGTAAATGACTCCTCCACAAATTTAATGGATCGATAGCCTCGTCGCATTGCGAGATGTGTCGCAGCGCGAGCTTCATCCGCCATTCCTGGTGGGCCACATACGAGGATCGCGAGGCTGGAGCCAGCTGAGCATGCATCAGCAGCCCGGCTCATAACCAGAGATTGCAGGTGAGGTCGCCCTGGTTGAATGTTAATTCCAGGTTCGTTCAAATTTTCGGTGCAAGCCGTAGAATCACGAGTCGTGTAAAACGAGGCACTAAAATCGTCACGGTCAAAGGCAGATTTCAATTCTCGACGAGAAACATCTCGAATGAACGCCGTTTGTCTCGCGGTCCAAACAAGTTCAATGTCTCGAACTCGGGTTTTCTCGTTCTGGGAATCCCGTTCCCAGTCCTGAACCGAGCGGCGGAGATGATCCTGAATGTAAGGAACAGCCGAGGCAATGCCCGTTCCACCGACGATCATCAACACTGATTCATATCTCCAGATAGGGAATGTGTCACCATAAGGTCCTTCAAGGAGAATACCGGCTTCTATCTTCGTAGATGGGGACCTTAGGCATTGCTGGCGCAAATTTCGAGTCCAGCCGTCGTAAGGACGAACCCAGAATATCAACTTGAGCATCTGCTGTTCTTTTTCCGCGGGAGATGCATCCCGCAGGATAGTAAGAGAATCTTGATCAGAGGATGAACCTGAAAGAAGCGGCAGATGCGATACATCGGGCGGTTTTCCTAGTTGACCCAATGATGTCGGTGCAAGCGAGGACTGGTCTCCTGTTTCATAAGACCATGCTCCGATAGTAAAAGGGTGGCTTTCCCAACCAGTGAGCCTGAATGGCTGGTACAAGAAGTAATACTGTCCTGGTGAAGGGTGTAGCGAAGACGTTCCAGGAATGACCTCCATACGCACCACATCAGCTCCTTCGTCATATGTCATGCGTGTCGCAGTGGTCTTGACCAGACTTTTATGTGAAAGGCTCACATGTATGTTACAGTAACACAACCGCACGATTCGCAACAAGCGATCAATCACCCATATAATTACCGAAGGCCATAGGTATTTCCAGTATTCATTCCCTTCAAAAATCACCGTATGACTAACGGTTGTTAGGAGGGGAACATTGCACATTGACAAATGAAGTGAAGGCACTTACTAAAAGCATCCCACGAGTGTAATTATCGAGAGCACGATATGAGCAATCAAAAATGATTCATACGTTGCGATACGGATCCGATCCAATGAGGTGATCAGCAGAATGATCATGACAATGGTGCCCTTATCTGACGTTAGCTCCCATGAACTGTGTCTCAAAACAGGAGAATGTTCCCTACCAAAACACCCCACAACACGTAGGTCTTGGTGATTCCCCTCCAGGCTTTTCCCGCTGTCATTAGAAAGAATGGTAAGCATTATAGCACACAATTGCAGCACGTCTATACTCACTTTGAAAGAACATGACTATATAGAGAACAGAGTGCACTATTGCCTGTAAGGTAGCCACTCGAGCCACATGGCGATGAAAGATATTGAAGGATGCGAAGCTCCACCCAGTGGCCCATAAGAAGATGTTATTTCGACCAGCGAAGAGCCACAAAAGGGGAAAGTTTGCAAACGACATTATTCCTGTACGGTCCGCAGAATACCGCAAAATCTGGCTTGGGATATCTGGATAACTTTTGGCCCGTCAGCACTTTCACTTCTTGCATCGTGGACCTTGAAACTTACTAAATATTTCCAGCAAACGTGTGGTAACCCACTATGCTGAAAATAATACTGAGAACCCAGAATCCCAATACTACAAGTGCTTCGGCTCTGGTCGAGAATGTGCAACCTAACAGGTGTCGACCACGTGTCGCTAGCGGCGCCGGAATCATGATATGAGTGTGGAGCCAATGAAGCACTGTTCCCAATAGTGGCGTATTTCCCAGTGTCCTCAGGAACGGGTATACGTTGGCTTCGATCGCACGTTCTGTCTGACGTTGTCGCCGGTGAAATTTCCAATCACATAACCGAAATGCCATTCCGAGAGAGAGTATACCGCCCCAGTACGCGTATCCGGCATAACTGACGGATCAGCGTCCACTTCATGACTGTCATCTTGGACAGACTCACCTAAAGGCATGATGTAACCAAGTCACAGATTCCCAGGAGCTCTAACAGATAGTCAGCTCTAAAGCGCCAAGTACTGAGGGTCTGTCTCACGATGGTGTTGAACATCAAGTCAAAGTAGGATTGAGAGATAACAACGGGCGCGTCCATGGGCTGAGCTCTAGATAGCTCTTGATAATCCACTTTCCTCATATTTCGAATGGCATCATCGGTCAAATTCTCGGCGACTGCATCTCTTGGCAGAAGATCCTGGTGGCCAAATTCCTGACACTCAACAGCCAGCAGAGCCAGGCCTGTCGCACGTTCTATTTCATCACAATAAATTTCCGTGGCGGCGTAAATGGATGTAACTTCAAGGGGATTTCGACATCGAGTATCCCACATGCCCTTTGTGGGAAATCCGGCAAAGCTGATGTAGTTATACGCCGAGAAGACTGCCGTCACACATCGCTCATCTTGGTTAGCCCAGACAAACTGGGCGAGTGTAAGGACCAGCCATCCGAGCAACATGGTGAGTCCCCAGATCTCCGGTCTGGGGGAAGTGAGAAAACGGTTGAGGAGAGAAGGCGGAGCACCGGCAGGGATCCGATAATCGCTACCGATCATGTGGGCCCATGTGGGCCAGCAAATTCTCTGAATGGGCCTTGTTGACAGACGAATATTGCTAATAAAGGGGATATGAAAGCAGAGAACTAGAAAAGAAAATGAGATCTTCTATATATGTTTCCTGGAGGCCTGGTTTTTACTCAAAAAAGATGAAGAATGCAAGTGTTTCCATCTTATCAGATCGGATTGATTAGATAAGTTCACCTGATGGGCTAGCGTGGTCAAGTCACGGGAATGGGATATACTCCGTGCGTGTACATTACATGTATTTGGGAGTGAAATAGAGATCAGCCGAATGTATGTCGGGTGACTATTATTCTTTCCAATCACTGGAGAGTTGAAAGAACTGGCAATTATTGTGGCGTATTAGAAGAGTTATAATTAGATATACTGCAGACATATATATCTATTGAGCTTAAGCAAGAATGTCAAAATATCTATTACTTTTGTTATTAAAGAATCTAGCTCTGAGCATGTCTAGTATACATATCAGTAGCATTAATGTTTCTAACGCCCTATCACGCAGAGATTAGCTTTGGGGACAGAAGTTCAACGGACACCTGATTGTCACGTGACAAAACTGACACCTAAGGCGTCAAGTCGGAGTCAAATCCCGAATATTGTCTGGCTAATTGGAGATATCAAAGACTCTGTATTTCATTACCCCTATTTCTCGCTATTAGGGCAATTTCTAATTACATAAGGGGTCCTCGGATATAATATATACCCGTAGCATTCGGAACATCTATAGACCGGGGTTCATGCAGTATTCGTAAGGTAATGCCGACATTCGGGCCCCCTTGCTTCCAGCCGAGAAGTGTCCTTCTGTCCTGACCCTACAGAACTACAGAAGTCAAGCCGCGATGCCCTGGCCTCAGCTCTGCTGTATAATCCATTGACATATCTGCGACGACGAGTCTTGATGTCTTCCTTTCACAAAGACGGCTTTGACCGGATTGGCCTGTTTGCTCCTTGACCCACTTTGCACATCAAGCGCATAGAACAACAGCCCACGATAGCTATGACGAAGAGCTCTACAGGACAACTGTCAAACTCCGCATTCAATACCCGAGGTTGTTCAGCTTCCCCATCCTAAACTCCACTCCGCGGCGCAATCCGATCCATGTACCAATTTACTCGGATAAACAAGTGTGTTTGATGCTGATCGGCCTCTGCTCGGGTCATTCCCCTCCGATCCCTGCTGTCTGTGCAGGTTGACTCGTTATGAGACCTTCATTGTCAACGCCAATTACCCGTCAATATGGCAGTTGTATGTGTCGATCCCCCATGGAATGTGACGTGTTTTCGAGGTACAGCATGCACGTTCAGCCTAAATACCACATAAGTAATGGATGGATTAAAAAGCCTAGGGAAGTCATAGTGCTGAAAATTGGACTTGCACACCGATCCCTACATTGATACTTTGTGGGTGAAAATGCGGCTATCTCTGATTGCACTCGGTGCCATGTGGGCTTCCAGCTCAGTGGCCTCACCAGGGCAGTCATCCAACTACCATAAACCGACTTCCAAGGGATTTCGCATGCAGCATGGCTTCGAGACTGTCCTGGTGCAGCCCTTTGGGTATGATGGGTTCCGAGTGCGGGCTTGGCCATTCCGGCAGCCAACGGGCCAAGAGGTCGGGTTTGTCTATGACCCTCCCCTCGAAGGACCAGAGGAGGGAGAGGCACACGGAATGGCCTTCGACACGGCATTCAACGGCAACCGATCGGAGGAGCTGCGCAATGGCAACATGGTTGTTCGCACCTCTGGGTGGGGCGGTAACCCGGGAGGCTACCGACTTGCCTTCTATCGAGTCGAGGCCGATGGCTCGGAAACTCTCCTTACCAATGAGTATGCGCCACTCAAATCACTCAATCCGCGGTACTATTCCTGGACCGGTCCAGGAAGTGAGTTTGCTGCCGAGTTCTCCTTCAGCACGACGCCGGATGAGCAGATTTACGGCACAGGCACCCAGCAGGATCATCTTGTCAACAAGAAAGGGCTGACAATCGACCTGATCAACTACAACACCCACATTCCCACACCGGTGTTCATGAGCAATAAAGGATACGGATTCATTTGGAATATGGCCTCCACCGGTCGTATGGAATTTGGTCCCTTGCGCAACAGATTTACTGCAGATGCCGCATCGGTTGTCGACTATGTGATTGTCGCATCTGATCCCAGTGACTACGACACACTCCAGCAACGTCTGTCTGCACTCACCGGCCGAGCACCCACTCCGCCCGACTGGTCGCTCGGTTATCTCCAATCCAAGCTTCGATATGAAAACCAAAGCGAAGTGGTCTTGCTAGCTCAACAGTTTCATGACCACCAGATCCCGGTGTCTATGATTGTCATCGACTACCAATCCTGGGCCCATCAAGGAGACTGGGGTCTTGACCCAAACCTCTGGCCCGATGTAGCCGAGATGGCACGACAAGTAAAAGAGCTGACCAATGCCGAAATGATGGCCTCTCTTTGGCCCAGTGTGGCAGACGACAGCGTGAACTATCTAGAAATGATGGCGCAAGGGTTTTTGTCGGCGACTCGGTCCGGTCCTGGTACGACGGATTCCTGGAATGGGTCCTACATTCGCAACTATGACTCTACCAACCCTGGCGCACGCCGATTCTTGTGGAACACCTTGAAAAAGAACTATTTTGACAAGGGTATCAAGAACTTTTGGATTGATCAGGCGGATGGTGGCTCACTTGGTGAGGCATACGAAAACAATGGCCAGAGTGACTATATCCAGTCTCTTCCCTTCCCGATGCCGGATGTTTTGTATGCGGCCGGTACACAGAGCAGTGTGGGAAAGCTCTACCCTTGGGCCCACCAGCAGGCAATCGAGGAGGGATTCCGAAACTCGACCAAGACGGACATCGGGTCACCATGTGACTATCTGTCCTTGAGTCGATCTGGATACATTGGGTCTCAGCGATTCTGCAGTATGATTTGGTCTGGTGACACGACAGCCGTGTGGGAGACTCTGGGCGCACAGGTTGCCAGCGGATTGTCTGCTGCAGCGACCGGTTGGGGTTGGTGGACACTGGACGCAGGTGGTTTCCAGGAAGATCCGACAGTCCCTTGGTCCGCAAAGTATGTATTTCTTCTTTCTCGCCGTTGGCTGTTGCTGAGTTTTCTAGCATCGACACCCCAGAATATAGGGAGCTATACATCCGATGGCTGCAGTGGACTACCTTCCTTCCTTTTATGAGAACGCACGGCTCACGACAGTGCGAATTCCAGGACGCATACACCTGTGCAAACGAACCATGGTCATACGGTGCTGAGAACACTCCTATTATTGTCTCATATATCCACCTCCGATACCAGCTGTCCGCCTACCTCCGCGCCATCTTTGCCCAACTCCACCAGACCGGTCGGATGATTATGCGCCCATTGTATATGGACTTTGAGAAATCAGATAGCCATGTTGCTGGGTGGACACAGACAAACGCCAATGTCACCACACAGCAGTACATGTTTGGCCCACGACTGCTGGTGAGTCCCATCACGACACCAAATGTGACAGAATGGTCGGTATACCTGCCACAAACGGCGGACAATGCGTCGAAACCATGGACTTATTGGTGGTCCAATGAAACCTATGCTGGTGGCCAGACAGTCACGGTCCCAGCACCTAAGGAGCATATCCCACTGTTCCATTTGGGCACCCGAGCAGATATTCTCGACGGACGCGTCTTTGCGTAGAATTGAGATAATAGGCGCATAGCCCAAGTTTGAGATCACATCAATCAGACATCTCGTAACTAAATAGCAATCGCGTTGAGTATGGAGGTCAATATCAATCAATATTCTTCCAAGATCTCAACGATATCTACAGATGTCGCCCATGTACCGTTTCCGAAGATACTTTATCCCATCAAAATGGCCGAGTTCAGACCTTCTTTAAGTCCATTCCTTTCTTTGGCTGTTTTTGAACAGGTTTGATTTTTAATGCTAGGGTGACCCTTAAGCACAGTGTCTAACTACACGTAGACTTCCTGTGGTTAGCGAAGGCACCTGAGAAGTATAGAACTATAATTGAAGTAGATATGAATAGCGAACTATATAGCGTAAATGTCTCGAAGGACCGAATTCGTAGAGGCGTGCGAAATGTAGACAGCGAAGGCGGAACGAATTTATTAGGCAGAATGGAGGACGATCGCCTATGATGTCAGGCATTTCTCGTGTAGCATCCATTCTCTTTGCAACATCATGGGAGGAGGTGAGCATATTCCAGCTATGACTGAGGTATCCGATCCTGGGCAGAATGTATATCGTCATGCCGTGGTCGATCTGGGCAGGTAGGCATTTGAGACCACTCCTTGCCCCTCCATTGACCACCCACTAACTCTGGCAGCAATGGCATCCGTTGCTCGATTTCAGACCTTTCACCTCCCAGTACCCGGGTCATTCCTACTGTACACTTCCATCGAGTAAATATCTCCCTTTATGAAGCTCAAATCGACCCCGAGTCAGGCTCCAGAATTCCCATCCCACAGCATGTCATCGACCGAATTGTCAGCGCTATAGTTCGCTTCCAGATTGTCTGTGTGGAACTTGGCGTTCCCACTCAAAACATCCGAATCATTGCAACAGAAGCGACTCGCACCGCCATCAATGCCTCTGTGTTTATTGATGCGATCCGCCATAAGACTGGGATTTCGGTGGAAGCATTACGCAAGGAAGAGGAAGGAGTCATTGGAGCTTGGGGAATCTCCAGTAGCTTCTCCGATGTGGAGGGCCTGGCGCTAGATTTAGGAGGTGGCAGCATGCAGATGACCTGGATCGCTTCGCATGCAGGCAACGTCCAAATGAGCCCACAGGGATCGGTCAGCTTTCCATATGGAGCAGCCGCATTGACCCAGAAACTGGCCGATCTGAAACGGGGCAAAAGCAAAGAGGAGGCTCACAAGGCCCGGGAGCAGTTCCGCCGTGAAATGGCAGACAACTTTCGCGCTGCCTTTGAGACCATTGAGGTTCCCGAGCACCTCGTGAAAAAGGCACGCGAACAAGGGGGATTTCCCCTTTATCTGTCAGGTGGAGGGTTCCGGGGATGGGGCTATCTCCTGCTGTATCTGCACCAGACCAAGGGCCGAAATTATCCGATTTCGATCATCAATGGCTATTCCGCGCCCAAGAAAGACTTCGAGGACACCGAAGCTCTCAAGGAAGTAGCTCGCACGGCACATGATATCTTCCGGGTTTCTGATCGGAGACGGAAACAAGTCCCGTCTGTTGCCTTTTTAGTGAACACACTGGCCGAGTCCCTGCCGTATGGAATCAAGGAAGCTCATTTCTGCCAGGGCGGAGTGCGGGAAGGTGTGCTCTTCCGTGAGATGCTCCCAGTCGTGCGCCAACAGGATCCCCTAGAGGTTGCCACTGCCCGTTATGCCCCGTCTTCGGCTCAGGCTCTCGCGGCTTTGTTGTTGGCCGCCCTTCCTCGACCGTCCGACACCCGATCGTTCCCTTCTTCCATCAGTCTCCACCTCATACAGGCCTTCGCCAATGCCCTCTACGTTCACGCCACCATGTCTAAAGAATTGTCCTCTAGTGCCGCGCTTTACAGCACTAGTACGGGGTTCCTGGCTTCTACCCATGGCATTCCACATGCACACCGTGCCCTCTTGGCATTAATGCTCCAGGAGCGATATGGTGGAGAACTACCACCCCGAGACGTTGATCTAAAGACCCATCTCCAGGGGATTTTGACCCCCGAAGAAGTCTGGTGGACCCGCTATCTCGGGAAACTTGGCCTGGTCTTGAGTCAGCTGTACCCAACCGGGTCTATCGACACCTCCAAGCCGCGGATCGTCCCCTCGGCACAATGGGTCACCGGTTTAGGAAAGAAGGGGAAGAAAGATGGCCTAGACTTGACGATTTCAATTCAAAAAGTCGCGTACGATCCGACTCACCTCAAACAGGAGCTTGAGCATGACGTGCAGAGAATCGAAAAGGTTGGGAAGCGAAAGAACTGGATTGGTGGACGAGACGGCTGGGGCATTAAAGTCCGTGTCTCCGTGGTAGAAGAGGATTTATTGCTCTCCCGTTGAGTGGATATATGCCATGCACAGGCCACGTGCATTTGACGTAGGATAAATGTGTACAGACATGCACATTTTTATGATCAAGATCTCATTCTACAGCCATAATGGAGATTACATACAAGACTTTGAACTTGGATATGGAAATTGAATATGGACAAGGAAGACTTTGGACCTAATATCTGCGTCGGCCTAGTTAGCCAGTCCGCCTCTGGGTTGAAAGAACTTGCGGGACCTGGGTCCACATGCGTCAATAGTTGCTAAACCTGTTTACTTTGCCGAGATACCCTGGAAAGCTTAGCACACCAGGGGAAACGAGACAGAAAATCCCGAGAGACAAAGAGACAGGAAAACAGGAAAACAGGAGAAAACGAAAACAGCAAAATGCTTATAGATGTAAATATCTACACCAGCATATGCCACACCATATGCGTAAAAAGCATTCTAGGCTGACACGAAAAAAATCCAAAGTGGAGGTTGAAGCTTAGTCCCCACTTAGCCTTGTAGGGCTGAGAGGTATGACCGAAGAGACATTACACGTCGAGCTGGCTTTTGAATTTTTCCCGTTGCGAGGATCTTATCTGATAAATATTTTATCTGATCCGTTTCCATTTTCAAATCTCCAATTCTCTAATCATGGATGTCAAGATTAAGGAGCCCAATGAGGCCAACGAGTCTAAGGATTTTCAGAACGTTCGTGAAAAGGAGGTTCAGGATTCCACTGATTCCGGTAGGCACTCTTGTTACTTCTACTTCTTTCGCCATCCTCACATTGTTACAGATGTCGACTCCCAGATTGATACGTTGCGAGCTGCCGGTATAGGCATTGCTGAAGATGATCCAACTGAGCCTGTGCTTACTTTGCGTATGTGGGTGTTGGGAATTGCCTTTTGTATCGTGGCCAGCGGGCTGAACACGCTTTATACTCTTCGCACGCCTTCTTTGACTATCTCGGGCTCGGTTGTCCTATTGCTGACCTATCCTCTTGGAAAGCTTTGGGAGAAAGTCATTCCTAATTGGACTGTTCCGCTGGGGGCATGGTCTTTCGGACTCAACCCTGGGCTTTTTAACACAAAAGTAAACCTGCTAAACAGTCGTGATTGAGGTTGACCTAACCACCGGACCATAGGAGCACACCTTGATTTACATCATGTCCAACCTCAGTATCTACGTTCGTCTCGGTGCCGATGTCCTAACGGAGCAGCAAATGTTCTACGGCTATAAGGCAGGATGGGGCTTCCAGATTCTGATTACCTTTGCCACATTCCTCGTCGGTTTCTGTCTTGCGGGGATATTCCGAGCAATTATCGTCGTGCCACAGGAGCTGATTTGGCCCGGAGTGCTAAGTGTTACTGCTTTGACCACGACCCTGCACCATGTCAAGCAAGATCAAGTACAGTCACGGTATGTATTAAAAAGTACAATTCTTTTGCAGTCGAACTGATGGTCATAGCTACGACACATGGAGTATTTCTCGCTACGCATTCTTCACCATGGCATGCTGCATCTCGTTCTGTTGGTATTGGTTCCCAGACTTCATCTTCCCGGCACTGAGCTACTTCAGCTTCCCATGCTGGATCAAACCAGAAAGCAAAGTCATCAACCAGATTTTTGGAATGAGCTCCGGAATGGGCTTGCTACCTATTACGTTTGATTGTGAGTATCCTGGTTCTCCCGGTCGTCCCGAGAGCGCGCTAACCACAGACCAGGGAGTCAAATATCCTATGTTGGCTCTCCATTGCTCATTCCTTCGTGGGCAATTCTCAACGTATTTGTTTCTCTGGCGTTTTGGATTTGGATTGTGGCCGTTGCTTGTTACTATACCAATGTCTGGAATACGGGATATCTCCCCTTCCAGAGTTCCAAAGGTACATATACCCATGCGACCCTGGTAGGCTGAGAGCTGACATGCGAATAGTGTTCGACAACACGGGTGGTGTTTACAAAGTCAAAAAGATTGTCAATGCAGCATCAGGCTATAAGCTCGATGTCAAGAAGTATCTTGCATACTCCCCGGTATCACGATTTCTGTTCTGGTATTCCATCTCACACGCTGATACGAGGAACCATCTAGGTCTACATGCCCATTACTTACGCACTGAACATGTACGGGCTGTCCTTTGCGACCCTGAGTGCTCTACTTGTTTGGGTCATTATTGAAAAACGTCATGTCATGGCTGATGCCGCCAGACGGGTTCCTCATCTGATTATTGAATCTCTGCCCGGTCGCTCCAGAGAGTACAGTGAAGATGAGAGGGGAGATCCCGATGTTCCTCTGTGGTGGTACCTGATTGGCTGCATTCTGGCCTTGTTCATGGCAATTTTCGCAGTTGAGTGGTGGGACGTTGAACTGAGGTGGTATGGTGTCTTGCTAGCGTGTCTTGTTGCGCTGGTGTTCTATCCTCCGGTATGCTTGGAGATATTTCGTGCGATTGCACTTTTCTAACTGGTCTTAGTTGGCCCTGGTCTATGCCACTTCAAATTTGAAGATCAATATAGACATCTTCTGCCGCATTGTGGCCGGGTTCGTCTTCGAGGGCAAGGTTCTTGCTAACATTTGGTTCTTTGATATTGGCTACATCACGACCATCAAGGGACTTTACTTTGCGCAGGACATGAAATTGGCGTACTATTGCCATGTAAGTATCCGTTTCGCTATACTGGTTTCACTATACTGATATCTTGAAGATCCCACAGCGCAAGCTGTTCTTGGTGCAATGTGCTGGCATGGTCGTGGGCACGCTCTCCTCCCTCGGTGTTCTGAACTGGGCACTGAACCACATTAAGGGTATTTGCACCATTGCTGCTGTCAACGGATTCAGCTGTCCATACTCCAGCACTCACTTCAATACTTCCTTGATCTGGGGTGCTGTCGGTCCTCGCCGTTGTTTCTCGAACCAGATTGGCTACTCTGCTTTGCTGTTTTTCTTCATTATCGGTGCTATTCTGCCGATTCCGGTCTATTATTTGAGTCGTCGTTATCCAAATTCGTTGTGGAAAAGGGTCCATGTCCCATTGTTCCTAGGTGGTTTGAACTACCTGCCACCTGCAACCGGAATGAACTACGGTAGTTGGGCCGTTGTCGGTCTCACATTTGGCTGGCTCATCCGCAGTAGGCTACATGGCTGGTGGAGCAAATACAACTTTGTACTGAGCTCTGCCATGGACTCGTCCGTGGGAATTGCTGGCGTGGTGATTTTCTTGACTATCTTCTTTACTGGCGCCAGTAGGAATTTCAACTGGTGGGGAACAGAGGTTTACAAGGTAGGTTGCCATTCCCACTTTATCAACAAAGCTAACTCGTATCAGAACACTTGCGATTGGAAAGGCTGTGCTCGTCTTGACATTCCAAAAAGCGGGAAATTCATACAGTAAGGTGGATTTGACTCTTCGCTGCTCTCCAACCAAAGGACGTTCATGCCTTCAGAAGTGAGTACTCAGGGTTTGGCGATGTACAGAAGGGAGCAATTTTTTAAAATCTAGATTTCAATTTAATCGCATGGGAAAGCATTATTGTTTGATCGACGAGCAATGATGGATCCGTCCGCTCTTAACAATTGGATAAAGAGCCCAACGATTTCAGAATTCAGTGATCCTATGAGCTTGAATTGATAAATACACAGTTTCACATCTTCCGTCAGAGTTTTCAGATCACTAGGAGGAAACTTAACATGCAGCAGCGGCATCAACGCCTATTCCTCGACGGACGCAACGCAGCCGGGAACCTAAATAGTAGGGATTTTATTGACTGTTTGGATCATAGTAGTTGGTCATGGAAGCCTTATACGGAATTTACCCGAGATAGTTCAACTGAATCAATGTAATAGAAAGAAAAGTCTCGGTTCTGGGCATGGAGCTGGCCTTGCGGTCCCAAAGCTATGGCATGGGCCAATGCAGTCTAAAATAGCGATGCAGGGACAAGCCAGGGTTCAGTATCTGTGTCAATGTAGGCTAGTAACTTAGTTGACAACCAATTTAACCGCTTAGGCCTATTGAAACCAATAATCAAGCGGGTCTATAGTTATAGGCATCACATCATCAAGCCGTCATGGGCTGAAATGGGAAGGTCAATGTACTGTATAGAATAAATACCATCGTTTTGATACCCAATACCATTGTTATGGAGGCTGACGCCAAATCTTTCAAGTGGTAATTTTGGGTGGGGCAATACGAAGACGCCGATGTCGGGTGTGATTGATTAGATCAGCCCGATTGATTAGATCTGCTGCAGTTGTTGGTACTACAAGGGCTACAGTAGCACATCCCAGTTTTTTCCCTCGCAGAATGGGACGGATCTTGGCAAAACCGGGTGTACGCATTGTATGTAATCTATGATAGGGACGATCCTGTCGAGATGATCCGGGACACAAGCCGCGGCCCACTGGCTCTCCTTTGTCCCTCTCACATCCACTAGCGAGAACGAAGAATCAGCTCGGAATATCGGGATCTGCCAAGACCCAGTGGCTCCAATTGTTCGGGCCAACTCCCAACTCGGAAAAGCGAGCCGATACCAGAACGCAACATCCATGTCTCCCTTGTGACTCCACCCCATGATACTGATTGATAACGCACAGCATTAAAACTCTGCAGAAGTTATCTGATCCTGAGTGGAGTATGATGCCACGAGGTCACATTCTTCAACGTTTTTTGGTGGATCAAGAAGATGGTGAGATGCGGCGTGACATCCCCTACGGACTATACTACCGTGACCGGAAAATATACTAGACGATCTGTGGAAAGGGCCGAGGCTGCTGGAAGGTCTGAATGCTACTCTCGTTGCTTTCTAACAGAATGAATGATCGGACGAAGCAACTTCCGTTGTCAGTCCACCCTGTAGCCGAGCTTGGCGCGAAAGAATCGAATCCTTCACAGGAATTTCCCTGTGAGAATAATGTCTCGGACCAGGCGGCTTTTTGGGGTGATCGGCATTGTCATATATAGATACCCGAAAGTTCATAGGGCTATTCAATAGAATTCAACCCCAACCCCAGGCTCCGACATAAACGCAGAACACACATATATACGAGGTCAGAACAGAATAGGAAAATAGGACCACTGAAGAAATATAGAAGAAACATCGTATATGTAGACACTGAAGATAGACATGAAAAATACAGCCAAGGTTCGCTTGCTCGGGCGGACCCGCAAGGTTACGTAGCAACCAAGCATAAAAGCCCAGCGAAATTACATCCGAGGTGGAGTCGCTTCATATCTGATTGAGGAGTGTGCGAAATTTGTCGGGTACATCTATAAGCCCTCTCTCCGGGCTCCATTCTTCTTCAACTTTCTCAATCATGGCTGCTCCAAGAAGTGTTCAGCGCTTGCAGCAGACGCTGTCGCATGTACAGCCTCCAAATACTCAGTTGTCTCTTGTCGCTGGTCCGACGGAGCCAGCATTGCTGGATATTACATTGGGTGAGCTGCTGACGCTTCAGGCACTGCAGTATGGAGGTATTGAGTGTCTGGTGTTCCCTGGACCAATGCGCGCTGGACATACGGCGAATTGAAAGATGAGACCGAACGTCTGGCGCGAGGCATGCTAGCCTCGGGTATCCAAAAAGGTGATCGGGTGGGCATCATGGCAGGCAATTGCGAGCAGTACATCTCAGTATTCTTTGCGGCCGCTCGGGTGGGAGCTATTTTGGTGGTGTTGAACAACACTTACACCCCTTCCGAGTTATATTACGCACTTAATCATAGTGGTATGTGTCCACTTGGCGCATTAGCGGCCCCGTACTAATCTCTTTTCGTTCTTTCCTCCGCAGAATGCCGGTTACTGTTCATGACACCGCGAATTGGCCGGCATAACCTCGAGGAAGTCCTTGCCGAACTCGGTTCCAACCCTAAGCAAGCTGGCAAGTCGGAATCTTTGGAGGAAATTGTTATTTTGCGCGAAACCTACAAGAACTTTACCACCTACCACGATGTTATCGCCCGCGGCTTGTCGCAAGCCCCACACGTCTTGCAGGACCGCGAGGCGGAATTGCGTCCAGACGATGTCTGTAATCTGCAGTTCACTAGCGGCTCAACGGGCAACCCCAAAGCTGCCATGTTGACACACCAGTATGTGGCCTTTGCGATCAATTGTGTACGAAAGCTGATCTCTCCATAGCAACTTGGTTAACAACTCGCGATTCATCGGGGATCGGATGAACCTCACCTCATTTGATGTTCTGTGTTGTCCACCACCCTTGTTCCACTGCTTTGGGCTGGTCCTAGGCATGCTGGCGGTGGTAACCCATGGCGCTAAGATCGTCTTCCCCAGTGAGACGTTCGATCCCAAGGCTGTTCTGCACGCTATCTCCGACGAGAGGTGCACTGCGCTCCACGGCGTACCAACTATGTTTGAGGCAATTCTCAGCATCCCCAAGCCCTCCAACTTTGATACCGCAAACCTTCGCACTGGTATCATCGCGGGAGCCCCCGTTCCTAAGCCGCTTATGAAGCGACTCTTTGAGGAATTGAACATGACCGAGTATACCAGTAGCTACGGTACGATCTCTTTTGGTGCACTATGGATCTTCAACTAACCTGCTATCTAGGTCTCACCGAAGCTTCCCCGACATGCTTCAATGCATTCACCACAGATAGTATCCACACACGACTGACCACCGTTGGAAAGGTGTTACCACATGCGCGTGCCAAAATCATTGATGCGCAGGGCAACATCGTTCCTGTTGGCCAGCGAGGCGAGCTCTGCATGGCTGGTTACCAGCTCACCAAAGGATACTGGAAGAACCCCGAGAAGACTGCCGAAACATTCATTACCGATTCCGAGGGCGTCAAATGGCTCAAGACTGGCGACGAAGCCTCTTTCAACGAGCAGGGCTACTGCACCATCACCGGTCGCTTCAAGGACATCATCATCCGCGGTAATTTCAACCCTACACCATGGATCGACACAGATACTAATAACATCTGATAGGCGGCGAGAACATCTATCCCCTCGAGATAGAAGAGCGATTGACCGCGCACCCTCAAATTGAACTAGCATCCGTCATTGGAATCCCCGATCAGAAATACGGCGAGGTGGTCGGAGCATTCATCGCGATCGCAGGCACCAGCCGACCCACCGACGATGAGCTGCGCGCATGGACGCGCGAAACACTCGGTCGGCACAAAGCTCCCCAACACGTATTTGTCTTTGGCGAGGAAGGAATTTCGAGCACGGTGCCTGTAACTGGAAGCGGCAAAGTCCGGAAGGTGGAGCTACGGCAATTGGCGACGGAGGTGCTGGCTCAGCGCCAATAAATGAAAAACACAAGTGTACAGTGTTAAAAGATAGAGTCTAGATTTCCCAATACCCCGTGCAAACTCTTGAAAAACCGGATTCGCAAATTATCAGATGGCGCATTGCGTGTATTGTAAGTCGGTTCTGACCGCTCTGCAATTTACCGAAATCAGATTAGATGCGAAATCTTGTCTGATCGCCTATCATTGTCTGTTTGGGCTAGTGTAATACGGATCCATTGCATCGGATCTTGGTATTATATTACATACATGATACATACCTGGACATCTGCTGCAACATTAGCTACATCTACTTGTGAATGTCTGGATTTCGGATCACCGGTCTTGGGGCTTTCCAAGTTGGTCGGACTTCACATAGTGTAGCCTGAAGTACTCCGTATTGAAATATGAAACCATGTGGATGACCTGGGCTAGCCCAAATACAGTAGGTGGTTTCAGTCTCAAAGCTTGCACTGAACCCTTGGTGAACTAGCGTGCAAAGTTCCTGCAACACGTAAGATGCGCCACAGAACCCAGAGCAGCCACTGTTTTGAGTACCAAATCAGGAAAGTCAGTACCTTGTTACCGGAAACCAATACAGATCACCTTCCCGGCTGGAATCGGATCAGATAGCCAAGAAGCCAAGAGAACAAACAGTGAAACATTCTACCCGTGGACCCAGTGGACTGTATATCCGATGTCGCTGCCAATCTGATAAGATCCGGACCCGCATGTGAGTTGGGATCATGACGCGAGAGTAGTTTTCTCCTGTCTCTAGCTTCTGGCTCCTTGCTCCTTGGCTCCTTTTGAGATCTTTTTTTCTTCTCTTTCCCCTTTCTTCTCACCTCTGCTCCTTCTTTGCCTTGTTCGATCCTATCTATTCACCATGCCTTCTAATGACTTTGTCCGAACTGTATCTCGGAGTTTTCGTGTGCTCGTGATCGGTGGCTCTTATGGCGGTCTGGCAGCCGCATTAGCTCTGATCGACCTTTCACAGGGTCGCATTGCCCGCTTCAACAGCAACCCAGATACTAAAGCCCCGGCGCATCGCATTCCAATCCAGATCACTGTAGTTGATAAAAGAGACGGCTATTGTAGGTTCTCGAGATGGCCGGTATGCATGGCCCCGGCTGATGTCTTATAGTCCATCTCATCGGATCTCCAAAGGCCCTGGCCTGTGACAGGTTCGCATCGCAGGCATGGACTCGATTCAGCGATATCCCCGGCTTGAAATCTCCCGATCTCAGCTTCATCCAGGGAAGCGTCAGTTCAGTAGACTTCGCTGGAAAGGTCGCCCATATCATCGATGCGGAAAGCAAATTCAACCGGACAGAGTCTTATGACTACCTGATTGCAAGCTCAGGGTTGCGACGATCGTTCCCCACGGTACCTCAATCCTTGCGACGAGATGAGTTCCTCAACGAAGCGAAGGAGCACATGGCAAATGTAAAAAGTGCCCGTGATGGCGTCACTATTGTTGGTGGAGGTACGTATGATCTCAATTATACATACGTTCTCCTGTTGACCTTTTTCTGGTATGAACAGGTGCTGTCGGTGTCGAGATGGCAGCCGAATTGAAGGTCCTTCATCCTCAACAAAAAATTACTTTAATCCATTCCCGAAACCGCCTGCTTTCATCAGAGCCATTGCCAGATGATTTTGCCGAGCGTGCGCTTTCACTATTACAGGAAGCCGGTGTCGAGGTAATCCTAGGCCAACGCGTCATTGACACAACAGCCGTGGACACAGAGCCCGAGAACCGAGTCTGGAGCCTTACGCTTAGTGATGGTCGGCAGCTCAAAACTGGCTACGTTGTGAGCGCGATCTCGCAATCCATCCCGACATCAACATATTTGCCAAAAGAAGTATTGAATGAGGAAGGATACATCAAAGTGCACCGCTCGTAAGCCAGCCCCTGCAGGTGTTCAAAGAATGAGACTAATCATCGCAGACTTCAATTCTCAGAAGCAATTCCCAACGCCGAGAACCACTGGGCAGTGGGAGACATCGCAGCGTGGGAAGGTATCAAGCGCTGTGGTGGCGCAATGCACATGGGCCATTATGCCGCCATGAACATTCATCGGCACATGACCGCAGAATGCACTGGCGAGAAGCCAGAATTCTTGACCTTGCAGCCTTTCCCGTCTGTGATGGGATTGGCTGTTGGCCACAAGGCCGTCAGCTATACCCCGAGTGAGGGCACCCGGCATGGTGAAGATCTTCTGGCAAGCTTGTTCGGGAAGGACATGGGAAATACCAGTATGTTTCTGATATCCCGTTGAAAGTGTGAGAGAAAGCTGACCCAATTGCAGTTTGCTGGAACTATATGCGCCTCGGTGAGGCATGCTAGGCATAAGCCTGGATGTATTATATTCGTTGGCATTGTGCGTGGCATTGAGCACTTCATTAGATATCGAATTCGGCGTTTTTGGTGGAGTAAATTAAAGTGATGAAATTATTGCAGATCCTCTGTGGGGGGCTTGTCGGCTTGAGATTCCGTCCAACATGACAAACATAACAAAAGACTGCGTCCATGTCGGTCTTGCGCACCCGGTTGAAATTTTCGACAAGCGAGGCAGAGCACGAAATGAGCTCCCTGGACCGTCACCTGGGCTCCGGGTCCATATCGCGCACTCCCTCCCCCTTCCCGTGGCTTCAACCCACACTCGATACAGAATCGCTTGTCGCTATCACGGCTCGCTCGGCTGCGTCGTCGATGCAACATGCGATCGGCAAAATTGCATTGTGGTCGTAGGCGCAGGCAATAGCGGCAGGTGTAAAGGTCCCGGTGGCGGGCCCAGTCGCTTGATTCCGCTTGTAGAAGCTCCTGGTGAGACGGTTGAATCAAAGTATAGAAGTAGGCACATGTGAGTCTAAGTACCAGCACATCAGGGATAGGCAATTGATCAATGATGAGCCCATGTAGCTCTGGTGGGAGGTTGAAGATATTTGGCATTGGACATTTGGAGGTTGACGGGGGGAAGTCAGCAGCCGACGACCAACCTTGGAACTTCCCTTTCTCTCTACTCTACTATACTTCTACTCTACCGTACTCTCTACACTATGAGTTCCATTCTCTACTTCCTTCACCGCTGTCCTTCAATTGGCATTTGTTTCAATTGCTTACAATGCACGGCTGCTGCGCTTAGAAATCGGATTCCACTGGGTTCCACCCCGCTCTGTTAAATAGTAACTTCCGCGGTGCTTTCAGCCACTTCACCTCATACACACACAAAATGGCACCATTCGGCACTATTTACTCCTATCAGCCCAGCCCCCGGGTCATGAAGGTCGGCTTGCCAGCTCCCTATGCCAGATTGTCAGAGCTAACCCCAACTCTAGGCCCAGGCAGCTGCCAACCTTAACGGGTTGGAGTTGGCAGTCCCCGCATTCACCATGGGTCAGACCAACCGCACTCCCGACTTCCTGGCCAAGTTCCCTCTGGGCAAGGTTCCCGCCTTCGAGGGCGCTGACGGCACCAACCTGTTCGAGTCGGATGCCATCACCCAGTACGTCGCCGAGAGCGGACCCGCCGCCGCCCAGCTGACTGGTGCTACCCCTGCCGAGCGCGCCACAATCCGCCAGTGGATCTGCTATGCCCAGGGTGAAATCACGGACCCTGTGACGCAGCTGGCGTTGTGGCGTCTGAACATCCGAACCTACGACGAGAAGGTTGAGCAGACCAACCTCGAGCGTCTGGAACGCTCGCTGGCTTGTCTCGAGACCTATCTCAAGGGTCGCACCTGGTTCGCTAGTGAAGATAAGCTCAGTCTGGCTGATATCACCGTTGCCGCTGCTCTTGTCTGGGGTTTCTCTTTGATCATCGATGCTGAGATGCGCCAGAAGTACCCCATCACCGTCGGCTGGTACGAGCGCACCATCGAATCCGAGGGTGTCAAGCAGGCCTTTGGCGAGAAGAACTTCATTGAGAAACGTCAGCCTTACCAGGGTTAAACAAGTACTTGAAAAGATACCAATGATTACATAGACATCAAAGAATCAAATGTTTTCGGCTTTACCGAATCATGGGTGTCAACAATAGAGTAGGGATAATCATGCTATGGATATCATAAGTACAAAGACTGGCTTTCAAGCGCTTAGTTAAGTCAAAATAGGGTGCCCAGGTGAGTTGGACTTAAAGGACAAGATGTTCACAGACGAGCCATTACGGCACCTTGAACGAATCCCATCTTCTCTGCGAGGTTTCGACTGGCCCAATCCGCAATGGCCATGTTGGTGACCATGGGGTTCACACCGCTAGCGCTGGGGAACACAGAGGCATCGACAACATATAAGCCGTCCGTCCCCCATACTTGACAGTTCGGGTCAACAACACTCGACCTAGGTGACTTGCCCATACGACAGGTACCCATCTGGTGTGCACTGGCGAACAAGCCACGCTCGGGATTCAAGGGCGACTTCCGACGAAGCTCTGCGATCCAATCCTGCAAGGCCGCATCATTGGTGCCTTCGGGGGCATTTGGATCCGAGGTCTCAGGCCGGATAAAGGGATCAAGGTCGCGATAAGTGGTGTGGAATTCTTTGGCGCCCGAGATGTAGGCAATCTTGGCGCTAGCGACTAGGGCCTCCACAATGTGCTTGCGGTCAAATGCAGATACGGTGTAATCCACACGGACTCGTCCATCAATAGGATCTGGATACACGCGCCCGGTGTCACGCTCTTTGGTCAGTGTGATGAAGCTCGTGCTGCGACGCATGTTGGCCGCCCACAACTTATACTCCAATCCTCCTCGCCAGGGGAATACGGGAATGAAAACAGAGGGCATCATTGACACCGACTCAATCTTCACACCATGTCCATGCCCATCAAGGTCCTCGAACTCATTAACCACCGTTGTCAGCGCAGAGCCTTCCCAAGGGCGGGTCTCCTCGTCAAAGATAGCACCACCTCCGACAACTTGGAAATGTTAGTGTTTGCAATGTGCGCCCGAGTGAAAGTGATAATGACTTACCTGGGTGAAGATGGAGGTTACGTCCAATCTGAGAATTCTTCAGACCACTGCGCAGCAACAAAAGAGGACTTTGCAAGGTACCAGCCGAAACAACGACCTTCTTAGCCTTGATGATGACCTGGCGCTCAATGACACCGGGGCCGCTGAGTCCCAAGTATGAATCGCGCGACTTCCAAACTCCCTTCACGCCAGAAGCAACCTGCTTGCCCTTGACCTTGGTGAATAGCACCTTGTCGGCCTGGAACCCTTCCATAAATGTAGCACCGGCCTGAGCTGCGTCAGCGAGGAAAGTTTCCGTGGGACCTTTCTTGCCCGTTGATGGGCATCCCAATGTGCAGTACCCGCAGTAGTGCTCGCCGTGTCCAGTGTTCTGAGGTACCGTTTTGGCTGCATAGCCCAGTTTCCGGGCACCCTCTAAAATCACACTGTTCTGGTGGTTATGTTGCACCTTCTCAGTATTGACGCCCATGCGGTCACAGACGCGATCGAGGCTCTTCTGGAAGTCGAGAGAGGTGAAGAATGGCAGACCAGTATCTGCCCATTCCTGTCTAACATACCCCTGAGTCTGTAGAGCGGCGGACCAGTTCACGGTGCCACCGCCTCCCCAGGTCGAGCCCGCGAGGACTGCCATGGAGCTATCGTCACTGAAGACAGCGCCTCCACTTTCGAACATATTGACATAAGCCTCGCTCGGGCCCATGGGGAAGGCGCTGGATGGGTAGGAGTAGGATTTTTCGACGACCAGCACGCGATGACCTGCTTCGGCCAGGTTCTTCGCAGTTACGCTACCGCCGCAGCCACTTCCGACGATAACAACATCGGTCTCAATCGTCTCGGGCTGGTTCCCTGGAGGAAATTGCAGGAATTCATATTGGAAGCCATCAGCGGGCTTACCGTGGACGGGAACTCGTGGGAAACCAAGTACAGGGCCGATCGTCGGACTGCTCATAGCCCAGGCTTTTTTTACAATGGCCGAGAGTCCTCGGTAGACCGTACGCATAGGGGGCAATCGCGAAGTATCCCACCCGCGGAAGACTTTTTCCCGAAATTCCACCGGTTGGTCTTGAATAGGAGTTGTTGAGCCGGTCAAAATCAATGAGCCCGCGCGGGTGTTGAGCGCATTCATGATCAAGCCGAACCCATTCCGTCCCTCGTCGTGCACATAGTTACCCAATATGCGCACCACGATGCTGCGGAAAACCGGGTTTGAAGACACATCTTCCTGTAAATATTGAGTCGCGATCTTTGTCGCATCGGGCCCACCGATCAGGCTGGACAGGTTGGACACTGTAGAATTCCACTTTGCATCTGAGATGACTTTATCGGATGATGATCTGGTTGTTGCAGCATTGTGTATGGAGGGAATGACAGTATCAGCCAAGGCAAATAGCGTCGTCCATTGCAGCTCCGAAAAATAATTGTTAGAGGGTACTGGAGGCAGAGGGACCTCCCGGGGGTAGCTGATTCAAGAGACATGGTTGAATCTCAAGAATCAAAGCTTACAGAACAGTGGGGAAGAGAATAAATAATGAGAGGGTTCTGCCTCCTCCACTCTCCCCAACAAGAGTAAGTTCAGCTTGTCGAAGCTGTAATTGGCAGAAATTCCACGCCAAACCCTTTCACACCTTGAGATTCGGGCCGCTGCCTCGGTTGTGGGGAGACATCTTCAATATTGGAGCTCGGCGGGTCTGGTTTGTCCAGTCAAAGGCCACGAACTGCCTCAAGAATGGTCATCGTGTGTTCCTGGGGAGATCGACGGTTCGAACCTCACAGGCTCGTGCGGCTGCCGAGCTCCAGTGCCATGTGAAATGCCGAGATGAAAGAGCCGAACTGTTTCACAAATGAAGCTCTAATCCAACGAAGCTCAATACATGTAGACTGGATAGAGAGAATAGAGGGAATACATGTAGAGGGAGTATCAAAGTCATGGAGATCTGACGTGATGCAAAGGAAACATCTCCGCCCTCCGGCTTCTCTTCCTCATCATCATGGCCTGCACTCTCCCGACTGAAAAGGTCTTCCCCATTCAAATTGGCTCCGAACTATTTCGTCTCTCGGGTGCCTCCATTGCCTCTGATGGTGAGTACTCGTGTCCTCCTGGTCCAACACTGACTCACTGGTTCAACACGTGAACAGCTCCATCCTATTTCTCGCGCTTCTTCGAGGACCAATTAAACCAAAACCACGATGTTGCCAACATCAGAACTCTCTATATCGACCGCGATCCAACTACATTCCGTGAGATCGCTAGACATCTCCAGGGTATATGAGCCTTCGTGGACAGAGGTGACGGAGACTGATCCGCGACAGGCTACCACATCCGGCCACAGGATGGCGCGCAATTCGTGAAGCTCTTCGCAGATGCGCAATTCTATACATGTTAGCTCCAGCGACAGCTCTTTCGGTTGTCCGAGCTGACCAGCCACAGTACCCCGATTGATGTCGCAGCTCTTCGAGGCCGAGTGCTTTATCCAAATCGGCGACCGCCACTTCCAGATCCCCCGCGATATTTTCTCCAGCCCCGGCGACTCCCCCAATTTCTTCACTCTCGGATTCGCTGCCTTCTTCGCATCCCCGTCCGAGGTCTTCCCTGGTCTGGACCGCCAGGGTCTTTTGCGTCCTCCAGCCATCGTACCCCCAAGTGTACCGAACCGATCTGCAGATGTCTTCGATGAACTACTACATATGCTGCGCGGATATCCGCTGCACATTCGGAACGCAGATCATCGGGCGGCTCTCCTGCGCGATTGTCGTTACTTCCACTTGCGCGGCTTGGAGCAGCGGTTGATCCCGCATCAGATTACGACCAATCCCTTCAGTCAGCGATCAGAGATTGTCATCCGACTCGAGGACGTGCGACCGTCAGGGATTCAGTTCGTCTATAATACTTCTGAAACGGGTGGAAACGTCACGTATGCACGCCCCTTTGTGGACGAGAAGGCGGCCGATCTGGTGGTGGAAATCGGCGACGAGTCTAGCTTGGTCGATGGAGGCAACATGCGCGCCAACTTCTTAGGTCTCGCGAAACAAAGATTCGCTGGGCTATTACAGGCCATAGCCAAAAAGATGAAACTGCCCGATTCTCATCCGCCATTGGGACAAGGCCCCATCAAGATCCATATCGATCGAGAAACTGACTTGACAGTGGATGGCCAACAAGACTCTCAATATTTCGCCTTATTGGGGCACAAGGTTGACATTGGTGACGGCGCGCCTCCAGCCAAACGTCCGCGATCGGATAATACCCTTGATGCCTGGGTTGTTCGAACAGGACAATGGCGACTAGAAGTACAAACCGGGCCTACCGGTGCGCATGAGGCTGTCTTGGTTGCGGTTAAACTGGACGTCTACACCAGAGAGTCAGTCCGGAATCAGTCGCGGACGTTCCTTTAGGTCTATCTGTGCAATCTGTCTAGCACTTTACAATAAAGATAAATGTGTGGTATCAGGCAGACGGCCTAGCAGCTTCTGTTGCTAGCCGATCTGCATTAATATAATTCAATTTAATCTGAGAATCCACCCCATTCGTCGTCTTCGTCGTCATCCTCATTGTCGTCGTCTCCCTGGTCTTGTTCCTGCTCCTGCTCCTGTGGCTTTTTCTTTGGAACAGCTGAAGCAGCTTGCACGGCATGATCGGGATCGCGTATGAACCCAGCAACGAAGAATCCTCCTAGACCCTCGGCATCACCTTGCCATGAGCGGATACAAGCTTCGAGTGCCTCATCAGAGAGATCCACCGTACCTGATGGTCCGGTTTCTCCCTCCTTGGGCTTCTCCTCTCGAACACCTCGCTTGCTCCACCGACGCATACCCTCCGGCTGCTCCTCCCGCCGCAAAAGGCGCCAGCCACGCTCTTGAGCAACCTCCGACGCCAGGATACGAGCCACAACACCTTCGTTCTCGATCAAATGGATGGAACAAGTGCTGTATGTAACATGTGTTGCATTCGGGAAGCTCAAAGCGTGTTCAACAATTCGTGCTTGAATGCTTGATAGCTTAGTGAGCCGCTCTGGATCGATTGTTCCGTCAGGGATATCGTTTTCGTCCGTAGGTGAGGCCTGCGGGGCTCCGGGGGTAGCTTTTGACTGCTCGCCATCTGCTTCCTCGTGGTCGTCTGCCTGGCGCTTACGCTTCTTGCCCTGCGACTTGGGGGCCTTGGATACCGGAGCAGCAGGCAACGTGAGTTGAGGAACATCGTCACGGCCGATAATACCGCTACCAGAGCAACTGGGATCAAGCAGTAATCCGGTTACCTTCTCGAATTGAGGATCTTCCGGGTCGAGAGCCAAGAAATCCTGACCTGGTAGCACCGTGACCATCGAGTCAGCCCCGGCCAGACCCACCATTTTTTGCAGGGTTTTGGAACGCATAGCCGATGCGTCCATAGAAAAGATCCTTTGTTTATCCTTCTTCTTGTTCTTTTGTTTCGCTAGCAATGAAGCCATGTGGGTAGTCTTATTGCCTGGTGCAGCACAGCCGTCAACCAAATCGCCCTGCCATGGGTCTTTCGGCCCACGGTCACCCAACAAAAGGTATGCTGGGAAACACGACGCTTTGTCTTGCAGGATGATCTCTCCGTTTTTGTAGGCGGAAGAGGCAGTGAAATCCGCGCCGAAGGGAACAGCCACCAAATCCGGGATATTAGGATCGATATACAACCGAGGCTCCGGCTTGCGGCTTTCCAGCTCGTCTTCCGGAGCCAATGCTGCCAGGCTGTCTACCCGCCGATAAGATTTGAATGTAGTGCTAAGCTGCTCGTCCAAGGTAGTCCGGATGTTGTTGATACGCACCCAGCGCGGGTAAACAAAATGGCTGGTGCCATCGGCTTCCCGTTTCTCACGGATAACCGCAGCCTTCAATTGCTCAACCGAAGCGCATCCACGACGAACACGAGCCTTCGTAAACTCAGCCCTGAGTCGAACCTTGTGACGCTCAACAGCCTGGCGGATCGGGTGAGCCGCGGGGGCAGCAATGCCCTTTTTCGAGAGCAGGTGATCATGGACGAGGAGAAGAGCAAGAAGAGGAGAGAGCTAGAGAAAAATCACTTGGTCAGTCAGCAGGTATCTCAGCGGTCTCCTTGCGATCAATCTCACCTTCCGCTCAAGGGCAAGGATGCCTGCTTTGTCTATAACCTCTGCCAGAACGCTGTCCCATTTCGCAGCCTCGGTGGTCAACGCATAGATCTGCGCCGGGGTTGCACGCAGATTGCGAGCGCTGTAGATTCTCGACTTGAATGAGCCGCCCGAAGAGGGCGCGGTCAGGATAGCGACCGCATCAAAGTAGAGGGACATTGGAGTGGAATGTTGATTGGAGAAAGTCGAGGATTTTCGTCAAATTGACGTTGTTTGCTTTGTTTGCATTGATCTATACAGTTGAACTACTTTACTCCAGTACAAAGACTTTGTATAGAATCATCATTGGCTTAATGTTGACTATAATAAGCTTCTGGTATGAAAGGGTTATAATGCCGACTAGGTTAAGTATCTTTTAAATCTCAACTCACTAATCTTTAGGCCATCTCTCCATCAATATATCTGGGTCAGCCCCTCCGCTCAGATCTCAAATCTACGCACATTTCTTCTCCAACTTGACCCCTGAGCATCTCCATAACATCCTTTCTGGCACCTACAATGGCACCCAATCCTATTTTCAGCACATTAATCCAACCACCGCCAGGCCTCAGCGCAAAGCTGGTCCTCCCCACCTCAACCCCCAACACCAACCCCACCACATTCAACGATGCAATGAAAATCCGCATGCACGTCTTCGTCGACGAACAAAACTGTTCCGCAGAGGCCGAGATCGACAGCGACGACAACCGGAGCTGGCACTGGGTAATCTACGACGGGACCACACCGGTGGGGGTCATTCGACTGGTCCCCCGCCGCAGCCGCCACACAGCCAGATAACCAACGCAGAGGCAGAGGCTGAGGCCGAGGCAGAGGCGGTGTACGACTGGACGCATGAGCCGTGTATCAAGTTGACTCGGGTGGCGATCATGCCAGAGTACCGCGGCCTCGGACTTGGGCGACAATTAGTGGAGACGGCATTGGACTGGGCGGCTGCGCATGCGGCGGAGATAGACGAGGCTGCTGCGTTGATCGGCGCAAGGGCGGAGCGGGAGAGTGCTCCGCCCTGGAAGGGCCTCGTGCTTGTTCATGCTCAAGTGGATGTGGAGCGGATGTATGCAAGACTTGGATTTGTGACTGAAGAGGAGTTGGGGACTTGGTACGAGGAAGGCATAGAGCATCGTGGAATGTTTCGTAGATTGGCCTTGAGTTGAGTTACACTTGGAGATATAATGGAGATGTACACTACGCAGTCTACGAGAGAAGAGTCAAATTCAATAGTTGGATTCAAAGTAGATTCAACTAAATCAAATGGGGGCATGGAGAGTGCGATCCCCCTCGCATCGTCACGGTTCAAAGACCAGTGCAAAGAAACAGAAAATCAAATGAGATCGCCGCTCAGTGGAGTCGGCTGGGTATCCGGAACATCGCAAGCAAAGGCAAAAAAGCAAGAAGCGACCGAGTCTCTAAGAACCGGCGAGAAAGCCCTCTAGATATGATGCGTATCGGAGACCGCAAGAAAAACAAGCAAGAAAAATAAACAAACAATGCCCTTGGCCAAGGGCCAATCGAACGCCGAAAACCGTCGCCAATCAAAGAAGCAAGTCACGCGAGATAGCATGATTAGAAGTGAAGATAGTAAATCAAGTAGATGCGCTGCAGCAGGCCTGCTGGCTACAGTAACCCAGCGGGAAACGCAATCAGAAGGTGCTCCAGTTCCAGTCACGGGGAACAGAGGCAGCGACCTCGGCTGTCTGGCCCTTGGGTTCCTCGGGGTTGGCGTCCATGTCCTCGGCAGAGTTGGGCACGGTGACACCGGTCTGCTGAGCGTCGATGTTGTTCTGGATCTTGTTCAGACGGTCGGAACGGTTCTCCTCCCAGCGCTGGTGGGCGCTCCAGCAGAGGTCACAAGCGCGAGACGGCTCACCCTCGGGGTGGAAGCGAGCGTTCTGGTCAAGTGGAACGAGGTGAGGAGTGTGAGAGGCGCAGAAGACGTGACCGCAGTGACGGCAGTGGTGGCGACGAAGGAAAATACCGAAAGAGGAGCGACAGGTAGGAGAATCACAGTTCGAAGAAGCAGAGTCCGCCTGGAGAAATGTTAGCCCAAGTTTATTGTGGGGAGACTGGAGCACGCCATCGAATGACGAGCTCACACGACATAAGTGATCGCATACGCGCCATCGCATCGCAGTGCCTATAAAGAGGCCCAGGGGGGAACGGAATACTCACTTTCCAGTGCTCACGGGTTGGAAGACCAGTCACCTCACCGAGGGACTCGTTCTTCATCCACTCGTGCTGAGCGACCTTGCTGATATTGCTGGACTGGCTCTCCATGGTGAAGCGACGGCTGAGGGGTTCGACGGAATCCTCGTTGAGGCTGTCCAGGGAACCATGCACGCTGCGCGGTGGGGTAATAGGGGACGACTTCTGAGGGCGCTCGGTCGGGCGGAGAGCAGCTGGGACATAGAGAGGGCCCTTGGGAGGACGCAACTGGCGGGACTGCAGAGGGAGCTGGTGCAGAGAAGCCGTGGTGAGATGGGGAGAAGTGGGGGAGTTGTTGGAGGGAGTATTGGAAGCCGAGTTGGAAGCCGAGTTGGTAGCAGAGTTGGTGGCAGAGTTGGTAGGAGAAGGCTGGCCATAGACCGAGATCTGGTTGGCCGGGAGGTTGGTCGAGGTCAAGACATGAGTAGCCATGATTGGTGGGATGTAAAATGCGTAAGGGATGATGAGATGATGAGGAGTGAGAAGGATATGAAGGTGAAGATGCTAAAGTTGGGAAGCTGGAGTTATGGGCAGAAAGCCGGACAGCACTGAGTTTATGATGAGCAGCGGCAAAACGCCCAGGACATCCTCTTATGGAGTTGAGGGGCAAAAAAAAAAGCGGGATTTCGAATAATCGGCGACCGATCAATTGGAGGCAAAATTGGCCGTTCAGCCGGGGAAACAAATAGACGGTAAGTGGCCGAGAACAGTGGGGACGGGACGTTGGATCTAAGAACTGTTGAACAGTGAGATCAATGTTGTAGGAGAGTGTAGAGTAGTGAATAGGAGAGTGAGTCGGAATAGAATGAATCAGATATGCGAGAATAGAGGGAGGCGGCTCAATAAGTAGCACATGTCACATCAAAAGGAGGTGTGAAGGGATATTAGGTATCTATACTTCCTCCCGGTACTACCTGGCCGGCCATCTACTTTGTACTTTGTACTTTATCCCTCCCTCTCCATATGCATGGCACAGATGGCACAGACCGAAATGGTCGAGATTCCCATGAAATCACATTCTCGTTTTGACCGCCTCTTGCCTCTTGTCTATAGATATGCTAGGATTCAGACCGGTCACTATCCATGAAGCACGATGGCTTTCCCTATGCGGTCTCCCCACTCTCTCCACCCAACGGGGCTGCAGTTCCCCAGTTATAATGTTACTGCAGTCGATCTGAACACGTTCGATACTCCTTTTCATATACATACATATATCCTATATATTCCGTATACTCCGGTACTTAGATGTACTTCATATACTCGACACTCTGGAATGCACACAATAGTCCCCGGCGTATCGAATAGCCACATTCCCGGTCGCTCCTTCCTTCAGAATAGGTTCATTAGCGGGAAGCTAATGACCAATCAGGCTGGTTGTGGCGTCTGGTCTTATCATGGCCTGCTGATTGGCCAGATTCAATTTCGTCACCTTTGATTGGCCAGTCAGATTATCCATCGGGCCGGCTTGACCTTTCGGGCCAAGTCCGCTTCCGGAGCCCCGCGGAGATGACACATCCTCACCAATCAGCGTGCTGCGGTTGCCAATTCCCGCCCCTTAAAGTTAATCCAGAAGGGGAAGGAAGAAGTGGAAGCCTTCTAGTGTTCCCCTTAGAAGCAATTTACATTATACATCGAATTTATTGCTTTCTACCCGGGCCTCGGCTTGTGTCAGGTTGACCGGATTTTGAACAGTTCTAGAAATTGAGGCTGCATACACCTGGGAATCATTATTTGGCCGGAGTTTCTTCGGTGTCACAACTGATTGACCGCACTAATGTCTACCCCAATTGGTTACCAGATAACGTTAGGCTCAAATGTCTGACAGATCTATGTACATGTACCAGTAACATGTCAAGGGAAGTACGAGTAACCTCCAATCGTACACAACATCCCAAATATAGCCGCTTGCAGATCCCCGGATGTCGTCATGACTTACATGTGTGGCTTCAAACCTGGAGAATCCCCAACCTAATCCCAAACGCAATCATGAAGTTAGCCGTCTTCAGTGCCAAATCATACGACCGCACTTATCTAGACCAAGTGCGCGATCAGCATTTCGCCTCGCTATGCACCATTGACTACCATGCCTTCTCTCTATCAGAAGAGACCGTGCCACTCGCGCGGGGATGTGACGCCGTCTGTGTCTTCGTAAACGACACTCTAGATGAACCTGTGCTGAAAGCCCTCTACGCCTACGGGATCCGTGCTATCCTCCTCCGCTGCGCAGGCTTCAACCATGTGAATCTCGCAACCGCAGAGGAGCTAGGCCTCTTCGTGGCGAACGTCCCGGCCTACTCCCCCGAAGCGGTGGCGGAGTTTGCAGTGGCGCTGATCCAGACGCTAAACCGCAAGACACACCGCGCGTACAACCGCGTCCGCGAGGGCAACTTTAACATTGAGGGCCTGCTGGGGAATACACTGCATGGCAAGACCGTAGGGATCGTCGGCGTGGGGCGGATCGGGCTCGCCGCCGCGCGAATCTTCCACGGCTTTGGATGCCGGCTTCTAGCGCACGATCCGTTCGCCGGGGACGAGTTCCGACAGTATGGGACACTGGTCGATCTGGAGACCCTGTTGAAGGAGAGTCATATCGTCAGCCTGCACTGTCCGCTTACAGACAGCACAAAACATCTTATCAATGAGGAGACACTGGCGAAGATCAGACCGGGTTCATTGTTAGTTAACACTTCGCGCGGGGGACTCATCGATACCACAGCTGTCGTCCAGGCACTGAAGACACAACAGTTGGGCGGGCTGGCCTTGGATGTGTATGAGGCAGAAGGCGAGCTCTTCTACAATGACCATTCAGGCGAGATCATCGAGGACGATGTCTTAATGCGTCTTATGACCTTTCACAATGTTCTGATCTGTGGTCATCAGGGGTTCTTCACACGCGAGGCACTGTCGGAGATTGCCGAGGTCACGTTAGGCAATCTATCGGATTTTGTGGCTGCTCGTTCGTGCAAGAACTCCTTGGTTACAGGGGGACATGTATTGGTTCGTCGGGATACAGAGCCCGTACGATTGTAGGTTTTAAGTTGAATGCGTATGTATTGATATTGGACTTAATGGAACGCTTGCAAAAGATATCATTCATCATGAGTATTAAGTAGGTCATAACTTGAAACTAGTTCAACTGCGCAACGGACGAGTCTCCTGGAACTGATCCTGGATAGCTTGCCATGCCCTTGGGAGGAAACGATTCCCATGAACGATCAACGGGACTACCGAAATCAACCACATGAAATACACCAGCCCCACAGCCAGAATCAGTCGAAGCTGCTCGAAGATCGATCCAACGACTCCACGTCTAGCGGCTTGCCGGGGGACTTGTGATTCTTGATCGGTATGCGACAACGCGTCCGCCATTTGCCAGGCTGCCCGACAGTTGATCTTCTCCCAGGTGGTGTTGTCGGCATACTCCCGCGCAGCCACAGCAAGAGTCGCTCGCCTTACTGTGTCGTGGGAAACATCCTTGACCAATGAGATGAAGCGTTCCAGATCGTGCGGTGGGACTAGATACCCAGTCTGTCCATGGCGGATGATATCCGAGGGGCCACCTTGATCGCGCGCAATGACTGGAATGCCGCTGGCCATGGCCTCCAGGACCACCAACCCAAATGTCTCTGTGATAGAGCAATGAAGGAAAAGATCGGCCGAGGCATAGGCGCGAGACAAAGCAGCCCCGGTGAGAAATCCGGCAAAGACGACGTGGTCACGGACGCCGTCGAAGAGGCGCTGCACCTTGTTCTCGACTGCTGGGTTACGGTTTCCGCCGACAATAAGTAACTTGAAGGCTACTTTGTCAGCGGCCAGCCGCTGTACAACCTGTGCAAGGAACTCGAATCCTTTCTCTGGGGCGATGCGGCAAACACAAATTAAGATGATCTCGCCGTTTGGAGCAATCTGTCGTCGATATGAGTCGTCGCGCCGTGTCGGCGAGAAGAGTATAGTGTCCACACCACGACCTAGCTGAACGAGTCGGTCGACCGGTGCACCTGCACGCTCCAGATACCGGCGGATGGCACTGCAGGGATAAAAGATGGTATGGACTGCGCGGGTGCGGAACAAGAAACCCTGCACAGTAGCCAAGAGCCAGACACCGAATTGATCCAGCGGCACGGGCAGCATGATCTCCGCATAGGCGGACAAGTCTGTCTGAAAGTTGAGCAAGACCGGCGGCGGAGATCTGAGCTGGCGGATCTGCAAGAGCATCTGGAAGCCGAGCGAAGCCGGACTGGCAAGATAAATGAGATCAGGCTCGAAGCACCGATCAAAGACATCTGCCAACTGAAACGGATAGACGACTGTCAAGTCGGGGTTATAGGGCAAGGCACAGCCAGGCAAACGGTGCTCCCAAGAAGACGCCATCTGCTTCGAGTCGCCTTTGAAATGAGGCGCGACGAGAATCAGCTCTGCACCGTTGTCGCGCAGATACTCGACCAGACTGCGTGTCGTCCGACTGACTCCATTGACGGGACCCCATGATTCTGTCGCGAGGAGGATCTTCTTGCCGCGGAGGGCACTGGGGAAGCGTTGGACCTTGCAAACCTCACCCTCAAGGGAGGAGAGGAGGGGCGTAGATTCGGCCATTGTGAGACATGAAGAGAGACATATTGAACAGGGCTGGCCAGGGGGTGGTTGCTTTTGAAGGAGTCAAGTATGTGTATAGAGTGTAGATGATCGATGCACGTGCCGCATCCGCCCGCTGAGGATCGTTGCTTGGCGGCCAGTCGTAGCGAACTATTCACGGCGTGCGCCAATTTGGCCTTTTAAGACGAACAACTTACATTCGAAAGTCATGGGATATGCAAACCGAATATGGAGGGGATGATCCTTGCGCTTGCCCCTTTATCCTCCCATCGTGACTTTTCTCGTTTTTGCTTCAAGTTAGGGTTTCCACTTAACGTTATTTACATTTTATTTAGTTCGAACATCCAATGATATTAACAACCAAGTGCATTCAAACAAGTTTGAATTAAATCACCGGCCATTTTATAGTTTGGACTTTTTCGGCTCGACGTTAATATCTACTTCAGACCACCATGGATAGCTCAGAGGGCTGTGCTCATGAGGATCGCACTGGAAATTGGCCTTGCGCTTTTCGAGGAAAGAACTGACCCCTTCAGTATAGTCACTATTGCATGTTAGACACTTAGACACCAGCGTTTACTAGATAAAGAATAATTCACCTTTGACCAGCCATATGGTGAAAAACCCGAGACTCAAGGAGATGCGCTGCCTCCGGCGAGCTAGGGCCTTCCCACATCAACGCCTGACTCATTGACAATGCCAAGGGACTGACATTCTCTGCCATTTCTTGAGCTAATTCCAGAGACCGGGGGAGAACCTGCGCCGCGTTTGACAGAGTTTCAGTGAACAAGTCACCAAAGTACTTTGAATTTCCGGGGTAGACACCGCCGGTCGATATCAGGGACATGGCTCGAGACAGACCGATGAGTCGAGGAAGGAAGTAAGAGGCGCAGGATTCAATAGTCAGACCTCGTCGAGTAAAGACGAATCCGTATTTGCTTGTTTCATGGCAGATACTGATCAAATTAGCAATAATCCCTACCCTTCCACATAGAGGAAAGAAGATAGAAATTACCGAATTGCAGCTGGTAAAGTCATGGTCATTCCTACTCCCACAGCAGAGCCATTCAAAGCAACAATTGTAGGTTTATGACACCGATGCATTGCCAAAGCCACTCGACCCCCACTGGAAGAGCATATTAACAAGCGATCAATGTCAACATATTGAAACCTACATATCACGAAAATCGACAGCTCTCCCCTCATTGGAAAATCCAATCCCCAGATCTGACCCAGCACAGAACATCCTCCCAGCACCAGTCAAAACAATCGCCTTCACCCGTTGGTCAAGATGAAAAGTTTGAAACGCGAGTTCGAGGCTATCAGCCATGTGCGGCGTGAACGCATTATTTTTCTCTGGGCGATTTAAAGTAACTATCACGACCGGAGTTGCTGTCGGGCTTCCTAAAGGATAGTGAGAGACTTTCACATGAGTGAGATCGAGGCTCTCATAAGAGTCCGGGATCTCAATAAATGCCGCAGGTGGTGCCATTGATTTGATCTGTATAATGTTTATTGATTATAATGTAGTAACTAATAAAGGGTCGCTGTATGTATATAACGGGGATGCCTCGGTAGTGAATCGAGCGGGGGTGATCAACATGGTTTTTCACAGTGCACATGCCGAGATTCTCCATAGTACTCACCTTTTTCACATCTAGAATCCGAGGGCTTTGGGACTGGGCATGTCCGCCTTTCTTCCAACACTTTATAGCCAGTCCCGAAAGTTGGATGATCAACCGGAGCCAATCCCATACTCCATGCTTCCAGTTCATTCCCTAAAACTTACGATATTTTTGAACTTCGATGATCATCAGACCGCTGATCTAAACTAACCTTTGAGAAGTTCATTTTGCTGGGATGTCCATCTACACTGTGCAATATATACAGAGCGACAGACTATTTGCAAGGATACATAAAATTATGTCCTTTGCAGTCTCGACCGAAACACTCCAAAAAGCTCTTCAACAAGAACAAATCTGTATGGAGGAGAGAGATCATGCCATCTACAGAATGGCGCACTGGCCCGCCTAAGTAGATCTTGAACATCCTGAGGTAGTTCATTCGTCTGATCTGCAGTCACTGCTAGGAACTTATTCTCCTCTAAACGATGGACGCCTTTACAGAACAAAGTGACTACAACACTTTGGAAAGAGTCGGCAGTCACATTAGCTCCTACACCATGACATCAATTTCCAAGAATCAAGAGGCTGTCTCCAACGTCCATCTCCCCATAGGCCAATTCCCCGACAGCGGGCTTGTGTTCATCATCCCAGACATGGGAATTGAGAACAATCTCAGTAGCACCATTCTCCTTTGTCACTTTAGAGGCTATAGAATACCAAAGTTAGTGTAATACTCACTTGCTCCGGTTCTACCACTTATTGGCAACGAAACAACCTAGCTTAGTAGTCTCCCTCGGGTATCCATGCGTAAGTGTTGCATGATGATCCTGATCATCACGGTGCAAACCCTGTCGAGAACTACCAGGACCGACACGAACCGTAAAGAAAAACCCAACAGCGGAGGCGACACGCACTTGGTATGTGCATCTCCCCACCAGCTTTCCGCTGTAACGCTGAGTACATAATTGACAACAACCTTCACGTTCGGGTTCTGCAGAATATATCTCACTGCAGTCGGTGATTTGCCAGCAAGTCCACAAACAGTCTTTGTTTGCTTCGCGAAGGCTTCTAGTCCGCTATTGTAGTCGGCATCTATGTATGGTTTGATTTCGCTGTTGACTTGGGCGATCGATTCGAGAGGTACAAAGACACGCCTATCTAGCCTGGGCTCTTTAACATCACCAAAATCGGAGATGGTTTAGGCATGGCTACCCCCGGGCCCGGGCCGGCTGCCTAAAGTTGGTGGGGGCGGTGGGCCCTAAACCTGGGAGCGTGCCACAGTGTGTAACATAAACGTCAGATATACATGTAATCAAAAGGGAATCCTAAGCCTCACGAACGCGCAAAAAAGCAATAACCAATGAGCGAACCCATCAAGGGCTCCCAGAATAGTTGAATCCCAACAGAGTTCACATGAACCGCAGATCGGCGATTTACCCTCATCCGTCATGTACCTCGGCCCTGACATCATGTACCGGCACTGATAAACCTGGACGAGCTTGCCAGTTCTTAACTTCGCTTCAACACATAATGGACAACAACCAAGGCTGCAAGATTACTCTGTACTGGTAGGTGGCTCTGAGAACCGTTTAAGAATCATATTAACGCGTACAGGCTTGAGCAATCTCGAAGCCACCGCATTCTCTGGCTTCTGGAAGAGCTGCAGCTGAAATATGAGCTTAAGACTTTCAAACGCCGCGCCGACAAGCTCGCTCCGGCGGAGTTGAAGGAGGTACATCCACTTGGTAAATCGCCTCTGATCACCATCGAGGCACCGGGCGCCACAAAGCCTCTGGTGCTGGCCGAGTCTGGCGCGATTATGGAATATCTCGTCGACCACTTCGGTGCCGTGCGACCGACGCTAGTTCCGCAACGGTACTTGGCCGGCCGTGAAGGCCAAGTGGGTGGAGAGACCGAAAATTGGATGCGCTATCGCTACTTCATGCATTACGTGGAGGGCAGTCTGATGCCTTTCTTGGTGATGAGTCTGGTTAACGACTGTAAGTGGCTCGCCTTCCGCTAATAACCGCTACGCCCTCGATTTGAATGAGATCGACTGACATTCGCAAATAGCCATTCGGAATGCTCCTCCGTTCTTTGTTCGCCCTATCACCAGTATTGTCGCCTCGCAGGTGGAGAACCAGTTCCTCACCCGCAATGTCGAGGGCAACCTGGCATTCATCGAGGAGCAGCTGCGCACTGCTCCCGACGGTGGTCCTTTCATCTGCGGAAAGGAACTGACCGCCGCTGATATCCTCATGAGTTTTGCGGTGATCGCAGTCAGTGGCCGCATGTTGAAGGACAAAAAGAACCGCGACAAGTACCCTCTTTTCGCTGCGTACGCCAAACGGCTGGAGGAAACCGAGGGGTACAAGCGTGCCGTCAAGAAGATTGAGGAGATTGATGGAAAGTTCTCTGCTTCTATGTGAAGAGGGAATGGATTGTAAATTATACTCTCAGACTTGTAATACTCCGTTGATGTGATATGTGATATGCACGAAATATGGTTGGACAGAGTCGGATATGCAACAGAGCCGCAACGGCAGATGTAATGACATGATTGAAATTGAACATGGAAATACATGAGATGTAGCAGATCAATTCAATTGATTTTTATAAGTTAATTCAAGCATCATACAACCTGTGCTCTGTAAATGTGTGAAGCAAAAATATGATTACATCAGCCAACTCAACACGTGACCTTCAACTTCAACTCCGGCGATGCTCGACTTGCCGATTCTGTGTCTACGATCCAAAGCTCCCCGCAACCATGGCCGGCCCTAGCAAGTGTGAGTATTGTTCCAGCATGATGACCTCAATTGCTAATCCATTGTCCAGCTCTGGTCCTTGACCCGGCCCTCCAGAAATACTACGGTACATTCCCCAACCCCATGTCCCCAGACCTATCTCGAACGGATATTGCGCGTTACACCCACCAAGGATGTGTTTGTCTATTTGAATACTACGACCCCTGCACAGAACGAGACCGAAAACCCAACCATGACACAGTGACTGACTCTCCACAGAACTCAACGCCAACCGCTACAAGTACTGGAAATGGACCCCGCGCCACGCATGGCTCTCCTTCGTCTACATGGGTCTAATCCCCGGTGTTCTCACCTACATTGCCTACAAGACTGAGGTATGCATTGGATCATTTTGCTGGGTTGCAATTGTTGTCCCAGGTCTGTGAAGGAATACACGCTGACGACATACAGGGCAAATACGAATTCCGTGGCAAGCGCAGGGGTGACACCATCCAAGAGTGGTAAACAGCTAGCGATCAATCGAAAACTTGAATTATTGTTCCTTTTCAAATCCGTTCCCCGGACCGTGCCGCGACCCGATGTGATATGGCGTGGTAGACAGGAATTGGGGACTTTGTATCGATTTTGTCGACTCGTTTCTGTGCCGGTGTCTGCTCCGTGGGCCGTGTACTCTACTACAAGCATATATCGCATGGAATTTTTTTGTTTTGTTAACTTTTGGTCCTTAATCAGGGGGATTGAGGCTGGCTAGCGATGGATCGAACGGACTCCGTGGGACCCAGAGGGTCAATCGAGATGTGTTACGACAGGAGCACGATCGCTCGATCTTCAACTCAATGCCTACGTAGCAGTTACCTGTCGCGAGCTCTTGGGCTCTTGGTACAAAACTGGCAAATCGTAAACCTGTGGTTCCATTCGTCCTATACTGCCTATTCGTACACTTCACATGGGTATTTATCGCCCTTTGGTAATTCTCTTTTGTCCTTTCTTCCTCCGTTTTCATTCATCAGAGCTTCCTAATAGGGTGCCCATCCACGACGACCTCCCCCTCGGCCACCATCTGGCAATCGCTCTCCGCGGTTCCAGTCACCGTGTGGCATGTTAGGAGGCCCACGATCACCACCACGAGGACCACCACGAGGACCACCACGGCCACGTCCGCCAAATCCATTGTCACGGAACGCGCGCATACCTCCACCTCCGCCAGGGCCGGGGGGCGGTCCTGACGCACCACGAAGTGCCGGCGCAACAGATCCATCTTCGAGCGGTGGAAGAATGGCGCATTCCACGTAGTCTCCGACAATAAACCGAGCATCCTGTAGAGGCTTGTCGGCCTCTGAGCCCTGGAACCGAAGCGGGCCGGCGCGGGGCCGAGTCTCTTGTTTTTCTTCCTCGTCGCCCTCGGCGCGGAAAGGACTATCCCTCGGCGCGACGATCACACTCCCCAGATCCCTGCTCAAGTATCGTCCACGCGCATCCGGACCCATAATTGCTGCACCGCGCGCGTCGGGGTAGATAAGTCGGAAACAGAGTCGAGTTCCGACAGGTGGATCAGGAAGGAGGGAGGGCAGAGCTGAGGTGAGGCACAGTGAAAGCTCGCGCAGTGTGCATGATTGCCAGGTGTAGATATCTAGATGGGGTGGGAGAGGTGCTGCAGCTGGAGGTGATGTTCCGCGAATGGCATTGGGACCGCTGCCTGGGCCTCCTCGACGATGTGGTGAGGGAATGCTGAAGTCGGCGAGGGAGTGAAATGTGTTGACGCGGTAGAAGAGCTTGAGATGAAAGGGCGTGGTGGTTTCGCGATCGATCGAGGGTTTGAGGCCCTCGCGCGATGGACCGGGCATGCTGGCAGGGTGAAAGGTGCAAGTTAAGAAGAGAGAGTATCAAGTGAGGAAAATCTGTGAGATTTGAATGAATTGGAGCTCAAATGAAGACTGGAGAGGAAAGTTAGGGTATTGAGGGGGTGTGAATGGAGGAAGCCCAAATGCGTCGGAGCTGCGAGTTCTGACGCTCAACATTCTTTTCCTCCACTCCACACCATCGCAACTACACTTCGACGATAACCGTTTATTTTTTTACTTCTTTTACATAACTCAGTCCCCTCGTACAGTTATAGCTTACTACGAAACTCGCTGTGCGGCAGCCCCGCCACCATGGATTTCGCCGCGCTCATGTCGAAGGAGATCTCCAAGGCCAAGGGCCCCGAGAAATCCTCCGGCAAAGAGACCGACAAAAGCTCGACACAACCAACGAAGAAATACATGCGCCGAGGAGATGTCGAAGCCGCACGTGTTGAGGCCTACAAGCAAGAGCAGGAGCGGTTAGCACGCGAGCGAGAAGAGCGCATAGCGAATAAGCGCAAGCTTGATGAGGAAGAAGCAGACCGAAAACGCGAACGAGAGGACAAAAAGCGACGCCTAGCGGAGGAGTCAAAGGCGAGGAGACAGGAGGAAGAGCTGGCCAAAGAGCGTGAACGGCGGCGGAGACTCGGTCTACCCGACTTGCCTGAGGACAAGCCAGAGGAGGTTCCTGAGGAGGAAGATATCGAGGAGGACGAGCTTATTGAAAAACTACGGGCAATGGACGCACCTGCACGATTGTTTGGGGAGGACTATAAAGCTCGACTTCGACGATACCGCCGCCTGGTCCAACGGGCAGCCATCCCCAAGCAGAAGATCACGGATGGGCCTATCCCTACAACATTGGAGCCTGTCTCTGGTGCACAGATGATCATTCCGGCAACGATTCCCAAGGACCAAGAGAACCGACTCTTCCTTTTCCGGCAGTTGGGCTCATACTTCAACATGGTTTTGTCAGAATGGGAATTGGCTCTAGCAAAGCGGGATGTCACCGTGCGGCAGAGTTTCCAGGGAAAGCAAGCATACAATGCTATGATCCAATCCCGTGAGAACATGACGCCGCTGTTCCGCCTCTTTGAGAAATCAGACCTGGAAGATGGATTGCTGGAACCGATTGTGGAGATCGTGCACAAGGCGCAGCAGCGACGATACGTCGATGCAAACGATGCATACTTGCGAGTCAGTATTGGAAAGGCGTACGTCCATTACATATTTTCAATATCGGAATCTATGCTAACTTGACTACAGAGCGTGGCCCATCGGTGTGACTATGGTTGGTATTCACGAGCGATCTGCTCGAGAGAAGCTGCACCAGAGCGATCAACAAGCACACATCCTGAGTGATGAGATCACTCGCAAATACTTACAAAGTATCAAGCGCTGTTTGAGCTTTGCGCAAGTACGCTGGCCCCCTGAGGATCAGTTGCAGATTATGGGCTGAAGGTCAAAACGGTGTCTTGTGTGAATATACCCATAGCGTTTAAAGACGAAAACATGTACATTTATGGCCCGCAATCTATGAATTGGTCAACAAGTCAGAGACTGTGACAATAGTATACCCCCTGCGGCTCAGCTCAGGCAATACCTTCTGTAGCATCGGCACCGTCCACCTGCGCCCATCATGGCAGATGATAATACTCCCCGGCTTAACCATGCTCAGAATATGACTGGCATTCAACTTCCAATATGGAACCTGCGGGTCATGCGGATACACATCCCCGAGGACTAAGCGATAGCCTAGTTCCTTCACAACCATTCTCATCCGAGAGCTGAAGAACCCCGAGCCAGGACGAAAGAGCCAGTTCTCTGGCTCTGTCTGGCTCCCTGCAGCAGCATATGCCTCTTGAATCCGAGCATGCACTGTACTGATTTGCTCCCTTAACACGTCGTCACTCAGTGCACGCGACGGCTCATCATACATAGCATGGTTGGCGAGTTCATTGCCAGCCCGAACCAGATCAACCAGGATATGTTCATATTCCGGAATTTGGGATCCAATCAGGAAAAAGGTCGCTGCTGCATTGTGCAACTGCAATAGATGAAGTATTTCAGTCGTGTGCGTGGAAGGCGCGTCGTCAATAGTGAGCGCGACCACTTTTTTGTCTGTTGGAACGTGGAAGAGCACGTCGGGCCACCGACACTGACAGTAGCGGATGAGGATATTCGGTGGTTTATATATGCAATATAGTGGTATTAGGAGACAAAATGTGCTGAGGATGGCAAGCATGTTGGTTTCGTAGAAATGATGTTGTTCAGGTCCGCGCGTTACGGGAGATGCGCATTTCCTTCTCGTGAGAGATCATTGCTACAGTCATAGGCCATAAGTCCTTTCACATCCACTCTTTTATACAATGTAGATGATTTGCCCGAGACACTCGAAAATGGGCAAAAAAGAGGCGAAAAAAAGGTAAAAACAATCCTTATAATATCCCAGATTCCTACTTACTGATCAACAAAAGATTTCCCACAGCCACAATTGTGTATACATTGCCATGAATTATTGGGCAGTCTCTACACTGAAGCCTCGAAGCGAGTTTACCTTTTCATGCATGCAACGGTGGTCCTGCGAAAAATGCTCAAGCACTTTCTGCTCCAAACGCGGCTTGAAAAACCACATCGCAAGAGCCCGTATGTTCCCCCTACTAATACAGATATATTACTGCTGACATATTCTTACAGACTCGGACGCTCGACCGCATATCTGTTCATTATGTGGAAGTGCTTTTAAGATACGGTAAGTGAAAGCCTCGCCTATGATACGGCAAGGACAGAGCAAGCTAACGCATAACCCAGTCCTCTACTCCTACAGCACCACAGGAAATGCCATCAGCCCAAAGTGAAGGTTCCCTGTCCAGAATGTGGAAAGCTTTATGCGTCCAAGTAAGCAGGAGGCTAGGGTGTTATCAAGATATCATAAACTCACTTTTTGAACTCTAGGTCCAGCCTCTGCAACCACATAGGCAACATGCACAGACGCACTGCTGAACGATCCATCTGTTCGGACCCCTGTTGTAACTTACTCTTCTCATAGCTTTTGATAATTGACACTTGAATCTTCTCTCTTCATATCTGGAGCAATTGCAAATCTTCCATCTCCTCTTCCAGGGTCACTCATTCATACGGCGCCATGAGTTTATTTCCCATCACCCTAGCTGGAGACTCTTCTCCCAGCACTGTGGTATGAGCCCAAGGCTTCAGACTGTTTTCTTCGCGAATAGTACTAGCGAAGCAATGGCTCCACTTAAGACGAGGAAAATGCTTGCAGACATCCTCAATGGTTGACGGATGAACCAGATCTACCCAGGCCCCGATATTATCTGCAAGGAAACAAGTAAGTTTATTGCTGATCTCTCGAGACGGCATTATTTTAAGCGAGGAATCATTATTGATGCATGGACATACCAAACATTGTTGCCAACTGAAGCAACTGACCCAAAGCCGTGATATTGCCTTTCTCGTGAAAGTCCTGATGCCGTATGATGGCCTCCGCCACACTCTCTGCTTGATCTTTCGGGGCGGCAGCTGCTGAACTAGCTGTGGCAGAAGCTCCCAAGTTTTGCAAAACGTCCAAAGCAATAAAGCCGCCATAGAACTCAAAGCTCATCTTAGTAGCTATCATATTCTCCTTCGTGGTTCCGATATCGTGAAGCAAGCAAGCCAGGAAGTATGTTTCATCCGAGAAAGTCCACTCCGGGAATCGATATTGCCTTATAGCGAGCCCGTAGTGATATACCCGAAGACAGTGGTTGTACGTTGGCTCGGGGAGATGCACCTTTGCATACACATCGATGCGCTGGGCCAGGGGCGTAGATGGAATTGAACTTTGGGATACTGGGGTGAAGGGTGCTGGTATCTTCGGAGGGTCAATCGCGAGAAGGGTAGTGGCCGATGATGGCACAGCTGTAAAGCCATAGTTTGCTTCGGTAAGACACATGTTCAATGGTTCAATGATGAATCTTTGGAAAAGCTGAGAAATTCTACAGAGGATACAAGTCTCCAAGTCATCGATATTTATACTTGCATTTCTTACAAATCCCGTTTCCCTTCTAGGTCACATCTCTTGCCGCTTTTTGCGGAGTATCCCTCGTCACAATATAGTCATTCCGTACACACCACACTCAATATCCGCTTCAGATTGCCCAATTTATATAGTATGTGCTTAGGGTCATATTCAGCCATTTCGGCATTCTGTATCGCTCGAAGGCCTAGCATACCCGATAATGTCTGCAACTCGCAAAGAAGCGGCTGGGTCTTCATCTTCGTCTCGGTGTCGCGAGGGAGATTGAGATTTGGAATGACTAGCGGACTATTTAACGGGACGACTTATATGGACCCTCTTCTCTCAGACAGCGACAGCACTGTAGAGATGCCATGGTTGCTGTCCGAATGCTGCGAAGATGAGCATTCGCCATCCCGCGTGTCTGTAGGTACTCTGCCAATTTGTGACTCGTAGAGGACCCCATAGAAGGTCAAGATTCTCATAAGCACCGCACTAATAACCAGAAGCATGGAAGGGTCTTGCATGCAGGAGCCGGTGCAATTCAATAACCGGGACATTGTTACATTAGCGGATCGCGTCGTGCGAAATACAATATCCTTGGATATTTTCCTGCAGATGGATACCTCCTGCGAAGCGGTATATCTTGTTGATTGCCTCGTTTCGAAAGTCAGATTGAATGAATTCGGACAATGAAGAGAGCGTCCGACATGCTACAGCAATACATGATTCATGATCATCCTCGAGTTTGTCCATCTCTTCATCCCCGGAGGCATGTCTATGATTGATATCGTTTATCGTTCTCATACTTATCAGAATGGTGTTCCGTGAGCCTGCTTGGGAAGAGAGTTGATACCGGCATCGCTCATTGAATTGGACATATTGTGCCGTGTAACTGCCATGTCGTCTTATGAATAGGACGCTGCATCCTAAGGTTCTAATGAAGCCTCCCCGAAGGTAGTAGTAGCATTCCGCATATTTCATAACCATTGTTTCATTCCCATGGTCTATATCTTCCGCGTGGGAAAACGAAGTTGAACAGACGTGGGGATTTATAGATCGGTGGTCCAGCATGGTTTCGTATTTCCCCGGGGCCCAGGGATAAGCCTTGCTCCAAATCATGCTAATGTATACACCAACTCTGAGATCCTAAAAGCGGCGGCAGCTCAGAGGAAGGCTATATCAGCACAAATTGGTAGAAGTATGGATTTGTCAGAGAATTTGTAGAATTGGTAAGCATGTACGTCCGGGAACTATAAGAATCTGATCATGACTCACTTATGCCACCGAATGGCTGAGGGAAAGTGCTTCCCGGGCGGATTGGCAAATCACAAACATCTTTCGGGATTTGAAAGTATTATTAGATATTATATTCGACGGGATCTGCAGAATCTTCAGCAATGATAGTGGGCATTTCCGCCGGGATAATAGTGTGAGGTGTTAGCGTTGGGACTTGGTAGGCCTAAAGGATGCACAAAGTACGTATATGCAGACTTGTAACAGGACTTGGTCCCTTTAAACAGTGGGATTGAGGTGTCAAACTAATGTAGTACAAAGATGTCACTTGTATGTTTCGACTTCACCTCAATATGATGATGCATTGTGGCAAGCCATGTTCAATAGGTATTGTCGCCTTCACTTCAAGATGGAACTCCCGAATGCAAGGACATATCATCAAGTTCGACACCATCGTTTCCGTTTGTTTGACGGGAGCGGGTGATGGGCAGACTGCATGTGTTGTTCACGATCTGATTGGTGACCACTTCAGCGCTATAGGGTGCATGATGTCTGTCGGTGTCCGAAAATGAGGCTTAAAACAAGACACACAAAATGGAAAGTGATGTTAGGCCTACCCATGTAGCTGCTTAATAGCAGCCTTTTGGACAAAGCTCTAGATGAATGTATTTGCAGTCATAGATTTACATATAAACATAAAACAACATTGCCAAATGACTTATCGTAGGATGTCATTCCACATACGTGTCAGTGTTTTCCACCAGCCACGTACAGCAGGCTGATCGGTGACCGTGGACATCTTACTGAATGTGTCTTCGCGGGTCAGTTCCGAGGCATCCCCGGTCGGATAGACAAGGTGGCCATCCATGCCGTTCATAACAGAAAGTGAGGAGCCGTGTAGTTTGGCAGTCGAGACGACACTGCTACAGACGCTGCGTGTGTCCCGCTCGCCTTCCATAAGATGCCCAGCAGCGTAGACACAACCGCCGTAAGAGAAGCGCACCAGAGAATCTCCGGTTAGACTCCCGATGATATAAACACCGGGAGTAACCTCGAGATCCTCAATGGCTTTTGCGCGGAGCGTTTGACCTGTCACTACTGGATCTTGATCGCTTTGCCCCAGCACTTCACAGCGGAGCTTGGGATCAAGATAATCCAGCGTACCTCGACGACCGGCGGCATAGACAAGGCCGCGCACAGACCGAGAAAAGACAGATCCGTCCCGGCGGCGGAATATGACTGTAGCCAGGTCATCGTGCATGTCCACATTCGTGATTTCAACGTTGGAGACACCTTCGTATAATTCTTCCCAATTGCGACTTTCGAGGAATGGGGTCGAGGTGGCGCGCCGGTATTTGGGTCGCTGGCCTTTGCCAGCGTCTTCGGCTGCAAGTGCGGCCTTTTTCATAAGACGGTAGACACCAGCGTACTCGGGGTAGGCTTGCTGGTGGCAGCCCCGAAGAGGAGACGGGCGATCATGGGGAGACCACTTGAATATGTGCAAGATTTTTTGGTCTGGCAAAGCGGAGATAATCGAGTCCGCGGCGGAAAAGCCCGATCCAACGACGAGAAGCGGGAGGGAGGGTGTAGATTTGGTATGTAAGATAGGTCGTAGCAGCGGCTCTGGTGGAAGGATTTCCGAGAATATGCCACTTGCCAGGACGAGTCGTTTGCACTTAATATTATGAGATCGAATGTAGAATCCATCGGCGGTGCGGGAGATATCTTTCAACTCTTCCCCGCATCGAAAAGAATCATCGATCAGGGCAGCCTGTGGATAGGTTGCAAAGTACTCCGCAATCTCGCGTCTAGTGGGCCTCGTATATGCAGGCAGCTCCTCACCTGTTGTCTTCATATGATGATCAGAAAAGGAGTAGCCGGGCAAAGACAGCATTGCCGCATAACTCAAGGTTTGGATGTCCCAACTGGCACCCAAAGGGTCTTCTGTCCACTGACCACCCGGGCTTGACGGTTTCCCAAAAACCAGGTGTGGCACGGCCTTTTCAGGTTGAGAGCGCCACTCGACATTGGAAATACAGCCTGGTTCATCCACATCTACGCTTGGCCGTACAAGCGTGTCTAATAACACATTGATGGGGAGCGCCTGTGTTGAATATGACAGGCGCGAGGCGTCAAAATGCGCAGTAAGGGAATTGACGTCGGCATCCAAAAGGTCCGGCGCGGCTTTCAATTTGGCGTCTAAGAGGTGATCGGGATGTGGAGGGTCAGACGAGTAGAAAGGGATATGACCATGAAGGATATAGGAAAGGATCATGGCCGACGGCCCATTGCCTGTAAGCTGTCAATACGAGCTCGGAGAGCAGTCCTCCGATACCGCGGGGTAGCAAGGACGAAGAGACAAGCTGAAGAAAAAGAGGTTCAACATACCGACAATGACAGTGTCAGTCTCCATTGGCGCCTTTGCATCAGACAATCGATCCGGCGCGGGGCATATTGGGTCAGACATGCGACAGAGAAGTGGTTCCGAGGCCTCAAAGCACAAGGTCGTCACGCCGGAGATTGTAAGAACGACAAGGCCATGAAGAATCTGCCATTAGAAAGAAGAAAGTAAAGTAGGAGGAGATAGGAAGTAGGAAGTCCCCAATCTCCCCCGGCGATCAATAATCAGGCTGACAAAACACGAGTGGGGGAGATGTCTCCTCATTCTTCATTCGCCGGAAACAGGCGCCTTCTGCGATGAGACTCAAAGAGGTGGTCTCCGGTCCATGAGTGCAATATCAGGAGCAGATCTATAGATCAATGGCTATGTTGAACTCGTTTGAGCTCCGAGAGACCTCCAATGCTTGAGCTATCAGAGTTGATGCGTCGTTGATATCGCCCCAGGTTCCCGGCTTCAGCCCTAAGCCCTACTTTCCTAATGCGGATGAGGCTGGACCGCGGGTGAGCCTCGCAGCTTCGAGTTGCGATTGTCATGATCTGCGGTGTTCTTCGATTTTGTGTGAATTGCTGGTCTTGAGCTCTGGGGACCGCGACCATGTACCACCTGGCCAAGTCGCTGTACTTATACGCCACCAGCAAAGAGGGTAGGACCTGCAACTACCATCGCAAGACTCGCGACTGATCTCTCGACTTGAACAGAATACTCCGTTTTGCTACTTGGCCTAGACAACGCCGGTAAAACAACTCTCCTGTCCCAGATCAAAGCGCTCTATCAACCCCGTTCCGATGGCGCCCCCGCGCCTAACCCCGGAAAGACCGTCCCCACCGTCGGCCAAAATGTCTCAACCATACCTTTACCGGACATGAACTTGAAGATTTGGGATGTCGGTGGTCAGATCTCGATGCGCGGTCTATGGCAGAGCTATTACAGTAGTTGCCACGCGATCATCTTCGTGGTCGACAGTACCGACGTTGGACAGGACCCCGATATTACACGACTGCTATCATCATCTCGGCGCGCAAGCTCGGTGGCCGGGCCAGCGCGCAATAATACACGGGGAAGCACAAGTACAGAAGCCTTTTCAGAACAGAATGTCGGAATCAACGCGGCCAGCAGCGAGTTCGGACGCCTGGATGAATGCCGGCAGGTACTCGAATCGGTCCTACAAAATGCAGACGTCGCGGGCGTTCCCATCCTAGTGCTAGCAAACAAACAAGATCGCGAGGACTGTGTTGAAGTGGTTCGCATCAAGGAAGGGCTGGTCCGCAAGGTGTTTGAGGGAGAGACAGGAGGCGGCGTCCGTGACAGTCGCGTTCTGCCGGTCAGCGCGTTACTCGGATCGGGCGTCCAGGCTGCTGTTGAGTGGGTGCAAAGTCGTGTCAAATGGAACAAGGAGGGTCGGCCCCCGGTGATGCGTTGATTTTTGACATGGAGATTGGGCTCCTACTCCCGCGCATTTATGCCCGGCGCAGCATATTAAGATGCATTATGGCGTTTGTTAATGATTACATTTTCTGTTAATATACCAATGAGATTTCTTCAATATCAAGATATCTGTCATATTGTGCTAGCATTCCGAATAGACCTGTAGGGCCTAGTCTTGGTGAAACACCAGCGATACACGTCGTTATATCTTCAGGGGTGATTTCTGAGGAGTCCCAGTGCTTCGCAGCGAAAGGAGTTGCCCGCCAGACATGAAATATAGCCACGTTTTCGGTCGATGATATTCACCGAATGAAGTAATCCGAAGCAACAAGAATCTGACCCTTATAAGAACAAGATCAAGGAGTCACCGGGGCGAGATCCAGCCAATCTGAAGCCGGAGTTGCCATCGCCTTTGCGAAGTTCCACTTTTTGATGTCACGTATTGATAACCCTACATTGACTTGACAGCAATGAAACAGGTCTGTAACTTATATGACTCCGAGATAACTTTGCAGGTTAATAATACAGGTATCGAGTATTGCCACTGTACAGGGCTACGTAGTATACTGATGAGATCAGTGCCTTGACGTCACTCCTGGGTTCCAGGATGAAGTATACCAGAGCACGTATAAATTGGTGACAGTACATGCTTAGGTTTAACAATTCAGTCAATCTTCCCAATCATCAAAAAAAGCATCTTCCAACCTTTAATTGCACAATGAGTACTCTCCAGGATATCGATTCCGCCAACAACCCCAAGCAGGGCTTCAAGCCCTCTGTGCCACCAGGAGGCCCTATTACCACCAAGGGTGTATGTAAACCTCAATAATCGTCACAGAAGACATAGAACTGACATCATATATAGCACCAACCCGGTCGCAAGGTCAGCGAAGCCGACCAGCGTTCCGAATTCCACGCGGAAGCTCACCCTCAAGGTACCGCGCCTGCAAGCAGCTCCTACACAGCGAACCCCGTCTCGGAAGCCGGCGGACAGGCAAACAACCCCAATGTGTACGGTGGATCCGACAAGGAGCCCACATACACGTCTGCAGCAGACACCCTAATGGGCTCGACCTCAGCAGATGTCGACCAAGGCCTCGGCAAGCCCCTACAAGGTCAAACCAGCGTCGAGCTCAGGCACGATGGCCAGCATGGTCGCAAGAAGCAAACCGCCGGTTTGGAGGGTGTGGGTGCCTCTGCTCAGGATCGAGATATTGAGCGCCGGTTCCCCGACCAGCGCGGTCTCGAACGGGAAGAGGCTGACGTGAGTGGCACCCGGGGTGACAAGGCTTCTCGTGCTGCTGAAGAGATGGTGCCTGAGTCTGCTGAGACTCTGAGCCGGGAGTGGAAGTATGAGCCCGGCACTAAACGAGACAAGGGACAGCAGAGAAAGCACTAAGCTACGCCTTGATGATGCGGAAGCTGGTTTTCCCATTGATGTTATAACGCCATGCGATACTGTACTATTATTGTTCATTCCTACTGTAGTATTCAGTAAGCCTGAGAAAACATTTCATTAACTATCTGATCTTCCGCATGTTCTCAAGCACTGGTCGAACGACAGTTCTCAATAAAATTCATTGCCCGCATAATAGAAAGCCGCGTAACAGAAACACTTAGCAGCGCTTCTTGAGTTGCTCATACAATAGAAGAGCAATCTCCTCGTCCTCGGCTGTGGTATCCACCGGTGGCTCCTGTGTGACCTGCGGCAGGATAATGCGGTGGTCAATAGAGCTATCCTTGGCCAAGCACTCAGCTGATGCTACCAACTGCTGTAATTGAGGAGGCCTCGCTGACCATTGGGATATCAGCTGCGAACTCTTTGAGTAGAGCATTGTGGTGCGCGGTGGAAGGGCTCTCTCCTGCATTCGCAATGTCGGTTCCGTATGCGTCAACACCTCTGATAAACCGCAGTGCATCTCTGACTGCCATAGAATCTGTGTTGGTTTTTATTTTCAATAGCGCTGAAACAAGTGCCTCGGGAAGACTTGGCAGCTGTGTCATCAGACCCATTGTTATCGCTTGAACATCTGTCAAGCCACTAGTAGCAGCAGCTACTAGTCCAGTCGCAACAGGGTTTGACTTTCATGATCCTCGCAGTTGCTCCAGATTGATTGCATCTTGCATCAGGTGGCTATTTGCAGCGTTGCGATCCTGCCTGAGTATCTTGGCACAGATGCGGGTCCACTCAGCACTGGGTTGATTCATGTCCTGTTCCGCAGGGGGAATACTGCTTGTGGGAGCATCGCTTGGCTTCTGGGAGTCGATTACCTCGTTGAAGAGGAATTTCTCACGGGGGCCGGAATATGTTTCATCGCTGCTGCATGTGCTTTCGCCGTCGCCGTGAATGCCTATGTCATCTGTATCGCGAAGCAAAGTTTTCCTACTCAGGTTTGTTTGGCTGCCTGATGGAGCCACTGCTTCGTCGTCGTCTGTGGCTGAATCCATGATCCGCGCAGCTGTGAGACAGAGATAGAGGTTGGTATTGGTGTTGCGGTGCAGGAGTGGATGGGGTCGTAAAGCGAAGGAAGATAGGACTGGAAGAGGTGGAAGATGTGGAAAGCCGAAGCAGACGGGAGTGGAAGAATTAAAATCGACAAGATCAAAGTTGAAGATGTGATTGTCGTAGAAGTGAGGATTGGAAGCACTGATTGTCGAAGAGGTGAAAGGCAATAAGACGAAGTGAAGATTGGAAGAACTGATGAGTAAAAAACGGAGGTTGGAAGCAGTAAAATAGCAAAGTAAAAATAAAAAAGTAAAGAAGAAAGCGTTATGCGTGATTCAGTGAGCTTGCAGAGCATTTGTTACTCGATATTATGGTACAAAGATAGACCGCTTGAAATGCAGACCACTAACAAATTGTAAAATACAATCCAGATCTCAACGTGTTCCGCTGCATTTGACTAGCCGCGTTTAACCTCCTTCTCAAGCTTGTCCAAGGCCTTCGCGTACTTGGGCTTGAGCGAGCCGAGTGAGTCCGGCTTGATCTGGACACGATCGATGTTTGAGGTACGTGTAATCCGGCCATCCACACTAGCAGCAATTTCGTTGGCAAACCAGCGACCTTCGCGATGAGCAACCAGAGACCACGCCGAACCTGCCCGGCCAGCACGTGCGGTACGTCCCACTCGATGGACATAGGTAGTAACACTTGTTGGGATGTCGTAGTTGACAACATGAGTTAGAGAGTGGAGATCAAGACCGCGAGAAGCACGGTCGGTGGCCACGATGACCGAGATACGGCCTTGGCGGTAAGCCGTCAGGGTCTTGCGAGATGCAGAAGACTTGTTAGATTTGATGATTGTTCCTACACGCTTAGCCAGTGGTGGGTGTAAAAGCGAGATGAGGCGTGAGAGACGTGAGGCAGATTCTGATGATTTGGTGAAGATCAAGACAGTCTTGCGCGTCGACTCAGGCACCAGGTCCATGGCATCAGATTCCGAGTCAGCGTCCGAAGACTCGTCTGAAGAATCGGAATCAGACGACGAATCAGAGTCGGAGTCAGAGTCAGACTCGGATTCCGAATCAGATCCAGAAGAGGAAGTGTCATCATCGGACGATTCATCGGAGCTAGTATCGTCATCGCTGGTGTCATCGGAGCTGGTGCTGTCAGAGTCGGATGAATCAGAAACGTTGGAAGCAAGATCTCCGCTAAGATCAATGTGAGATAGAAGGAGACGCAGCAGGTAAAGCGGTTTGAGAGATCCGTCGCCGACTTGAACAATGTGTTCGGACAAGGTTGGTGGCAAGGCGAAGTGAGCATCGGGATGAGTGGCAGATAGGTCTTCCTCGTTTGAAGCATCTTCGGACCCGATGATAATCATCTTAGGGTTGGCAAGGCGCAACGAATTGAGCTTCGAGATATCGCGAGTCATTGTTGCACTCAGAATCACCTTTTCTAGGTGGCTTGGCTTCAATAGAAAGTCCAAGCTCCGATAGAAGTTTGCCGCCAGGGCCGAAGGTCTCTGGCGCCTGTCGGCTGTCTAACGAGTGCATAATGACATCAACCCACTCTTGGAAACTTTCGTTCAAGAGACGATCAGCCTCATCAATCACGAGCCATTCTAGATGCTGCAATGTGAAGCCTTTAGTGTAACGAATGTGGTCAACTAGACGGCCAGGGGTACAAATAAGAATGTCAACGTTGGGCTCTGATCGTTGGATGTAACCAGGAAGAGAACCATTTGAGTCGACTGCTTCGCTGACACAATTTTCAAGGCTCAGGTTCATCCAGTCATTCCCTACCAGTCCATCCCGTTGTTGCTGTTGAATGGCTGGATTGTAAACCTGGTCCACTCGCATCAATTGCTTCTGTTCATCTTTGATGGCCACATTGCCCACTGCGCTTCCAATATGAAGTCGCGATCCCGTAGCACAAAGTTCACAGGCTTCACGGGCTTGCTTCACCAGTTCTCGGGTGGGAACTACAATCAAACCCCTTAGTCTCGAGGCAGGTCGTGGCGTTAGAGCAGTGACCAATGGAAGGACATAGGAAAGTGTTTTTCCAGATCCAGTGGCTGCAGAAATACAGAGATCGCCAGGGTGGTTCTGCTCGCCTTGAAGAAGCAGGGGAATAACAGTGGACTGTACAGCGAATGCTTCTTTGTAGTCATGCTGTTGGAGAATTTTGAGAAGGTCTGGCTTGATCCCCAATTCGGAGAACTCGGATCTGACGTCGGCCGACTTCCGTAGAGGGTTTGCCAGCCAGGGAGGTAGAGAGGAATAAGTTGGGAGTTGCTCTAGCTCTGGGGGATTTTCAGGCTGCGGCAATGGCTCGAGGCCCTGTGCAAAGACGGGTTCCACAACAGGCGTCTCATCTTCGACAGTTTCAGGCTCGGGCTTCTTGGATTTGGAGCTGGCGACAGTTTTGGTGCGCTCGAATTTCGACAGAATACCCGAGTGCTTGTTCTTGGATGTTTTGGGTTTGGCTTCCACCTCCTCATCGTCGCTATCTGCATTTACAGGTGCAACCTCATCATCCAATTTGTCGCTCTCGCTAGTGCTCTTTCGCTTGCCGCTCTTCGACTTCTTTCCCGTTTCACTGACATCGTGACGCGAGTCTGTAGTACTCTCTTTGCTGCGGTTTGCCGAGATAGCACTTTCTTTCTTGGACGTTTGCGGGGAATCTTCTCCCTGGAGAGCATCCTTGAGTCGCTTGCGCTTTTTGGTGCTGCCATCATCGTGCTCGGTTGACTGTTCGGTTGACAAGCTTTCGCGCTTCTTATGCTTTTTCGTCGGCGTGGGAGAGGTGGCGACCTGGGGGACATTCTGATCTCTCTTTCGCTTGTGAGATTTGGCGGAATTTGGGTCCACATCGCCTTTCGAGGACTCCCTCGTCTTGTGGCCGGCCATTATTCCGAAAATCTGCGACTGTTGCAGTTGCTGAATGCGTGGGGAACAAATTCCTTTTCTCTGAATCTTTTATGCCGGCAGAAAGCAAAATAGCACCACCGCCCCGCTTACCGCTGTTCTTATCGACGGGAGTCAACAACAGCTTCTCCTTTGGCGACAACTTGCAATGAATGCGACTTTGAGCAGCAGTGAGATCTGTTAGCCATGGAAAGGAAGCTGCTACAAAGAGGAAAATTGACGTCTCGGGGTTCTGAATCCGAGAACCACAATCACGATGCCGTATAACATTGCGTCAGTACCGCTCCATTGAATCGCAATGACTTGCTAACATTGCTTCTGGTGGCTGTAGTATGGTCAGTGACTTCTTCTTCCCACAGTCAGGTATGTGTTTCAGGTGGTCCGATGCTTTTGGTGCAATAACTAATTTGGATAGGTGGAATTGAAAGTCACATCTACCAACTGTCGTCCGTAAGCGCTCGGCCTCGTCGCATTCTCATCTATCGTCATTCTAATCGCTTTTTAGAAACTTATCGACCGAGGACACAAAGTCATTGTCATTACACATGCATACAAAGGACGCACCGGAGTCCGTTACCTCACCAATGGACTGAAGATCTACCACGTTCCCTTCTTCGTTATCTACCGCGAAACAACATTCCCTACCGTTTTCTCATTCTTCCCCATATTTCGAAATATAGTCATTCGAGAAGAGATCGATATTGTACACGGACACGCCAGTTTGAGTAGCTTCTGTGGAGAAGCTATCCTTCATGCGCGCACCATGGGTCTGCGGACCGTCTTCACAGATCATTCCCTGTTCGGATTTGCCGACGCAGCTTCTATTCTTACCAATAAGCTACTCAAGTTCACATTGAGTGATGTTGATCATGCAATCTGCGTTAGCCATACCTGGTGGGTATTCCTTGGATTTGCTGTGATATCCTACTAACAAGTCGCAGCAAGGAGAACACAGTTCTTCGAGCTTCACTGGACCCGTTGATGGTATCAGTTATCCCAAATGCCGTTGTGGCAGAGAACTTCTGTCCTTTATCACACACCACCCGTCCGCCAGATCAGACCCTGAGCTCACCACCGGATCCTCCACTATCCCCGCGGCCAATTGGCCCCGACGACCCAATTACAATTGTAGTCATCTCTCGCCTCTTTTACAACAAGGGCACAGATCTACTTATTGCCGCTATTCCGCGCATTCTTGCTTCGAATCCCAACACCCGCTTTATCATTGCAGGATCAGGTCCCAAAGCAATCGACTTGGAGCAGATGCTAGAACGCAACGTGCTGCAAGACAAAGTTGAGCTACTGGGCTCAGTACGACACGAGGAGGTTCGAGATGTAATGGTGCGAGGTGACATTTACCTCCACCCGAGTTTGACGGAAGCGTTCGGGACAGTCATTGTCGAAGCTGCCAGTTGCGGTCTTTACGTGGTGTGTACCCGGGTCGGCGGTATCCCGGAAGTATTGCCCCAGCACATGACAACGTTTGCCAAACCGGAAGAAGATGATATCGTTCTTGCAACCAGCAAAGCGATTTCGGCTTTACGCTCGAATCGAGTGCGAACCGACCGATTCCACGACCAAGTGAAAATGATGTATTCCTGGCGGGATGTGGCCGAGCGCACGGAGCGCGTATATGAAGGAATCATTGGTGACATCAGCCCAGAGGAGTTTTATGGATACTATCCTGGCCAGGGCTGGGAAGCGAGCGGTGATCGCGTTCGTAGTTTCGCACTCATTGATCGGTTGAAGCGATATTACGGCTGTGGTGTCTGGGCCGGAAAGCTGTTTTGCCTTTGCGTTGTGATCGACTTCCTGATCTACGTTTTCCTTGAGATGTGGTTCCCCCGTGCCAATATTGATATCGCCCGAAGCTGGCCCAGGAAGCCACCTGCGCCCAAATCCCGCGACTCCAACACTTCTCGGGTTCTTCGATGAGACCGGAGGGTCAGCATTGATTCTATTTTGTCGACCATTATTGCAACCACTTCTGCTCCGCTTGCTTCGAACACCCTTTCCACTGACAGATCGCTTGAACCTTTGAGGGCGGTGAACTTCTTTGTACATAGCTATCCCAGTCCAAATTTATATACTACATAATATATACACGAATCCAAAGACTCTATCCCGTTTCCTGGAACTTTACTCATAGTAGAGATACTGTTATGGATATCAAAAGGTCAAACGCCAGTCTTTCGGGTAACACAGCATAAATGAGCAGCAAGATTGTAAATTGTATATGTAGATACAGCATGATAGTATAGTAAATAGCTTTATATATCTGCGTTAAGAGGACGAGTTTATTTCTAATTCAATAATTATGATAGCCAGATCTATGCAGGAGAAACCTGCTGCTCTTCCTTGGGCCAGCTAGCAATAGTCGTTGCGTTACCAGTCAAAGTAAAGGACATCACAGCAGAGCGCTCATTGTTCAGCGCAAGCTCATATCTCCCGGGATAAACAATGCGGTTGCCGGATTCATCTGTTCTAGCGACATTGTCCAGCGAGATTGGGATCGACATGGTCTGAGAGCCGTGAGGTTTGATAGAGCCGAGACGATCAAAACCGACAAGCCACTTGTTGGGGTAAGGGCTTGGCCCGGCAGTTGTGTTCACAAATGCCATGGCAGTGTAATCTGAAAGGAGACTGCCCGCGTTGGTAACATCGACGGTATAGTTCATGAAAGGGAGTTGCTCAGCCACATTATAGCCAGCGTGGGATCGTGACAGAAGCTTGACTATGTCGAAGGCGGTTCCGTTACTGGTCGATCGGGAGCGTGCGAGAGATACCTTGAATTTAGTGTAGAACAGTCCATGTCCGAACTCATACACGGGCTTTCCTGTGTACCACTTGTAGGTCTGGCCTGGGTTGTCGCCGCTGGGGCGCAGGTTCATATCGGTAGCCGGGAACTGCGTGGCATACTTGGCGGGATACTGGGTTACTGTCAGACGGCCAGCGGGTGCTCGCTTGCCGGTAATGATATCCAGCAATGCAAGACCACCGGACTGTCCAGGATAACCGCCCCACACAAGGGCGTTGACATTTTTGTTGGCCTCTAGAGACGACGAGTCGACTTGGCCACCGCCCATCTGCAGAACAATCAAGGGCTTGCCTAGCTGGCTCAACTGTTTGATGAGATCAAGCTGGTTACCAGGCCAAGTGATGTTCATGCGGTCCAAGCCTTCAGCTTCGACAGTGTTATCGATTCCACCAGCGAAAACAATGACATCTGACTTCTTCGCAGCGGCGATGGCAGCCTCAAAGTCATCTGTAGTGTGTGAGGAGATGTTGGTGCCAAAAGCATAGTTGACGTCGAGACTCGATTGCTGCAGTGCGGCGAGCGGTGTGGTCAGGTATGGGGCATTTGCAGCATCAAAGTAATTGCCGACAAGCCCTTGAGTGAAGTTCGCCCATGGCCCAATCAAAGCAACACTGCTGGTGTTCTTGGACAGTGGCAGAGTGCCGTCATTCTTGAGAAGAACAATGCTCTCTACTGCAGCCTCGTACGAGATGTTCAAGGCGTCGGTTTTGACAACGTCGGACCAATCAAGGTTCCGATACTTGCTGTCCTTACCATCAAAGTATCCCAAGCTGGCCAGGTTGGAATACAGACGAATAACGCCACGCTCAATTTCACTGCGAGAGATCTCGCCCTGGGCGAAGGACTCATTGAGGTAGTACTGATATGAAGTACCACAATCAATATCAGTACCAGCACGGATTGAGTCTGCTGCGGCGCTAGACACATTCCCAGCGTACTCATGGGGATTGAAGACGTTGTACACAGCGTCGCAGTCCGAAGAGACGTAACCATCCTCGACAAAGTTCCAGCTGTCACGGAGGAGCGTCTGAAGCAGGAAAGAGTTGGCCGAGCTTGGTACACCATTGACAGCATTGTATGAAGACATGACACTGTGTACCCGAGCATCTCGGACAGCAGTGACGAATTGTGGAGTGTAGTATTCGGCTAGATCTTGCTGCGTAATGTTCATGTCGTTTCCGAGACGAGAGTGGTTGTCCCAGTTCTCAATGTCATAACCCGCATAATGCTTTGCGGTTGCGACCAACTTCAGGTGCTCAGGGTCCACGCCTCCCTGAATTCCGGTGATGTATTCGTAGGCGTATGCGGACGCGAGGAATACGTCTTCACTGGGAGTTTCTTGACCACGACCCCAGACCGGATGACGGAAGGTGTTGATATTGGGCGCATAGACATCCAACCCATATCGACCCACGTTGTTCAGAGCGCGACCTTGGGTGGAGATGATGTCACCGATCTGGTTGATCAAGGTCCGATTCAGGGCAGCCATGCTGAGGATGGGAGATGGGAAAGAAGTTGCCCAGCTGTACTCATCAGAGTGGGTAAAATTCGCTCTGTCTAATCCGTGGAGAGCTTCAGACCATACCTGTAATCAATTAACATTAAAATTTCTAATAACTTTTGGAGAGCTTCACTCATACCTGATACCGCGGTAATCCCAGCCGAGGAATCGCAGGTATGTTGTTCCCAGTGCTATTAACTAACTCTTCAAAATTGAACAGCGTTACCAAGGCAGCAGCGCGGTCATGAGGCCTGGCAGACGAGTCGCAGACCAGAGTTTTGCTCAATGGACCATTGGAGCAGTCGGGGAAAGAGAGATCAATAGTAGCCACCGTCTGAGGAGTCAAATTGGGCTGAGGCTCGGTGTTGTAGTCGACATAGCTTGTTTGAGCCTGCGCCAGCGCGGTGGGCGCAAAGGCCAGTAAGGAGAACACCGACTTCATATTGAGTGATGTTTTGATCAACAGCCCGGCAGCAGCTTCAAGTTATACGTCGCCGGCTATAACAGATCTATAGCCGGAGCTCACCCCCACACAGCCCAATCGGGCAAGCAACAGTCGATCCCCCGAGGTTTAGCCTGGGGTTGTTCACGCGGGGTTTCGCCGAGTTCGTTGCGAGTCGTGCAGGTGTTTAGCCTGAAGTGTTGTGAAAATGTGAAAGTGTCCAAATGAGTTCTGTTTGCATCTGCCTAACATCCCATAGTTGTATCGGGAAAGCTCCTTGCCGATTAACGTAAGATTTAGCCTACCGTCTCGGCGTAAGCCATCCCAAGCCATTCAAGCCATCCGAGTCTTGGAAGTATAACGGAAATGAAAATATTCTTGGCAAATTATCTGCGAATTTAGCCTGAAGCTGTAGATATGATGTGATGCAATAACATCAGGCCAGGTTTGCTTCCCCTTCCCCCGCTACCAGTTTTGCCGAGTTCCCCCTTACTTCCGGTTATATTCTGCCTTTCTCTTTAGCCATTTCTCTAAAGTTGAGTATTCCTAATTGCTATGAGGTTTTTGGGTCTTCGTTCATCAACAATGGTGAATGTCTGGGTCTTGCAAAAGAATATACATTTTGCCTATAACTTAAGCCCCTTTCTTAGCTCCCTATACGTAATATAGGTCATGGACATAGAGAAAAGTGGGTTAAATTAAGTCATATGAAGTCATCTAAAAGGTGCCCAGATATGGGTGTTTGAGCTCTAAATATTCCATCGATTCTTATATGTCCAACTGGATGTAAATCATGCGTCTTCTGAATGATGAGTATGTGATAGATACGAGAATCAAGAAAGAGATCAGAGAAAATAACTTGGCTTGAGATCAGAAATACCAGCCAGTGACGGGAAAAGAGAATATCCATTTGTATCAAATCTGATCGTTGTGAAGGCATCAACTGACCGGCAAAGACATAACGCTGGCAGCAAATAGCACTTCACAGTCCAGAAAAATACAAAACATCAAGAGATCCACAACCTTACCCGTTTTTAGATAAAAGCAAAAACAAATGGAAGGCGCAAGAGAATGTATGGAATGTTCATACTTTCTCCTCCTGGGGGAGGCATCCTTCTCAGTGGTCTCTGCCAAAACATCAGTATCGAGTCTATATGGAGGTGTTTGAGAAGTCACCTACTCTCTTCCGGAACTTCCTGTACCTGGGAAACACTGCTCGGGTCGACGTCTGCCGCCTTCGGTGAGCGTGTTAGTTGATGATACTAGATGGCCATAGAGAACTCATGATGGTCAAAGAAGCATTAAGAGATACCTCGCACCCAGGATCCTCCTCGGTCACTTCAAGCTCCTCTTTGACTGTTTTTTCCTAACATCATTGTCAGTAATTAGCCTCTGCAATCTCCAAATGATAGTAGTGATTGGCAGGGGCAATGCTAGCGTGGGACACAATATATGAATACGCCATATAATAAGCCATATCCAGTATAGGACCGCAAATCGATGCTGCAGTTGGTTATAAATACCTCTTCATTGTCCGAGGAGAACTGGTCATGATCCTCGCTGAGGTTGCGGAGCTTCTGTGTCGAGGGAAGATTGTTAGCTTCAGCTCAGTGTGCCAACAGAAGACCAATAGGGAATAAACTGGCCAAGCCCAATGAGATGCTCAGATTCACATCTCTCATGTTTTTTCTCTTTTCGCGACGGTCATCTCGCGCGTGCCAACGGATCACAGAAGGGTCCGCCATGGGTGACCATCGAGGGGTTTTTATCGGCGATGGCAGAGCGGGAGGCGAGAGAGGAGAATTACTCATGATAGTGAGTGCTCTCTTCTCTTTGCGAAGAGAAGGGCTGTTGCTTTTTTGGTTGCGCTGCAGGATGTAGAGAAAGGGACGGTGAAGAGAACTAAAGATGTGAACAAAGAAACCTGTGATCACCACCTTCCATTGTTCTTTCCACCCACGACTCGACTCCATGCCACTAGCGGATGGCGCCTTTTGTTAGCTTATACGACTTTCGTTTCTCATATCAGTCCAGCCAAAGATTGGCCTCTTTTAAATAGCTTCATATTCAAACCCGATTGAACGCCAGAAGTATTCATTGGTCTCAAAAATAGTAGGTAGCAGACCCAAAAACAACCAATACTGCATTGATTCAACATCGTCCCAAATCCGTGGCCATCCTAGCTAATTTCCACTTAGACGCATACATTCATCTGTGTGTGTAGGGTTCAGTAAGTGATCTTGAAAACCCATGCAAATTGATCTGCCCTTGCAACTTCACTGCTCACAGACAGGACCACACTACCATTCGCTGTCTTCATTGATGGGATTTCGGTACCGTGCATGTGGCCGCCGACAACAGTTAAGCTGTCGCCTTCCAACCAGGGAATCGGGCTTGACAAGGTGAGCGTGTTATTTGGCCTTGTCAAGCAATGGATATAGAAAGCATCTTGTGAAGTCGTGAATCGGATATTTTCGCCTTCCTCGGGGGCAACAAACCAATAAGATGTATCGTATATAGCTTCAGCATGGCTCTTGATCCACCTCCCAGCCTCCCGGAGGTGTTGCTGTTCAATGTCCAGGATGGTCCCATTTGCCATAGGACCGATGTCAAGAAGGAAGTTACCATTCTTAGACACAATATCAATCAGTGTGGTGACTATCGCCGAGGCGTTCATATAGCTGGCCAGAGGGGTGGCGCGATTGAATCCATAACTGTATGGATCCATGCCAGCACTGCTTTCCCATTTCCGGCGTTGAACACTTTTATACTGAGCATATTCCGGAGTATCAAAGTCACCTGGAAGGCCGCATCGAGCATTCATGACAACCTGTCGGTTTTCCTCTGCGGCACGGTTGAACCACGCTGATGCGAATTCCGCTGTCTTGTTGGGTCCGCCAATATCACACCACAGGATCTCCGTACCAAGGTCCGCCAAAATATTCATCTCAGGCAGTATCTTGTCGTCGATAAAGTCTGCCAGTGGCACATAGCCAGTATATGGCAAGGTCTCGTTCGTGAAAGGATTGGTGGCATTTCCTGAGGGCGTCAAAAACAAACATGAACAAGAAGAAGTTGACCATAGACATCTTACCTCCTGGCCAACTGCCAAATCCGTATTTCTTGTAGTCTGGATGAAACCATTCAGGGAGTGAGTAGTATACGGCCCGGTGCAGATGTGGCTGATATTTCTTGGCTGCATCAAATAGTTCCTGAAGGGATGAGCTTTATATTATGGGACACTGGACGCCTTCCGTACCTTGACCAAATTTCGATGTGGTGTGAGGGCTACAGATGTCCTCATGGAGATGTTTGCTGGGAGATCGAAAAGAGCATAGCCTTCATGATGCTTGCTAACTTGCACAAAATACTTGGCACCGGCATCTGAAAATAGATCGACCCATTCTTTGGGGGAGAATGCATCTACAGTAAAGTCGTGGATGAAATCATCGTAAACGACGTCCGGTCCATACTTGTCCAAATGGTAACCAGAGGTATTCGTAGGGTCATTCGCGGTGTTCAAGGACCACCAATACCTTTATGTTTTGAGAGATGAACGCAGCTGCTTGAGATTATTGACTTACCATTCTGCATAGTTTTCTTTAGAACCAGAGTTTCCCCAGCCTGGCACAGAGTACACACCGAAATGTATGAAGATACCAAATTTGGCATTGTTGTACCAGTTTGGGGATTCATGACTGTAGATCGACTCATAATTGGCCTCAAATGGGCGAATTCCATACGTTGCATTGAAGGAATATGGCGCCGAGACTACATCATGCCCACTGATAATGACTGTCGCTGGACCACTGCTTATGGGTACTCCCTTCCTGTTTTGAACACCAATCTCAACTGTAGCTTGGTCTCCAGGGCCGAGTCGTTTGATAATAGCAGCAGTTACGGTTTCGAGACCGGGCGAATGAACTTGGATGCGCACACTGTTGTTTCGTGTAATGGGGGAAGATCCAACGTTGTTGACAAGGGCTTCAATGATCTGAACTTTGTCGGATCCATCAATCCACTTTTGCGTAGAGCGAGCGTATTGAATCTCAAGTCTTGGAGTATTGGACTGATATTCGGGTACCGGCAGTATTGACAGCGCAAAGATGTGCAGTTTTGTGTTTACTGACGCGCCCCCGGGCTCAGTTGACGCACCAGTCGAGGAATTAGGAAGCGAGAGAGAAACGAGCTCTTTCGAGGAGTCGAGCCAGTTGACAGTCTGGAAAATATTGGATCGATTGAAATTGGTGGTATTTTCTGTCAAATAATGTCCGAACGAAAGGTCTGCACCAGCAGGATATGGCCAACTCCACCAAGCCGGAACTAAGAGGGGCCCAGATGTCGTGCTGCCATCACTATACTTTGCTTCAATAGAGGCAGATGCCATCCCTGTCTCGGAAGCCGCAAGCATCTGGTAACTGAAATACTTCGATCTTGGGACAAGAATCTCTTGTCCTTGTACTAGTACATTGTCATATCCTGAAGCATTGAAGTTGGAAAACCGATAGAAGATGCCCCCGTATGTAAATTGAGAAGGTGGCATTTGATCTGCTGGATAGGAATCTGTCGACAGTTAATCTAATCCATTTGTATACGCCCGAGCTACTCACTCCCTGAGCCATCGAAACTAGAATCATTTGGCTTGAGTCCAAATGCGCGATTGTTAAAGTAATAACTTAGGTCAATAGGCACAGAGGCATTGTTGTGGGTCAAACTCTTATACTCATTTTGTGGCTTGAATATCACGGCTTGGGTGGTGGATATACACACAAACAGCGTGTAAAGCGTGAGATTGAGAAGCTTCATGATCAAGGGATAGAGAAGATCCTCTGCTTAACTGAATCTCACATTACACTGGCGCATTTTATATCACAATTCATCGTGTCGGACTTCCCCGCACATAATATGGTACAGAGACATCTGCCATGTAACTCTGATGACGGGTAAATACAGTTGATCGGCATGCGGGGGTGGCGGCCTTTCACGGAAACAACACCGAACTGCATCGGCTTTTGAGTTTTGATGAGGTAGGGAATTTGGCCGTGAAGACTGCTAGTTGTTGTTTCCAGCTCTAGGTGAGATGTCATGGCTATTACCTGTCGCTAGGCATAGGGAACATCAGTTGGGATGTGCGTCTATTTGGATGGATGACTCAAGCTTAACTAGAAATGATAATGGCTGGGTCTTTATGAAAATGGTAAGGTGCCATAAGGAATATGTACATAGACACAGAGAATTGGATAGGCATCGACCAACTCGGATATAAAGAAAACAGTTTCCTCTACCTCCTGGACTGAAGGCTTCAGAGACAATGGCCTTCAAGAACTTGATGCTGTTCATTTATCTCCGAATCAAGTCTTTCTCTGCTCTCCGCGATAAGCGGCTGTTGCTTAAGAATAAGGCTTTACTGAGGTACCACCACAACGCTAGGTGACGGTGAATTGGGCGCCGAAATCGGCTAGGTTTGACGACATTTTAAGCGTCCTATTTGTCGATTTCAAGAGATACGGTACGCGCTAGTTCTACGATAGACCAATGGTCGGCCTTATAGCATAGAATGAGTGTAATTCCTAGAACTGACTTAGCGCGCAGCGAATATTTGACCCCAACGGTGATGTAGGTGCTGTTGGTCCACCAATTAAGTGAGACTTGCGCTTGCGCATTGGCATAGAGGAAGATGTGGTGGAATACTATCATGATGATAGCGCCGACGATGAAGCGGAGTATTGGGTGCCATTGAGCACGCGAGATAGCATTAAGACCCTGGTCATGCCGGCTTTCCCCACGTGGACAACCGAGCAGATGGAGGAGTATCAGACCTTCTATGAAGAGCTGGACTTAGACGCTGCGGAGTCGGGTGCGGAATATGTGCCGATGACTTGGACAGCGACGAGCACGAGCAGGTCCATGACAACGTCCGCCTAGTTAGAAGTAGTTGGCAGATAATTGGTCTTTCTCTTAAATGCTTGTAGATAGTTCCTCTTCCACATGAAGTTTTTGTCTACATTTTTTCAATACATTTGTACCGGTAATGTGAAGATGTATGCATTTACCACATATTAGCAAGCATCAGGCGCATTCCGAGGTTGGAAATGGCTCAGGGGCCTCCATCAGGTCTAGGCTCCAGTGGAATACATATCATATGAATCTTAACATCCTTCCCTTTCCATACCCCGTACACAGTGAAATACCACAAGCACCAATGTCTGAGACTCCCATCGGAGATGGAAACCAGCAGGGTACCATGAACGGGACAGAGTCCGTGTCTGATATCGAGCCGCCCGGATCTGGAGCCCTGACTGTTCACCTTGGCTCCTCTTATTGTATGAACCTACCACATGACCCGGACCTACAAGATTCAGAAAGTCCTGCTCAAGGCAATACCTTCTCAAGTCGAGATCTCAAAACAAGATATTGATGGCGGCTCTACGCAATCGTAGAATATGAGGGGTTCCGGGTATCTTCAGAGGCGACGTATGTGAAAATTCCTAGATCGGTTTCTTGGGCATTGTTCAAACGGTCACTGAAACGGCCACTGAAGTTTGACGTCTCTGCCTCTCCTTCTTCTGAAATGACTGTGTCCATGTTCGCCGGGGACAAGAAGTTTGATGAATTGATGTCATCGGAAGGATATGAAAACCAGGTCATACCCCTTGGGCTAATTAACGTGAACCTGTTCCTGATTCAGAGAAATGCACCTGGGTCTCACAGTGGTGAGTATTGCGTAGACGTGCAAGATGGTACGGATACCCTGACGATTTCGACTTCGTACTCAAAGGAAGAAATGCCGACCTTGGAGACGAAGAATGTGTGGTCTGTCTGCAATGAGAGTAGTCTTGATTATCTTGGTCTTGTCTACGTTGAGAAATTTGATTCTGTATACGTTAGAAAGAAAGACACCGGTCGAAGCTATGGCATGCAAACAGTGGATTCTTGCAGCTGCGATCATGTTGCTGATCCCGGATCGATGCTGGCATCAATATGTTACCCAGCCTCAGTCTCCGCTCTGGGATCCAGCACCCTTTCATTGCACAGCCCAAATTTGCCTTCAAGTCGGCCGAGGCAACATTAGCCTGTGCAAGCCTCGAACTTTTGGCTTATAATCGCTACAGATTATGGAGGACGGTGACACGGATCGCACTATACCTGGGACACCACAGTACCCAGCCCCCGAGATTCTTCTCCACGGCCGCAAGCGCTTCCCCAGCAGTGGATTGGTGGGATGTGGGGATTATTCTCTATGAGATGTTAATTGGCATTCCCCCGATCTACAGCAAGGACGACAACGAGAGGCGACATAAAATTATTGGACAAGGACTACAGCTCCCTGAGAGTTTGCCGTCAACCGTCAAGGACATTCTAACCAGGCATCTTGATAAAGACCCCACAAAACGCTTTTTTCCGTAGCCTGAAATGGACTGAATGCCTTCAGCGGAAAATCATGACCCCTTTCAAGTCTCACGACGCCACAACGGTCTTTTCGCGGAAATCTGCAGAACTTCTGTACAAAGAAACGGACTGGAGTGACATGCTTTCGATGTTTAATTAGTCGGCAGACTGGCCACAGCGGGTTAGAGAAAGCCGGACTGCGGAAAGGGAAGCTTTACTAACCCGTGCAGAGGATGATAGGTGGGATCTACTGTGGGATCTGACAGTTTAAGAATTCCATTTCAAAAATCGCTTCACCGATGAAAAAGCTCCCGCTAAGCCCGAAGAAACAGATCATCAACGCAAACCGCCACCTCCACCTGCGACGGAACATCCCAGTGAGCGCCAGAAAGAGGACGCACTCGGGGCTGCATCGGAAGCTAGATACAGCAAGCGCGTGATCTTACAAACCCTTGGATACTGTCCAAACTTGAACGCAAATGTTCTACACTTTCGAGCATACACCCACCAACTCTCAGCTTTTAACGAATACGACTTACGCAGGGCCTGTTACACCACTCGAATGGGCTGTTGAGCACGAAAGATTAGATCTTCTTCGATCACGGTGCTAACGTGGACTCGACGCATTCTATAAGAGACGGACTAGCTCTGCTTAAGGCAGTCAGAAAAAGAAAGAACGTGCTAGTTGAGATTCTCCTGCGGAAAACCACCGACCGCGCCCGCACAAGAGCTCTTGCGCTCGAGATTGAGCAGGAGGACACAGTAACCGCTACCATTCTTCTGACACATGGTGTCTGCTGCGACTTTGAAGAGTCGGATCGACCTCTTTCGGAAGAACCCTTGGCATACCAAGACTACGACTACCTAGATTTGAAGCTTTTAAGAGCAGAGGATATTACGCCGCCTCTTATCCGGGCAGCCAGGCTGGGCAACGTCGCTCTGGTCAAATTGCTACTTGCACACGGCGCTGATGCCAACATTTTTCTTACCATGAGTTAGGCGGTCGTGGCCGGCCTCTTTCTGTCCATGAATTTGAAAGGACAGACGTCTTAATACCAGTCTATTTCTCCTGCGGAAGAGCTGTGCAAATAGCGATGGAGATGGGTCATTCTGAGATCGTCGATTTGCTCCTCGATGCGGGTGCGGATATCAATCTCGAACACTCCGCTTGGCCAATTCCAGCCTGGTCTGTTCCGGGTCATACTTGCCAGCCAGTCCCAAGGGCTGTGTACGTCGAGGTAACAGCTAGTCTGGAAGCAGCGGTGACCGCCAGAATCAGCCACAAAGGTTTATAGGAGAGGATCAGCAAATTGATTAAGTACGACAATTTCCTGCGGATGGCAACAAGCCAAAAGACGGGAGGGTTAAACTGAGCAGTCACTTGGAGTAGCCCAGGGGCGCAGAAAGCACGCCGTCACAACTTGTTAAATTCGAGCAGCTTTATTTAGCGCACAAAATAATCCACCCTGATCTCAATGCCCTCAGTGCGCTTCACTTACGCGCATTGATGTTCTGATCCGCTCCCCCTGCCTTCAATTAGGGTACTTTTATGGCTGGCACCGTATCAGCTTAATGGTTGACCACCTCATCCGCCGGCAGTTCATGTATACAGGGACCATCCCATGAGAAGCTTGGAGCCTGGCCTTGTTCGCGGCACATTTGGCTCGCCTTCGCGAGCAGATCCCTTCCAAAGGAAATGCTATTGGATCTCTGGGGTGATTGCTATGATAAGAGGGGTGATCAGCGGCCATGGCAAAGTTGGCACCAAAGTAAGTCAATCTGCGGCCTGAGTTCTGGTAGGTCGTTGTCCTGGCCCTATTGCTCAGAATATCAGTATTATCCGAAAATACCCACCAAGAACCAGCTCATAATTGCGTGCGTTATTACTAAAAATAGTTGGGTAGACTGTAGATATAATTTCGTAGGAGATTGATATAGATCGAGAGCATAGCCGTCTGGTGCTCTCGAATAGCAGACACCTATGTGCGCCGCACAATATCGGCTTCTTCATGCTTGTGAAGCAGACTTTGCCTGTCCCGACTAAACTTTCCCGTTGCGAACTTGTAACAATAGGTTACCTTAGGCCATACCGCTACTCGACTAGGTTAGTCGAGAGCACGTCAGCTATGGCGTTATGTAGGCGGGTGGCCCCATAGGTGTCTTCGCTTATCCTAGGTAGACTGCGACAATGCCTGTCTATAGGCCTTAAAGTATAGGCCTTCAGGTAAGGCCTATTGCCGTCCACGATGGGCCTCAGGCGTTTGGGCTAAGGGAAGGTCCGCCCATTTTTGTCTATAGGCATTGCCTGGCCTATTATAGGTAATGCCTATTCGCATAATTTTATATGAAGTCACCTAAAATAGACTTATAACTTGCTAATTTACTAGGATAAATTACTATTTTTTACCTACCTTTTATACGGTCGGAAAAATATAATAGTAATCATACTCGCGCAATTCTAAATAATTTGATCGTCATTGACCTGTATACATAAAGTCACCCTTTTATCCTGCTTGGTAACCAGCGATTCCCGTGTGGTTCTGTCGTATGTCATCTCCCCCGTGGACCCCGCTGTGGTTTATACCGCCCGCACTCCTCCACACCAACTCCCCATCAAGCCTGATGTCTTACTATGAACCCCAGTCTACCCAATTTCCCCTTGCCGGGCTCCTCTAGCCCTCCTGGCTTGCGATCCAAATCTAGTCGCCAGATTACCCGAAATCGCGCGAGCTACAGCTGTCACACTTGTCGCCGACGGAAGGTCAAATGTGACAAGGTATGCGATTCTGCTATGAATTTAGATGTAGCTAATGGATTACGCCTATCAGAGACATCCGATATGTGGAAACTGTGTGAAAAATAACACCGAGTGCATCTACGATGCTTCGGCGCAAAGGGATGAAGGTGCGCGTGACACCTCTCAGCATACGCACGGAGTCAAGCGACGGAGAGAAAATGCACAAATATTGGAGGAAGGAGTCGATGAGCTTCAATCGATTTATGGGCACTTGAAACAGGCCGAATCATCAACAAGCGACAAATCCGACCCCCGCGCAATTGAGTCACGATTGGACAAGCTCATGTCGATGATTGAGCGTCTTGGCGGAACGAACCAAGCCCTGGAAGCTGCAGCCGAGAAAGACACGACCCTCGATACGAAGGTGGAACCTACAACATCGAACGATCCACGGCCGAGTCATACGCATGGAAATGTAGCACTATCGCGACCTGCCAGCCCGCGTCGCATCGCGGCAGAATCAAGTGGCGACGAGTTCCCGATCCCGTCAGGCCGAGCTACTGATCTGGTCGACCCGGTTGGTAGTCTGAATTTGGGCCACTTAAGCTTGGAGGATGGTGGAAGATCAAGGTTGGTTGGATTCAATTCTTATCGAGAACTATTTTGACCCAGGCCAGATATGTCGGCACCACGTATTGGGCTTATATTTCGGATGAAGTATGTTATGAATCAATGCTATACTTGTGAACCCTTTGCAGCTAACTCATATTCCAGATCAATGAGCTTAATCAATTGCTGAGAGATCAAAATCGTTCGCATGATCAGCCAGCTCCAGAAAGAAACACGCAAACGCCAGACCCAGCTACCAATACACAACCGTCATGGAGGGAGTCAGTAGGCAGCTCAACGCCTTCGATGACACCCCCGTCCCGGTCGTTCCAGCAATCTATTATCTTTCCATCCGGTGATTCACCGTCAACAAATGAAAAGGTGGTGGAGCCAGAAATGCTTGACCATATTCCAACGAAGAGACAGAGTCACATTCTTTACAAAGGATTTATGTCTGGCGTACACGCCATCAGCCCTGTTCTCCACCCTCCCACTATTCTCAAGCTCTACAACTCCTTCTGGAACTGGTATGACTACAGCAGCTATTCAGGTGACCCTTGCCCAAGTCCATCATTCATACCACTGTTGTATGCCATTTGGTATGGCGGCTCGGTCACAATCTCAATTCGAGCAATCAAAGCTGAATTCAACGTATCTTCACGCTTTGCACTCTCAACGATGTATAGCGACGAGGCCACACGCTGGTTGACAAAAATATCATTCCCGCGCAGCCCTTCTCTTCAAGGACTTGCGGCCTATCTCATTGTGCAGACCATCGTTTCAAAAGAGGAAGAGCCTTTAACGAGCAGTCTGTTTGTTAGTCTGGCGATGAGGGTGGCACAGAACATGGGATTACATCGCGATCCAGCTAAGTTTGGCATCAATCCGTGCGAGGCAGAATACCGACGCCGATTGTGGTGGCATATTATGCATATGGATGGCGTCGTTGCGATGTCAAGTGGTTTGCCTCCTCTTGTCAGTGACGAAAACTACTGGGATGTGTGCGAGACCAGTGAAATCAAAGATACACTGTTGGACAGCCCAGCGGCCGAGCAGTATGAGAAATCGGTCGCATCTCATGGACGCCAACCTGACAATCCGGACGATCCCAACCTTTGCGGCGGGCCATCTATGGTCAATGTGTACTACCTCACTGCAAGGGGGAAATATGCCATGGCCCGTGAGTTAAATTTCCTTTTCGAGATGCAGCAGCTAATAGATCCCGTTAGGTGCTGTCCGACGGATACTGAAAATCCAGCTTGGTATCAAGCCTCTTCTTAGGCAGGACATGGAGGAACTTCGATCTATACTATTAGAATTACAGCTGAAGCTGAATTCAATAATACAGCGGATTCCAGAGGGCAACGCTCTTGACCATTCTTCGACCTCTGGTCGGGCTCTATCCATGTCCAAATCCCCTGTGGATGGTCGCTCCTCTGATACAGAGCTTCCAGGCGAGGGACCGACAGGATGTCCAGAACAATACCACTCCCCGGTTCTTGTTTGTTTCCATAAGTGGGCCAGAATCATTCTGTCTTTGTATATTGACAAGGTGCGCTTCCTAAACTCCATGGTGTTGTCCTTGCTAATCTTGTTCAAGGCCTTTTGTGTTGCCTATCAACCTTTCCTCAAGAACGCTCGCAGCCGCATTTGGCCTGCTGCACGACAGAGGTTCGTTGACACGCCGTTCCAAATTTAGGTTATATTCTGATTGTTATAGTGCACTTCGACATTGTCATGGGTTTATGAAGAAGTTCATTCAACTCGCAACTGATCCTGATTTCCAGCCATTCCAGTGGAGCTGGCCCGGGTAAGTTCTCTCTTTAAGGTTGACCAATATGTACACTAACCTTCTTCCAAGCAACCATCAACCTATGCATGCCACTATGTATGATTCACCTTCTACCTTTATGTCGCCCATCACACTAACGAAGTATAGGATCATGCTTATTGATTTGTATGAGCGACCTCATAGCCCCGAGGCATCAAAATCACGCGCATTAATCGACCGCATACTTGCTCTATCTGGTCCAGATGGAGGAGTCGTAGGGGGTGAGGACGGTGTATCGACACAACGACCATTAAAGGATGGAGGCCGTGAAGCCTGGGATATGATCCGTCGCCTTCGTCAAAAGGCCTGGCAAAAGGCGGGCCTTAATCCTCAAATGCTGTGGACTGAGCAGGATCAAATCCAAGCCGGTGTTTCCTCGCCAGCAGGTGATCCTCATGTTGATGGTCCGCTCTACGCTTCCCATTCTGGATCTCCAGCAGTGTCAAGACCAGCTTCTCGGGCTGCGTCAGCACATGACCCTAAAGTCAACGATTTCAACAAAACATTCTATAACATCACTCGCTCTCACAATCTGTCGAATCTCACCTCTACCTCTCCCCGACCCAGTCCCTTACGATATTCACAGAAACCCCAGGACAAACCCTTACCTTCCTTCAACACACAATACGATCCGAAATCTACACCCAGTTCCATGCCACCCCCTACAGCTGGTCCATATATCCCCTCATCCTCGCCGGAACTGGCATCATTCCAGGATGTGTCTCCGCCAATCCAGGCTCAGCCGCCTTCAGCCTCGACTATCCCCCTACAGCAAGACCAACAGCCACTTTCAAACCTCGCCCCTTCACACGCCATACCCTTCATGGATACATCCCCTCTAAATCCCATGCCTCTAGGCGACTCTACCCCACCTTCCATGGTCGATCCCAACCTCAACTTCGATTGGGACCAATGGGATGCGGTCTTCGGACAACATCTCCCCGTAGCAGATGATCTCATGGAACTAGATCCCGTTGCGGGTCTTGACTTTGCCAACCTTGGGAACGCATCAAATACTAATAATTCTTCCAGCGGGGATATGGCCGATATCTATCGCAATGGTCTTCCACTGGTACCTTCCCCGAGTGATATGAATTTCCCCCGTCCTGGAATGGCAACGGTGCTAGCAGTCTGGAGAACTCGAATGGTTGGTCGGGCTACTGATCGTACGACTTATACATAGAGTGTTGTTTGGACATAATTGACATACTTGTAATGCTAATGTTATGTACCTATAGTTGTTTCTAAATACTTAGTGATATGATATGTGAATTCTCTGTGCACCGTAATGTTTATATCGCAAATTTAGTAGTATAACGAACCATAGAGACTACATGTGGGTGCCCTCTGTGGTCTATGCGTTCGCTGTTTGGTCCCACCGGATCAGTTTCCGGGGATTGGCAAGGATTATCAGGGGTATCTGGGGCTATCTCCATCATGCAATCCTCGGTCAGATTCAATCATTGGTGATGATGAAAAGCCCAATGACCGTATGTTGATACTTTACTGTATGATGGGTACACCGAGGGGACTATAAAGCTAAGGAATCGAAAAAAAGTACGTAGGAACTCCAAAATTGGAGACGTAAGTAGATGATGAATTCATGAGGCGTAACTCTTGACCCAATGGATCACTCAATCAGGATATAAAGAACATGAGAGCATTATAGAACAGACACAGACCCAAGATGGGTATGTAGTTGCTTTGCGTCTGGTCTGGAAGTCTCACTCTTCCCTGCAGGGTATTTGTTCGTGAGATGCATTTCTTTTTATTGCCGCCTGCATTAGATCCATAACTATCTAGACCTTCTCCTCGCGGAGACCGTCGGCCCAGACGGTAGCGTAAGGGGTGACACCATCCTCACGGAAATCGATGAGGACGTACATAGCATCACCGTTCATGGACTCGCCCATGAGGAGATCGTAGTTGTCGTAGTTGGAGGTGAGCTTCTTCATGGCAACCTTGACCTTTTCCTGCCAGGCCTTGAGCTCGGCCTCGGACTTGGTCTCGGCGACACGCTTGTTGAGCTTCTTAATGTAGGCTGTAAAGAGTGTGAATTAGCCATCTGTACGGGGGACGGAGAAAAAGGTGAGCATACCCTTCAGGTGAGACTTGTAGCTCTCCTTGGAGGGCTTAAGACCTTCCTCGGGCTTGAGCCAGACGAGACGGAACTGGTCCTCAATATCGTGGACCATGACGGCCTCACCCTCACCACCCTCCTCCTCGGCGTCCTCGGCGGAGGGGTTGGCACCCTCGAGAGCGAAGTCCTCGTTCTTCTTCTTCAGGTACTTGCGGCAGTCAGCCTCCCACAGGATGTCGCAGTCCTTGGCGGGAACGAGGTTGAAGGTATCGGAGATGAGCTCGTCACCGGAGACAATATCCTAGATGCATTGTTAAATTGAAAGTGATCAAGGGGCGCTTGCGAACATACCTTGTAGATAATCATTTTGGCGGTAGGAAGAGACGTCTCAAAAAAAATAGAAAGAGAAGGGAAATTGGCGCTGGAAGAAGAAGAGAGAAAAATAAAGGAGGGGAAGAAGTTTTTTTTAGTGGCGGAGTGGGGGAATTTGGCTTGTTTGCTTCTCTCCCAAAGGGGTCTGGCCACCGCCTTAGCGCCTGATTATTATTTGTTGGTGTCTTGGGTGTTTTAGGCGGAAAGCAAATAGTTTTAAAGAGGGGATTGGTTTCAATTACTTTCTCTCCCTTTCGCTGGTGAAATTTGATGTACTTTAATGCGGTAAATTGAGTGCTTTGAGCGTTGGATGATCTGCCAACCCCCGGGGAACTATAGATCTGAGTCAGCAATCAATCTTTTACCATACCATACCGTATCTGCTCCTCTCTGCCACTGAACAACCCATCGATAATCGTTCTGTACTGTCACCCTTGTCCGTTTCCGTCTGGCGCCACCCGTCACATCCGTCTCCTGATCGAACTCGCGATCTTTTATCTTTTTATCACCTTCTTTTCCTTTCCTTCATTCTTATTGTCTTACACTTATACAGCCTCCCTAATTCTCGGTTGGGCACTTTTGCGTCGTTGTGTCGCGCCTGCTGCTCCTGTCAGCCCCGGACTTCCGCGGAAGTTGCTGGCATCCACTCTCTTTGCTTTCTTTTGACTCCACCTCTTTCAATCTTCGTCTCGAGACCTCTTCGACTTCGACCTCGCTAGCCAGCTTAAGGCATATTCCGCCATCATGGCCGTAAACGCTTCCGTCGCGTTCGACCTCCCTCCTTTGCCAACCTATACACTCAAAACGCGAGAGAACCTGCTTGATCCGATTCCCGATAACGTTCTTGCGTTGCTCTTACCCATCATCGCCTATTGGGGCATGTCCATGATCTATCACTATCTGGATGTTAATGAATACTTTGTTGAATACCGACTCCACACCCCCGCAGAGGTCTTGAAGCGGAATCGCGTGACTCGGTGGGAAGTTGTTCGTGATGTCGTATTGCAACAAATCATCCAGACCGTGGCAGGTCTTGCGGTAGTATATTTCGATGCGGAGGAGACTGTTGGAAGAGAGGAGCACGATGTGGCCGTGTGGGCACAGCGATTGCGGATTGCCCAGAAGGCCCTCCCATCATTGTTGGCTCTTGTTGGAGTGGATGCGGTTGGCCTTGCCAAGTCTATGTCCCAAAGCGGCCACACGATTCTCGCCGGAGCTTTGGCCGGTGGTTCCTACCCAAGTGCGACACAGTCGCAGATTCTCGAGAATGGAGCTGAAGTTCTCGCCCCCGCTTTCATGGGCTGGGAACTTGCAGTTGCAGGCTTCATCTACTGGTACTTCGTGCCGGCTCTGCAGTTTATGCTTGCCGTCTCTATCGTGGATACTTGGCAGTACTTCCTCCACCGGGCCATGCATTTGAACCGGTGGTTGTATGGTGGGTTTAATCATTCGAAGACTATTACTTATCTCTTATCTAACGGCCACAGTGACCTTTCACTCCCGTCATCACCGTCTCTATGTTCCATATGCCTTCGGTGCTCTCTACAACCACCCGGTTGAGGGATTCCTATTGGACACGGCTGGCACTGGAATTGGATTCTTGGTTTCCGGCATGACTAACCGCCAGGCCATGTGGTTCTTCACCTTCTCGACTATCAAGACTGTCGATGATCACTGTGGCTATGCCTTCCCCTGGGATCCATTGCAGCATTTCACCTCCAACAACGCCGCTTACCATGACATCCACCACCAAAGCTGGGGTATCAAGACCAATTTCTCCCAGCCTTTCTTCATCTTTTGGGATCGTCTTCTTGGCACCCAGTGGACTGGCGAGGTTAAGCTGCGTTACGAGAGAGCCCGTGAGAATGCCCAAAAGCAGGTGGACTTTGATGTTACCCAGACACCTGAAGCCGCTCCTGCTGTGACGGTTACAGAGGAACGCGAACACGAGCGCGTGATTGTCTCGCCCGAGGGGCCCGCCACCCGCACCCGTCTGCGCCGAAAGACTGTCGATAGTCTCAAGGGCCCAAGTCATGGGGTTCCTGGAAGTGTTCTCCACAACTAAAGCCGTCATGAAATGAAGCACGTGTCACTTTTTTATGCATCCCCAATCCCGTTCCTGGAGCTGCTGGTCGTCTCCGCCAGACTATGGGGCTTTCCGTCATTTTTGTATAAGGGGTTTTGGATCCCAATGTATTAATACCTTCAGAATGTGCTTGTCAGTGCTTTGTACATGGTTTGCTTTACGAGCTACTGTCAATAATGTCTATTCATTTGCCATCTACATTGGTTCTTCATTGGTGTTGTGTGAGATAATTCGATTTGCAAAAAGTTACTAGGAACAAAGGGAAAAGGGAAAACAAAAAACAAGAACTAACGAGCAGATAAACGCAGAAAAAGACAAATTATTCCACCTGGGCGATAATCCCAGTAGATATGGAAAACAAGACAAGAAGACCTCGAGAGTGAACATCAACTCTTCACCTCTTATTCGCCTAGCCACACACCATAGACCAGACGGTCATCGCGTCAGACTCGTACTTTGACATATGCCTTTCATGAGCCTCCCAATCCACAATTTCCTCGTCAACCCACTCGCTTTCCTCAGAATAGACCGACGGAGTATACTCAGATGCGGTGTACTGATGGGCTACCGGCACCTCGACCGAGTTGGAAACTTGACGATCATTGTGGCCTGTTGCCAAACGCTCCTCTCTTCGTTTGTACGGATTCGTTCCCATGTTTCGATACATATCAATCAGCTTATCTACTTCATCTCGAGGTCCAATGGCAGAGCTTGGTGGCGGTGATGGGACACGCTTCCGGCGGAGCTCCGTCGTGCTGTGCCCATGGGATCGAGAACTGCTAGGGCCAGCCTCCGAACTAGTGCCATGGCGCGAGCGTGAGGTATCTCGATGAACTACGGAGTCTTGCCTCCGACGTGAAGAACTGGAATTTTTCGGCCGGGTCGAGCTCCCTTGATGCATGCTGTGCGCCCCAATGTTTGTTTCAGCGCGTCTAATTGAAGACGGGCCTCCTGAATCATACTGTTGGGAAGGGTGACGCGATGCAATTTCTGGCGGTGCCTGGACATAACCCTTCCTTAGGTCATACTTACTATCCGACCTCCTAGGGTGACCACTACCGTGCCTTGGTCGTCCGCTTCTCCTGCCTTTGTTGTCGGGATCATTGTACCATGCCTTGATACACTTCTTGCGGGTGTCCTTCAAGATGAACGCAAACTGGCTGGACGTGCCAAATAACTCATCGACAAACTCAGGAAATTGGCCTATGGAATAATCCACAAACGTCATGAGTCTGCGCGGATTGTGACACTTGCGGGTTGGCGTTCGAGCTATAAGGGAAACACGAATATTGCGTAAAAAATTCTTATCATTAGTGACTCGAGCCACCATGCACGCATGACAGCAGTTCTCCTGATAGGGCCAGAAACCTGCGCTACGCTCTTTTGTCCACATCCCCTTGGTGCCGCGCAACTTCGATAAAATGAGTTGATCAAGCGGTCTCAGCAGGTGCGGGTACCGGTCATACCTGCGCATGTGGTACTCGACCTCCCTCTTAATCAATTTCAAGATATCGCAAATGACATCCGAATTGACTCCATAGTGCAGTCGGCACATGTCTTTATTCGAACTCGCAAAGCGTTCACGGCGTACCCGCTTAGGCAGGTCGGCGATTTTCTTCTTGGTGGATTCATCATGCTTCCTAGTTGTATCTGTATGAAAGATATTTATCAGCTTTCTCAGTTCTTCTTTTGTCAGGTCAGTGACATACCGCGGGTGTCTACTTCCTGAGGACCGGGGTCCATGACCACTGACTGAATGTCTTCGATGTCCGTCCTTACCGTGCCTGTCTTCATCGTTCGGGTTGGGTGGAAGGGTCGCATCGGCGCGGCCCTTGAAGTAGTCGGGAACGCGAAACTTAGCCATGGGAGTCTGAGTTTTGGAAATGTATTGTTCTAGCTTGGTAAAACTTGGTATTTTTTTGATGGTAGAGGAAGAGATATCGGGCTTGGACCTGCTATTTATCTATCAATTACGGGCACTACAAAGATGTTCTTTCATCTGTGGTAAATCTTTGGCAGCTTGCACAAATTGTTTAGTCCCAAGGAGACAAATATGGTTCCTTCTGATCTTTTTTTGTCTAACGGACAAAGCCATTGATGGCATTATATGGCTCTTTGCTTCCTTGGACATTGTTTCTTTGTTATTAACTCAACCGACAGAGGACCTTCTGGCAGTGGCTTAGTGGAAATAGTCGAGAAAAAAGAAGTCCATGAAACGCCATTGTTATTAACTCGAAGCCTGAAAGAGCCTGTTTAACAGTTTTATCGGATAACTAGTGTCGGTGCCCTTGTTTTCGTAGTATCAATGTCTTGACCAATATATCACGGACATGAAAACACCTTTTACTCCCATGTCCATCCAATACTTGATTTGAGAACGATCTGTAGACTACGATTTGAGACCAAACAGTCATGAATAAAGCATACATCTCGAACGCAAACGGAGAATCATGAAACTTGTTACGTGGGTTTACATAGCAATCAATGTCAACAGGCATTGCCTTGTTAGACACTTGCCCTTGTCAACAGTTGATCTGTAGGCGCTGTACCATATCTAACAAAGATCAATGAAATTGAACACATACATTCGATATCTTAAAGTGCCATTAAGCGAGCTTTTTGCATAGCACTAGAGATATAGCTCAACATTTCCTTATCAGTATAAGATCATAGCGGAGGGCCAAGCCACGGCTGGAATGCAGACCTATGATAAGCTTATAACACAGCCCCAAAGGCTTACTCTGTTTGGAACTATAGATGAGCTCAAATCAGTAAACAGTCAAGTAATAGTGGAATATACTTGATATGTTCGAAGTGTACTCCGTAGAGTAATCTTCGATCACATGGGAAGATGCGTCACAATAGAATCACATGACAGAGAATTAGGTTACCTCGAAATCAACTGTCTCACTGTCTCGCTGTCTCGTCACTCAGTGTCACAGTCTCCTGGCGACGTTTCACTATGACCTGCCCAGGTGAGGAGGGTACACCATTGCCCTATACCGCATCACCTGCGAGATTACTATGGAGCGACTTGGTTCTCTTCGTCGACAAGATCTGGGCGCTACCAGGGATCTTCCTGCCCCTGCATCTAGGTCGCACCGGTCCGTGGGATGAGTTCTATCCGTCGTTGCGCAACGGGTTCATTGTGGTGATACACATATTTCTTATGATTTACCAGGTTGCGATTCTGGTATCGCTGCCAGTCATGTTCCTATTCATGATCCCCGCTCTTTGGATTCTGGCGTATTTCACTGGTGCACTGTTAATCAACTATGTGATTGTCATGGTTGGGCTGAATGGTTTTCGGCGAATTCTGGTGTCACAAGTGCCTGTGGCTGAACGGCCGTGTCATGACCGGGAGTGTTGGTTCTACATAAATGGGATTGCAGCTGGGTGAGTTACTCTTTTTGGCAGTTTCTTTTGCTCGTTGGCTCACTTCAATATAGATGTCGATGGGCTCAGATGAATGTTGATCAACTATCCAGCACCTTTGGGAGAAGGATAATCGGTATACATAACCGCACGTAAGTGATATTTGATCTAGAGAAAGGACAAAATACTAACAGAAATATAGCGCCGGTATTGTCTTTGATATGATTGAGTGTCTCATTCAGCGAGACTTTTCCTATGCCACGGGTGATATCCGAGACTCATATGCCTTGATAAAGCAGGCTTTGTTAAACCCGGAATGTGACAAAGTGGTCCTGCTTCTTCACAGCCAAGGCGGCATCGAAGGAGGACTCGTCATGGATTGGCTTTTGGATGAATTGCCCCATGATCTCCTCTGTCGGTTAGAGATTTTCACATTTGGATCTGCTGCAAATCACTTCAACGCTCCCCGGTGGACGAAGTTGGCAAGGCCTGACATAGACTCAACGACCGATCTTGCGCATCAACATGGAAACCCAGTCGGCTACATTGAACACTACGCTAATGCAGCTGATATTGTGGCCTTGGGAGGCGTGCTTCACTTCGCGGACATTCCAAATCGATTCATGGGCCGCTTGTTTGTTCGTCCAAGCTCGGGTCATCTACTAAATCAGCATTACTTGGACAACATGTTTACCCTGGGCCCTGATCACAGAGTGCTTGAGTCTAACCAGTTCATGGATATGGAGGTCGAGCCATGTGCCTCTGGGATCAATTCATACCCTGATTCTTCGCATAGAGTCAAGTATCGACCTATAGCCCGAGACAAGGGTTTCCTTACTGCATTGAGCCAGCAAATGCAAACAAACGGCATAGACGGAGTACTTCGTGTGAAGGATTTTAGCCGGCTTTGGCAGTACAGAAATGGAGAATCGCCTGAAGGACTTACATATACGCAGAAACACTGAGTGATAAAAGTCTCGAGCCATAAGTTATTTCGGTATTAGGTACACAGTGACACTCTTCTAGTAAACACATTTACCCCAAACTCCCAGCTTTGTCACATCCAGACCCGCACATTAGAGTCTGCACTGCCAATCGCAAGCACATGAGAAGTTCCTCCAGACCGTAATAAACTAGGGCCCCAACGAATACAGCTCAAGAACTGCGTAGAGGTTCCTCTGACCGTCTTCACCAACCGCCCATCTTGGGACAAATCCCAGCATCGAATGGTTTTATCGTCACTGACACTAAGCAGATACTTTCCATGGAAAGCCAGCCCTCGAATCCAAGTATCATGGCCTGCCAATGTCTTTATGAGCTGCCCTCTTTCATTCCACAACTTGATGGTACTGTCCCTAGACCCAGTTGCAACAAACAACCCTTCTTCGTGCGACTTCTTCGGCCCCAAAGTAGCAAGATACTCATGGCTTGCAGTTGGCGCAACAACACAGCATTCAATCTTGTTCTCGTGCCCCAATAACCGTGCCACAGCATCTCCCGACGAAACTTCCCAGATGGTAGCCGCTCGATCATTGCCCGCAGAGACAACATAGCGCCCATCTAGAGATGGTGCAATGTCTCTGATCCACTCACCCTGCGAGTCTATTGTCCTGACGCAATACCCAGTCAACATATCCCAAATGCGAATCGACGCATCCCGACTAGCAGAAACCAACAAGTTCCCATTCGGAGTCAAGAACCGCACAGCAGAAACAGAATGGTCATGGCCACACAGCGTGCGAACATTAGCATACTCATTGCTCGGATCCCAGATCTTGATGGTGAGATCACTCGAGCAAGACGCCAGTCGTATCTGGTCCTTGGGGCCTCCATAGTCCAGTCCCAGAACTGGTCGTCTGTGACCTTTGAGCGTTCGCTCCAACTGGCCATACTCCCAGTCCCAGATCTTGATGGTACAGTCTTCAGATCCAGATGCCAGGGATGAATAGACCGGGTGAAAAGCCATACATGTGATGCCGTCTCGATGAGATTGGAGCGCATGTCTTGGCTGGGCATCTGGGAGCCAGTTGGTCGAGTCATGATGGGACCTGACAGTCCCAGCGGATTGGAGTTGAGTCTCTAGCTTTTCATTGGTGGCTTCCAACTCTTGTATCTATATTTATGTCAATATGCATTCTGGATCAGGCGTATGAAGAGATATCGCACCCGCCTGTTCAAGCGCATGATGGACGTCCACTTGCGTTCTAATAGCCCCTCGTACTTCTTGCGAGTGGCATCTTCGAAAGTTCCATCGATGAAGAGTTCTTCTTGTAATATAGCTGTGCTCTTCACGTTGATCGATGATAGGTATGCGATAATGGCTTTGTGACTAGATGAGGGTTAGACAGTACTCATGGGAATATCAAGGCTCTTACAGTTCTCCTGCTTGTCTGGGAGTAAGAAGTTGGCTCATGATGTTTCAGATTGATGTCAAGGGAATGTGATTTCCAGGGACGCGACGTGTTGATACTGGTGATATAATCTACAGCCCCTTGCAGTCAATAGCTTTGTCCTTGTCTGTGGTTGGGGAGGCTGATGTACAGGAGGTTGGGCAGGCAAAGCAAACACTTTGTGGCGAAGGGGTTTCTAGTATTTATGGGCTACCATGATCTACAAATAGAATGTCTGTTGGGCATGGATTTATGAATGTACAAGATCGGCTCTGATGTGCACCAGCGGAGTATATAGAACCCCAATGGTCAGATCGCAGATCTGTGGTATCAAGGAATAAGTATCCTCGGGTGCATAAAATATAAAAGTGAAAAGAAGCAACGCCCATCGCCGTACAATGCAAGTGGAACACAGAAAAAGAACCGAAATGCCGAATCACGCCTTGCCCTTCTTCTTTTCCTTCTTTTTCTTTTCGGCGCCGCCAGCACCGCTTGGCCCTGCAGGCTCGCCGCCACCCAGACCCAACATGCTCAGATCTGGCATTCCAGGCATAGAAGGCATACCAGGCATTCCCTGCATGTTCTGCATCTCGGCCATCGCATCCTTGAGCGGGTTATCGCTGACGCCACCGCCGCTGTAGGCGGGGGAATGAATCGGCAGGATCTTTCCGATCTTCCAACCCCGCGGGGCGGCCGGGGCAGCGGGAAGCTTCTCAGGCATGGGCAGACCACGGATGCGTAACCGGTAAGGGGACTGATCGGTGGTCGGGTGGGCCTTGAGGTACTGCGCAACGAGAATGTAAAGGTGGTGCTCTAAGCGAATAAAGTCAGCATATCTTCCCACGCAAAAATGTTTTCCAATTCATGGGTAATTGGCCACGTACTGTTCTTGATCTTGGAGTTGGCCAGCTGCCCATCCTCATTCTTAACCTGCACACGCACACGACCGGGGTTCGCCCAATCCTTAGGATGCAGCTTCTCCGGCTCCAAGCCAGCATTCAAACCAAGCATCTGAACAGCATCGACAATATCTCTAGCAAGAGGATTTTCCACCGCAAGCTCAGCGCCCACTTTGCGGCCCTCGGCACGCGATCGGGTCTTGTCGAAGTAAACGGGGTACAGGCATGAGAAGTGTCTTGGGATCTCGCGCTGTGGTTCGGGGGCTTGCATTTGAGGCATTTGCATCTGGGGTTGAGCTTGCGGTTGGGGTGCTGGGGCCCGGTTTGCGATGTTTGCGGGCGAGATGATGGCATTGGCGGGGAGGTCGCTGTCGCTGTCGTATTCGGGGGCGACCTCCTCAGGGTCGGAGTCAGAGACTTCCTCAACGCGAGCGTGCGACATGTTGGCTGAATTGATTGAAACTGATGTCTGGGGAAGATCGTGGCCAGTGGCAGAATCGAAAGTTGTGTGCGGAGGGGGGCGAGTGACCGCCTTGGGAGTTCCGCGATATCACTTCTAACTTGGCTACGTTGGAATCTCTACAGTTTCTTTCCATGCGTGTTACACGTGTTGTTCCAGTTTCATACTAACTACATCTTATTGAAAATGTCATTGTCCAAGTTTAAGCGAGCGGCATGTCAACTATCGACTATATGATCTCCAAACCATAGCCCAAACACTGTGTATGTTAAGCAAAAAAGAGAAAAAAGAGTTAAGAGTGTTACATTACAACACTCTCTCCTGTCTATTACTGGCGATTATTGGTTTCCAGGGCAACGCCAGGAAATTGGGCAGCAAAACTGTCGTTGATGTTGGCTGTTACGCACATTAGCAAGGAACTGTATACTTTTAAGATCAAACTTACCGATCTTTGCACACTCCGGATCAATGAATGGTTTCAACTTGTCGGACAACAGATTCAAAGCCGGACTGAGGGGATCTTCGAGCAAGCGGCTCCTCGGAAAATCCGGCACGACAGCGAGAATGAGTTGGTAGAAGAAGCATGAGCACCTCTTAGGGTTGAGCAAGCCGAAGATGTTGTACGCACCGCCGGTAATGTTACCCTGATCTACACCGGTGAAGGAGTTTACGGTGCCAGTGTTCCCCCGACAAGCACAGGATCTGGCACTGTTTTGATACTTTAGAGATCCGTCGCGAATAGTCCAATTCCACGGTGTCGGCGGTACCAGTTGTCAGGAATCCGTTCCGTAGCCCGGAATATAGGCTAACATCTCCATCAGGTAATAGGCTTTGTGCTGTCAGAATTCTTCTCTAGTTTAGTGTGCATAGTACTACTAAGCTCACCTCCCCAAACCTGAGCGCAAGTCCGTAGGCCTCGTTGGGACCTATTGCTCCTTCCAGGGGACCAACAACGCCGACCTCGTAGTTATCAGCCTTAATGATTTGAGAATCATGGAGCTTTTACATTGTACGCCTATCATAATATCCGTGGTTGGCGAAGGCATTGAGACCGGGACAAGGACCACGGCTGCAAAAGTTGGGATGCAATTCCGTAGCCATGATACCGTAGATGTCTTCTCTCACATATCATCCGGACCTGGGGCCTGCCATGTATTGTCTCCGGTAACATCAAGGAGCTGGGGCTCAGCATCAAACCCCCAATCACGTTTCTCTACCCGATGAGTTCCCTCCTAGGGAACGTGCTCTTTGATCCGTTTCAGGATGTCGTTCAATTTCTCATGGGAGATTTCGGGGGCGTTGTCACTTAGCACATCCCGCGCCAAGGGACAGAGAGCAGTAGAGAACCTGGCAACTATCGTAAAAAGGAGTAAGAGTTATGAAATCATACTGGTGAGGGCTCGGTCAATGTCTTTCTGGCAATTAGGGCAATAAAGAGTTGCACTTATCTATTGTCTCCTGGGCGATCCGGCCTTTATATTTCTCTTTTTTTCTCCTTTTCTCCTTTCTTTCTGGTCATCTCACTTTCGACTGCGCATCTTGCTTGGGCAGCAATCCGGCTACGCTACATGTGTCCTGTAATCCTAGGACTCTACAACGACGATCTATATGGAGCGAGAGCGAGAGCGAGAATCAATTACTGCCATTATACGATCTAGATGCAATACTGTGAGGGGTAAGTTCCTTTCATGGGGAGTAGAATCTATTGATTCGAGATCTTTTGATTTAGTCTCGTTGACACCATCAGAGTGGCTGATGACATTTCCTTATTTCCCTGCAGGAAAAGAATGTAGCTTTGTAAATAAACATCTCCTATTCGATCTTTTTTGCTCTCCATGAACTATTACAGCATTCACTTCATTCGCGGATCAATGCAGCTATGTGGCTGCGGGAACATGTTTGTACAGCGAATGCTCGCGTGCTCAGTTGCGTGTTTTGACCCCTCCCCTAGAGCTGATCGAACACTCCACAGGCAGTTAGTGAGGTACTATTGTCGATCAGAAGAATAACTCAACTTATGGAAGTGAATAGTAATTATTATCTGGCATATCTAGAATATCAAGCGTGCCTAGTGAGGTTACGGAAATGGAATTTTACGGCAGTTTTCTAACCCGATGTTCAGGTACTTCAGTAAAATAACATTAAAAAAATTATAGATAGTCTGAGACTTGGTTCCCATGTTCAAGTTCTTTGCGGAAATAAAGAATCTTACACCAGTCGCGCACTTGGCAGCCTACATGATGTGATTGAACGATCGCATCTCACGTTAATGAAAATCACCTTCCCAAGTTCTTGATCTGAACCATATCGATAGCATCAAAGCAGTATACAGAAACTACCTTTACCTTGAATGAGTCAACTATGTTGCTGGCGAAGAACGTAGATCCGAGAGCTCAGCGCATATTTTAAGCTAACCCTGAAGCACCTCGTTTGGGGCAAGATGGTGAGATACAGCTCACTGAGATTAATCTGACCCCGTTCGAGCTTTCTGAATTGACTGAAGATTATTGATCCCAATTAAAATGATTGTGTCCCTTGTCCAACGATCAGTATTCCAATCCGGGGTCTTGAATAGGACCTTTCTCTCGACGTGGTATCATATTTTTATGTAGACATAATCAGGTTCGTATCAATCATTGTCTATGCGTCGTTGGAAATGGTCGGAAATGAGGCTGGATTTAAGAAAGAGAAGTAATTTTGTGTAGGGAGCGAAATACAAGACATACAATCCATACAGACGACTTACTATCAGAACGATCCGGCGGTCCAGGGGCAATTATTCGGGACTGTCTAGTTTATGCCTGGGTGATATCTAAGTCGAGTCCTTCGTCAAATCTGTTCTATAGACGCCAAAAGTTAGGTATGAACTTCCAAGTTGATCAAACGCTCTCGGTAAGAAACAGAGGGGCGTGTTTGTCCATGTCACGGGCAGAGGATCGACGTCGAGGTTGGTCAACTCGGACATCACTCAAGAATATTCATAGGTAGACATCCACTGAGATGGACGTGAGAAAGGAGGTGCTGCCGTTAATTCCAACATTCCAACATTGTTCCACATATAAAGGGTGTAGGAACATGATGGCCGCGTGTGGGAAAACGTAGAGTTCATCGGAGTCGAATGTCTACATAAACTAAACTATAAAATAAAGCTGAAACCCCCGACGGCTCTTTTAGTCTTATCAAGTATATGAGTCACATTTGACTAAACGAGATAGGAAAGTCGGCGGAGAAAGCCCCCACCCCGCGTAAGGAGTCCGAGTGTTACCCCAGACCAATCCAGTGCTCGGCTTCTCCTCGGCATGCCGAACCCAGACCCACAGGAGCATTGCCTCGGGTACACAGAGTACGTAAGATCCTTGGATACATAAGAGTCGTTATCTCCTCTAATTCTCTTTCTTCTAACCACACCTCTAATCATGGCACAAACTGGTATGCTCCACGATGTATTCAATATTGTTCTCATTCTGACATATTACTAGAAGACAAGACCAGCGCCGTCCTCCACCGAGATACGCGCTTCATCCCCAAGAAGGCTGTTGGTGGTAAGGGCAGCTACATTTTCTTGGAAGATGGGACCAAATTCCTTGATTCAACGTGTGGTGCAGCTGTCTCATGTCTGGGACACGGCCATGAAGGAGTCACCCAGACCATCAAGGATCAAATGGACCAGTTGTCCTACTGTCACTCTGCCTTCTTTGGCACTGAGGTAGCTGAGGAACTTGCTCAATTGTTAGTTGACTCCACTGGCCGAAAGCTATCCAAGCTCTTTGTAGTCAGCTCAGGTAAGTCAATTCAATGACATAGATCACAAGGGTATGACTGATATCTGTCACCAAGGCTCTGAGGCTATCGAGGCTGCACTCAAGCTGGCACGTCAATATTTCTTGGAACTCCCTACACCTCAGCCGGAGCGTACGAGGTTCATCGCACGTTTGCCTTCTTACCATGGCACTACCCTGGGTGCCCTTTCTGCTGGTGGACACGTGCAGCGTCGGCAACCATTCGAGCCTCTCCTATCCAAGAACACATCCCACATTTCTCCTTGCTACGCATATCGCAACAAGTTTGACGGGGAGTCTGACGAAGATTATGTTGCCCGTCTCGCCGCCGAACTAGATGCTGAGTTCCATCGTGTTGGTCCCGAGACTGTGTGTGCATTTATTGCTGAGCCGGTCGTTGGCGCGGTAAGATCTTCTTCGGTCTTTTCCAACCCAACTCCCTAATTTAATCATTTTAGGCCCTTGGTTGTGTACCAGCAGTACCAGGATACTTCCCAGCAATGAAAGCCGTCTGCGAAAAGTACGGCGCACTCCTCATCTTCGACGAGATCATGTGTGGAATGGGCCGTTGCGGAACCCTGCATGCCTGGGAGCAGGAGAATGTCGTCCCTGATATTCAGACTATTGGAAAAGGTCTGGGTGGTGGGTACGCCCCGGTCTCGGGCATCCTCATAGATGACTCTATTGTCCAGACTATGGACAAGGGCACTGGGGTGTTCCGCCATGGACAGACATACCAGGGCCACCCGATCTCATGTGCAGCTGCACTAGCCGTGCAGAAGACTATCAAGCAAGAGAAGCTTCTGGATAATGTCCGGGAAATGGGAGCTTATCTTGAAAAGCAGCTGAGGCAGCGATTTGAGAGTCACCCTTATGTGGGAGATATTCGAGGAAAGGGCCTGTTCTGGGGTGTGAGTTATCATATATTATCTTCTTCATCGCTAAGTGGGTTGGACTTATTACTGACTTTTTCCAAGCTCGAGTTCGTCAAAGATAAGGCTACGAAAGAGCCTTTTGATCCCAACGACCGCTTGTCATTCCTTATCCAGGAGAAGGGTCTGCAGCCGGAGCACAGCGTCTCGCTGTATTGCAGCTCTGGCACTGTGGATGGAATCAAAGGAGACCATCTGATACTTGCACCGGCTTATATTGTGTCCAAGGGGGAAATTGACATTATTGTGGACGCCCTCGAGAAGGTTCTAGAGGAAGTTTTTGCAACGCTACAGAAGTAGGCTTTCTTCTACGGGGAAGATGCCGATGCTTAAGAACATGCATTAATGTCAATTTCTCAATTTAAAGTTGAGTAGCAACTGAATCGAACAAACTTGGAAAGTTAAGTACAAGTAGCCAGGTCAAATCATTTGGTGACATTTCGGTATTGTACAAGTAAACCAAATATAAGTTATGTGATAATCTAGATCAGCGTTAAGCCTCAATAGCAGCCGCCTTCTTCGCAGCAGCTTCGGACTCAAGTTTCCCATTGGTAGCATGTTCACGAGGCATCGAGCTTTCCGCCCAAAGTCCAGCAACAGTCTCAACAGCCCGTTCAACGACAACGCGAATACGATCACGCAGAACGGGGTTACCACACTCAACTTCTAAGTCCTCAAGCCAGACGCGCGCAACGTGCTTGTCCACCTTGATCTCGATGCCAGGGACTGGAATACCCATAGCAATAAGACGGTCCATTTCCGCAGCCTCGATGTCGGAGATACGCTCCTCGTTAGCCTCATCTACATCTTGTTCTGGGCCGAGTGCGAGATCGGCTGGGACGCGAGGGCGTTCAATTGGGCCAATGTTGTCACCACCAAATTGTGCTTCCAGCATCATTAGCATACGGGCAAGCTTTTCCTGAGGCCCGGATTGGGCGTGTGGATTAGGAAGGGTAGGCATGTCCATTTCATCGTCGTGGTGATGGTGGTGCTTGTTTTTAGCGGATTCTGATATCAACAAATGTGGTTAGCATAATTCTCGTCGAGAGGGTTGTTGGGATCTTACGCTTCACGGAGGCAGGGCTGCTCTCGACTGTGAGGAGAACAGCCATCACCGCATCCGCAACACCGTCGTTCATCATGTTTCCTTCCCACTCCAACTCGACCTCGCGAGTCCGCGAATGATAATGAAGAGATACACATCCCATGACAAGGAATGTTTGCGTCTCGTCTGATGGAATCTCTTCATCGGCCTCCTCCGGCTTTACGGTCTCATCGGTGTCGTCGTCATTTTGGCTCTTGCTGTGTGATTTCTTGGTCGTGCCGACTTCCTCGATGGCTCCGAACGTCCCTTCAAGGGCCCATCTAATCAAGTCCATGCTCGCAGAACTGAGGGTGATATGCTGTTTGCAGGAAATGGTTGTGGTCGTCAACCCAGCATACTCTTGCAAGTCGTCCGGGGCCATCAGCGATAGATTGAACCCATTCTGGACCAACACTCCAGCCATGAGCTGGGAATCAGCCTCCTCTGAGGGTGGTGCAAGCTCTGCTAGCTTTCCCACAACCTTCGCAATCTTATCCTTCTTGAACGGAATGCGAACTTCGTCGCAGTTTGCTGGTGTGTAGACTTTAACTTTGACTGCTTTGTCGGCATTAAGACTGAGCAGCTTCGACTTCAGTCTCATCATTTGATGTTTCTCGCCATGGACAAGAATCACAACTGGCGCAGCAACTTCCTCGATGAAGGTGCGGTTTTCAACTCCATCAACATGGGCCGCGAAGCTGACCTCGTCAATGGTGCATCGACGAGGAATCATAACTTTCTGATCCTCGTCATTCGCTCCAGGAACGCGGCCTCGTCCATGCCCAGTAGACACCTTGGACATAACAGCCGGGATCTGATCTGGCTCGTTAAGCAGTTGCTTGGCCATGGTTCCTTCAACACTGTAACCGGTCATGACAACACCGTTGCGATCACTCGGTGCCCATCTTTCAAGCAGTTCACGGCTTGTTCCAGTCTGCAACATACCGGGAGAAGCAAGCATCACGCATCCTCCAACATCATCGAAACGCTCCAAGCTGCGAAGACTGCGGACGAACCGGAAGTCCCATGGCCCGACACTGACGCTCTTGTCGCCGCTGGCTTCGGCCTCGGCCATGCGTTGCCGGAAGAGACGCTTGATATTATCGTTCATAGCACCGATGTAGGTTTGGTACACAACCATACACCGACGTGCCATATTTCCAATATAGTAGATAGGAAACTTTTGAAGCTCGGGGTGCCTTTCCCAATATTCATCAAGGATGAGAAGCAGCTCTTGGGCACGACCGAGGGCGAACACCGGCATGAGAACTCGACCGCCACGATTCAAGACACCCGTGATCGACTTCATCAATGCAGCCTCACGTTCTAGCCGTGGCGGGTTGGAGGAAATACCGAATGTCGATTCTGTGATAAGGACATCAATCTTTGTGCCCTTGGGCACCGCCGCAGGAATTAAGTGTCTGTCTTCCTCGCGAGAGTAGTCTATTCGAGGTTAGTGGAATGATTGGTGACTTCTTTCGTTGGAACACAATTACCTCCGGTAAACAGAGTCACGAGTCCAGCAATATCAATCTTGAACATGGCTGCACCAAGGACGTGACCAGCCGGGTACGGGGTAATGCGAATGCCATTAATCGTATGTGTAGTGTAAAAGTCGATGGTTTCAATCAAGGGAAGAGTCGATAAGTGATCACGCTCGGTATATAGCGTCGTGCGTTGATCAGAGGAAGAGGATGTGTTGCTGACTCGAACGTTGTCTTGAATGAGCCATTTGTAAATTGCTCGAGTGGCGGGAGTCATAAAGACTCTGCCTTTGAAGTTGGTTTTGCTGAGAACATATGGAAGGGCTGAGGAGTGGTCGACGTGGAAACTATGGAGAGCATACCATTAGCACTGCGACGGTCATGGAGAAACACACAAGATCAAAGGCACTCAAATTCAGCAAATTCGAAGGGTACAGGAATACAAGAAATATTTGCATGACATTCAATTGTATTGGGGTTCTCATATATATCCAGGGAAAAAAATATGTGCCTCGATCGAGACAGGTCCCGGCAGTAGACTGCCAGATCAACCCAAGCCTCACATCGGGTGATGTTAGAACCTGCACAAAGGGTCCAACACTTTCCCACAGACTGTAATTCATGTAAAGCAAAGAAGGAAGGAAGCACGTACTGGCTGATTAAGAGAACATCCACTGTGCTCAGGTCGAATTCGTCAAAGAACGGAAGGGCAGAGAAGCCTTCTTTCGCTGGGTGCATGCCCGCATCAAGCTGAATGAGACAAAGATCAGTTATTTGAATTGCCACTGCTTGCAACCTTAACTTACCATGACTGTCTTGCCCTTGTACTCCAGAATATGGCAACTTCGGCCGACTTCGTTTCCGCCGCCGAGACAATAGAATGCGAGCTCATCTGATGGATCAACGGGCTCGTCATCCACGGCTGTGCCCATAGCTGAGGCTTTGCGCTTGGCCGCCATTTTGTCGTAGGCAGATCAAATGAGGGGAAATGAATGTCAATATGTCCTAGTTGAGTCCGAAAAACAGCTGTTTGGGCACTGAGGCCCGCGGTGGAGGTTGGAGGTGCTAGATCTCAGAATGCGCTGATCGCAACAACCATGGCCTGCGCAACGCAGCAACAAAAGATGCAGCTGCCTGGCAATTGAAATAAAGACGTCAACGAAATGATGTTATGCGACTTGACGGGTGATTGAAAGAGCAAGGAGCCCTGGAGGTTTTGGCGCTTAGTCAAACATTCGTCACGTGCTGGTCGCGATCCGCGGAGCAAACTCGGCCACGCAGTAAAAGCTCCCTTACCCCAACCCTCTCCCTTCACCCTGCCGGCACTTTCGCGTTAAACTCAACTGCTGGTCAATTTGCGTGTCGCCTCCATGGCCCAGTACACTTATTGAGATGGTTACAGCTATTGGAAGCTGGTGGTGCGAGCAATCTGCTCATTTCAACGGCCACGCGTGGACGTCTCTTCATATTGAAGACCACCCCGGATCTGCGCAATAGCGACCCTTCTCATCTTTAAAACAATCATATTCTCACTGTGCCGTCACCATGGCGCAAGCTCGGCATCCCCAGCAGCAGCAACCCCAGCCGCCGTTCTCTACGCAGCCCTTCTCCCCGCCTGTCTCCTCGCCATCTCCCAACTCGGCTGCATCTCCCGTGAATGGAGCCGCTGCTCCCCCTCCATCAAAAAGACCTCGTTTATCGCCTCTCCCGCCTTCCCAGACACAGTCTCCTTACGGTTCCCCGAGCTTTGGCGCAATGCAGCTTCCACCAAATCCAGCCCAGATGAACGGAGCACCGGTTAACATGAATATGAATGTCAATATGACTTCACCCGCCCCTCCTCCCCCGGCCCCTCCTGGGACCATGGGACCTCCTTCTCGCCCGGTGGATAAGACAACGGATGCAGCTGAACTGACGGATGTCTTGGCTTCATCTGGCATTGATGTGAGAGAAGAAGAGGCATTTCTCACACGGAGCTTTTCAGGGCAGAATGCGCAGGCGCAGCCACCCCAGCGAGGACTCCAGATGCCTCACCCGCCACCTATCAACACCTCTTTCAATTCTCAAGTGTCTACTTCGGGAACGCTTTCAGCTTCCAACAGTTTCGGTGAATTGCCTCAGATTAAGCCCGCGATAACGAATGATTCTTTCACTACCGAACCGTCTTCGCAAACACCCGTTCCATTCAAAGATCCTAATGAACCGACCCGCGAGGATACTGTGGCAGCAAGACGGGCGCAATACCACATCCAAGAGCCGTTTTTATTGACAAAACTTCTTGAGCAGAAGCTTCAGAAGCGAGGCTTTGATCTTGGTGTCCGAATTCCGGCTGAGGGTCTTTTCCATCCTGTTCCAGGTCGGCCCCAGCCTATTGAAGTCACTGGTCCAGATGGGTCTTCTGTGGTGCGCACTGGTCAGACAATTCTCAACCAGGATGGTGCTCCTCTTGTCGACATACTGAACATTCTATCGATCTCCTGCGAAGAAAGACTACGAGGTGTCATTGACTATTCCTCGTCTCTCGCTCGAAGTCGCCGGGCACATTCTCATGGCGCAGTTCCCACGGAGTGGAAAGACATCGCGCAACCCCTTGGGCCGACTGCAGGGAACGCACAAACTCCTGTGAAGCGTATGCTACCCTCCGTAACATATAATTTGCTGGACTTTTTTGTTCATTATTGATCTGTTGCTAACATTTTTATAGGCCCCCATTCTGCAATTGAATCATCTGGCACAAAATCCAACGCAGAGCTGTTCCGCATACTTATTCAAAGGGAAACTTTGCAAGAAGAAAGACGTGCAGCCAAGCGTGCCAAACGTAATAGCAATGCTATTCTTGGCGAAGCCGGTCGAGTCGAGTCCGCCGACATCAACGGGTCCGCACCTTCGACGCCTATGGGCGACAGGACGCCCAGCTTCGACAAGAAATCCATCACGAAGAAGGAGGCGAAGAAGATGGTAGACTCCAAAGCGAGCGAAGCTCAACAGCACCAGCAATCGGTGGAGACGGCGCGTATGGCGCTATCTGGTCGCATGTTCGGTGCTAAAAAATCATACTCATGGCTGAAGTCCGGTGGTCCTGCCAGTGGGTTCTCATCGCCCTCGCGTCCAGCTCCTTCTACTCCAACTGCTGGTCCAGAAAGATCTGGATCCGGGGAATCAGCACCCAGCCAGAGCCACCGACGTCTCGGAACATGGCGCGAAGACCAAGAAAAGGGGGCGGGTATCCAAGTCAGAGATGTGTTGTTCATGCTGGAGGCTGATGGACGGGGTACCAAACACGTGCAAAAGGGCTATCTGAAGGACCCCAAAGAGGATCGAGACCGTGGGAACTAATCAGGTCATAAATGTTTGTAATCTTATTTCTTGTGTCTCTAATTCTTTTCTACGCTCGTCTTGGCTATGTTCACTATGGCTTCGACAAGGAGTTTCTGCATTATCTGTGTGTTCTGGGCGGCGTTGGTTGTCGGGGTGAAGGGCGATGTTCTTTGATTTCTTCATCTACAGGTTGAGCATACATCTTTCGTTGGCGACAGAGGAACTTCTGTACCTCGCTTTATTATGTCTTGTCGCCCTTCGATATGTCAACTCCTTTAAATTTATACGCACTCGAAATGACCTGCTACGTACGTATTACGTAGAAGCTCGCTTTGATATTGAAATGTATCAAAACGCTCACAATTTAGCCCGTATCCTCTATACATTCATGCACCCAAAGCTTCACGAGCCTGGGCCATTTCAGCTTCAGACGGCATATTGACAATGGCCAAGTATAAGACCTTTTGCTGACGCAGTTTCGCAATCGGCGTAAGAAGGCCAATGTTTTGCCCGCGGTCACCACGAGCTGTTCGATCAAACACTCTGTATTCACCACTTTGAGCCTCGTACACACTCGAGCCATACGGACCTCTTTGTCTGGGAGAGCGGGAGTCTCGAGCATCCCTCAAATCTCCAATGATACCCCTCCCCAGAGGTCGCCCATGAGGAGCATGAGGAGTGGAAGGGTTAGACCGCGGTTCATTTTGCGAGTAAGAGTAGTTATGGCTGGCGTATGGATCCTGATTGTATGAACCGCGAGTACGCCCTAGACCAGGACGAGCACCCTTCAGACTCTGCAATTTGCCCATAGAGAGATGGCCTCCAGTCACCAGAGCAAGCAGGTCGCCGCTGCTGGCAGGGTGATTGGGATCGGCATAGCACGAGGTAAATGTAGGCTTTGGTCCTTGGGTTAAATGACTGTCAGGATTGTTTGTGGCCTAGATTTATAGCATTAGCAATGAATGAGATTCTATATAGATACTCCATTTTCTCACGAATTTAGCTTGGGCTCGCTTGTCCCAGTAGTTGCTCACGAACTCCTCTTCTTCTTGGTCTTTGAGAGCTTCTTTTCTGCATCTTCGTCCGAGGCCAGCTGGTCAAGCTCTGGGAATACCAAAGGTGCTATCTCGGGGAAGATAAATCCTTTCCCGTCGGAGGACTTGAACTTGTGCCGAAGACGGCTGAGCATGTCTGAACCACCTCTATCTGTAGCCTTGAAGATCAGGGAGTTCAAACCCAAAGTAGTAGATGGGGCATCCGGTAACTCAGGATTCCAAGTCATTACCAGGCAGAAGAGACCACGGGGCTGGAAAAACTCTTGATTCATCTTATCGAAGAATGTGTTGGTCCTGGTCAAACACGTTAGTCGATCTCTCGATGATCAACGATATACGATTTACCTCCGGGCTCCATCTACAGCAATTGCAACATCAGTAGCTATTTGGATGGCAATAGACACAGCAATTCCCGTAGCACTGGGCATAAACATCGTTCCAATCGATGCCAGGTTAATTGCATTCAACCAACGCGCTCCCTGACAAGCCTTCTCGGCAGTATTCAGGAAATCAGAGAACATAGGCTGATCGATGCCAAAGTCGGCAAGATCCGGTGCATACGCATGAACGAAGCCGCGCTTGCGGTTCTTTGGTCTGCGCTGAGGCAAGAGGATTGGCGCAGGTAGTTGCGGTACGGGGGTGTCATCAGTCGGCGAGTATGCGGGAGGCGGATACTCAGATGCAAACCGGTGAGCCAGACTCGCTTCGTCAACGGCTTCTTGGGCTTCGTTATAGTCTGGAGGGCTTTGTCTCCTGGGGTGCGCCTTAGTTCGTCTTGGGCCTCTTCGAGCTCCGACCGCTCTTCCAAGGAGTCTATCGCGGTTCTCTCTTGGGGGAGATGTCCGCCTTCATGCTCATGTGAGTCGCGTGTGCTCCTTCTGAGAGACTCCTTGTTGGCTGGTTATCTTCCTCGTTTAACTGTATTTGTTGCACCTTCTTTGCCTTGTGTGCAGATATAGATTCCGAAACTGAGACCTATGCCTGCTGCAAGACCTTTGACGGCCTTTGATCCTAGGTATGACATGATGTCAAGACGTTATTTATATGAGATGTCAAGGGGTTTCTGAGACGAAAATAATAATTGTATTGGGGTAAACAATGTTGTAGCACCAGCAGAACAGCAGCAATTTATATAGGACCATGGCTGGCTTTCAGCCAGGGAGGTCATCACCACCCTCCAGTCGCGAAGCATGCTCTTATAGGTATGCAGCTGGTAGGAATTAGGCCCCAAAGAAATGGCCCCCACTCAGCCCTAGAGCAGTGCGAATTTAACCATACAATATTATAGAATGGTCCAAAGAGCTAAGCATGGGCCAGAAAATATGGCGGGCCTCACAGCCACACCCCATTAGGGCAACACTGCGACCGGGTGCTAAGCCCAGAGCAAGATTGCCGCTTTCCTGTGGAGACTTTTATAGCTTGAAACATGTTAGCTTCTTCTTCCATGTCCATTCTGGCTGAGGCAAATCGGATTTGTTTTGTTTTTTTCGGAAATAACCCCCGAGGCAGCTCGAGCTTCCAGAAGCGCAACATAGCATGACGGCACAGCGTATATGCATATCCCTCTTATTTGCTGTAAGGTTAAAAGCAAATGAAAATTCTAACTAGAATACCCGTTCTTTCGACAGGAAATTAGACGGAAGAAGCGGTGAACATAACCGTTTAACCTGAAGATATATAGTTTCCTAGTGCCACCAAGTTTATCGACTTATAGTAGAACTCTTTTGCAATAATTCCACCCAATCTCAGAAATTAGGCTTATTATCATGTCGGACGATTAACGTTAATCGGATCCACCAACTTTCTTCTTTTCTATCTGAGATATGCCATTATTGCGATCATCACCACCAACGCGGCTACATCTCCTATATCAGAATGTTCCCTACTAATTATACCTCACTACTTTGCGATGCTTCGTCTCAAAGCTTACACCAGTTCTGCTGAGAATCCTTACACTTTTACCTTTCAGGCAAACCGACAATCGCAGGCTGAACCATTCAATATCTGATTCAACCTTATAATTAGATTGTCTTTAAGTGGCCGTTTCCCCCATTCTTTCCGGAGATCCTTTCATATTTCCATATTGTCATATTTACATATGGTCATAGTTTCATATGGTCATATTGTACTCCCAAGATGTCTTTGTCTTATCTCTGCTATAAAGGACGACTGAGTCAGCTGGAATGTCACCTGAAGGGATGATGCGGAGAGTCTACGGTGAGCCACATCCGCCCTTCACGCTGGTTTTTATGTTTCTCCACGCCCTGTGGAAATCTGTGGAAATGGATTTGACATATTTCTGTCTCAATCATATTATGGGACTCATGTTCTTTATGATTTGCGGGGATTGTGTGGACTGGTGGACTGGATGGTTCGGCTAAAGCCAGGGCTTGGACGTGCTCCCCGGTGGCGGACCAAGACCCTCTCTAGACGCCTTTGATCTCATTCCGGGTGTGCGATTGGGACTGGAATGAGGCCATAATATCCCGCTGATCGTTTCTCCTTGGGAGGCCCGTTCACCTTGTGGCCGGAGGTGTACCGTAGCCTGTATAGAGAACCCCCAAGAGTCAAATTGGCCAAGGCATATTTAGAGGCCTCTGTGAATGGAAGAAGAGACATATATAGTCTCTCGGGTCAATCAAAATGAGGCTTAGTCCTAAATGTAATGAAAAAAATGAGTTATCAAGGCGAGGTTACCGCGTAGATCGGCAACGCTCTTACGTCCCCCAACTCTCCGACTCTCCCATCTCTTGTCTTCTCCCCCTCCAATGTCGCCTCGTTCAATGATCTCAGCTTTCCTCTGAGGAAATGCACTTTTGATTCATTCTGTGTCCTTCATCTTCGCGTTCCCTCGATCTTGCATCTCCACTTGCTTCTCTGGCGTATCCTTGCCTCCAAGCCCATTCCTCTCGAGAGAGTCGCGCACAACGATCATCGGCCATCGGCCGTAAATTCCTCCAATCTCTTCTTCTTCTACCGTTCCTCTGACGGATAGGACTTCGTGCACCATGTCCACTCCCTCCACGGCCACTGCAACCCATCCTTCTCACCACCAGGCTTACGGATACCCTCACCACCCCTACCAACCGAATACCTCTTACCCGACTTCCACCACGGGGACTCGCCTCGCGAATCCCTACGCTTATTCCGTCCCCTCTCCGACAACCACCACACTCCCGTACACTCAACCTCCGAGACTTCCTCCGACGACATCGACCCCTTCGGCCATGACCCATCAGAGCGGCTCCAGCGTGGCTCCCTCTGTGGGAGGCCGGAAAAAGAAGCCAGATTGGACTGAGTTCTACAAGAATGGTCTTCCCAAGGAAGTCATTGTGATTGATGATAGTCCCGGACCAGAGTCCAACGGGGCGGCTCCTTCGGCCCATACGTCTGTTGCGAGAGTACCTCCTGCTGTTCCGCAGCCGGCCGGCAAGAGGCGACGAACGGGGATTGAAACCGCCTACGATCTGGGTCACTACGACCGTCCATCCTTTTCCATCAACCCGCAGCAATATGGCGACAAGTCGTCGGCTTCATTGTCCACGGACCGCACCACTTCGCTACACACAACCGCACCAACATCGCTCGGTTCGCAGGGCAGCTCTGGTGCCCCCAATGGGGTATACTACGAGGATGCCACTGTGGGTCAAAAGCGGAAGCGCGTCGCCACGCGTAAATCGACTCGCGATGAGCAGAAAAGACGAGAGTTGGAGACTACAGGCGATGCTTTCCTGAGCTACGTACCACCTCCGAAACCACCCATCAAGGCCAAGGATGTTCATGTGCCTATCGTTCGCGATGTGAGTGTTTTTTGACCCGTTTCTTATGCGATTACTGACAGATTTTGCCTTTTTCAGAGCACAAGCGCTCAAAACAAGAAGTTCGACGATGACGATGGTCACTACATCGTCACACCCGACACCGCGTTGACCGATCGATGTGAGTACAGATTTCTCATGGTTTGATGATCATACTGACTTTCTAGACTCCGTCATCAGACTCCTGGGCCAAGGTACTTTTGGCAAGGTGGTGGAGGCATATGACAAGCACCGCAAGTCTCGCTGTGCAGTCAAAATCATCCGATCGATCCAAAAGTACCGCGATGCTTCACGAATTGAGCTGCGAGTCTTGTCAACTCTGTCTTCAAACGACAAGACCAACCGCAACAAATGCATCCACCTGCGGGATACCTTCGACTTCAGGAATCACATTTGCATTGTCACAGATCTGCTAGGGCAAAGCGTATTCGACTTCCTCAAGGGAAATGCCTTTGTACCCTTCCCGAGCAGCCAGATCCAGCAGTTCGCCCGGCAACTGTTTACAAGTGTTGCTTGTAAGCTTCTCGCTCCTTCTCATCCCATGTTCCAACTAACTCCGCCCAGTCCTACATGACCTCAACCTCATTCACACCGACCTCAAGCCCGAAAACATCCTGCTCGTTAGCAACGCTTACCAGACCTTTACCTACAACCGCACCATTCCCTCTTCTTCTCATGCCACATCTCGCAACGCACGGCAGCGCCGAGTACTCCTCGATAGCGAGATCCGCCTCATCGACTTTGGCTCGGCCACTTTTGACGATGAATACCACTCCTCTGTTGTTTCAACTCGCCACTACCGGGCCCCCGAAATCATACTGAATCTCGGCTGGAGCTTCCCGTGCGACATCTGGAGTATTGGATGTATCTTGGTGGAGTTCTTCACCGGAGACGCCCTCTTCCAGACACATGACAACCTCGAACACCTCGCAATGATGGAGGCTGTCAATGGCAGCCGCATCGACCAAGCGTTGGTGAAGAGAGTAATGGCGGGTGGAAAACAAGGTGGCAGCAACTCTGCCTCAAAGTAAATTTGTCCCCTCAAACTCGTCATCACCGATACTGACTTTGCCTAGATATTTCGTCCGGAGCAAGCTCGATTACCCCAACAATGAAACCACTCGGGCTTCGCGGAAGTATGTGCGCGCAATGAAGGGGTTGACGGTACGTTTATTCATATCTTTATACTAGCTCTTTCGCTGATTCTGGCTATTTAGGAGTTCATTCCCACCAACACACCTTTCAACCGTTCATTCCTCGACCTGCTGCAGAAGATCTTCGTCTATGACCCCAAAAATCGGATCACCGCAAAGGCGGCGCTGAAGCACCCCTGGTTCAAGGAAACGCTCGTTGACGATGGCACTGAGGCTTACCGCATTGGCCAGGGACTTTCTCGTCAACAACAACAACGTGCTTGAGCTTCTTCGGTTTACACAGTTATAGCGGCCGACACTCGGCCTTGCCAGCATGGAAAGGGAATTCACCGGCGTGAAAAGGATCCAATTATGGATAGACAGCTTCATATCTCGAGGGTAATCTTTGTTTCTATGGCGGATGGGACGGAAAGGTGTTTTCACTGGCAAAATCATGATCACGATGTTTTTTATTTCTTCGGCTGCAGGATCTCATGCAGTCTTTGCTGTATCTCGGTTTGTTGGCACCACATGGCAAAACAGCTCGGCTTACTGCATGTCTCTTCTGGGTGCAACTCATATCCTAACCTTATTTGTTTATCTATTATGCCTTACAGGCGTTATATGTTATTGCTTTTTTCGCGTTTGAGGAATCCGGTTGGCTTGGAAGGATAGGCTAAGTCCGGATGATTATACCATTTTGCTTTTGGCGTCCAATGGTTTAATCGTATGGGGTGTACATAAGTGTTCAATCAGGGAGTTCTCGCTCTCATTCAATTTTGTGATATGTGTCTCTTTTCGGGGCGGAATAACCCGAACTGCATGTATGGAGAGATGAGTATCTGATAGAATGTAATGGAATAGTATGTGTAGATATAACATATGAGCTCTGCAATTGTACCTGGAAATCAATTGTATCTGTACTCAATTGTACCTGTAAATCTATTGTTTTCCTGCATTGATGCCGATCTCGCATCATTCATCCTTCATCGGATCTACGCATTCTCCAACGTCTCCAATACCCCTCATCAACTCCCGACATGGACGAAATCACTATCTCTAATTTCCACAAATTGCTACGCCAGGATCCCTCCAATGGCCCAGCATTGGTAATCCATTACCTGGAAGCGATCAAGCAACACGATAGCACCCTCAAAACCCTCATAACACTCAACCCAGAAGCCCTCAAAACCGCCGAAGAAAAGGCCACAGAAACAGAAACATTCAACAAAAACAACACTCCCTACCCAGTCCTACACAGTGTCCCCGTAATCCTCAAAGACAACTACAGCACATACAACCTCCCCACCAGCGCAGGAGTATCAGCCCTCAAAGACCTCCGCACAACCAACAGCGAAGTAGTAACCCGCCTCCTAAAAGCAGGCGCAATCATCCTCGCCAAAGCAAACCTCCATGAATTCGCCTTACAAGGAACAACAACCTCATCCCTAGGCGGCCAAACCCTCAATCCATATGATGCAGGTCGCACGCCGGGTGGTTCATCCGGTGGCACAGCCGCGGCCCTGGCATGTAACTTTGGACTTGTTGGTTGCGGCACAGACACGATGAACTCACTGCGTTCACCGGCGTCAGCTTGTGGAATTGTAGGATTCCGACCATCAACGGGGAGGGTGTCGTGTGCAGGTCTTGTGCCTGTTTCCGAGACGCAGGATTGTGCAGGGCCTATGGGGAGGCGTGTTTGTGATGTGAGGGTTATGTATGGGGTCATGAAAGATGGAGGTGGAGATGGATATGATGATCTGAATGGGTCTACTTCTATTTCGATACCACCTCGCAGACCAGGCCGCCAAGTTCGAATTGGAGTCCTGGAAGCATACTTCGCAATCGAGGAATCATGTGCGGAGCCGGAACTACTCTCCGAGAACGAGATCGTACAGGATATCATCCGAACAAGTCTATCATCTCTCGCCTCCCAAGATGAGAATATAACCTTGGTTCCAATCCCAGAATCCAGTCATCCAGACTGGAGCATCACAACCCTCCTCGCAAAAGCCGACACGCAAGCCTTCGAATTCAAGCACTATCTGGATGAATTCCTTCAATCGCCATTTATAACCTCAACACCACATCGATCCCTCGAAACGATTATTCAGAGCGGAGAATACGATCAAAAAGCCGCGACACATGTCATGACAGCTGCACTAGAAGACCCAGAAACATACTCGCCCCACAGCGCAGCACATGAAGAACGATTGAAGTATATCGCCTCATTAAAAGAATCCTTACGTGACTGCTTCGATGCATATGATATCGACGCATTAGCTTATCCACATCAACGACAACTGCCCGTGAAGATTGGGGCTACGATGCAGCCGGGTCGAAATGGAGTTTTGGCTGCGTTGACAGGGAGGCCTGCCATCTGTATTCCTGGTATGTTATTCTAATACTTGGCAATCCGGCTGGCGTATAGATTGGTCTGACTTATATATTGTGTGACCTAGCTGGAAGAAGCCCTAGCTCTGATTCTTCTATTCTGGGCGTGCCAGTTGGATTGGAGCTTATGGGACGGCAGTGGGGGGAGGATGAATTGCTTGATCTTGCGGAGCGGGTTGAGGGGATGTCGGAGGCTAGGAGGGCACCTATTTTGAATTGTTTCGAATGAGGCAGGTATAGGTGGTTAAGGAAGGGTTGTGGGCCATTACTATAGTGGTTGCTAGAGGCCGAGAAGCATGATCCTTACAATCCAAGGATACTGTGGATAAGCATATCGGGGTTAGGATGGAAATATATAGGTATATCTACCCAATTGCTTGGTATATTGCTTTTTTATATAACTTGTTGGCACTATAACTTCGTATGCCATATAAAGTGATGTGGACATGTATAGCTGCCTTTTTTGGACAATTCCGGTCTCTCTCACAAACCACAATTGTGAATGAGTAATCACCCGAGCACTTGCGTGGTCTAATGGTCATGACGTCTGATTCACAATTTGAATCTCACAATTCTCAGAAGGTTCCCGGTTCGATCCCGGGCGCGAGTACTTTCTTTTTGCTTTTTGGTTATGTAACTTGGCTCTTCTCGGTCGGCACTACGCAATCTGAAATATAGAAGTTGGCTTTTGTGCGGATTAGTGTTTCTTCTTTATACAACTATGATGTAGTGGTAAGTTATAGTATCGCGGTATGTAGCACAAGATTTTATAAAGGAATAGAACATTAGGGATAGGTTTTGCTCTTGCTAACTTATGATGTTCATGTTATGTGGATAAGGATCAAACGATTATAAGATCTTTTATAAGAAAACCAATCTATAACGTTATTTGAAAGGTACTTCTCTTTGGGTTAAATTTGAAGGGCTGGTTAAATAGGGTTAGATCTATCCGATAGTAAAGCATGGGACATTCGCACTAATTCCCTCTTATATTCATAGATGCCAAAAGTGCGTTATTGTTCATTCAAGCACTTGCGTGGTCTAATGGTCATGACGTCTGATTCACAATTTGAATCTTCCAATTCTCAGAAGGTTCCCGGTTCGATCCCGGGCGCGAGTACTACCTTTTTGCTATTTTGGTTTCTAGCTCCATGTACCCTCGTTACTATAAATAATACCTTTTTAGTAAGATAGATGGCTGCAGGTTCTAGGCTTTTTTTAATTAGTAGATCTCCAGGCTTCTCTTTACACCCTCACCCCTATTGATAGGAAGAAAGTACGATTACTATACTATTATTGTCCTATAGTGATATTTCCACCATTCACCGTTTCACTAGAGAATAGGCGCTACGGCATACGCTAAGTAGTAGTAAGTAGATTTGATAGGCACAGGTTAATATATCAAAAATGACATCCATGGATCTATGTAGGCTCACTTATATAAAGCAAACAGCATCAAAATGTAAAGGATGCAAACCGAGAATAAAGGTTCAAAGAGGGCCAAAGAGTAACGGGGTATCCGTCACAATAAAACAATGCAGAAGCACGCTGTTCAACGCCGAAACCCAATATTTACATTCCGCGGTTAAACTCAACCATACCCTGATCACCACCACGACCCCGGAACTCCTCCTCCAAGCTACTAGCACTAATAGCCTGACGAGAAGGGAAAGCCGCCAGTGCAAGCGGCAAAGCAAAGAGCGAAGTACCCAAGATAAGCGCCAGATTAACAGGCATAATCATACGAGGTCGGGCACGCAGCCACTGCGTCTTCTCCAACTTGACCAAGATAAGAGGCGGCAGAACCATAATTGGCGTGGCATTCAGAACACGCGAGATGGCAGTTTCGCCGACTGCAAGGGTAGCAGCCTTCTTACTCTTGCCGAGACTCTGAACCGGCTCAGCGTCCTCGATCAGCTCGCGCTTGGCACGCTCTTCAGCAGAGAGAACGGGGTAGACATCGATACCCTGGCGGATTTCCTCGCCGCGCATGAGGAAGACGTTCAGGGCGCTGGCGCTGGCGACAGCAGCGAAGGGGACGAGACGGGACAGGATGAGACGGGTGTTGGGGGAGATGCTCTTGAGACGGGGGACGAGAGCTTTCAGGCCGAGAGCTGTCGAGCAGGAAGCCGAGACGGCCATGAGGTATGACTGGGCGATCTGGGAGGTGGAGAGGGGGGTGGATTTGTTTGCGTTTGCGTTGTTGATTGCGACGTTGAGAGATTGGTTTCCGATTTGCCAGAGGAGGGTACCGGATGTCTGTTATGCCATTTGTTAGGTATGTGTTTGGATCTGCGGGATTTGTGGGAAATGCTCACCCCGAGTCCTGGAGTCAACATGCCCGCAGTGACGACCAAGTTCGAGAACACGTAGGCTGACATGCGAAAGGGGAGGAGAACTGGTGTGCCAGTGTCTATGTGGTCGTTAGCCAATTGCCTAGTACAGATAAATACAAGTTCCCATACCAGGATGCAAAGTCGCATCGACGACCTTCTTCGCGGACCACAGTTCAGGCGTCATAACCGGGATACGGTTCTGCTTGTAGGAAGCGATGAGGCTCTTAGCGCTCTCCAGACCAGCGCCTGAGACAAAGAGAGTTCTGCAATTGAGAATGCTCAGTAACTTATCTAATATCAATCCTCTCATTCATGGACTTACCGAGGATCAGCAATGTCGGCGGCATGGCGCACCCGACCCCAGTAGGTGGAGAGGTCATATTGTGATGGGGGAGATCCCGGCTGCCAGGGAGAGAGGCAGACATAGCGAATGAAAGCACTGTAAAGAATGTATAGAGAATGTATAGAGAGAAAAGACTATGACTCCGCGGGGAGAAAGTGGTTTTTCGACAATAAAAAAGGCGGTGAGGCGATAAGTTGAGGATTGGCCAATCAACAACCGGATCTGATCTATATCGGAACTCTAATTTGAACTTTTCAGAGCGCCTTCGAATAACACGAGAGGGCTGTGTCAGTACTAGCAGGTATCTCCGGAAGTATAACGGCCAAAGTCAGCAGTCTTTCGGCCTAAACTGAGCAGGTCAGATTCGAGACTAAATAGGTTGTGCCTGAATGCACTTATGTCGGCCCCTCTCCCGAGATCGGTTTGCCACGCCGATATGCGGGGATCTTGCATACTACTTGAATGTATAGTATATAAGTATAGAGATGATTCTATTCTGTTTTGTCCAGAAATGTGAGGGAATAGTACATAGGTATCATAATGGGTCACACGGGATTAGGCAAGGGCAGGGTGACTTGGGTAATGCATGGTATAAAGAGCCCTGCTGGGCGAGAATGACACAAAAGAAATAAGGCACAAGCCTTCCACTGGTTATCCAGTATGATCATAGTTTTACCGGACGCGGTAGGACTTGTGGGCCAAAGGAGAGGGAGGGGCATTTCCCGTGGGCACGTAAGAGGTTCGGGCACGGTTCTGTCTCGATGGCGTTTGGGCACAGAAAATGCAGACGTATACAGAGGGCAGATTTGCACGCTCCAATCCGACGCACCGGGTGTGTAACCAGTGTGTGCATGATTCACTGTGAATTGTTAATACATACTGAGACTCGACATCTGTAAATTAGACTCACCATTGAATCATAAGATGGCCACCATTATCCATCGAGCGGCAGACACATCGTGTACCATTGCTTGGATTACTGTGACGATCTGTGCTGGGAGTGGCAAGATCTGGGTCGGTCAGAGTGGTAGGAGAGGCATTGTGTCGGGGGTGAATGTCGAAATCGCTGCCGAGGCGCGGAGGGGATGACCGGAGGTGGGTAAAGGTATGTGATGAGCGGGAGAGTCGGTTGTTAAAGCCATTTATAGACGGTCTAGGTCCCCGGCCGCGTTCTTTCAGGACCTGCCGGAGTGCATGTGTAGCGTCACCACTATCGTCGTCCTCTCCGGGCAACGAGTCGGAAGCCGCACTACCCCTGGTATAGGTGGAGTCGGAGTGAAGCAGAGAAGAGTGTCGCTTGGGGGTCCGCTTGATATCAGGAGAACCACGATGGTTCACTCGCCCCGCCCCTCTCGAAGAGCTAGCCCAAGGCGACTTTCGACCCGAATGGGAAGAGCCGACAGTGGAGGCATATGAACCCTTCGAAGGAGGCCGGGAGCCAGAATCACTGCGGGAAAGTGGACGGCGGTTGAGGTCAAAGATGGAAAAGGAGGACTGAGCACGTTGCAAGACAGGATACTCCGAGTACTCTGCCGGGTCGGCTTCGCTCTCCGTTGCAGAGCCATCTAAATCCATCCCAGTCAGGGGATCGGTTAATCCTGTGGGGCCCTCATCGACAGGCTCCATCTCAGCCTTTGCACGACCATCCCGGCCAATTCGAAGCACCACGGAGGATGAGCGCGTGGGCAAGCCGGTGGCAACCGAGTTGGCCCGAGCCAAGGGGGGTAGAACGCATCCCTTTCGCCGGAGACGAACGGCCCTTGGAGGGGCTCTTTCGGATCCCGCTCGTGGATGCCATCATACCCCCAGCTTGACTGAGCGGCCTGTGTGAGCTCGTGATGGCAGTGTGAGTTACACTGCGGGTCAGCCCCGGTCGTGTGCCCCTCGGTGTGAAGTCGTCATCTTCTTCCTCGCTTTCGCTCAGACCAACAAACGATGTAGGTCGCTGCCCATCTGGAGCCTGGGCACGGAGAAGCTCCTCCCGTTTCGATTCTTCCGTCTGATGGTGGTACGGTTGTCGAATGCCACGCAGAGACCTTGTCTGCGGCGTGAGATGTGGCCCACCAAACCGTCGGGCGGGAGAGCTCAGGAACAAGGCTGGGTCCTCTGCTTTGGTAACTGGAATCCGGGGAGAAGTCGAGAACGGTGCAGGGAACAGAGCAGCGTCGGTAGGTGGTGCTGCTGAAATCCCAAACCCGTTCCCGAACTCGGGAAGATCAATTGAGCCATCGATGGTTGGTAATTGAGGAATGTGATGTGTGTCGGAGTTCTGATGAGAATCCAAGCCATTGCTGGTGGGTAGAGGAACTTCACCGGCATTTTCTAGATCCTGATCCCAGAATAACCGCTGCTGTGGGAAGAAAGGAGAGCCCGTGGGATCCAAGGAAGCCAGCTGGAACAAGTCGGGCGAAGATTGTAGGTTGCCAAACATGCGAGGAGACGCCCCCAAAAGACGACTCGGGGTTTCCAGATGACCCATCCCCGGTGTTGCCCCTGGTCCATCCCCCTCGTCGAACTCGGGAATCTTCCGCCTGGACGCACTGGTAGGAGGAGGTGTCTGCATCGAAGCCGCTGACTTGGCCGAGCCCATCGGAGGGTAGTCTTCGCTCGCACTCTGGTTCGGCCTCACTGCACGAATCCGCTTGGCCGTATCGGTCTGGTCCACCCTTCCCTTGTAACTCTCTCCATGACTCGGGGCCGGACCTCCCTTCAAGGTGGAGGCGAGGCCGAACCTCTGTGGTGTACGGTGCAGCTCCGGACTGGAGGCATAGGGGTCAGAGGTATCCCAGGTCACTCGAGGGTCGAAGAAGCTGGACTCGAGTTTCGGGGGGAAGGAGTCACCGAACGAAGCCGGAGTCCTCGTCGGCGTTTGCGGTTCGGGATAGCTGAAGCTGAAGAAATCCATGAGTGACTATAGAAGAAGAGAACCCCGCAAAGCATACCTGTGAACAGGATCCCAACTCATGTCAGCACCATTGAACGTCCCTGGCAACCTTAATGGAGAGCAGAATGTGAGGGGAGCATTGAAGGGTAGACGTTGCTGATCAAGGGATGGAAGATGGAATGGAATGTTTTTCTTTTTCTGAGTTCGTTTTTTTACGTGGGGACTTTTCTTTTGACCTCCACTGATATCCACAGCTATTCCGGACTTTCATGCAGGAACGGATAAGAGGGATCTACACAGGTTACAGCCTGGAGCCTAACTTTAGTACGGGGAGTACATGTACAGCTGAGAGAATGGGGCAGGGTAAGAACGCCTATCACCTCCTTAGGCCGCCAAAGTTACCCTTGAGAGGCGCCGATCCAGACCAAAGCGAGATCGAGCCTTGTTCGGGGCAGTCTAAGACGAGCCACTTAACGGCCTTCATTTGCTGCGCTTTGTTCTTTTTTAGTTCCGGAGTAGCCCAATGACGACATATTCCACACGGTCACCCCGTATATAAAGAAACCCAGCATGGATGGTTAGAGTGAGGGAACTTAAGTCCTTAGGAAGGGGGAACTCTACTGTGTTATCCCTCGGAGTCGGGTAACTAACCGGCTACTGTACTGTACATGTGCATTATTCCCCTGGCATACCCCTACCTTACCCACTTCCAAGTTTTGACCTCTTACTTTTCATTTCGATTCGGAGCTGCGAGCTGCCGCTGACACAATCTTGAGATCGGAAGATCTCAATTTGCTGTTTCTGGGGTGATCCGTAGACGTGGTACGGTAGATGCATATCTAAGATCCCACCCACTGTAGATATGATATTATCTATTACTGTATGTATTATCATGCAATATTCTATAATGTTCTACTGTATATTCTCCCTGTCAGAGAGTAAGATAAGTGCCTAAAGTCTGCTAAACGCCGGGCACGTGCATTGGGGCCAAAAGTACGAAGTAGAGAACAGATCTATCTCATGAGGCAACTAACTCTATCTGGTAATAGATACACATCACTTGTCATCATCTCACTGTAAATAACTTCCATGGAAGTTAGTTAGCGTTAACTATGTTAAGTTTAGAGAGCTGGAGGCCTGTCGATTTAGGCACAATTCAGCCACAACGCCACACCGCCACAGTGTGCCTGGCTTGAAGCATCAAAGATCATTCATGTTGACTGAGACACCACTGGTGTCCAAATTTAACATGTCACAACCCATGAATCTAATCTAATCTATTCACCACTGACATCTTTCCCAAATCAAAATCCCAACACCCGTGTCAAAATCGTCACCCTCACCCTCCTTGCTTCAACCCATCCCACATAACATGGCAGATACAACTAAGTCCAACGTCCGCAAACGCAAGCCTCACCGCAAAGGAAAGAACAGACGTGTACGGAAGCGTGGTGGCAAGGCCCGCTCTGTCCTAGATGCGGGCGCCCAAACCCAGCCATTATCAGAAGTCCTCAACGAAACCAAACATCGAAAAGCGAAACCATGGACTGCAGTTGTACCCATCTCGGATGATCCACTTGAGCAGGTAAGTTCAGTCGGACTCCATAGCCAGACCATCCAGGTAACACATTCCACACAGAACATTGTCGAGCGTGTACCCATGCCAGAAGGATATATCTTCGTCCCCAAAGGCGATGTTTACATCACGCGACATTGCCGCAGCAAAACCAAAGAATCAAACCAGATAGTCTACCTAGTCTACGTAAGAACAACTAACCAATCCCCCCAAACCATCACATATCAACCCTGACACCCCTAGAAACCAAACGGCAAACACACACTCGGAATTCGAGTCCCATCAGAAATATACACCACAGTCCAAGAATCCGCAGCAGCCACAGCAGATTCACGCGCAGACGCGGTAAAAACCCGCGATGCAAAAGATACCAGCAAGAACCGCAAACTTCTCATCGAAGAATTCCCACTAATGCCCAAACCAAGCCTGGAAGTGATCCTCGACCATGCATTCCTGAAAGGATCAGGACGGGTAGGCCGTACGGCACGGATATCCGATGAACATCGGATCCACCTGGCTGTTGAGGCTCATATTCGCCATGTGATGACACCTTACGACAAGCTCCTTGATGAAGGGGTTGAGCGGAATAAAGCCCGGGAGCGGGTTTGGGATACAGTTCAGGCTATTGAACGGGCTTGGCAGGGGTGTATGGCTAAGGAGCAGAAGGAGGGGGATAGTCCATTGGCGTTGCGGCTCGCGTGATGGTCGAGTTGGGATGAATGGATTATGCATCGTCGGAGTTTTTTTTACATTTACGGGCACATGGAGAGCTACTATGACTTTGTACTGGGATTTCTAGGTGTTATGGGATACAATGGGATTATGATCAGTTACTTCAAGGACAGCAGATGGAATAAGGATATTGTACTCTTGCCTCTATTAGATGTATTCACAGAGAGAGAAAAAAAAAAAAAAAAAAAGGTAAAGTGGTCCACAAGGACAACAAGCTATCTACACCCCCAAAATCCTTAAATCCTCATATCCTCATCTTAAATCCTCTCATCCATCCTATCTTGATAGCTCTCATCTTCAATTCTGCCAATGAACCCCGGGAGCAAGCCAGAAGTAAGCCGACACCTACTCAGATCTCAGAGCTTCCAGAGGCGCGCGAGATCAGGCGGACCTGGAAGTTGTCGTGGATGTAAGGCAGTCCAGAGAACCAACCCTCTCCATCTTCGATCATTTCGGTCATCATAGCCAGGCGATGAGAGACAGCTTCAATAGCCTCTTCGCGGTTTGTGTTGTCGGTGGCGATCAGCACGAAAAGGTGGTTGAGGAGCGACCAACGGGGAAGCTCAGAGAGAGAATTGCGATTAGACTGCCCAATTGCGCCACGGAGGTAAATGCGAGCAGCAGAGAGATAGACATGGTCATTGAACACTCCGCGAGGGACAGGGAAGTAAAAGACATGATGGTAAACCATGTAGTCTGGGCGGTGTTCAGGGAGAGGTACGGGTCGTCGGGGGTAGAACCAAGGATACGGGGGCTGAGCATCGTGGGCAGGGCGTTCGATGTACGCAGGTGCGGTCATAAAGGGCTCGCCAATACGGTGGTCAAACCAGTGGTTGTTGTAAGACATGTTTGGTAAGGGAGCTTGAGCCCGAGAGCTGGTACCAAAAGTGTCGAATTTGAAATGAAAAGGCCTCCGGAAGAATGGCGACGAGCATAGAATCGAATGATAGATCAAGTCAAATTTATAGGCCCGGGAATCTGGTGGGGGCGCGCAGATCGATTCAATCTGCGCACATGACGCTATTCCGACATTGATGTTCTCGTCGGTGCCTCGTGAACCCCCGCTCATATATCTTACTATACGAGGGCAGAGCATATGCACAGCTCCCAATGGCCGGCACCAGTAGGGAGCATACCGCATGCAATATATCTGGTTCTATACCACATAGAGATGGAGCGTGCAAAGCCTGTGGATGCGGCATGGCTCAATCGAATTGGGAGAACCCTAGCAAATTTGTGACAAACGAGAAGAAGCGGTCAGACTCTGGAATGGCCCTTTGGCCCCATAGATAGAAAAGCGTCCCAGCTCCTACAAGTCTGGCGAGCGAAAGATGGCGGAAGATGACATTGTGCACAGGGTGCGTAGTTGAGGACGCGAAGCTCTACAGTGGTGTCCCCACCCATTTATACCACAGGTCCCGAAGCGGTCTAGCGTATTTCATGAAAAAGAGCAACTTTACCCTCACTGTCTCTAGTCTACTCTAGTTTACTGTCTATACTAGCCTCTCTAGTTCATTCTAGTTTAATGTTTCAGCACTAATAGCTAAAGAACTGAAAAAAGTTCCCATACAATCGAGCTTCACAGATCGTGGCTAGTCCCACTCTGATGCCAAGACCGATCAACCACAGGGCTGGATATTTAGCTATAGATATGGATCGATTTGGCAACTATTCTAATCATCTCTATAGAGAACTTCATCTGCTGTATATCCTGATATTTGTGAATAACACAAAAATAGAACATTGATTTGCCAAGCAGCCAAGCAGCCAAGCCATTCATCTCCACAGTAAGCAACAAGGTCCAACCCGGTCAAACCATGCTCGAGGCGAAACAACCTAAAAGGGAAAATGCCCAAGTCGACAAGTTCCGGTTTCACAGAAGGTTCTCTCACCTTCGCATCATGGCTCTTGAACACTTACCATGAGGCACCGCTCATACTTAGGGTCTCTCAACCGACAGAGATCAGCCCTAATAATCGCAGTCGTGGTGCTCTTTGTCCTATTCGAATCCCTACCGTTGCCAATAACCAGACCGGATGCCCGGCTTGAGGTCTCACAAGACCGACCCCGATATCTCCATCAGTCGCCGTTTCGCACGAATCCCAACTATGAATATGAGATCAAGCTCTCGAATGCGCTGCGCGATCTCGAGATCGAGGGTCAACTCCGCGGCGATGGGGGTGCCCCAGATACAGTCTGGCAGATCATGTTGATGGACAATGACAAGCGAGGCGATGATTCCTTCCAGTTCGAGAAGAAGAACTCAGATTGGAAATATTCAGTGAGACACCACTACACTTCCAATGTTCATTGGCAATATTAACCCACCCCAGCTCGTCAATGCCAAATGGGCGGACAGATTCATAACCGAAACCCTCGCCTCAATCCCAGATCTCGAACGCCTCTACAAGTCCTATCCAGGCTACGTCCTCCGCGGCGATCTCCTCCGCTACCTAATCCTCTGGTACTACGGCGGCTATTATGCAGACGTCGACGTCTACCCAGCAACAAGCATTAAAGCCTGCCCATCAATGCAGAACACAATCTTTAACCCCAACACCACCATAACCAACACCAACATCTCGCTAGTAGTCGGCATAGAAATCGATGAACCCTTCGCCTCAACCGAGAAAATGCGCGACTGGCACTGGGTACGGAGGTACGGGTTCCTACAATACACGATGTACGCACCACGAAGATTCAGCCCAGTCCTCCGGGAAGTAATCGTGCGCGTGCTATCCCACACAAAACAACACATAGCCCAGAGTCATATCTGGGGCGCGAGATACAACGAAATGACAACATTGGAGATAACGGGACCGGGCGTATTCACCGATGCCATTCTGGACGTCCTATCTGAAACATTACCATCAGACCACCGACTCATTCAGAAGTCTGTCGATGCAGATGAAGGACTGGGTGATTTGATACCGTCTTATTCGGCTCTCCCTGTGCAGCGGGTGACGTGGGCGCCATTTTATCAGCTTCAAGAAACGCTTTGTATTGATGGGAGTGAGGCTAAGAGTGGGAAGATGCTTGGGGGGTTGTGTGTTCTTCCTTTGAATGCTTGGGGGAATGGGCAGAGGCATAGTAGGGCTGAGGGGTTTAATAGCCAACATGCTTGCATTAATCATCGGTTTGGGGGGACTTGGAAGCCTTGGAGGCAGAGTTGGAGGAAATGGTTGTTTGGTTGAGGATTAGGGGTTGCATAGGCATATATCAGGCGTTTGAGCCAACTATTCTGCATGATGGACAGTGGTGACTTGATTCTTTTTGGGGGCTTATTTCAGATAGGGTTTGAACATTGAATACTGCTTTACATTGGCTTTTGAGGTACATACAGACTGTAAATGGAAGGTATGGCACATGATGATATGATACAGCGTAGAAGAACAAAGGGTATAGTACAAACGTGGTAGATCAAGTGATATCAGACCCAAAGATAAGCAAGGGGATATTGTAGCATGCCACACAGTGGCTAAAGAGGAAGGAAAAAAGGTCAAAGGGTAACAAAGAAGCCTAAACACAGTCCATACGGGCGTAGTCTGCATCAACCTCCTCACGGCGGCGAAGGAAAGAGGCTTCCTCAAAGTCGTCCATGTTCATAGTGGGCTGCTGGGTCATGTTGCGCCGCACAGCAAGAATGCGACGGCTCCGACTCACTTTTGACGAGGTATCATGCCAGGACTCGTCGTTGAAAGTGTTGGATTGCGGACAATAATGCTCGTCGTCAAGCATATCACTATCGAAACCCAAAGTTCTCTTTTGACCTCCCAAAGCTCCAGTAAAGGAAGATGTAGACTCCTGACTACTCGACGGAATCGAATAGGCATCTCCCTCATCATTGACAAGGTATTCATCGTGGTCGAATGGGCGCTTGGTAGAGCCGGAGAAAGGAGCAAGCTCGCTGTTACCGTAAGGAGCAGCAACCGGGGTCTGAGCGACACCTGCATGATGTGGGACCTTCTCTTCAGACATTGCCATGTGGGTTCTATATCCGTCTGCAACGGACTTCCGGACCCGCATTCCTACGGATAGGAGAGAGGATTGCACTTTGGCTGGGACGACAGGTGTGGCAGAGAAGGTTGCGGCGGAGTAATGGTGGTGGTGTGAAACGGTAGGTGTCTCATTAGGCACTGGCTGAGAAGCGGTCGTAAAGTATCCCGTGATGGGTGGTTGGAAGCGGCGCTTCTTTGACAGCGTACTGTTGGAGGCGAGGGACGGCATTGTGGGGAAAGACTCGAAATTTGTGCTGTGGAAGGCGAGACTCTGAGATGATTTGATGGCTTGAGATTCGATATGTCGTGCGCTGCAAGTGTGACGTAGGGAGGCGAGGGAGGGGTTGAGGAAAGAAAAAGAATGAGCGATGGTCGCTGGGCAACGCGACCTTTACGCGGGACGCGCGATGTTCAATTAGTCCCAACTCGGGATAGTGGGCACGTGACATGGTGAAGTATAGCCAATCCGGTGGATGAGTATATTGCTCCTCTACTCCGTACAGTATGATGAATGTATCTCAAGAGCTAGTAGGTAAATTGTAACTAAATGTGGATTCATGTGTACGCCAATAATATCACTATATACCCTATGCTTGGACGAACATGTCAATGTCAAAAGACAGCGCAAATGTATAACGAACAATCATTACTTTTTGAAACATGGCAGGCATCAACTCTATCACTGACCAATATTTCCGCGCTTTCCGCCACGCTTAGCACGATCGTGATGAGCCTTGAGTACTGCCCGAGTCTCCACCAAACTTCTCTTGTTCTTACTGCGGGCCTTGCCCAGCGTCATGAGGAAGTTCTTGCGGCGAGCCTTCTCCTTGTTGGTAGTACTCTTGCCCTGTTCCTCCTTGCGCTCCTTACGTCTAGCCTCCTTAGACTTGCGCTCAGAGCGGTCGGGCTGGCCCTCCTTGGCGTGGGCAATCTTCTCCTCACGCGTGGCCTTAGCGGCAGACAGAGCGGCAAGACCCTCGATCTCCTGGGCAGTCAGAGGATCATCAGTGTGACGAGAAGTCCAGGGAGCAGCACGCTTGCCCTTGTTGCCTGGAAGGAGAGCATCGACAGATGCCTGGGTGCGGAGCTCAGCGAGTTTGGCAAGATCAGCGGGTGTGAGGATGCGAGTGGTGGCCAGTTTCATGAAATCCATTTCCTCCTCCTTCTCGGTTTCCTTTTCATCGTCCTTCTTCTCAACCTCGGCGTCTGCCTTGGCCTTCTTTGAGGGTGGCGCCTTGCCTTCATCCTCGGAATCACTCATTTCGATCTCAACATCTTCCTCCACATTGATCCATTCACCAGAGTCATCACTGTCCTCGTCATCTTCGACATTCCAGGCAGCCCAGTCGGCCTCCTCGTCATCTTCTTCAGCGTCTGAAGGAAGACCCTTCTCCACGTTCCTCTTGCGACGCTCCTCGTCCTTCCACCTGGCCAAGAGTTCCAGTCCCTCGATGCCGCCAGCTTGCTGCTCACCGAATCGTCTCTCTTGCTTCGTGCCAGCGCGCAGACTCATGGCAGCTTCCTTACCACGGTCACGCTTCTTGAGCATCTGCGCTCCGACGTCACGGTAAAGACTGAGAAGACCCTTGGAGGCCATCATGACACCCTTATCCTTACTCTTCTTGTACATGACAAGATCCTGCAGCAATGTCTCATCCATAGCCAAAGGCTGTCTCACACAGATCTCACGAATGGCATTGAGACCAGCGGTGGCAACCTCACCGGCGGAGGCTTCAGACACGAACTCGTTGGCAATCTTTTGAATGAGGGGCTCGAGAACATCAGGAGGAACCAAGTCGTGGGATGCCTGGGCCAAAGAAGCCAGGAATGAAGTCACAGATGGTTGACGGGGTGTAAGGTACTTTTGGAAGTAGGAGTACAGAGGCATGATGTGCAACTGGTGCAGACCCACTAGACGGGACACCAATTGGAGCACCTGAAGCTTTTGCTCCAAGTTCAACTTTGACTTTTGGTTCTGGAGATGCTTGTAGAACATAGACTCGGCAAATCCTTGAGGATCGTGCAGCAAGTGAAGTGCTGAGAAGTTGAGGGGATGGGGTTGGTTCTTCTTCTTCTCCTTGTTCTTGACTGACTTGATGGCCTTTTCGGCGGCACGGGCCTTCTTGCGAGTCTTCTTGTTGATAGTAAGTTGGTGCTTAACTTGACCAACACTGACACCCTCATCGTCACTGCTTTCATCCTCCATGTCCTCACGCTCCTTGTCACCACCGAGGAAGAAACGGACGCCGCCAATGATAACCTTCTCGTTCTCAGACAAGGCAGCCTCCTTCATGATCTCAACGGCCTTGGCCTCAGTCCAAATTTGACGTTTCCATAGCTCTCGGGTGATCTTGATTGCCCACAAACCTTTAGACGATGTGCGATCAGATGTGACCAAGTTGAAGAGAACGGTCTGCATAGTCCGGTTCAACTTGTGGTTGGTGGTCTTCGAATTTGAGGTGCGAAGCTCCGAAAGGATCTTCTGGAACAGCAAAGCACGCAGAGTCTTGCTAGGTGTGGCGACAAGGATGGGGAAGAGAGTGTGCAGTAGGCTGAAGACTGTTAGAACAAAAGCAGAGGACTAAGAGGAGAGACAACATACGTGGCTGAATCAATGATATCCTTCTTCTTCAAAAGCACCAGACTTCCAACCAGCTTCTCCCGCAACTCAGTCTCCAATACCAGGTGGTGTTGCATGAGCATGTCAATGAGCTGCTGCGGGAAGTCCTTCAGAATGTCGGGGTAGCAGTCGGCCACATGGGAGATGAAGTCAATGAGATCCCGAAGAGAAATCACACCGGTATCTGTAGCGGACGACGGCGAGGCCATGAAGATCTCGCGGTGGGATTCATATTGGTAGTGTTGAGCGCGGAAATCTTCAATATAAGACCTGAGCAGCGCAAAGCGACATTAGTTCTGATCTAGCAAAACCCGATCGCAAGAACTATCTCCATTGACTTACTTGGGATCCTTGCGAATCTTGTGTTGCAAATTGGGCCTGCAGAGCGCAAAGAAAAGATGTTAGTATCTCGGACTGAAACCTCTGATCGACGGGCGCATCGACTGGCAAAATGCACATACAGATCAGCCTCGACCTTTTCCAAGGCTCCAAGCTTGCGTTTCACCATCCTCGCAGTATTTGAAATGAGAAGAGGGGTGGTTGGGGGAAGATGTATTTGGCGCGGACGGTCGACTCCAGGTCCGAAACTTTTTTCTCCGTATCGATAAGCGACGGAAAATCTGAATGTCAGATCAAGACAGGTCAGGGTAGAACTCTACATAAGTTGAATATCCTAACGCTAATATCTGACACTCAATCTATTAAAATACAGACAATCTACTCTGATCCAAATTGAAGTCAAGAAATTTTTTTTCTTAGGAAATTGGTCATTACAACCAAAGGTCTTCATGATCGCATCTCAACTACTGAAGAAAGACATCCGATTTCGTTCCCTTTTTAGATCGAGCCTTCTCCTTGACTGTATAATATGTACAGCCCCGCAGATGCATGCAAATCCATTGAATCCCGGTTAAAACCCCCGTCCATTCCAGTAATCGTAAACAGAGGACCAAACGGAGAACAAATCCAACACAACCCCTTTACCGGTTGCTCTTGGCAACACGCTCGAGCTCGTCCTTCTTCTTGATGGCGTAAGAGTTGGAAGAACCCTTGGCGGCATTGATCAGCTCCTCAGCAAGGCACTCAGCAATGCTCTTGATGTTGCGGAAAGAGGCCTCGCGAGCACCGATGGTGAGCAGAGAGATGGACTGGTTCACACGGCGGAGGGGAGACACATCGACGGCTGCAAGTGGGTTAGAAAATCGGCAAGAGTGGCGAAATGGATTGTTACATACCCTGGCGGCGGACGGTACCCTGGGAACCGATACGGGTGCTGTCCTCGCGGGGACCGCAGTTGACGATGGCGTCAACGGCGACCTGGAGAGGGTTCTGGTCGGTCATGATGTGGATCTGTGTGATAGAAGATTAGTGACCGAGACGTTCGAATAGGGCGAAATGGCACGTACGATCTCGAAAGCGTGAGCGACAATGCGGACAGCCAAGAGCTTCTTTCCGTTGTTGCGGCCGTTCATCATGAGCGAGTTGGTGAGACGCTCGATGATGGGGCACTGGGCCTTGCGGAAACGCTTGGCGGCATAGCGACCAGCGGAGTGGGAGAGGTAGACAGGGGAGCGGATCTGGATGTAGTCGCTGTGATGGCGGGTCAGCACCTCTGCAAATTTTGATATCCATGCAATGTCCAATCCTCCAGCGCGCTGATATGATCCTGTTGTGTGCGATGAGAAAATTGTGCCACGGCGTGTGTTGTGGTCCTGCGTTCAGACATTTCGAGATTCCCTTCCTCCAGCCAAAAAATCTTGCGAATCCTCCCAATTCGTATCGCTTTTTCTCGCACACAACAGAAATTCACCTGGCGCACAGAGGATCGCAAAGAAACACTCACGTCAGGGAGATATCACGGATCTCGACATCATCGTAGCTCCACTTGTTGAACAGCTTGACGCTGCCCTGCTCGGCCAAAACCTCCTTGGGAAGGACTGGGAAGGTGGCGACCTCGACGTCCCCGTTGTCGGACATGTTGACTGTTCGGAGGGGTTCGTGGGAAAATTGACCGGGTTGTCGTTTGGTGATTGAACGTCGATGAGGTTCCGGTTATCCACGAAGGAAATTGGTGGACTCGCTTAGGTTGTGCGGGGGTCATGTGATTTAGGGCAGTCTGTAGGGTCACCTGATTTAGTGCCTTGGTGCCTGAACTGACACCTCAGGCATGAACTTCATGATGATCAGCGCGAACGAGAAGTTTGTATACAAATACACCAGTTTGAATTTCTTCCAAGGTTATACATATCATCTGTTAATGGAGTTGATTTTTATTTGTATACAATTGGACCACTAAGTCAGCTACATCTGCAACTAACCCCTCGGTATCAATTGCCCCAAGTGAAACCCAAGATGGTACCTGACAGCCACACTCAATACGAATCTAATTCGAGAACAATAAAGGTAGAAACATACAAACATAGACACGAAGAAGTATAGAAATATAGAACATCCTATATATAGTGTATACATGTCTCAGTGCACACTCGGTTCGTCTGACCGCCCTTAGCCTTAGCGGGTGACGTTGCGGCCTTGCGGAGACAGACAATTGATCTTCCCCAGAACGACTTGCGACTAGGCGATCCTCGGCAACTGAGTCTGCCACTCCTACACATCTTGCGCCCTTGAGACGCTCATGCGATGAGGCGTCCGTGACTCCGTTTCATCCCTCCCCCGCGTTTCCATACTACCCCGAATTGAGGAATTTCGATACTCTGCCCAAATGGCGGAAGAGTCCCCTGAGCTCCAGGCCGCTTTGCGGAACCTAGATCGGGAATTGGAGGTATGTGCTGGCGTGCGCTTGTCGATTCTTTCGCTCACAAGTTGTGACAGGAGGGCGATATCACCGAGAAAGGGTAAGACACGCGACATACTTTGCCAGGCCACGATCCCCTCATCACCACAGTCAGACCGGTTTTCGAGACACTGGGACCGTCATTTGCGCAGTTATGAGCCCGCAACCACACAATATGGAGAGCTAACAACACCAAAGATACCAAAAGCGACGAACTGTCCTGCTTTCCCAGTTTCTCGGTCCGAATAAGCCTCTTGATATCAATACTCACGCCAATTCCCTTCACGATGCCCCCGCGTCCGGTTCCATGGCCCCGCCGGCAATTTTGAGCGTTCGCCCGCCGACTGCCGACTCTTCACAACATATCAAATCCCCCACCTACTCAGGTGGTTTCGACGACTTACAAAGCGGAGGTCTCGGATATGGTGCTGGTATAGACGCACATGATGCGTCTTTGGCATCTCCAGGATCTCATGACAGAGACAGCACAGGCATGCTCCAAGCCCGGGATCGGATGCCCTCATCGGGCTCCTACGACTCTTTGTTCCTTCCAAGGCCACCAATTTCTGGCTCGCAAGGTCCAGACGGCTCTCGAACCGCAACTTTAATGAGCCAAAACTACGCATTCAACCCAAGCTCTCAGGCCGAGTATGTGTCCCAGGCTGAGTACACGCAACCAGAGTATGCCCAGGCTGAGTATGCGGACGATGGCATGGGATACTACGATCCTGGATCTGGCGGGCCCACGCGACAGTCTACAATGCTTGATTCCCAACAGGGATACTTCTCCGACTTTGCGGGGCAACAGCATGATGACTATAGGGATAGCTATGGGGGTGGCTTCCATCGCTATTCTCAGTCCGGAGAGGCCTTCTCACCCACCGCAAACATGGCGCCGCCCCTGATCCCGGCATCTGAACTTCAGCATGGACCGGCGATTGAGCATCTCCAGCCCCTTGAGCCCCGAGAGATACCATTTGCGCTGAACGACCCGCATGACAAGAATATCCCGATGGCCAACTTTGACAACCTACCCACGGTCTTACGGCACCGCGCTCGAGCTCACCCAAAGCAGCCGGCATATTGGGTACTGGATACAAAAGGCAAGGAGGTTGCATCGATCACCTGGGAAAAGCTGTCTACCCGTGCGGAGAAAGTTGCTCAGGTCATTCGCGACAAGAGTAACCTCTACCGCGGAGATCGAGTTGCTCTGATTTACCGCGAGGCTGAAATCATCGAATTTGCCGTTGCTCTCATGGGTTGCTTCATTGCAGGAGTTGTAGCAGTGCCAATCAACAGCTTGGATGACTATACAAGTCTCAACCTCGTGCTTACATCGACGCAGGCCCACCTGGCTTTGACCACGGAGAACAATTTGAAGAACTTCCAACGTGACATCACAGCACAGAAGTTGAATTGGCCACGAGGTGTTGAATGGTGGAAAACAAACGAGTTTGGCAGCTTTCATCCGAAGAAGAAGGATGAGACGCCTGCTTTGCAGGTCCCTGACTTGGCCTATATCGAGTTCGCCCGTGCTCCGACGGGTGACCTGCGTGGTGTCGTGATGAGCCATCGAACAATTATGCACCAGATGGCATGCTTGAGTGCAATTATTTCCACGGTGCCCACGGAGTCAAGCGCGAGGCAATATGGAACCAAGGGGGAGACCATCATCAGCTATCTCGACCCGAGACAAGGAATCGGCATGATCATGGCTATTCTCTTCACTGTGTACGGTGGGCACACAACCGTGTGGCATGAGAACCAAGCTGTTGAGACACCCGGCCTGTATGCCCACCTTATAACCAAGTACAAGGCTACAGTCATGGCAACCGACTACTCTGGCTTGAAGATTGCCACCTACAACTACCAACAAGATCCGATGTCAACTAGGCATTTCAAGAAGAACTCCGAGCCTAATTTCAGCAGTGTTAAAATCTGTCTGATTGATACCCTTACTCTTGACCCCGAATTCCATGAAATCCTGGCAGACAGATGGCTTCGTCCAATGAGGAACCCCCGGGCTAGGGAAATTGTTGCCCCCATGCTGTGTTTGCCAGAACATGGAGGCATGGTCATCAGTATGCGCGACTGGCTGGGTGGTGAAGAGCGAATGGGATGTGCTTTGACACACGAAATGGACCCTGCCAGCCGTGATGATGACAAGAAAGAAGACTCGAGCCTGACCAAGTCGGAGCACAACACTGGCTTCGGAAGTAGTCTTCTAGGTGGTGGAGCACGTGTCTCGACACCCAAGAAGAGCGACAAGAACGAGCTTAGTGAGGTCCTTCTCGACAAAGAGGCCTTGAAAAGCAATGAGGTCGTTGTGCTTGCCATGGGCGAGGATGCCCGGAAGTATGCTAGCAGTATGCCTCATGCTGTCCGTGTTGGTGCCTTTGGCTACCCAATTCCTGACGCAACCCTCGCTGTTGTTGACCCCGAAACCAATCTGCTTTGTACGCCAAATGTCGTTGGAGAGATTTGGGTTGATTCACCATCTCTATCTGGTGGCTTCTGGGCGTTGCCAAAGCACACCGAGGCTATTTTCCATGCTCGTCCCTATAAATTCGAAGAGGCCAACCCGACTCCCATCCTTGTGGAACCAGAGTTTCTGCGCACTGGTCTGCTCGGCTGCGTGATTGAGGGCAGACTGTTCATACTTGGTCTTTATGAAGACCGTCTCCGTCAAAAGGTGGAGTGGGTTGAGCACGGTCAAGAGATTGTCGAACACCGATACTTCTTCGTTCAACATCTGACTGTCAGCATTCTCAAGAAGGTGCCGAAAATCCACGATTGCACTGCTTTTGACGTGTTTGTCAATGAGGAACATCTTCCGGTCATTGTTTTGGAGTCCTATTCAGCTTCGACGGCACCGACAACTTCTGGCGGCCCACCAAGGCAGCTCGATTCGGTCCTTTTGGATTCATTAGCAGACAGGTGTATGGAGGTTTTGTACCAGGAGCATCATCTTCGGGTATACTGTGTTCTTCTCACAGCCCCTAACACTCTCCCTCGTGTCACCAAGAATGGTAGACAGGAGATTGGTAACATGCTCTGTCGCAAAGACTTCGAGGCTGGTATGTTGCAAGCTGTGCACGTCAAGTTTGGAGTTGAACGATCGGTGATGAACCTGCCTGTTGGCATTGACCCCGAGGGAGGCATTTGGTCACCTCTTGCTCTATCATCACGACAGGACATGCTTGCATACCAAGAAAAGCAGTACTCCGGTGTTGATTATCGTGATGTTGTGATGGATGACCGAACATCCACGCCATTGAACAACTTCAACACTATTGTCGACCTTCTGCACTGGCGGGTTTCCCGTCAAGCCGAAGAACTTGCATACTGTTCTATTGATGGCCGCGGAAAGGAAGGAAAGGGTATTACTTGGAAGAAGTTTGACTTGAAGGTCTCCGCGGTAGCAACCTACCTGAAGAACAAGGTCAAGGTGCGACCAGGAGATCATCTCGTTTTGATGTACACGCACTCGGAAGACTACATCTATGCTATCCATGCATGCTTCTGCTTGGGCGCTGTTGTCATTCCTATGGCACCCATCGATCAGAACCGTCTTTCAGAGGATGCCCCCGCATTCTTGCACATAATCAGTGATTTCAACGTCAAGGCAATCATTGTTAACACGGAAGTTGACCATGTCATGAGACAAAAGCTCGTCTCGCAACACATCAAGCAATCTGCTCAGGTCCTTCGAATTGGCGTTCCTGCAATCTACAACACCACAAAGCCCTCCAAACAGTCTCACGGATGTCGTGAACTTGGTTACACAGTGAAAGATACTTGGCTCCAAGGAAACCAGCCAGCTCTTGTTTGGACCTATTGGACACCAGACCAGCGAAGAATTTCCGTGAATATTTCTCACGAAACTATCATGGGCATGTGTAAGGTTCAGAAGGAGACTTGCCAGATGACCAGCTCGAGGCCGGTACTTGGAAGTGTGCGTAGTACACTGGGACTTGGATTCCTTCACACCTGCTTGATGGGTATCTTCGTCGGTAAGTTTACTATTTCTGTCAAAAGATCCCGTTTTAATGTGTTAGGTGCCCCCACGTATCTTGTTTCGCCTGTCGACTTTGCACAAAATCCAATGACCCTCTTCGTCACCCTCGCTCGATACAAGGTCAAGGACACTTACGCCACTAGCCAAATGCTGGACTACGCGATGAGTGCTATGGCAGGAAAGGGCTTCCAGCTTCAGGAATTGAAAAACCTGATGATCTCCGCAGAAGGGAGACCCAGAGTGGATATTTGTATGTATGAGCACCATGAGAGCATGGAATATAAGCTGACATTCGTTGCACAGACGGCAAAGTACGCCTACATTTCGCTAATGCCAGCCTGGACCGCACTGCGATCAACGTCGTTTACTCGCACGTTCTCAATCCCATGGTTACCACAAGATCTTACATGTGCATTGAGCCGATCGAGCTCTGGCTCGACCTACGAAGCCTCCGTCAAGGTCTCATTTACCCCGTCGACCCTGACGCAGATCCTACTGCCCTGTTGTTGCAAGACTCGGGTATGGTACCAGTCAATACACAGATTGCGATTGTGAACCCGGAAACCTGCACACTGGCTCACGTCGGCGAGTACGGTGAGATTTGGGTTCAATCTGATGCCTGTGCTCAGGGATTCTACAAATCAAAGCAAGAGTTTGATTCCGAGCGGTTAAATGGCCGCGTTGCGGATGGTGATCCCAGCGTGCCTTATGTCCGGACCGGTGATCTTGGTTTCCTTCACACTGTTACTCGGCCGATTGGTCCTGGTGGTCAGCCGGTCGAGATGCAGGTGTTGTTCCTTCTTGGAAGCATTGGTGAGACCTTCGAAGTCAACGGACTGAATCATTTCCCGATGGACATTGAATCCTCTGTGGAGAGGTGCCATCGCAACATTGTCAATGGAGGATGGTAAGTAATTGACACTTTTATAGAACAACTTGATGCTAACATGATCTATAGCGCCATTTTCCAAGCTGGCGGCTTGATTGTTGTCGTGGTTGAAGTCACTCGCAAGGCATACTTGGCCTCCCTCGTCCCTGTCATCGTCGATGCTGTGCTTAATGAGCACCAGGTTGTGGCAGACATTGTTGCATTCGTTTCTCACGGTGACTTCCCTCGTTCTCGTCTAGGCGAGAAGCAGCGAGGAAAGGTTCTGGCTTCGTGGGTAACCCGGAAGCTGCGAACAATTGCTCAATTCAGCATTCGCGATATGGAGGGCTCCGACAATCCATTCGCAGAGATGCCCCAGCATCGTATGAGCAGGATCTCCAAGCCAGGAAGCACCATGGGCAACAGCATTCGCCACTCGACCATGAATCCCGAGATTGATCCTCTTCCCCGCTCACCCGCTGGAGTGACGCTGGAGGAAACCATCCACCCAGAAGCTACTTATAGTAACGATGTGCCTCCACCGATGCCACATGAGCTTGATACTACCACGGATAACGCCGTGGCTGCAAACCCTGTCCCACAGCCTAATCCCACTGTGCCTTACGTCAAGGAACCCCAGTCTGCCACGCTAGTGACCGAGTTTGACGATTCCCACCACGACACGCTGGACCAGGTGGATGGCAACCCCGGCGCAGACCGCGACTTCCGTTTCAGCTTTGACATGGTCAATACTCCTATGGCGCCGCAATCGCAAGGATTCATTCCCCCTGGCAGTGAGCGGCCTTCAACCGGACGAGAATCGCTGCCTAGCCAGCAGGGATGGGATTATAGTAATGCACCTACAATTGGCACAGCACATGCCGATTCAACACGGCCCGCAACACAGGACAGCGGGCAAATCGACGATTGGCCCCAAGAGGCCTTGATGTACCAATCCGCACTTGGAGAGGACAGCCAAGACTTCCACACAGCAAATAGCCACGGTGCTCCAGCGCGGCGGTATGATGGCTCTGGGTACGATGCTTGAGTTGACCGCGTATGCGATACATGTTTCCCGTCATTTATTGCTTAAATGCCCTGGGGCATGCTCCTTGATTTTTCGGTTTTGTGACTGTTATATTCTTATTTTCCCGTAGCATTGCGCTTTGGTTGTTCTGTTTTCGTGTTTTGTTTTCAAATACCTCGATCAGCCTTATGTTTACTTCGCCCTTCTTGCATGTTGCGCTTTGTACATACATAACAACCCGATTTTCACTACGGTTGATGTCTTTTGTTTTTCCCCACCCTCCGGTTCTTGGGTAGAATCAAAGACACCTGCCTCTAGGCGACCTGACTTACGATTGATAAATCTCTGTTTAAAAGTGTTTATTTGCTGCCTCTTATACGGCAAGGGTATCCGAAAGAGCCCGGCTAGCCCTCAAGCTATGATATGAAAACAGATGCAAAACGCTAGCCGCTAGAGGATGAAACAGTATTCTCCCAGCTTTATACCTCAACCTCGAAAACGAATGCTATCACAGCACCGCCAACGAGCACAATCCCTGCCAACATAGGAAGCGACACCTGATTTGCCAAGGTCAAGGGAACCAGTGCCTGATTTTGCGGCCTCAACATCTGCGGATAGAAGTACCAAGTCGATGTAACACCCAACCAAGCCATAGCCCAGAGAAGACCAAGAGTTCTCTGCCACATCGGCCGAGGCACACTTTTGTCTGGTGGATTCAGAGATTTCCAAAGTGCCTTGATCCCATCTTCAATCAGGAGTCCTACTGGAGCCGTAACGAAGAATAATATGGCCCCGGATTCCTGCATTGGAATTCCTTGCACGAAATCAAGGACAACATGAAGTCCTCCTGAGAGGAAGAACACGACGAATACGTTCGTATAGCGTTCTAACAGTGACCTGGATGGTAGACCTAGTAGGTCGCGGGTGATGGAAGTACCCATGGAGGTAAGGGGTTGTTGTAGCAACTGATGCCAAAATTTCCTATGACTTATTAGCATTCTCCTTTTCTTCTCGAATTCTAGAGAAGAACTTACGCCCAAAACCCTCGCATTGTATCAGCATCCCCAGCCTTTCCAAACAAGGGCGGACAATTAGATGGCGAGTCAATTCCAAGTCCAACAACAATTATAGAAAAAGCCCGATGGTGGAAGTCAATGAGAATACGACTGACGACAAACCCAGCCACGAGATTCGAAATGAGCCGTTCAATCCATTGCTCAACAGACAAACCCCATTGAACCACCGATGGCAAAGCCCCATGTTTCTCTTGCTCTAACGCCTGCTGCAAAGCAAGTGTAGCAAAAAGATCCAGCGCCAGATACTGCCAAACAGCAATAACTGACTGACGAACCAAGAAGCGACCTCGCGAGGGCTCCTTCAGACCCCTGCGTTGATAATAAGCCGGTTGCTGTGGCGCATTTTTAATCTGCCAGGGGGTACGAATCCCCCTCGGCTGATAAAAGAGCCGAACAACATAATAAAGACGCGAGACGCCGTGGCCAGCTTCGACGGGTAGATCATTGACATCTTTCGGGTTGAGGAGTAACCAATTGAAAGATTGGAGGACGATTGACAATGTCAGACGTGCGAATTCACACCATATAAAGCCAGGACCTAGTTCTGCTGCTAGGTTTATGGCTCTGTAGGCAATCCATATTGAGCATGGAATTGAGAGGTAGCGGAGGGTTGATCGCTTTGGTGTTGCCAGCAGCAGGGTTGCGGGTAGTAGGCAGTGGATGGCATATAGAGTGAGGACTTCTGGGATCTTCGAGGATTTTATTTCGTCCATTTTAGGTCGGATAGGGGCAAGCCCTCTGAACATGCAGTCGAGTCAACATTGAAGTTGATTGTCGATCTTTGCCCACGTGAGATTATAGTTGATGCCTGGTTTGTCAGGCCAATTTGATCGGTTATCTCGCATAGATGCACGGTGCATTGGAAACATAGTATTTGGACGTTGGTTTTACATTGTTTGCTCCTATCCAAGGATTATATAAAGGTGTATTGGGCGATCATTATAACTTGAATATATTAAATTGAGAAGCTAACTAGTATACGACCCCTTCCCTTTAGGACCAACAACACTCCTCGGAGTATGATGCACATGCGAGCGATCATCCTGCGAATGATAATTCAATGAATCATCATCCCTTGATCTTGATTCCTCCAACCGCGTGAGCGGAAACTCACTATCCATCTCATCGATTTGTTTCGACGTATTACTCTTGCTGAGAATAGGACCACTCGCCAGCTGGGTGGTGTATTCATCCTTGGCAGTAGCAAACAGAGATGGAAAAGCGGCTTTAAGAATCGGCCGGAGCATCGGCGCGCAGACATTTGCAATGGCAAGCGCAGGCTCAGTGACGCTCCAGAAGGCAGCCCAGATCATGGAGTATGGAAGATCGGTGAAATCGACTGCTGTGAGCACTTTAATGCGGATGATTGTGATGGAGGAAATACTGTTCAATTAGTATCTTGTGAAGACGGGATAGAGAGATAACGTACAATATACCCAGCCCAAATATGCTATACAATGCCATCTTAGTTGCGGTGGACATCTGCAACTTCCAGATGAACCGGATGGGCAAGACCATAATCATCACATCCGTAAGAAGGTTGAAAACCCCAATTGTCGTGAACGCGACATTCTGGTTCGCACAATGACCCGGTAACGCCGGATTCCAGTTTCTCTCAAATGGCGTGCAAAGGAGAAAGACCTGAAGCACACTTCCAGTCCAGTATGCAGCAGCACACCCCATGCATACCCACGTGAGAATGCGGAACTCCTTGCTCACAAAGATGCGCAGATACAGAAAGAGGTAGGATAATTTCGCAAGGACCATGGCGTTGTAATACACAAGTTGGTAAATGATGAGCATTTTGAACATGAGCACTGTATTCTCCAGTGGAACCTTTGCAATATGGTGTCGCATGCCAAGTCGAGCATAGTGATATTGCATTGCTAGCATTCCGTATGTATGCAGCATGGCAGCGACGCAGAATGCATCATCCCACCATATGTTGCTTTTTCGAATATGGCGCGACACGAATCGTAATATCACCAGAATGGTAGCGACGGCGACCAGGATCGTATTGGCAATGAGACCGTCACGGACGATGGGGTATGTGAAGACATTGTATAGATGCATAGTTTAAGGTTGTGACATCCTTGCTTCGACAGGACATAATGGGGGAAATGGGCCGACCAGGATACTTTAAAATAAACAGACCAGACTCAACTGTTAAGCCAAAATAATTTAATGTCGACCTACAGGGGCCGTTGGGTTTCGGGTGGTACTTTCTTTGATGCCGATGGAGCCGAAGGATTTGAGGCTAACGTTGTGATTGGCAAGATTGGGGGCTAAAACACTAGCTGTTGCCAAGTGCGAGACAATGCCTTGATTAAGGTGGTGACAGTCCCCGCCAACTCTAGTCAGGTCTAGTCAGCTCTAGGCAGGAGACCAGACTTGCCAAGGGCTATTCGTGGCAGGTTAGGGCTTTTTTTTTCAGGAGCCGGACTGATTCCGGAGTCCAGAAGTTCATCCCTTTCGCCTTGGGCTTTTCAGAGCTTTTCAGAGAGTGTTTACAATTATCGATCCATCTTTCTAAGCTTCAAAATGGATGATTATGATTATATTATTGTCGGCGCAGGCATTGGCGGTCTTGTCCTGGCCAACCGACTGAGCCAAGATGCCTCTGTCAATGTCCTCCTTATTGAAGCAGGCGCCAATCGTATGGGAGATCCCCGTATTGACACTCCTGGCTTTTTGGGTACAATGTATGGCAATCCGGACTTTGACTGGGATTATATGAGCGTTCCGCAGGTATTGCTCCCGTCGCATCTCTTCCATGTACAGAACTCAATAATAGATAGGTCCATGTAAACAACCGTCAAATTGGCCAGCCTCGCGGTCGTGTCGTCGGCGGCTCCTCTGCCATGAATTTTTCAGTGGCCGTGTATCCCACTGCATCGAACTTTGAGAGCTGGAAGGCACTGGGGAATGCAGGCTGGGGCGCGGAGGATATGGCGCCCTACCTTCGCAAATTCCACACCTACACTCCACCCAGCGAGGCCACAGCAGAGCTCCTTGGTACCAATCGCTACGTGAAGACTGAGAACCAAGGATCTGATGGGCCTGTCCCTGTGTCTCTGCCGGATGTGTACGGGGAATTCAACAAGGCATGGGACGAGACATTTGCGCAATTAGGCTGGCAGACAGATGCCGATCCCATCCAAGGCCAAAAGCTGGGTGCTTTTACCAGCCCGCTAACCCTTGATGCGAAGACGGGCAAAAGAGGATATGCGGCGGCTTACTATACCCCCGAGGTTGCGGCGCGGCCAAATCTGCGACTGCTCACAGAGACAGCTGTTGAGCATGTCCTTTTTGCCCAAGAAGATGGAGAGGTCATTGCAAGAGGCGTTCAGGTAAAGTCTCAGGACAATTCATACCAAATCGCCGCCAAGAAAGAAGTGATTCTCTGTGGAGGCAGCTTGAACACTCCTCAGTTGCTTGAACTCTCTGGCATAGGAAGTGCAGACCTTCTCAAGAGCCACAATATCCCAGTTATTATTGACAACCCAGCAGTAGGCGAGAATCTACAAGACCACGCTCTCTCTACTATCAATTTCGAGGTTGTGGATAACCACGTCTCGGGTGATATCATGCGTAATCCAGATGTCGTCCAGGCACTGATCAAGCTATATGAAGAGACGCACGGTGGCCCCTTGTCAGGCATGCCACTCAGCATGGCCTATCTTCCCTTCGTGGATGGAAAGGGTGCTGTCCCCAAAGAGCAAATTGACAACCTCCTCTCCACGCACCTTGACAACGACAATCTCCCAGCCAACCTGCGAGTGCAATATAACCACCTCCGCGAGATCCTTCTCCAGAATGATGACACTTCCTCACACTACCTCTACATGCCCGTCCAGCTCCAGATGAACGCCGACAAGACAACTCTCTCCGATGTCTTGGCTAAAACCCTCCCAGGAAACTACATCTCCATCTTGGTCTTGAACAGCCACCCCTTCTCTCGGGGATCAGTCCATATCTCCTCTGGAAAGAGTGAAGATAAGCCGACCTACGATCCCAACTTCCTCTCGCACCCTCTCGACCTCGAGATTATGGCAAGACAACTGCAGTTCCTGGACCGTATCGTGGAGACTGCACCCTTCTCTACTCTCCTCAAGCCAGGAAAACGGATGCCGGAACAAGCAAAGAACCTGAGCAATCTGGACTACGCAAAGGAGATCGTTAAGGAACGCTTGTTTACTTGCTTCCATCCGGCGGGTTCGTGCGCCATGTTACCAAAGGAGAGTGGAGGTGTGGTTGATTCCGAGCTGAAGGTCTACGGCACGAAGAACTTGCGAGTTGTTGACGCAAGTATCTTCCCTCTTGAACCGAGTGGGAATATTCAGGCTGCTGTGTATGCAGTTGCGGAGAAGGCGGCCGACTTGATCAGAGCTAGAAGCTAAAGAGAGTTTAAACTTATAGATAGGCATGACCAATTTGAAATCTGCTCAGCCACCCTATGGTCGAGTAAAGTCAGAGTACTGGAGATGAGATACAATTTGAAATGTTCCTATATATGTCATACCATATGAGGCGGACATTTGGTCTAGCGGTCATCATTACCGACTGATCCTTCTCCTCTTGGACGCTATGTCTGCCCCATTCCGTATCATTTGGTTAATTTTGGAGTGACTCTTGATCTCCGGTCGAAGCTAGACGATGACTTATTATTATATCGAAGCTCTGATCTGAAGTATAGACAAGGTCATGTGACTTGCTTGTATAAACGAAGTGACTTTAAGCTTGTCAGTTCCAAGGTCGATAAGATAGAGATGAGCTTGGCATTTCAATGTTCAACATAGCTTATATAAACTATTCGAGTCCAGTCATAGAGTTAGATAGGTAAATAGTGCCGAAGACGTGATAGAGACCCACCCTTACCTCATCCACAGTCGCATCATTCACGTATAAAGCTCGCAATCAGACTACTGTAGTATTGCATGATTTAGCTAAGCCCTAAGCTCTCTATTGACTTGATCGACCGACCCCTCCCGCATATCCCGTCTATTAAGCCCACAGTCTCCATCTTCCTTCCTCTATCCTTTGCCGACTGCCGATCTTATACATACACGACGTACGATGATCGGCCCAACTCACTTTCTCTCATATGATTGCAGATAGCTGCAGGTGATTGTCACTGTGCAATTCTGTGGAGAAATGATACAAGAGCTCAACCCCGTGTCTTGATCCACGATGACGCAGGCTAAATCGGCCTATATAGCTGTAGCTGCCCCAAGTCTGGGTCATAGAAGCTCCAGTGCAAAAAGAAGCTTCTCACAATGCAATTACTACTGGGAGCTCTGCTACTAGCGACTATCGCTGTCGCCAAGCAACCCAACATCCTTTTTGTCCTGACCGATGACCAGGGCAAGTATGTCGGTGGGCTGGAGCACATGCCCAAGTTACAGGTAGTTACCATATTAACTCAAATCTATCTATGCAAATTCTAATCCACATATAGTCAACCCTTGTCGAACAAGGAACAAGCTACTCCAAACACTTCTGCTCAATCGCCCTATGCTGCCCATCCCGCGCAAACCTCTGGACAGGCCGCATGCCACACAACACCAACGTCACAGACGTGGGACTTCCCTACGGTGGCTACCCAAAAGTAGTATCAGCCGGCTGGAACGACAACTATCTCCCACTCTGGATGCAAGAAGCCGGCTACAACACATACTACGTGGGCAAGCTCTGGAACGCACACACAGAAGACAACTACAACAAACCCTACGCACGAGGCTTCAACGGCTCAGACTTCCTGCTAGACCCGTACACATACCGATACTGGTACGCACGCATGACACGCAACGGCAACGAACCAGTCAAATACGACGGCAACTACTCGACCGACGTGATCGCCTCCAAAGCGGAAGGTTTCATCGACGAAGCAGTCAAGCAGGATAGACCGTGGATGTTAACCGTTGCACCGAACGCGCCGCACTCGAATGGATCGCATGATTCCACGCGGAATGCGAATTGGTTCGGTGAGCCGGAGTTTGCGCCGAGGCATGCGGATGTATTCAAGGATCTCAAGGCCCCGCGGGATGAGAGCTTCAATACGCTTATTGAAGATGCGGTTAGCTGGGTGAATAATGTGCCCGAGTTGAACCAGACGGTTATCGATTACATTGATGAGTTCCAGCGGTGCCGGCTGCGCGCGTTACAGGCTGTTGATGATATGATTGGGAATTTGGTAGAGAAATTGGATAAGTTGGGGGAATTGGATAATACTTATATTTTCTACTCGACGGATAATGGGTATCATCTTGGCCAGCATCGGATGCAGCCGGGCAAGAACTGTGGTTATGGTGAGTTAGTCTTTGTGTTCTTGGATTTTGATTGGACTAACTCGGTGTATAGAAACTGATATCAATGTCCCTCTGATTGTGCGAGGACCTGGTATTGGCAAGAATCAGACACTGGATGCCATTACTAGTCATACGGACCTTGCGCCGACATTCTTGTCTTTGGCTGGGGCGACGAGAGAGGATTTGGATGGGAAGAAGATTCCTACTACCGTTGCGGCCAGCACGGCGGATAACAGGACTGAGCATGTTGCCATCGAGTACTGGGGATTGGTAAGTCAAGTGCTTAGAGAATTAGAGAAGGTCTTTACAATCCGCTAACAGTAAATTCAGGCTGTCCCAGAAGGAATCTATGGATTTGCCAGTGACAAAGTCCAGCAACCTCACAACAGCTACGAGAACAACACCTACAAAGCTATTAGACTGCACTCCGATGACTATAGTCTATACTACTCTGTATGGTGCTCCAACGAGAAAGAATTCTTCGACCTAAAGGTGAGTACCCATCCATCCATCCTTCATATCCAACATCCATCTCCATCATAACAATTATAAATCTAACAAAACCAGGGTGACCCCCACCAAACCAAAAATCTAGGAACACACCCAGCAAAACAAAACTACCGCATCGCCAACCGACAACTCCCCCAAATTCTCAACCGTCTCGACGCCCTAATGCTAGTCCTAAAGTCCTGCGAAGGCGACTCCTGCCGCTACCCCTGGCGCCAGCTGCACCCAGCTGGCAAGGTAAACAGCCTCGCAGATGCACTGGATTCCGGCTTTGACACGTTCTACGAGAACCAGCCTAAGGTTTCGTTCTCGTCTTGTGAGAAGGGGTATATTATTTCTGCCGAGGGGCCGCAGAAGTATCATGTTTATGGGGCTACTAATGCTGGGAAGAGGAGTTGGGGGTGGGATGATATATTTTGGGGGTGGTAGCTCTGTTTGTTGATGGTGTGGTCTTTAGCGGATATGACTATATGACTTTTAACTCGCACATTGGCATTTGGTTTGAAGCTACATGGACAGCAAATATATGAAAGACTTAATACCAGACACGGTCCGGAATATGCATTATTGCTATTTAAGGCCCGAAAACGACATCACTTTTGTTCTTTTCTACAATTTACTGGCTTTCAGCCTTTTTCGTCAGCTGCTCAATGTCAACCTTGGCACTGAGACTGCCGTTGGAACCAGCTGCGTTAGGGGTACCAGTCAGCTGCTCAAGAGCCTGCAGGTCTTCATTGGTAAGGGTGTTGGAGCGGATGGGACGGGAAAGGAGCAGGAGAGCCAGCTTGGGAAGCGAGGAACTAGACTCATGTTAGTGACCCAGTCTCCAAATAATCAAACGCATGTATGAAGCTTACCGAGCTGGCGGCGCTGAGCAGCGCAATCAGAGAGGCTTGGACCACATCCTGGTGGATACCAACACCCCACACTTGCTCGTTGCTACCGGCTGCTGTGCAGTGGATGTATGTAACAGCCTTGACATCACGGCCAAGACCGATGGAGTGCTCCTTATAGTCGCGGACGTCCAGGTCGATGCCCAGAGAAGACAGAGCGGTAGCCAGGGAGGAGATAGCACCAGCGCCGACACCGGTGATGGCGTGCTGGACGTTATCGATCTCAATAACACCAGTGAAGCGACGCTTGAGGTTCTTAGTGTTGAGGGCCTTGCCAGGCTCAGGAGGAGCAGGGGACTGCGAGCGGTCGGTGGTAATGCTGTAGTCGACCAAGTTGAAGCGAGGGTTGGACTTGAGGTGGTAAGCCTCCTCGAACAAGTTGACGATCTCGCTGGGCTTCAGCTCCCGGCTGACAGCCTCGGTCTTTTCCTGCACGATCTTGCTGAACTCGACCTGGAGTGCGCGGGGGAGATCCAGCTCCAGACTGCGCAGAATGATCCAGGCGGCGCCACCCTTGCCGCTCTGGGAGTTGACGCGAATGACGGCCTCGTAGGTGCGGCCGATATCCTGCGGGTCCAGGGGAAGGTATGGGATGACCCATTCGGTTTCCTCGTCCTTGCCTTGGCCCTCTTCGCGGAGCTTGAAGCCCTTCTTGATAGCGTCTTGGTGACTTCCGGAGAAGGCCACAGGAGTCAAGATACCTCCATAAGGCCAACGCTCGTTCACGGGAATCTTGTTGCTCTCCTCTACCACCTTAATGATTGAGTTAATATCTGAGAAGTCGACCTTGGGTGAGACACCTTGTGTGTACAGGTTCAGGGCCAGAGTGACCAGGTCGACGTTGCCGGTACGCTCACCGTTACCGAACAGAGTACCCTCAACACGATCAGCACCAGCCATCTGTGCCAGTTCAGCGGCGGCAACAGCGCAGCCACGGTCGTTGTGGGGGTGGACTGAAACAACAAATTTCTCACGTTCAGTCATGTTTGTGCAGAAGTACTCGACCTGATCGGCAAAGACGTTGGGGGTAGCCATCTCGACGGTAGCGGGAAGGTTAAAGATAATAGGCTTCTCGGCAGTGGGCTCCCAGGCTTCCTTGACAGCCTGGCAAACCTCAACAGCGAATTCGGGTTCGGTATCGGAGAAGGTCTCGGGGGAGAACTCGAATTGCCACTCGGTACCAGCCTGGGAGGGGTCATCCTTGGTGATAGAGCGGGCGTACTTGGTGCAGCGGACAGCCATTTCCAGACTCTTTTGGCGATCCATGTTGAAAACAATGCGACGGAAACAAGGGCTGGTGGCGAGGTAGATGTGCAGGATGGCCTTCTTGGCACCCTTCAGGGAGTCGACTGTGCGACGGATGAGATCCTCACGGCAGGGAGACAGGACCTGCAGGCAGACATCGTCGGGGGTGAGACCGGGCTCTTCAACAAGACGGCGTGTGAAGTCGAAATCGATTTGGGATGCGGAGGGGAAAGACACTTCAATTTCCTTGTAACCGATTTCTACGAGCATCTTAAAGAAACGGTATTTTGCGTCGACATCCTATACAGCCAGTCAGCACGGCATTTTCTATAGAAAATTCCATATCATACCATTGGGTCGGGCAGAGACTGGTTGCCATCGCGCAGATCGGTGGCCATCCAGCGGGGAGGCTTATCAATAATCTTGTTGGGCCATTGACGGTTAGGCAGGTTCAGAGGCTTGAACGCCTTGTACTTTTTTGAGGGATCCTTGAGCCTAAAGGTGGTCAGCATTGCATAACATCAGCCTTCAGGCATGACATACATCGGCATGGCGGCGTGGCGGGGTACCGCGGGGGAAATTGATAAGAGATATAGAGGTGTAGTCGGCCAGGCAGACTCGGATCTCAGGAGAATAGTCTTGGGTCTTCCAAGATCAGGACAGACAGGAAGTCTTTATAGAAAAGAAAAGAGAGGCCAATGAAGAATGGGAGATATGCTGTGACTCAAAGTCGATCATGACGAGTTTTCGGCGCCGACAGCGGAGTCACGTGATATGCAAGTCGTTCGAAGGGCGCGAAGATCGGGAAATGAGCTGGAGATGGGTTGCCGAGACCGTTGTTGTGCTTGTAGGGCTTTAGACATTCAGTTACATTCACTTTGCAACCCTTGCAGGCATGATTGTGCTCTTCTCGTACTCCCACAGCGCCCCGAACTCGGAGGCGTTCTCAGCCTGAGGCATCTACTCCGAGAATAACCGCGCATTGATATGGACAACTCGGCGTTGTGCGTCAATCAGAACTTGAAATGCAGTGGAACACAGTTAATTATACAGTCGAATTTGAAATGGTTTATGGTACATATGGTGCAAGGACGCTCAAATGCTAACAAGACATGTTATACGAAGTTCTTCTCGAGGTCCACCAATAGCGGATGAACTTCATCCACCTTGAGCTTAACGGCTCGAGGGTTTTGCAGGGCATTGTCACCCAGTTTGCTTTTGATCAGGGCTTGTAGCTGCTGGGCATCCTTGTCGGTCTTGCTTTGCATCTGTCCAGTGACATCAACAGATATACCACCATCGGCAAGATCGCGTGATCCAAGGATGAAGATGAGGTTATACTTCATCTGCTTGGCGCGTTGGATCTTCTTTCCTAGCGTCTGCGCGCTGGTATCAACATCAACCAGGAATGTAGAATCAACAGACGACAACGGACGCGGCGACTCGGCACTGCCGTCGTTCAACAATGCGCGGAATCCAGAGAACCTGGCTGCCGCTTCCTTGGCCTGCTGCACCACGGCTTCATCTTGGTTGACTGTCAAGATGATAGCCTGGCGCGGAGAGAGCCAGAATGGCCAATGTCCACCATGCTCTTCGATCAATAGTGCCAAGAACCGCTCCAATGAGCCAAAGATGGCGCGGTGAATCATCACCGGAGTTGCGACTCCTGGCGTAGCCGGGTTGTAGTCCGGTTCACCCTCTGCGACTTGATACTCAAGCTCAAACCGCTGGGGCAAGTTCATATCCAATTGAATAGTAGAGAGTTGGTGGAACTTCCCAGCTTGATCCTGGAGTTGAATATCGATCTTAGGACCGTAGAAAGCACCATCTCCCTCATTCAGCGCCCATTCGCGCCCAGTGCTATCCAGTGCCTCCCGCAACTGTTTTTCGGCATTATCCCACATCTCCAAGGTCCCAATAAAATCCGTCTCTGGCCTAGTAGACAGCACCAACCGGTACGGACCGAGCCCGAAAGTCTTCATGGCCATATCCACGAATCCCAGCGCCGACGCAATCTCCGACTTGATTTGGTGCGGCCGACAGAAGATGTGACCGTCGTCTTGGTGGAAGCGGCGCACTCGTGTGAGACCAGTCAAAGACCCTGACACTTCGTTACGGTGTAGCGGACTGAAATCCGCATAGCGCACCGGCATATCGCGATAAGAGTGGTTCTGCGATTTGAAGAGCAGGCAGTGACCGGGACAGTTCATCGGCTTCAATCCGTATGACTCGTCCTCGCCGACTTCGCCCTCTGCCTCGCCGCTGGCTCCGCGGCCAGTAACCTCGTACATGTCATCTTTGTAATTCTGCCAGTGACCTGATATCTCCCAGAGCGATCGTTTGTAGATGGTTGGTGTCAGGACTTCACGGAAGCCGTATTGCAGGTATTGAGTACGGAGAAAGGAGATGAGTTTGTTGACGACGTGAGTACCATTCGGTAGGAAGAGAGGGGATCCGGGGCTGTAGACGGAGGAGGTGAAGAGCTCTTGGGCGGTTCCCAGAGCTCGATGGTCGGTGAGAGGTATCGGAGCATCGGGTTGTTTTGGGTCAGAACACGAGCAATCGCGATGTGCTGTTGTTGATAACAATCGCAACCGAGGGAGATGCCATGGCAGAGCTCTGTGGACTAGCAATGGTCGTAAACGAGGCAGTGGGCGCATTGTTGGTTGCGCTGAAGATTCTCGGCCGCATTTCCTGCCGATCTTGTTGTTCCCCACCGCTTTGCAGAACGGTCACAGACGCCCAGTTGAATACCTTCGAAAGTCAGTGCAACACGGAAGTTGGACTTGCCTAACCCTTCGCTACGCCTTGCATCCGTCATGTCTAGCTGAAATGTTTACGCCATGTCTACGGAACAATCTATCCCCTTGGGCGAATCTTGGGTGATCGCATCCTCTATCAAGGAGAGAGAAACGAACCAGAAACCCCTAGTCACACCGAGTCAAAGCCCTCGAAAGAATACCAAAGCGAAGGTCGACCAGTCATCCGAGTCGCTGACATCTTCATCATCATGGATATCCGGCCCGGAGCTTATCATGCCCTCCATATGCGAGACGCCAAACCCAGAAAAGTCATGGATAGAATACAGACGATCTCCGAACCAGCCTGGCACGCCAAACACGAAAAAACGGCGCAAAGTTTCAGAGCCGAGTCAGCGCCAAAGTGAAGACCGAGATAGCGCCAAAGCTGGAGAAGACGCTGGCTCGTCTACTCCAGCAACCACCGACGACACTCTTGCAAAGAACAAGGTCCTCAGGCTTATAGACAGCACCCTCCTCCGAGGTGCTATCAACGCAGTCTTGATCGCCTTGATCCTCCACCTGCTAGTACTCCCAGAGCTAGTCTACCAAGCCAACGACCTCTGCCAGCTACCGAGCATCAAAGTCCTCTATCCTAGCAGCTGTATCACCTTAACACCGACATACCCACCGCGAACTCCCTTCCAATCACCACCAATATCCCCCGAAGAAAGCCTCACAACCTCACAGCGACAACTAGAGTCGATCTTCGACACGACCCTAGAAACCCTAACACCGCTATCAGGAATCCTGAAACAAAGCGAAAGCATGCTCTCGGACCTAGAAGCGCAGCTCAAAGCAACATTCCCAGACGCTAAAAACGCCCTAGATCTCGAATTCCAAGGCAGCAACCAAGCCGTACAAGCAGCAGTCTGGGAATTCGATTCCCTGCGCGCAGATCTGCGCTCAGCAATAGACAGCCTGCTAGCAACACGACCAGCCGAACCCGCCACCGGCAACTCAGTAGCAAGCGACACACGACAAGCAATCCAAAACCGCCGACGCGAAGAATACCTCGACAGATTGCGCAGCCAAATCCGCAGCAAAGCAGACTCCCTCAACACGCGCTTCACAACCCTAGACGACCACCTCGAAGCTGTAGACGGGATAGTAACGCGCGAAGAACGAAGAAACCCCACCAGACTCAACCAGCACAGCAACATCGACACCGGAGACCGTCTCCATTCCGTGCTGGACTCGCTCGATCTCGGCACGATCGGGTCTTATTTCTTCCGGGCGCGATCGTCAGGAGCTGCATCGTCGTCGTCAGCTCAGGCTCAGGCTCAGGTCCCTGCAGATCAATCCACCTCCATGCCCACGCCACGCCCCACTGCGACCCTGGCGCTGCTTCGTGTTGCGGCGACGCACCATCGTCCTGTTGCTGATTCGGTGTTGAGGTTGGCACGTCAATTGAGGGATGTGCGGCGTGCTGGATTCGGGTCCACCTGGTAGACCCTAGACCCACCGGGTTTGGGGATGATTCAGCATGGGAAATTTGAGGACTATCCTGTCCGAAGGATTGTGAAAGTATTTGGAGTTACATGTAGTGTTACAGTACAGAACTGTAACTGGTAACAGTGCGTTTGGACTTGGATTTGGATTTGAATTTGCGACTTGGATTGAGCATACGCATGGAAATTGAGAGTTTCATCTCATTGGAGAATCAAATCAGCGAACCCTGGAAATAACGAGACACAAGATAACGACTCATGAAATACATGCAAGATTACAATTACAAAACAACCAGATCCATTTTCCCACTTTACTTTCTACAACTTTCTATGGAGTACAAACTACGGGAAAAAGGACAATACACCCGTGACGTTCCGATGTAGTCACGCCAAAAAATCAAACAAGGGCAAACCCAGACCTTGCCAACCACGGTTCATCCATACAATAGGTTGTATCCCAGCCAATCCCAATACACCTGACCAAACGTTTACAGCAAGAAGGATCCACAGCCAATCCAGACCTGGCCAAGGCAGCCGTTCCAGGGTTTGCAGGCTCTGAACTGGATTTGGAGAATCGGTATTGAAGTCCGGTTCGGCCGGTGGAATGGGTTGATTTTACGGTGAGATATTCGTGTAGGGTTTGCATTTACATATGATTGATCTATGCGGGTTTGGGTTCCATGTAGGTGTAGCTGTATGTAGATGTAGATGTAGATGTGTAGGTCTGATTTAGGTTGGAATGTGGAATGTGGAGGCAATCAAGGTATACATATGCACATACACCACAAGAGCTCTGCTGCAAACATGGGCAAGGAGCGGTGTGTAAGTCTAGAACCAAGCTGTGATACAATGCAATGTAGTATCTACAGTGGGAGAATAGGAGAAACGATCGTAATCAAAGACATAAATTATTGCATGTTGATGATAGTGGTATGCGATAGATACAGAAATGTCCGCCCAAACAAACGTCAGAATCTCACCAGCACAAAGGAAAAGCACTGGAGAGAGAGAACGCTTCGGGTACAAGGACACAGAACAAAAATAGTACATCATAGAAAACCATCCATCAAACCATTACCATATCCGGATCCAGCCCAGGTGTATTCCTCATTTTGAGGCGAGTTTCCATTAAAACATGCACGACAAAAATCAAGCGCTCAGAAGGACATTTACAGCTGGAAGAAGGTGGCCACCAGAGCCAAGATGGACACGGGGCCCATGTAGCTGGCAGCGACGTTGGAAGCCGCGTTGAAGGCGGGGCTGGAGCTGGCAGAGGCCGAGGCACTGGTGCTGGAGCCGGAGCCGGTCTGAGTGCTGGTGCCAGAGCTGCCAGAGCCGGAGCTGGAAGAGCCGGAGCCGGCACCGGAGCCAGTCTCAGTGGCACCGGCGGAGCTGGAGCTCCCAGAAACACCGGAGGAAGAGGCGCCGGAGCTAGAAGCACCAGTGCTGGCGGCAGTGGAGGACCCAACACCGGAGGAGGCAGAGGAACTCTGGGTAGAAGTCACCATGGTGGTGGGGGTGGAGGAGGCCTCGGTGGTGGAAGCCTCGGTGGTGGAATCCTCGGCGGAGGAAGTCTGGGCGGGAGATGCCTCAGTGACAGAGGTAGGGGCAGCAGTAGTGGTAGTGCTGCGGGCGCTGACAGCGTTGGAGCCGGTGAATTTGATAGAGTCGGAAGAACCAGACATGTCAGACCAGGTGTAGGACTCGGCAGGGTTGGCGTTCTTGATCTCGACGCTCTTGATGTACATGCTGAAGGGAGCGGCAGAGTAGTCGGTAAGACCACCGGCCCAGTCGATGGTTCCCTGGCCGTTGCCGGAGTCACCACCGGCCCAGATACCGATGCGAAGGTTCATGGGTGTCTGAGGGAAGCGAGAGCCGCCCTGAGCATCGGCATACTTGAGAGTGCGGACGACGTTGCCGTCGACGGACCAGACGAGTGCCTCCTTGGACCAGTTGACGGTGTACTTGTGGAAAGTATCCTGAGGAGTGGCAACTGCGGGCCAAGTGTCACGGTCGTAAGTAGTGGTGTCACCCTTTCCAAAGTAGTTGGTCTGAATTGCGCCGTTGTTGCCACCAATGCCCTCCTGTTGATATTGTTAGCAGTGGTCTCATTGTTATTTGGAAAGTCACATACCCAGTCAACCTCATCGAGGTCATCGGACTGCAGAACAATGGAGCTGACAATACCCTGGCCAGGAGCAGACTTCATCTCTACGGTGATCTCACCGTAGAAGAAGTAGAAGTCGGTCTGGATGGTGGGGGCATCGCCCTTCTTGTTGACAGTGAACTCGGCACCATTGCTGCCAGTGTTGACCTGGCCAGCAGTGGTGGTCCATTTGTCCAAGCCACTGGACTGGGTGAAGTCGAACTTCAGGTCAGACTCAGTGCTACCGGGGTTAGCTGGGCAAGTCTTCTTGGTAGGGTTGCAGTTGGAGTAGGTCTGCGCGGCAGCGAGGGGGGCAACGGCGAGAGCCGCAGCAACGAGCTTCATGATGGAAGGCATTGTGAGATAAGTTGCGATGAAGAGAAAACGAAAGTGGGAGAGAAGGGGATTAAAAGTCCAGAGAGAAAAGTGGGTAAACGAATGGATCCCTGGGACGTGCGAGGAAAGAGCTCGGTTGCTGTGGGCTACGCTACTTATCTACTCCAGCTACTGTAAGATGTACTATTGTATGTATCAGACGCTAAAAGTTAACTAAAAAAAGGAGGAGGCGGGATTGGCTTCAGGGACCCGAGGCCTATCACAGGTGGCAAGGCCGGGGTGAGACATCACGGCCCCAGTAGACCCATAGGGGCCCCATGAGCTGCTGGGGGTGGATCAAAGCTTGTACCCAAGACATTGCAAGATGCAGTCTCTTTTACAAGGGCTTCTTTCAGGCAACTTGCATGCTACAATGCAACCTATACTGTACATTGTGTGTATTTTTTCTACTTTGCCTATTTAATAGCCACGCAATACTGACATAATGGTCAAGATCGGCCGATCCGGCCGATCTCAAGCAATGACAGATCAAGATAAAATACATAAATCCACACGAGATTACAATACATGTATGGCCGATGAGCCGAGCGAAACAGGTCGGTACTGTAAGCGAGCCAAGACACCAGGGCAGGCACCAAGGTTAACCTCTTACCTTCCTTTGTCCCTGGAAATCTCGTTCCACAAATTACATTAACCCTTTAACTCAACTTGATAGATGTGAAACATGGGGCCATTGTGTACACACATTATAGAATCCCTATTCAAGGAGATTCCCATGAATATTACAGTACCCTGGATCTCACCAGACACATCTATTTTTGTCCTAATACGATGAGAGCACTAGTCTCTCGCTTATAATTGCCCACATATAAAAGAAAGAATCGTAAAGTCGGATCAGATGACTCAGGAACTCGGGGCCTGTGCTGAGAACGTGGCTCGGAGCGGAGTCGGACTTGCCTAGCGCCGATGCTACCCATTCTCCAGATCATAAGGCGGGCTGAGTGAGACCTTCTAGTATAGCGCCCACGCTAAATACAGTAAATGGGATGGTATTATTAGAGTGGCTGGGCAGCTGGGCAGAGTGTTCAAACTGTCTCGCAACCCGAATATGGATGCAAGGGGCCTATTAAATATTGTTCAAGGCGCTTAGGTTCTCTTGAAACAGTATAGATAAATTACACGTCAGTGTGATCCCGCGTTTCGAGTCTTGGCTATAGTATGGGGAAATGCAGGAACAACCCTTGGGCCAATTATCAACGCATGGTCCTGTTTTTAATATATGAAAGGTGAATGTGTACATAATACGGAGTAACGTTAACCTTATAACTTGTTAAATTGAATGCTCCTATGGACATACGATGAAATACTCCATATCCAGGAACTAAACCTTGGAAATAACCTCCTACTTAGACTTCCACCTCCGCCGGACCAGTCAACTTAATCTCAACCTTCTTAGTGACACTCCGTCTGGCAACATCATACTCAACACCCCGCTTAGACTGAGACTCTCCATCACGTCCAAGCACAGTAACAGCCTCAATAGCCACCTCAGGATGATACCCAAAGCGACCACTGATCTTCAACTTCCCATCGCGATACACAAACCGAATCTCCGCCGCACTCTCAACCTCAATCGACTCGCCATCATCAAGATACAACTCACCCTCAGCAGAGCCATCAACACCAGGCGCAATAAGAATCTCAAAGCCACGCTTGCGCAGCTCAGTAGTCGTCATCGCACTCTCAACCCTAAGGGGAAGAATACTCCCACCACGGATATGAAGAGGGATATCAGTAATGGAAACACCAGACAATGTCTGTGTAGCACCAGCCCCAACAACCTTCTCCCCAGTAAACCAATCATAGAAAAAATCATCAGGGAAATACGCCTGCACAGAAGTCGCCCCCTCCTCAGAAACAGGCGAAACAAGAATAGCCTCCCCATAAAAGAACTGCAACTCATTGCCCACAACATTGGAATCAGCGGGATAAACATAGAAAAGCGGCTGGAGGAAGGGTACACCCGTCAGGGTCTGCTTATGGAAAGAAGTATACAAGTAATCAAGCAAGCGGTACCGAATATCGATAACCTTCTTCGCGGCTTCCGTAACACTCTCCCAGCGGTAGAATTCCTGTGGGATGGACGTGATTTCGTTGTGGTTGCGGTAGAAGGGGCTGAAGGCGCCTAGCATTGCCCAGCGCGCGCAGAGTTCTTCCGTTGTATTGCTGCCGAAGCCGCAGACGTCGCTGCCTACCATTGGGATTTGGAAGATTGAGGCGAAGGCGAGCATTTGGCTAATTGAGATGCGGTATTTGTTCCATTCGCTTAGGTTGTCACCGAGCCTGGAAGGAGATGGGTGTTAGATATAGAGTGAGAGGTGGTGAGGTGGATGATCTTACCAGTGACCGACGTGGGCTCCTGCTCCGGCAAAGGTACTGCGGGTAATGACGAGAGGGCGGACATTAGGACGACGCTTGAGCATTGCTTCACGGGATGCCGAGCTCATCACTGGTTTTGTTAGACAGCCATACACATGTACTGGATAAGATGAACATACTAGTTCCATAGAGATTGTGAGTATCATACTCAACATATCCCTCACCAGCATGAACAATATCAGTATCAATAGTCTTATTACTGATACCACCGGCCTCATTCGCAATCGCATAAGGCGGGTTAATAAGATCACGATCCTCAAGACCAATCTTCATACCCTTCTTCCCGGCACCAGGATTCCCTTGATGACCACGAGGACTCCGCTCCACAGCCACATCCCTTTTAACCCGCTTCGAGGTCTGAGTCTGAGGCTGGAAATCACGGGGGAAGCCGGGAATATGGCGAGGCGGCGAGCGAACAGGTGGTGGCGCGGGTGGCAGGTCATTATCCTCGGCATACTGGGCTGGGTTTTCGCAGGGGTATGGGCAGAAATTGGCGGCTTCGTTCATGTCGATCCAGAGACCGTCGATGTCGACGCCATCGTCTGCGCTGAAGAAGCGGTTGAATTCGTCATTCCAGTAGCTTTGGGTGTCAGGGTTGAACCAGTCCGGGTAGACGGTTGCGCCGGGCCAGACGGCTCCTGTTTCTTGTTAGTTGGCGGGTTATTAGGGCCTTGTTGTGTGATGTACCTTCGTAGAGTTCATTTTGGTCGCTGTCACGGTAGAGGAAGATGCCTTGGTCCGAGCCTCGGTTGAAAGCACCGTTATCTAAACGGTTTGTTAGACATCGTATGGTGGATGTGATCATTGATTGTAGTCATACCAGAGTGGCTAACCGCCGGATCAACCATGACGATATACTTCTGGTCATGCTTATGCAGGTACGAAACCAATTCCCGCATCTTGTGAATGGGGAACCGTTCGGAGTCGAGAGTGAACACTTTCCGGCCACTCATGTAGTCGATATCAGTCCACATAGTCTCAAGCGGGATACCAGCTCGACTATAGTTGTATACAGCCTCGGCGACGTCGAAGACATCCTGGTAGCCATAGCGACAGTTGTGGAACTGTAAAATGTTAAATAAATCCAGTGTAAATGTGGAAAGTTAAAGATAAATAGGCAAACCCACACCAAAGGTCCAGTAACTCTGCATAACAGGGAGTCCAACAACCTCGGAATACTGCACACTAACATCCTTGGGAGTCGGACCAGCCATGAAATAGAAGTCAAGAACACCACCTAGAGTGTTATACTCCAGATACTGCCTGCCATCATCACTCTTGTCAATCTTGATATCCATGCCGTTAGAATTCAAGAAGAAAACACCATGAGTACCCTTCTCCCCACGGTGATCAATATAGATCGGATGGTCACCGTAGAGGTTCGTCCCCGATGGAATGCCATACGCATCACGATTCCACAAGGTACGAGTGTAATTCGTCGTAGGCAGCCGCAGAGAATCAGTATGTTCACCGAGACCGTAGAGGTTGGGATCATTCGGGAGCCAAGTGCGCAGATTCAAGTACTGAGATTGAAAGACAATATCCGTACCAGTAGTGTCAAAGAGGACTTCTTTTCCGCGAAGGACTCTAAACGAGAAAGGATTCTCCTTGTAGTCGAAGCGGAGAGCAGACTTTTTCTGGTGAACGCCTTTCTGCCCGGTAGGACGGGGAACGACAGATTCAGGAACCTGGTAGACCTGCTCATCGGCATCATAAATCATAACATGGAGCCGGTCCTCTAGTAAGCGCATAAGTATAGGACTACTGTACAGGGAAGTATAAACATACCCGTCTGGGCCTCAACCAGAAGCTTGAGATTCGGCAGATCAGTACCATAAGTATTACAGGGATCCCCGGCCAACTTCAAGTCGGCTGTCAAGGTCTGACCCAGCTGTTTCACATTGGAAGCCTTGTAACCCGGACAATCATCAAGCTGTGACCTTGAACCTAGCACAGCAGCGCCCACGAGGGGAGCCAGGAAGAACCACCCTTTCATAGTAGAAGTTGGACAAAGCACGACAGGAAGAGTTGGGCAAATTGGAAAGTGGCCCAGTGCATCCTTTTAAACCTGGAGATACACGGCAATTGAGGGGAAATGTGGGGGTCGTGGAGAGATGTGAGTGTTACGAACGGAATAGCCAATGCGAAGCGAAAGAAAGTGCATTGTCTATTGCTTGAATGTAAGGTGATGCGGAGCAACGGGCAATTATCGGACGCAGTTCTTGGCTGAGGTCGGCAGGGTTAATGCCGGGAATACATCTGTGCAGGGTCTAGTGCAGGGTCTAGTGCAAGGGTCCAATCTTACTCCATTGGGAGAAGATCTTGTTGCATTCGGACTGAGGCCGACTTGAGTCCGGGAGAGAGAGAGTGTGGCAGAATGAGGATGACGTTGAGGTTCCCCTCCTTGGCACAAAGGTCCCCAGTGCAACTACTACTCCGTACATGTCCAACTCTACGTTCTAACTTACACCTTTGGAGAATTAAGTGAACAGGAATGGCCATTGGCCTTTCTATTGCCCTATGGGCATCTCTAGACATGGATATTAAAAGGAAAATCGTCAACCATCCCAATCAGAAACCCGCTGATCTCACATCGCCTTTTCAACTCCTTAAACCTTCTGGCCAGCAGTAGCTGCCTTGACATCCTCCTCTGAGCTCATAATCTGCACTTTGATGGCACCAGTCTTGGGGTTGGCAGCCGTCTCAAAGGCCTTGAGGGCATCCTCAATCGAGAAACGGTGAGTGACGAGCTTGTTCAGGTCAATCACTCCGTTCTGGACCAGGCGAATAGCCCGGGGCCAGGTGTTGCTGTACCGGTACTGGTACTGCAAGTCGATCTCCTGAGTGCTGAGACGCATGAAGGGAATGGTCATCTCGTTCTTGCCGACACCAATGACAAACACCTTGCCGCCGAACTTGACACTCCAGATGGCGGAGTTGACACTGCTTTCGACACCAGTGCACTCCAGGGCGAGCTTGGGGCGCAGAGCATCGGGGCCGGAGCCCTTGCCGTCGTTCAGGGCGTTGATGATGCCGTCGGCACACTGCTCGGCCGACTTGCCCATCTCTACCTTGTATGTACGCACGTTGGGAACCAGGGACTTGGCGAAAGCCAGACGACCCTCGTCAATATCGGTGATGACAATGGGGCAGGCACCAGCAGCCTTTGCGCTAAGCAGAGAGATCAAACCAATGGGACCGGCACCAGTGATCAACAGAGGGTCACCGAGACGCAGACCGCTGCGCTCGATAGCCGCCAGGGTCACACTGAGGGGCTCCAGAAGGGCACCGTCCTCATAACTCATGTCACCAATCTTGTGGCACCAAACGGCAGGGTGGTTGACATAGCGGCGGAGCAGACCATCGACGGGAGGGGTGGACAGGAAAGCGACGTTCTCGCAACCGTTGTAGCGACCGGTCAGACAGGGCTCGCAGGCGTTACAGATAACGTTGGGCTCGATAGCGACGCGGTCGCCGGGCTTGAGGTGGGTGACATCGGGAGCGACAGCGAGAACCTGGCCAGCCGACTCGTGGCCGAGAACGTGATCGCCGGTGACAATCATGGGACCGATGCAACCCGCATGCCAGAAGTGGACATCGGATCTATGTTGATTAGCTTCGTCTCTGGCTCGTCGCATTCTGCTTTACTTACCCGCAGATACCGGTGCTGCGCACCTCGACTGTGACCTCGCCAGCCTTCAGACCTTTGCCCGCATTGACATCCTCGACGGTGGGGTGGGTGTCGGCGATCCAGAGGTCATGCTTGGGGTTGGTGTAAACACCGATGTTGGTTTTGGTGACTGTGGTTGCGGAAGACATGGTGAGAGATGTGAAAGAAGAGAAAGTTAGTCTCTGGAATCCAGGGCGGGAGCAGGCTCTTTAATAGCAGAGAGCCGGGCGCTCCATGATGTATGCAACCTGTCCAACCCCACGGCCATGGAGTAAAAAGTGGAGTGGAGGGGCCTGCGATTTAACCGCGCGGGGGTCAAATGCTCAGTTTCGCCCAATCTGGCAATCGAAGCCCGCTAACTTTGTGTCTCCCCGGGCCGAATGTTGATCGGCTATCGGTTAATTGTTGGTCTGGTCAATGGCTTCGGTTTCGACCTTCCCAGCCCGAATTAACATTGCATATTCCACATTGTATAGGTAGGATAGAATGCTTCATCTTGTAACCCTGTAGATATGCCGATAGTCAATCTCACTATCACCCGAGAGCGGCAATTCTCCGGCGGAATTGCAGCGTCCTGGTTGATGGAGTTTTGTGGAGAAAAGATGTGAGGCGTTTGGCCCTTTTTCCGGAGCAAATGGTGCAAACTGATGCCTCAGGCTTCTATTATTCGGCTTTTAGTCTTATATTTTATTCCTTTGTATTAACTTTATTGCTTAGTTGCAATATCTATAGGGTGTCTGTCCTGTCACTATAGATGCTTGATATGCTACTCTCTTACCTAGGTAGCATGATGTTCCATCGTGACTTTGCAACACAAACTATCATCTGACCGGTAATATGTGCAACATATGGAGTACAGACCTAGATGTCTCCAACCTTGTCAAAATGCAATGACTATTAACGAATGCGTCGGAGTTTATCAGATTGCCACCGTAGTGCCACCCCGTCGGTTGCTACACCCGGCAGCCTTACAGTATTGGTCTGCATTGCAAAGCCTAATAGGGTAAATTCAATATCAAAAGGGTCTATGACTTGAGATTTCAGTTTGCACTTTTTACTAGAAAACAAGAAGTGATTGAAAATCAAAGTGATCAATACACCCTGAAATGGGTGGTGGTGGATATATATAGTTCGTGCGCCACCCTAGAGTGACTGAATAGTCAACTCCCATAACTAAATACAAACGAAATACAGATGTTACTCACGATCATAAGAGATGCATAAATCAAGAATATTATGGTTGGGCTGCTAGAGTTCCAAGGTTCTAGTGGCCTGCAGGTACGATGTACAGTGCTTGGTATAGAGTACACATACTGCACTCATTCGTAGCGACCATCAAACATACTAAAGCTAAGATTCCTAGCCCAATTGGTCCAATAATACCAAATTATCAGCTAAATATCAATCAACTATTAACCCAACTTATGCACCTTATAAAGATTGTTTACGGCTGATGGGGCTCACGTGACTGAATTCCCTGAAGTTCCCGAGCGACAAATCCGCAGATTCTGGTTCTGCCGTTGCGCGAGACTTAGGACCATTGGACCATACTGCTTCATTAGCGATTGTGACTTTCGCTTGATTACTTTCGTCCACTCCTTTTCTCCCTTCAAAATGCCCGTCACCCGTGCCGTCCTGCGGCAATCGCAGTTCCTGACCCGGAGAACCGCCGTCAGACATGCCTCATCCACCTCGGAGGCTGCCTCCAAGGCTGGTGAGACTGCTTCCTCAGCGGCCTCCAAGGCCTCAGAGGGTCTCTCCAAGGTCTCTGCTTCCGCTGGCCCTGCCCTCTCCAACGCCGCTGGTGCCCTGCGCAAGATCGGTGGTCCCGCCGGCAAGGTCGTCTCTTTCGTCGATGGTAAGGGAGACCCGTCTTCCCGATTTTGGTGTCTACAATGGAGTGTCCGGTTTCGGGTTGTCACTGGATGAGAATATTGCCCTCCTCCGATTGACGCGGCTGGAGTCGTGCCACCCACTTGACCTCCTTGTTCACATACAATTCCGGGAATCAACTACAATCTACAACCTACAATCACATTAGTGCACAGCTAACCTCTATCCAGCCATGATCCCCCCGACTCTCTACTATTCCAAGGTCGGCCTTGAGCTCGGCAAGCTGGTTTTCCGTGGCCAGAACATGGCTCCTCCGTAAGTCGGCCATGATCGCAATCACTCCCAACTCGACTAACAAATGTCTAGCAACTTGGCCACCTTCCAGTCCTACTTCCAGCCCTTCATCAACAACCCCGCCGCCCTCAAGAACCTCCCCTCACCCTCGAGCATCCTCGCCCGTGTCCGCAACGCCAGCCCCAAGGAGCTTGCCTTTGCTGGTGTCACCGCCGCTGAGGTTATTGGCTTCTTCACCGTTGGTGAGATTATCGGTCGCATGAACATTGTTGGTTACCGGGGTGAGGTTGCGCACGCGCACTAAGGGGTCGAGAATCGTACTTTCCTTATTTCCCTTTGTTACTTTGTATGATAGACGATGGAATATAAACTGTTGTCTGAGATAGAAACAATTGCCATTTGTGACGAGTTGTATAAATGAGGTTCTTCTGTGAACTTTTTGTGTCGAGAAGCGCGAGTCTTTGTAGCTACGTAGGTTTATGTAGCTGAGTATGTCTAGTAAGTTCACTCGCCATTGCCGTTTTCACTTGCGGAGACTGCTTCTTTCCAAGTCCTTTCTTTCCAATTCTGTCTTTTCCTGAGTATCTTGGTCTCTTATTAGCCTCTTTACACAGTACTTTTTACAGACATCTTTGCTTCCAAGCACCTGGCTCGGGTTAAGCGGCATGTGGGAGCTCGATGTGATGCAGTCCATGGCCCTGCTCTTATTCCTCTATCACTTTTGGATTCTCACGCCTCAGGCTGTTCTCATGATGTTGTGGTTTCATATCCAATACTATGCTCGTCGTGGATGACATCTGATTGGCCCGGGATGAAAGCGGCGGACCACTTTTTTTCTTCGTGAAATATCAAAGTCGACACTTTCAACTCACCACGGAAAATATGGATGCATTCAAGTTGTTGACTCGGTCAACAAAATTGAAGCATGCTGCTTCAAAAGCAGATTCTTCTCCTCTGCCGTCAACCGGGAAAGCTGCCAACCCACAGCTTTTCCGCACCGCCGACGCCGACAAGCTCGAGGCTGCCAAGAGCGGCAAAAAAAGAAAGAGGAACACTGCTGCTCAGCAGGATGAAGATGAAGTGTCCGAGCTGGACTTTTTCAATTCAAACAAGCGCCCTGCAACCAGCGTGACGGAAACAGCTGCTGTGACCGAAAGCGACGCTGAAAAGGCGTCGGAAGATGTCGCATCTGATGACGACTCCATGGACGACGTGCAGCGTCGCACGATCTTGAACTCACACAAAATCAAGGTAACTGACTTGCGCGACTTGGATGAGATCCAGCCCCAGCCGGCATCCACCAAGGAATCCAAGAAGAAAAAGAAGTCCAAAAAGGAAGAAGCTCCGGCTCTTAGTAAGAAAGAGCAGAAGCGCGCCAGACGCATTTTCCCCGAGCCTTTGCTTTCTTTCAAGGAGCTTCGGTCCAAATATAAGATCTCCTCGCGTCTCGCAGAGAACGTTGCGGATCAAGGGTTTACCGTGCCTACAGAGGTTCAACTTGGTACTCTTCCTTTGCTTCTTGGGGAGGCTTCTGAGCCGGATCTTCTGATTGTGGCTCCTACTGGCAGTGGTAAGACACTGTCATTTTTGATTCCTGTGATCAACAAAATTGTGCGACACCACCACTCAAGCCCCGAAGAGCACGGAATTCTGTCAGTGGTTGTGGCACCTACCAAGGAACTTGCAAGCCAGATCGTCAACGAGGGCCGGAAGCTGGTCGCTGGAACCGGCGTGAAGATCACGCTGATGAGAAAGGGAATGCGCGTCAGCGACGAAGGCAATGCGGATGTCCTCGAAGAGAGTGATGCGTCATCTGGATCCGACGAAGAAGATGCCGACAACAAGCCAACAAAAGACCGAGCCAATATCCCACTGACCAAAAGTGATATCCTTGTTACCACGCCCTTGATGCTGGTTAATGCCCTCTCGGCGAATCGGACAAAGACTATGGCAACCCTACCTCTAGTGCGTAGCCTCGTTATGGACGAAGCGGATGTTCTCTTGGACCCCTTGTTCCGGGAACAGACATTGGATATCTGGAAATCATGCACGCACCCGGAAATGCGAGTCGGACTTTGGTCAGCTACGATGGGATCCAACATTGAAGATCTCACCAAGTCGACAATCAAAGAGCGTCAAGAAGACCTCGGACTTAAGCCAAGCGAATCGCATGCGCTACTCCGTTTGGTCGTGGGGTTGAAGGACTCTGCCATCCCCAACATTGAACACAAACTCATATACGCGGCAACAGAGCAGGGTAAACTGCTCGGACTCCGCCAACTCCTTCGCCCCACAGCTGCCTCAGCATCAGACATCCGCCTCCGACCCCCCTTCCTCATTTTCACCCAGACCATCCCCCGTGCCATCGCCCTGCACTCCGAACTCAAATATGACATCCCCGCCGAAGCAGGAGGATCATCAAGAATCGCAGTCCTCCACTCCGACCTATCCGACGGCCAACGATCCGAAATCATGCGCGACTTCCGCAAAGGCGAGATCTGGATCCTAGTGACAACAGATCTACTCGCGCGCGGCGTCGACTTCCGCGGCATAAACGGCGTAGTAAACTACGACATCCCGAACTCAGCAGCGGTCTACGTCCACCGCGTTGGACGAACAGGACGAGCAGGACGCGAGGGCGGCATCGCCGTGACATACTACACAAAAGAAGACATCCCCTACGTGAAGAGCATTGCGAACATAATCGATGTAAGCGAAAAGCTCCGTGGCGGCGAGGGCGACAAATCCATCCAGAAATGGCTCCTCGACGCCCTGCCCAACCTGAGCAAGAACAGCAAGAAGGACCTCAAGAAGCATGGCGTCAAGGCGCGCCAGGCTCCCCGATTGTCGGATAAGGAGAAGGAGGGTGGAAAGAGTGCGCGTGGCATGAGGATTAGTACGAAGAGTGGATTTGAGCGGCGCATGGAGAATCGCAAGAAGGGTGCTATTGCTGCTAGTCGGCAGCGGAAGGCTGCTGCTGGTGATGGTGGCAATGTGAGTGATGCTGGTAGTTGGGCCGGGTTGGATGATTAGGCTTGGTGTTTTGTACAGTACGCTACTACTAGGGTATTATTCCATATGCATATTCCCGTTTCCATAATTGAGTCATGTCCATATCATAAATACATCAAGTCATGGCTATATAAGTTACACAAACACTCGTATATCTCACTTCTGCCCAGCCTTTCCATTTTGTCCCTGTCCCTGTCCCTGTTCTTGTCCTTGAGGTTGAGACTGAGACTGAGCAGGAGGCTTCTCCTCAACAATCCTCCTAACCAAAGTAACAGGCACAAAAGCACAATCCAACAGCCCCTGCTTCTCCAACACCCTCTCCAACTCATCCCCATCGCGATCAAAATAAAGCGCCCATTCCCCCTCCTTCTCCTCAACCGCATAAAACGCCTTCTTCTTCTTCTCCAGCGAAATAATCCTCTCATCTTTACACCAGTCCCACGGCCCAACCACATGCTCCACACTCTGTGACCGATTCCCATAGCGCAGCTCGTATGTCTCATTATCAGCATAGATCCAATTGAGCAGCGGTGGATCTTCCTGTACATATGTTGGAAGCCCAAGACCACGGTCGAGATGTTTCGTTTCATCTAGTTCTGGATATTCGATGTAGAAGGCTAGGGCTGTGAAGGCTGGTGGGGAGCGGTTAGATGGGTTTGGGTCTGCGAGGTAGACCTGTAGTTGGTTAGGTACTGTCTCTGTCTTTGTCCGAGTGTCTAAATACGACTTGATCTTACCTTCCCATTCCTAACAACAACACTCATCCCATTCAACTCGCGATCATCATCTGTATCGCCGTCGCATTCAGCTTGGATGTTGAACTTCATCATGCGCCTGTTATCTTCTTTGCGCTGGTTTGCTTTGCGCTGTTCGCTGGAAGCGAGGGATATACCCGTCACCGTCGGGATGGCCGTTATGGCCAAGAGTCCAATGACCATTTTCACGTTCTTGGTGGAGTACGCGCTGGGGTAGTGGGTGATGGATATTGGATAGCTAGATAGCTGTTGTTCAAGACGAAGGAATGAATTTCAGTCGGTGGATGGGTATTATAGTAGACCGCTTAGATTGCGCAGGTCATTAGGTTGGTTGGATATGCATTCCAGCTTGGGATTGGGATCTGAAATGTTTAGCGATTTGTTCTGGTGGCGTTTTGGTCTGGCTTCAGGTCTTCTGGTGGATTAGTATGGAATGGACAAGGCTTGAATATGTGAGACTGACTGGATAGGTGTAGAATATGTCTGATTCTTGAACAGAATGCATCTTTGCCAGGTTCAGGTTGAGTTATTCGACAGTCGAGAACATCCATGGTCCGTCCGCTGAACACCGACGTCATCACCACGTGATGAGGCTTGATGTTCCTCTTCTCGTTCAACCTCATTCTGTGTTTCTATTCAAAGATCCCATGTTCAGCTAAAGCATTTGCGCATTTTTTCATTTTAAAATTTACTGACTACTGTTTCTCGAAAGTTTCAACCTTGAACCAATGCATTGCTAACCAAGTTCTACAATTCTTATGCTAAATCTATCGTGTATCGTTTATTATTCGTGATGTCGTTTGATCGTGCCCGACCCGGACCGGGACACAACATCCTGGCAGCTCGTTCCTCTATACCTTTTCAGTCCATCCCCAAATGGACCACCAGCACTTGACGGCCAGGGCGCCTCCATCCGCGCTCTCCCAGTCATCATATCCAACCTCTTCACCCTCCTCAACGACCGCAAGGCCCAACTCACCCATTCGCCGACGGAATTCCTGCACTTGTGGCAGATACGCATCCCGCAAAGGCATCTCCGTCACGACTCGCGCATCACGCCCATGGCTAAGCCAAGGCGCAATGGTATCAACCAACAACTTCGGATGACTGGGAGAATACAGCGGGTCAGCCGCGAGAATCACGTCGAATCGCTCTTCCGCCGATGGCAAGGGCGACGGCGTGACCGACCAATCGAGTACGCCGGTGGTCACAGTCGCCCCGGTCCGGTTGAGAAGCTCTACGTTCAAGGCAGCGTTGTGGGCGAGGTTCGGGACGATCTCGGGCAGGTCGGTGAGGTGGATGGTGGCCGATTTACCCTGGAGAGCGGCAAAGGAGAGCCCGACCAACCCAGTGCCAGCGCCAAGTTCAAGTGCCCGCAGAGGAATCTCAGTCTTGGATGCGGAGGGGTCAGTTGAGGCAGTAGGGACCAGCTGCGGGGGCGATTCGAGGAGGTTATGGAGCCGGCGGGAGAGAAGGTAGGATGACACCCAGGTCTTCATGCCGAGGTTATCAGCCGTGAGTGATGGTTCGTGGAGTGTCAGAGTGTAGTCCTCGCCGGAGGAGGTGGGCACATCGAAAATGCGAGACATAGCCGGCATTGCTGCAATGAGTCAGTCAGCGAGAAAACACGGCAGGGAAGGCGGGAGAATGCATACCAGCTCGGCCAGAGCGCTCACTGAGTCGTGCAGCGGCCGCATCCCAGATTGCCTCGCGGAGTTCATCGGTCTCGAGCCATGCCAACGGGCTCGAGATGATGGATGTGAGATACCGAGTCACGCCAGCGGGCTGGACGGCCGGGCCCTTGACGACATCAGCGCTGGTGCCGAATGTGCGTGGCTGCAAACTCAGCAGAGCCAGCGCTTTCACAAGATCGGTGCCCGAGGGCTTCTCGTAGAGTTGCGGGAGATCGAGCACTGGCTTATCAGTTCCATTATCTTTTGTGGACCGAATGGACCAAGAGTGTAGTGTAGATCGGGGAACCAACCGTGAAGTGGCTCGTCGACCGTGGCACTGATCATATTGGTGAATTGCTGTGTGCTGTGAGAAATTAAAAAGCAACAATTTGTCTCGACTCCGGGAGATCGTGAAATCGTGAACCGCCACGCGGAAAAGAAAAAAAAAAAAAAAATCCCAAAGAGGAAAGGCTGGTTTGGAGATTCCGCGGCACCCCTTTTGGCCTAACTTGTCAGGCAGAAATCTATAATTGTCAACAGACACAAGAGAACAGACAAGCCAATGAATAGAAATTGAAGAGTAAAACAGAAGAACAGTATACAAGAAGCAAATGGGTATATTCATAGACTTGATCAATATTCGAAAACAAAATGATAGGACTTCCACGAACGCCCGCCGATAGATATCAATTCAACGTAGCCTTGAATCCCTGATATGCCTGCTCAATATCAAATGCAAGTTCTCGCGCTTGATCCTCACTTAATTCCTCAGTGGCTCTCATCTGATTCAACGCAATTAACCATTGTATAATCTTGCCGCGATCCTCAAAGTCCCCATCTGTTACCTTGTTCACAGACTGAATGACTTCCGACAAGAGAGGATGTAGTGCATCTTTTGAAACCATGTTGAGTTTCAACGCATCGAGGAATGTAATGAAGTTCTCAGTTGCCGCCAGAATAAGGCTACCCGATGCCCCAGCCGGCCCTGCAGCCGCAGCCATACTAGGAGTAGGCGCGCCGTGAGAAGCCTGTTCAACCGTAGCAGGAAGACCGATGCGCAATCGCTCTGTAGCCCTCGGGCATTCCAACTGTAGTGTATAGCGTCAGCGATGTCGGCGGGGTAAATAATGCACACTCACACCCCACGTCCGCTTGAACGTTTCCAGGTCGACAAACTCCTGCGATACAGTCTCGGAGACGAGACTGGACTTGTATTGCTTCAATAACCGAGTGCATGTCTCTGTGTATTCTGCCTCGGTGACCACGTCCTTGATGTATGCCTTTTCGAGTCCGTCGAGGGTGACGATGATGCTGTATATTTCGGCGAGGGATTCGTACAAGTCGCGCTCAACTGAACTGGATGCTAGTTTGACTTCCTGGAACAATTGTAGGTCAGTTTGTCTATCAATGCGGAGACGGATCCATACTTCGTCAAGGTTGATCGAGGCCGACCGGGCGGGGTTGGGTGTGTAGCTGTATGGCGTGGGAGCATAAGAAAGTGGGCGCTGAGAATACATGCTGTGTACAATTCCAGAATATCATCAAAATCGTGAATCGTGAATGTCGTATGTAACTTGCAGCTTGCAACTCAGCTGGAGCTGTTATCGCCCGAAGCAAAGGCGGTGGGGAAGGCGGTGCCGCTGATTTTCTCCCCAAATTTTTTTTGTCAAACGGCCAATTCCAGCACCAAGCTATACCTGCAGACTCTTTTCTGCACACCTCACAATGGCCGGAGCCAAGAAGTCCACGAAGAAGTTCGAGAAGAATCATCTTAAAGATGTTATCGAACGCCGCAAGTCCCACGCCAAGGTGAAGCAAAGACACCAGATGAACGACAAGCGCAAAGAAAAAAATGCTACAAAACGCGCCGAAGCCGAAGAGGCCAATGAGATTAGCCCCGAGGAAGCGAAGAAGCAGAATGCTTTCGCCGAAATGAATGTCGACGATTTCTTCGCCGGTGGCTTCGAAATTCCCGAGGCAAATGGCAAGAAGTCCAAGAAGGATGTCACCCCCAAGATCGGCAAGCGCAAGCGCTCAGAAGACAAGGCACAGGCCGAAGAGGCTCCCGAGGAGGACGACAATGACGAAGAAGATGCAAGCAGCGTCGACGCATACGACGAACACAAGGATCAACTGGAGTCGTTGAAGGACAAGGACCCCGAGTTCTACAAATACCTGAAGGAGAACGATGCGGAACTACTCGATTTCGGCGAGCAAGGTGATCTGTCAGAAGTCGACGCTCTGAGTGAAAGCGATGAGCCTGAAGACGAGGAACCCGCGAAGAAGAAAAAGAAGAAGGCTAAGAAGGACGAGGAGGAGGTGGAGCCCGAGAGCACCACTCTGACAATCCAGACCGTTAAGAAGTGGCACAAGTTGATGGAGGAGCAGAACTCGATCCGTGCTATGCGTCAGGTTGTGCTCGCTTTCCGTGCGGCTGCTCACGTCAACGATGCCGAGGCCCCAGAGCAGAAGTACACTATCTCCGACAAGAACGTTTACCACCAGGTTCTTGTCACTGCCCTTAACACCGTTCCCAAGGTCCTGGCGCATCACCTCCCAGTCAAGGAGACCGCTGGAGGAAAGATCCGTGTCTCATTGGACTCGAAGAAGTTCAAGACCCTTACGCCTCTGATCAAATCTCACACATCCTCGGTTCATCAGCTTTTGATCAACTTGTCTGACGCATCGACACTCAAGCTGACCCTTTCGTCAATTGAGCCCATGCTGCCATATCTTCTTCAGTTCCGCAAGGTGCTGAAGACGCTCGTCAAGACCGTTGTCGGTATCTGGGCAGATGTCGCCACCAACGACGCTACCCGCATTACTGGCTTCCTGCTGCTGCGTCGTCTTATGGTTCTGGGAGATGCTGGTATTCGGGAAAGCGTGCTCAAGGCCACCTACGAGGGTGTTGTCAAGGGCAGCCGCAACACAACTGTGCACACACTCGCCGGCGTGAACTTGATGAAGAACTCCGCCGCCGAGATCTGGGGCATTGACCAGAACGTCTCATACACCACCGGATTCTCCTTCATCCGCCAGCTGGCCATGCACTTGCGTTCCAGCATCACCAACACCTCCAAGGAGTCCTACAAGACCATCTACAACTGGCAATACGTGCATTCGCTGGACTTCTGGTCCCGTGTGCTTTCCCAGCACTGCGATGGTCTCGTGGAGGCTCAATCTGGCAAGCAATCCGCTCTGCGTCCCCTCATCTACCCCGTTGTGCAAATCACCCTGGGTGCCATGCGCCTCATCCCCACCGCCCAGTACTTCCCCCTGCGCTTCCAGTTGACGCGCGCCCTGCTCCGTATCTCCCGTGCCACCGGCACCTACATCCCGCTTGCATCCTCACTCCTGGAGGTCCTGACATCGGCGGAGATGCGCAAGCACCCCAGATCTAGCACCCTCAAGCCCCTGGAATTCAACACAGCCATCCGCGCACCAAAGTCCTATCTTCGCTCACGCGCCTACCAAGATGGCGTGGGTGAGCAGGTCGCCGAGCTCCTCTCCGAGTTCTTCGTCCTGTGGTCTAAGCACATCGCATTCCCGGAATTGTCCGTACCCGTCGTTGTCTCCCTCAAGCGCTGGCTGAAGCAGGTCTCTGCCCGCTCTGGCGGAAACAAGAACGCTAAGATCAACCAGATGATTTTGCTTCTCGTGCAGAAGGTTGAGGCCAACGCCCGCTGGATCGAGGAGCGCCGTCTGACCGTCTCCTACGCTCCCCGTAACCGCACTGAGGTTGACTCTTTCCTCAAGGACGTTGACTGGGAGACTACACCTCTCGGCGCCTTTGTCAAGACGCAGCGCAAGCTTCGCGAGGAGCGCGCTGCTATCCTCGAAGAGGGTCGTCGCGAAGAGGAGAAGCGGAGAGAGGAGGCGAAGAAGAACGGTGGTGATGACGAGGTGATGGGTGGTGTTGGCAGCGATTCCGGCAGCGAGGATGAGGAAGAAGAAGAATGGGAAAGCGAGGAGGAGCCCGAGATCGAGGGCGAAGACGAAAGTGAAGACGAGGTGGAGATGGAGGATGAGTAGACTCCTGATGTTTTCTTTGTATATCTCCTTGTCTCAACGGTTTATTTGCATATGTCGACTTTAGTCACCAGGATACAGTCTGGGTAGTAACTCAATCCTACAAAAGAATCATTTCTCTTAATCCATCCATGTCATATCATATCTCATAAATCTACTCTATAGTCTAAAACAAGGAAAAATGGGGGAATCAAAATGCAAGACGCAACTAAACAGATCCAACAGGCCCAGCCCTAGCCCTCTCTCTCCTCAAAACAGCATCCTCTTCCTCAGCCCAAGCCAAAGACTCACTAGGTAGCATAATAGCCTTATCAATAGCAACAGGCAAACCCCGATGTCTACCTCTCAAAGCAACAGCAGCAAGAATCAACTTGCTAATAGTATGCCACGCGCCACAGAACGAATAATTCATCCCTGGAAACCCAAGACTAACCCCAACACACCCATAAGCAGAAACAACCTCGAAGATAATATTGAACGTTGAGAACGCCACGGGGTCAGAGGTATAGTGGTCCGACTCGGCAATCGCAATGAAGAATACTGCCAGTGCTATCCACCAGATGTCATGGCTGAGCTGGGAGCGGATTTGCTGGTGCACGAAGTATCCGCGCGATGTCTCGGAGAGGCCGGGGCGTCCGAGTTGATGCCGGATTAGGTCCATTACTACGTTGCTGCGGCTTGTGTTGGCTGGTGTTTCTGGGGTTTCGTCGTGGGCGTAGATTCCCAGTGAGCGTTCTTCGTAGACGTTTGTGTTGCTGGTGGATGTTAGATTGGACTTGTATAGATATTAGTGCGGGTACGTGGGCTTAGACTTACCGCATTGTTAGGGTTACTGGGTACGCAGACACGTACATCATGAGGACTGTTTTGTTAGCATGATCTTCTTTTTAGATGTGCTATAGTAACTCACCATAGAGAACCAGGAGGCCTTGATGGAGATCGGCAATGGTCACGACGTAGAATCCACCAGCGCGAACAGCTATATCGATGGTTAGTTGGCCAATTCAGTCTATTAATGGTGAGCTGGGCATACCCAGAGCCTGGAACAACCCGTCTAATATGCGATATTCAGTTGGGAGAATCTCGATGTCTTTGTTTCCAATGGATAGCAGCTCGAATGCCGCCCAATCAATGCCGTTCAGGATGATAATTGTACCAAGTAGATACCAAGTGTGGCGAGCAGGGAAGAGATTTGTATAAACCTATTTCAATTTAGTGTCCAGAATACAGGACAACATCATCGAAACACCGTCAACTTACCCTTCTAGGATGCTTCAAGATAAAATCAAGAGTAATTCGCCACGACTGCCATTGAGGCTGATCCGGAAGCATCATTCTCATAGTCCAAATGATAAACCGTAAGAAACAAGGATAAAGAGTATTGCCAGCGAGAATCAGCATGCCCATTGTCAACAGTGGGTAGGCACTAGAAAGAGTCAGCTATCTAAACAAGGAATTTGGGATAGGCATCACATACTTCAACTGCAAAGCAGTCATATTAGCATCCAACAGTGACATGCCACTATTCACAAAAGCAGACACAGCAAAGAAAGCGCCCGTCCAAAACGGCGAGAGACCATTCGAACGCGTCACATCGGAGTGGTTAGCTTCTAGCCAGCCACCCATACCAATCATACCGAACAAGATGAACAAGACGAAGTAAAGGAATACAACAACCGACAAAAATGAAACGGCTTTATATTCCACTCCGCCTAGTTCATCACGCTCAGCTGCAGTGAGGTCGTGAAATTGGGAGTTGCGGGATACCAAGCCCTTCGAGGCGATGTATTTCTGCGTCCCGCGGAGGATGCTTTTGAAGCCTGATACCGAGTCCTTTGTGGATAGGGGTAAATTTGGCACTGCATCGCGGGGATGGTTGTGCAGGTCCGGCCTGGCGCCGATGCCAGCCATAGGGAAGACTCGATGGTGATGTCGGTGGGTTGTTCCTCCGATAGTGATTTGGTCTTCGTCTATCCATGGCTCATCACAGTATGATGGCTCACATGGGGTATTTGTTACTGTCACGGATGTCTTCGTGCGTCGCTGAGGCCCTTGGCATGCAGCATCTGGCAGTTCATTGTCTGCACTTCCTTGGACGACATCCCCGTCCCCAGGTTGCAGCTCAAAGACTGACTGGCAGCGTGAAGTTCTTTCTCTTTCGCGTTCATCTGAGACGCCCTTAAATTTCGCCTCAAATCCGTGCTTGCGGACGAGCAGGACGGTCAGTGAGATCAAAATTGCATGGCCTAGCATGAGCAGTGTAAACAAGACTGCTTGTTGGAAACTGTTTAGTGTTGACAGGTCCACCTAGCAAGAGGATCAGTTTCTATCCAAAAGCTTTGCGCTGGAAGAGTAGATACGTACTGTGTTCAAACCAGCACCAGTCATAGCACTGACGCACATGAAAAGTGAATCGATATATGCCACGCTACGCCACGGCGTCGCGGTCAAATAGAAAATGACACTGGCAATAATACTCGTAGCAATGAAGTACACATAGTGTACTGTCAGAAAATTCAAGGGAGGTAGGACTGCCTTGATAGCTTGTCCAATCCGTCCTCTCCATTTGAGAGCTGTGCAGAACATGTTAGTTTCGGATTTGATGGATAAATAGACACACGTACGGATAAGCATGGCATGGAGTTTCATTTCGTCTCAAATACTCAGAAGCCGAACCAGTTGGGAGATATTAGAATTGTCGTTGGCATGTGTACTCGACCCGCGGTTTCCGGCCGTGAAGGCACAATAGTGACGACGAACACCACTAACGGCGCCAGGCGTCTTCGAACATACCCAACACCCAGCAAGTCATTGTTCGATTATATAAACAGTGGAGAGGAAGGGTTGAGAAGGCTGAAGGTTAAGCCCGCTGGAGTATGTGGGTTGGCCGAAGAAATTTCTTTCAGGGTCAGGGACCACCACCACGTCAGACCGCGCGAGAATAGACGAAAAGACAATGAGATCGATTCGAATGCCCAAGATCTTCAATGAACACGGAGAAAAAAAACCCCCCAAGGAAAAAGAAGAAGAAAAGCAAAGGAAAATACGGTGAAGACAATCTAACGGTTTCTTGGCGCCGGGTAGGGCTTCAACCTGCATTGTATACTTCTCATATACTTCATTCTTCACTCTACTCTCTCCTCCCTAATCCAATGTCCACTCTTCCCACCCTGCTTTTCAAGCAACCGAACAGCATCAATAACCATCCCCTTATCAACAGCCTTGAGCATATCATAAACCGTCAAAGCCGCCCCCATAGTAGCGGTCATAGCCTCCATTTCAACCCCCGTCCTGCCAAAGCAACTAACTGTCGCAACGATCTTCATAGAACCAAAGTCTATATTCTTTGGCTCATTCAATTCAACACTAACCTCCACTCCGGTAATTCCAATCCCAGGATGACATAATGGGACAATATCCGGTGTGCGCTTAGCGGCCATGATGCCGGCGATCCGGGCGACGCTGAATACGTCGCCTTTGTGTGTTTGGCCTTTGCGCAGGATTGACCAGGGTCGTTTGTTTGAGAAGGAGACTGTACATGCCGCTGTGGCCAGGCGTTTTGTTTCCGGTTTTTCGGTAATTTGCGTCATGTGGACTGTTTTGGATGGAGTTAGGTGTGGGAGGTCTGCATCGGAGGTTGTTGGGAGAGATGGGGATGGGCGAGAGGTGTTTTGATTTTGGTCTTTGGGGTCGGCTGTAGAGCGTCCGCTGTGGTAGAGACGAGCTTGGGAAGTAGTGGGTAAATGTGACAGCAGGTAGACTGGGATATTTGACCAGGGAGGGCTAGCTCTTGTTGTCAAAGAGTAGGTTGGCCTGTGTTTCGGTTTATTGTCTAGTTTATCTATCAGCCGACGATTCAAGAAATGATGTCCAAAATTCATGAGTCGCATATGTACATGGTATCAAAATATCGCCATATCCAAACAGAAGAAAATATCGATCCAAGAGATGATTTACAAGTCGTAAAACGTTTCCAATCATGAAAAATGAACATATCTACCCACCAATCAAGATCATAGGCCGGTTTTTCATATCCTTCAATTGGGTCATGCCAGCGTGTTTCGCCTTCTTGCGTTTCACGGCCATGCCGATAATATCGAGGATCTCGCGCTCTCGCTCGTTCACTAAGGCGCCTTCATCGCTAAGGCGGGATGCTGTTTGGACTGTTTCCAGTAGTTGTAGATCGTTCATCGCATCTGAGTCAATTGGGTTTCCGGCGTTCTCTTTGCGAATAATGTCGCGCAGGGACACCTCGGAGTTACCAAATAGGCAAACCTTGAGGTTACCATCACTTGTGATGCGGAGTCGATTGCAGGTACCACAGAAGTTATGCGTCATACTCGTGATGAAACCAACGCGTCCCTCGAATCCAGGCACACGGTATGTCTTGCTCGTGTCATTCTTATGATCCGCTACTTTCTCAAAAGTAGGATACTTCTCCCGAATAACAGCTAGCATCTCCTGGTAAGGGAACATCTTGCCCTGATTCCATTTGTTCCCATCGAAAGGCATGTACTCGATGAACCGCACTTCGATAGGCTTCTCACGGCCTAACTCCACGAACGGGAGAATCTCACGGTCATTCATACCCCTCATAACAACACAATTGATCTTTAGTTTGATGCCCGCTCCGACCTTATTCATTTCTAGAATACGATCGATGCTCTTCATCACAGCGTCGAATCCCTTGCGTCGCGTCATGATTTGGAATTGGAATGGGTCCAGCGTGTCGAGACTTAGATTGACACCCGTCAGTCCAGCCTCGACCATCGGATCTAGCTTCCGATGTAATGAGATCCCGTTGGTTGTAAGACACAGTTCCCGGAGTCCATTCTGCCGTAGCTTGCCAATGTCCTGCATCAACGGTACGATATCCTTCCGGACCGTCGGTTCCCCGCCTGTCAACCGGATCTTGGTAACGCCTTGTGAGACGAAAAGCGAAGATAGATAGAGGATCTCCGGGGACGTGAGCAGCTTGGCAGACGGCGATAGATCTATGCCTTCCTCGGGCATGCAGTATAAACACCGAAGATTGCACCGTTCCGTGACGCTGATGCGGAGATAGTCATGCTGGCGATTGAAGGTATCTGTAAGGAACTCGGAGAAAGGCTTCGCAGACTTGAGCGTCGATAACCGAGGGGAGACCTTGGACTGTGAAGGTAATTCAGGCGATGCGACGGTGGCGTTGGGTCTAGCGGCGGTGCTTTGGAGTCGAGTCTGAATCGCCTTATTCGGGCCCCAGACAAGGGCTCTGGGGCACAAGATCCGCTTGCACAGTGCAGCCATCGTCATTCAGGGGGTAAAAAGTGGCATGCTGGGCAAATATATGCAAAAGTTGAGAGAATGAGGGGGTCGCATGGACATTCCTCTCAATGAGGGCGGCGGACTCCGCGCTGAGTCACGCTATCTCGGGGGCTTATCAATTTCCGCCTCGCCCGCGGACTTTGACATCTGAGAGCAGTGCAGAGTATTGACTGACTTCGACTTCATTTCAATTGGTCATTCGCTATCTAAACTGCTAGCAATTTTTGTACCCGCTTCACCAGGCTCTGCTCAAACTGCTCCACTCCGCCCTTCTGCTCGTTCATCTTGGCTTGTTTGATCACATACACCGACCGACGTCGCTGCGTCTCTTCGGTCTCATCCTCTTCCAGTCCTTCAAAATCTTCATTAAGCTTGTGCTCTGTATCGCGCTTACCTTCGATCACAGACCGTACAAGGAAACGGTCGTGAGAAATCAAGAGAACAGCGCCATTGAAAGAGGAGAGAGCGGTAGCTAATGCAGTGACAGTATGGAAATCCAGATGAGTGGTGATTTCATCGAGAATGAGAAGCTGCGGTGCGCTCCAGACGATTCGGGCCAATGCAAGGCGAACCTGGATCGATGTTAGCTTGCTCAAATGAGACATTGCTGTTCCACTTACGAGCTGTCCGCCCGATAGCTTGCAAACGGGGACATCGGATGCAATGCGACCTGCTAACCCCATGGAAGATAGCAGACCCCTAACAGTACTCTCATTCAATGAACCATCGGTTTCAGCCATTAACAAGCCGAGTGCAGTCAGACTAGGCTGGCCTCGACCAAGCTCTTGCAGATCTTCCACGGAGTGTTGACTATAATAGCCCACTTTTAAACGTGAATGAGTTGACACCTTCCCTTTGGAAGGAGGGATCTGCCCCGTCAAAATACGGACCATAGTCGTTTTTCCTGATCCATTCAGTCCCATGATACCAACCCGATCACCCAAGTGCACGACCAAGTTCACGTCGTCCAGGATGACGCATTCGGTCTTCTTGTACTGAAACGCAATTCCTTCAAGTGAAACCAATGGACCAGGGAATCGCAGCTCAGTTGCATCGGGCAAACTCATAGTCGCACCCTTTTCATCCACAGGAACATCAATCTCCGCTCGACTGGTCAAATGGTACCCAACAAGGTCACGGTTCAGCTTGAAACGGCCACCGTTCGCGCTGACTTGCAGACCCATCCGGTCATCAACCTTCTTTTGTCGCGACTTAGCCTGCCGCAGCTTATTCTCATCATTAGTTTTCTTTCCAATCTTCATGTTCTCTCGAATGCTAGACTCCATATGGGCAATCTGCCGCTCCTGTGCTTCCTTCATGCGACTCAGATAGAGCTTCTGCTCCTCATGGTCTTGCTCGTAAGCCGACAAATTTCCTCGGAAATAGGTCAACTTCTGGTCTCGGAGAATGACAATCTCTTCACAGACCGCATTGATGAAATCGCGGTCATGCGAGACCAATACGATTGTTGTCTCTGATGTGTCTCGTAGCTGTTTCAGGTAATTCTCTAGCCAGACCACACCAAGCAGATCCAAGAAATTGGTTGGCTCGTCTAGGATCATGATATCGGGATCTTGCACTAGGACACTGGCTAGCATGCATCGCATACGCCAGCCACCAGAAAGCGTGGAGACCTTCTTTCCGAGCCCATCTTCTTTAAAGCCGAGACCGAGAAGAACTCGACGGGCTTGTTGCTCCATGTCGGCAAGTTTCATCTGGTTTCATGTCAGTGGGATGAATGGGTGTAGCTGTACAAATACCTACGTCTTCAAGTTGAGACTGTAGAGTTTGCAATGTCTCAACGGCATCTTGGGTATCTGACGCGACTGTTTCCGCTTCAATAGCGTCTACATCCTGTGCCAGCCTAGTCATGTCAGCTATGATCGTTGGTATGGAAACTTCACTTCATACATTTCCGATGCGGTCTCAACCTTAACCTCGGCGGTCTTTAGATCCTTTCTCGCCTGGAGACCGCGAGCACCACTCTTCAAGCTTGCATTCTTATGAGCCAGGAAGAGATGCTTCTCAGCTTTCTGATGTCGGATTTTTCGAATGGCTCGTACAGGCTCCATGGGATCTTCAGTCTCGAAGCTCTTTGAGAGGTCTTCCATCCAAATCAGTTAAAGTGAACTGCGAATCTGTCGGAGATACATACACTCGGCCATTCGGACAGCCTCATTCCGAGTCTCATCGCTGCTAAGAACAGATTCCAAAACCGTCTTGTCCTGGCTTTGGGCTGTGCCAAGACCATTATCCTGATCATCAGTCTGCTGCAAGATCGCCATGCGAGTGGCATGTGGAATGCCAGGGATAAGTTTCTCGGCCATTGCCCGAAGAAGAGCTGCAGATGTCAATATTGACAAACTTCGAGGTCTCGACGTCGATCTTACTTGACTTCCCAGTCCCATTTCGCCCAAGCAATCCATAATGAACTCCAGCCTTCAATCGTAGATGAGCATCCGAGATCAACTCTCGTCCCGCAGCCTTGGCTTTAGATTTACCCTTGGTCTTAGGTTTGGATGCATCTTCAGTGGAGTCGGCTGCAGAAGAAGTGACGATGATATTCAATCCATCCACGTCGATCTGTCACGGGTTGATGACATGTTAATGATCAGATCGATCAAAATATCAAATGTAGTCATACCTCCTTCGAAGGATTATCATCTAGCAGATGAAACCGTGTTTGTTTGCATGTTGCTAAGATAGCCGGTGTGGACATGATACCTTTAAGCGCTAACTTGAAGTGTTTGTGTTTGATGCTGTTATGTCCAAAGGGTCCGAGTGTTGGAGGCGATTTCCATAGGGATCTCAAGAGTAGAAGTCTCGGTAATTCAGGCCTTTAAAAGAAGGAAAACTCGGCACAGTCCCTTGAAATATCAGTGCCACAGTGGCAGAAAACGACCATATTGAGTCATGGAAATCAAAGCCGATCGATTCGATGTCAACTCGTCTGTGGCGGGGTCCGAAAGGGGAAATAGTTGGGGCCTGAGGCGGCCATCCACATTCCTTGCTCGGTCATTTGCGGGGAGAGCCGCGCTCGGTTCAAAGCCGCAGTTTCGCGTATTATTATATAGTCATAGTATATAGTCATTGGTGCTATGTGGCTAGTTGTGAGTCACTGGTCTTGGCTTTGGTCATTGCTCTGTTTGGTTTAGAGTTAGTTGTGACAATGGTTTAATGTGCATATAAAATATATAAAGTTATCTGAGGGAGTATGTACCAGAAGGTTACTGTAAAATTTAAATATAGTCTGATCAAAATAAAGAACCATCAAGATAGCCAACGAAATTACTACATCTACTCATTCCAAACGTATATCCTCAAGAGATCATCTGCATTTGGTTCTCGATCATTGTAGCTTGATACAGCTGCAACATGACCGAAGCGAACCCGTAGAGGACTCTATCTCAATGTACAAAATATCCTCCTTCTCTGAATACCAGCTAGCGTCCTTGACAGCCGAAACCTGGCGGATGTACATTTTTTCAGAAGCTTCTCCACCTCCCCCAGAAGATGTGTATTGTTGTCATATAATCTATCTTCCATGATTTGCCATCGACTTCCAAAAGGACTGTATAAGTCAACGGGAAATGTTTGAGTAATGTTTTCGCATAAAGGACACGCAAGTCTGATAGCAGACGTTGGAATTGATATCTAGAATTTCAACGCTATAATATCATCCACAAATGTCCACCGAGGACAAAGGTCTAGAATATCCAAAGGGAAATTCAACTTATCACACATGTTGTCACGTTAGTTCCGAAGAGTTCAGTCAGTAGCGACACGTGGAAATCTGCTCATTCGCTCCACATTGCGCATGGCACGGGGAAGACCAGGTCGAGTCCTAAGGCAGAGCAAAGTCCAGAGCTGGACAGAAAAACTCTTCTATTGTCCACGATTAGGTGTAAATCTAGATCTAGACCTTAATCCCAGATCTATCCACAGCATCTAGATCAAGGGTTTAAGCGTCTCGAACATATCCACTCGCTTCGAAACGCGGGTCTACAAAGACTCGTCAGATAACCAAAGAAGCAGAAGATGAAGGGTCTTCGGACCTGGGTGATCAGGGAAACGGCGGGTCTTCAAATGAGGGAGTCGTCAGACAACCAGACTATGGACATGGGGAAAATTTGATCTAGACCAATGTCATTATATGCATTTGTAGGACACTGCAGACATTGCAGTGTGGATTATGATAAAATCATGGAGCGAGCAGATATCAACTGTAATACTCGTCAGTGAACGCGTGAAGTCAGTCTGATAAATATCAGCACGTTGGAAAATGCGAAGAATTGCCGGCCGGGGGCGCGAACCGAAGCCCTAACCATTGTTCACCGAGATTCGGTTTAATAGCCCGGACCAGGAACATGTTAATTCATAGTACTCCAAGCCATCAATTCACGGTTATATCGGCGCTAGAGATACGCCACAGGGACTTACATAGTCTATTATTAAATATAAAGAACACGACAATTTCGGGCTGTGGCAGGCGCTTTCGCTCAGCCTCTTTGCACGCGGTCACTTGACGCGGCCGGAGATCAATTGGAACTGCGTCTCAGCCCTAGACGATCACTGGGCGCAGCGGGTTTTCCGAGAGTCGAGACTCTCTGAAAAACAAAAGCGGGTATGATCTATTCCGCCACGTATTCCATCGGTCTTAGCGATCGAAATACACAGGTTGAAGGATTGGAAAACGAAGGTTCTAGGGCGCCAAGATATATCCACTACTGTATGAAGTAGAGAAATACCAAAATACAGGGCGCACAAAGTAAAATGATCAACAGTTTGAGTCTGAAAATATAGACTCCGATAAACTCGGATAAGCTAACCATATTAGGAATAATTTCATCATCACGTGAAACCGGAAGTCACCCGAATAGTCCAAGATTGCCGTTTGAGATTCCTTTATAGCCGACCCGCTTGAACTCTGGTAAAGCTTATTGTCGAACTTTTCAGACGGATCCAACTGCTCCGGTATACCGTGGTTGTGGCCTCGCGTACAGGGCGAGACGCCGGCACGTACATCCCTGTGATGAAACAGATCACTCCCGTGGATGCGCTGGACTGGCTGCACCCTAGTTTCACTGTGACGGAACATATGTGTTCTGGACCACGGTTTCTGTCTCACCAGGGCGAGAGAGGCAAGCATCTGAAGTACAATAGCGGCTTATCTGCCGTATAGCCTGCCTAAAGAGGACTACGGCACCGAATTAGTTCCCCTATTGACACTAACCATAGTGGCGATAATCACTCCTAGTGCCACTTAGTTATCTGATTGAGCTCAATACGAAAGGGTGTCACTATGCACCTACGTTTATGTTGTTTCTTAAGGAATGTATGTCACTTATACAAAAGCGTAGGTGGATGTAAACAGAGACAGCACAGCCACCTGCGTCATGAACAGGCACAAGCACTCAGTACAATACAATACCAGGAATCTCTAAGCCCCAAGTTACCCGAACCAATATGAGGCGATGGTTCATGCGGATTGACCCACTCTGTAATTAGTATCGAAAACTATGCTGTAGCTATTGATCAAGAGAATGGATTGTTGGACAATTAGTTGATCTTTAATCCTGAAGAAAATATTAGACAATCACTAGTGTTGATGCTAATGTTCAAATGTGTTGATATTGAGAATAGTGACTATCCCTTGATACGGTATGGTAAACAAGGCCGTTTCAAGGTGGCGCTGTAGCCAATCACGGGCCCACATTCCTCGGCCCCGCTGACTCAGCTGAAAGGACGCGCAATCCGATTTCTATTCCGGACCTCTCCTTCCCCTGTTTCCCTGGTTCTCATCTTTGGCTTCATTTTCATTATCATTAAATCCTACTTTTCTCTCGTTTGGAATATTTTATCTATATCTTATTTCCCTCGTTTACCCATCATCGATCACCTCACCTATTCACCGATTTACCTACCCACCAACTCATATAGCCTCTCCTACAGTAGTTGGGAGATAGGCTTATCATCTTCACCATGGCAACACTCGCAGAGCATCCCATGCAACCCTCCGCCTCGCCCATGCCTATGATGACCGCTAGTTACGATCAAGACCTCGACTCCTTCATCAACATGGATCAACTAACCTACACATCCGACCCCGCCCGCTCCAAGATCGCCATGACTAGCCAACCGTCGGTCGCAAGTACCGAGTTCAGCGCCAGCGATGCCCGCAGTGCCAGCTTCGCATCAAGTGGACAGTCCCCACTCGCTTTCCAGGCTCCTAGTCACCAGTACGATGAGCACAGACAACAAACTGGTCTGCCACCCGGTGCGCTTTCCATGACCTACAACCAGGTCCCCATGGGATTCAGCAACAACCAGGGATTCCCCATGAACGGTGATGTGTATGCTGGTCATCACATGAAGCGTGAGGAGGCACCGTTCGATTTCAACGCCGCACCGGGCCGGAACCCCTCGGAGATGGATATCGAATCCGACAACATGAACTCTTCACCCTACTTCTACCAGGCACAACCCGGGAACAAGAACCAATATGTTGATCCTAGCGCTATTGGCGGCCATGAGCTGGCTCAGGCTGGTCCGTCCACGCAGGTCGGTCGTATGTACCCTGGTATGCACCAGCAGGCCGCTATGGCCAAGGCCCAGCAACAAAAGCAGAGCGAGATGGTCCGCCACCAGATGCAGCAGCGCCCGGAACAAGTTCCTGCTGCTATGCCTCAGGCTCGTGGTCCTCGCAACCCTGACCCTGTGGTCGAGGAGCGTATCTCTCGCCTGCTTCAACAGATGCGTGCCAACGCCATGGCCAATGGCGAGGGTTCTCCCACCCCATCCAACGGCATGCCCCAGATGGCCAAGGCCCGCAAGGATGAGGCCGATATGGATGAGGATGAGCGTCTCCTTGCCAGCGAGGAGGGCAAGAAGCTCAGCAGCAAGGAGCGCCGTCAGTTGCGGAACAAGGTTTCTGCTCGCGCGTTCCGATCTCGTCGCAAGGGTACGACCACTTGAATCTATGAATCACTTTCTTTCGCTAATATCTATGACTAGAATACATTGGTCAGCTCGAAAGCGAGGTGGCCGCCCGCACCAACGAGGCCCATGAAGTTCGTCTCCAGAACCGCGCTCTCTACGAAGAAAATGCCCGCCTGAACGACCTCGCCCGCATGCTCCTGGGATCTCCCCACTTCTCCTCTTTCCTCAACGACATGGGCGACACCCTGCCCGCCCTCCCCCAGCAACCTCAACAACAGCAGCAGCAACCCCAGCAAGCCAAGCCCCAACCTCAGCCTCCCATGCAGGCTATGCCTCAAGAGTCCAACGCCAACCGCGGCCAGGAGTATCAGATGCAACAGAACCCCCAGGCCAACATCGTCATGGTCCCCAACCAGGGAATGGATCCTAATATGGGTATGAACAACGCTGGCTGGAACTCTGGCATTGACATGAACTTTGGCAACACCTCCGTCTTTGCTGTCATGGAAGTCCCCGAGGGCCCTGCTCTTGACACTGAGGTTCTCTCCGGCAAGTCGTCTCCCATTGGCCTTGCCGAGAACTTCAAGAACGACGCCCCCGTTGTCAGCCGTCCTGCTTCCGATTCGCCCAAGTCCGACATTGGTGTCGCTAACCCCGATGTCGAACTTGATGAGTCTGACCCTGCCTTTGCTCTCTTTGTTGACTCTCCTGCGCCCGCTTCCGACCTGACCTTTGAGGGTGTGACCAGCGAGAAGACCTCCCAATTTGAACTCGTCGTCGATAACTCTGATGTCAGCACCGCTGCCAAGAGACGTTTCGACTCCCTCTGCCTCAGCATCGACGCCGTCTTCGAGCGTGTGTCTGCTGTCACTTCCCACCTTCAGTGATTCCCCACTCGCGTCCTGCCTCTCCGGCCTTCTTTTCTTTGTACATGTGATTCCTTTTACTTGACACCCTGATTTATTGTCATCGCCTTGTGACTATACCATACTCCCCACGGTGAAGTTTCGTGCTCTATTTTGCGGGTCAGTCTTTTTTTTTTTTTTTTTTTTTTTTTTTTCCAAATATCGGGGAGTTTCAAGGCGCCTATCTTCATTATATCGTGTATCTCCCGCGATGGTTCTGGGTGGAATATCTGGAGTGGTTTTTCCTGGCGTATACAAGGTACTGTGGAGCAAAAGTCCAACCCTTGATAATTACGGCCATATGATTGTCTTTTTCGCATAGCCTGTGCTCCTTTTTCTTTTCTTGAATGTAGCTTAGCCAAATAGAATGTTTGTCAATTTACTATCACTCTTACTTGTCCCAATGTCTCCTATAAATCCTTCGTACGAAGGCAGCATCAGTAAACCTATTTCTCCAGGGTTCGACACTTTTGTACCAGGGTTTATAGATACTACTGCAATCCTATCGCTATAAACCAGAAAACCCAGTGAATATAGCAGGCAATAGATATTAGCCACTCACTATAGGAGTTGACATTCAACATGGCCCGGCCATCGCGCAAAATTAGTCGCTATTTTTTTTCAACGGGATCCACCAACCGTCAATGCTGCCAGGTTGCGACGGGGTTTCATTTTATTTCCCCTCAGTTCGCTTTCTACCAGCCAAGTTGGCTTCCCTTATAGCGCGCGGTGCCCTGTTTACCACGGCCACTCGCGAGATCGCCTGGAGTGCGCTCCCTCGGACATCACCTTTGGCCCTTCGAACGTACCGCATCAGCCGTGCCGCGAACAGTGACTCACTACACTCGAGACGCTTCTTACACCAGGCACCAATCCGACAAGCCCAGCCTCTACGAATCAGACAACCGGCAGTCCACCCCAGCGCCTTGATTATTCCTGCCCCACTCGTCCACCATCGACGCTCCAAGTCCGAGGACTACTTAATTTGCGAACCGTCCAAATTCGAAATCACCTCTCCTCCTCCAGAGCAGCGAGGTGCCAGACCAATGAAATTCTTCTACCAGGTCATCACGACCCCGACGGCCGACACGCCTGGCACGGTCCTCTGTCTCAACTTCCCGGACAAGCGATACTTCTTCGGACAGCTATCTGAAGGCACACAGCGCGCATGCACCGAACGCGGCGTGAAGCTCGGTTATCTTTCCGATGTATTCGTCACTGGGCGGACAGATTGGGCCAACACGGGCGGGTTGATTGGTATGATCTTGACGCTGGCCGATACGGTGGCAACTTCAGCTGCGGCCATTGAAGAGGAGAACCGGAACAAGGCCCGTCGTCGAGCTGAAAGAGAGGCCGCTGAGGCTTCGAGGAGAAACAAGAAGACTCAGAAATCGTCAGACAGCAAGGACGAGAGACACGGTGTGGCTTATGTTGAGCGGGATGGTGAGCTTGTGGAACAAAAGGGGAACCTGACCATCCACGGGCCTACGAATCTTACGCATACGCTGGCTACAGCTCGGCGGTTTGTTTTCCGCAAGGGCATGCCCGTTTACTTGAAAGAGTACGACTCCGAGAGCCTTGCCAAGCAAGCGGCTATCGGTGCTGAAGATCCCTTCCAGACGCCTTCATGGGAAGACTCCAACATTAAGGTATGGGCTATGTCTATTAAGCCTCGCTCAGCTAGTCCTAGGCCCACGCAGAGGTCTAGCAGCCCACGGAAGCGGAGCTTGGATGAGTTCAAGGAGTCTGGACAGCCCACAGATTATCTGGACCAACGCACCAAGGATCAGATGGTGAGACAAGCCATTGTGCAGGATATGTTCAATTCAACATGGAAGATGGATACTCTGTTCGAAACCCAGTTGTCTGAGGTTAAAATGCCCGCTGCCATGTTTGTCCGCAACCCCGAGACGAAGGATCTTGAGCCATACAAAGGTCCAGTGCCGGGGGATCAAGAACCCCTCCCTGATATCAAGGTTTTTGTTCGAAAGCCCTGGCCTGGTGCCACGGTCGAGAGTCTACCACCTACCTCTCCCTCTAAGGAGGCAGTCTGCTATATCGTGCGGAACCATGATATCCGCGGAAAGTTCGATCCCAATAAAGCGAAAGAATTGAATGTGGAGAAGGGAGCTAAATATGCAGCTCTTACAAAGGGCCAGGATGTCCAGTCGTTGGATGGAAATACCGTCACTCCAGATATGGTGCTGGGAGCTCCACGACCTGGAAAGGGTATTGCCATCATGGAAGTCCCCTCACCCGAGTATGTGGACGACCTGGTGAACAAGCCTGAATGGAAGTCACCTGCTGTGACTACCGAACTGAAAGCCTTCATCTGGATTCTTGGACCGGGTGTTGCTGAACATCCCAAGTTCCAGGAATTTGTCGCCAGCTTCCCCGGCTGCAAACACACTGTCTCAGGTACAGACCACACACCTAACTACCTGGCATTGGGTAGTGCTGCTAGCTCGACCGTTCGACTCGCACGTCTGAACAGCGACAGCTATTCAGTTCCCGTGCATGACAATGTGACTCTGCCTCAGCCTGGTGCCCCGAATGCCGGTTCAGCATCTGCAATCGCAGCCCGGGAGAAGTCTCCTCTTGAGCCCATCGAACCTGGTTTCATCATTAACATGGAGCCCAACTTCGGCTTTAACACGGACGAGGTGATGTCCCGCTTCAACCCGACAAAGGCCCTGCATAAGATTCCACGTTCTGTAGAGCAACGGATGGAAGTCATTCGCAAGCGTATCGCCAAGCCTGCGTTCCAAAAGATGCTTCATGCCCAGCGCACGGAATGGCCTGGATCGGATGCAGAGATTATCGCCCTGGGCACTGGTTCCTCTATTCCATCCAAATACCGCAATGTCTCCGCGAACCTTGTCAAGGTGCCTGGTTATGGTTACTACCTTCTGGATTGTGGTGAAAACACTCTCGGTCAATTGAAGCGAGTCTTCGAGCCTGAGGAGCTTCGGGAGGTGTTCCAGAACCTGCGCATGATCTGGATCAGTCACTTGCATGCTGATCACCACCTAGGCACGGCCTCCGTGATTAAGGCCTGGTATCAGGAGAACTATGGCCTCAACCCCACCCCTGCTCAGCCTGAGACTGATCTCGCAAAGATCCTCCAAGAGAAGCGCCTGTCCGTCGTATCGGATGATGCGATGATCGCTTGGCTGGAGGAGTACTCCGCTGTTGAAGACTTCGGATTCGATAAAGTCCTTCCTCTATCTGCACACCCCGAAGTATCTGGCTCTCAAATAATCACAGAGTTTTCATACCGTCATCGACCCGACAATGTATTCTCTGGTCATCGCACCTCACTGTCCTTCAATGACCGATTCTCTCCCCTCACCTCTCTTCTCAAGTCTGCCACAGGCCTTGAAAACCTACTCACCTGCCGGGTCAAGCACTGCAAGGGTGCGCTCGCCGTGTCTCTCGTCTTCCCGCATGGATTCAAGATCTCCTATTCCGGCGACTGCAGACCATCCGCGAAATTCGCCTCCATCGGCCAGGGATCAACAGTCCTCATCCACGAAGCCACCTTCGGACCCGACATGGTTGGATCCGCCATAGCCAAGCGCCACTCGACTTCCGCAGAGGCCATCGAAGTCGGCCGCCGCATGCAAGCGCGTGCCATCTTGCTCACGCATTTCAGTCAGCGTTACCAGAAGCTCACCTTTGTCGACAATCGCAAGGCGGATGCACCCCAGTCTGCCCGTGACGCAGGCGCAAAGGAGCCCGCCGATGCAGATATCCCATTCGATGATCCCCAAGACCAACCAGCTGCCGCGAGTGACGCGCCATTGCCAGATGATCTTGGCTCAGCGATGCGACACGAATCCAAGCCTTATGGTGGTCTCATCGCTGGAGCGATGGACTACATGCGCATCAAGGTTGGAGATTTCGCGCTCGCCCAGGCCTACGCGCCGGCTCTTGAGAAACTCGTCGAGTTAATGGAACGCGCGACCATCGAAGAAACAGAGCGGTTGAAGAAGATCCGCCAGGAAGAAGAGAATGCTCGCAAGGCGAAGAACAATAAGAAATGGGCCAAGCAAATGGCTACTGCTGGCGCTGCGGCGGCTGCTGCTGCTGCGGCGACAGCTGAAACCGATGATGTTCCAGCCACTGAGTCGAATGCTCGGTCTGTCTGGAGCGCAAGTGAAAGTGAAGATGGATGGGAGACAAGTGATTACGAGGAGTAATATTTGGAGCCTCTGCATAATATACCATACTGTGAATACGCTGCATTTTACATAGCATCTGACGCAAGGAGCGGTAAATAAGCTGGGGTGCGGAGACCATCTGGGGACCCTTGTCATAGATCTAGGTGTCTTGACAAATAAAAGCAAAGACTTCGCACCAATCGGCTCTTCTCTCTTCTTATATATTCCTCTCACCGTATACTTCACATATGCATATATTTATATACTTATCAGTTATCGCCTTACCCCAACCGGCACTTAGCGCTCACCGCCCCACGGCCTAGACACTCATACTCCCCAGACTTCCCTCCCTACATCTTGTAGATTCCCAGTTACTTCCTATTTCTGGTCTGCAAGATGACCACTCTCATCCCCCGTGAGCCATACTCTCAGGATGAGCTCGCTCGTCTCTATCCTGAGAGCTTGAAGCTCCAGCTGGTCCAAGTTGTACGTGATCTCGACCCCAATTGACTCAACGACCGCCGCTAACCAGCACAGTTCCTTCGTCATGGTGAGAAGCTCATTCACAGGTATAATACATCTTCAAAGAACAAATCTAACCGATCCCAGGCGAACGCACGCCTGTTTCCTCACGATTCTCAAATGTATGCTTCCATTGATACCCAACCGCGATCTCCGACGGTTTCCGCTGACACTTCTCCAAGACAGGCCTGAGTCCATGTACGCGAACCATCCCAACCGATCTGATCTGAACAAAAATAATGAACTGATCACCGTCAGACTGGCCATACTGTGGTGTCGCAAGACGCATGGTGCAGATGGCATCTAGCAGTAAAGACCTCTCAGCATGGAACGGATTCCAATGGCGCCGGAAAATGGAAGCATTCGGCAGCAATGACGAGTCGGTAGTAGCACCAGGACCGGGCGGTGAAATCGAGGCCATGTGGTATGTTCTAAGAGGAGCTCTTCCACCGGAGTCCGGGTGTCCGGAGTACCTTGGGAAGCTATACGGAGTACTGACGGATTTCGATTTCGATTTCAAGCCTGCACGGCGAGCTCACAGACAAGGGTCGCGAGACCACATATGCGCTCGGACAACGACTGCGCCATCTTTACGTGGATCAGCTCGGGTTCATGCCTAAGATCAAGTCCGATGCCGAGGACATGTACCTGCGCGCTACGCCGATCCCCCGCGCGCTGGAGTCGCTCCAGGAGGCTTTCTGGGGAATGTACCCTGCCAGCGCGCGCACGCTTGACTTCTCGCCACCGGTTATTGTCGCTCGACAGGTTTCTGAGGAGACTCTTTTCCCCAATGAAGGGAATTGTAAACGGTTCCGACAGCTGGCTCGGCTGTTTGCCGATCGCGCCGCGGAACGATGTACGTGCTGATCAGCTGGTTAGGATGCTGGATAATCGTTGCTAATGTTTAATAGGGAATGACTCTGAACAAATGGCATATCTGAACGGCATTTGGTCTAAGTACATGCCCGAGGCTTCGCCTAGGGTTGCTGTTGATGCTCACCCTCGTCTTTCTGGCATTATGGACACCATCAATGCTACTGACGCCCATGGACCAAGCACTAAGCTTCCATCTGAGTTCTATGACAAGAAGGGTCGTGCTGTTTTAGACCGCATCTCGGTCGAAGAGTGGTTTGCTGGTTACGCTGAGAGCGCCGAGTACCGCAAGTTGGGTATTGGTGCTCTCATGGGTGATGTCGTTGACCGCATGGTCAGTACTGCTGTTGAGGGCGGATGGCGCAGTGAGAGTGCTGCCTCTGGCTCTGCTAACCCCGAGACTGGCAAGGCTATCAAGTTCGCCATGAGCGGATGCCACGACACCACCCTCGCAGCCATTTTGTCTAGTGTCGGCGGATTCCAGGACGAGTCCTGGCCTCCTTTCACTTCGTCTATTGCAGTTGAGCTTTTCTCGCAAGCTCCTCCCTCCGACGCCAACGCCGGAACTATGCTTGAGGAGTTCTCCAACCCATCTGTCTCCAAGAAGCGTGGTGTCCTCTCCTCGCTGCTCGGAAAGTCCGCACCGAAGCAACCCACCCCATCCGACACAGCACGCGTACCTATCTCGTCCCTTCCCGATGCCTCTCGGGAATCCCTTCGGAAGCACTATGTTCGTCTCCGCTACAATGACCGCCCTGTCACTATCCCCGGCTGCGCCGCCAAGCCCGAGAACCACCTACCTGGCGATGAGACGTTCTGTACCCTGGATGCTTTCAAGTCGATTGTTGACAAGTTCACCCCGAAGAACTGGCAAAGCGAGTGCACAGAGAACCTCGGCGCAGGCCTACATGGCCCTGGTGATCGTGAGCGATCCCCCGCTGGCTTCTAGACATTCCATAGACTACTGTAATGCCGTCCTTTCCAATGCAGATACCTCGTGTACATTCAGAACACTCTTCACGATGGACAAGTAGACAATCAGCTACTCTTCCTCTTCACAGCTTCCTCCGCCCTAATCGCCTTAAGCTTCACCGAAACAATCCTCAATAAAGCCCACCTCGGCAAAATATCAACCGACAATCCCTGTAACCAATGCCCGAAATAAGCCCACACCACCTCCTGCCCACAGCCAACCCGATCAAGTCCAGCCCCAGCAAGCACCCTCGCCTCCGGAACGAACAAGTTACTCTTAACATCAGACCCAGCAGTGCGCACCTTTGCAACCCTCAACGCCATAACCTCAACGTCCCTGCCCTCCGCCCGAAACTCCGCCCCAAGCGACATGGTAAACGAGTCCACAAACCCCTTAGTAACACAATATGCACTAATATACGGTATCCCAAAAGCAGCCACGGAAGAAACATTCAACACAAGCGCTGGGGCATTCTCCTCCAAGTGCGCAGCTAGCACGCGCGTAATCTGAATCGCGAAGGTCGCATTGCGCGCAATCGTCGCTTGGATATCTTCGTAGGTGTATCTCTTAAGAAGCGTCGACATCTTCGCCCCCCAACCGACATTATTAACGAGAACAGTCAACCTGCCCCCATTTCCATCCCCATCTCCAGATGCAGCAATAATCCCTCGAACCTCACCATCAACACCATCAACATCCCCACCCAGCTTCAGCACATCACGAACAACAATCCCAAGTCTAGCATTAGAAAACTCAGCAGCGATTCCCTCCCGCCTCCGGTCCATTTCTCGCTATTCTGCCCGTGCAGGATAACGTTGAATCCGCGCGCGCATAGTTCCTGCGCAAACCCGAAGCCTACACCGTCTGTTGCGCCGGTTACGAGGGCCCAGTTAGGTTGTGTTTGCGAGGGGTTATAGCGTGGGCGGAGCGTGCTTGCTTGGAAGGAGGTATTTAGTTGCTTGGCGCGTGTAGGTGTAGGTTGTTTTTATTAGGGCTGCTAGACCTAGGTAGGCCAGGGGTTTTGTATAGCTGCCTAGGTCGAGGTTTAGGGTCATTTTGTTGGATTTGGGTGGGTTTGGGTGGATTGGATTGGAGTGGAATGGGAATTGGGGAGGTTGTTAAGGCGCTGGTGGCAGCAGATGTAGGGTGGAGGATTATGTGATCACACCGTGTGCAAGGCTGCTAATTGCAAGGACTGAATATGTCCAATTGAATATTTTGAACATCGCTTGATTCATAGTGGTAGATTCTGTTTATCGCCTGTTTTTGGGGCCCGAGATGTGTGTATGTGGTGCATTCCCGCAAGTCAGCTCTCTCGTCTAGCCCTACATCCGGCCATCCAACCCCGTTAACCCCATTTTTACGAAGACAAGCCTCCAAGGATTACACAACAGTCCAATCAAAGAGGACCTAACACTCAATTTCAAAGCCTTGCCGTCAAATGAGGACCGTGAAAGTCAGCGGCGTCAACCAGGTACCTTGCGGACTGTCTACGCCAGCCACACAGAACACAGCATTTATCATCGGTACTTTGCGTACTATAGTTCATTGGACTGGCCATGGCCCCACTGGTATCTATTCCACCTTGGGGGACCTGTATTGGTATCTGTACTACATAGCAAATGTAAATAACAGCATCAAAGGGTGAGGAACTTGGAGACGATGCCCTGGGAGAGATAAAAAGAGTTGCCCGCAAGGTCTTTGGTGTAGTATATCCTACGTTCCATGAGTATCTAGACTTTCAAACCTTTTCTCTCTCCTTTAAGTGGTATACACATTGAGAAAACACTGTCATTATGGTCATCGATTCTGGAAGAGATGGCGTCGCTTATCATGTCCCAACTCCCGAGGAACAGCCTAAGACTAGGCAGATGCCTGTGACTCTGCTTTCGGGATTCCTGGTATGATTCAAATACAATTGGTTTGTGAGCATGGCTAACAAGAATACCTCTTGCACAGGGAAGCGGCAAGACCACTCTCCTCAAGCATATTCTCAAGTCCCCGGACCATGGGCTGAGAGTTGCAGTCATTGTCAATGATATGAGCTCGTAAGTGTACAATGGCATAACCAACACATACCATATACTTATTGTCCCTTCTACTAGGCTGAACATCGACGCTGCCCTCATCAAAAACCACAAAGTCTCCCAAACAACCGAGAAACTCATTCAGCTCCAAAACGGATGTATTTGCTGTACCCTCCGAGGGGACTTGCTATCTGAGCTGGCAAGCTTGACCAAGCAAAATGAAGTTGACTATGTCATCATCGAGAGCACAGGCATTAGTGAACCCATGCAAGTGGCCGAGACTTTCACAGCTGAGTTCAGCTCTGCCATGTTGGAGGCTGAGGGTCAAATTGCAGCTGAAAACGATGCCGACGCAAAGAAGATCCTGAATGAAATGTATGATCCCGGATATACCTTGTCCGTTACTCACAAGCTAACATATCTTGATATAGTGTGGAACTGGGCGGCCTACACACCATGGCCCGCCTGGACACAACAGTCACCGTCATCGACGCATTCAATCTGCTATCCAACTTCGACACAACGGAGTTCCTTTCTGATAGATACGGGAAAGAAGAAATCGTTCCCGAGGACGAACGCACAATTTCCGATCTCATGGTTGATCAAATCGAATTCGCCGATGTGTTGATTCTTAACAAGATCGAGACTGTTGATCAAGCCACTCGGGACAAGATCATGCAGTTGCTGAAGTTGTTGAACCCAGATGCAAAGATCCTCGAGTCAAGTTACTCACAAGTGGATGTTCGTCAGATCATCGATACAAACAAGTTTGACTTTGTTCGCGCTGCGTCTGGTGCTGGCTGGCTTCGTAGTTTGCACGAGATGACTGTTCAGAAGACTGGCAATGGTGATCGCATGGCGCCCAAGCCAGAGACCTTAGAGTCAGTATTCCTTGTTACAACCCTTGTTGATAGATATTCGCTAACATTGTCACAGGTATGGTATAAACAACTTCGTCTACACGGCTCGTCGGCCATTCCATCCCCGTCGCATCTTCGCCCTTCTCCACGACAAGTTCATCATTCTCCAGAACAACGAAGTCGAAGAAGAAGACGACGAAATGGAAGAAGGCGAAGACGAAGACGAAGATGAAATGGACACAGACACCGAATCAATAGAAGACTTCGACCAACCAGACCCGAACGACATCCTCAACAACAAGCGAGCGCACCCAGCCTTTGGACCAGTCCTACGCTCCAAGGGCTTCTTCTGGCTAGCCACTCGCCCATGGCAATTTGGCGAATGGAGCCAAGCAGGCGGTATGATGACCGTCGGATGTGGTGGGCCTTGGTTCGCCGAAGTCCCTGATGAAGCCTGGCCCGAAGATCAAGATGTGCGACAGTCCATCAAGGATGATTTCCAAGGGCCTTGGGGTGATCGGCGCCAGGAGCTTGTGTTTATCGGCGAGGGGATTGACAAGGTTAAGATCAGTGCTTTGCTTGATGAGTGTCTTGTTGACGATAAGGACATGAAGAAGTGGGAAAAGGTGATGAAGAACAAGAAGCTCAGCAAGGAGGAGAAGAGCGATAAGTTGGCTAAGATGTGGGAAGACGGTTGGGAGGAATGGCCTGCTCTTGAGGTTGAGGAAGAAGAGGAGGAGGGGGAACAGGTGCAAGGGAAGCACCGGGTCAGCGAGTATCTCGGCCCTAAGCATGACCATAAACATGCTCATTCTCATGGACCTAGCCGGATGATTGCAGCTTAAGTGTTGAGGCTAAAAAGCAAAAAGCATGTTTCTTTTTACAGGAGTTACAATGGCCGATGACTAGAGGATATATAGAGACGCTCGCAGCCTTCAATCTAAAATTCTAACATATATCTTCATTCCAGCATCTTAGTTATTGGTGATCTCTTTTATGTTATATACTCGCAATATTCTACGTCTCCCAAGGACTCGGGGTCTGCTATGTTGATGATTATTTTCCTTTTTAGATTTGCAGTTTTATGACCGAAAATTGAGATATTGAATTACTCCCAGCCGGCGCTTTTACGAAACCTGGATCAAAATACACCGCATATGAGTGTGATGAAGATTACCAGTGCCTATATCAGCTACTTTGTCATGAATCCTGTCTAGCATGAGCGTCAGTAGATTTTGGTCACATAGCCTGCTTCTTTTTTCATCAAACCACACAGTAATCCACTGGATCGATAGACTAGGACGAGCCATATGCAGGTCTTCTGGAACAACGGTTACGTCGCGAGTATACATACCCTTATGGGGCCCGGGGCCATTTTGCCTTGATCTGTGTGTTTAGACATGATTTGGAGTTAGAATATGCCTGCGAGGGTTTGTTCTTCTCGTGATGGATAGTGTACTAGTGACGATGAGGATAACGAGTAAAAGGTGGTGCCGAGGGTATGAATGTAAGGCAGCGAGGGCCGGTATATACTTCAGCAAGCTAGCTAGTACTATGTCGAATCATAAATATTCGACTTCCCTGCGAAAAAAAAAGCCTTTCATGACTACAATGATACGGTATGCGGCTTAAACATGGAGGCTATATCAAAGACAAATAGGAATATGAATGGCTTCGTCCCTTCACTCTTTCAAAGTCGTAGCTAAATGAAGATGAAAAAGTCTTAGGTACGCGGTTGTCCTATACTTACCCCATCACCCTTATCACAAGGCCTGTTCAACCCTTAACTACTGACCACCTGGGCATTTTTTAAAGTCTATTGTCATGCCCTGGAATAAGCACATCAGGCGATAAATTAGTCCTCAAATTATCATTCACTAGAGCCTCTCTCAAATCTCATGAGAAACTAATGTGGATTCGACGCTCTTCTTCATGAATCCACTGTTGACGTAGCCACAACTGGTGCTTTGCTTCACATAGACACAAATGATATCCAAGGCGATTCGTGTCCGTTGTCAACTTGAAGGGGAATTGGGCCATTTCTCCGACCTCAAATGTACGGCAGAAGAACCAATAGTCCAATGGCGACTATAACAATGCCAAAGAACGATAATCATAGATGGTAAAGATATGAAACACCTGAGGCAGCAATCCATGGATGACATCAAATCATGACATAATCAACAACTACCAATCACATCAACGACACTAACCGACCAAGGGCTTAGGGCTCGAGTCAGTCACGCCCCACTGCATTTTCGCACTTGAGCGGCTTCTGGCTGTCGCTCTCTTCCTTTGAACATCCACCCAAACATCAAAATGGTGAGCACCCGGCCTCCAATATACCAACCGACACAGCTAATTGAAATGTGATCAGGCGCCCGCAGCAGCTACCGGTGGCAAGAAGCAAAAGAAGAAGTGGTCCAAGGGCAAGGGTACGCAAACTCCATCCGTGCGACCGTGACGATTTCCGATCCATCAACCAGAGGAATCGTGGGATACGAGAGAACAGAATACTGACTTATATTTCGCCTACAGTCAAGGACAAGGCCCAGCACGCCGTCGTTCTCGACAAGGCTACCGCCGAGAAGCTCCAGAAGGATGTTCAGTCCTACCGTCTGATCACCGTCGCCACCCTTGTCGACCGTCTCAAGATCAACGGCAGCTTGGCCCGCCAGGCTCTCGCTGACCTCGAGGCCAACGGCCAGATCAAGAAGGTTGTCGGCCACTCCAGCATGAACATCTACAGTGCGTTCTTAGACCCCGTACCCCACCGCAACGACACAATACTAATTATATTCGAATAGCCCGCGCCGTCACCGCCGAGTAAACGTCTCGTCTCTCGTCTTTTCTCTCGCGGTTCTCTTTTTCCTTGCTACGAATGATATCATTTCACCATGGGAAGCTCGGCTGGGCGTGATGCATGTTGGTTTAACGTCTGACTCTCGAAGAGTGTGGAACATTCGCGCTCCTGGTTTACTCCAAGTAGTGCGAACTGAATCAAAAAATCTACAAAACTTCTTGAAAGGAAATTCGTGATCCGATTCGTAGATTGTGCCTTTTCACCTGGCCTCGACTGGACTATTCAACAGATACAGATACAGATACAAAGTAGTCTACGACTCCTCCTTCATCGCACTCCTCTTCGGCCGCTGCTTCTCGGCAGATTCACAGAGCGGCCACTCCTCCCCATCCACAGTCCCGTCAACCACACGCCCAACCTCAAAATACTTCTTATGATTCGCAAAGAAGCCCTGCCACCTCTTGACGGTCGCCTCAACCTTCGCCTTAGCAGCCCGTAGTTCCCTCTCCCGACGGATCTTCTTCTGCGCAGACGTAAGAGCCTCATCAACGACATCCTCAACAGGCACGAACATAGTCTCCACGCCGCGGATATCAGCCGTAAGATCGTCCTTAAAGCAGCCTGTCACAAAAGCGCGCGTGGCATCGCGCCCAGCAAAGAAATTGTAGCTCCCACCCGGCCCATAGATCATTCGGTTCTCAGAGACGTCGTAGATGGTCCCGTTTACGGCGAGGTAGAGGGGAAGGGTGGTATCTGTGCCGTTGTAGAGGGATAATTGAGCTGGTGTGAGGTTTACCGGGCCATTCTTCATTCAAGGATATGTTAGTCCTCTCATTCTTCGCCATGACCGCTTCTTGTGTAGGCATATTGTGGGGAATCAAATTATGAGGGGATGTACGTACCACCCACTGCTTCACCACCGGCCACCGCGTAAACCACGGCCTATATCCCCATAGCATGGACTCTGTCGAGGTCATGTAGTAAGACAGACCGCAGGAGGCCACGATCAGGGTCACAATGACCCGAATCATGTCCAGCAGGCTGATACCGTGATCTTCGTCATTGTCGGATGGCCTTCTGCGCTGTGGTATCTCGGTCTTTTCGGACTTTGTAGCTGTTGGTCGCTGGCGGAGTTCTGACATTGTAAGCCGTGTGACTGATGAAGGCTGAGGTTAGATGACCATCTGAATTGATGTTACTGGGGCTCAAGAGGCGCTGACAAATCTTGAGTTCGAGGCCCGTGATAGTGAGGATTGGGCTATAAGTTAATGGTCTGACGTAGGATCAATTGGATCCAATGGCAGTAAAGTGTTATGAAGTAAACATCATATAAGATCCTTGCATTTGGATAGCCCTTCCATTTCTCTAGAGTATTTTATAGACTTGAATTGAAAAGTTCACCTGAACATTATATATTCCTTATCATACATATCCAACATTTCACTTTCTACAGTAATTTATGCCCAACATCCTGGCCCAGGACGCTGATGAGTACTTGATAGGTTTGTGATGTATCGGACAAAGATCGCCCAGGGCGGTCCAGATGATTGACGTATTTTGCTGAGAAGGATGACCGTGGTGAACTTCTTACATTTCGTGACCTGTCATCACCTTTTATCATAGCCACTTGGTTCACACCCATGTATCTTTTATAAACCACTTTCCTCTCCCTCGGCTTCGCTAGAATTTCAGTTATCCTTCATTTTGACCATGGCTGACTACGGCAATCTTATTGATCTTACCTCGTAGGACTCCCTGTCTTTATCTGTACTCCTCTTTTGCTTCCAATCATAACATCGCTAAATGTCTATTAATGAATCGCCCAGTCCTAGGACGCCATCATTCTCTTTTGCTTCGCCAATTAGAGCCATCCCTCTAAGCTCATAATCCGCCCTGTTGCCGAGCTCAGCAAGCGACACTCTAATGTCAAGTTCTACAAGATCGAGTTCGAGGAGCTCTCCGATGTCGGTAACGAGCTAGATAGCCCCCTGTTGCCCACCTTCCTTCTCTACAAGAATGGCGAAGTCGTCGCTGATGTTATTACCGTCAAGTCCCACGGCCTCCAGGAGAAGATCAAGGCTTTTATCGAAAAAGTCAACTACCAGTTTACCAAACTATGCATATGATATCTTCAATCGCCATTGTACGGCTTCAGGTGGTCCGCTACTAAGCTTGTAGTGAGTAACTGTGAAGCTGCATCCACTGATGTTCTCATGTTCCTGAACATGAAGCTCGTATATAGTACCAACCAAGAAACAGCAGCCTAGGTACCTTGCACCGCATTTTGACCACATGATTATGATTGATTCCTTGATTGACTTTCACGAAATAAATTATGAGATGGACTGCAGAGAAGCGTACACCACTTTCCTATTTTCTTGTTTCACGTCTGCGTCATTTGCAGCTAGTTACATGCTCGTAGGAGTTTTAATGTATCTGTTTCACATATTTCACTTCTTCGCCGCTTCTTGCCGGGCAGCTTCTTCTTGCTCCCAGCTGCGCGAGAACACCTCGTTTAGGGCGTCCTGGAAAGTGCGGCAGTTCATGTCGATCAGACCCCGTTTGTCCTTTGCTTCAGGATTGCGGATGACAGAGACCAGACAGAGGTATCTACAGGGTATGGTTAGCTAAGTGCATGGGAGGTAGCTCGCGCCACAAATTACATACTTGTTCATCTCCATAAGGTGAATCATGGTCTGATCGTGCAAAACCACGTGGCTCTCAGCCTCCTGGATCTGATCGCCCAAGGCCTTCCGTTGTGGGTGGTCCCATGAATACAGCTCAGAGACATCGACAATCACATCGATGTAGTCAGAACACATTTCATAACAGGCCATGTCAACAGGACGGGTGTCGGATGCGATGTAGATCTTGCTCAGTACATCGAACAGGTAGGTCTTTTCGAAGCCACAATTATTGGCGAGGGTGTTGATCAGGTTCTCAAGGGTGGATAGGTTGGGAATCAACTTCTGAATGACCTTGCTGAATGCCTCAAAGACGGAGTAGTCGTAGATTGAAGTGAGATAATAGTGGACGGGCGCGTTCTCATAGCCGGCATCGCTGAGCTCGTCGGAGATACGCTGCACGATGTCCTGGAAAGTGTCGGTGCGGTACTCGTCGGACAATCCATCAACCTTGTGGATGAACACTTCGATATTGATGCCGGGGTAGTACTGCTGCACGGTCAAGATGGTGCGGTTAAGTCTTGCGACCGAGTCCAGGTAATCATCCTGCGCGTCAATCACCCATACCAAGGCGCCCAGGCTGCCAAAAATGTCTTCGAGGTCAAAGTTGGACTCGAAGTATTCGAGCTGACCGGGGAAATCCCAAACCTGGAAGTCCATAAAAGAGCTGCAGGACTCAGGTTGGCGGAGAGCGTAAAAATGGGTCTATGTAAGATACTCACTGGATAGAGTCCTTCTGAATCCGTGTGGTAGATTCGAGGAAGAGGGTTTCGTTAGGTGGCATTTTGTGAAAGACCACACTCGCAATGGAGGACTTTCCGCTCCTAGGAACACTCGGCTTCTCGTTCATTCAAGAGGTGGTAGAAGGACTTACCGGCGGAGTCCCATTAGTAGGAGACGTGGTTTGGCATCGGGGCCCTTGGTGTTTGGCACCTCAGCCGACTTGCCCTGAGTGGACGTGGCAACATGGTTGTTTCCCTGTAAATTATTAACAAGACTTAGCTCTGCGCCGGCCTTTTGCCATGGATGGTCACGCGATGCGAAAAAGTCGACCTGACGCCCGAGAAAAGGAGCACGAGGTCGACTCTTGCGGCCAATACGTGGGCCAAACATAATCAATGAGAGGGGAAGTGCATATTGAAGCAAGTAGAGAAGCAAGAGGCCGTGTGGAGTCAAAGATTAAGTAAGGATGAATGTGACAGTATTGTATGTTGGGATACAAAGATAGCATTGGGCAGACAGTGAGCCCAATCGGATTGAGGTTGTTAGGGGAAACAAAAAAGAAAGGGAAAGGGCTGAGGCTGAGACTGATGAGCAATATCCAGGGAGCCCCTGGGGTTCAACACAGTCCCATAATGTAATGGCCCATTGAGATAGCAACCGTGGCAGACACCCACAGGTTGAGATTGCAGTTCCTTGCTTATTCGAGAAGCCCAGTCGGCAGCGTGAAAAGGTCCCTGGGGCTTCTTTATCTGCCGACGGAGAAAAAGTGCCCCGAACCAAGCAGCAGTCTCACAACGGCCCGTGCATGGCTGTAGCGGCACGGAGCAACCGAGCTTCACAGAATAGCATAACCGTGAATTGAAAAAGTACAAAGCGAAGGGAATCGTTTGGGTATTGCATATCGAAGCAGAAAACTCTTACCTCCATTGGATCGGCAGATGTCTAGATGCGGGGGTTGTTAGAATCCAAGTAAAGTGTAAACATAGCAACGGGTGGTATACTCACCGTGTGATTGTGCTAACAGGGGAGAGCAGGCTAATGCACTGTCAGGTTATCCACGATAACAAGCAAGGACGACAAAATGAACGGGACGAGCTCAATTTAATGGGGAACACTGACTGTTGACATCCGCATATGCTGATCTCGACCAGCCCGCAAGCAGCACAGATCGTGGTAAGACGAACAGTGGCACAAGTTGAGTATCTGAAGTTAGACCTGTATCATCCTCCCAGGGGTTCAGAATTTAATCGGTGAATAGGGTCGGGGATGTTGAGCTACCCTGCGATTCGGAGTGCGGGGGTTGGAGCCCGGAGCTGTAAGGCAATGCACGATCGGCACCAGCAGTGCAATGCGCACAGATGGCGCGTCAAGGAACCTGAGATACCTCGTTCTGGAGGGACTGGGAGTTTGACGAGAAGGATGAGTTCCCAATGTGTGAAGGAGGAAGAGGAGAAGATGTCAAAGGCGGAGTATCGCCGATCTCTTATCGTTCTTATCGCGACGTTATCAACTTACATCAGCTGGGATCGCCTTGACAAATTTACAATGTTGATTTGCTTGCATCTTCTTGATATCCTTGATATTCTTCGGTTTGACTGACAAAAGCAAGGACATAATAAAATGGCTACATCTCTATCGGGTGTATCATATACAGGAATTGTGTGAGCCTAGGATCCATCTGAACAAACACCCTCACTTCAGGCCGAAGAAAGACTCAATTCCTGCCACTGCTTGTCGGAGGCAGCCAGAGCCTCAGCCACCTTACCTCCGAGCTCCACCGCATCAGGGCAAATTAACTGACGCAGTGGTAGCTTCTTCTCATCCAACAACTTGAGAACTATATCGGCGATCTTTCTTGGAGTCGAAGGCTCGCTCCCAGAAGAACCCACTGTCTGCTGATAGGGCTCACTCACTGCAAGAGTCTGCATGGTGAGCCGACACAGTCGGTTCTGATGCCAACAGGCTCGAGCACGGTGATCTTGATGCCGGTGAGGCAATTCCTTGGGCCGGGACGGTTGAGAACCCGCAAACTACCCACTTTGCACACTGGTAGTACATCTAATTTGTCATGGATGGCACTAGAAACGGGCAATTCTAATTATACCGAGGGCAAGTCTATTTGCGAAGATATGATACATTCTGTGAGTAGTAGGTGGGAAGTTGCAGGTAAGCCTGATTGCGGTTGGGCTTCATCAAGGGAAGTCTAATGTTTTTGACTGATTATTTTCTTCTTCTAGATGTCTACTTGGAAATACAGCAGATAGCAGTTCTAGCACAGAATGATTATATTTGAGTATAGCCAGTGTGGGATATCCTTTGTCGACGTCAGTACTTTGACTTGTCTAGGAGGACTGACTTCATATGAGATTCCGGTGTTTTAATCTTTACCAGAGAATGTTCCAGAGCGAAAAAAAGAAGTAGTTGCAATAACTCCCCAAGGTATCATAAGTTGGACTATCGGCTCAAGCTTCCACCGTATCCTCCAGCTTTGCTGCTCACCGAATTCAACAATTCAAACTCAACACCACTGTCTCCAGCAGAGAGATATCCAATGACATATTCTTCCGTAGACCCAAACCAAAACGCTGAATCAGCATCAGACCCTTCCCACCTCACATCATACTTCCCACTCTCGCTCCGCTCAACGGGAACCCGAGCAATAACGGGATGATCCTGTGATGACCACCACCGGATAGCAGGCAAGGTGTTCGTGATGGTATTGATCAAGAGTTGTGGCGTCGAAGGATGCCAGACAATCTGTCGGACATGTTGCTCGTGAACCAGAGCAGACGCAAGTTTTGGAGTGCCCTCGAGCGACCAAATCCAAACAACATTCTGCCGCATAGTATCGACAGTCGCTAGGAGAAGCCCGTCAGGGCTGAACGCCATGGCCAAGACACCGCGTGGTGACCCTGCTGACTCGGGACTCATGCTGAGCGCAGAAGAGCTGGATGCCTCGGCGTATTCAGCGTCCCCGTCTGCGTTGATGTATCTCTCCCGCCAGATAGTGGGAGCTTGCTGGTCGGCTGGGAAAATGTGCGAGAGGGTTGTAGCGGAAGAGAACTATCAAAGTAAGTTAGTGGATCAAGCGTATTTGGTTAGATGATAACTCACGGTACGGGCTCGAAGCAAGTCAATGTTGCCGTTTACTTTTCCAACAGCCAGGGTCTCAGAGACACCTGTTTGGGGATTGGCAGGGCTCCATTCGATCTGTTTAACCCCTAAATCAAAGCTGTCATCTACTCCAGATGGTCCAGAGTAGGTTCTGAAGAGCTGGCCGTCGGCCGTAAAAATCACCACCTTTGTACCTGCACTAGCAATATCCCAGACAGCAATCCATTTCCCGTCCGAACTCCATTTCAGGCCCTGGGCATCGATAGTTGGGAGCACAGTTCGATTGAGGAGGTCGTAGGATCGGGGTTCATGGACAGTCAGTAGATCTGAAGTTTCTGGCTTCAGGAGAATGGCTAATTGCTTGGTTTTCGGTCGATAACCGAACCCAAGATGATGGGCGAGTTTTGGGGATTTGATCACCGAACAGCGGCCCGTTTCTAACGAGTAGATGCTCAACTTGGTGTTCCAAGAGTGAAACACTAGCACTTCACTCTCATCAGCGCCAAATTCCACAGCCAATGCCCCCGGTTCCACACTTTCGATCTCGGCAAATATCTCCAGTGGGTTGAGCTGCCAGACTGAAATTCGGGTATCGTTGGCAGATAGAAGACGCCGACGGGACAAATCCTCATTATTCAAAGCGTCAGGGGCGGTTTGTGGACGAGAATATTTGAGAAACTTGAGCCCAGTCTCTTTGATCCTTGCGATCTGGACTTCCTTGTGCTCTGAAGCTGCATTTGAATGGACAATCAGGCCCTTGCCGCTCACATGGGCAGCATATAGCCCATCTTCAGATACATGAAGATTCAAGGGACCTGGATATTGTTAGAATTGACCAACCGGAAGATTGCGCGATTTACCTCCTGCTCCTGTTGACGCGTCCATTGTTGACAGTCGAAAATAAAATGCTTTGCGGGGTTTTAGGACCGAACAAACGGTATTAATCAGAGGCGATAGACCTTGTTTTATTGGATCATAATTCGTTACACATTATCTCGTACGGTGTACAGATATGTCCGAAGTGTTGTGTTTGAACGGTTCGGATTCTCGAAGCCCTCATATCAGATTACATAATGACTCCGCGAAACCCTCGAGGTCAGCCCTAGAGAAAGCCAGCAATCTGTGGTCAATAGACCGCACCAAACCAGCGAGGCGTAAATGATAGTATATTTCAGAATTTTGGGGGAGTATACTATTATCCCGGAAGAAAATAGAGAGAAATACATTCAAAGCATTAACGTTACTGTATATTGTCGAGATATTGATAAGATAAGACGGACTAAGGTAGATCCGCCCCGTGCTTTTCAAAAAGTTGCGAGTTTCAATCTTTGCGACTCGAGGTGATCCATGAGCAATCTCAGGAGTTTCCTTCCAGCAGTCAAAATAGGTATCCTGAAACACTTCAGCCCTTCACTGGGCAGACTCTTTCGACACTCCTCCCGCTTCACCGCCGCCATGGTCTCTGAGAACCCTCCGCAACATAACGAGCAGAGCTCCGCGCCTGCTACACAGAAGGAAAAGTTGTTTGGCAGAAAATTCTATGAGAGCATCGGTAGCCCCAAATATGTCGTTGCGCCGATGGTCGACAGATCTGAATTTGTGAGTTGGCTCTTCAAGACAGCATTATGGACCAACACTAATGTTTTGCAAAGGCGTGGCGCATGCTCACTCGATCCTTCATGCCTCCAGACGAACCCAAGCCAATGCTTGCATACTCTCCAATGTACCATGCTCGCCTGTTCGGCGAACAAGAGCGCGTCCGGAATCAAAATTTCCAACCTACCCGCCAGGTCGTCGGAGGAAAGAAGGAAGATCTATTCCTCGACGGAAACCCAGCAATCGACCGCCCACTCTTTGTTCAATTCTGCTCAAATAACCCAGATGAGTTTCTGGAAGCTGCTCGCCATGTGGCACCATACTGTGATGCCGTGGATCTGAACCTCGGTTGTCCCCAGGGTATCGCGCGCAAAGGACACTATGGGGCTTTCCTCCAGGAGGACTGGGACTTGATCTACAAGCTCATTAACCGGTTACACACTGAGTTGCCGATTCCTGTTACTGTCAAATTCCGTATTCAAGAGGATAAGGAAAAGACTTTGGAATACGCTAAGATGATTCTCTCTGCTGGCGCTAGCATCATCACCGTGCATGGACGCAGACGGGAACAGAAGGGCCACATGACTGGTCTGGCAGACTGGGAATACCTGCGCTATCTACGAGACAACCTACCCCCGGAAACGGTGATCTTCGCCAATGGCAATATCCTTAACTACGACGACATCGAGAAGTGTCTCGAAGCGACTGGCGCCGACGGCGTGATGAGCGCGGAAGGAAACCTGTCAGATCCCTCAATATTCAGCAAGCCACCCCCCGTTGGAAGCGAAGGACGAGAATACTGGCGGGGGCGGAATGGCAAGGGCGGCTACCGAATCGATGCTGTTCTACGACGATACCTCGACATCATCTATAAATACGTTCTGGAGCAGCCTGTCCCAGAGAGGAAGCCTCTGTACCTACCATCCGACCCGGTCGATGAATTTGCTGAACCTGAGACGGAAGATAATGACCATAACGACGGTCCGCTTAAGAAGAAGCAAAAGCGGAACAAATCTGACAAGGTTAAGAAGCCCAACTCTGCCAGTCTTGGATTCATGCAAGCACATCTGTTCCAAGTTCTCCGCCCCATGGTCGCAACCCACACCGACGTCCGAGATGCGCTGGCGAGATCACGACCGGGCGATATGGCGGCTTTTGAGCATACTTTGGCTCTCCTAGAGAAAGCCATCAAAGGTGGCCTCCAGGAGTACGAAGCATCACCCGAGAAGTTCGAGACCAAGCCCGACGAGAATCTGACAGGATCGAAAGCAACTATTGCTGAATATGGACGACCTTGGTGGATCTGCCAGCCCCATGTTCGTCCTCTGCCCGAGGAAGCGTTCGAAACTGGGGCGCTTAGAGAAAAGGGCTCCAAGCCTGTTCCCAAGGGTGAAAAAGAACAAATTAAAGAATCTACGGATGCCAATACTTCTACCTCTGAGGGTACAGTCACCCCTGGCGACGGTGCTGCCGCGGCTACGGCAATCACACCTGATTCTCTTGTGAGCGGATGAAGTCGCTCAATGGTCGATGCATATAGAACATTTATCGTTATTTCCCAAGTGAATGGCAAATGTACAAAAAAGCGGAATGTTGATAGAGCCTTTGTTTGCATAGCGTTTATAAATGATCATATTGATAAAATATCCCAGTGACTAAATGACAACTAAGTTGGATGCATAGGGCGGAACCAGAGAAGTAAAGGGTGGAGGCTGAAGTGGAAACCGAGACCCGGTTTGCGACGATCTCAGGCTGCAGATGTGATGCTCAAAGAGCGTCGCAGGCTAGTTCTCGCTATCAGCGAAACCCCTCTCAGCTTAATGCATCTGCAAAACATGACCTCTGTGACGCTGGCTGGTGCCGTCATTTTTCCACCAGTGCCTGCTTTCTATATCAAGCCTTCCTCAATCGATGACTTGGTAGATCATAGCGTTGGGCGGATGCTGGATCTTTTCAACTTGGATACAGCGCAGCTTAAAGATGGGAAGGATGGAGGAAAGAACGGAGAGAATAGTGCTTTGTCTACAAAAAAAAAGGAAAGGGGTTCCCAATTGATCATCTTTGGTTGATACAGGCGACAGCGGGACGGATGAAGAAGTAACGTTGTCGATCGAATAGATCTGAGTCTGGCAAAGGGATGCTACTGTTCAAGTAGAAAATAATAAAGCACGAGTCTACACAAAAAGACCCAGCTCGACAGGGGCAGATTTCACCTGATCTGCTTGAATCTCTTGGAGGAGGGAATTATCAGAGTAATCCTCCAAGTCGAGGTCCATGTAGCCCCGAGGGGCCCATTTTCTTGGACAAACAAATAATGAACGGCCATTGACACCAGTATCACTCAAAATCCGCAACAAACAGTTCCCTGCGTCGGATGCTTCTGCGAAATCCACTCCCACACCAGCCACATGCGCAAATGCCTCCTCTGAAAGAATGTTTGTTTTAACGTACCTATTTGCAGTTAGCCCTTTGATTGAAAGAAGGCCTTATTTTATAGAGCACTTACCATGGTGAGATGATATTCACCCGACTTCCGTAGAAAAAGGCTGTCCGTCGCAAAGAATGCATAATCCCTCGCATTGCCCATTTGGTAGCACAATACTGAGGAGCACGAGGACAGTCCAAAAAGGCTGCACCTGATCCGATGAGCACAAGACATGTATCTTCTTGGGTTGAAGATGGCGCCTGTCCATTCTGCTTGATAAAATAATGAGACGCCAATTTCGCCGTGTACAGCGTCCCGGTGAGGTTGACATCAATGGTTGTCAAGTCGGGCTTTTCCGGTTCTTGACCGTCACCGGAGTACGAAAAGACTGCATCATTTCGGTGAATGCCACAGTTAGCTACCACATACGAGATCTTCCCATTCGGCCAAAATGAAACGGCTTCACGGAATAGTCGGACTTGATCTTCCCATTTGGAAGTATCACATTCGATGAATTTCACACTTGCTGCAAGTTAGCGTGTATCAAATATGTTGACAATTCGAGAACTTACCCTGGAAGCTCTGCTTCGAGTTTCTGTCCTCCCTTGATGTCACGATCACCGATACACACGACAGCCCTGTTTCACATGTAAGCCACATACGTGTATACTCGGATTGGTAGTTGTTTGGGAATAAGTACCCTGCAGTGACGAGGGAGCGAACATAAGCTTCGCCGAGTCCGTTTGCACCTGTTTCATAGTCAATTTGGTAACCGTAGTCGGTAGAGGGCTCTGAGTGACTGTACCGCCTGTGACAATAGCTGTTTGTCCTTTCAATGTTGAATAATCAAAGTCAACATCGCAGTTCACAGGACTAGAGGGCGTGTAGCTAGGCATTGCAAAAAGTAGGAAACTGGACGGAATCTATTGACAAGAAAAAGAATACTCTCCGGTATTTCAAATAGAATAGAAAGGAATGCGATTTAAATAGGTTTTTACATCCGATCAACAGAGCCACCCCCGTTCAACGGTAAACTAATGCATCTTGCTTACCCGTAAACAACGGATCCCCTGACCCACAGTCAGCATAAAAGTAAATATTAACACATAAAATAGCATTCTATACACCAGACAGCCCGGTGGGTCTCAGTAAAAACCGACTGCGTACGCTTATTACGATTATTGTACGGTCCGGTCGCCACTAGTGCGTGTTGTCAACTCAGCTTCATCAGTCATATGCGGGACTACTGTATGCAATATTTACATACAAACGGTTGAAACCCGTTTCAGCATCTCCCAGACAATTGGAATGAAGCCATCGCCAGGCAGGCAAAACAAAAGCTCATATTATTTTAGAATTTCCCTCCAATTTAGGGGCTTGTCTCCTCTCGACTTCCTCCAAATATTTGTTGAAGCCAATAGCCCGGGCGAGTCAATAAGCAGCCACTTCCATTTATGCGCAAAGTTCTCAGTGACCTCCCAGTTCTTCGGTTCCCATGAATTTCCCCATACCAGTAATGTCGCAGCAGTGTTCCTCGTATCCCAAAAAGCCATAAGATCATGACATAAGTCATCATCATCAAACGAATCACCAGCCAGGATCAAACGGTCACGCATGCCTGGGAATGGAAAGAAGTCCAGCCAGGGATGGTGCGGTATTTGAATTTGGACAGCAGTCGGCTGCAAGCTAGGTGGTATCCCCTCGGCCGTAAAGCCAGGTTGTGTGAGATTGAAGATGGAAATGGAATCGTCACTTTTCATCCAATCAGCGGTCATCCCTATAGCAGCAATATTTTCATTGATGGCGCGATGAACATTGACTCGGCTGAGACTTATTAGATGGTCTCTTTGAGGACTTCCATGCAAATAGCTTCGGTAGGCTGTAGCTTCAAACCATTCCCGAAAGCGAAGTGCATGTGGTGGCGCGATGGCGCATTCGGATATAACATCGTATCCTTCCTGGGTCGCATTTGAGAAGAAGGGGAAAGACACCGTCGAAGGTGACTTGAAGAATGAGGTCTCAGCATTAACCTGACCCAAAGCATGTGATCCTGATGGATCATGTTTTCTCATCCCTGGGGGAAGTCAGCATTTAAGATCCTCTGATTATAATGGCAGTCGGTACACGCACGGTAGCGTCGTTGGTTCAGCCGATTCTGTAGTTTCCTTCGCTCCTTCGGGTTTATAACACCCGTCCAATCATCTTCGGCGGTTCGAACGCCGGCTTGTTGTGGCATCGTGGCCAGCGCAATGACCTTTGATTCTGGGGCATTTTTCTCCATTGCGGCGATCGTTCATGTATGATGACAGGTAGGTTGAGATCTCTAAGGGACATTGAAGACAATGGCAAAAGTACGCTGACAACTATCTCCACTCATTCCAATCTTCCGTTCCAGTGCGACAGTTGATTGGGCCTTCCAGTGTTTCCTTCCAAATCAAAAATCTCATTGGACGCCGATAACAGGTGGATTCAGAGTGGATACAACGGGTTGCGCTAATGCAAGTTGCTTACGGCGTTCCCTGGTTCGGGGCTTGGCAATCGAAGACTAATGACCTCAGTTCTATAGACAGCAGCAAGATTTGGTTTATCACAAATTTCTCTCATGTTGGCAAACCCCTTGATTCTAGCTGTGTGCTTGTTGGCATCTGTCCCCGGCGCACAATGTCGACCTGCGGCTCCCCCTCCAACAAACATTCCAGTAGTCCAGCCAGGCAAAGCTGTTCACACCCATCAATACGATCCAGATGATCTTCGATCAATGTATGTCCGTCATACCAAAACCAGATGTCTTTTCCCTGAAGAAGACTCTCTTCCTCGCGGTACACCCGACTCGTTTTCCATCGATCAGAACTGTGACTTTTGGATCCAATCATACGACCCCCCTATATATCTACCGAAACAACCTCTTTAGTATGCTTGACAACAGATGAGCAACTGAGGCGTTCTATTCTGCAATGTTTGACTTCAAACTTTGCTCACATGGATGAAATTGAGAAAGCGATTGACCGGCATTGTTATCATATTTCATCCAACCCTCACATGCGCATATCTCTTGCCAGTGTTTTCGAAAATATTGGACTTCGTTGGGTTTGTTTTCTATGTTTTGCTGTAGGCTGGCTCTCTCTCTGGATTATCAGATATCAAGGCCAACCTGATAAACATGATCTGTCTGAATACCAAGCCGATCTTGGAACGACGAGTGTGGGAGACAAATATGACGTGTGAAGAAAGCTGGACTGAGATTGCGGTTAGTTATTTTGACTATCCGATTTGTCTATCCTGTGAAATGCCCCATTAAATTTGATTTCCTACTTTTCATATTTCTTGTCTTTCTCGTTCATTTTAATGCGAGTGGATTACCAGGAGGAAGTAATAATTTTAAGTATTAACCATTGAAGTATTGTCGAGCACTGAAACCGATCCACAGGGTATTGTGTAGAAAGAAATGTGTGAACATAGAAAATAGAGAGACAAAAAAGAGCAACATCTCAATTTCCATGTCACTCACTGTGTAGAACACTCACTTCCTATGGGATCTTAGTCACTATGTCGGTGGCTGCTTATCTTCAAATGCCCCATTTACCTCGGTCACATTTTAATCTCGAGAACTAATTGTACATCGATGAACTGTTCAGACAAAAAGGCTTGTTAAGCAGACGCAACCGACAGTCTATATCAGTTCTTCCCACAGACCTACAGTTCGGAACGCTTGATATCAAGGCCAGAAACAAATGAGCGACCTCTCATTCCACTGCACTATCCCCCTTATTCTAAACGAGATTCGTCTGGAAGAAGTGGGTGAGCTTGTCGAAGGGAATAAGCTCGGTGCGATCGTAAAGGTCAACGTGGCCAGCTCCGGGCACCCAGAAAAGCTCCTTCGGCTCGCCCGCGTTCGCATAAGCGTCCTCGCTAAACTCGCGCGAGTGGGCCTGGTCACCAGAGATGAAAAGCATCGGACGGGGTGAGATGGTCTCAATGTCGTTGAACGGGTAGAAGTTCATGAACTTCGTGTTACTCGAGAGCGTTGGGTGTGTTGTCAGCTCCGGTGTGGTGTCCCGAGGCGTAAACTCGCCACGGAAGGTACGGTAGTAATCGTAGAATTCACGTCCGACCGCAGTCGTGTTTGCTGTGAGATTATTCGGGGTTCCACTGGTGTACTGAACCTCACCACCATCCACCTCGGTCCAGCGCTGGTTCGCCGCCTCAGCAATAACCTCCTTACGCTGCTCGACGTCTTGGGAGTGGCGAAGAGCGTGGCGGGCAACAGTACCCATGTCGTACATGCTAGAGGTCGCGATGGCCTTCATGCGCGGATCGATCTTCGCGGCGCTGATCACGAAAGAGCCACTGCCACAGATACCGAGAGCTCCAATCCGCTCACGATCCACATTTGTGAAGTTTTGCGAGCCGAGATAGTCAACTGCAGCACTGAACGCCTCTGCGTAGAGCTCGGCCGACACTGCATTGCGTGGTTCACCTTCGCTGCCGCCCCAAAACGGGGCGTCCAGCGAGATTGTAACGAAGCCCTGTTCGGCCAATTTGGCGGCGTACAGATTGGCGCTCTGCTCTTTCACTGCACCCATGGGGTGGCCGACGATGACGGCCGGCATGTCGGCACTGCGATTGAGGTTGTTCAGAATGAACATGTTACCGGCGACAGTAGTCCGATATTGAGTTGGGAAAGTGACCGGCTGGACCGTCACATTGTCACTGCGGTAGAAGTTGTCTGCTCCGTAGGACATATTCTGTGCCATTGCCGAGATCGCGTTGCTGATGGCCATGAGGCCGAGCACGGCTTTGTTCCCTTTGTTTATTTTCATGGTGTTGTCGTCGGTTGGGAGGAAAGTGTGTACACTGAGATCACAACACGATTTTTTGAGAACAGGGTGCTATCTGCCTACAGCGACAGACCGATGGTCTTATAGTTGGCGGTGGGGTTATTTTACCCTGCCACTTCCTTGTCACGAATATTAAAGTCAGCATCCGAGATTAGAAATACATTATGTCTTCTGCAGGATATGCCGAAGCCACGCGTCGCTGATAACATTATATGCGAACTAAACAAGGTGTTGAGTACTGAGTGTTATGCTTGGCGCATTCCATATGTAATCAAACGGCTTTCATTCTTCATGCCTTAATGTAAGGTTTGGCGCTAATGCAAGATGCTGACACCTTAATCTTGTTTCTTGGATGTTGTGTCTCCACTAGGTACTCAGCCATCAAATATTACACACACATGTATTCTGTAACAAAAATCCTTCAATATAAAGCATTCCATGGTAAATGGCGACAATGTGCCTAATGAGAGAGCTGTTCTAAGTAACATTCCTTGCAACGATACAAACGAGAAGCCGAGTCCATTATGCGGTGATGAATTGCATCATATAGTAGCCTGGTTCTGTTACTGCATGCAGACAATAAGTGACAAAACAGATCCGGAAGTCGTGAAAACGGCATAGATCATTGTCGTGTCCATGTTCCCCAGGTCTGAATGATCGACGTGGGATCGGTCCAGACTCAAAAAAGGGTAATTCTACCCGTTAACTTCTCATGTCTTTACCTTATGTGGCTGGGTCGCCACATATGTATGGCATACGGAGTACTCCATGGCCTCTAGTGGCTGACTTTGCTTCCATGTTGGCTCAGTAACCTGGTAATGATCTGCATCCATGACGTTCGATAATCATGCTGCCTAATTTACTGAGTCGAGATGTCCCGCCAAGAAACCCTTCGCAATATCATAGCCACAGTGGAGGGCCTTTCTCTTTCTACAACGGTCATGATTGGATGGGAAGTATGAGCATGCAGCCGGTTGGACACGCCAAGATTTTGGCTACGAATGAAGTCTTGGCTCTCCCGGCTCGGACATAATGGGAATAACTTGAACTCGAAATTAGAAATTCCACCTACGGCAGCAATACGAGGCTTAATGCTATATCGGCTAGGGAGTCACAATTGCACTTCCGAAGCATTCGAGAGACATATATACAGTCATAGGCCATAAGCACCTTCGCGCCCCCCACTTTTATCTAAACAGCTATAATTTCGTTGACACGCTCGAAAATAAGCGAAAAGAGGCGAACAAGAGAGGCCAAAGTAGGCAAAAACAATGCGTGAAACGATATAGTGCGAGGCTTTCGTGTAGACTCTACCCAATACTTCATCAGTTGCGCTGTGTACACACTCATGAGCCCTGTTGTAATAAACTTTCCCCCTCTACTGCGAAGGTGATAGCGTATTCGATCAGCCGCATTATTGTTCTCTTTGGAGCCAATATGGATGGAAAAGACAGAATGCTCCTCTTTGCCTTTGTATCTCTGGCACTGAGTACGGCAACGGTTATTTGCGACATTATATGCATCATAAACTTTGATCGAGGCTTCAAGAGGATCAATGAATCGAAAGGTGATGCTGCACGCGAATCATATTACTTGCAGCCTGCTGATATACTCCCCGCCCAGACGCGTTACACTTCCCAACCTCCCTCGCGTCTCACAGTTGATTAGCGTTAGAAATATATCTTAGAAGATTGAATGCATGGATACATAATATTTACTCAGTACACCACAGAGTACTTGTAAACTTGAGATCGGTTGGAAGATCTACCCCAAAATATATATTTCGGCAAGTAGGCGATACCTCGAAACTTTATTAATTTAAACATTCTTCTTCGCTCCACAACTTACGTGGGACCCGTGACGTTTTGGTAATAAAGAGACTAGGGAAAATTCTCATTGCAGAGGAAACGCAATGTTATATAATTGAAAGTAGATTTGGTTTAATATCAAGTGAGTGCACTATATAACTAACCAAACTAAGACTTGTAATGACAGTGGTTACCGCTGATGCGGATTGAACGGAAACATAAGAAACACCTCGTAGACAGGAATGACAGCTGGATCGAACCTCCGGATAGTCACTGCTTCTACACTATAACAAATAGTTCATAGTCACTGGCGCCCTGCTGTGGCTGTGATGATCTATGAGCCTGTAAACCAGTGATTGATTGACATACCGGGGCACTTCATTGAAATTTCTCATGGCTGCCTTATCACGGTATTGTAGGCTATTAGCCAACTCAATGAGGCCGCTCAAGTCACACACCCGGGTTGGGCTACGACCGTGGCTGCCATCCAGTTTGGTGACCAGTGGGCTGCTCACGCCATACTCCAGGGTTGCCCTGTGGCTGTGGTTGCCATCCAGTTGGATGACCAGGGGGCTGCTGACGCCATACCCCAGGGTTGCCTGGCTGCAAGTTAGGCTGCTGGTTAGGCGGCTGTCCTTGCCAAGCACCATGGGGGTTGCCCTGTGGCGGTGGTTGCCATCTAGTTGGATGACCAGGGGGCTGCTGATGCCATACTCCAAGATTGTCTGGCTGCCAAATAGGCTGCTGGATGGGAACCTGATCTTGGCCAATGTTGTGCTGAACAGGGAATTCTCCGCTCGGGAATCCTGTCTCGCCGGCATTAGGTCCAATGGGCCCGATATCCGGCTGCGGCTGGAACTTCGATCCATTGCAAATAACACCAGCGGGAGTGAACTGGCATCCCCTTCCATAGGATTCAGTGGGACAGAACTGGAATTCCATGCACTCGCCAGAGGCAATAGCGCAGTGTTTACCATTGAATCTCTGCGTGGGAGGGCAGCGAGGCTCTGTTACTGAGACACAATCTTGGGTAGCCTTGTCATGTATGGTGCCAGGTGGACATTGAGGGGGCTGATCTGCGCTGCATTTGTTGCCATTGAACTTGAAACCTGGCGGGCACTGGGGATCGATGTTGGAGAAGCAGTTCTCTCCATCGAGGTGGGTTCCGTCAGGGCAGAGAGGCTTCTCACCAACACAGGCCTTGCCATTGAATACAAAATCTCCACAATTAGGAGTGGCGCCGGAGATACATTGGCCGTCCTTGAGGGTGAACCCAGGCTCACAGTGTTCTTCGACGATACGGGTGCACCTTCCACCCTTCCAGAAGAACTTTTCAGGACACTCGGGTCCCTCTGAACTCTCACACCGCCCATTGACAAGACGTTGATCGGGGGCGCAGCTGGGCTTTCCGTAGACGCAGTTCCCGCCTTGCAGTTTGGTATTGGGAGGACATTGAGGAGGAATCGCAGTTAGGCACAATCCATCTCCGTTAAGTACAGATCCCGAAGTACACTTGGGGGAAACATTCGAAACACAGCGGGTACCATCGAATGATGCATCATCTTTGCACTTGGGCTGGCTCGCAGTGGTACAATCTCCACCTTGATAGATTCCGTCTTCACATACGATGCCACCTTTACCCACACAGTGCTTGCCATCCCAAGTGGCATTTTCATCACAAGTTGGCTCGGCATAACTGACACACTTGCCTCCTTCAATATTGGTGTTTGGGGGACAAGAAGGAGGGCCTCGAAGCACACAGTCACTACCGATTAGAACCGTTCCCTGTGCGCATTCCGCCTTCTTTACAAGGGTGCATTGATTTCCGTCCAGATAGCTGTCTTCTGGGCACCGAGGAGAGCTTTGCAGAACGCAGCGAGTTTTGTCCAATTTGAAGTTTGGCGGGCAGTGTGGTTGAGGATTGGAATGCTTCTCACACCGATTGTTGATCGGAGTGCTCCCATCCGGGCACTTGCCATCAATCGCCTTTGTGAGACAAATCTTTCCGTTCCATGCCATGTCGAGCGGGCAGCAGCGCGATGAGCCAGCTGCGTTGCTAATAGAGAGAGTTGTGTCCATCTCACACTGCAACTGACCAGTGTAGATGCATTTGTTATTGTCCAGCTCCGTCTCGGGTGGGCACTGAGGCATTTCGATAGTAGTACAAGATTCAGTTCTGGGGTTGTAGCTACTGCCATCACGGCACTGAGGTCCGATATTCGAAATGCATTGTCCGTTTCGAGGAGTTGTGTTCTCTGGGCAACCTGGCACCTGCTCCGAGATGCATCGTGTACCGGTCGTGTCGAAGGAAGTTCCTTTGGGGCATCTGGGTGGCTTCTCATCAACACAGACACCTTCTTCGAGCTTAGAACCATCCGTGCACTTCGGTCCGTTGAGTGATGCGCAAGACCTTCCGTTGAAGCGTTCACCATCTGGGCAGACAGGGGGTCCTTGGGCAACGCAAACATTGCCGTTCAAAAGATACCCAGGCCCACAGCTAGCACCCCCTTCCAGGACGCAGTGATCGCCTTGCGGAATGGTTCCTTGGTCGCAGGTAGGGGGCTGAGTGGTAACACAGAGACCATCCTTGAGCTCATATCCAGCATCGCAGGTTGGATTCGTATGGAAGACACACTTGTCTCCAACACGAGAGCTTCCATCAGGACAGATGGGCGCGCTCAGGATACAGGCATGGCCATCAAACTCTGTGCCGGTGGGGCAGCACTTGACATGCCCAGAAGCCTGGTCGGTGGTAGGTACAATATCATCGAGGGTATATTTTCGAAGGGCGGTCTGGCCAGGGAAACTAGACTCAGCCTGGCAGACCGAAACTGAAAAGAGCACAGTAAAGACCGCCTGGATCTTCTTCATCGTGTCAATGAAAGATCTGAATGACTGAAGGAGTACCTACAGCCAGGTGATATAGTCAACTATTTATATCTACATTTATTCCAAGATCTTCGCTCTCGAGCGAGCCACAGGCCTTTGTCATCCTGTAATGTCAAAACCCCCTCTTTTTTCTGGTCTAGACAGATACATTGCAGATCATTCGCCGCTCACAACATTTGGGGGAATACATGAGGGCTGTGAAGGGATATCGCGGATGTAGCATTGCATCAAATGCCTCCGCCGAAAATGGAACTGAAACTGAGATCTGAAGTTAATGGAGCTAATACTTCTTCAGCTACATTGTCTATCAATATTGGTCAGGTGTTACACGGCAGTTGAGAGCTTGGGGCTAATCCCACTAGTGCAGGTTTCCTGCAGCTTTGGAGAACAGCCGAATACGGGGCCCCGGACGATCTCGGGGTCCAGGAGTTTGTGTAACTTCTCTTTATTTTATTCTAACTTTTATTTGTATTTTTTATATTTTTGCTTCTTCTGTTTTCAGACGAATGAGAAATAATGCTGGCACATAAGAGGTATGCAGGGAGGTTGAGATAGGTCTCAGCCGTGCTGCAGAAATTTAACCTGCATCCGCGGCCTATATGGTCCCGACACACTGTAATAATACATACATCATCAAGAAAATGCCATCTGGTGAGATTGTTCTTTGCAGTGAATATCTACAAGTGAAATCATCTGGGGCAAAACCCAACGTACGAAGTGAAAATGAGCCATCATTTAGGTTATGGGACGGCCCGAGTCGCGATCATCACTACTCGGTTCCCCACAATATGCAGTCTATGCAGGTTTTGCAGATTATGGATTGCCGGCACTTGGCTCAGCCAGCCACAATCCAATCTTAACTTGCATGTGTAACATTGATGTTATGAAACTTGACCATGTAATTTCACGCTATGCACACTTACTACGTGTCTTATGGGTCCATAATACCAATATGGCTTGTTTCGAGGTCAGTCAGGATTGTATCAAACTAGCCCCGTGGTCTTTTGTTTCGCCGGGAGCTACGACAGATAAAACGGGACTACTATATTAGGGTTCCCACTGACACGGTCGCATTGGCCAGTCATATACAATCTTGCTTGTAGTTTCTTTTCTAAACGATCTAGATCAAGATACTGTAACTACTGGTTTGGTATACCCGCTAGCTAAAAGGAAACGGGGAGTGACAATTGTCCCTGGCCTGACTAGGTGTAGATCCCCACATGATCAATTCCACCGTCATGGTCCGGCATGAAGATTAATAGCAATAGCTGATAGACCGCTATTTGAGAAATCCTAAAGCTGTTGGTCTGTGTTACATCGTCAGCAATTATAGACAGTTTTCAGACGGAGTGTAAGGATGGTATTCACTGTTGGTTGCGAGGGACTCGCCTGTATGAGTTTGTCGTAGCGTCCCGCCACCTGGCTGATCGTTACTCGAAGCTAAGTATGCTCTGTGTATTCAATTCAAGTCGATGTAGGCTATGAGGGATTTATGATCTATAGTGACGTGCTGTGGTGGATCATTTGGTAACGGGAATCGAGTAGCTAGGCATTCCATAGGTACCCACAAGGATAACGTAGTGTAAAGGAGCAAGGGAGAGTGCAATGTGAGTAGTGCAGGGTTTAGTCAATTGTGGCGAGCTGAAGAGTGCTTTGGCAGCAATAAAGCTGCAATTTTTAACGAGATCAGCCACAGCCTTCCCCTTGTTGGACATTGTGGTGCGTATTGGAGGACAAGCAGCATGAAGCCGAGACAACCAGGTAGGAGAAGAAACGTATAAGTACCTAGCTCTTTCCCAGCCAATTCTCTCATATCCATCATCATCTCATTCTATCATCTCTAAAGCAAAGCAAAGCTTTCCAACCACTTCCAACGTTTTCACAAACAACATACAGTACGCTCTGCCATTGGACATCATCGGAGACTGGTTACTAACTCTCGAAAGACTCATCAAAATGAAGTTCTCTGTCGCCACCATCGCCGTTCTGGCCACCGCTGTTACCGCTCAATACGGCCAGCCTCAGCAACAGTATGGCCAGCAGGCCCAACAGCCCCAACAGTACCAGCCATTCCCTCCTCAGCAGCAGTACAATCCTGTATACGGCGCTCCAACAGCTCAGGTCAATAAGTACTCTCCGGCCGAGTACCAGGAATGGCACCAATGTGTTGACAGCTTCCTCGATGGTTTCAACATCGGCAAGGACGGCAGTGCCGCTGGCTGCCAATACTGGTCCTGCATTGAGGGTGTCGCCACCAAGTATGGCCGAGGAGGTGCTCTTGCCACCGTTGGCAACCTCGTTAGCAAGGGCTGCGCTGTTTCTAACATCCTTCCCGTATATAACCCCTCCCCCTCGCTCCCATATGCATTTTAGTTGCTGACCAACATTTAGCGCTGGATTTAGGTCCCATCTATAAGTGGGTGAAAAGAGATAGCACCTGATTCCAGTCCCACCGAACATACCACGCCGTCCCACATGTTACATAAGGCTCGTCTGGCTAAGGTGCTATTGTTCATTATGTCTTGCCTTGGTTCGGGTTTTTGTCAGATGAACATGTCTGTTTTCCCCGTTCCTTTATGTGAATACAAAGGCTATATATAGTTTTATCGCTCAATGAAACGTTGTGGGTTTTCGATTTGCTGGTTTACTGTGCTTGTGTAGTAGAAAGTAAATGATTAATTGAGACTTCTATCATTTGATGAAAAACAAACAGGAGATTGTAATGATACTAGGCCATTATAAGAAGAAGTTCAGAGTGTGTTACGCTCATCATACAGAACAGACAAGTTTCTGTTCCCGGGACTCCCTTTAAACGGTGTTCGGGTTTGTACGTACCTTCTATGCAATCACTTCTTGGACTCACTCTGATATCACAAGACAGAACAAGACTTCTGGCCTTAGCCTTCACTGGGTACTCTCCGATTAAGACAGACACACTTAGGGGAAGTGGAATTTTCAGCCAAGCCATTTCATGGATCACTTGAAGCCAGCATTGAAGACTTGGCTTGATGACATAGAGCAGAAGCGGTTCAACTTTGACTCTCGAGGGGCTGTCAATGATTTCAGGGACAAGGTGAATTGGTGGGTATCAAATGTTGACCTTGGGAATGTTGAAAGGAATCGGGATGCGTTTTATCCGTTTTAGTCGGAAACAAAGTTCGCGTTTCTGACAAGAATTGAGAAATGAAACGATATTTCAATTTTATTTCTTGTTGAAGAGAGAGCCATCACAGCACTTTTGGATGAAGTACCGGTAAATTGTACAGTATTATGGAGGGTCAGTTGGCTCGACCAAGCAGTTTTGTACACTCATATTTTGGTAGCTGCACGTAATCATCAGTTGTCCAGCTGTTACTCGCATCTAATCCCGAGATCAGTGCCGGGACGCGGTAGACAAACGGCAATAAACATATCGTTACTTACAAACAAACATCAACGCCGGCTCAATGACTACACAACTACATACCGTGAGAAGATCCTCCCTGTACGTTGATATTTTCAACGGCATGCAGGACGACGTTCGACGTCGTATATATACTTTCACAAACGATATCAAAAGGTGTTTAAATATTCCATTTTCTAAAATAAATGAGTATTTAAAAACTTTTACACACAATAATTATGATCAATTTTATGTGAAATCGAACTCCGTGTAACTATTTTTTTACTTTTATTTCTAAGTTTACAGCATGTTTACTCGTGGAAACGAAACAGTAGGACTGGTAGAAGATTGGCTATTTCAGCAGACAGCTTGAATAAATTCAAATATCCTTTTAAGCGATATCTCCTCCTATCTAATCAAAGAGACAATCTTGAAACATGCAATGTCGGAAAGAGAAGCTGAATTGTTGCCTCAGGCAGATTTCCTTGAACAACGGATCGGCATGCCAAGACGGTCCAATTCTTCACCTCTCCACTATACCACTACGCTAAGATCGTGTTTTCCATAGCCACTTGGAAAATACCCACAAAAGAACGAATATAATTGGCCAGGTCAAAAGAATACGTGATATTTATTAGTCACGCATACCTTATTAACCTCGGGATGGCTTAATTTGTGAAAAAAACTCCATCTGGAGAAAGGGGCAATTGGCTTGGCCAAACGTGGTACGGCGCGGCAATTTCTGATTCTGAAACAATTGCTGAAAGAACACTCTGGAATGCTTAATCCATACAGTAGCCCAGTCAGACAAGCTTCCCTCGCCTATGTGGAGAGGCTCTAGTCGCAGGCTCTGGGTATTAGTGACACGATCGCATGTAATTGTTAAAGAATAACCAGCGATGCGGATCTAAGGAACTGTGATGTCCCACTTTATCTCGATCAAAAAGTTAGCCTAGGTGTTCGTAGAGAGGTCCACTTAGATTAAAAACCCTGACAGTGGAAAACTCCAAATCATTCTCTGACTCCCGTTCATCAAGCTTACTCACTTTCATTCTGAGTCACGGAAAATGGATGAAGATCGGGAACAACGCGTATTATCTTCTGATGTCGAATTCAACGACCCAGAGCTACAAGATGATACCAAGGGAAAAGGCTCAGGGCCAGCAAGGGATGATCCGTTTGGATCTGAAGAAGTCGCAGAAGTGAAATATCGGACGATGAACTGGTGGTAAGTTTCTATTCCTATCCGTGGGTCAGGGCTACAATATGTACCTAACAACTACACAGGCAATGTGGAATGCGTGAGAGGAACCCCTTTAATAGTCCCGCCATCTACTAAGAACGATTTGTAGTCATGATTGCTGAAAATACTTCTTTGGGAATTCTCTCTATTCCATCGACTGTTGCTGTTCTAGGAATGGTTCCGTATGTATTATGAGACAGGCAGCTGCCGCAGTTACACATAACTAACTCTGAATCATAGAGCTGCAATTCTGCTTGTCTTTTTATCCACACTATCCTGGTATACTGGCTATATTATCGGGCAGTTCAAGATTCGGTTCCCGCATGTCCATAGTATGGGCGATGCAGGAGAAATCCTATTCGGTCGCCCCGGACGTATAGTGCTGGAGATCGGACAGCTTTTACTTCTGATCTTTGTTATGTCAAGTCACATCCTAACAGGAACAATCGTACTCAGCACTATCACTGATAACGGAGCCTGTGGTATTGTGTTTGGTGTCGTTTCGCTAGTCATTTGCTTCCTCGGTGCGCTTCCACGCACAATGGCCAAAGTATATTGGTTATCACTTATCTGTGAGTATACCCTAATTATGCAGGTGATAAGATTATCATTCATATAACAAAGATGGCTGATCATTCTACTTTTCTCCTGTCAGCGTTTGTAAGTATTCTTACAGCGACGATAGTGACCATGGTCAGTATCGGGGTTGAATCCGAGGGTCCTATTGAAATCCATGTCGTCCGACAGGTCAGCTTCTATGAAGGATTCCTGGCATTCTGCAATATCATGTTTGGATTCAGTACGTCTTGATTCGTTTTCATTCGCAGGCACAACAATGGCTAATCTTCAATCATTAGTTGCCCATGTGACCTTTTTCGGTCTTATAGCAGAAACACAAGATCCGAAAACCTTCCCCAAGTCTCTGGCTATGCTTCAGATTACAGATGGCGTCATGTATCTTGTATCTGGCTTGGTCATCTATCGATTTGCCGGACCAAATGTCAAATCTCCCGCTCCTTCTTCGGCGGGTCCGCTCATGAAGAAGATTTGCTATGGCCTCGCAATTCCAACGGTTTGTTTTGCCCAATTTCCATATATACAAGGCCGGCATCTTTGACTAATGCATTATAGGTTTTCATTGCTGGTATAGTCGTTGGTCACGTCGCCTGCAAATACGTTTACGTCAGGGTCCTGCGCGGCTCTGCTCACATGCATAAGAGAAGCTTTGTGGGCATTGGAACATGGATCGGAATCGGAGGTCTTCTTTGGGTTATTGCTTGGATAATTGCCGAGTCAATCCCGGGATTCAATGATCTTCTTAGTTTTGTCGTATGTTTGGCTTTTTTGCGTGATGCTTTACAATGCTAACTTCCCAAAAGAGCGCACTGTTTGGAAGTATCTTTAGTTGTATGTTTTTATCCCTTCTTCAAAGCTTGCCTCGCTGCAGGACAATGCTAACGTGAATATTTGACACAGTTGCTCTTCCCGCTGTCTTCTGGTTCTACATGAACAAGGGCCGGTATTTTTCCACTGCCTCAAAGGCTTGTTTGACTGTTCTCAACCTTGTCATCTTTGCAATCGGTTGTTTCATGGTCAGTTTTCGCATTCACCTTTTAGTTTCCGTCGAATACTAATGTGTTTTAGTGCGGAGCCGGTCTTTATGTCTCGGGTCGGGCTCTTAATGAGACCGCTTCCCACCACAGTTGGTCATGTAGCGCAAGTGACTAGTTGTCGTAAGACGGGCCAGGATCGTTTCTTCCTCATTGAGAATCGCCTTAATAATTTCGATCACAGAGCGTGGGCCCAGACAAGCATTTGTTTTGCCAATGGTGCTACATACTAAACTACCTGAGAGTACAGGACTAATTAGTGAACATATTAAAGAACCTGTACTAAGAGACTTGTCCTTATCAGCCTCTGATTCGGGCGAAGCTCGTTAATGTTTCCGGCCTACTTTAGCCTCTCTTTTTTCGCCTCCATTTTGCCCATTTTTGAGTGCCTCGAGCTACTCATATAGATTTTAGAAATTTCCTATTAGAGTTTTGTTGAAATGCTAGATCAGCCGGTGAAGTGCGTCCGATTGAGTTCCCGAAACGATATAAAGCACTTGAAAATTCAGGCAATATGCTCTATCTCTGTCTTGCTGGTAGATTTCACGTCTACAGCATCAATAACTTCTTGCTTTTCTGACTTCACAAAGAGCCGGGAGCTCGGATGGGCAGCAGGGCCATCGAAGACGACAGCAATCTCCTCCAGGGTGCGACCTTTCGTCTCGGGGAAGAAGAAGTAGATGAAAATCAAAAACACGGCGAGACAGGCAAGATAAACAAAATAGAACTTCCAGGCCAGAGCAGCAAATGCGATCGGGTTGACATATTGGTTGAAGAACCCAGCAGCAAAGACTACCGTCAAGCAAAGCGACAAACCCTTCGCGCGCAGATGATAAGGAAGGATTTCGACCGGGTACGCAATTGACAGTGGGGTATAGGCGATGGCATATGAACCGAAGAAGAGGAACAGCATGGCAACAGAAGCGCTACCAGCTGGTTTGATGTGTCTCTCTGCAAAGACAGCGGATAGTGCAGTTACGGCTGAGAAGAAAACGAGCATTAATGCGGTCGATATCATCCATAGTGGTCGCCGGCCGTATCTTTCCGTTGCGAGGGCACCGCCCACTGCGCAGATGCCGTTCCATATTTGCAGCGTAAGGTTGATACCTGCCTGTTGGCTTGAGCTGGTAATGCCCACATTCTTGAGGATCGGTGCGAGGTAGTATGAAACGATACCTATCCGGAGAACGGAAGTTAGTACTAAGTTTTTCAATGCAGATGACGAAAGAAGCGTGAAACATACCATTTCCAGCCCACTGGATCATGAACCCAACAAGAATACAAATCATCAAACGATGGATAGCACCGCGAGTAGAGAAAAAGGCCCCCCACCCGCTATCCTCGGCCATTGTGTTCTCAAATTCGATGGCCTCACAAATTTCCCGATATTCAAACAAGACCAATTCATCTGTGCGATCTCCATTGGCATGGTAACGAGCGAGAATATCCAAAGCCTCTTCTCGGCGATTCTGTGATACCAGCCACCGTGGACTCTCGGGAACAATAAACAACCCAAGCAATTGCAGAGCTGGGAAGAATGCTTGCATCAAGCAAGGAAACCGCCATGACCAAGAATTGAATAGGTAAAGAGTCGCAAGGGTAATAACAGCAGAGAGGATTGCTCCAAAGTACCAGACAGACTGGAATATAGCGGTGACCGTGCCACGGTGTCGAGGATGAGCAATCTCTGCAGTCAACGGAGGAGCAGCAGTTTGCGAAAATCCCAACCCGATACCCATCATAAGGCGGGTACCGAAGAAAGCCCATCGACCTTGTGTGGCGGCTTGAATGACAGATGCACCCACCATGATGGCCGATCCGAGCGCGACACACTTCTTGCGCCCAAAGTGATCTGCGAAATATGATGCTGGGATAAAACTAGGTACTCCACCAAGGGAGACACCGGCGATGATCAAGCCCAGTATATTGGAATCGACATCACCAAGATCTTGCATGACTGTGACAATGTCAGCTCGAGCCCCCCATATGGGGTATGTGTGGGCAGCATACAGATAGGCAGAGCTTGCAGGCCATTCATGAGGCTTCCGTCATACCCATTTGCCGCTGCTGAAGTGAACATAAGTCCTATACCTAGGTTGAGACGGGAGAGACCTGGGTCTTTGATCCATCGATCTTTGGTGTTGTTGGATAGAACACAGTATACATCTCCACCTGAGCTGGTCACAACACCTGCAGCAACCATCTTCGTGTATAGAAAGGAAAAGGTCAAAGATATGCACAATGTCGTCCGTCGCTGGGAATAGTGATAATCGAGAGGGAGTTGGATATTTCAGGTCCCATGGCGGCCTTTATATGCGTGAGGCCGGTATGTATTTCTTTGGTCGCCAAAAATTGTAACAAGTGAGAGAATATCGGCAGGTTGGCAACAAACTCGGTTCGTGAGGAGCCCGAGAGTCCAAGCTCTTCTTCTCCACGCGTCCAGCCCTCCCCGGATTCTCGTCTGGGGTAGACCAACCCTCCAAATCGAACAGCGCTAATCCAACAGGGGGAAATTACTGGTTAGTTTCTCGGGAAGATTATCGGGAGGATAATTTTCGCTTTGTGCTCGGACGCCATTTCAGTCGGTTGTGGCGCTGGTAAATTTCGGAGAAATTCTCGGGAAGATTCTCGGGGTACATGTATACATCTTGCAAATTGGCATCTCAACTTGGATATAACTTGTTGAATTTCGTAGCTTTTAATCGCGTTATTGTTGTCTTCAAACCCTGCACTGTTTTCATATCTCCCAACCTGAACCATGACAGTCGGATCCAAGCCCCAGTCATCCACAGCTAACAGCAGAACCTGGTGGAAAGAATCCTCTGTCTACCAGATCTATCCCGCGTCGTTCAAAGACTCGAATGGCGATGGTATCGGCGATATACCGGGGATCATTTCCGAACTGGACTACATCAAAGCCCTGGGTGTAGATATAGTCTGGCTCTCACCTATTCTACAGTCACCCCAGATAGATATGGGATACGACGTGTCTAATTATTATCAAATTCATCCGCCATATGGTAATCTCAAGGACATGGATATGCTTATCGAGGGTATTCATGCCCGAGGGATGAAGTATGTCATGGACCTTGTCGTGAATCATACATCTGATCAAGTATGTTCCTGCCTTTCTGCTTTATTTTTCACTTCCGGGACAAAGATTCTAACTGTGTGTATAGCATGACTGGTTCAAACAATCGCGGTCTTCGAAAGATAGCCAGTTCAGAGATTGGTATGTTTGGAAGAAGCCCAAGTATTCATCAGACGGCGTACGACAGCCACCGAACAATTGGGGCTCCTACTTTGGTGGTATGTTGAGTCTTTATTTTTGATTCCGCAGCTTTCATGAAAGAATAAACTGTTTCTAACGACTGCGAAAGGATCCGCCTGGGAATATGACAAGAAAACCGACGAGTATTATCTCCATCTCTTCGCAACCGAACAACCAGACCTTAACTGGGAGCACCCAGAAGTACGCGCTGCCGTACATCAAATCATGCGGTACTGGCTTGACAAGGGTGTCAATGGGTTCCGTATGGACGTCATCAATTTCATCAGTAAAGACCAACAATTCCCCGATGCACCTGTTGATCCGAGCAAGACATATCCCGAGGGGTCGAAATATTACGCTTGCGGGCCAAGACTTCATGAATACCTACAAGATATTGGGAAAGTATTGCAGGAGTACGATGCATTCTCTGTTGGTGAAATGCCATCTGTCTATGATCCAGTCGAGATCTTGAACGCGGTAGGCTTCGATCGTCAGGAACTAGCCATGGCATTCCAATTCGAGATCATGGATCTTGATCATGGCGCAGAGGGCAAATTTTTTCCTGGCAATCTCCGTCTCAAAGATTTGAAGTCGGTCGTCATGAAGTGGCAGTCATTTATGTATGAAAACAACGGCTGGAACGCGCTATATCTTGAGAATCACGACCAGGGACGCAGCATATCTCGATTTGCATCGGCGGAGCCAGAATACCGCGCTCTGTCTGGGAAGATGCTAGCCACATTTTTGGGTCTGCAGAGTGGAACGCCATTCTTGTATCAAGGTCAAGAACTGGGGCTAGTCAATATTCCGGAAACTTGGGGTATCGAAAAATTCCGAGATCTCGAGGCCATCAACTTTTGGAACGAGTTCGTTCGAGGGAAGCCGGAGCTGCATGAGCAGACATTGAAGGAAATGCGACTTAAATCGCGAGACAATGCACGGTTGCCGATGCAATGGGGCCCCGGGAGATTTGCAGGATTCACCTCTGGGGCTGTTGCCCCCTGGATTGATGTGAACAATGACTACCAGAGTTGGAATGCGGCTTCCCAGATTTCTGATCCATCTAGCGTTTTCCAATATTGGGCAAAGATCCTCAGTCTGCGGAAAACGTGGGTGGACGTCTTTGTGTATGGATCATTCACCCTTATTGACGAGAGCCACGATGATCTGTTTGTATATTCAAGATGCTTTGACGAGGCTACTGTGGTAGTGATCACAAACTTCTCCTCAAACGAGGTGACTTGGCTTGTTAATAGTCAGGTATCACCGACTCTTGCAAATGGGACGATTCTGGTGGGAAATTATGAGACACGCAAATCGATGGAAAGCACCGGTGGAAAAATCACATTGGGCCCATTCGAGGCTGTCGTGGTACTTGACAATCGATCTCAAAGTTGTCTCCGGCCGTGAAAAATAGCTGAATGTGAAGGAGCATTTGTATTAAATTTAATATGACTCTTCACTATTATCGTCGACTTCGTCTATGCGTTCGTTTATGGAATAGGTAGTCTCGTAGGCGGCGTCAGATAAAGCTTGGAGCTCAAAGGCAGGCTGTAGGGGAACATCAGATTCAGCTATTCTCTTTTGAAGCCAGTTCAAACTGCCGCCGCTCCCGTTCAATCTAGCAAGATAACAGCAGAACTCGTGAAGTATTTGGCGAGTCTGAACGAACATATCAGGTGGGAGAGAGTGGACACAGGTAATCACGTCTAGCAATGTGTTTGTAATATCGCACAGTTTAATTTGCTAATATCTTTGTCAGTACCGGAGCCAGACTGCAAGCAAAGCAATATCTTACCATTCCTGGGCCGTGAGCAACAAGTGCATCCATAGACACAGTCGAGATGGACTGCAACGCATCCCTTGACACATGGGCTGGGTATATGAAAGACATGCTATCATCAGTCGGTTCGCTTGACATGGAGACATTCCTCAACGAGAGCTGCCACACAAGCATACGTAGCCACTGCTGGGTGATAGAGACATCGCTCCTCTGTAACTCATTCCATTCTGTAGGCCATTGACGGTGCTGGCGAAGCTCATTTTGTATGCGAGAGAGAGTTTCTCTGCTGCAGCTTTGCTGTTCTGTCCCGGTGCAAGGGTTGGCGTCTATGAGAACACCATCAACCGATACAAAAAGATGAACAAGGCTATTGAAAGCCTGCAGTACCTGAGGCTCGCTTTGGTTGTCAGTTAAGGGTAGACTGATAGACTCTGAAAGACAAGTCCCAGTGCCATGCTGCATTGCATGTCCTCTTTCTGTGACATACAAAAGCCAAAAGGTTCTTCGCATGTAACTTTCTTCTTCGGTATTCAAGCCACAATATGTCTCCTCGTTGTCGAGTCCCATCAACTGACACAGTGTGACTGACTCCCGCAGTAGCAGCGATGTTGTCTGCTTTTTTGATTTTGTGCCATAATATATGTGAAGGAACAAAGGCACAAGAATAGCTTCGTGTGTGGAGCTTTCGCGATATTCATACATTGAGCGACATCGCTCCGCTTCAGCAGCAAATCGGTCCGTTAATGCCATCGCGTCTCCTTCATGCGGAATAGAGGAGTCGTTCTCTTGGTTTTGAGCGAGGTCCAGTTGTAGACTGGCACCGGTACTTGCACAAAGTGCAAAAGCCAAAGCACACATTTCGCAATCATTTGGGTTGGTTTGGAGTGCAGTCTTCAGCCGTATAATGTCAATTACTGGCCATACTGGGTACATTCGCTCATTGTATATCTCTAAATACGCCAGGACATCGCTGAATGCGATGGCTGACTTCCATTCGAGTACTGACAAGGAGGCCGAATGAGGTGCAACGCATGGTTCATGGTTCTCATTATTGAGGTTCTGCAATTGCTTGTTGACCCTTGCCAATGTGCTTTTTCGAGGACCTTTCGGACCTGATTTCCCACATTTTTTCATGAATGCACATTTGAAGCCGGCCCTTGCGCAATTTGAACAAGGTATTTTGCCAGTACATCGGACCTTTCGGATAGCGCATGCATCACAGGCTCGTGGTCTCGTCATCTCAACTGCAGCAAGGGTTACGTTGATGAGCTAGGCGAAGAGCAACCTGTTGCGCAGTTTAAGCCTCGGGAGAATTCTCGGCGAAATTTGCGGGGCAGGGTCAGAGCCTCCGAAGCCAATTTTATTTTTTAGAACTGATACATTTCATTCATTAACCCTTACTGTAGAGAAAAGCTTCAGATATACAACAGGTCTTAGGTCTTAGCTTTTCTGCTTTTTTTTTTGCTTTTGAGTTATACTTGGGTTGCTCTCTTTTCCCATTGCCATCGGCGGTGAGAATCCTCACCACTTGGCCCTCCTGTTTTGCCAGGTCTAATTCTGTACGAGAAAATGTATCTTTTTCTTTTTCTATATCATCGATGTGCACACCATATACTTTGCAGCGACTCGATATCCACAGTTATAGGCCATAACTCCTTTCTCTCCCCCGCTTGTATATAAACAACTACATTCCGAGGCTCACGAAAATGGACAAAAGGAGGTGAAAAAACAGAGGCCGAAGTAGGGCGAAACAATATATGAAACGGTATACTCGTTTCGAGGCTCTTGTGTAAAGACTGTCCCATACTGCATCAGTGGCACTATATACACACATGACCATTTTGTATGAACCCTGTATTTTACTTGAGTTGACAATCCATGCGTCGGCTCTTACAACCCGATTACAGAAAACCATATTCCACGTCCAGCACTAACAGACACCATCACCAAGCTTAACAGACTCAATGGCCGACGAGTGGATGAAAACGCTGCAAACGATTTCGAATATCGGCCTCGGTCAGATCCAGTGACAGCGCTTTATTGAGATGCGGTAGACAATCCTTTTTATTGGATAACGCTCGGCAACCAGGTCTCTCCCCCTTTTCTCTTTCTCTTCAAGCTGTCCAGCCTTTCTTTATTATAAATGACTTGTATTCTTTGCTTCCCCCTCCAATTCTTAAACACTGGGGTTTGGGCGCATCTTTTCATGGTAGAAAATATGTGCAATAAGTTAGGAAGTTGATAAATTATGAAAATTCCCCCTATTGTGGGGGTTTTTACCTGTGGGGAAGAGACCAACCTCGCTTCACGAGGTTGGGCTAGTACAGTAAGACGGCTACTGATTGGGAACATCGCATGATCGACAGTTTCGAGCCCTTAAGTACATCCGCGCGAAAAACACTACGAATTTACAATTTACGGCGAGATCGCGACGGCCCGTACTCCCGTGTCGGCAGGGTTTCAACTTTACAGCCCCCTTCAGCCGCTTGGTCTACCCGGGGATCATCGGGCTCGGCGCTCCTTCCTAGTTCGATCTTGGTACGGAGTCTGTAATGTACAATTATTTCAAAGATGGAAGGCAATTACTGATGACTTTAACCCGAAGAGTGAGGTGTCTCCCCATTCAAGTATAGTAAATATAACCAAATCAGCGGTTCAATAGTAAGCTGGGAGTGTTAGTTGACCGAGAATTTGGCCCTCAGCTTGAAGTCTTGAGGCACTCTTTCTGGCGACTCGCAGGATACAGCAGGCAAGTAGATCGGTACTTTTGCCATCCTTGCCGCCCATGCTAGTGGAGTCATCTGTTTGTTCATTGCCCATTGGTTTATTATTGGTTCTTTCACACTTGTAGTTTCGTGTATGTACGGGTTACGCCCAAAGCGGTTCCCCTACCGAATCCTTTTTGCCCTGGAGAAGCGCTGTCTCTGTCCCCACACCAGGGGCCAAGCCTACACCAGGGGCCAAGATTTTTGGCCCCAAGTACATGAGCAACATGAGTCTAGTAATAGCAATACCGCGACATAGCCCAAAATATCACGTGTATCTTACCCTCCTTGGGCACGAGTTCTAATCAAACTAGTCGATGAGATCACAACTTGGCATTTCCAAGTTTCTCGGGATCGAAAGCCGAAGGTGCGTGAGGCTTTCTTGCCTATCAGCAATGTCTTTGGTGCATAAGAAATCGAAGTTTACTCCTTACCTGAGGAAAGTGACTGCAATCGGCACTTGCCTGGCCCTTTTCCTTTGGGTTGCCACTACCCTCGGCTATCACGGATCAACAAACTTGTCCGATAGGGACAACTCCAAGCCACCCCGATATGCCTTTGCCACCATTTTAACGACGGAAAATGACTTGGAGTTTCCAGATATACAAGAGCCTTACCTTCAAGCGGCAAGGCTACTCACCTTCCAGCTACTCCGCAACCCACGCACGCGGAATAGGATTGATAATGTTCCATTTCTTATCTTGGTCACTCCAAATGTACCTCAAAAGCACCGCGATGTTCTGCGCAGAGAAGGAGCTACTGTAATTCCAGTTGAGGCTCCTGGCAGCGACTGGGGTTCCCTCGAGTCGCAACGCTGGAATGGCCTTATCGCCAAGTTGAACCTGTGGAAACTCGAAGAATACGACAAAATTGTGTTCCTGAACGTTGACTCTGTCATATTCCGCCCTATCCATGAAATTTTCGAAGATCCTGCGACAGTCAAGCGTGTCACCATCGACCCCACCGCCAAAATGCCAAAAAATTATATGATCGCCGCACCGCACGACTCTTGGATGAACTTGAATACGCAACTCATGTCCGGTCAAGGGTTTGACCAGAAGAGTCACCTGGATAATGGGTTCCTTATTCTACGTCCCTCAAAAGATCTCTACAACTACTACATCAGTCTGCTCCACATACTGGATAAACATGACTCCGGTCATCTTGAACAAAATCTTCTCGACTACGCTCATCGAGCAGACGGTCCCATGCCTTGGCAAATCCTCGGATTTGGATGGAACCTGAAAGATGCAAGCCAGTCTGATTATGAGAAAGGATTGAAATCGATCAATCATAAATGGTGGCGCCCTATCGCAGACAATTTTGTCGGGGATCGTATCGTAATGTCAATGGATGAGATGACTGCCTTTTTAAACCACTGAGTAGAATTTCGCAATGAGTCTACAATTCTAGCTATACATTAGTTTAAATCAATTTTTCACGCATCTCGAACCTATGTACATTCATTATATTGCCGGCTGAGTAGACAAAAGAGATGAATAAGTGAAAATCACGGGCGTGCTGTGTTCAAGAGGGTCTTCGCATAGTCAGGTTGAAGCGACTGATTTCTCTGCCCAGTACCTCGTAATTTTCTATGTGCTTCCTACAGGCATCGTTGCTAATACAGTATGATCCAAAAGTGGATATAATACGGAGTGTGTACGTATGTGGCTAGTAAATCGACTACACACTTGACCCACAGTGGTACTCAACATTATTGAAGTGGGGCCGGAAACAAATCCAGATTCTTATTTACGCCCATTGTGGCCCACCCAAAGTACTGGTGCATACTAAAGGCGGTTCGAGGGGGCCAAATTGATAAAGCCGGGTGAAGCACTGCCTCAGGTCGGGAATGATTTAGAATTGTATCTTTGCTACTTAGTGGTAATCCTTAGCAGCCATCCATGCGCAGATAAAGGTATGAGCAGATGGTCGTTCAAGTTCAGTTGCGGCAACACCTCGGTCTAGGTGCCAATGCTATTCATCAAAACAAATTTCGAGAGTAAGGATTTTCCGAAATGTGAGTTCGTTCTGGGCTATAGATGATTCACAAGGGCGCTACAATACATACATGTATACGTAGTTTAACGTTAAGCGACGTATGAACATATGTAGGGTCTTGGTCTGTGCTGCGCAGATATCCCATAATGGGAATGGTTCAGGAATGCCTCCCCTAACCCCCGTGTTGGTCTAATTTCCGAGTTGGATACAGCCAGGGGAAATTGATGATCTTTTTCTTTTACCCGAACATCCCTACCTATTCATCCCTCTAGTGGAAGTACAATTCAGCTAGTAACCCTCTTTAAAACTTACTAAGGCTCCCCTTGATATTACATTCTTGACCACAGCCTTTATCTACATCTTTTGCTCTTTATCTCGACAGTAAAGCCTTGTGTTTATCCCATTCAAGGTTGCTGTGATGTCTGACACCTCCGGCTACGCACTACGCAGGAATGGCTCTTGTCTGAGCACCGAAACAGATTGCGGTCTAACTACTCCTCCGTTTCATGCCTGCTGTCCTGGAAATACGTTTTGCCCAGGGCCTCAGTACAACGTGATTTGCTGCCCATCTAACGCCGACTGCAGTAATTTGATTGGTAAAAAGTGCGCCGATAGCAAGGCAGATCTCTACTCGTCTACCTCTGACATAGCGAGTGAAGGGTTTTGCTGTGAACGAGGCAAACATGCCTTCACATTGGAGGATCAGGGAGTCGGATGTGCAGACCAGTTGTCTGACCTACAAGTCAGCATGACCCAGCTGGGGGCTATTTCTTCTGCTTCAGGTACATATTCGCATATTATCCTTGACCAGTGTAGATCATTTGCTGATTATATGATTAACGAGATACAGCTACACCCAGTTCGACATCATCCACTACTTCAACCGCATCTCCAACCGTATCTCCAACACCCACAAGCTCTAATGAAGCAAAGCCAGCTTCGAAAACCGATACTGGGGTGATTGTTGGCGGCGTCGTCGGTGGTGTCGCTGGCGCAGCGATCTTGATTGCGCTTCTGTGGTTCTTTTTACGTCGTCGAAACAAACAACAAGCAAAGGAAAAACAATCTACGTCTTCCCCTTCTATATACCACCCTCAGACGCCTCAAGCACATCCGTTAGAGCTCAATGCCGAGAAAGAACACCACATTGTCGAACTATCTGGCGGGCCTATCACCTACCAATAACGCAGCTTGTCGAGAGCATGGCTCGAAGAGGTCTGAGCTGAGCTTCAATGGCGGTGGTCGAACATCGCCTCGTGGAAGTCAGTATTCCCTTATATGCTTATACGAATGTGGTCATACGCGGTTAATGTCCATGGTGGTAAAGATTCCCTTCTGCTTTAACTTATTCAAAGACCATTTGTTGTCCGCTATACCCGAAATCCTATAAAGATTCCTGTTCTGACGCGTGACTCAGGACAATTTAATGTCTTAAGTCGCCGAACAACGAGGCCGAACCTCAAGAGGAAACCATAATACTTGCCCCCTCATTTCCAGTTGTTCTTCAGGTAATTGAGAGGTACGATTGCCACGCCTGAGCTCGATATTGAGGATAACCAGATTATTGCCTAGTGAAGAGGAGACCCTAAGGGGGAACACGACCATGCCTGTCTGCGAACCAGGTACGCCCACAAGGGCAGTGGGAGATACAGAGAGGGAAGAACACTTAGACGTGGTAGTGGAAGAGAAAATGGTGTCTGTATTACCATCCTGTAAGCTATGAGGTCATATATACCACACAAATGCTTTGTGACAGCCCTCCTAGCAACTACTCAACTGGTGGGAGCCTGTTCCGATGTTGCACGTATGTGTGCTTTTAGTGCTTTTATTTTGAGTGTTTTGATGCTTGTCGAGTTGTGTCAGACTACTGTAACAACCAATTTGGTCCACATTGCTGTGATCCATATGTTTGCGACCGATCCAATACAATCGGGGGTATTTGTGTGGACCTTGGAAGGTTCCAAGGACATGAGCTTGACAGATTAGTTCTAGCTAAGACATTAGTTTATTTTAGTTTATAGTGGGGAAAGAAGTGTGCCTAAGGCTGAGGAGACTGAGGATTCAGGATTTATAGCTCCTTTGCAAGTAAGCAGCTATAACAAGGGGAAATTTTCTTCAAATGAATATATCTTTCACAATTCTCATACATAGTCTAACGTGTATTTATTCTTCCGGGTGACTGAGGAACAGTGTAGCACATTTTTTATTTTGTTACATCCACCCGGAGCGCTCATGTTCATGAGCGTTAAAGCAATCTATCCTGGGAGATAGCCCACCATGGGCGCTGGATACTCGAACATGCCCCCTTGCGAGGCCGGTCCTAGAGCGTAGCAGGCTACGGGATGATACAGGGCATGAGATTAATCTCCCACTCTGTTGCCAACGGTTCACCAATCTAGTGAATAGGCTTCGTAGCTAACAGGTTAACTTATCCCTTCAAATACTATGGTAAATCTATTATTCAGGTCACCTATAGCTCTACAGCCTTGGAAAGTTTTAAGAGTAATTCCATAAGAATCAGTCTTACAACTACAGCAGGAAAAGCCTTTCTACGTTACCCTCCCGATACCTGTTACTACCTTTACCTGGTCGATAGGCCTGATCTACCGTATAAGTATTTCTTTATACAGATATATAATAAAAACCTCTGAATTCTAAGTGAAGTATACTATGATAATTGGCATAAACTAATGCAAGTTCAGAAAAAGTAACTAGTTGTAAGAGTACACCCTTTTGTCGGGTTGATGTCCTGTCAAGCAGGCAATAGAGTGAGAAAGCAATCAGGCTTGAGAGCCTGAATTATAGACTACGTTGGGTACAACACTGATTTGATCCTAGGATCCAGGATGTTGACGGAGGGAGGTTACGAAATTATGAGCCAGGTCCTATGCAATGATTCGGTCACGTGCACGATCGACGAGATGCAATATTTTGTAGGCTTTGAAACCTAATTACTCAAGTAAGTGTAGCTTTTTAATGTGATGTTACAACAGAATCTTGAGAGTAGTAAGAGCTGGATAACTTAGCAATTGTATGCAGTTGTATGAGCAGATGCCAAGAGACCGGATGTGGATCATACCGCCCAATCATGCCATACCAACCCACACACACTACTCTTTGACTCATAATGCCATAAGTTTGAGCTCTTTCCATCAAACATCCGATATGATGTACACAGAGGTGACTATGGAATAGCAGATGATTCTGGCAACCCAGCCCACTAGGGGAGCGTCGAGGTACCTGGATTCCATCGGGATTTTTGTAACTCGCTCAGGTTATCCCGAAGCAAAGATTGTCAAGCAGTCAATAGCAGAGCCGAAGAAGAGAGTCATGCTGAGGAGCGAGGTCTTGATGGGGAGCGGGGAACGCAAGGGGGGGAGAATAATCAGCAGTAGAATTGGCTTTCATCAGCCTCCGCCAAGTCTAATACGGCTTCAACCGTCTTGGCTAGCGAGGCTTTGTCAAGCTTACCTCTCTAGATTTCTCTACAGCCTCCCAGCAGGATTGACTCGCTGTTCAATGCGTCGCCGGTCTTGTTCCGTAGCTCCTTTTGCAACTCTTATAAATTTGAACAGCTTACCAGGACGTGACTGTGGGCGCACGCGCAGTAATCGTTCGTATTGGAATCGGAGGGACTTGGCATATGTGGATATCCAGTCCGTGCGCGGTTGAGCAGGCACGCCCGGTTCCTGAGGGTCCCATCCAGCCCCCTTGAGGTGACATTTGCATGGAACATCTGCATGTCTCATGCAGCTTACTTGAAACAAAGCGAATGGCCGCCGATTGCTTATAGTAGCCGTATCCTCGAGCTAAGCGGAGATTTTTGAGCATCTTGCTCTGAAGGGTAGGATCCTCTACTCAGGATATAAAGTCGCCAGTAACAGTCCGATTCTACTACCCAGCTTCAGTTATTTCACTCTCTATCACCCCTGGGCTTTCAATTTGAGAGTACGATGGTGTCCGGCATAGTGCTTCTCCTTTTTGTGGGGGTGTCTGCCAAACCAGGTATGTTTTCTTTTTAGGGTCCCTCAACAGAGATCTAAACCAGACCCCGCAGTTATTCCAGGACTGGACACTATTGCAACCCCTACTACCAGTGGACTCCAGTCCGATGGGCCTGATAGGTGCACCAGCGTGTCTACAAGTAGCCAGTGGTTAAGCATATGCGACACGACTATTTTCTGGCCAACGTCGACCAACTACTTTTACGGTCCGACTATCGGCCCTAAGGCATCTGCCGTCTCCTGTAATGCTGAATGGGTCGAATATGGCGGACGCGCAAGTGGGCTAGAGTCCCTAGGCGCAACATCCACGTCCACTCTTTATTCATCCTATGTCACAAGCACCGGGGCTTGTAACACTGAAGTCCGGGGAGAAGGTCTTCATGATACGCATACCGGCCCAGTTACCACGCTCTGTGATGGGGTTGCACGCGCCCTAGGTCCTCGAGAATCTATAACCAACTACTGGCCAGGTACAGGACCATGTAGTTCCTTCATGCTCACCGAGACTAGCACTACATTGGTCTATCGATCACCTTCACCGACTCCTGGCTGTAAACTAAATACCCAGGATTGCATTCCCATCTGGCAGACCTACACCAGTCTTTCGAAGGCCTATCAGTCCTCTGTCACGACTGAAGTACCTGGAGATACCAACAGTCCTATCCGACCGGAAAGCTGCCCATCTACGACGCGAGACTATACTGATCCTGATGCATGCAATAATTGCCATTATCTCCCGGATACAGCAACCCTCTTTTACTGGCCGGTGACCACCAGTGGAGGTCTCTGTCTGCAGAATGGAAGCACCATCCCTGCCACGCCGACGGGAGATGGGCCCAATACCGCCGTTGTCGACGGGAATACGTTCGTCTCTCCAAGCGTTTATGTTTCCTTTACCAGCATCTACGCGCGGAGTAACCAGCGCGCCCACCCTGGTGGCCCCTGCGGCGATGATCATGAAAATGTGATTATTTCTGTCAACCCAGAAGCGATTACATCTTACCGTAACCATATCAACGCAAAATATCCCAAAATTGGAACCGCGTATCCTTTCAATTTGGCTGAATACCAACAGCATCAGGTCGGAAATTATACGATGTCGCTAATCCCTTGGGAGCAATACCTTGGTGGGTCTCAGTGTGTGTCCGGAGGCGGTGGTTGTAGCATGATTCGCGATGACTATCTTCCGTGGCTCGAGATGCCAGACGTCATGACACAGGTTGATCCCCGGTGGACCAGTTGTCATCGGTCCTGGTATATTCCACCGGTTAGTCTAGTGCCGCTGGTAGGTGGACTAGAGTCGCGACCAACGGGCATGGCGGAGGCGAGCAGCACCCCGGCTACTCCGGCGCTTCCTTCGTCGGGGCTGGCTGCGCCCACTCCGGAGGCTACCTGACGGAATGGTGATTGCCGTTTGCTTAGTACTGAACGATACTTCGGAACATCATATTAGTGTAATAAATCACGCTTTGGGGAGATCTCATATCATTATCTCCCTGCGCCATCTCTGTTGAAGACTTCACAATCAGTGAGATTGTTGGTTGATTAGAAGTAGAGCTGAAAAAGAAACTGAGATGATTAGATTGGGCGGCCTCTCGAGTCCTGTTTAGACAAAGATGCCGTGCGATATATATATTTATAAGGGATTGATACAGACACCACCCTTAAGATGCAAACTTAGCACCTATCCCCTATAAATATAGGAGTCTTACAGTGATACCACCAGATGCGTTAGGTTCCTGGTGACATTAAGCTATTGAACCTTGGATACCTCGTTGCGTGTAGCATTATATAAATGAGCCTAGACTACACCACCTATGTCATCGGCACTATAGATGAAATAATTGTCGCTATTGAGAGCGAGACTATAGACCACCGAGGTACTACTATATAATATGTTCGCTAGGGTTGATGTGAGTGTCCCTAAAGCTGTGACCGTGATGGCTTGGCTTAGGCAGCCGCTTGCGTAGGGACCACCGAATACTGTGAAGGGCTCCGCGATGGAAGAGACGATGTAGTTTACATTGTTACCACGACAATTCTTTCAGATTCTACTGAAAAGTCCTGCACGAAAAAAGTTCAAATCCAGCTCAGACCATGTCGTGACAAGCACAATATAATGTAGCGTGGGGTGGAAAATTAGTCCAAACCGGATGTGTAGCGAAAGTTGAAGTTGCACAAGTCTTGCGTTTCTCTTACGAGGGGAATATGGAATGTAGAAAGGAGAGACAAGAGAGACATGTAATAAACGAGAAAGTTGCATGGGCATAAAGTAAGCAGAAAGATGAAAGAAATTGTGATATTTAACTGCCTATTATTATCTCAATTCAACCACCCCCTGAAATTAATTCCTCCTATTATTACCTGTAATCTTCCTCTTTAAAGGCAACAAGCGGTATGAGTAGACTTGGGAGCCTGTCGACTCAGAAGCAAACCATGTCTAATAGTTGGTGGCCGGCCCCGTTGGACTGTATTTGTAGCCCGGGAACTGGTTGAACAGACTCTGATCGAAGTTTTCAAGCTCAGGACACTTGAGCTTACTAAGAAGTGGAGCCAGGAATGGATCAAAGTAGGAGGTCGCGTTGTTGATAGCCTCCAACGGCCCCTTGAGGAAATGGGGAATGCCCTGTTGCAAAAGAACGAAAATGAAGCATGCAAAGTTGTCACCTTCAAACAGGGTCTTGGCATTCAAAACACCACCAGTGAGATCCTCAATGGCCACACCAGTGAATGAGTTGACTGATCCGGTGTTTCCGCCAATTCTCAGAGTCTCGGGATATGCGAGATATCCAATACCAGCATCTGCTGCCACCTCGGCCAGGCCGTAAGGCGAAATAGTTGGGCGCTTGTACCAGTTTTCGGGAATTCGTTCCTGTCCTTTCTGCCAGACGAAAGAGCCAGGCTTGCCAGTTACGCCAAAGAATTGCTTGAAGTTATAGCCATCCTACTGGTTGTTAGATGATGGTCACTTTTTCGCACATGGAGCAACGTACCAAGTATCCCGATGGCTCCTCCTCCGAGTGATTAGACATGAAGTTGATGACAAAGTTATACGCTGTTGGCACAACCACCACAGTAGAGAAGGCACCGGTAAAGTAGTATGGGTTTGTGGCTATGGAGTGTTTTTGGACCTCCTCGTATTGAGCTCGGAACTTGTCGATGGTAAAGCGCTGATCAAATCCGTTTTCGGAGGTGTCATCACCACCGGTTTTGTAGACGGACTCAAACTTCTCGACGGAAAGTGAGTGGGCGTCACCGTTGTTTGTGAAAGCGTCGAGGCGTCCAATTGAGCCGTCACCCTCGTAGCTGTTGTGAGAGAACGAAAGACCCTGGCCATTTCCGAAGAAAGGTGTGAGAGGATCGGACTGTTGGGGACCGCCGATAGACCACGATCCACCGGCGAGATCGCCGTCAATCACGATTGCATACGCGGCAAGGACAGCGCCCAGATCAACTCCCAGGTTGTACACTAGATATTTCCAGTCATGTCAAAATCATCAGACGAGGCGAGACAACTTTCTTACATTTGTTGAGACCACGGACGGTCTCCTCGATTGTAGCGATTCCAGAACGAGGCAAATAGCCGTGATTGGCCGCGGCATTGAGTCCAGGGCAAGGCCCGCGGATTTCGTCTGGGGCAGGGGCAGCATAAGCGTACTCGCCTTCCACCGACACATACTGGTCCTTGGCATCAAAGTAAAGACAGGGGATCGTGGGCCCGCAGTTTGTTTCCGCTCGGCTGATACCCAACGCGTCCTCAGGAAGCGGAAGGGTTGAGCGCCGCACAGGTTGAAAATTCTCTTCTTCGAGAATCTTTAGAGTCCGCGCGGCCAGCTGGCCCGCTTTGTGGTGGACGTCGGCATCGAGGTTATCAATGACTGGGAAGGCCAAGCCCACCGTCACGAAGGTAGCTAGAGTAGGTAAGAGCTTCATGGCCAAAGAGCAAGGAAAGTAAAAAGTGGATTGGATTTAAGAAAATATTGATTGGGCTTCGTGGAGCTTCCCATATATATACAGAGCATCCGAATGGCACCAGAAGAGAGAAGACCGAATTCTTGTTTCTATGAGCATTTAAAATTGAGTATTGCATCAGCGACTTTCGCACCATCTCTTCCCGTTCGCACCCCCTTAGCAAAACCCCAAATATCTGGCAATGATGAAGATCAACCGATATTGGACTGTCGCTATGTTAGTGCAAAAGAACATCAGAAAAGGGTCTTATTGCACAATGCCCAGATCGAATGAAATTATATTGCTGACGATAAGCTGCGTGTGATTGGACGTAAGCAGGAGCAGGAAGGGATATCAAGCCCCACGATTGGCGGAGAAAGCTCTATCGGGCGAGAAACCAGCCTCACCGACGATCTTCAGCACGAACCTGGGATTGTCCCATGGCAACAGAATTGACGTGCTAGGTGGGGCGATAACCTTAATACCACGTACGAACAGATCTGCACTTGTTAATTTGGCAGGAGCTGTGGGACTGCATGCCAGTAGGCTCTAGCGTTGTAGATCGTCACCCTAGTGCAAACTATGTAGGGACGTCGTAGATATCTGATGTCGTAGGGATAAGAAGCATAATACGCGCGCAGTTAACTTCCAAAATTTGATGTGAAGATCCCGACACTAGCGCGAATCCTGCAGATACTAGCGCGGAGGAAAGTTCCTTGTAGAATTTATTACCACGATGTTTAGGCCGTACGGCGTTACATTGGTGTCAATACATATGAACCTAGATACATAGTTTTACCGTGTTGGTCATCTCAAGAAGCGATGCTACAAATTTATGTCGGCGATGGTGCAATTAGCCTAACGCAGGTTCTCTCGGTAGGGAAAATAGGGAAAATCTATCTCTGCTCATTCAACTCAAAGTTGGGGTAATACCAGCTGTTCTTTGACATATCCATCTAGTTCTTCGATATCATCTAAACCTCAAGCAGTTAAGCCGCATCTGCCACTAAATCTTTGTGCAAGCTCCTGTTGGCATTGGGCCAACAAAATTGCGAGGGCCTAATCCCGTAGAATACAACATGTTACTGGAAAGCTCTAACAACGAGATAATAATAATTAGAAAAGAATCACTAGAGATCAGAAAGGCGTAAGGTAGTTGGGTCCGTTCAACCGGGATCTTGAACCCCATCGAAATTCCTCCGCTTTTGTATCCAAAAGTATACAACAGGAAATATCTGCTCACTCCGAGCCGTTCAAAATCACATCCGCCGCCTTCTCGCTGATTATGTAGATCGGGGCCGTGATGAACACACCAGGAATGTCAGGGAAGACACTAGCATCGACGACGCGAAGGTTTTGGACGCCGCGCACCCGGAACTGCGAATCCAGTACAGCATTTGGGTCGTCCTCAGCCCCAATAGCAGCTGTACAAGACGCATGATGACCCCAAGCGACGTCCTTTGCATATTGCTCTAGATCTTCATCGCCTGCAACATCTTTGCCCGGGTTTTCCTCCTCAAAAGGCGAGCCGCCCAGAATACCATAGTTGTAGTACTCGGATAATGCGTTTCGGGAAATGTTGATTGCTTGGACAATTGCACCCACGTCGAGATCATCTGCACCACCCGCAGTAGTACCTGTGTCGAAGTAGTTGAAATTGATCCGAGGCTGATCAAAAGGGTCTGTTGATTGTAACTCTACGGTGCCGGCGCGATTCCGCCCATGCGCCTTCAGGGTATACCACGAGAAGTGCGAATGATCCGCGACAGCTTGCTCGGCCCAACCGGGGAAATATCCTTGAAAGTTGATGGGGCCGCCAAAGATGTAAAGATCAATGTCCGAAGTCGAGGCATAATCCGAGTGTACAGCGAGGGTGGCCGCAAGGCCGTTCGTGGCATAGGCTCCACGCTGACCGAGAATGTAAGGGTTATCTTCCCATTTTTTGAGACATTCATCATGGGGCTTTTCGTCAAAGGTACAACCCTTGAGGATAGGAAAGTCCTTCTCATGTTGGACGTTCACGGGGACCTCGTAGCGATCCATCAAGTTCGTGCCAACACCTGGCAGGTCTTTCACAACGGGAATGTTGAACTTGGCCAACTCTTCTTTGGGACCGATCCCGCTGAGCTTCAGCAACTGAGGCGTATTGTATGCACCGGCAGATATGATGACCTCCTTTGTCGCCTTCGCCGAACCAGGGAGGCCAGGACGGCTGTGAAGACTCCGAGGGCTCGCCCGGTAAAGATATTCTCCGTCTTGAAACTCAACTCCGGTGGCTTTTGGAGTGGCTCCCGACTGATCGAAAGTGATTTTCGTCACAAAGGCATTTGTGCGAACATCCAACGGGAAGCCCTCCGCGACAGTGCTTTTGATGAACTGGCTGACGTCGGTACGATTGCCCGCATTCATCGTCAGGGGCACTTGGAAGAATCCTTGGGTTGAATCGCGCGTGGGGTTGATCTGGCTGTTGGGATCATTCCCTAGAAGATTCAAAAGACCCTCGACGGCGTTGAGAGGGTCTGGACCTTGCCCCGAGGCAGCAGCACCGGCGACATACTGTTGAGCGAGAGGGAGGTCATTCAACAAAATCGTCGGGTCAGTTGGCTCGGTGTAAAGCCATTCGTCAACTTTCTGAAGATACTGGTCCATGTTCTCATGGGCCCACGACAAGTCTCCGGTCAAGCTTGCAATGTTGTCCCAGTCACTGTCATGCGGAGTGATCCAGATGAGCGCGTTATGGGGGGTACATCCTCCCAAGGATTGTGCACGGGGATACAATATACCACGCGGGGTCGCACCTTCGGGAGGATTGGGCCCAACGTGATATTCGAATGGCGCGGTCTCCCATGTGTACTTGGGATCACGCTGTGCGCGCGTTTGATCTTGGTAATGGTTCACAAAGATATCCCATCGGAGTGAAGGATCCTCAGTGACAGCCGCTTGATATCCGGGAACCGTAGTGTTGAGATTGTCAGATTGGTCACTGCCAGCTTCGATAAGAAGGGTCTTGCGGCCTTCCCGGGCGAGCCGGCTGGCTAAAGGCCCTCCTCCAGCTCCACTACCAACAACGATGTATTCGTATTCGAGATCAGTAGCCGCAGTAGCAACTGGGCTGAGAAAGAGGAGAGGGAAGATGATGAGGTTAAGCAACTCCATCATGAGAACACAGAGTCAAAAGGTACCACTTGACCTTTCAACTAGCCAGGTATTCATCCTTATTTATGTAAAATATATTTCTATTTAGTTCATTGTCTATCCAAATTCCACAATATGGCGTGATGCTCGCCGCAATGGTGAGAGTAAAATGGCCAGAAGCAGTGCCTTGTAGAAATGTGTTTGATAACGGTAAAATCTGAGTCAACTCTCTGTTGTATTACCAAGACGGACCCCAAATTTCAGCTTACATTTAGTCTTAAACCTTCTGTTCATTGATGGGATGCTGATCGTCCTACTGATTCAGTCTTTGTAGTTAATGAACCTTGATCGACACCATCTGTGAGAGAGATCCTCGCGAAGCTGCATGGGTTTTCCCGCAAAAATGCATATTTCCCTTTTTCTATTTCTTGCAAAGTTTGCTGCTAATGCTTCGAATATTGAAGCTTGTGGTTGAAGAAAAGTCGGTTGTTTCTTCACAAGACTTGTTACAAACATGACCATTGTCTTAATTTAAAATAGGATCGATTGGATCTCTGCCTTATATCGAGCTAAAAGGCCCTATTTTTCCCACACCAGACACAGCTGTAGGACAAGATGTCAATCATCAAGCAAGTATTACTTCTTCTATTGTACGATTCTACTAAGCATCCATAAGGCCCAGAACGCTGTGATTGGTTGATAACTCCGAGTTTGGAAACTTGTGGAAAATCCAGACTGGTAATAAAGGGCTCCTTGCTCGGGCTTGCATCTTCCCTCTCTTGTCAATGATCTTCAAAATTGCCAACGGAAGACAGGGACCTGAACTTAAAGATACTACTCAACATGCCACCCACAAGGCCCGAAAGATCTCGGCCGAGAAGGTACCCCAATGGTTCACTTCGGCTGCTTAAACTGACTGCCATTACCGACTACCTGGGTTGCGCAAGATGAGCTATGAGCCAATTGATGTTGCATATTGTACAAAGTGATCGTCCAAGCTGAAATAAACAGCGGGGACTAGTATTATTCTGCAAAAGGTCCCCGAGGGAATATTACGGTGACCATGGTTCTGAGTTCTATACCTTAACGTCAAATACTGCCGTGATTTGAGGTCCCGATCACGATAAAGGCTGCGACCCAGGTCACAACCAACGTGCATGATATAAAATAGTAATGAAAATGCACACATATCTCTGTAATTCTTGATGATACTATAAAACTTTTACTTTGCTAAAGCAACGGCCATCTTCATTGCAAAATGACGTCCTTGTGGGAAAGATTCCAAGGCAAGAATTTCCTTATCACAGGAGGCTCTGGGTTCCTGGGAACTGCGATTGTCTACCGACTCGTCACAAAAGCCTTCAAGCCCGGGAAGATCTACATTGTCTGCAGAGGCGGTCGCCAGTAAGTCCTAATAGCTTCCTTGCTTGATAAGAATACTAACAAATGATCTCAATATGTTAGATCGCTGGAAAAGAAATGGATACAGTGGCTCGGTTCCGAAGCCGACGCTCTTTTGAACGCGGATAATCTCTTTGTCGTGCAAGGCGATCTGGAAACAATGGATGTGGACACTGCATTGGACGGACTGATACCGGAACTGAATGTCATAATCCATGTCGCTTCCACGATAAACCTTACCCGCCCGCTGAAACAGATCAAGAATATGATCGTCCATGCTAGCATGAAGCTCGCTGAGCTTGCTACAAAGTGCGACAACTTGGAGCGCTTTGTGTATGTCTCAACGGCTTATGCGAATTCGAACTTGTACCAAAGCCGCGGTACCGCACATGTCAGGGTTGAAGAACAGATATATACCTACGGTGGTGATACAACTGTTGACGAATTTGAGGAACTTGTCAAATCCGATGAACCTGTTCAGTTCAATGAGTTTGTTGAGCAGTTTCCCTACGCATACACCTATGCCAAGCACTTGACAGAGCGCCTGCTGCAAAAGAAGCTCCGTGATCAGCTTCTTATTGTGCGGCCCTCCATCATTGGCCCAGCCCAGAGTTACCCATTTGGTGGATATAGCATGCCACTGTCAACCCCTTCCACATTGTTCTCAGCTGCCGTCATGTTGACCCCATCTCGCTCTATGGTACTCGCAACGCGAGCATCTAACCCGATGATTGAAGCGACCAGTGATGAGGTTCCCGTGGACGTGGTCGCAGATCGATTACTAGCCCACCTGGCATATGGGACGACGGGGCCAGTGCATGCTGTTAGTGGAAGGAATGCCCTAAGCATCTTTCAAGACTGGTGGCAGGAATGCATGAGGGAGCGCCGTCTCCCATGGAAGGTCAAACCCGTTTGGAGACCCATCGACTGGCGATCACCTGAGCTACACCCTATCAGCCGCACGACTGTCTTATTCGGGACATCTTTCGAATTTTCAGAGGAGAAAACTGCCGATTTGTTGGTTACGCTGGAAGATGACGAGCAAGGGGAGTGGGAGCTTTACACTAAGAAAACTGAAACTGAGTACGATCTGTCCCAACGAAGGCAGCATATTCGATATTGTATGAAAAGGCTCGCAAAAAGAAACGCTGGGGCTCGGATGTTGATTCGAATGTTTTACCGGAACTATGGCACAAAATGACCGTGGGACTGGACCCTACGTTGCAAGATATCTGATTTGTAAAGTTCATTTCCCTGTTGATTAATCCGCGTCTTTTGGCATTGACCTTTTCATAATAATTGCTCTTTTTCGTTGAATCAATGTCTACTATCTTAATATAGCATTACCGCATAGTTCAAAGAGAGTGTGTTTTACAGTAGTGCTTACATCTCGGGTTTCTGCTTTGCTGATAGGTTGTTGGTATCCCTAGGTTAGTTTACGAAGATATAGCACATGGCGGTAGATTCGACTGTACAGAGTTGAAATATTTGCAATTATCTACCTCTAGGTACGTTGCGTTGTCTCAGGGTCCGGTGACCCTGGACCAGAATGGACAAAGGCTTATTATTTGAGTTCCGTCGTGTTGCCAATAATTGACTTCGAACTTTATAATTCGTTTATCACAGAATCTGATGTTTTTCGGATGCGTAAGAGGTTCACGTTATGATGGGATATGGGCAGTATGTGACGAATATCCTGATCGTCGCAGATGAGATAGGGACAGCCGAACCAAAAACCTTAAAAGTTGAAAGTATATGAAAAATGCTCCACATACACGGATCCACTACGGCAGGTTTAAGGGCACGCGAGACAAATGCATATTAGATTGGCTATTTGTTATATACATATAGGACTATACCAACCAATCATGTATTTGTCCAGTGTGCCGCTTCTGTAATCCGCAGACAAAGCTGTTCGATCATCCGTCGCAACTGATGCTAATTAAAGCGCCACTAGATAGCAGAAAGGCGCACTGGCCCCTGCATGATAAATGGTTTATTGTGGGGAAATGTGGAGAAACACAGGTTAAACGGACGAGTAGGAGGCGCCCCTTTACACAGCCAGAATATTCTTCCGGTAGAGTCAACAGAAATATTGTCCGATCGACACGCCTTTTTTCACTTGCTTAGAGTTCGTCTTCGCTTACGTGCTATGTAGGTATCCACACCATAACTTAGTTTCGATATAAAATGGTCACCGGCTGTTGCTAGCTTAAAAGTATTCCTTGTCACGCCATTGAGGAATGAATTTCGAATTTTAGGCGAGTGAATTGCTAACATCAGTGCGGTGTTCCCGGATAATTTGAAATAAAGTATGATCGTCTACCTATACCCTAGCGTATAAGAAACCATCTTTGAGCTTCGAAAGGTTTAGCAAATGCCCCTGAGCTTCTGGAATTGTTATATTTTCAATACTTCATCCATCGAGTCGAGCTTTTCCAACCTTGAACAAAATGAACCTATGGCAACCAATTCTCTTGCTGGCAGTTACGAGCCTGTCTGTTGCCGGAAACTGCCCCTTTGCCAAATTTGCCAAAGCCGGCAATGGTGGTGTTCCCGAGCTTGACCATGAAAAGCTGAACGACTTCGTTGCCAAGATGAAGCAATATGCCCCCGAAGACGCAGCTCCCCTAGCAGAGAAGCTTCGCGCGGCATTCGATCCAGCCTCTCAGCAAACCGATGTCAGAGACGACCTCTAAAAGCAATCTTCTGGTCTAACGCCATCCATGAATGTGAGGCCTGGCCATGGCACTTTGAATCGGATCCCCAGTCGGCAATATTTTCAGTGCGGCAAGTGATATTTTTCAGAATTTTCGTTATTTATCCTTTCTGGGTATCCATTGCCCAGATTTGCAACACGATACCTATAGGTACAGGGGCAAATGATATTGATATTCCGTGATTGGGGGAACAAATCATCAACTGCATACGCGCGGTGTTGAACGGAAGGACGGAGACAAGATCGAAATAATGTATGGAAGAACGCTTGGAATGAGAGAGGAAAGATTTTTGGGTCGGTATCGGAGCCATATCGAAATATGAGGATGACACGGATATCTGGCGTTTCTTTGTCAACATTATTGAGAGGGATTTGTTAAGACTTCAAAGCCTGCTTGAATCTGTCCCATGGTAACTTTGAAGCAGCCTTAACTCAATTTGGCCTTCGAACAATGTAATCTACATCGTCAGTGCGATAAGCACGTTTTATATTATCGTAATGCCCACCCAGAAGTGTTCAGATTGTCCTGTCTCCTCTTGGGTGCTCCTGGAATTTGGGACCAAAATGGCTGCAACCATCGGGGTCTCAGGTAGATGCTGATAGTGTTGGAGGCACACTTCTACAACCTGCTACATCATCTAGGACGGCTATCTTAACATTCATTGTGCTTGCAAGCTTCGAAGATGGTATGGATTATTTGAATATCAGATGATTTTGCAGAATTGATCTGACTCACACTGAAAGACCTCGGCTTTGTCTTGGTCACTCTAAGTACAGTGCGCCACTCGCTTACTCAAAGATACATTACCCCTATTCTCGGGCGGGAGGATTAGACAATTGCATGATAATTTCAGTAATCACGAATGACATTTCAACTCAAGTTCCCTTTAACGGATTTTCAAATACGCCATGTTTGTCAGGTCATGAAATACGCCATGATTGTTACCATGAGGACCTTGGAAGTTCTCGCCGGCTTTGACACAGATGTAACTATCTACTTAGTTGGGTACCTTGCTGAGAGGAGCCGAGATAGATTGTGAAGTATTTCGAGCCGTTCAAGGAGTTTAATCCCACTCGATATTGTATGTTGACCTGCAATACTGAACGAAGGACAAAGGTACGGATCATGCATTCGTACTAAACGTGGAAGTTCAAATAACGATTATGTATTCAAATATAAAGCTTTCTTCCCATCTACCTATAGCCCAGTCCAACCCTACACACGCGCTATCGTTCGAGATCTAGTGTTTCTTCTTCTTTCCAAAAATACGCGATGTATCACCGAGCGGTATCTCCAGAAGAGAGTCCTTCAAGAGCAAATGAAAAACAATATACCAACCTACCAAGCCTGCGAGGAAACAAAAGACTCCGCCTGATTTTTTCAGAGCTTCGGCCGAAGATGCATGGCCATCAGCCATGGCAAAGTAGCTTGCCGCGACGGTGAGAAATCCAAGATCAACAAACAAAAACACCAAGATATAAGCGATGTTGCTCGGGAGGGATGCGATCAGAAACGTGAACACAAAAACAGTCCACAATATCATGAAGAATCCAACTGCATTATTATACTCGGCAGTACTATCACCGCCGTATGCCTGTGCGACACCAAATGCGGGGGTTAAGAGCGCACCATAGCCAGCATAGAAGAGACCTAGAAATAAATTAACAACAGGCTTCTGAGACGTTCAAGCAAGGCTAGATTTACCGAAAGCACTAAAAACGGTATAGGCAAAGCCGTTACCGATAGAGAGCTCCCATTGAGCTGTCACGACCAGACCGAACGCTGCAATGAAGAAAAAGTTTCCAACGAAAACATTTGTCGTGGTCACTCCTCTCCATTCCATCAGACTCAGGGACAGTGTCGTGAGGGTTGTACCGAATGCTCCAAGAGCCAAGGCTGACTTGGGAACAGGATGAGTGGTCTGGTGCTATTGTGAAAGGATATCGGACTTACACCTGCACCAAGGGACTTCGGAAGCCCAGCTACCAGCGCACCTTCTCTTTGCTGCTCAACATCGAACACCTTCTCCGCACTGGTGTCCCCATTTCCAGAATTTTGGGTGATAGTGGTCATTTTCATGGGATGGTGAAGGTTGAAAAGTATGAATAGATTCACGGCGGACTGGTGGATTCAGGCCCGGGAGAGAATGCTGAGAGGCTTGATTTATCTGAAGTCGTCCCCCCTTTTCTTGCCAAAGTCATGCTACCATACATCACATAATTACACTGTATGATGGCGAGCGAAAAACCTCCTCTTGTGACTACGTGGGATTCAAAGAAAGTTTTGCAGATCGGTCCCTGGTAGAGTAAAAGCATTCTGGTGGAAATGAATAATGTTGGCTTTGATCCGAAAGCTCAAAATTGCGACATAGATCTCAAGCTCAAAAAGACTTGTCGGCCGAGTAAGCAAGCTGTATCCCACCATCAAGCTTGATATGAGGTGCTCATGGGATGTCAGCCTCAGCTGGGGCAGAAGTTCCACCCTGCATTCACAGTGACGATCGGGACTGTGACCGTAGGCGGGCAAGGAATCCCAACACGTATTGGAGCAGCATGTTCAACGCATCATTGCCCCAGGAGAGTCAGCTAATGTGGCTCTGAAAGCTAAATAACTTGTTGCTCCAAACTCTGATCTAGATGCGGGCCCGCTAACAAAGTGTTAGGATATCTGATAACCCGACCTTGGATTATCCGCTGGAAAACATGTCCACATACCCAAGCCCGCAATCAAAACACACTATGTACCAATAAGGCTACAACGGCAAATATGTCTTGTTATTCGAGGTACCAGTCGCGATGTATTGCTTCGGTGTCGATCTTTATCTCGGTGTCATCTTCCGAGAAAGCTCTAGGCTTATAGCCCATTATAGGGTCTCTTCCTTCGGTGATGTTCCATATCCCGATAAATGACGGCCCAAAATATAGTTCTGGCGCCACCCAGCGTGCGCTTTTGCTCTTTTCTTGACATGCTATCCTTCCTCGCAGCAGCTTTTCCCAGATCCCAAGACGAAGCCTATTTGTGACTGCGGGTCTAAAGCAACACAAGACATAGCAGACTCCAATATGCATTTCATCTCAGTCTTTGCTACACTCCTCGCCATTAAAAATGTGGCTGGGGCTTCCGCCGCAGCTGCTTCTGCTTCTAGCACACCTGCTGTTGTGAATAACGCTGATACTGCAAATATCAACTTTCCAAACACTGCACCCCCGCAAGATACCGCACAGTCGGCCACTACGTCCCACTCCGATACTCAAAATACCAAAGGGGTGGAAGGGGATACTGCCTCAGCTGATGAAGCGTCTACCAACACCGCCAATGTCAAGGACAACACTGTGACAGTTAGCAGCAATGGCGCAGCCAGCACTGCGACCACCAACACCGGCAACGAATCCATCACTGTCAATACCGATGGTCCGCTTGGTAGTATTTTGGGGGCTGGCGCGTCCAGTACCGGCAATACTGCCGCTGAGACCAAGACCGACCATACCATCCAGACTGCCGCATCGTCTACTGCGAGCAGTACAGACTCTGAGGATTCTCCCAACTCTGAATCCAGTGCAGAGAGCTTGGAGTCGACTCTCAACAACCTTCTTGGCGGCTCTTCCGGCTCCGGCCTCGAGGACTTGACCAAGGGAATTGGCGGCTTGCTGAACCCTGAGCTGTTGAGTGAGATCGAAAAGTCTTTTAAATACATCTCAACAAGCTTGGCTCCTCCCGTCGACACCAACATCCAAATTTTGCTCAACGACGCCAACACTGCAAACATTGCCAACCTGCTTTCAAATGCAAATAAGCTCCTTGTTGATAAGAATATTGCGACCTTGAGCAGAATTATTAGCAAGGCGGACAGCCTTTTGTCGGATAAGAACCTACAGGGCATTGAATCTCTTCTCAACAATATAGACAAGGTCAATGGACTCGTTGAGAAGGCCGATGACCTCCTGGGCAATGACACAGTAAAGAACATCGAAGGCCTGGTTGATAATGGTGCAGAACTATTGACCGCTGATTTCGTTAAGAAGACAAAGTCTTTGATCGATTCTGCTGGATCCCTGCTCACTGAGTCGACGACAAATGCCCTGAAGGATATCCTCAACGCGACGGTTCCTTTACTGCCCGACGTGAAGTCTTTGTTGACTAAGGACACAATTGAGGATATCAAGACTCTCTTGACAAATGCAAACAGTCTTCTATCCAAGTCAACAGTCTTGGCAATCAAGTCGCTCCTGGACGCTTTGATTCCCCTACTGCCGGAAATCAAGGGTCTGCTGACAAAGGATGTCATCAACGACATCAAAAACGTCCTGAAAAATGCCAATAGCTTGCTCAGTCAAGAAACTGTCGACGCTTTGAAGTCACTCTTGGAGTCAATCCTTCCTTTGATCCCCGACCTAAAGTCCTTTTTGAGAAAAGATATTTTGACGGAACTTGAAAACCTGCTTAAGCAAGGCAGCTTGCTTCTCTCTCCCAGCTTCGTGGATGATACTAAGGGTCTCATCACTTATGCGAGCGATTTGCTCACGAAGGACGTCGTGAAAGCCCTCAAGGAGGTACTTGCCGCGCTGCCGCCACTGCTGCCGGAGCTCAAGTCCTTTTTGACTCCCAAGACTTTCTCCGACCTTGAGGGCCTACTTGGAACAGCATCGAACCTGTTGACACCCTCGTTCGCGAACGAGACCAAGAGTTTGGTCTCTCATGCGGATTCCTTGCTCAGCCCGGGCTTTGTCTCAGGTCTGAAGAGCATCCTGGGCGATGTTACACCGTTGCTTCCCGAAGTTCAGAAGCTCCTGACGCCAAACACAGTTTCTACGATCAGCAGTCTCTTGACAAATGCGGGAGAGTTGTTAACTCCGGACTTTGTCAATAACACGCTTTCCTTGGTCGATGGTGCTGATGATCTACTGAGCCCATATGTCTTTGGTGGTCTCCATGAGCTTCTCAACGGTCTGGTGCCTGTTGTTCCGGACATCAAGAAGGAGCTCCTCAATGAGATCACTTTGGTGAATCTTGGATCCTTGCTTGGCAATGGGACAGACCTTCTTACGACATCCTTCGTCCAAGAAACCCATTCTCTCATTTCGGAGGCTGGGGAGCTTCTGGATTCTAAGACTGTGGATTATTTGAAGGAGATCCTGGAGAGCGTCAACAAATCCACGCCCCAGATTGTAGAGCTTCTCGGACCGCAGTCAATCACGAAGATCAACACACTCTTGAATAATGCTGGAAATCTTCTCAGTACCGGGTTTGTGAATGAGACGACCACTCTCATCGATGATGCTTCGGAATTCTTGCCTTTGATCAAGGATTTGCTGAATTCGCTGTGAGGGCTTGATGTTACTTCTCGATGAACGTTTATACATGTGATTCAACCATTGAATATGTGAAATAGCGCGTTTTAATTATGCCTACCTATAACTTGTGTTGCATTTTATCTTATTTCATTCTTCGTCGCGTAATTGATACTCGCTTGCCTTGCCGTTGGAAGTCGAGGTTGAAGTTAGGGTTCTGTGACCATGCCACACAGCCCTCTCCTCAACCCTGTTTTACCATCAACAAACAACGAGGCAAGAAACTCAATTACTAAGTCATTTCCATTGCTGCCATTGATGAGTGGACGTGGCAGCTTCCTGCAGCGAGTTCCCGGTTGTCGTAACAACTGTTCAGAGTGAAGCCAGCCAAAGCTCCACCGACCGAACACAAGATCATGTGGGGTAACTCTCTATCGCCTTAAGCAAAGCAGGTTGGCGTATTATTTGGGTTGATGCGGATCCCACTAGTTGTACCGAACGTATGGATAGATGAGGAGTAGCGACAGGGGAGGTTGGGTAAGCCTAGCGAAGAGCGGCAGACAAAGGGGGAACCGGATGTCACGAGAGAAATAGGCTCGTCATAATGGCTATATTCACGCCATCATTGATATTCTTCGAGATCGTCAACCAACAATGGTATCGGGCGGGAAACATAAGATTTCTCGCGCCACCGACACAGTCCAATATGGACCGCCCAGCTTTCGGAGAACTTCCGGTGAACGACTTGCTATTGTTTTCCTGATACAGCAGTGACAATCGCAATTTATCGCAGCCAGTCGTTATCCAACATCCTGGCGTGGTTTATACTGCCACGCACATCACCTGCAGTCTATGTCACATCGACCGTAATCCATCTCAATCCAGCTGAAGCCTCTCGCCACTGCTTTCAACGGGCTCCTACAAAACCATTGAGTACTTCAGGCATTTTAGCTGATGTATCCAATAGAACCAGCCAACTGCATAGTCCCGCTCTAGGAGGTGGGGGGAGGGGGAATATTGAAGCTGAACGAAAAATTAGTCTCCCTTATACAACGAGTTTGGACAAAATGACAGGATGTGCACGCTGACTGTCGGAGTCTGTTTCTCTTGCTTTGACTTTCTTTCCTTTCTGAGGTTTTTCTCATTTTCAACCTCGACTTGTTTGTGTCTGTCTCAATCCCCTAAATAAACCAAATTCTATGTTCCTTTCCGGTAGCTCTGGTAGAATCTCAGCGGGTAAGAACGCCATTTTTTGGGCATGGCGGGGTACAGAGTGACAGAGAAGCCCATCCACGTCCGATAGAGCGCGCGCGTCATCGCGGTGGATCGGAGCTCGTAGGCTTCGCGCAGCCTTGGGGGCAGCATCTCGATAGTAATCCCGCGCAGGAGAGGCTTCATGGTCTGCACCCACTGCGGCATGTCGGTACTATCGCGCAGGTCCTTGGCGAATTGCGCTGCATCGCGGGAGACAGTCAGCTGGGCGACCTGGTGGTCCCAGTAGGTCCAGAATGCCTTGCGCGAGGCGGGCCAGGTATCCGGGTGTATACCCAGGTAGTTCGTCAGCAGAGTGAACTCGCTATAGGCTTTCTGGGCGGTGTTATAGTCGACGCGGCCGTAGATGCGCTGGTAGATGTCGGTCGAGGTGGAATATATGGTCGCGGCCATCCATAGCTGTAGGTTGGAGTGGTGTGCGAACTGAACGGTGTGGCCGCCTCCCAACAGTGGCGCCTCTCTGTTCCATAATAGATTGATTAGATCCAGACGTTCGGTGCGTGTTCCAAACACCAAGCACATAATGTTGCTGATGTGTGCCTGGAGGGCATTCAGGAGCTCGGAGGCGAGTTGCTTGTGGTCGCCAGAGGACATTTCTTCACGGATGCTGGGCAGCGCCGCTTGGAGCAAGAGGGCCGCCCCAGATCCGGTCAAGAGGATACCTTCTTGGAGAATCTGAGGTAAGATTTCTAGCTGCTCTAACGCACGAAGACGAGAGTCGGTGGTGGGAACGGTCTTCTCAGTTCCGTTTATACCGCTCAAGCCTGCCTCATACAGGTTTATAGGAGACACAGAGGAGGCGGAAGACATAGTGAGAATGCGAAATATAGAGCTAAGAATTGAAGAGACGATATGAGTTTTAATAAGAAGGGTGGAATTGAGAGAATCGAAGGAAAATAAGAGTGCAACACAGCCTCACCGAAGAAGGATCAAGGCTCTCGAGCCTAACCACAGTTTCTGCCCGTCACGCTGCGGGTCAATAGCGAAGCTCGGTCGTTCGGGAGGGGGATTTTCGGCCTTGTAATGGGTTTGTTTCCATTTAGAAGTCTTGCCCTTGGTGCCCCTCTGGGGTTATCAGTGGCAGTTCATTGAAAATGAGCATCTCAGCTGGCTGATCTTCGCCTTTCTGGATTACCGATGGCCAAAGGTGTGACTTATAGCCGAAGTCACACCTTTGGCCCAACGTGGACGGAAAAACATGTAGTCTCAGTCCACTTTTTGCTTCTTCTCCCTTTCTTGTGCTATCATGCACACACGTTAACCTCGTGAACTCCCCACCGACCAATCCGCTGTGAGCCCTGACTGGATGGAACTGATGGGACCGAATGCCCCCAAGTTTGGAGGATTGGCTCCACGGGCTTTTATCTTATCCCCCAATGATCCAATTCTCTTGTCTGTCCTAATTCCACACGCTACGGATACAGGATCTTCCCTCACCTCTCCTTTCACCAACGATTCTACTGGGTTTTGCATGTGCAGACCGTCACCATGGGGAAAACCACAGATGACCGACCAGCGTACCTGACCTCTGATGATGCCAAATACTCGCTCGGGCTGCATCGGGGCCCCATGCTGGCCAAAGAGCTCAATGAGAGCTCCGCACTAGAGCAGGTCGAGTCGGCCCGTGGAATCTCCCTAGAAACTCAGGAACGCACGAGGAAGGGAAAACTGGCGCGTCATTGGAAGCGATTCTGGTGCATTTATCTCTTTGCCAACATCATCTTCCTGGCAATTTTCCTGCCTATCTTGTGAGTTGCGTGCTATTCCAGATTCATCTGGCCTTGAGTCAGTCGTGCATCCGAAGCTAACAGCATATCAGCTTCTTAGTAGTCATTCCCGCAATCTCTCAGTTGGTCGTCGACAAGAGTGACCTAGTACTGGTAAGAGCGGCGGTAATGCAGCCGCAGCCGAGCTCAATACGATTGACCCTTCAGTCGGCCTTAGACCTGAAGATCGCCCTGCCGGTGCGCATCGAGCCAATCGAGTTGGATCTGTTCGTGCGTGACCGCGGTGTCTCCAGTCCATGGGGTGAGGCCACCATCCCTGGCATGACCATCAAGGGCAATACTACTCTAGGCGTGTCCGACACCCATACCCCGCTTCAAAATCTATCCACCTGGGTGAACTATGTGCAAAGTGTGGTCTTCCAAAAGGAATCTACATTGTCGATTAAGGGTGCCACCAATTCGTACCTCGGTGTACTTAAGTCTAAGGTCACCATGGACAAAGACGTCACATCCCCTGGTAGGTTGTTGGCTTGGAATTGACCCTCAATCTAGAAAAATGGTACTGATAGTTTTTAGCACTGAACCAATTCACTGGGTTCAGTATCTCCGACAGCGGCCTCGTCGCTCGACGGTCAGATGGCACCAACCTGGTCGGCAATGCGACTCTCCCAAATCCTTCCGTGCTGACGCTAGAGGTCGGTACCATCGTTCTTGATGTGAAAAGCGGCGACCTTGTGATTGGTAATGCCACTCTCACGGACGTCACTCTGGTTCCTGGCAGCAACACATTCCCTTTGACGGGAATCCTGGATTTCGGGACAATCTTCTCACACCTAGAAGAAGTGCTCTCCTCGCAGGCCAGTCTGCTCAAGACTGGAAACCTGACCCTCGACACGGTCACCAGATCGGTAACGTGGAACAGCACGCGGGTTCCCTATTACACCGAAGTGATGAGTCAGTTGACTCTAACTGCCAACGTGCCTATCGCTGGTCTCCTGAAGAACTCAGTCCACAATCTAATTGGAAGTAGCGAGGAGATTTCCTCTCTCCTTCGTTCATCTTCACATAGCAGCAGCATCAGTTCTATCTCAAGCCTGCTGAACAACACGGGCAGTAACAACACTAGCAGCCTCAAGAGTGAAGGTTCGGAGCTAGCTTCGAAGATAAAGAGCCATGTAGCAGTGCGTGACCTTTTGCGCGATGCACATCCTGTCAAGCGCGATATGATCATCGAAACAGTGGCAGAGATATACGCAAAGCTATAGAGCCGCGCCTTCATCGACTACAGCATGTATTTTCTTTTCTATTTCAAGCTTAATAATGCCAGTTGCACAAGATTGCCACTCGTTCTTCCACCTAGGCAGCTTTCGTTTACGCTTTTGGATTACGACTATGCTCTCTGTTGATGGGGTACGGAGTTGCGTATTTGTTGGTAGAGGGCAAACAGTCCACCCCGATCACGTCAGGCAAAACTTACAGATTTAGATCTCTGGTAGTGCTCGTCGATAAGTCTGTTCACACAAATGTGAGTTCTAATTACCCAATCACACCATCTCCCCGTAACTTCTTGAAATCCCACTATTAAACCCTATATAATTCTCATCGGAAGAATATAGCTCGTCAACCCGTACCTCGTAAATTCACACAGTACACAAAAATACCTTCTCCCAGTCATCAGTACTGGTTATTTTGGACCAAGGGTTCTTCTCTTGTTTTCAAATGATGTGGTCAATTTCATAGTGGATTTAGTCACGCACGCCTGCAGATTTGCGTTACAGTTTCTCTCACTGATGATGGAATGGTAGCGGCAGATTGTAAATATCTTGATCGTCGCCGTGCCCAATTAAGAGTGATATACGACTATATGTATTATCAGCCAGCCTGAAAGGTTTTAGTTGATTATGCGTGAGAAAACTCAATGCAGGAACAGATCGCGCTAACGTGTGTAACACCATGAAGGATGGTCACCGGTCGCCACCGACGCATATCAAGGCGTCTCGTCAAGGTCGGAAGAGCGCACTTGCGACAACAAGGACTTAAATATCGTCATCTGGCGATCTTTGCGGTTCTCTGGTCAGGCCACTGACAAAATCACACTTGCTCTTCACAATGCCTCTGGACGAGGAGGGAGCTAAGTGGTCCTGGTATACTTATCTGTCTGAAAATATCATTGCGGATGTGCTGATAATGCCCTGAACCAGCGAGCCATGTATTCGCGGTCATCGATCCTCAAAATGCCAGCATTTCGATCGATTGATGATAAAAGTGCGCAAGGCTGGACGTCCTCTTACTCAGTGTCCTCACCCGAAAGGAGCTTGCAGTTGCCAGAGGACATATATCGCAATGGCCAGAATCTCGAAAGGTAACCAGCCCGCGTTTCTTTCATGCTGGGATCTGCTAACGCGCTCCCAGGCTCGAGGTATCTTTGCCGACCTTTATACAAACTCCCAGAGAGTCAAGATGACATCTCTCAATCAACCCCAGCATATGTGCCCCTTATGGCGTCACCACATCCGTCTCGTTAAGGAAGGGGCAGAGTTGACTGCAGACGTAGTAGGTTATTGGTCTGGTCATGATTCAACTGGCTAGGGACTAATAGCGAAATCTTCAGCAATACATGTACATACTGAAATGGGGACGGCTCGATGGCAGTCTAATATAGCAGACGGGTCGATATCAATGGAGAGAAGACAACCAACCACTCCCATGCCCACCGTAGGCATAGAGAGTAGTCTCAGGAAGCGACTGAAGTACTGATCTTGAAGCTATATCATGAATGAAGAATCTGGTGGAAAAAGCTGTAGTCATATTGATGATGGATGGATGCCCTTCCTAGAAAGAGAAGACTGCATGCAAGCTTCCTAGGGCATTTGCGACACCTTGGCCAATAATACGCTACAGTCACAGATTCCACCACTACAATACGTAATCTCATCTTCTTGTTGCACCCACTTATTACCCACGTTTTAGATTTGTTTTCCTAATATCGATTATAGATCCCGCTTATTATCTTGCGAGTGAGACTCGTTCCCGGGATCATATTCAGCATCGGGAGTATCCCCCTGCTTTGTCTGAATGACGTCCTTTTCCGTCATACCATACTCTGTCTCAAGCTCCTTTCGCAAAGGCAGCTCTTTTTCCAAAAGCACCAGTATACAAGCAAGACCGCAAAAAGCAATCGATACCTCCCAGACAAGCTTGAGGGAGTCAGAAAATACCCCGATAACTTCGCTCTTCACCCGGTCACTTAGGTTGTTTATGAATGTATTGGACGCGTGCTGGTAGGCGTGACCGTTGGAGAGTTTCTCTCGCACAGTAGCATCTGAAATACGATAGGCATATTTGTTAAACTGATTGTTGAATATACTAGCGGGAATAGCCACGCCCCATATATTGCCGAAGCTACGCATAAATGCCCAGCTTGCCGTGGCAGCCGCCTGGTCCGACTCTGCAAGTGGGGCCTGGAAGGCAGGGAGCAAGGTGTTCAGGATCATTCCAGATCCGAGCGCGGCAATGATTTGAAAAACGACCCACTCCGCATCGGAGGAGTAGCGGTCGAGGTAGGCAAACAGGCCCATACCCAATGTGAGGATGATAAAACCTGCCAGGTGAAGGGCTTTGTACTTTCCAAATTTTGAGAGGACTATGACCGCAATCACGGCGCCGGGAATCGCAACGAGGGTAATGGGCAGCATCTTAACGCCTGCTCTGGCTGGCGAAGACCCCAAAATGGCTTGGAAGTAAACCGGAATGAAGAACAGCACCCAGTAGAGAAGAACCGTGAACAAGTATGTATTGATGAAGACCACAAGGGAGGTTCGATTTTTGAATAGGCGCGGTGGCACCACGGGCTCAGGACAGAACTTGGATTGTTCGAAGACCATAAATATAACCAGCCCAACAAGGCCCAGCACCAACGGCACGACGATCCGCCACGAGCCCCATGGAAAACGTGAGCCCCCGTAAGTCAATGCGCAGAGTATCGCTGCCGTAGCTGCCATGATGAGAACATTGCCGATATAGTCGATACGCTTGATCTTCTGGGAAAAGGTGGTATTGCTTTGATAGTTGGTGTGTAGAAACAGGAACAGAAGCACCAGCGCGAACCCGCCAACAGGCAGGTTGATGTAGAAGACCCATCTCCAAGTTGTTCGTTGAACAAAGATTCCACCTACAAGGGGGCCCATAGAGCTGCCAATAGAGTATACGGTGAGCACGATGGCGATGAAATTTCCGCGCTCACGCAAGGGAACGAGATCCGAGACGATCACATCGACGATCATGTTAATGCCACCACTTCCAATCCCTTGAACAGCGCGCCCGATGATGAGCATATTCGCGCCCGTTGCGCCACCACAGATGCCGCTTCCCAAGGTGAAGATGGCGACGATAAATATTGTCAACCATCGACGACCGAAGACATTGGCTAGCTGGCCAAATAAGGGCTGAACCGCTGCACTGGAGAATTCCCAGAAAGTGTCAGTTTCAGGCTCGGGTCACTACGACTGGTGGTAGGGGATAAAGATACCTGGTGAGGAAGAAGGCATTCGTGATCCAGATATAGTTGTCGCCAATGCCCAGGTCCTCCACAATCGTTGGCATTGAAGTCGAAACCACCGTATTCTCAAGTGCTCCCAAGAGACCGGTTACGCAGAGTGCAAAGATAATGGTCCAGAACTTGAACCCTCTTGTCATTGGCGGAGGTTTGGCGATCGCTTCCTCACTGCTGTCTTCCGCTCGGAGTCCATTTTCTTCTCGTAGCTCATTTTCCTCTCGCAGTTCGGGTTTCGTTTCCACTGACATGGCTGCGAGAAGTTGCAAAAGCACTGTGATACTATATCTAAGACAAGAAAAGGTGATTAAAATATCAGCACCAGTTTCTCTCCGTATGGAGCTATAGTCTCTCACCCGCCAACCTTATCCGGCTACTTGTCGGGTACCTGACGATTTCGATACCCGTTAGGTCTGTCAGCTCATCCGATTTTCGTATGCAGATTACTGGACAAGATTGGAGGTTGAAGAGAGAAAGATTTGGTTCGAAGAAATTGGACCTACCCCTTCGGTGACGGAGAGACAATCTGGCCGAGCTTTTCGGAGCATTATGGTTCTTCTTCGTTGGCCCCGATTCGGATTTTGCCATATCTTCAGATCCGATTCATGACTCGCATAAAAGGCATTCTCGTTACTAGCGATGTGTTTACTTGCATGCTGACTGCATTGGCCCCCTGTGGAGTGTGAGTTCGCAAGGCTTCGCGTAGTAGAACTAGTAAGATCAATACGATGCGCATCATAAATGGCCGAATCGATCTAGCGTAAGGTTCGGAAAGTTCCGAAAGTCAAACAATGCTAATCGGGGGGCTATTGGTCCGGGGTCCGTTAACCTCTCGAATCGCCCCGGGCCGACAAGTCCTGGGTCTCTTCGCACGATTTTCTATTCTGGCGTGTTCTCATAGATACATATGTACTAACGCAACACAAGAGTACATCTTTACATACAAAGCCAGAAGGGTAAGATGCTGGGCGATCTGAATTAGGATCAACCTATAAGTCTGAAGGAGTGCGAGGAAAATACAGTTGATTATTTTATTACTGCTAATAAAGATAGCAACTGAAACGAAGACAGTGGAGTGAATGCGCCCCCTGGTGAAAACACACCCGTACGCCTTTTTTCCCATCCTTTCACCGCCCAATATCGCTTAGTATCCGTCTATTTGACGCATTTGATGGCGTGAAATCAATTCACGGAATAGCATCGTATTGTTAGTTGGTGAGATAAATTGAAAATTGTTAGATCTAATATTTCAGGTGCACCATCCATTCCGTGAATTTCGTGCTGCAACGTTCAAATAGCAGAGAAAGGTGTGGATAATTGAGCCGATTGAGGCTACACCTCTAATATGCCTTTTCCCACAACTTCATGTCCACTAATTCACTAATTCAATTTAATCTGATGACTTGATTTGGAGAAAGTACGTTGTTGAAGAGTGGTGTTCGAAATTACACCCAGCTTGCAGCCTGATTAAACGCGCTAATCACAATCCCTGCTTCTTTTTGAGGGGGCCATCCTGTGATCTGGGGGTCTGCCTGCGAACTGCAATCTAACTCCAACTGGCATCCTTTGGGTGCTTGATGTCCACTAGTAATCGTGGTGCTCATCGGATGTCCAATGCCGCTCATATTTTTTTGTTCCATATCTGTTTCTATAACCCTTTTGACAGTCTATACCTCTAACCACCCCGCACAATGTCAATGTTGTCACCAGAAACTCACGCGCAGTCCCCCAAAAGATTCGCATGTGATAGATGCAGAGGACACAAATTACGATGTCCTCGTGAGGATCAGGCAGGCCAGTCCTGTGCGCGGTGCCTGCGCGCCGATGCCCCGTGTATTACAAGCAATCTGCGCCCTCTCGGACGGCCTGCACGGAAGATTACCCCGGGAAACAGCCATGGACGGGAACGACGCCCACGCAAGCCTGTAAGAGGCCAAAGCGGTACCACTGGTGACGAAATCGACATGTTATATGATATAGATCCCACCCAAATTTCAAACGATCCATTCGACGCCGAGAAACATCACGGGAGCAGGAGATCTGATGTCCCTTCGGAGGGCCAGGAGGTCCCGCATTTTTTTGGCTTTGATCCAGCAATCCTCTTGGGCCTCTCTGGGTTCAGCGATGATTTCCTGGAGGTCGGTCTGTCGAATGGCCAGAGCCCCGAGGGGGTTCCCTCGCTGAATGGCACGCATATCCCAAGCACAAGCGATGCGGAGAGCGCGTATGCCGGCACCATCCATAGATCTAGTAGCCAAAATTTAGATTCTGACTCCCTGAGAGCTGCAGATCCTTCCAAGCAGCCACGGAAGACAATGAGCAGCGCTGATGCCATTCAAAGGCTGTCTGTCCTGATTCAGTCGCTGAGCAAGCAACTGGACCGACTAAAGACCGCACCTTGGAGTGTCACTCTGGTCAATATCGTGTGTGCCAGCCAGGGCCAGGAGGCAGCCAATTCGAATCCCCTCGGAGAGGTCCTTCAAAGCACCTCCGAGTTTGTGCAAATCCTTCAAACAATCGCTCCCAAGACCTCTACAGACCAGCTGGGATCTGGGTTTCAGTCACCAAACTCGGATCCCACTACGCTGTCATCATCGGGGTCTAACATGTACTGCTCTCGCGTGGCAGCGAATTTGAACAACGCCGTGCAGCCGCTTCATATCAGCTCTTCGCCCTTTGGCCAACTGCACACTCCAGAATTAAGGATCCTCCCGCCTTCCGACCATTCCAAACCGGATATCTCGACCGCTCTAGTGATCCTGACCTGCTACATTCAGATTATCCAGATCTATAACATCCTCTTCTTGCGCGTCTGCGAGTCTCTGAAATGTCGCACCAGTCCATCTCATCACTCCAACCCGTACGGGGCCTCCAGCTTGGAGGATTTCCCGTGCAGTACGGGAATCTGCAGATCAAGATTCTCGTCCAGGTGATCATGCATCTTCTGTCTCACATCGAGCGCTTGCTGGGAACACCCGCAGAGTACCGTCTTGACCCTGCCAGCGGCTCCAGTGATGGTCTCTTCAGTAGTTCGGAGCTTACCGCGCTGTTGCGGATGGCGATGAGTCAAAAGGATGACAAGGAGAGTGATGGGATGGGTGTTGGATATATTTACTCGCTCAGGAAGATTATGAAAAAGATCCAGCGGATGTTGGAACTGAACCCTTTTTTATAGGTCTTCACAGCAGTTGCATTGTCTCGTTGATTATAATTCGCCGTGTTGGTTTTGACTGCGCCACGAGTTGTGAATGAGTGTTTGTGTTTCTATTAATGCACCGCGTCGACCGATCTGCCCGGCACACGTGTCACCACTTGGTTCAAGTCGCAGTCGGTTTAAAAAATACATATCCGACATGCGCGGAACCGGCCCCATGGCGCGTACCAAATATGCGAAGATGTAGCACCATGATTGGTTTATTTTCTTGGCGTATTGAATTACATCAAATCAGAATACCTAGTATCGGTCTCAGGTCTCGCTTATTTGACAATGATCTAAGACTTGTTCCGACTCGGACAAAAAGATCCGGCCGAATCCAGATCGCAAACAACTTGATATCCTTCTCCCAATCAATAGCATCTTTATTGGTTAGTTCCATGTCGGAAGACCACAGGAGCTTAGCCAAGATAATTCGGCCCTGGAGGTACTGGGCGCTCGAGCCGGGGCATCCCCGAGGCCCCTGTGAGAAGGAAATGCTCGTCGGTCATCGGACTCATATCTCGGATTGTAGAGCGGATGAGAAGATGACAAGCCATCGCTCAGGGTGGAAGGAACGGGCATCATTGAATAACGTTCGGAATGAGTGGTCGCGAATTCTCACCCAGCCCAAGTTGGGACTCTCCGAAGCGGATGCTGATATGATTTTCAACACAGCAGACGCAATCATACACAATGGGCCCGAAGTTTCTTATCTCAAGTCCTACCGCAGTCTCAAAGCTGCGAATTTTGAGGCTACTTCAAACTCATCCAATCGGCTATGGGCCGCCACATACCCTTCCACTTCGTCTCCACTGCAGGCGTGACCTTCTTTTCCCAGCGAGCCGTCTTCTCCGAAGAGTCCGTGTCATCTTACCTGCCTCATGCAGATGGGCTGGACGGATACACTTCTTCCAAATGGGCGGGTGAAGGATATTTTGAGAAGATTCATGATCGGTTCGGGCTCCCCATTACTATTTATCGGCCAAGCAGCATCTCTCATTAGGATGCCACGGAAACTCTCGAGCTGATGCCAAACCTTCTCCGCCTCTCCCGAATGTTGCAGGCAGCGCCAGTCTCACCTCAACTCCGCGGTAGTTTGAACATCGTTGCACTAGACACGGTCATTGACGGGACCATGAATGAACTTCGCTTGTCCCCATCTACTTCAAAACCGCAACTGAAATATGCCAATCTAATTCGGGATTCTGATATTCCTTTCTCGGAGTTAAAGGAATACATTGAGAGGGAAACTGGAGATGAGGTCTAGGTTCTCCCCCCGGCCGAATGAGCTAAGAGAGCAGAGAAATTGGGTCTTCTAGCTGTGGTCGGAACCTTTTTTTTGCAAATCTTGAGAATAGCGACCCTATCGTTTTCCCCCGGCTTACACATGTGCTTTGACTTACGCATGTATCTAATTGAGGAATCAACTCGGGAGGAATATTTGGTACGAGGGGTTTGGTCGATATGTTTGGTTAGAAACACCACAGTCAAATTGAAGGCCACCTCCCCAGCCACCCCATCCAGTATAATCTTTTTTAAGTTCCAAAAATCCAGTCATTATCTCTCTGCTCTTGGCTAGATTGCGGTTGCTGCTTTGCTTCGGGGCTTTTCCCGTGGTATCCCCAGCCCCAATGGCGGCGATGCTTCGGATGTTCAACACCATCTATACGACATTGTCAGTGTAGTTCGGACTAGAGAAGGTGGGCTCGTACTAGCTGATGTAGCAACAGGATCCTTGGCATGGGAGTCAGGCTGAGCAGACTGGGGCTTTTGATTCATTGGCTCTTGCACGGGAGGCTTTGCTGCGTCGGGAGACGTCGGTGCATCCATTGAGCCGGTCGAGTCTTGACGCTGGCGATTATGGAACGCGTCGGATGCTCTGCGGAGGATGTCTGACATGGTGGAATTTAAATTTTGCCAAATAATTTGATTTGAATGGTTTTGAATACTTTGTGATGTGCTTTGGAAGATGACTTGGTGCTCAAAAAGGCGCTATATATAATGCTGGCCTACTATAAGACTCATGATATCATACGGCCTGATTGGTACTGAGTCCTCGTGATCATTCACTCCTCGTATTCCTATGTTATTGGTAGAGAACGGGTAGCAAGGCCTATCAGCTCTGGACTATTAATCGCCACATTTATCGAATTTACCCCGCGATATAACCACCCCCTTATTCACTCCTTAGCGCTTAGACTTTCCACGACCTAATTAGATCCGGACCTAACCTAACCTAACCTAACTTTAGGTTAGTTTTTAGGTTATACTAGGCGACCTAATAGAACCCCCCGTAGTGGAACCAGTGACAGTAGTACAATAATGGCCTGAGGTGTCATCAAGTGCCTCAGGGGATATACAGTCTTCTCCCTCTAGAGATATTAGCATGATTCCATCATCCCAATATGACTACGGTGTTTCACCAGAACCCTCATTCATGATATAGCTTCAATACCACTGCGATAGCCACCTACAGGAACCGCTCTCTACGCCTGACCGGAGGGTGGGTGTGGTTGGTTGTGCTTTCTCTATTGATATCGACCCATCTGCTATGTCAGACTACCATCATGCCATCCCCATTTCATGAGGTAATAAATTGTCAGGACACCGACCTGCCAGGTGCCTGAAGCTGCCTAAGGATATACAGCACCCTTTGGCCGCCTAGTGAAGCGCATGCATAGGCTAGGACGACCGTGTATGTCGCTTCTCACATTAGATAAGCGCATTATATACCTAGTGCTCTCGCTAGCCATCGCATAGCAGACGAGCAATTAGTCTCTTATTGTACCTACACTTACATTTGCCGTTAGACTCTACTTCCCGAACTTATCCGACTACTCTACGGCCTCGCAGGGTCCTAACATAACCACTCACACGCTTCGCTTAGGCGTAAAGAGCAGTCTCTATAGGTGGCTTTCGCACTGGACTTAGCTATACCATAAATAAAGATTCTAGTAAAGAACTATAGTCATATTAGGATCATCGATGATGCTCATATCTCTCTCTCTCGAAAACTGCATATCTCCTAAGGCTTTTGTGATACCTTAGGCCACTAATGTCCTACTGTCACTTGTTCCACCACTACAATATATATGATAAGACCCATCCGAACTATCTGTCGCTTACTCCATACTTATTACAGACCGTCCTTATCATCTCGACTAACGATAGGGCCAGATCCTAATGGACTATAGTTGATCATGACCCGTTGCCGCTCCTTTCTCCACCTCATGAGTCTGACAATGGCCCAAACAGCTATACAAAACGATAAAATTGTACCCACCAACAGCCACGCAGGCACCTGGAAGACAAGCTGATTAAAGACCTGGAAGAAAGCACTTTGTAACTCAGGCTTCATATCTTCCTCACGGAATCCATGAGAGTCTAGGATATACTCTTCCGGCACTTCGGGCCACTTGTCTACTCCATCCAAAATGGCCATGGCCATGCCGTTTTCGAGATGCATCTCAAAGTGACAGTGCAGCAACCAGGCCCCGGGAGAAGTCACCTGATACCGCAGGACCACCCACATCGCTCCTGTGAACTCTGTGAGGAAGGTATCGCGGTAGGGTGGATTGACCAGATTGAAGTTCTCCGGATGATCGGCCATGGCCTTGCCGACGGAGGAGTAGTTCCAGATTCCCTGGCCAGAACCCAGCCGCCAGAACTTATTGGCATGCTTGTGCACGGCGTGCGGGAAGTCAACTGGCCAAAGGGGCGAGTGGCCCACCTGGAGGACGATATCCTGCCAGGTACCATTCTGAGTGCGAATGATCAAATCGTCGTCGTGGGCCTCGGGACTGTTGACGTTGTACAGCAGAGGACGGTACGCCGACCGGTCGGAAGGGTACTTCTTCTTGCCACTTAAAGTAAACTCCCAGGTCGAGTTGGCTTTGCCTAGGAACAGGACGTGCATTGCGTCACCATCGCCGGTGAAAGGAACCTTGGGTGGCCAGGGTGGCAGATCAAATTTGTCTAGAAAGACGATCCCTTCGCGTGTTGGCCAGGCGTTGTAGCCGAAGTACGGGTGCGAGCTTGTTGTGACCCCGAACCGATCGGGAGGACGGCGAGCGTCCGGGTCCCCGTTCTTGTATCGTAAGATACCGAAGCCTGTGATCATTTGCGAGTAACCACCGTCAGGCACGCGGATGGAGTAGTCCATTGGTTTCTTGTCGAGCCGAATGAGAGCCGAGTACCGCTCCCCGGCCCAGATTAGGAAGGTGTCTGCCCGGCGTGGTTCGATGTAGTGGCCGTCAACCTCGTAGATCCACATTTCGTGGTCGTCTATCGTGGGCTGCAGCGTTTTGAAGGTCGAGCCGCCGATCCAGTTGACACTGACCCATCGATCTTTTGCATCAACCTCAATGATCTCCGTGGGACCAGTGTGGGGGTTACAGCCTTCTTGTAAACCCGGAGGAATGGCTGAGACATTGCCATCCTTAAGCCAGGGGCCTTCGGTGGAAGGGACGAATGGGAAGCAGCTGTGATTGTCAATATTGCTTTCCTTGATATAAAAGAGAAGAAACATGGACATACCCCTTGTCGGTAATGGTATCGTTTGGCCAACTTTTGTGCATGAACGGAATTTGCTTATCAATGAGCCACTGATGACCAGGGCAATACAAGCTCCCTTTTCCGTTGATCAAAATACTATCAACACAGCTGCGACGGTTAGCATGTTAGAATGAGGGAGAAGAGTTCTTGTCGTACAATATCTGGAGACGGCTATTTGCATCGGCCTCTTTGTATTGTTCAGAGGTGTAATAATCCCAATCTGATAGAAGGATAATCTGCGGATTATTGGCAGCGCGTGCCATGGCTTGGATCTCCACTGGGTCTTCGCTGATCATTGCCCACGGTCCTGGGGTTCCTGGCTTCCGTCTCGAGTGTGTTAGCATTTTCTTGGGGCGAAGTACTAAAGACACACAGCATACCGAATAAATAGCGCCCCATAGAGACCATCTAACAAAGTGGCTCGGGAATGCGAATGGTACCTGATGCTCGATTAGTCTCAGTTTGTCCTTAGGGGAGCACACATAGTACGGACCAATATTGCCCGGGAGGATACGCAGTGAAACGATAGACATAGCTCTCGCCAGGCTCAATAGGCTTTTGGCTCAAACCCGGTACTCCATCTGACCATGGGGTATCTTGCATCCTGTTCGGTCATTATTAGTACTGCAGGTGCACAAGATATCTGACGACAGAGTTCAGGCTTACAGAATCCCATGCCAATGGATGGTGGTATTCTCGTGCATATTATTATGCACGACGATCTGCGGAGCTATCAGCCTTCACTATTTCCTCGAGCCTATTGAACCAATAAAGGTCATACTTCCACATCATCACCCTCATCAAAGATTAATTCAGGGGAGGGAAATTGTCCATTTGTCTTAATCATATAGCGACTCTGGCCATTGGGAGCACCTTCTTCCCAGGTCAGAGTGAGTTCCCGTTTGACATGCGCGGCAAATGTGGTGAGAACATAGCTCAAGAGCAGGAAGAGTATTTTGAAACGACACTTCATGCTGAAAAGTACACAAATCACAAAAATCGAAGAGAAAGAAAGAGTCGAGAAGGTCGGACGTGGTAAGATTCATAAGCCCTAGAGGACAGTCGTAGAGGCATCAACTACTCTGGCTTGCGTTTACAGAAGATGAACCTGAGTAATGTTTTTTAAAAAATTTTCTACTTATTCAACTTATTTTAATTGCATCGCCTAATTATCTCTTCACTGCATGGCGAAATGAACCTCTTGCATGGTATCTTCGGGGACCGAAAAAGTACTTTCCGATGTCGCAGAGGAACAATATGACAAGGCCGACACTATTTCCGCTTCTCTCTAATAAAATTACTCAGATATGCCCTGTAAGCCTAGGATACATTCCAGAACAACACGACTGAATCCTCGACCATGACCAACTCACCGCAATCTTCTCCCCTTGAGGTCTTGGCTGACCAAATTAGTGCTTCGGCCAAAATAATCGCAGCCTTCTGTGCCTCCACGGGCCATCCACACCCTTCCTTTGACGATATCAAGCTCAATGGCCTCAATACATTGCCCTGCTCTGCGCCTGCTGAGATTCAAGAGGCTCGACAGGTCATTCTTGAGAATGCTTACCGACTTGAGCAGCTCATCATCGAGCCTAACCAATACCTGGCACGATTGGCAGTCTACGTAAGTTTATAGACAACCCAAACATCTTCCCCTTCCAAACAAAATCCTAAGGATAAAATTAGCCTCAGCATCTTGCCGCAATTCAATGGCTCTGCCACTTCAAAATCCCCTCGCTCGTCCCGAGTGATAGCAATATATCGTACCCTGATCTCGCGGCTGCAGCCCACGTACCGCTCCACCAGCTCAAGAGTATAACTCGCATGGCTATCACGGGCAACTTCCTTCAAGAGAAAGTCTTGAATCAGGTTTCGCACAGCAAGACATCAGCGCATTTCGTATCAAACCCGTCACTGTGCGACTGGGCGCTGTTCCTGGCTGAGGATTCGGCTCCAATGGCGCCCAAGCTGGTCGAGGCGACGCTAAAATGGGGCGAGACAACGAAGAAGACAGAGACTGCCTTCAACCTGGCGCTGAAAACGGACCTGCCCTTTTTCGATTATCTCTCGAGCTCTCCGGAGTTTACCCAGCGATTTTCCGGATACATGAAGAACGTGGCCAAGGGCGAGGGGACAAACATCAAGCACTTGATTCAGGGGTACGACTGGGCGAATCTGGGAAACGCCACTGTGGTGGATGTAAGTCAATTGTTGCAAATGTTGGTTAAAACTTTCGGTTTTGCTAACTTGATTCAAAATAGGTGGGTGGCTCAAGCGGCCACGCTAGCATTTCTCTCGCGGAGATTTTCCCGCAGCTGAAATTCATCGTCCAAGACCTTCCCATGGTCATTAAGACTTCTGTATCCCAGGTCCCTGACGCTGTGTCCTCGCGGGTTACATTCCAAAGTCACGATTTCTTCACTCCGCAACCTGTGATTGACGGAGATGTGTACCTCCTCCGGATGATCTTGCACGACTGGCCCCGCGACGAAGCCCAAAAGATCCTGTCCCATCTGGCTGCGGCTCTGATTCGGCTTGGTGGTCGCATACTTGTGATGGATACCGTTCTTCCCAATCCGGGTAGTGCGCCGGTTAGTGAGGAGGCGCTTCTGCGTGTGCGGGATATGACGATGATGCAGACGTTCAATAGCCACGAGCGGGGGATGGAGGAGTGGGAGGCACTAGTGCAGGCGGCAGACTCGACCTTGAAGATAATCCGGGCCATTCAGCCTGTCGGTAGTGCGATGACGATTCTGGAGATTGGCCGGGACTAGTAGCGATAGCCTCGAGTGACCAGTTTCGGTCCCCGAAAGACCAAATAGTGCACGCGTTACTTTTTAAGACGAAGCTCTGTCAGAGTTATATCTAAAATCAGCCTTGGATACGGTTTCTTACATAGAGTGAATTGCTATAATGCGTTTCATTGATCAAATTGTCCTAGGCATTGCCTCCATCTATCCCTTTACCCAATATAACACTTGGTCTCCTGCAACGGTATTCAATCCTGACTCCAACATCACCTACTACGGCATCCGCACAAACACCCATGTCGAAGAATTCCTTAACATTCCCTACGCCCACGACACAAGCGGAATTCATCGTTTTTCGCCCCCAAGAGCCTATACACCCACCACGAACAGCATCATCAACGCCACGTTCCCGGGAACCGCATGTCCTCAGCCGCGTATTCCCCTCCCCGCGGACCCGTACACAATCCTCGAGAATGTTTCAGAAGATTGTTTGACTCTCCGCATCGCACGGCCAGCCGGCACAGGCGCGACCACAAATTTGAACAAGCTACCAGTAATGGTATTTGTCTATGGCGGCGGCAGCACAGTGGGTACTATCTACGATGCCTCCTACAACCCGGTCGGACTTGTTAGACGAGCCGCTGAGCTTGGAACGCCGGTGTTGTACGTAGCAATGAATTACCGCGTAAACCGTATGTTCCTACTACATCATCTGTCTAATTGTCAACTACTGAATGCAACTACTAGTGTTCGGCTTCGCGGATTTCCCTGCTTTACGGGCATCCAACTCGACCAACGTCGGTCTGCGAGATCAGCGCCTCACACTTGACTGGGTTAGGAGGAACATTGCGTTGTTTGGCGGGGATCCTGACAATGTCACACTGTTCGGTGAGGATGTCGGTGCGGTATTTGCAAACCTGCATATGCTGGCATCTTCGGATGATGATAGTCTGCCGGTCGATCGGGTCATTGCCCAGAGCGGTGCAGTTACCTCTCTTGCTGGTGTAGCTGGAGATACTAGTGCGAGTAATTCTCTGGCTGTGGCAAGGGAGGTCGGCTGCCTTGATTCTTCTGGGACAGTCTCAGAAGAGGAGAAAGAAACGAATACTACTGCCATAATACAGTGTCTGCGGGATCAACCATTGGATCTCCTGGTGAACAACACATTCAAAGTGGCATACAAAGTGAGTCCGGGAGACGGATTCGGGGCTTTGTGAGTTTCCTGAACCTTCAGACAGGAAGGGAAGAAAAAGGAGCTGACGAACTCTCCACTGTTATAGCATACCCACTGTTGATGGAACGATCCTGCCTTCTGCCCCTTCGACGTTAATGTCAGCTGGTCACTTTCCGAAGAAGAGCATTCCACTGATCATCGGCTGGAATCGCGACGAAGCCTCCCTTCACGTCCCAACCAGCATAAGTACACTCTCAGATATCTCGAACCTCCTATCTGGCATGTATCCCTCTCTCAATGCGTCGAGTATTGCGGACTTGCTCGTCCTTTACCCGGAGTCTGACTATCAAGTCCAAGATAAAGAGAGGGAAGCACAAATGACCCCGGCCTGGCACACCGCAGCGGCCATCGTTCGCGACATCACGGTGGCCTGTCCATCACTTTACCAAGCCTTGTTGCTATTCGAGCATGCCTGCTCCTCAGCACAAAAAGCAGAAATCTATTTGTACGAACTGCAGCAGACACCGTTCGCGACAGCTCTCGCGCAACAGGGAAAATCGTATCTTGGCGTCGTCCACTTCTCAGACATGCCATATGTGTTCAACGACCTAGACAGTACATACTATATCTTCAACCCGGATGAATTGGCGCTCGCAGCTCGGGTGAGTGGGAGCTGGGCTGAATTCGCATCGGGACGGAGACCGGGGAGTAGGGAGACTTTGGGGCAGTGGGATGTTGCCTTTCCCACATCAGCTGATAGGCCACCTAGTCTAGAAACAGCGAGATACCTAGCAATTGGAGGGAAAGATGGCGGGATGCGGCACGTCGGAAAGAAACTGGCCCGGAGGTGTGAAATGATCAACGCATTGGCAGGAGAGTTGAAGACTTGACGGACGACCCCGGCCGCCTGTGAAGTCGCCGACTCACTAGCTTAATGTGACTGAAACTATTGGTCCTAACGGATGCCGACCGATAATCCCTTCGTTGTCCGAGTGGACAACGCCATTGGTCATGGCGGGCTACCGCTCATAGTGTTTAATGTCTCTGTTTGGGGGTATATCAGAAGAGAAATGGTAGTGCAAAATGGGACACGCATTCTATTTGCCAACTCTCTACAGTAAACATCATAATGGCGAGCGCACAGCAGGTAGACGTCCTAGTAGTAGGAGCTGGCTTCGGAGGATTATGGATAACTCATAGGTACTTTACTTCGCTTGTTTGGAAGGCGTCCAAAGCACACACTGACGGTGTATAGACTCCGAAAGGCCGGTCTGAAGGTCCTCTGCGTCGAGAAAGCCCCCAGGCAGGTGGCGTCTGGTACTGGAATTGCTACCCGGGGGCTCGAGTCGACAGTCGATACCCGGTCTACCAGTATACCGATCCAGAGCTCTGCCAGGACTGGACCTGGAGCGAGTTGCTACCCGGATACGAGGAGCTCCGGCGGTACTTTGCGTACGTGCTGGACAAGTGGCAGCTACACGGAGACATCCAGTATAACACGACTGTGACAGGGGCGCAATTCGATGAGTCGACTCACCAGTGGACGGTTGAGTGCGCAGGGATCGATGGCTCCATCACAAATATCCGCGGTCGCTGGTTCATCCCGGCCCTTGGGTTCGCCTCCAAGCCGTATATCCCCAATATCCCAGGTCTAGACACCTTCGCTGGGCCATCTTTCCATTCCTCCGCCTGGCCGCAAGACGGAATTGACCTGAAGGGCAAGAGGGTGGCTGTTGTAGGCACAGGAGCCAGTGCAGTCCAGATCATTCAGACTATTGCGGAGCAGGTAGGTCATTTGACCGTTTACCAACGCACGCCGTGTACTGCGCTCCCGGCCCGGCAGCGGCCCCTTATCGCCGAGGAACAACGGCAGCTGAAAGACAGCGGCGAGTTGGCCACCCTGCTGCGACAGGCCAAATACGAAAAGTTTGGCGGACAGGATGTTGGGTTCGTCCCGCGTCGGTGGAACGAGGATGACGAAGAACAGCGGCGGGGGGTGTTCGAGGCGGCCTGGGAAAAGGGCGGTTTTCACCCGTTACTGTCGACATACTTTGACGTCTTCGTGGATCAGGAGGTCAATAGGGCAGCGTGGCGGTTCTGGGCCGAAAGAACCCGCGAACGAATTGAGGATCCGACATACAAGGATTTGCTTGCTCCCCTAGAGGCAGTGCATACGTTCGGGGGAAAGCGCACCCCGTTCGAAATCAACTATTATGAGGCATTCAACCGGGAGAATGTCGAATTGATTGACAGCAACGCCTCTAGAATAGTCGAATTCACTGAGGAGGGCATCGTCACTCAGAATGAGGGCCTGAAACAATTCGATGTGATTGTCCTGGCAACAGGATTTGACACCAACACAGGCGCATTGACGGCGATCTCCATCCGTGACACGGAAGGCAGGACACTGAAGGACCGCTGGCAGGACCCAGAAACAGGAGTTAGAACGAGCCTGGGTCTATCCACCAGCAAATTCCCGAACATGTTCTTTTTCTACGGACCTCAGGCGCCGACAGCATTTTCCAACGGGCCTTCCTGCATCGAGCTACAGGGGGAGTTTGTCGAACAACTCATCCTAGACATGACAGCGAGAGGAATAACAAGGATCGAAAACACAGTGGATGCAGAGGCGGAGTGGAAGAGCTTGACGCAACGGCTGTGGGACCGTTTTGTTTTCTCGTCGACGTCTGCCTCGTACTATTCTGGGGCAAATATTCCGGGGAAAAAGCAGGAGCCATTGAACTGGTTCGGAGGGTTCCCCAGCTACCATCAGGCACTGACGGTCTGTCGTGAGAATGATTATCAGGGGTACATAATGGCATCTCGAGGGGAGAAGATACAGCCTACTCTTGCTGCGTTGGAGGTTAAGGGTCCTACTACTGTCGAAGGGACCGTCGAACGGACTGTTCTGCTGTCGTTGCCAGTACAAGCTAAATAATCTCTCTACCGATTGTTCCGTAGTGTAGCTTCAATGGCAATTTAGGTAAAGGATTCAAATTTCTAACAATCTAATAAGTACTTGGCTTATTGGACACATATCCGCCATCCACCAGCATGACCAATCCATTGCAGTACGCTCCAGCCTTCGAAGCAAGGTACACAATCGTCCCTCCAATCTCCTGAGAATCCCCAAACCGCTCCTCGAGCGCCAAAGCCATGGGCAAGCGGCCGTTGGTCGCTTTGGAGAAACCACCCATCATATCCGTGTTGAAATCTGCGCCAGTCAGCACCTCATCCCAGTCATCATCAGATCTAACAAAGAAGGGAAAAGAAACATACACCCCGGTGCAACGACGTTGACCCGTATTCTCCACGGCGCTAGATACGTCGCCATATTCTTCATCATATGCGTCGTCCCCGCCTTGCTGGCCCCATATATGAAGGCCGAGTTATCACGCCCGAACCCGCCCACGCTGCTGACCGTGACCACCTGGCTGCGGATATACTCGCGGCTGCTTCCGACATTTGCAATGCCGTTGCCATTGAAACGCGCATTAGGCGAACCTGCCCCAGCAGCGCGCACCTTATTTCCCTTGTCCAGTAACTCAAGAAAGGCAAACGTCACCATAAGGGCTGCGGTGGTGTTTGTCTCGAACACGGTCGCGTAGTCCTCGAAGGACTTTTGGAACCAGTAGTCTCGCACCTTGGCGATGTCCCATTTGGGCGTGGGTCGGGTGTTATGCGGGCCCAAGTTCGGCGTTGAAATGCCGGCGTTGTTGATGAGGAGATTGATGTGGCCATCTTGGGCAGCAATATGGTCGACGGCGGACTGGAGCTCATCATGTGAGGTGATGCTACACTGCAGGGGATGGATGTTGTTGAATTTCTATCAGGGAAAGCCAACAGCGTCAGTGCACCGTCACTAAATTGTAGTTACGGATGTAAGGAACTGTACGGATTCTTCGGCGGCTTTCTGTAGTATCTCCAATCGGCGCCCGATTATATACACCTTGGCTCCGTTGGCCTCAAGAGCCTTAGCCATCATGAGCCCTAGACCTGTACCGCCGCCAGTGACGACGGCAATGCAGCCGGTCACGTCGAAAAGATTTGTCGAGTTGAGCAGATTCGATGACATGGTGGAGTTCGTGGAATTGTTGGAGGCTAGATGGTGCTAGGTGTCTCTGGGGTCAGTAGCTTCTATGAATTACATATCTTCATGTCGATTACAACTTTTCGCGGCAGCCTACTCGGAGACTGCTGATCTCATGGCCAAAATATCGGTCTTCGGCTTCCGACTGTTACTTGACGCATGGGCACGCATTTGCTATCGGCAAACAAAGAGTCAATGTTATTGGTCGAAGCTCCTGATGCTATTGTAACGGCCTTGTAGTCCCAGAACTGTATGTGGGGGTTGGGGAAAGGTGATCATAATGCTTTCTTGCGATAGAATTGGTAAAATGACCTTAAAATCAATAGTGGAGAGGGATCTATCTAATAACTGGATCTATCTGGTGAGAATTACTGTAGACAAGAAAAAGGCAGAAGAGAAGATAGAAATCCGTAGCAATTGGTGTCTCTGACAAAATGCACCATACTCAAGCTAGAGCCAATTTTAGTTGACCACGCTGTAGTCTTGCGGACAAAATGCATTATCCAGCCAGACAGGAGTGGTCCGACATAGCCATAGGCTAAACTTGAGCGTCAGCATCACCGTTCGGCTTCATAGTTGTTGATCCATCGCCAGTTGACGGTCCCTTTTCAGGACTCACTCCTGGACCCCCTGATCCAGGGCCACCAGGGCCACCAGGGACACCCGGGCCAGCAGGCTTTCCCATGCCACCCTTTTCAGCCTTTACGTTCTTCCACTCCATAAAAACAGATGCCACCACACATGCGCAAGAAGCCGCCAAAGCTACACGAAACACGTCCATTACCGCCCCATTGTATCCAGTCAAAAACCGTGGCAGGTCCTGAGATCTCACGTGATCTTGAATACTCGTTACTCCGCTAGCAGTCACATTGGCGAGAGCACCAAGGTTGGCTGATAGTTTGTTGCTGTATATGGCCTGGTCCACAGAGAGGAACACAGAACCACCCAACGACTGCGCAAAAAAGACCAAGGAGATCCCGATCGGAGCATCTGGACGAGGGAGGACGGCTTGAGCAGCCAAAGACGCTTGTTGCATGCCTAGGATGTATGTTAGAAGCGCCTCTAACGAAAGTGAAGGGATGGAGGAAATACTCATTCCACAACCAACCGCCCAAAGGATCTGGTAGCCGATCCATTTCCCTTCGCTCATATGCGGGGTGAAAGTTGTCATAAGACCGGCCCCAATAGACATGAGCACTGATCCGCCGATCATGAACGGTGTGTAGTAGCCGATACGATTGATCAGGAAACCTGATATGAGACTAGCAGCTGCAGACGAGATGACTGTGGGTAACATCATGACACCTGAATGGACTGGAGACGCAGACTTGATGGCTTGAAACCAAATTGGCAGGTAGTAGGTGAAAGTCATCATAGCTGCGGTGACCATTAGGGTGAAGACAACCCCGGCGGCAATGCTGCGCTGCTTCATGACCCGGGGTGGAATGGTGGCGGTGTCCGGACGCCAGATCTGAATTCCAATGAAGGCCAGCAGCAACACTACTGCCAGAACTAAAAGAGCAATAACACGTCCACTATTCCAGGCATAGGTTTCCCCGCCCCATTGCAGAGCAAGCAGCAGGCACACCACCCCCGGAATCAGGCATAGATTGCCCAGCGGGTCCATCTGCAAAAACTGCTCTCGCATAGGGGTTCCGGCCTTGCGCGCCGGAGGCATCTTGAGCACCAGCATGATCGCCACTATGGCCACTGCGCCAATAGGCAGATTGAGGTAGAAGCACCAGCGCCAGGTAACGTTTTCCGTGAACCCACCACCAATCAATGGGCCTGTGACGGATGCGAGGGCAAATATGAGGCTGACAATGCCTGAGAAGATGGGCCGCAGATGCAATGGGACAGTGAAGAAGGTGATGATCACACTACCACCAAAGATCCCAGATGATCCCAGGCCCGCGATCGCTCGACCAATTATCAGGGCTACCGAATTGGGCGCGGCACCGCAGATAGCAGACCCAATTTCGAAGATGACCACGGCGGTCACAAATACCCATTTCGGATTATAGAAAGAGTAAATCTTGCCAAAAAGCAGTTGAAAGGCGCAAAAGGTCAGTAGATATGCACTACCGTACCAACCGACATCATCGATGGAGTTGAATTGATTAGTGATACTGGGAATGGCGTTCACGATGATGGTGCGATCCTATCGCGTCGCGGCAAGTCAATGATCCAGCACGTCAATTGAAAAAAGCTCTGGGGGAGAAAATGACCTACCAGTGCGGTGAGAAAGGCTGTAAAGTAAAGGGGGATGATGATTGAGTAGAGCTTGAGACCCTTTGGATACTCAACCGGGGGACCCATACCAGGCCCAAAGGGTCTATCACCACCACCTGGGCCACCTGGAGGACCTGGAGGACCTGGTTTGGCCTCAGTGTTGGATTCAACAACATTTTGAGATTTGGCCGACTGATGATCTGATGATAGTGTCGATGGAGGTGTCTGCTTCTCCTGTTGCGCTTCTAGGGAATTTTCCGCCATAGCCCCTGTTGTGTTCGAAGTTTCTTTCATCGATAAAACATAAATCGTAAATAAGAGAAGACCAGGTGGTCAAAGAATATTAATAGATGAAACAGACAAATTTTCTCGGATACGAAGCAGAACAAGATAGAACAAACATAAACACTATCCCCAAAGAGCTCACGTAAAAATGGAAAAATACATAGTCCGGAAGTGTAAAACGCGCCGAGAGGATAATCTTGGAAACCGCTCAGGGGGAGCGGTGGAAAAGTCAAGGCATAGGACAGAGTCAGAGTCCGAGTCGGTATGTGCAGGGGTGTGTGTCTCTCCCCTGGATTTCCAGTGCTGTGATTGGTTGGGAAGGCTCAAGCTGGCCTAAAGGAGCGAAGGATTCAGCGCCAAGGAGAAGAGGGGGAAGACAAGACCTGACAAGCATTAGAGTCCCGTGGACATGGACATGGTCGAATCCCATCCAAGATTCGGTGTCCGAAGCTATATATTCTGGTGAAGGGATATCGGGGGCAATTGCTTCTTCCGGCCCTAGGTTTCAACGAATCATTTAAACGGGCCATCTGCGGCTAAACTACGTAGCGGCTCCACTAGGCTCATTACTTGGTATTGCTTGGTATTACTTGTTCCACTCGGACGCCGACTTATTTCCGGCAAAAAGATCAAAGATCACAGAACTACTACACTTCGTATCCTAGATTAGATTTTGGGTCCGAGCACAACGATCGCTGTGACGATCAGATGGGGGCTGCGTTTCAACTTACCGCTTTTAGACTACCCGAAGCCTCCAATCCAAAGAGTACATGCTGTGGCTTCCCGTGGGACAGAGCTTGTCCTTTCCCCATCCGCTGATCAACACCTAGATGTGATAATGCACAGGTTTTTTTTTGGTTTCTTAACTCTTATAACTAGTTACTTAATTAGTTAATTAGTTAATTAGTTGCTTGCGCATACGCCAATAAACTAGGGGAATACCAAGGCCCACCAACAGCTAGATACACCATTATTAGCGCGCTGCATCATACGCTATACAAGCCTCGGTAAAACTCTGAATTGATCATTGTCGGCATGATTCCGAACCTCTTTTGACTAGCGAGTTGTAAAGTACGTGCATATTTGTCCATGAACAAATCAATATAAGATGACTATTACGTATCTTGCTTATGTGTCAGCGCGCAAGCAGCCCGGGCAACCTATATACGAGTCAACCTAAATCCTTCGAGCAGCGCTAAATGAAGCCACATATGTAGGTAAACCTTGAAGAAAGCAAATGAGGAGATATGTTTAATGGGCTCAGTTTATAATTGACTGTGCACCTGCCCACGCGCTGCCTAAAAACAGGCCACTGTGATTCACAGCGGGAAAGGTGCGAGAGAGCAGAAATCCAGGCAAATCCGCTATTGGCAAATGAAAAGCGCATATAGCCCCAATGGCAGAATTTACCAAATCCACACTCCGAGGGGATCAGGCGCAGGTCAAGTTACGATCAGCCTGCGACCGCTGCTCATCCAACAAAGTCAAATGTAGTCAGGAGAGACCTGAATGTCAGCGATGTCGTTCGCTCAATCTACCCTGTCAGTACAGTCGGTCATTGCGGATGGGGAAGCCTCCTCGATCTCGGCAGCGATCGAGTAAAGCTTGCTGTCACCATGACCATGACAAGGCTTTGCCACGTCTCAACCCGTCAAAGCCGGCTGCTGTTGCCCCTGCAACAAACCCAGCTGTTAATTCAAAACCCAAGTTGAACGATCAATTGCTCTCTCAAGCCAACGAGGCGCTGAGCACGCTAGTGCCCAGCTGGTCGGACGACTTCGACTATGAATCGATTATGAATGATGACAATCCGACTATCCAGCCACTCTCGCCCTATTTTTCCGACCTACTGGGAGACTTCACGACCATAGCTCCACGTCACAATCACCCGCCTCTACCCAACTGCCCGAACGTCCTGCCTGATCTTTCAAAAGCCGAATCAATTTCCAGGATGCTAGAATCCACACTCGATGGTGCAATATACGAAGAAGGCTGTACACAACATCTGAGCCATCAAGGGAACTTGGAATCGCTGACTCCAACCAGCCTCCCTGGGCTCACCTTTCCAGCCAAAGGAAGCAACTCAAACAATCACCACATTATACAAACAAAGGTTTCCACGGGCCAAAATCCCTCATCCTCGTCCGACCATCAGTGTATCCGCCTGGCCATGGAGACTCTGGACTCTCTGTATCAAATTTCCTCCTCGGCAAAATCATATGACCCTGGCTTGAATAAGCCAAGCGTTGATCATTTCCTCCAGGTCAACGGCGACGCCATGGAAGTTGCAGCGACCATCCTCGCATGTCCCTGCGTTAAGGATTTCTGCCTCCTCATCATTCTCGCAATAGTCCCTTGCAAGGTGCTTGCTGGTTACCAAGCCGTTGTCAACATGCCCGACCCGCATATTCAGGTTGCAGCAGGCGAGGAAACCGTTTGTCGTCCGATAGCCGTTGGAGCTTATATGCTAGATGAAAAGGCAAGCCGCATCGTGATTATCCAGCTGGTTCTCGCCAAGTTGCGAGAATTGAGCAGATTTGTCCAGACTTATATCGACACTTTCTGCTTTGATGCCAGCAAAAACCGCCAGGGTCACTGTGGACTGGTATACCGGACCCTGGGGTTATTTATTCAGAGCCGGCTCGGTACAACCATGGACGGGCTGCAAGAGAAATTGTCGGCCTTGGTGGGAGAGGGAAATCCGAATTCAAGTGAGAATCATGAGAAAGGGAAAGCCTAATGCAAGATAATGAATGAACACGAGACTTTTATGAGCTGATTTCTTGATATCTTTTGTTGATGTGGAAGTGTTGTATTGCTAGCGACTTATTCTGACCCCGCGATTGATTCGGAATTTATATTTCCCACTTTCTGGGATTTAAAGGGAAAGTAAAGAGGACGCTGGGCGTCATGCACGGGCGTCATAGCATCATACACGGGCCTCGTAATGGTAGCGATGATACCCACTGCGGATAATTTATGACGATCACAATGAACATAAATGTTAACAGAGATAGATGTAAATAATTTATTTAACGGCTATTGCATAGTCTTTTCCCACGCCCGTTAAGCAAACAAACTAGCCTAGACTTATGATCTCTAACCAGCCGAATATCCAGCTGTGAGCTGAGAATCTACTCTCTCATTGCCTGTTGGACTAGCTACTACTAGGTCTTAACTGCGCTTCATGTTGAAGTCTAGAACGAAGCTAGGATAGGCTGAAATTGCGGTTTGCTTTACTATCTCTGCTCCATATCTCCTTCTAAGCTGGAGAACCCATGGGTTGTCCAATCGGTATATCCGGCGAAGTCAGGGTTTACCAGTCAAACCTCGTGATATGCTTGGTTATAGCGAACGGGCTATCGAGACCTCTATCGGGGACCGTGGAGTTGCTCTAGCAGGAAAATGAAAGGCAGAAATGATAAGACATTGTCGTTCGGTCCCCGATGTTTGCCAGAAGACATTGACAATTCTTTCCCGACCCGCCCTGATGATGGGCATGAGATTCGATTTGTTCCCTGCTTTTAGGGCCTCGGCGGATTTCTATCTATCTCTGAATCAAGTTAGTAGCCGAAAAGCACAGCAGGTACTGTACCAATCCCCGCTTATTCTGTACCTCGTGCGAAGCGCGGTAAGTCTACCATGGCAGGTTGGACTGTTCGAAAAGGGGAAGAAGAGCCGGAGAATAAAATGCAGAATACTTAATAGAAATAATGTACTGAAAAGATCAACACCAGTTTTATAATTCAGCTTATTTCCCTCCGCTACCTCTATGTTCTTGAAAGCTTCATTCTACTTCATATCAGATTCGCCAACGAATTTGTACCTGGCCCAGCATGGCGCAGAACCATCGAATCTACTTGTTTGGAGATCAAACATATGATATTGATGCTCCCATGCGAGAGCTCCTGCTCCATTCAGACCCCATATTGACGTCCTTTTTTGAAAGAACCTTGCATGTTCTACGACTTGAGATCAGCCAGCTACCCAGTCAGGTTCGCTATGAATTCCCTCGATTCTCCAGTATCGCGGACTTGGTCTCACGGCGACGGGATACCAGACTTCATTCTAGTCTTCAAATGTCTCTCGTCCTAATCTATCAACTGGGGTCTTTCATTCGGTGGGTTGAATTCATCGTACAGACCACTAGGCTTTTACTTACGATCAACCAGGATTCATTCAGAAGGGGGACTGGTGTATCCTACTGCTTCTGATACTCACCTCTTGGGCCTCTGTACTGGAGCCTTTGCCGCTGCAGCCATCAGCTGCTCACGCTCCTTGGTCGAGTTGCTTCCAGCCGCCGTACAAACGGTACTGGTAGCTTTCCGAACCGGTCTGTGTGCCGGCAGAATTGGACACTGTATTGAGCCAACTGCCATTGGCTCCAGGGAATGGTCGATGTTGATTTCTGGAATGGAAACTCAGACAACCCAAGATGCCTTGAGAGAATTCTCTGCTACGAAGGTAAGTACCCTGGGCTGGACTTGGAGCCGAATAGTATTGACCGACGCGATTGTTAGTCCCTTCCTCACATGTCTCAGCCTTATATCAGCGCATATGCTCCCAATTGTTTGACTGTTAGTGGTCCTCCTTCTATTCTGGATGAGCTGCGCCAGTCTTCCGCATTCGCGCGTGTAGCCTGCAAATCAATTCCGATACATGCACCCTATCATGCTCCCGTGCTTTTCACGAAGGTAGACATTGAAGAAATTGTCGCCTCAACAATTACCGACCACTGGGCGTCCTACCATGCTCAATTACCTGTGATTTCAGGCGCCACCGGGCGCTTGATATGGGCTAGCAACTTCCGTGCTCTGCTACTGTCTGCAATTGAAGACGTGCTTCTTCAACCAATCCATTGGCTCAAGATTCAGGATGGCTTTAATACTATCTTGCCGTGTATCTCCTTGGTCAACTATGAGGTCATCCCCATTGGGACCCAGGCTGATTCTATCCTGTCACGGATCATGCAACAACCGACAACGAACCCAATCCCTGCCCTGTCAGAGAAGCAGCAGCGTCCACCGACTCCCAATAACAAAGCCAAAATTGCCATCGTCGGCATGTCTGGTCGTTTTCCAGGCGCTAACAATACCGAGGCCCTTTGGGAGCTACTCTCACAAGGGTTGGATTTGTGCAAGGAGGTTCCTGCCAATCGATGGAACGTCAGCACGCATGTCGATCCTACAGGGAAGCGCAAAAACACTAGTAAAATTCGCTGGGGCTGCTGGCTGGACAACCCCGACCTATTCGATGCACGCTTCTTCAACATGTCCCCTCGGGAAGCCCCCAAGTCGACCCCGCGCAACGCATCGCTTTGCTTACTGCGTATGAAGCCATCGAACAGGCTGGCATTGTTCCCGGTCGTACTCCCTCTACACAGCAAGATCGCGTTGGTGTCTTCTTTGGCACTACCAGTAATGACTGGTGCGAGAGCAATAGCGGGCAAGACATCGACACCTACTATATTCCCGGGGCTAATCGTGCATTCATCCCTGGGCGAATCAACTATGTCTTCAAGTTTAGCGGGCCGAGTTACAGCACCGACACTGCATGTAGCTCCAGCTTGTCTGCTATTCACGTGGCGTGCAACTCTCTTTGGCAGGGAGACATTGACACCGCCATTGCTGGTGGTACGAACTGTCTAACAAATCCTGACATGACCGCCGGATTAGACCGTGGCCACTTCCTATCAACAACTGGTAACTGCAAGACTTTCGACGATATGGCAGATGGGTATTGCCGTGGTGAGGGAGTGGCTACTGTTGTGCTCAAGCGACTGGATGATGCTTTGGCTGATCATGACCCTATTCTCGGAGTGATTCTGGGTGCATATACCAACCACTCGGCGGAGGCAGAATCCATTACACGGCCTCACGTCGGCGCACAGAAGGCCATCTTCGAGCGTATATTGAACCATTCCGGCGTGCATCCGTACGACGTTTCTTACATTGAGATGCACGGCACCGGCACTCAAGCAGGAGACTCGCGCGAGATGGCTTCAGTGCTAGCTACATTCGCGCCGTATTCAACGGGTCATCAAAAGCGCAGTGATGAGCAGCCTCTATATCTAGGCGCAATCAAGCCCAATATCGGACACGGCGAGTCTGTGTCAGGTGTGACTGCGTTGATGAAGACGCTGCTGATGATGCAGAAGAACGTGATCCCGCCCCATTGCGGCGTCAAGACGCGCCTGAATCAAAAGTTTCCAACAGACCTTGCGCAGCGCAATGTGCATATCGCGTTTCAGGCCAGTGACTGGCTACGGCCGCAAGGCCAGCAAACCCGGCGTGCCTTTATCAACAATTTCAGCGCTGCTGGTGGTAACAGCTCGATCTTAGTAGAGGATGCGCCCGTGCCTACTCCACTCAATTGCAGTGATCCTCGTTCCTCCCATGTTGTCACTCTCTCGGCGAAATGCGTCTCTTCGCTCAAAAGCAATGTCGAATCGCTTTTGAAATATCTGAGAAGTCTGTCAAGCAGCGACGATCTAGTAGTCACTCTTCCTCAACTTTCATATACTACGACAGCCCGACGAATCCATCATCCGCATCGCGTTGTAGTGACCGGTTCAAGTATGGTGGAGATTGCCTCCAATTTGAAAGTGGTCTTGGAGGAAGAATTTACATTTCCCCGTTCAGGGCCATGCCCCAGAGTCGTCTTTACATTCACCGGTCAAGGTGCACAATATCCTGGAATGGGTCAACAATTGTTCAACACGCTATCGCTGTTTAGATCTGAGTTACGTCGGTTTGACCGACTTGCCCAATCTATGGGACTCCCATCATTTTTATCCATTTTCCTGGACGTGACAGAAAGTCAACTGGATGATTTTACCCCCACGGTTGTCCAACTAGCCAATACCTGCATGCAGATTGCGCTGGCCCGTGTTTGGGGCTCATGGGGCATCACGCCTTCAGCAGTGGTTGGCCACAGCCTCGGCGAATATGCCGCGCTCAATACCGCAGGAGTGCTGTCGGACGCAGACACTATCTTCTTGGTTGGCCGTCGGGCGCAGCTGCTCGAGGAGAAATGCCATAGGGGAACTCATGCAATGCTTGCAGTCCTAGCATCGGTGGAGCTGATCCGTCCTGCTTTATTGGACAGCACAGTTGAAATCGCATGTATCAATGCGCCTGGGGAAACGGTGCTTGCTGGGCCACGCGCACAAATTGCAGATATACGGAAGAACCTGATGGCGCAGAATGTCAAATGCACCCTACTGCAGGTACCTTTCGCATTTCACTCTTCGCAAGTGGATCCGATTCTAAAGGACTTCGAATTGTCCGCGAAAGGGGTCACCTTCCGCGCACCGTCTATCCCTGTGATCAGTCCCCTACTGGGAACCGCTATTTCAAACTTAGGCACATTTAGTCCGGAATATTTGGCACGGCATTGCCGTGAGCCGGTAAACATGCTACAGGGCTTGCAGACAGCGTCTGCTGAAAACATTATCACATCAAAGAGTATCGTGATTGAGTTTGGACCCCATCCAGTGGTCCTCGGCATGGTCAAATCGTGTCTGGGCAATGAAATCACTTGTCTGTCTACCCTCCGCCGCAACAAAGACCCTTGGAAAATCCTAGCGAACAGTATCTCTGCGCTGTACAGTGCTGGTGCGGATATCGATTGGTCCGAATACCATCGCGATTTCAGTGCGGCGCAGCGCGTGCTACCTCTACCGTCGTATTCATGGGACTTGAAGTCGTACTGGATTCCATACAAGAATGATTGGACCCTGTACAAGGGTGATCATGTCTGCAATGGCAATGCTGCTCCTGAAAAGATCGTCCACGCTCCTCCCCTTCCTGCGCCAACGACAACCACGCTACATCGGCTGGTGGAAGAGAAATCGGATTCAGAGAAATTCGTAGTCATCTACGAATCTGATGTTTCGCGCCCGGACTTGAATCCTCTCGTTCAGGGTCATAAGGTGGAAGGCTTAGGATTGTGTACCCCAGTAAGTCTGCTATTTGCACCATCTGACCGCAAGCTGACGATTTGGCGAATCAACAGTCAGTCTACGCTGACATAGGGTTTACATTGGGCAATTATTTCCTTGATCGATTCTCTCAGCAGCTTAAAGGAAAAGACGGTGAAAAATATGTCGATATTATCAACATGGTGATCGAGAAGGCCTTGATAGCAGAGAACGCTGGTCCCCAGTTCCTGCGTGTCGCTGCCGAATTGGATTGGTCCTCCAAAGAGGCTGCTGTCAGATACTACAGTGTCGATGTAAGATTATGACTCTGTTCATGAGCATTTTACTCTGCCGTATCTCCATGCTAATATTTAGCTCAGTCAAACCACGTGGAGTCCATACAACATGCCCACTGCCGCATCCGCTTCAGTAACAAGTCCACCTTTGACAGTCTTGCCAAAGACATGCCCACCATTCAAACGCATATTAAAACAATGCGCGAGAATTCCTGCAAAGGGGCAATTTTCCGGTTCAATGGACCAATGGCGTACAACATGGTCCAGGCTTTGGCCGAATTCCACCCCGATTACCGGTGTATTGATGAAACGATCCTTGACAACGAGACTTTAGAAGCCGCATGTACCGTCAGCTTCGGCGATGTCAAGAAGGGCGGCACTTTCCACACGCATCCTGGGTTTATTGACGGATTGACACAGTCAGGTGGCTTTGTCATGAACGCCAACACCAAGACGAACTTGGCGGCGGAAGTGTTCGTGAACCACGGCTGGGATTCGTTCCAGCTATATGAGCCTGTCACGGACGATAGATCCTACCAAACTTACGTGCAGATGATACCTGGTGAAGCAAACCAGTGGAAGGGAAACGTAGTCATCCTCGGTGGTGATCGACTAGTTGGCAGCGTCGGAGGGTTGACAGTAAGCAGACTTCCCTGTGAAATATGTACCATGTTGACCAAAAAAACAGTTGCAAGGTGTCCCGCGAAGGATCTTGCGATACATCCTGAAAGGCAGTGCAAAGCCTAGTAAAGCAAGCCGGCCAGATGCTGTTCCACTCAAAGCTCCTCCTCAGACAATGGACAAGGAGAACGCTGGAAGAAAGAATATGCCGCCCAATCTCCAAAGGATGTCCCCTGCTGCATCAGTGGTAAGGCCTGTTCCTCCTATCACGCCTCAAGCCCATGATTCTACAACAGAATCTCGATCGGATCGACTGGCTCATGCTCTTCGCATAATTTCTGATCAGAGCAATGTTCCCATTACCGAATTGATGGACGATGCGGTCTTTGCAGACATTGGCATTGACTCTCTCCTGGCGTTGACCATCACCTCTGCTTTCAGCGAAGAGCTTGATCTGGATTTGGATTCCTCTTTCTTTATCGATCATCCAACGGTGGCCGATCTCAAGAAATCTTTTGGCAGCTTCATTTCAAGCCCACCGGCCACTCAAGTAATTGTCCCCGCTGAGGCTCGGCCCATTGTTATCCCACAAGTCCAGTCTTCCAGCAGGGAGCAACAGTCGGTGACACTTCCGCCGACAGACGATGGTGTTGTCGCTGATATGGTCAGGCAACAACTGCAAGCCACCACTAGCACCGCCGACAATGGCATTTTTCAATCAGCCCTCCACATTATCGCAGACGAAAGCGGCGTCAGCCCTGCTGACCTGACTGGGGAGACCGCATTCGCGGATATTGGTATTGACTCTCTGCTGGCACTGGTCATTGGCAGTAGGCTTAGCGAAGAGCTCGCACTGGATATTGACGCAGAATCCTTCTTCCAGAACTGTGTGACCGTGCTAGATCTGCAGAACTTTCTTCAGGGCAAAAGCAGTGAATCGCCTTCTCCACTAGTAAGGGCCCAAGACCAACCTAGCGCTACACAAACCACGCTTGTCTCTGTGTCTTCAAAGCAAACTGTGTTTGCTCCAGTAACGGAGACTTTAGGTAAGCCGAGGCCACTGCAGACTCTAGCCCATTCACAACCATCCCCTCTGGTTGTAGCTCAAACACAAAAGTTGGCTCCATCAAACGAGCCAGATCCCTCATTTTTAGAGGTTCTACAGGTAATCAGCGAGGAAAGTGGCGTGGAAGTCAGCGATCTTTCCGATGAGACGGTGTTTGCGGATATCGGCGTCGATTCTCTGCTCGCCTTGGTGATTGGGAGCCGAATTCGAGAAGAACTTCTATGGGACTTGGACGTCGAATCAATGCTGATCAGTCATCCCACGGTCAAAGATTTGAAAGTGCATATGCGAGGAAGAGGGTCGGTGTTTCAACCTGACCAGAACCTCTCCGGCTCATCCATTTCCAGTTTCTCGTCCGCATTTGCTTCGAATGACAGCGTCAGCTCAGCCGCTGAGACACCCGGGTCCGAGTCATCTGCATATGAGCTTGGATCCAGCATCCCTAATGCCTCATCCGCTGTTCTGCAAGGCTCGCCCCGAAATGCTGAGAAGATTTTGTTCCTGTTTCCGGATGGTTCGGGGTCAGCCACCTCCTATGCCTCTCTGCCACGTATTGCGGCCAATGTTACCGTCATTGGTCTCAACTCCCCGTTCCTTAAGAACGGTGCTGAGATGCGCTGCACTATAGACGAGCTTGTGGGAAGTTATCTGCAAGAAATCTGTACCCGCCAGGCCACAGGGCCTTATCACCTCGCCGGCTGGTCCGCAGGTGGAATTCTGGCTTACCGGGCCGCTCAAATTCTCGTTGCTCGCGGCGAGCAAGTTCCCTGCTTAGCCCTGCTGGACGCGCCTCCACCAATGGGGCTGGGGAAGCTCCCGCAGCACTTTTTCGATGATTGTGACGCGATGGGAATTTTTGGTCAAGGGGGCAAAGCACCGGAATGGCTGATTCCACATTTTAAGGGAACCAATGCCGTTCTCAATGGGTACTACGCGACGCCCTTTGCAACAGGTCAGGCACCCAGCAGGACAGGAATTATCTGGGCAAGTCAGAGCGTCTTTGATACAAAGGGATGCGCTCGACCGGCACTGCATCCCAACGACACGGAGGATATGAAGTTCCTCACCGAGACACGAACCGATTTCTCAGCGGGGACTTGGGGGCTATTGTTCCCCGGGGCTCAGGTGGTTATGGATAAAGTGGAAGGGGCGGATCATTTCTCCATGATGGTAAGCACATCCTTTACATATATCCGCTTTTGGCCGTTCTATTGGATTATATCTGGTTCTAATTCGGGAATAGCAAGAGGGGAAATATGCTCGTCAGGTAGCGGGGTTCTTAGCTCGGCTTTTGTCGGGGTGTTGAAAGCGATGGAGCAGAGGCTGATTGTGTTTCTTGTGAATCTGATGCTGCTAATGGAACTTTATCATTCATATATATGTTCCCCCATGATATTGAATGTTGACTTTCATGTGCAACTCATCCAGTCCATGCTGGAGATAGTTGCTAGTGATTATTCGCTCAAGCAAAGTGTACCGTCTCTGATCATTAGTGCTTCTAAGGACTTGTCTTGAGAAAGATTATGAAAAGCGTATACACATAGTGAGGGAAAATAAGAGTGTTTAGCTAGATTAGCAGGTGCAGACAGGGTTGATTTAATTTGTTCGGCGGACGCCTTTGCGGTCTTCAACCGACTAAAAAAGGTAAACGTGAGCTTAGAGGCGGGCAGATTGAGGTGGAGGAAGGTTTATTGACAGGGTCGGGTGGCCGCGTTTGAAAAGGCTGTTAAGGAAGCCATGGCTCAAGGGATACAGGCAGGTCTTGTCAGTCTTATATGTTCGAACGATGCAGAACAAATCCGATGACTCGAAAGGTCAACAAGGGGGCCTTAGGGGGTCCAATGGTGAGGGCGCTAGGCATTGTACCCACAAGAAATGACCCGACAAATCAGTGACTTATCCTTGCAGGCATCGTCGCAATTCAAAGAGAACCGGAGCAGTGAGTAGGAATCGGAACTCGGCAGCGTAAGCAGAGGCGTGTTTCGAGAACGGAGGGTAAGTTTGATAAAAGACAAACAGGACACGATGGAGGTTGAATAGTTGTATATAGACGCACATGACGACCACAACTGTTACACGACCGGAGAGTGAGCATTGTGGAACAGTAACCAAGTAAGCGTTAAGGACCAGCACGGGAACTGTGGAGGGGGCCGGTATGTACGGCGATGAAAGAAGTAAATCTCGGGAGGCACACGTGGCAATAGACTAGAGAGTGTTCTAGTAAAAAGACGAGAAAGTTGCACAGAGTACGAAGCAATCATGGGATGAGGTTATGCAGATTGATGCAGCCAAAACTCTACAACCCTAAAGCCAAGCCAGGCTAAGTACGAAGGAGGTAACAGAGTGGAGCCGCGGAGGGCAAATTAGGGAGGAGCGTGGCAGAACGGCACATACGTAGTTAAGCCACCTCTTTTTTGCAGCGTCTCGCGCACACGTACACCCGCGTTGATTAGTTCCCATTCTCTCACTTCGTTCGTTGGGTTTCGATTAGGACACCACGAGTTTATCGATTCCAGACCACGCGAAACCCTAGTCATTCTGCCGTTACCTCCGTGTCAGGACCCCCATCCTGCCACCAGAGTGCGAGGTGGACGGCAGCATGCGACCGTCCTCAGGAAGAGCCAGCTATGTATTTAAGAACATTGGAACGCAGACCAGAAGGGTCTGCGTTAAATCTACCCACCTAAACCAGAGACACTGCGAGGTCTCCCAGGTTTTGGGTTGAGACCCTCGACCCAAATTCGGTTTTGCGGAAGTCTAGTGAGCCGTGGATCCCATTTGACAATAGAATATAGGGCTAGGTAGGACACGCCTAGCTCGCCCAGTCAGACGAAGTTAGCAGCCCAAACATCCATGGCCCTAACTCCTTTCCGACCCCCCTGTATACCCTCCAAGCTCGCCTCACACGCATCCCGTGATGCAAGAACCACTGCCCGTTCCCTCTCATCACTCACAAACTCCTCTACTTCCCTTTCGAAGGAGGACGAAAGACAAGCAGAGACTTCCCATTGCCCGTCCAACAACCCCTCCCCACCTTGCACGAGGGTCTCACCCTCTAGCTGCCACCCGGCAGCCAGAGCTAGCTCGGTAAGCCGCTTTGGCCCCAGCACGGTGCGGACGTTCGAGTCGCTGTTCTCGGATTTATGGCACTCTAGTGCTGCCTGGGCAAGCGCAGCTAATACGTGGGGCTGGGCGGAGGGGTGTGTCGCTACCAAAGACCACTCAGCAAGGAGGAGACGTCTGCTGTGCTGCTTGAGGGCGCGGAAGGTGGAAAGGATGAGCGAGGGGGAGGTGAAGTACCATAGGCAGTGGGCGAGCACTGTTGCGTCGAAGGCCTTACTTTCGCTGGTGGGCGGCGAGGAAGAGGAAGAGGGGGAGGAAATGGCGGAGAGGTAGTCCAGGGGGGTTTGTTGGACCCAAGTAATCCGCCCACCCAGCGGGCCTTGCGAGATGTGATCCTGTGCTTGGCCGAGAGTATACGGGGCACCTGCAGGAGCCATTAGTCGGCTGCTTTCCGCTCGCGACCCCAGGACAAGCAGCAGGGTTAGAAAAGCTAGAAGACTCACCATAATCCAATTCCGCCGGATCGACCGCGACTACTTTCCCCTGCTCGCCAACAGCATAGGCAAGGACAGTCGTGCAGTCCCCTTGCCCGCATCCTAGTTCCAGCACCTTGGAGCCAGTGGGAATGTTCCAGTGCTGCAGGAGCACTAGGCGGTGCAAGGTCTGGGAGTGCTGGATGCCCAAGTGTTTGGGGTCGTGTAAGGAGACAAGGGCGATAGAGGCGGGGTCGAGTTGAGTGGACATGTTGTGCTCGATGGGTGTTGGACACAAGACGGCTGAGTGGGTTTTGCGTAGCTAGGTGATGGAACTTGGAACTATAGCCTTCATTTCAGAAACCGAAAAGATGCGGACAGGGACATCTTATATTGTCAGACTTGGAGGGTCGCCTACCACAAAATTAATATGGGGGTAAGCTACTGGGGGTTGATATTGTGACATATTCCTACTGCTGCGACAAGGGCCCCCTCCCCACTCTTTCAGGCATCTACCGGAGTATTCGGATTAAGATAACTCTGGGATATTTTGCCGGCAATTTTCTTGAAAACTTAAAGTTCTTTGTTTAGGATTGACTGTTTATGTGGGCTCGCTTAGCGTATAATAAAACTTGAAGAGTGCCTTCGAAAGGTTTATCTGAGCGATTAAAGTTGAAACATTATCAAAAAAAAGATGATAGAACACTTTGAATAGCATCGCTGTTAGGTGACTCTAAGTAGTGTCAATGGCTCAATGGCGGCTAATGGTATTGAGTATGTATTGGAATGCCTAGAGTCGCTAAAGTTTTTTGGGGGGGGGGGGGGGGTTTATCTAGGATCTTGCGGATAGAGTCCGATGGGGTAATTGCGGCAGGCTAGTGGGGCCGAGGCTTGATCGGATTATTCCCAAACTACTGCCCAACTAGTAACTATCCCGCTTTTTAGATTGACCCTATGAGCTCTTTGTATAGACTTCTTAGAATCAGACATCCCCTTGTCTAACAGATTGGCCCTGCCCGCGAGTGTTCAACAAATAGGTCCTATTTCATGTGCGAATCCTCAGCGCAGTAGGCCGATTAGGTGATTGTACTAGGGTTACAGGTGACCACTGATTCGAAGAGTCACTAGACATACCTAGAGCCGGGATCCATTCTATGTGAACAATGAGGCTGATTAAAGTAACATGGCTATCCTGCCCCGCTCATTCCCTCCTTCTCACCAACTCAAACCCAAAGCTCGGCGCTATATCAATCTGCATGAATTCCACATGACACGCCACGCGCTGGCACCTCATTTCCACTACTAGACTCTCCGCCCCGCTGGGACAGCCGAACTCTAGTGTTGTGCTGTTCGGCTTGGCTGTGAGGTCTAGCACGCCAAGCAGCTCTCCGCGCACGGGGAGGGTCGAATACGATACGGTATCAAAATCGAGCTCGTCCATAGTGGAAGAGACGGTGGCCGAGGTAGCCACTGGTGCAATAAGCTGCCAAACTTCAATTTCCGTTATATCCCCCTTGGTTATGAGGTCCTTGGCACGCGCAGAGAACTCGGGAGGCGGCCGCCAGGAGAGTGCACAGGTGTTGACGCCGGCGGAGGGGATGGGGAAGCGCATAATTGTCGAGTCCTTTTCTTGCGTCAGCAACTGCACACAGAGTGGTAGACACAGAGCATATGTGGATGGCTTATTGAGGAGAATGAGAAAGGAGTAAGTACGGAATACGGACCTCGACAGTAACATAGACCTGCACCCCTTGACCCCACACGGCATTCTTTAATTTCCTGCTCGCACGTGCCATTCTATCCGGCCAAGCGTGGTGATAAACCTGGGGAGGTGGGATGAATTTCGCTGCCCTGTCTAATCCCAGCCTAGCGTCGCCATAGGGGAGGGCCTTGAGGTCAGAGTCAGACAAAGGGTAGGCTTGGTACTTTGATAGTGTAGTGGGAAGGAGAGCGACATTCACAGCCGATAGCAGCGCTAGCCCAAAGGAAAAGTAGAGAATGAGCTTGGGCAGCTGGGAGGGTTTGGAAGGCGCAAGGCCGTTGAGGTTGTCCGAGGCTTCCAACAAGGGGGCAGAGTGGTCGTCCTCGGAGGAGCGCTTCTCAAGGGTTGTGCTGGAGTCCTCGCCATCGTCGTGTAGTGAAAGAGGCACATATTGGGAAGAGCTGGACTTTGCTTTGGAGGAGGACATGGCGAGAGCCGGTCAAAGAGAAGAGCAGAGAGGGCGCGCCGTGAGTCAATGCAAGTACCGGTAAAGAAGGTCATGGCTCCCGTGCCAGGCAACCACTCAAAAAGTAGGCCTGTAGGTCGCCTGGTACGCCATGCTGCTCACCGTGCTCTCCAAAGATAGTAGAGTTACAGTGCATTAGAAACTCGGCCCTACTGCGTGGCCAAAAAGACCCCTGTTGTGACGGTCGCGACCGTCACGTGTCTAGTACCACGTGACGCGGGCCTTATGCTGCGCCCGTCGTCCTCAGAATAAGATCATCTTCTTCTTCGTCCTTTTTTTCCGGATGACGGCTACGTAGCCACGTAGGCCTTACATCTGGTAGCAGGTCTTGGTTGCCGAAGCAGGCTACCCCCGAAGATCAAAAAAGCCCCGGCCCCCACCCCCGGCCTTCACGGTCGGAAGGGCGTCCGAGACCGACGCGCTTCAGCGTCATCGTCCAATCAGCGTCATCATCCAACGCGCCTCGGCATCATCCGACGCACATCAGCGCATCAGCGCCACCCGACGCGTCCTAGCGTCACTCGAAACCAACGCGTTTCAATCACCCTCTTCCCCTGACCTAACCACCCGTTACCTATGAGGCGACGACCCCGCTAATTCTGCCCGAATTACCCGCCTGGCTTTCTGAGAAGCGGCAGGTGCATTCGAGGGACGGCAAGCGCACGGACCAAGTGACCCGCCTACCCGTCATCCACATCCATGTCGACGAATCGGAATGACGACAGAATAGCGAAGCAACTCAACGCCTTTCTAGTGCTAGCACACTAGCTACTAGAATTCCATAAGGAACACCCACTTAGCCAAGCAGCATCATTTAGTACGCTGCTGCAGCAGCGTATCGACTTCGCAGTCAATACATACGACGCTCCTAAGCTGCCAGGGCAAAACCGTTTCCCACCATCCTAGACGGTAGACACCGCGGGCGCCTTCCGTAAGACTATCAGAGCTTTTTCTAAGCTCGGCCATAGCCTACAACGAAGCGGTGCAGTCAACGGTTTCCTAGTGACACCAACCTAGTCGCAGTCGCGCAACGGCAGTACGGCGACCAACCCGCCGCCTCAGCTAGGGACACCGCCTCGACAGGACACACCATCGCGGCAAGGACGTCCAGTCTTACGACCAGGCCTCGGATACAACCCTATCCTTGGCAGTGTCAATCGCAACCCACGTCCTAGGGCCCGCTCTTCGCCGGCAGGCCCTCAATTCCTCTAGTATCGATCGCATCCGGACGACGACACAACACCATCACTAGCATCTAAGATGGCTCGTGTCGGACCGGAGACGCTCTCCGACGTCGATCTAAACTAGCCAGAGGCGACCTAGCCGCCACTACCTCCGCGTACTTCTCGCGCAGCAGCAGGTTTGGAGAACCCGTTCGCCCAATATGACCTTAGCCCTAGCCTATCAGTGACCGCACCTACACCTACACCCGCGCCTACTGCCGCAACGGCCCTAGTTACCGCTACTCCAGCGGCTTTCTCAGCCCAGCAGTATCAAGAGATAATGTCAATGATGCAGCAGGCAGTCCGCTCTACGATCTAGGAACGACCTCCCGTCGTCGTCCCAGCCACAGTCCCCGTCCCTAGCCCCCTAGGACCCGCAGGCGTCCCGGGCCGCCATGGTCACGACGGTCACGATGCAGTTCAAGGCACACCGCATTGGAAAACTGACGAGATCGGTTACTTCGCTCCAGACGCGGCCGCGGAAATGCATATGCGATCCGTCCGAGGCGTGACGTACTATGCGAACGTCTAGGTGTTCCTTAGCCAGCTTCGGGCCCAGGTCCCGCTCAAGACTGAAGCGGTCGTCCGAGCCAATATACAGTCTTGCTTACGCGAAGGCGCACAGCAATGGTATACCTCCGAATTGTCAGAGCTCGAGCGCCGCGCGCTTCGCACATACCCTCTAGACGACGAGCACGGCTAGTATAAAGCACTCGAAACTCGATTTAAACAGCGAGCCACATCGGCGATCGCGCAACTCATGGAAGGCCACTACGGATGGCCCGAGGTGCGCGCAATGCGCTCGCCAACGTCGTGGGCAGCGCAAATGCTTCGTCTTGCTCAAGACGCCGAAATAGGCGACGTTATGCTTCAACTCCGCTAGATATGGTATCGCCTCGACCCTTCCCTACGCCGTGATGTAGAAGAACCGCAATAGGGCACATCGGTCGCGTCCTTTATGCAGCAACTCGAACAGCGCTACGGTACTTAGCTCGATATGACATAGACGCGAGACCACGCTCGTACGAGCGATCTAGCCATATCGCCGGTCTAAGCGATGTTAGCCCGCCGCGGCCAACAGTGGGGCCGCTAGCAGCGCAACCAACCTCCGCGAGAACAGCGTAACTAGCAAAATCAAGTTCCACGAGAGTACCAACCTCGGAATTTCAGCCGAGAACCGCGATCAGAGTCATCTCGTACCAGTCGCCAGGACTGGCCTCGCCGAGACCGAGACCGTTGGCAGCGCCGCCTAACCAATGATAGGCGATTCCAGCACGACGAAAGTCGGTTCCAATCACAAGACGATAGCCGACTCCAGTTCTAGGACGCACGGCGCTAGCCCACTCAACCGCGAGACACGGGGCAAGCAGGTCGATACAACGTATCCCGTAACCGGATGCCTTAGAACAGCAATCTATAACGGGCGTACCTCGCCGCGACCGACTACGACGGCGACCAAGAAGGTTACGAAGATGACGGTTACGACCGCGAGCGAGGCGATGACCAATACGATCACTACTTCGGACACGACCCCGGTCACGACCCCGGCGACCGCGACCCCGAGGACTCGGACGTAACAGTCGGGTTTTTCGCCGACCAATTTGACGACCACGACCAGCCTCCTTTTCGGAGGGCGGCCTTCACGGAGCATACGGCACCCGTGGAGGGAACCGCTTCTAAAAAACACGCGGTCGTGACGTGCAGGAACTATAGAGACCACTTCGACACGAAGACATCCCTCTATAGGCATTTAAAGGGATGCACCCTATACGCGCAACACGTCCACACCGGTGAGGGTGCGGACGACACCTTTAAACCAATTATCGCGTCCGACCGCCCACGGACGAGCGCACCCAGTGAAGCTTTTCGAACATAGACATTCGCTTCAGCCACCGTGGCTATCGGTGCAATATCAAACACGAGGAGGGTGTGCTTAGACTCCGGTTGCGTCATAACCCTGATCGACAGCGACCTAGTCAAGGAATTGCGGGCGCAAGCCACACCTACTAAACCGATCCTAGTCCATGGCATCGGTTCCAAGCATGTTTCTTCCTCTTATGTCGTAATTGACACGTTTTACTTCGGCAAGGACAATACCGCACAGATCACCATAGAAGCGTATGTGGTGGACAAGCTCCGGGCAGGTCTACTTATTGGCATGGACGTCATCGGCCACGAGGGCTTCCGTATCGACACCGACAACCGAACCATCCGCATCGCCTCTTGCATAGGGATTACGATCCCGATCGACATCCAAGTCAAAAGCCCCCCGGAAGCTCGCATCGCGACTGCGTTATCTACAGCGGTCCTAGCTAGGTGCAACGCTCGCATTCTAGTGCTGCCGCAAGCCTCGCTGCCGCTAGGCGACTATGTCTTTAAAGGACATTATCCGGCATTAGCGTTTTACTTAACCCTGACAGACCCCAACCCTGCTTAGGTAGAGTGTCATAACCACACAAGCGCTACGGTGACGGTTAACAGAAACATATACATCGGTGTTATTCGCCAACATGAGGTGACCGGCCTCCTAGCAATCACCGACATAGCAGCAGCGCTTTCGCTCTCCCTAACCTCGGACCCGGCCCCGCCTCCAGCCTCGGTCACATAAGCCCCTCGCTCGTCGTAGTCGCCGCGGCCCCTAGAGCAAACCCTAGTCAACGGAGTCATAGTCTACGGAGACAAGCACGCCGCTACCTTGTTAGCCGACGTGCTTATGAAGTACGACGTCTAGAGTACTCCCGATAACTCCGGTCTGGTTCAACTACCGCTAGAACGGTGGATAGACATACCACTAGTCGACGGTTAGGAAAAACAGCTGCCAAAACCAAAGGTCTACCCTCTCAGACGAGCGGACCGCGCGATCGTCGACGCGGAGTTCGATAAGCTACACGCTTAGGGCAAAATAAGCTACGCCCAAAATCACACGCTAACGGGATACCTAGTTTTCGTGGTGCATCGGCGGGTTATAAAGAATAGTGTCGAGCACACCTCGGGTCGCCCCGTGGTTGATATCAGAGGTTTGAATAAACTTACCAAGGTGGATATGTACCTAGTCCGAACTTAGGACGAGATCGTACGGATATACGATAGCAAGGGCTATATCACGGTCCTCGACGCGAAGGGCTTCTTCTACTAGTGGATCGTTAACCCGGCACACCGGTCCCGTCTAGCGGTTATCAGCCATCGCGGCTAGGAGATTTTCCACGTCGCTATAATGGGTTACCGCAACTCTATCGCGTACGTGCAGCGACAAATAGACCTCATCCTTAAAGCCTTCGCGGAATAGTGCAAGACATACACCGATGATCTCGTGGTCGCATCCGACACACTACGCGAGCATCTCTAGCACCTAGATCTATTGCTCAGCACGCTAGAGAGATACGGCATACGACTCGGTCCCGCTAAAGCGTTTGTTAGTTTCCCTAAGGTCGCGCTGCTCGGCCACTACGTGGACGTATTCGGCCTCTCCACCCCGAAGGAAAAGCTATATACCATCGCGGAATTGAAATTCCTAAGCACCTTGCAGTAGCTCGAGACCTACCTTGGTATGACGGGCGATCTTCGACACCTTATCCGGAACTACGCACAAAAAGTCAAGCCGCTACAGGACCGTAAAACCTTGCTTCTTAAGGGTAGTCCGGTTGCGGGTCGCCCTCGCCAACAATAGGCGCTACGCACTATGCTCCACCAACCAATAGACACCGAAATGACAGCGTTCGAGGAACTCTAAGATAGCTTCCGCGGTGCGACAGCCACTAAAGGCGGTATCGGCCCCCTTGTGCATTAGAGCGAGCATCGTCAAGCGTACATCGATATCGACGCGTCGCAATAGACTAGCTTCGGAGTCATGATTTACCACGTTAAAGAACGGTTTTAGCACAAGGATATGGGAAAACCGCCCCCGAGCAACGAAACGGAACCAATCATGTTCCTCAGCCGAACCCTCACAGCAGCGGAAAATAACTACTAGGCAACCGAACTCGAAGTGTCGTGCATCGTGTGGACGTTAAGGAAAGTCCGACACCTTATCGAATCATCAAAAAAGCAGACTATCATATACACCGACCACTCTGCCACAATTGCAATAGCGACTTCCTTACGTACCGTCTCTACCAAAGGGCTGAATCGCCGCCTAGTACGCGCGGCGATGTTTATCCAAACCTTTAACGTTAAGGTGTACCACCGCCCTGGCAAGTCAAACAAAATAGCGGACGCGCTCTCACGACTGCCGAGCAAGGCCCTATCACTAGCGACCGCAAACGACGACCTAGAGACGTACGCCTTAGCAGCAACGACGATATAGCTAAGCGACGACTTTAGACAAAGGGTCGTCGAAGGCTACACCACGGATACGCGATAGTCTATAGTCCGCTAACAACTCCTCGATGACGCCGCGCAAGACGATCCGATGACTGCCCGGCTCCTATACGAGCTACAGGATGATCTGTTATTCGCGATCTAACCTGACGGATCTAGGTGGCTATGCGTTCCTTAAGCAATGGCGATCGACGTCTTCCGAATGGTCTATAACGACCAAGGGCATTAGGGCTTCGAACGATACCGACACAAGATGCGCGGGATCGTTATTTATAAAAGCATAAAGAAACTCAAGCAGTATATCGAACACTGTCCCGAATGTCTACGGAACAACATAAGACGTCACAAACCCTATGGGTCGCTATAGCCGATCCTTAGCCCGGCAGTCCCATTCTACACGGTCTCGATCGACTTCGTCACAGGCCTACCACTGGCGTCTAGGTTCGACGCGGTCGCACTTATGACCTATAAGTTCACAAAGCGTCTCGGCGCCGTCCCTGGCAAAACAACATAGACGAGTAGGGACTAGGCGCTCGCCGTCCTTGCGTTTCTACAAATAGCCGACTAGGGTCTGCCCTCAGCCTGGATCTCGGACCGCGACCCAAAGTTTGTTATAGGATTCTGGAAAGCACTTTTCAACGCTCTCCGGGTAGCCCTGTTCTTCACGACGGCGTACTATGCACAGGTAGATGGTCAAGCCGAACGATCTAACTAGTAAGCCGAGATATGGCTCCGACATTAGACGTCGACGTATCCAGACCGAAGTTAGCCCGAGGCGATCCCGTCCCTTATCGCCGCGACTAACAGTGCCCTAAGCACCGTAACTAGGGAAACCCCACACAAGCTAATGTTCGGCATAGAGGTCCGTATGCCCTAGAACCTATTAGAGCAGATCGAGGAACAAGACCATTCGATCCGACAGGACGCAGCCGAGTGCCTACGATACGCCGCAATGCAAATAAAGAAGTACTACGATCGAAAACACACACCAAAGCACTTCTGCGTCGGTGACAAGGTCCTTTTGCGTCTCGGTCGCGGCTACGATATCCCCGTGAACCAGGTGCTCTCCCGTAAGTTAGGTCGCTAGTACGCCGGTCGCTTCACCGTCCTTGAACGCGTCGGTCGTCTCGCCTACCGACTAGACCTCCCGGGCACGTGGAAGCGTGTACATCCAGTGATCAGCGTGTAACACCTCGAACCCGCTCCTCCTACTAAGGCAGACCCTTTCGGTCGAGAGCAGCCCGGACCGGGCCCGACCTTAGACAACCGGTTCCCCTAGGACGAGGACCGCTTCGATGTCGCGAGGATACTAGATGTCCGCGTCCGTAAACGCAAGCGACTCGGCGACATTAAGGAGTACTTCGTTTAATGGGAAGGCCTCCTAGATAAGGAAGCTGAATAGGTCTAGGAACACAACGCCGTTAGTTACGCCGATCTTATACGAGAATTCGAACTCCGCCGCAATAGCGCTACGCGAGAGGAACCTTTATTAGACCCAGACTAGCGCCTAGCACTATAGCCATAGATTCTCGACGACGCCCTCGAAAATACCCGACTAACTCCCGGAGACACCTAGCTGACTCCGGAGGAGGTCACAATCTAAGCAATATCAAGCTAGTATATCAATAGAGACAATAGGGATTATACGAGCAGAGCTAAGGCCACGACGGCGGCCAATATACAGCATTAATCCGTCGCAGAAGGGGTTATTAATAGCTTACTTTTCTCTCACTTCCTCGCTAGGAGCGCCTTATGTCATAACAATCAATATCACTTTCACATTTACTTTCTCACGCGTACATTATTTAAGACACCGGTCCCCTCTTCCCTTCGCAACATTCTCACACTCTCTCTATCACAGCAGCATCCCGGTCACAGTCCCTACTCCTAAGACTACCGAGGTCCCTACTCCGCCTAAGACAACCACTCACGTTGTTGCTCCGGCACCTACTCCCACTCTAGAGGCCACCATTCCTAAGTCTCCTCCCTAGACCAAGGCTACGATCCACCTAGCAACTCCCTCGAACCCACGCTCGCAACATGTCGAGCAAATTCACGGGCCTTCCCGTGTGGCTCGCGGAGCGTAAACGCTCCATGCTACAGTGCGCCTAGTACGCGTAGGCAGAGGCAGAAGCTGGCTACGCTAAACCGTCTACCCTTCCGGCCACCGATAGCGCCGTCAGCGGCCCCGCCCCGAATAGAACAGGCGGCCCCGGTGGACACTTCCTACTCTCCTCGACAAGCTCGTGGAAAGTGTGCGCCGAACCTCGCTCTATCAACCTCACCCGGAACACCTAGGATAAGACTAAGAAACTCGCTCTCTAGCCCCTAGTTAACACGCGTCTTTCAGACGCAGGTCTCTTCTAGTGCTACTTCGCAGTCTCCAAAAAGGAACGAGCCCGACTTTGCCCTCTCGACTTCGATAGCAGGGGCGATGTCCGCCCTAATCGGGTCCCTCGCGGACCTAGTGTCGTTTTCACCATAAACAACAAGGTCTGGTTCGCGGTTATCGACGGTACATACGTCTTAACCGGCGGCTAGAACCGAGCCGGCTAGATCCTTCGCTTAGCTCCGACAGTCACTACCGCGTCGGAGTTCGGTGTTAGGCTCTGGTACGCACCTATTAAAGCGTACCGCCAAGCCGCGTACAAAATCGAGGTCCCTATGTACGGAGAGTGGAACCCGAGAGTTATAGGCGATACCATCCTAGACGTCGGTCGCACGAGGAAGCGTGCCGTCATCTACGCCTACAATAACTTTGGCGAACGATACATCGTCACCACACCCGAGGACCGCTGTGGTATCGAACATATATACAACTTAGGCGGGTTTAAGCGCGAGATCCGTGAGAACTAGGCCGAACCCGGCGCTCCCCTTCCGCACCTCTACGACGGAGACTAGTTCCCCTAGTCCGGTATGCCCGCCGACTTTGCCTAACCAGAGGACGGGCCTCCCTGCCCCGCCTAGGACGAGGTCCTATGGGGTCTGCAGTCCGACGTAGTCGAAGTTATCAACTAGACCGAAGTCGACGAGCGTACCAGGACGTTCGCTAGCGTCAAGATGCGCTACCTAGAGAGAGGATTTCGCTCCGCTAAGACCCAGTTGACGGTCGAATCACCCAACGAGGACGAGCCCACCTAACCAACCACACGAAAGCCAAAGCGAAAGAGACCACCTCGACGCCGTGCGCGGGATACCCCTATCGAGGTGAACACCGACGACGGCGAGCCTCCTGCGCGGCCCCAGCCTGCCCGGTTCCGTGAAGCGCTCACGAACCTATCTCAGGAACCTCGCACGAGCGTACCAACCCTTAACGCCCCAGCCTACAACGACTAGTCCGTCTTCACCAACCTACACCCTAAGGGCCGCGACGCCACTGCGGATGCTGCCATCCACAAAGCCGAGCGCTACCGCCGCGTACGCGCCACACAGATAGTGGCCAGCGCTATCGCCGATTTCGCACCATCCCTCGCCTCTCGCGTCGCGATCCGTCAAGCTATAGACGCAGCTCACGAGTACGACGAGGCGCTTAAGACCGCCCGCCTAGCCGTGCACCGCGACCCGACTCAGAGAAACATTATCTTAGACTCGGTGGACTTCCTCGACGCAGTCGACGACGCGCGCGAACACCACGATCGTCTACCCGACGGCGCCCAGAAAGACGACATCACACCTCAGCTGCTCCGTATGAATGCGTCTATGCGCGACGTCTGGCCTGCGCCTTCAGCCTTCACGCCCGAATGGCCCACGCAGTCCACCACATTCGCGGCGATCGCTACGGACATGACCTCGGAGACCACCCTGCGCTCCCGACGCTATGGATCAATCTGAAGGAATGGTATGTCTGAAGGACGGGGCATTACTCTTAGTTTTTAGCTATTTTTGCTCATTTTTAATGTGGCACGCCCGGGACGGCCGCGCCTTCGAAGGCCGGCAGATGTGACGGTCGCGACCGTCACGTGTCTAGTACCACGTGACGCGGGCCTTATGCTGCGCCCGTCGTCCTCAGAATAAGATCATCTTCTTCTTCGTCCTTTTTTTCCGGATGACGGCTACGTAGCCACGTAGGCCTTACACCTGTGCGTTCGTAATCGCGGCCAAATGAGGTGGGGACGGGTCCACGTCTATAGCTTGCCCACATGTACTATCTGACGCCGTGCAACACGGCGACCAGCCATTTTAGAGGTGTGGCCGTGGCGGCTCCGCCGGGCAGGTAGTAAGGGTTCGAAGGGAGTTACACCATCTAAGGATACTCCATATTGCCCTCACTCTCTGCACCATGCTGCACTGAACCTCTGTCCACCATGCCCTCCTTTTTCGCCGCAATCACCTCCCTGCTTGTCTTCATAAACCTTACATCCGCCGCGCACGCTGGCTTCCACGTCCAGTTCCCATGGATGACCCGCGTTCCAAGCCCCAAGACCCGGCCAGAGATAGATAGGTACAACCCTTTCTGCGGTATGTTCCTGCCCGTCTACGGTCTAGCAGTAGCGTAGGCTGATACAGAGAAGGGGAGATAGTGCATAACCCTCAACGATACTCCCGTCACTCTCGCAGTTTCCTCGCGTTCTCTGGCCATCCTAGGGACCTTGTGACTGCCCTCTACAGCCGACATAGAGTGCCAAGGAAGAGAGAAGATTTCCCCTACATCATCCTGAAGGATGTGCCCATCCAGCCTTCGGGGCAGCTGTGTGTGAATGTCACGATACCATTTCAGATCGAGGTCGACGAGATGGGAGTCATATACTTCGAGGCGAGGGATCCCAAGACAGGGAATGTGGAACACTATGTCAGTTTCTCCGGCTTGCAAATTGTAGAGCTGATGCTGATGCAAATATGGTGCTCCGACGTCAAGATGGCTGAAATGAAGGCTCTTCCGGAGGACCATCCGGCTATGTGTGCGGCTAACAACGAGACACTTATCCCGATGCCGGATGAGTACCTGTAGATGCAGGTTGGAGAGCTGTCATGTCCTGCAATTACCATGTGTGATTCGCTTCTAAATGTGCAACTTTGTGCCCCTCTCTCATCTTAACGTACAATGGCTCAACGCAACGGCACTATACCACCTTGAAATGAAGCAGATATCCAGCTTGCTAGCTCCTATTTGTTTCCATCAAATCCAGGATAATCATCGTAGTGCTTAGTGCTACTACTGTCTATAGCGTGTCTGAGTGAACGATCCGCGATACTTCTTGATGGACTTTTATATATGTGTATACTGCTTGGTATCAAAAGCTGGTAAAAAAAATACCCTCAAAGAGGGCGCAAAGTTGGTGGGTTGCGGCGCTTGCCTTTCGAACATATTATAGACGTTTCTAAAGCTAGTTCTAATCGAGGCTTCGATTATCCGCAGCCGAGCAGTGTCTAGACGTACACGACTTCGTCTTTATCCACTCCGTAGGTGTGTCGCTTCTCAAGTGCGACCTCGTCATCATCCAATTGATAGCGGTGTCGTTTCTCGGCCATGCCAGAGAAAGAGGCATGGCTGATTGAGTGCTCGGGGCGGCGAGCCAAATCAGCGGGGGGAACCGCTGCGGACTGGACAGGGAGCATATTCAAGCCGAGGCTAGCAAGGCTGAGTAAAGTGATGGGGAAATGCATTGTTGGAGTTTTGCGGTGAGCAAATGCTTTCGGTGGGCGAGACAAAGAGGTGGGTCTTTTATGAGATGTTGTTAGTGCTCGTCGTACCCTTGGGAATTTATACGTTTCGAGATCCGAAGGAGAACTGAAGTGACGACTCAAAGTGCCGACTCAGATCTTCCCCTCATCTAGTCGACGATCACTACCAAAAGAGATGAGTAGCGCAAGCTTGACCTGTACAAGCAAATTTGGAATGCATATGATGTGATCCGCTATACGGAGTGCAGATAATTAGTACTTTTGTACACCCCACTCCCGCTTCGGACCGGTGGAACCCCGTCGGCCCGAGGCGGGAATGGGGCTTGCACAGGTACAGTAGTGTAGGGATAAGCTCAGCAGTACCCACAATTCTTCCTCTTTGGTCCTAGTTGTAAGAGGGACGCGATAACGTCCTCGAACTTCATTGAATAGCCACCTGGCGAGCAGGAAGCCTAATGCAGGGTGTATTAATTAGGCGCCCCAAAGATGAGGCTTTGTTAACACAGAAACCTCTACAAAGCACGTTTGTTCATGCAGATCTTATCTTGCGGGGCACATTTTTACACTGGCGGGGCTCATGGCAGCGAGAATACACATTTTTACATCGCTAGGCCGATGTTTCACTAGGAGTTTGAATAGCTTGTATAGCTCTAGTACATCGGACCTCGGGGCATAACCACACAACCATGAGAGACTCCTCCAAACGCCTTTTTTGGACCAACTTGAATAGGTCGAATTCGATATATCGCCATATAGCTTGGAGAATAGGATTCCATGCGCGGAAAGGGATTCCTGTCTTTGGAATACCGAGAAATCAGTATAGAACTTGTAGAACTGTTGTTCGAGTCCGTGGATTAGTCGGGCTGCTCCTGAATTTGTAGCTTTAAGTAACTGAAGATAATATCGATCTTCCCTTGACAACATTCAATCAATTGTTTTACAAATATGAGAGCAGTGCGAGGCGAGTTCGGTAATATCACCTTGCTATCGAGCGTCTGCACGATCGTCTCCGAACTTCCTTCGGTATTGGCAGTCAGGCGCTTCGGTGCTAATAAATCGCTTGGCACTGCCCTTGTTTTATGCAGTTTTTGTACCCTTGAAACCTCTATTCAAATTTACGGTCAGGCCATCGCAGCTCGCATGTTACTAAATGCGTTTGAAGTTGGACTTGCTCAGAGCTTTGCATATCTTTTTTCAACTATCTATCCCCGAGAAACGGCAGGTAAACGTATAATGACGGCCAATCTCGCAATGTGCATCTCTGGTACATTTGGTGGGCTTTTTGCATACGCTGTACATACCATGGGGGCTCAACGTGGACTCGCCGTGTGGAGATGGCTATTCATTGTCGAGTTATGTGTCACGCCTTTTGTTGGTAGTATCGAGTGGTTCTTCCTGCCAAACTCCGCTGAGAAAGCATGGTTCTTGACCGGAGAAGAACAAGTGATAATGCGTCTGAAGAGACAGCGTGATCTTGTGCAGCGAGGTTAAGATGAAGTTAACATCAAATAGGTAAAGATTGCTCTTACCGACCCTTTCATCTGGCTTATGGGTGTTTGATTCTTCACTTCTTCCGTGGCAATCAATAGATTTGGTGTCTTTTGTCCCACAACTATTGCAGGGCTTGGGTACGTACAGCCTCGAAAGAAAGATTTGACCAATGAGTGGACAATTACCAGGTTTCCGTCATTGCAAGTCAACTATCTGAAAATTCCAATTTATGCCCTCGGTGCTATTTCACTTGTTACACAAGTGTACTTCTCCGATAAAATCGAGAAGCAAGGCATAGTTATCATTGGATCCTGTATTCCGGTGTTAATTGGATATCTCATCTGTGTTGGTACAGCAAACGCTGCCGCTGGGTATGCAGGCATGTTTGTTCTCGTCCTGGGTAAGTCTTGCTGCTTGTTACTTATACTACCTTAACGGATCGTGTATTAATCTAAATTGAATTATGAATATATCCGATTTTTACACCCGTCGTCACTTGAGTATCTACTCATCTATCTCCGGACTCGAAGCGTGCAGTTGAAGTGCCGGTGGCTTACTCTAAGAGTGTCGGGATATATCCTTCTGTCAGGGAGCTCGGTGATCCGGGTCAATAACAAAAATACCTCACTTGCGAGACGTAGGAGACGAAGGCAAAAAAGAAAATCCGAGCTGTTGGATAGAGGGGGAAGAGCAGGGGACTATATAGAACCACGCACGGACCAAGGGCGCCAAACCTTAAAGGTCAAGATTAAACCTAAGAGCGTAAAAATTTCGTAGCACCCGTCCGATATGGTGTAAACGGAGGTGAGGATGGGATGGCTATAAATTGGCGTGGCATCAACTCGAAAAAATCGTGGTATTTTCACATAGATAGACTTTGTGTAGCGAAGCTCTTTGCGGAAGCATGGGGAGAGAAGGTAATCTTTGCTGGGGTCTATCTAGGTACCCGTTCAGGGCCATAGGATGATTGGTAGCCTTGCCGCTCACCTGGGCAAGAAAGAAAATGACGAGAGTAATCAACACCTCATTCAACACGTCATATGCTTGGCAGCTGAAAAGAAGCAACCATGGTTCCTAGATAATACGATCTTCCCTCATTCTCTCATTTGTATGATATGTTGTTATTTTACTCTGTATAAAGCATGGATTCCCAGTATACTCCTAACCTGATAGCGGATAGGGGCAGGAAAGCCTCCGAGGCCACTCCTTATACATACGCACAAACGGTGGTCAGCCACTCATTGCGGCGAAAAGAGAACTCTCTCTTCCCTGGCATAAACTATAAGCCATTTGCCGATTATCTTTCCCGGTCTTCTACAAATGACTTTATTGTCGCTGGCAGAGGGACGGGGAACTACCACTTAGACGGGCTTCGAGATGGACATATCTTTGCATCATTGCAAGATTACCCGTTCTCTGCTGAACACAGCTCAAATCAGAGCGACATATGCCGAACCTACGATTTCGACTCCGCACTTCCGGGACAGGAGGCCCTTGCTCGACAGAATGAAAATCTCTCATCGAGTGCACAGCTCTTGTTCCTTCGGGGCTTTCCATCGCCAGAATGGCTGAGGCTGATTGGCTGCTCGTATCGCGTAGACCCCGAGTTCTTTCGCCGCCACCTTGATTTTCTTCGACCGGAGGAAGGTCATTTTGATTTGCCAAATCTCCCCTCCGTGTCTAAGAATATCGTGAAGATTCCGTTGATGACGATCGGCACGCGCAACTTCCGAGATTCATCTGCTTGGGGAGAGTTTGGTGATCTTCTAGAACCCGAGCGGAGACGTGCCTTCGCAAGTGTGAGGACACATTTGTCTCAGATGGCGAAAGCGGCAAGGGTTGGCCAGTCGATTATCCGGAAATTTTTGATTTTTGATGAACAATACTTCGCTATTGAACAAGAGGTGTCAATTTGCGTTCAGTCGAGGCGAGAGGGGTGGACTGGTAAGTATTCACGTACCTATATGTCCATTTGACTATGCAGTATTGCATCCCTGGGATGAGTTGAAAAGCTGATTAAGCTAGTAGGAGTCATTTTACTCGACTGCGGTCGTGATATAAAGGAACTGGCCAACGAGTCGTCACCGTGGCTCAAAGGATCTTCGCAGGCATTTACGTCACCCTCGATGTTGCCAAACACGTGTATACCTGTTTATCAATTCAAACCAAAAATGGCATTAAAGGGCCAAAGTCTAGATGGCAAACTAGACACGGATAATCACAGTGAAGCAGCAAGTAACACATACCAAAGCGCTTCTTCCCTCTACAAACACTACGGTAGAACGTTAGATCAGGATGCTCTCAAAATGGATGCTTTCTACGCCTTCACAGAATTGTTCGCATTCTCTGCATTTAGCGAAAGTCAATTCCTCAACATGGTCGAGCAAACAGTTACTCGAAGCAGAGAAACACTGCATACATCGTTTCTGTCACCCCCACAGCCCCGATCCATGCAGTCGACGCTTGAGATGCTCCAGTTTGCAAAATATGTGGCAGATGATCATATTCAAAGGCTTCACGGTACCATTTCATGTATCAAGAGTAAAGGAGGACCGACGTGGCCACGGACTACCGATACAAAGCACAAGGAGATCGCCGACACCGCTGCGTCACAATTACTGGAAGACTATGAGGAACTACTGCAACGTGCCCAGCGACTATCGCAAAGATGCGCAGACCAAACATCACTCCTATTGAATAATTCAATGCTCGCTCAGTCGAAACGGAACATTTGGCAGGCCGAGAGGGTAGCCCGATTAACGCTTTTGGCCTTCCTTTTCATTCCTCTCAGTTTTACGGCCTCTATCTTTGGCATGAATGTAATGGAATTGGAGAATGGCGACGGACCGCGATTGAGTATTTGGGTTTGGGTTGTGGTGTCAGTGCCAACGTTTGTCGTTGCCTTCTTGGTCTGTTTTTGGGACAGTGTGTGGGGTTATTTGAAGATGATTCTGTCGCATGCTCTACATGGAAAATGAGCAAGTGATAGCTTTATGTGGAGGATAAGCTGAATTCACACTATTAAATATACCCTCATATATAGCACGAAGCCACCATCACTCTATCGTGACCAGTGTGGAACTGCGGCATCGTAATCACTCACTGTCAATGGGATACTTGGCGATAGTCGATGTTCTTCCGCCCATTCAGACCACATCCTTGCACATCTGGCCTGCAGCTCCTCGGCCCTCTCGTTATTACCCATCAAGCTCTGTACTCGTGACTTCCGGTGTACTGCACGGCTTCTCTCGGGGATGAAATAAGGAAGCTCACCCCATATTCCCAAGGCTTGATCTAAGAATTCGCTGCATGGTCTTCCGTGTCAGCAAATCACCACGTATTATAATCCACATATTAAGGGGCTTACTCTGCAGCAGCAAGTTCATTCCGCATGACATAATGGTCCGATAACTTGACGAGCGCGCTGGCCGTATGGGGATGGTTATTTCCAATTGTCGAACAATATTGTAGATACGCGTTTTTGTGAAGCTCATGACTCTCTACCCACTGATGTTGTGCAGCTCGTAAGTTTCCTAATGCGTACATTGTGAGTCCGGTCCTATTAGTGTTGATTAGTCGTATTGTTCTTCTCTACCCAAATGTAAGTTTCAGGACCTACCTAAATGATACAGTATTCATCAGGCCCCATCTTTTCTCCTGCCACGCCAAGCAAGGTACTAAGAGCCGATCTGCGGTTTCCAGTCTTCCGAGATAGATATTCGCAAATCCCGCGTAGATTGCCGGGAACATCGCATAGTAGGTGTTGTTCTGGATTTCTTCAACATTGTCGTAGGTTTCAATTGCTTTCATTGCTGATTGAGCGGCCTCCTCATACTTACCCACTGCCAGGTAGTATGCTGCAAACTCGCTGTATGCGATGGCTAGAGGCGTATGATCGTTGGGCATTGTGAGACGAAACTTCAGATTCTCTCCACAATGAAATTGCGCTCGCTCATAATCTTTCAGCCAGGTGCTAGCGGCAGAGATTCCGAAATGAGAATCGGCAAGAACTTTGGACGTCTCTATATCTTTTTTCTGACAGAGACGCTCGGCAGTCTCAAAAAAGGGCATCGATTGCTCGTAGTTCCCCTTTTGAAAATGAAACCTAGAAGATGGTATCAGTAATGTTCTCACATATGTTCGACGCCTTATTAAACCAACCATCCGGCTTTGACTAGCAGACGGCCGAATTTGGCCTTTTTCTCAGGCTTATCCTCAATGAAGCGAACCTTTGGGCTGATATCCATTAATCGTTCGATATGCGGAAGCACTTTGGAACATGCTTTCCACAAACCTGTCTCGTGCCCGAACGCAAGATTGTCACTGGGCCAGGCCGCTGCTAAAACATCCAACATCATCTCCAGGCAAGCTTTGACACAACCATCCTGCATTCTGGCTCGAGCACTGTCTTGAATTACCCTATGTATTGTCATGGTCATCTCATCCTTATCTCTTTTCACAAGCGATGACTTCAACAACTCTGTTCTCGCACTTTCGAATTCAGCAGACATCTTTGGGAAGTTGTCAAGTAGACTTGTCGCTCGCGTCAAATCCCACGAAGATAGACTCATAGATGCTATCGGGGTCCATGAAAGCAATGAGATTAAGTAGGCACACAGTAGTTGGCTGCAAGTGCTCGAATGCCCACACATCAAATAGAGTACTTGTATAGTCTCCTTGGAATCCGCGGATTGTCGTCTTATGTATGTCAGTCAGGAACGAAGGATCTTCGTAATGAGTAACGAATTCCTTGAAAGACAAGTCCCTGCGCCGTAAAATTCCAGCAACTTGAACCAGTGCTAGAGGAAGACCGCCGAGCCGTTCAGCTAAATGTATGGAGTGATCCACATCTTCTTTTGTTTCGTATCCCGTTATCAAGCGCAAATATTGGGCAGCGGCATCAGTGGTGAGTGGCTCCAAGTCGGTACCGCTTGTCGAGTAGATATAGCTTTTTGCCAATGGATCTCGGCTGGTGATGAGGACTGATCCGCTCCCGGCTGCAGGCCAATATTCTGCTAGGAGCTCTGGCCGATCGGCGTTATCAAATATCAACAGATATTTACAATGAACGTGCGCTGCTGGGTGCAGGTTTTCGCTCTCTGCAACCCCTCGATATTTCGATGGTTGAATGAGCCATCCAAGAACCCGATCTCGGCTGATGGCCATACTACCTGCATCAACACTGTCAGTCAAACCCAACTCAAGGGCGATAAGATTGAATCCTTCGGCCAGTTTGCTCTCATTGTCCGCGTTTACCCAGAAAACGGCGTCAAAGTGTAATTTTCGTGACCAGGCAAACTCTCTTGCAACTTGCGTTTTTCCAATCCCACCCATTCCGCAAAGAGCGAATGTTTTGAGTCCAGTCTGCGGCAATGTAATTGGCGATGGTGAATCTGGTAGTAGGGTTTCATCTAGTGTCTTCAGAATCGACTCCCGACCGTGACAGGAACCTGGTGCGCTCTGTTGCCCGAGAATATAACAAGGTATCTTCAACGACTGTGCTGTGGACATAGTACGCGACTTGGCTGGAAGTAACTCGAAATCAATCTCTGACGATCCTGCGGTTGCACCCATGGGGCTTGCTTGAACACTTCGGTTTTGATCGACTGGGATATATTATTAGTCTTTGTCGGCAGAATATGCGATATGGACCTTTAGTACTTTCAAGTGCATTCACTTGTGATGCAGCTGGGGTGCTTCCCCACAGATCGTCTGCATTCCACTTTGGATCCAGGCCTGTTCAGACTTTCATTAGGGAAACATATCAAATTTGACAATGCTGTCGGATACAAACCTTCGCGCTTTTCTAGGATGGACTTCTGCGCTCGCTCGATGGCTAATCTGATGAGTGACACTACCTCGTCAAATATTTGGGTCCCTGAAACCACATTGCATATTTTCATGTGGTCCGCATCCACTTCGATGAGACGCTCAAAGCTCATCGATGTCGCCGCAAGAGCTCTATTGACGAGCTGTTGTAGAACTATTAGAATGAAGATATGATCAATGTCAGGTTCAACAGACTGTTTCCTTTCTCGATGAAGCAAGAGATCCGATACGGAATTTGGTTGGCTGGCCCTCGTAAGCAGTAATAATTGAGTGCCGGAAGTATACCTCTTCGAACTTTAAAGACACATTGCAGACAGTAGCCGCTTCCTTGGCGATATTTTCCAGCGTCTTTTTCGATAACCGCGATATGGAACTGAGGATGTTGTCGAGTCTGTTTTGGGCTGGCTCCTTTATAAATGTCGGATGTGGAGTGCCGAGGAAGACTAAACCAGAAACCGCTTTGAGGAATCCCGATAAAGAAGGATCATAAAAGCGCTCGTTGAGGATGCTGATGGTCTATCACTGGGTTAATAAAGCAACTGTGCTGGTTCTTATTCTCATCCAACTCGTACTCTCTTCACAATAGTGCCACCAAGCCCATGGCAGATGAATATCAACGGTTGCCCTCGCAGCTGTCAGATGTCAACTCGAGACCGCGCTCATGTATGGAGATTGGGTAAAAGCCTACTTTAACTTCCTGGTCCTTCTGAACTAGGCAATCTACAAGAATGCCACCAAGCTCTATGAACCGACTCCAGGAAAATGACTGATTCAGGCTCATGTCATAAGTAAATTCCATAATCCGAGCATGAGGCGTAATTCCCGGAATTGTTCGAAGAGGCCAAGATCTTTCTTCAGCCGACCATTCCACAGCCGTTCGGCCAGGATTTGCAACAAGAACAACACTGTGTAACTTTTAGTATTTGTTATAATCGGCTATGAATAACAGATCATACTTGAGGTCATGCCGTCCCTTGCTGTTCACCCTGCCAACAAAACTATCGAGCAGCGATCCTTCTAATCGCAGGGCACCGAAACTCTCCATGGAATAATGATGATAGCTTGCAACGAACAAATATGGAAACTCAGAGGCTAGAATTGCTCAGAACTATCAAACAACAGATGGAGAAGGAATTAAGTTGGCAGTACTCACTCAGAAATCAAGGAAGGTTTTGGGCGCGTTGGGCCGTGTTTTGATCTGCGCTGGAGAGAGGAGTTGATTACCACCTGCGATATAGCGTAAGGCAGCCTATCACCAACAACCACGTGTGTGTTTGTGTGGAAATAAGACAGAAGAGGGGAAATAATGAGGCTCAGGTGTGACACAGACCCTCCCAGTAAATTACACGACTGCTATTCAAACGACTATGAAACAACATTAGAGCTTATAAGAAAGCAGCGCCCGGAACCTCGAATCCCGGAAAGATCAATAGCTCATCAAGGGTCAGACTTAGTTTGCTCCCATCTACACTTCAACTTCCGCCACCACGACCAAGTCGCCCGTTCAAGACAACAGTGAATTCATGGCGCCCGAGAGGACCACGCACGAAGAGAGCCGATCCCAGCCTTGGAAGGCCTCCTGGCCACCAAAGGAAGGCAATAGCTCACCAGAGGCTGGTATTTTCGAACTTTCCAACACCACTTCAGGAGATATGCTTCTTTTAAGTGCGCAGGGGCAAACGGCAGGCAATGGAAGAGGGACTTTATACAACCTGGATGAAGATGCCACGAACGAATCTCCCAGTATCTCACGGGTTGAGAGCAAGACCAATACAGTTAGTAGCAGATCTTCATACCTTCCCCTATGTTTCTGGGTATCTAAGTAAATTTGAACTAGAGCGAGAAAATATCCAACCCACCTTGAAATAGGGAAAGTGTGCTATCATGTGTTTGGAATCAATATTTTGTCAGCGGCATTAGTCTATAATACGGACGATTAACTTCTAGTCCTTGTTTTCAGCAGCTCCAGAACCTTCCTTCCAACGAGATATATTTGGTTTCATCGGGTCTGAGTAGCTGAGTTGGCTTTTAACTGAAACCTTCAAGGCTGGACGATCCAACGTAATTCCATTTACAGCCCTTCTATACATCGTAAAATGCGAGTGCTCGAATTTCAATGCTCTCCCGAGGCGTTTCCGCCCTTTTTGTATCTGGCAAAGAAAATGCGCAGTGTGCTACCTTGGACTTCTCACTGTTCTGCGAATCATAGCCACTGAAAACAATTGCCTCACTCTCGGTTTGATCACTGAGATAGTACCAGTTCTGGCTTGGGTTGTGGTGCACATTATACACTTCGGCAACAAAGGTCTTGCCTACCGAATCAATAGCTATTAAATCTTCAATATTGAGTGAGCTAGCGTCACAATAAGCGAGGGGCCAGTCGCGAAGCGGCCCTTTTAGTGGTTTCCACACGCTTGATTCAAGTCAGCTGCGTTGGGGATATTCAGTATTCTTGGGAAATGCACTTGACGATACGGAATTTCCGACTGAGCATGTGAGTAGCTCTCTCACCGAAGAGATGCAGCATGCGGTCTTCCACATCGGCAGGGGTGTAGTCTAATCACTTCAGCAAATTTTTCCGCTAGAAAGACTAGAAAGGCAAACTTGCCTATATGCGCTGCCACCACTGGTTGCTTGTGAAAATACGGTTTCCCTGTTGCTTGCGGAAAGGACTGGTCGCGCCGTCGTACCTATGTCGTAATTAATGTCAGCGTGGGGTTTCAGCAATCAAAATTAATATATTACCATCCACTCAAATATGTAGATCTCTTGCGTTTTCAACACATGCCGAAGGCAGTTTCGCACCTCCTTTAAGTAAATTTTCTCTATGGAATCCTTGTTATCATAATCATCGTACTGCAGCTGACTTTGCAGTGTCACAATTGCCATTCCATTATCATAAAATGTCAAGTTCTGATCCCGCATATCGTTGACGAGAACGTTTTCCTTGATCTCGTAGCGCATGTTGCTAGCAGGTCGATCATCTTCGGGGACATACATCAGGTCGTAAGGCTTCTCCTTGATATGAATTGGATTGTTCTTGACTGCAAACACCAGAGATGCGGGGACTCCTCGTGCAGTAGTATCGGGCATAATGATTTTGTAATTGGGGGTCGGGGATTTTCAGGGGAGAAAGGAGAAACTTCTCTGGGCATACTGAGTAGATAATGGTGTTACTGGATACAGGCCCATTTTAAACGATTTCAATTTCTCATGTGCTTACAGATGAGATAGGTAGTGTCTTGTCTGATTCGACCGCAAGATGCGGGGTCCGAATCTTGGCAGGACTCTGGATTCGAGACATGGGGCAGAAAAGAGCTCAAACGATGAAGGTACCTAAATCGATTTCCTATGCGTGGGGGGGGGGGGGGCTTCAACGACCGGTTTGTAACAACTACCGATGATAGCAAGGATCTGTTTGCCTTTTTCATAGCTGACGGTAACCCAGAATCTCTAGTTGGCCAATGGAGCTTCCTGACGGATTAAGATGGATTGACTAAACGTTATCTGAAAACTCATAGCGCAAAAGCATACCTAGGTATTTAGGTCGCAACATATCTACCACATTTAGTGTTCCTCTTATTTCCCAAGATAGTACTTCCTAAGTGTCGATCTTCTGCGCACGTGCATCCAATGCATCCAACACAATTATGAAGATGCCCAAGGATAGTATTAGAGCAGGATCGCATGATTAGCCTTAAATTAAAGGTTGATACTCGGGTTAGTTATCCAAAATGGCAACCTGGGCACAATCATTGTGATCTTAAATAAGGCCGCTAGTGAAAATTTTTATAAATATAGTATTAATTACATATAATATAGTCAAACTACGATTATCTTAGCGTATTCCCACTTTACGGGACCCCTACATGGAACTATTGCCAATAACTAATGTTAAAATATCACTTCTTTCAATCCATCATTTGCACAATCTTCCTAATTGGGAAATAGACCTGCTTCATTAAGAGGCTTGATGCATCTACGTTGTATGTATTCATGTAAAATAACCTCATCTCATGCATAATAGTGGGATCTAAGAGAAAACAGGACCAGTTGAGCGAAAGCAGCGCAGATTGGGCGCAGATTGCGCCGCCAAGGACAACAATGGTGGCGGATCTCAGTGATCCGCATCAATGGCAAAAATGGCTCACCTGTAGAGCAAGGACAAACCTTGGAAGGTGAGGGGAAAGGAAATGTAGGCGGGCAAAATACTGCGAGAAGTTGAAGGGGCGATGGCAGGGATTATATAGAACCACGCACAGGGACGTATAAGGACAAAAAGCGCCAAACCGAATTAGACACCTGAACATTGGCATACTCTTTGTCATTATACTGGAATCCATCTGCAGACTACACATGTAGTTATAGTCGCATCGGTCTCAGGGATGTAAATTGTATCCTAGGTAACATGAAACCAAAGAACTCTGCCAAGGAGGTAATAAGCCTTTTAAATAGTATATTAAATAATTCAAGTAATTTAGAGTAAATATTGATTTAATACTCAATGTATAGAGACATAACAAGGTATGTATATTTATATATAGATGTATATATAATATGTTTGTCGAAACGGTACTAGTCCTATAAACCTTGGAAGTAGTGCCATATAGGAGTTATTTAGTCCCAAAATACAAGTAGTACGATGGTTGTAACACTGCCTGGGTATATTTGATTTAAAATATACTAATAACCTTGGGATAATATTTCGGATATAAAGGATTTTTCTAAATACTGGTATTCTATAGAGACGTGTAGTAATCTGGATGGGGTGGTAGTATTTACCTAGTACTCTTAAACCTAGCTAGTATTTCTGTAGTATTCTAAAAATTTGGCTAGTAATTAAACATTGTTGTATATTTTTTTAACTATTATGACTTGAATAGGAATTTCACTGGACAATCAAGAAAAACGGGCAAAACATAGTGGGATGGGATCAGGATGTAGAACCACAAAATGGGCTGTACAAAAGTCAAGTGCGCTAAGCTAATGTGGTCAAATCCCGACTGATCATTCATCAAATATCCGATATGGTGTAGTGGCTAACATCGTCGTCTCTCACACGACAGCCGGGGGTTCGATTCCCCCTATCGGAGTTTCTTTTTTCTTTCCGAAATTTTTTCTTTTCCTTTTTAGTTTTGGGATGGAAAGTGATTTTCTTTTCTTTTTAATTTACATTTTTCCAGACTCAATTTTAATTTAACTCCAAGTGCAAAATCACCCTGACCTCGTGTTGGAGTGCTAGCGCCAACACCGCGGACCGCCAATGAGTCACAAGGGCCTGAACAACATTGAATGACACGGATTTGAGTCATATCATGTTATTATCGGATTTCAGCTATGACTGAACATGAATCATTCCAACTTTAGGTGTCCAGATTGCCTACCATGTAGAGTATAATAAAGGATGTTGGTGGGCAGAAATATATATCTACATTGAAAGATCAAATCAATATCATATCCAAGACAATTTTGCAAGTCAGCGATGGCGTCGACCTTAAAAGAAACAGACATGGTTAGCGATAACACTGAAAACCAACACTGTCTTTCACTCAAGCCCTCAGAAACCAAAGATCGAAGCCCATCACCAGAATATGACCCTAAAGCTGGCGAAAACAGACTGCGCCCGGCAGGAGGTAAGCAATATACCATCTCGGTTAGGAATCAAATCTGACAAGATCAGATATTATCAATCGCATAACCTGGGACTCGGGCTTTGAGCGCAATGACTATATCATTGGGTTTGTGGATCGATTTGAAGGTCAGCTGGAAGTCAGCATGGATAGCTGGAAGAAGGAAACCACCCATGAGGAATTCATCCCGCAACACCGAGTGCTCTATATACGGCACATCAATGGCGAGATTGTGTGGGATCGGAGGAGGCGTATTGACAAGATCTTCAGCAGTGGAAACTCGGCGTTCAGCGAACTTGCCTTTCTTGCCTGATACCTTCCCTGTTTACAACCTGTGCACTTGTTTACTTCTTCTGTTCTCACCTCACCATTCTCAACTGCTTCATTTCAAAATGGATTCTTCTAAGCCCTCCTTGCCTCGTCTAAGTACCAATATTCTTCTCCTAGAACAAGTGCCTAATGCTCTGGCACCTAAGGCCTTTTCAAACGCCAAAGTACCCCCGGTGATCATGCCCGAGAGACCAGCTCCCTCATCATTGTTCAAAGAAGAGAACCAAGAGGAAAATGTGGCGCCTATCACGCGTCTTTCAGAGCCAAAGCCCGTCTATCTTGCTCCGAAATGTGTACCCGATTCGCCTATCGCAAAGCCCATGAAGACAATGTATTACGAGGACGCGTTCACTGTCCGTGGATTGAATCACTCTCCAAAGGACCGTGTTGCTCAGGGCTCAGTTGTTATCGTGGAGCTAAAGACCAATATCAAGGTGAATGTCCAGTCGTATTGAATTGGTTTCCGCTAACAAACCCCCAGGCAAAGGAGAATACACCCAAACTTCTGTCGGATCTAGCCCTCTTTTTCGCCCAGACGTACCAACATCCCGAGACTTCAGTCCTTGTCACAGTCGATGAGGATGCTCTTCTGACGTTCGGCAATACCCCCGACTCAGCCTACCTGATCAAGATCTCCGCTCTTCCTAGTCTGATCGCACCGCTCACCAATCAACGCAACACGAGCCTCATACAAGCAGCCCTCCTGAATTTTCTCGGCATTGCATCAGATAGAGGTGTCATAATTTTTGGCTCGGTGGGCGAAGACGACCTTGCAACAAACGGAGCTACTGCCAGGGGAGAGATCAGCCGCCTTGAACGCAGTGATCATGGCAACAACCCCAGCCTATTCAAGAGCATCTCACGATCGATGAGTCGTCGTTTGAAGTCGAGTAGTGGCAACAGTGCTCCGATGTCCCTCGCTGGTCTCAGCACTGTGGTCAGCCCCGATGGTTTTGCCATGGTTCCGGGTGCTTCTGACCTGCCGGAGACCATTCCGCTCCGATCTTCTCAGCCAGATAATGCAAAATCTACAGAGCTATCGAAGACTGAGTCGCAAACAGCAAAGTCCCTTACACTGGAATCACCAAAGGAGGATTCACTCAATCAGGTGTCATCTAAGGACGAGAAAAAGGAACGAGGACTGAAGAAGAGAGAGAGCCTAAAGAGCTTCGTTAACCGCCGTTTGTTCGAGTTGACTGGGCCAAGAGGAGCTTCTACACCCACACCAAAGCGAAAGAATGTCTGATTTCGAGTCGAGAAACACACTCAATTAGCCATGTATGTTACTTGTAGTATTATTCTACATTCTATTCATATTGCTGGAATTACGCACCTCTATTTGACCGTCATGCCTATTCTCATAGATCCAATTCTCTTGATACTTTACGAGACTGGTCTAGAGCTAACTTTGAGCCAGATATGAAGCACACGACATAGAATAAAGTTCAACTTGTCTACATACCTGGAAGCCAATGAAAACGTAGTTGAACATTGTACCGCGGGCAGCGTATGTCATAGCCTTGATAACCCCGAGGCCGATTTGGACGGCATAGGACTAGAACTATTTTGCCCTGCGTCGTATGTCTAGAGAAATATGTGTAGTATCTCAGGAATCTGTTTGCCAGACGGTCTGATTTGAGCCTACAACTTTAATATGTGCTTCGTAGATTCGAAAGCAACCAACCCCTTTCATCATTCATATAATTATACTGTATGACGATGTGTTAATTTTCACGCCACGTAGATATATGGGGGTTCTTTGAAGACAGTCAATCACGCGAACAGTATCTCTAGATTTTTTGTTTTCCGTGAGGGTATCTCTATATCTCGTTCATTTCTCACCACCCTTTCTTTCTCTTCCTCTCCACCCCACTCCATATTCTCACACGCGGCTTCGATCGTCGCGTCGTTTCCTGCGAACCAATACCCATTACCATATTTTTCCATCATGTCTCGCCACGGTGACAATCCTGTTCCCGGTGGCACTATTCCCGACGGTACAACCCAAAGCCCAGGTGGCCCGCGTTCAACAGTCCTCTCTGCAGCGATCCTGCATGCAGCCAGCATCGTGACCGAGATCCCAGGCGATCTTTTCAATGCGCCAGATGGATCGGCTTTGATCCGTACGTATCTATCTAATTCAGCGAAGGCACACATTATCCAGGTTATCAGCTAACATCTCCATCGTAGACGCTTGCAACTGCGAAGGAATCTGGGGCGCTGGCATTGCCATTACTTTTCGTTACCGGGTATGCTCACATTCTACCTATTATAATGAAGCTTTTACAGATATCGTTTTATTTCAGTATCCCGCAGCATACGAAATCTACCGCCGGCACTGTCAGCAGAATGCCGAGACCAGGTTGACCTACCACATCATCGACCTCGAGTCAGACAGTGAAGACAACACTGTCATTGTGCGCCGCCCTCTCGGAACCGCCCTCATCATTCCTCCTCAACAAAGCGATTTTGCCATCAACGGCTGTGGCCACTGGATCATCTGCCTATTCACCTCGCATGGATATGGTCGCAACGCTGCGTCGGCCGAAATGATCCTAAATGCCACCTGGTCTGCCCTCCAGGATATGCAGATAGGGCTGCACCAGATCAACCAGTTTGCTGGACCCGGCCAGCAAATCCAGGGTCTCCATGCCTGCCGGTTCAACTCCGGCCTGTTTGGAGTGGCGTGGTCTAGAACCCGCCATCTGATTGACCTGCTGGGCATCCGAATGGTGGTTTACACCATGGAAAGCACAGCTTCCCGCCTTCGTCCCTCCCGCGGCCGCGGCCAGCGCACTGGTCGTAGCTAGGCAGATTCTGAGAACATTGTAAGGATAGAGGACAGAGAGGGGACATATCTAGCCCCTAGCTAGAGAATATGCGACAAGTTTGATCACAAAATGGAGGTGCAATAATAGAGAATCTAAGTAAAGATCACCTCAGTTCGGTCTTGTATGTGGTTAATACAGGGTAGTTAAAGGAAACGGATAAGGTATTATGCACGAGGCGTGATGTAAACAATTTGCACCAGTGCTATAAGAATATAAGCATATTTTATTTACACCCTTAATAAGTCTTATAAATCCAACGATTCCGTAATTGACAGGACATTGAATTTACGTACAAAGCGTAAGTTGAAATTAAAGTAGGGCCAGCGCGTCAGCTGACAACGCGTAGATCCCGCGCGTTGATTCGCGATAACCAAATCGCCGATCCCAACTTCACTACAACTTCCTCCAATCCGCAACATCACGGCTGAATCCGGGACGCAACATGGCTGGCGAACCTCAGCCAGCGCAAAAACGCCCACGCCTCCCTTTCAAACCCCCCAGTCGCACAGCCGCTAGTGCAGGGCCATCTTCCACGCCAAAGACCAAAGGCAAAGCCAAACACGCCAGCACGAAAGCCTCCACATCCACATCAGCCTCAAAAGTATCCGCATCAAAAGCATCCAAAGGCAGAATTACAGCCGGTGAAAAACGTCCCCATGCTGATTCCCCTCCATCCGATACGGCTTCACAATCTGGCTCAGAGTCCGAATCCGATGAATCGAGCCAGAGTCGTTCACGCTCTGTTTCTCAGGAACCGGATTATATTCTTGCTGAAATCACGCATTCAAATCCGGTGGAAGATGTGACGTCTAGTGAACCGACTATACCTGCTAAACTGCTCACGCGGCTGTTACATCAACATTTCCAAAACGAGAAGACGAAGGTTGCCAAAGATGCCAATGGTGTTGTGGCGAAATACGTTGATGTCTTTGTGCGGGAGGCTATCGCCCGAGCAGCATATGAGAGGGCCGAGACAGATGGGAATTCCGGGGGAGACGTGTTGGGGACGGGTTCCTTGAGGTATATCTACCTACAGCCCCCTCTAGCCATTCTGGTATACTAACCGATCAAATAGGTGGAAGACCTGGAGAAGATGGCACCACAACTTACGATGGATTTCTAGCGTTCGGATCAAGCTCATATATTAGGATTTATTGTTTAAGATACCACAGCAGCAGAAAACAAGCAGCAAGATTCGTTTCAAACACAGGTCGCTTTTATGAGTGAAATATCCCTCGGATTGACGTACTCTGGCGGTTTTCCAAACGTGTGATCCTCCACGAAAGGCGGCACGGCGTCAAAGCCATGGGCATTGTGGAAGAGTGCAATATCTCGGTTGACCCTCTTCGACAGCCATGCGTTGGCTGGGTAGGCTGTGTTTTTCTTGCTGAGGTGGACAACGACGACGGGAAGCTTGTTCTGTTCCGGTAGGTGGCCTAGCTTGGCATCGTAGGTTGTATGGCAGATGTCGAAGACGAAGAAGACCCGCGTGCGCCACTTTTGCATTGCTATCAGTCTTGTTGCTGGGTGCGTTTCTTGGGGAGTGTAGAGGTGGCTTGCTTTGAGGAGGCGGATGGCTTTTGGGAGAAGGGCTTCTGGGTTGGTTTGGGCTTTGGATAGTCGGGAACTTCGGTGTGAGACAATGACGAGCACCCGGAGGGGGTTTACTTTTGGCATGGTTGGCTATAGATGTAAGACAAGTGCCTCGGGGAAGATATCTGATCTAGATCTCGTACCGAGCAATAGGAGTATTGGGCCAGAGCAAGCGATCGTGTTTCCATATTTCTTTTGAGAGACTTTTACAACTTCGATGGACTTCTACAGTGTGCCGGCAGAGGCTTTATATGTATTTTTTCTCCTTTTTACATTGCAAAGACACATGGATGTAAAAACACATGGGGCGAACTTCGGGGTCTATCTGGACTGGATGAGAACCTTCCAATGGGCCAACAGTCTGCTCGTCGAAACCAGAACACTCGCCGGTGGTCATCTGCCATGGCCTGAGACTGTCCATTTTCTGACGCTGACATGTAGTGTGGACCTCAGCAGCCAACGCCGGGTACCTGGTGACAGGGTTAAGTCGGGATGGCTCTCGTGTCCTAGTCTGACATGAAATTACGTGCAACATGGCACATCCATCGGAGTAACAAAATACTTGTATAGGAGTCAACGATGTACATACAATCCAGGGTCAAAGAATGTGGAGTGGGACGGAAAGCGGTGACTTCGGATTTTCCCCCGTGTTTTGCTTCCTCTCCAACGCGCGCGTCACCCCGTCTCGAACCAATATTTTCGCGATGAACGATGCGACGACCTCCTTGCTCACTGAGCATTTCAGCTACACCCCTCTGGTAAGTTCTATCGTGATCTCCCCGACGCGCATTGACTCGCGCTGCACGCGCGAACCTGCGACCAGGACCCACCTCTTGGACGTATCACTGACAGATCGCTAGTCTCTCATAGATGACATTATCAACTCGATCAACAATTTGATCTACCAGGCGATCTCGAGCTTGGAGTCTGGATTGCTTGCTACGCCGCCTGAGCGACTTGGGTTTGCCCATGGCAATGACGGCTCTACCATTCCGGAGACCGACGAGGATGGAAATGTTATTTATCCGGAGGCGAAGCTAGAGATTGAGAATGGATTGCATCAGTTGGAGACGCTGCTTGAGGCCAATGTTGATAAGGCCTTTGACAAGTTTGAGATTTATGTGCTGCGGAACATTCTCACGGTACCGGAGGACTTGCTCTCTTGGGTGAGGTTGAAGCATTACGAGGTATGTGGAGTGGCTCGGGCGATCTGGAGGCGTCGCATTTCCTTCTGAAAGGCAACATACTAATGCGCTTTGTGATAGGGCCTCTCTTTCAGCTCTTCGAAAGACACGCCGACGCCGGAATCCATCCACATACAGCGCAAGAAATTACTTGAGACAAAGAAACTGAACCGGGCCTTGAAAGACGAATGCGGTCGAAACGAAGCGGTCATCTCACAACTACGTTCTATCCTGTCGAAGGTGGAAACAGCCAAGCTAAATGGCTCTGGTGCGTCTGAGAACAGCCTGGATTTGTCTTTCTTGACTTCCAGCCCAGCTGCACGCCAGCTTCGTGTCGGCGTCGATGCCGGGCCCAACGCCAAATCCACGCCCCTTACAACAAACACAACCTTTATTCTCTCTCAGCTCCCTGCATTGCAGGCCACACTCGTGCAGCTTCGGCCTAAGTTGGCAACGTTGCCAGACGCTACAGTGGCAATGGAGACCAAATCTAAAAGAGACGAAAGGAAAGAATACATCGAGAGCCGGATTCGACTCCATCTCGAGCGCGCTGGTCAACTTGCCATGGGTGGTGATGGCAATCCTGTTGTCGCAGGGCGCAGAATTGACATCCGAGAAGCCCATGCCCTTGAAAGTGTTGCCAACATGCTTACGCAAGACAAGTCTGTGTAAGATGATGTGCATGTGAAAGGTATTTGGTTCTATAACTTCATTATTAGGATATTTTATGGTCACTTCAAGACCAAGAGACGCTCCAGGTCTCCTGGGTCTTTCGGAAGGGGACAACATCGATCTTGTCTGACTCGAGGATTGTTGAGATCTTCTCGCCCTTCTTCTCGATTGTGATGAATTCCTTCTTTTCTTCCGGCAGGCCATAGAAGGCGCGTCCGAACTTGCTCATGAAGCCCTCGACAATCTCTGGTGTGATATCCTCCTCCTTGAGGACTCCGTTGTCGCAGGCTTGCTCGAAGGCGTCGACCACGACTTGAGTGGTGTACGGCTGAGTGAACACGCCCGCAGCGATCTTCTCGCCTCCACGCTTGGAGGCCGCTGGGTGCGGGGCGCTGTCAGAGCCGAAAAAGAATTTGGGGTTACCCGAGGCAGCAGCACGGAGAAGGGCATCACGGTCCGCGGGGGTCTTGGCAACAGGCTTGCAGAAGCAGAATGGATCGCCAGCCCACGAATCGATAATGATGGACAGGTGGTGGGCTGTGATGGTGCCGGAAACAGTTGGTCCGCACTTCTTGACAGCCTCCACGGCCGCGGCAGTAGTGCAGTGCTCCAAAATGATGCGCAGCTTGGGGAACTTCTCGTGCAGCTCGAAGAGCTTAGGAAGGAACCGCTCCTCGGCTGTCAGTACCGTCACATCCTCACCTGAGGGGGCTTCGCCATGCAGGTTCAGAATCATCTCTTGTTTCTCCATCTCTGCGAACACGGGATAAAACTGGGTATAATCGACAACACCGGAGGAGGAGTTGGTCGTCACACCGGCCGGGTAACTCTTGACGCCAGTGATGCCGCGCTTCTTAGCTTCGATAATGGTTTCCGGGGTTACGGTCTCGTGGAGGTACAGCGACATGAGGAAGTTGACATTGGGCTCGAGAGCCTGTAGGCTCTTCTGGTAGTCCAGGGCACGGTCGACGGTGGTAATGGGTGGCACCAGGTTAGGCTATCAATGGTATTAGATAAAGCTTCAGATGAATGAACCTGTTTGAATAACAAATGCCCTTACCATGACAAAAACGGTGTTCACGCCTCCCTGACGAATGGTGGGAGTCACCAGCTCCATCATTGGGCCATCACGAAGGTGGACTATCCCCGGTCAGCTCCATGCATCTTGATATCAATCATATAGTCCTCTCCCCGGAATGGTCAGTACCGTGGAAGTCGGCCGAAGCAGGGAGCTTGACTCCCTGCAGCTTGGAAAGAGGCATTGCGAGATGTGATGTGTTAATTCGAGACCACAGCCAATTGCACAATCTATGAAATTTTGCCTGAACGCACAACAGAGTTGATCTTCTTTGCCCCGCCAATTTTTCTGGATTCTGCCGCGGGCGGTGACCCCAGTTCCATCCGATAATCCCCGCCAACTCTGCACGTCACATCTCTTCAAGTTCAATGTATCAGGTATACATGGGAGTCTGAGAAATATGAAGCCAGGCTGGTACAAAAGTAGTCTCTTGGACTACTCTGCGACAACCCCCTCTCGACACACCTAGTCGGGAGCAACCAAAACAGTCCGGGTATACTCCGGGGTAGTACTCGGGGAGCACTCTAAACAGATACAGTACACATCATCCAGGTCCAGATGTTTTCTATCAGATGCAGGAACACCTCCAGTAAGCAAGCTCATCACGACTGTGCCTGAACTATCAAGTTTACCGCCGGTGGCTCCCTGCCACAATCCCGGGCGCTTCGACGCGTCCTATCACACAGCATGATCACCAGACCCTCAGAAACCCAAATCTGACAGAGACAAATGAAATCCCGCTATTGACCACTGACCGGTGACACAAATCCCGCTCGGATGTCTATATTTGACTCTGCGAGGCGGTTCCTCGGTGCTTGTCCACCCATAGTCTCTGCCAAGTCTGCGAGCTGGCGCCCGCCCAGATTTCCATACTATGGGGGTGTACAAGCCAGCAAGCCCATTGTTTACAAATCTGCACTGACAGCCCTGAGAATCTAATTCTGCGCCTGAGGCGAATCAGCACGGACGAGGACCCGTCGAGGCGCCCTGCATGGCTTTATGCGGAAACCATGGTGGTATATCGTCTTCAGGAGTGATGATCATTTGCTGACCCCATTTGTGATATCAAAGCGCTCGCTAAAGCAGTCCCTGAACTAGTCCGGTATTATTTGCCTATGAATATACATATGCGACCTTGTCTCCGTTGCTTATTTTCTGAGACGAAATTGAAGCATTTCCCTGTCCTACTCTTTCTTTCTTTTTACTTGCCCCGAGGGGTTTCGTTCTTTCACACCGATATTCCAGTCCTTGCCGGCAAGGTGGTCAAGTTACACACGCTTTCCATTCCCCTCTTGTATCACGCGTTTCGACATTCTTTCTCCCATCATGACCTCAACCTCGTCTCTCACCGGATCTGGCCGTGCTTATTCATCGGACATGGAGGAATCAACATTCCTGAAGCGCAATCGGGTCGTCCACTTTGCTCGTCTTGGACTATCATTCTTGACTTTTGGCGTTGCAATTGCCGTCGTCGCCTGTGAAGCACCACCCTTGCAACATTACAAAAGGACTTCCCAGTGGGCAAATGCCGGCCTTGCCCTGTGGCCTTTGAACTTCGATATTCGTCCAACTATCGCAGCTCTAGTCTGTGGTTGTATAGTCACCGTACTGAATTTGGTGTATATTGCAGCTGCCCTCCTACCGTCGGTAAGTCCCCTGCCTTTCCTACTACATAACCGTATTTGGAACCATCTGCTAACCCATATCCAGCCATATTCCCGCATAAAGCCACTAAACATCTACGCCTCAACCTCGGCTCTAGCAGGCTTCGTCACAGCCCTAGTCGGAATCCTCTTCATAAAATACCTACCGTCGTCAAACTACCCAGCAGGTTTCAGCAAGAACGAAACCCTCCACAGCTGGACATGTAAATGGAAAACCGGAACGAGCACCACCAAAACACCTACTCACTTTGACCGTGACTGTCTCAATACCCGGGCTGCCTTTGTTCTGCTGTGCATGCTGGTTGGGATGGAGGTGTTGATGGGTGTCATTGCTGCCGTGGGTACATGGTTCCAGCGAGACGTCTCTCGTTGTCGGGAGGCGCAGTTCCAGCTTGAGAAGTTGGAAGTTGCTACCAAGCACTCTCGGACTTGAGGTATGGGTTCAGTGGTGATGATTCGTAATTAGTGTTGGGTAAGCGTAGTGTTGTCGACTTGATGTTCACGTATGAATGAATGATGTATACTCCTACTTATTTATGCTGGGCATAAGCTGTGGCTGGGGTATCTTTTGAGTCTCAGCTCGTGATTTTGTCTCCTTTTGGCAGGTTCCCTTTGAGATAGTGCCGATTCCATATCTTGTAAAGTCTTATCGTGCTTTCCCGAAGAAATGAGCTCGTTTACAGAAAAAGAAAGTTTAGTATGTCATATCGAACTACATGCGTTTGGGTAGGTCTCCGTGGCGTTTGCAATGTCTTCCAGGATTTTCCTGGTTGTTCAGAGGAATCGACGGCATTGCGAGAGCTCCGACACTGCTCGTTCAGTGTTATTTTCTCTCGAATCACAGAAACAGAAGTATGAGGATCTTTATCTGCTAGGGAGTTTACTATAGTTCAGCGCGCTACGAATATATAGCCTTCTTCATGTTAAAATCATATATGTACTCCATCACCCTTACGATGAGCCCTACCCAAACCACTGCTAGGAAGCTGCTCTTGGTTGTATCATTTGCAGGTACATATAGGGCTGATATTACTGCAGCTTCATGGAGAAAGAGATGAGCAACGAACACTACGCTGTTCCGGCGGAACACATACCCACTATTTGATAAATGAGGCCCAATTCAAATTTCCCTTATAAAGTTGTAAGGTGTCTTATGTTTTTTGGACACGACAACCTCTCACTTCTCAGTAATAGCGAATAAGAGTTGTTTATCCAATCCCACCATCTTCATCGAAACCATTTCCCCCTTTTTCAATACTCGAAAATGTGACCCGAAGTCATTCTCGAGATCCATAGCACTAGGACACATGTGTCTGGAGTTTCCAAGTGGATAAGCCATGTCCTACCCCTTGTCAGGATTTTCCAGACGTGCTATATTCATTCAATGCGAAGGCCTAAAACTCGAAACGAGACACGCTTTGATATGAATACGGGCTGGATTTGTTTAAAAGACGACAAATAATAGTGTTGCTCTTCCATCTCGTCTTGTTTTTATGCTTCCCTTTCCTATCCAGTTTTTTAGGTTGGCAGCTATGTCAAGATAGCTGCTCTCTTGTTGGCTCTCGGATGACCTTTTCTTGACTTATATCTTCAGAGACTTCTTAGGCTGATGTTTTTCTTCACTATCGATCTGGCTTTGTTTTGCTCTGTTTTTTTTGAGCCGCTAAATTTTGAATACATTTGGATTAATTATCTATCTACAGAGTCGCAATGTAGCAATATACATGTGGCATAGTAATGGTTACCTCCCAATCCTCTATTAGTACATATATGATATCACTTATAGACTTGTCCACGGAGCTCAATATAGGATCGTTGTGTAGTCTCAGTCAAGACCCACAATAGCTACACCGCCCGGCAGAACTTTATCACCTGTATCTCGCCATTCCCTATCCTCTCACCAACACGAAAGCTGCTGAAAATGTCACACAATACAGCACCAGTCCAAGATCCTGACGAAGAGGCCTACAACTCTGCCGAAGATGAAGATTTCCAGCTAGATGTGGCACAGGACGACTCCGACCTATCCTCCTCCGATGCCGACGAGTCCGCCGAACCCGCAAAGAAGAAGCGGAAGACAGATACGAAAGCTCAGATCCCAGAGGACAAGGAACTTGATTCTGGAGATGAAGCTACAATTCGCAAAGCGAAAGAGAAGAAGGAGAGGAAGCGCAAAGGAAAGAAGTCCAAGGGCAAACGCGCGCGCGACAGCGACGAGGACGATGACATTGACCTTGACGACGATGAAGGAGGAACTGGAGGTTTTGTGCGAACGCGCGCAATGAAAAAGCATACGTAAGCTTTTGCGTTCGAATGATGTACCGCCCGTTTACACTGAGTGCTAATGCGCGTTATCAAACAGACGAGAAGAGGAAGCAGAACGCAAACCTCTAGCCCAAATCGATGGCGCGACCGTGGATGTGGACGCCCTATGGGAACAGATGAACGCCCCTGACAGCAAGCTCGGCTTGCAGCCATCCCAAATCCAAGAAGCTGATCCTACTCCCGAACCGAACCCAACCACAAATACAGAAGCGCAAGACCAGACCGCCCCGGATACGGAGGACAAAACGAGTCATGAGCTGCACGGCGATCAGATGATCAAGATCAAGCGCACCTACAAGTTTGCCGGAGAGTGGATCACAGAGGAGAAGGTGGTGTCCAAACACTCAGCAGAGGCTAAAGCGTTCTTATCAAGTGGGGAGAATGTCGAATATGCCGATGCGGGTGATATCGCGACAGCAAAGGCCGCTCTTAACTTGCGCCGACCCCTTCGCAAGATCTCGCGGTTCGACCCCAACCCGACAGGCACGATCAAGAAAAGCTGGGAGAAGCAGCTCGTTACAGACGACAAGGATGCACGTGGACCCAAAATCAATACTGTGGAAAAATCGAGACTCGACTGGGCCAATTATGTCGACCAAGCGGGTATCAAAGACGAGCTTCTTACCCACAGCAAAGCCAAGGAGGGTTATATCGGCCGTATGGATTTCCTGGGTCGCATGGAGGACAAGAGGGAGGAAGAGAGGCGCGCCGCACGACTCAAGGGGATGTGAAGCCTCCCAGCGCGCTTTCAAAAGCTACTGCTACTATCAGATGCGCTCATTGCCCGCTGCATGCTGCCCAAGAAAGATCGACCTCCATGCAAGTTCGCTTGGTGGGAGCCTCCACGAGCTTCACCACAGGCTGCTCTTCATCTCAACCATTGATCCAGTGGTGCTCTCCCAATGGGAACGGGGAACTTTCGGAATCCAAAATCCATCGACCTACGGATCTTCAGCCTTGGGGTGTACCCCTGGGCACCACAAGTCGGTGGCTAGCAATCAATAACGAGCCATGGCATACCTTTCACGCCTTCCAAGGTTCCGTGCGATCAGGAGCAAGTGGTTGGTGATCCCATTTCGTTGAAACGCCAGTCTACAACGCTAGTCCTGTCAAATGCTACTGGGGATCAATTCTATCTGCCTCGTTTCATTTATGACGAACCTAACCTGTCATATCTACATGTACCATAACTTAGTTCAGAGATACCAATTCAGCGACACACTCGGTGTGAAAAATCAGCATGCCATAGGGCTTAAAAAGCAAGCCATCCGAAGAATAGCTCCTCTCCCTAACTCAGTTCCCTGGCTCTGGATTTAGTTCTTGGGCACATACTTGATGCCAGACTTGGAGCAGGCAGAAGAGGTAACTAGAGAAACAAAGCCGTCAGAAGAAGAGCCAACCAAAGCATAATAGTAACTTACGCGAGTCAACAGCATCGTATTTTCCATCAATGATATTGCCCTGCACATTGAAGAAGTACCAAACCTGGTTCAACTTGCCACTGGAGCAGCTAATATAAACCTCCGCACCATCATGCACCTTAGCAAGCGCAGCCTTGATCGCGCTAGCAGTATAGGTCTTGGAGTTGGACGGGGTAATGCCAGCAGCGGCAAGAGCCTATCGAACAGTCAGATCATCATACCTATACTCTCGCCTCTCGCCAACACAGAAGATCATACCTTGTACGTATCAAGCCCCTTGAACAAATCGACCGTCTTCTGGAAATAATCACCAACCTCCTCCTGGGACTCATAGCCAGTGTAGCAGCTAGGCTCAATAGTGTTAATGCAAGTCCCATGCTTGCTCCATTCATGTTCCCAGAAAGACTCATTATCACCATCAATGTCAACCCAGTACTTGTCCATGTACGAGACCAGATCGGAGCGGTCCTGTGCCTGCAGGATCTCAGTGATGTTGGTGTATGCGCGCGACGAGTCGCAGTTGGCCTCGTATGTGCCGTCGCAGTTATCAGGCCTGAGATGTAGATATTTAGTTCATAGTCCATTGTTCCTGCCGAGAAGAACATACCACAGTCCGTGGATAGTCCACGAGTCCGAGGGCCCAGTGACGGGGTCAGTATCCCAGAATTGGGTCTGCAAGAATGCACCACCAGGGTAATTGAAGCAGCAAGTTGGGGTAGTGGAGGAGCTCTGGCAACTGAAGCCCGAGCTGCTGGCGCAGGTCTTCAGGTTGGCAGTCGTGCCAGTGATGAGGTTCATCGCCGCCAGGGCGAGCATGCCCTTTGAAGGATTGGACTGGAACATTGAGACAATTGGTATGATGATAGAAGGAGGACTGAGTCTGAAGAAACAAAAAAAGCGGAATTCAGCGATCCTTTAAGTATGAAGCCCCGGTGAAGCCCCGTTGAGACCCCGGAATCCGTAATTCTGCATCGACATCTTCAGGCACGGGTGATCGATAGCAGCACATGCGTCGATAAGAGCGTGCTGATTTGTTGCTTTGCGGATCGGGTGTCGCCGTGCTTGCAACCTATCATCGCGAGAAGTGCAGTCTTGAGTCTTGGAGTGCAGCAAAGTGGAGGGCAAAAGTGGACACAGTGAAGGGACGATCCCCGACCGGGGTTGCCGAGATGATCAGGATCCAATGGTGAAACAGAGCGCAATTGAAGCTAAGCGAACGACCGACGGTTTTCGTAGGGCAAATAGGGGGATGCTTCATCTAGGGTTGCATCGGCCTGCGCCGGATCTCCGATGATTGAACCCCGCGAGATTAAATTCGCTGATCGTCGAACGTTCAATGTTTGGGTTGTGACTTGTTAACGTGTATTACTGCCTCTCTATTTGTTTTTCTTGGATATTCTAAGCCCGCTAGTTGCTGCAGGAGATTCTCCACTTGGAGCAACGCGTGCTATAATGTTTGGACGACGATTAAAGAGAAAGAAAAAAAAAAAAAAAAAGACAGAACTATTCAGCCGAGGATTCCTGCTCCTCATCACTAATCCGCGACGGTCCAAGTCGAATGCGCCAAACAGCCACAACGGCAATAACGAAAAAGAGAGACGCTTGCAAGAAGGGAAGACCCATCCAAGCATTGCCAAGGTGCATGCCTAACCGGAAGAGGTTGGCGAACAATGGGCCGGCGACAAGCATACCAGCAGACTGTGTGATGGCCAGTGCCGAGTACAAGGTGCCAACATGGTCGGGGAGTACGAGTGCCGTGGCAAGGCTGCGAGAGTTCACCGCGAATGCCATGCCCATTGACAGGATGATCTGGCCAAAGATGAGGATGGCGGGTGTCGGGGCGAGGGCGATTGCGGCAAACCCGATGACTGAAATAATTCCGCTGCCCTTGCTCATTACATGATCGCTTCGCTTACCGTGGAGGTTTAGGTATTTGGCGGCAAGGAAGGTCAGCGCTGGCATGAGGACCATGAAGGTTGCCATGGAAAATATCCCGCGCAGCGAGATTAAGAGACTGGCCTGAATGGTTGTTAGTCACTGGTGTCTGCCGCGGGAAGACAGATACGTACGCGAGCAATGCTCCAGTCAAACTTCTTCGACACATACTGCAGAAGCAGATTTGTCGATTGTCGGGTCATGATAGTGACGAAAAACACAAGAATCATGAGACAGACATTGGTGTCAGACCATATGAACCGAGTTGAGACCTTGAATTCGCGAGCTTGGCGCTTCAATTCCTCCAATGGGGACTTGTTGACATTTTGCTCAGACTGCCCGTTCTCATCGCGCTGCTCCGAGTTGTCCTGCAATGATTGCTTCGCTTTTGCATCCTCGAGAGTCTCGGGGAGGAACAAAGCCGGGATGCTTCCTACAAGAATGAGACAAATGCTCACGAGATAGGGGAACATTGGGCTGAATGTCATCATGTAGGCGCTCAATGGAGTAGCCAGGATCTCTGCAAGGACAATGCAGGATTGGAGGCGAAATAGGGCGGTTGATCTGCGCATGTTAGACTTGTCTCAGAAAGAGGTAGAGGGCAATCATAGACACTACCTTTCATCCTCAGAGAAGACGTCAGCTACTATGACTAAAGCGATGGCTGTGAGCACCGCGTCACCACCGCCGATGATCCTGAACACGGATGATAGCCAGACCATCCTCAGGGGAATAACAGTTGACCACAAGCCTGAGGTGGGTTAGAATATCAGATAAACCGATGATAGGATAGTCAACCCACAAACGATCCTAATCCAGAATTCACTGAGAATGATACCCAGCAAGCTGAGATACAGTACTGGTCGCCTCCCCCAGTGATCGGAAAGAATTCCATATGGAAGCGACAGCAAAATACCTAGGATGTCCGAATTAGCATATATTAGACCTTCATCACCGAGAGACATACTCGGAAGCGTATCAAAAGTATCCTTGTAGCCAATGATAATTGCCAGTTCACCCTGCACAGCTTCTGATTTGCAAGGATTGGGATCTGGCAGAGTTCCATTCTGCGTGCGATGAAGATCAGCTTGGTAGTTGCGACAGATGATATCCTCGAAGACGGCAGTCTGCGGCGCGGTCGACATGAAGAACCCAAACTCCGCCGATAGGAGGAAGATGGCGCACACGATCAGAATCAGAAGTTTCTTTGACTTGCGTGTTGGCGAGGTGGTCGGATCCAAGGCCAATAGCGGCTCTGTCTCTGGATGCATGTTGGTGACCATGGTGAATCTCCAGGATGCCACTAGGAAATTGAGAGAATACCCCTAGACATGCGGAATGTTAGTCTTAAGTCTTAACTCTTAAATTGTAGCCTGCTTATCAACCCCTAAACCGTTGAGCTTCGATTGGCGGAAAACAAGTCTGACAGTCCGATCCTTGTCCCCCGCTAACTTATTTCTTTGTTTCGCACAATATAACCTCATTATATTGTTCCCACTGTGGATGTTCACGTCTACATTAAGCGATTAAATGATTAGGTGATTTAGTATACATACATCCAGTCCATATTTTCGTCTGTTAGTTACTGGGAATATAGGGTATTTCTTTTGTTGTTTTCACTATCTACTGTTCGGACCTCGGAGTTCGGAGCTCGACCTGACGTGTTCCAATGAGTTGATCGAGACACGTTTTGATGTCATCTCATATTTGAGCCTCTCAAACAAACAACAATTGTGGGAGAGTATTAAGACGTTCTTTCTATCTGTGCTACATCCTCATATACCCCTTTCAGACTAGCAATGTGGTATCATCCGACTTACGATCAACTACATCTCATTTGCTCCCCTCTAACGTTATATTCTAAGGTTATACTAGATGGCCTCGTCACCCTAGGCGCCTTTTGAACTTGCAGGCACAAGCTCCACTTGCGCTGGTCCTCGCCCTCGGCGTGGTACTGACGCGTCCATCAGTTGATCCTCCAACGTCGAGGCAAACACCTGCATTTACAAAGAACGTCGGTGCAAAGTTTTACTCGGTCGGACAGCACACCCAGCTTAACAAAAGCACCAACATAGATGAGCCTGCAACCACCCGTCTTTCTTTGTACAAAAAGCAGAGCCCCTGCATCAATCCGAATCTCTATCCTGGGATCTCAAAGCAAACGGCCCAATCCGAGACCCAACCAGTTCAAATCGCAATGTAGAAACCTAAAGCGAGACCCGCGATTTTCTTCGGGGGATTATGGTTTCCACCTGCAGGGGTTCCGTCACACGAAACGGACCCAGCGACCATGCCGTGGCGTCCGCCGTGTTGGGTACTGGGCTTGCAGTTGTTCTCGGAGGTGAGATTTATATCTGGGCGGATGGCTTGCCAAGATGTCTTGGTTCCTCGTGCGCTGCTGTTACGTCTTTCTCTGTGTTGGCTTTTGGCTTTTGCTTCAGGGGCTCGTATTACCAGTCCCTGTTAGATGCTATCTTTTGGTGTCACGGATGTGATTCGGATGCATATAGCTCAGGTGTTGGGTCCTTGAACCAACCGGGGAGCTAGGCACTTGCGGTATATGCCATCAGTGACAGGTAGGTTGCTTAAGATCTGGTGGGACAGCACCTCGCGTGTCTTGTGGTAGCTGAGAATTGGACTTCATACATGCACATCTCGTGTCATGCTCACTGCCTCTTATGCTAAGCGTGGAAATGGGCGCCAAGTGCATAGATATCTAGGGGTCTTCGCTTTCCATCCATTTCGGGGAACCGCGGCAAGACATGACCAAGATGCAGTATCGGCCTTGTACTCACACAGTATTGCCACTCACGACATATACTGCACGTTTGCATGCTCTAACTGCTCTGTGATATTTATACTTACCGAAGCAGAGCCGGTTGATATCGTTGCGGTAGGCTCTCAGAGAGATGTCGAGGTCATTTCAGGTGCACTCAGCAATCCTTTTTATGTCAATTTCACCTGGTGAACAAATGCCTAATTCGATGGAAGACGTCGTTTTATATCATAACACCGGCTAACTATCTCGAATGAAGATATCCAAAACCGTATCACTGGGTGGCTTCTGCAGTTGAATATACAAGCACGTCAAACAGGTATCCATGCCCGCTAGACACCACTGTCGAGACTACATAATTATTATTTACTTAATAATATTAAATTGCTCAAATGCCAACAAGTTTCAGTTTTCAGTGAAATATTTTGGGGGGGGGAAGGATATTTTATGCTGTGACTTGATATTATTGCACAATATATATATCGACAGAAGAACGACAGGAAAAGCAAATATACGGCGCACACTAGCGAAGAACATAAAATACCTTTTGTTAACTACATGAACATCATACGTAACAGTCATTTAGATTCACAGATCAAATCCACAGCCTAGCAGGCCATGCTGGCTAGCAACCGTTTCACTACTATGTACGGAATACGCCGTATACACCACGGAAACCAATTATCTACATTTCCAGATCACATCACATTTCACTCCATGTCCCCAAATCCCTCACAGAATATTTTTTGCTTCCATCTACCAGCTCAAAAACAGCACTGGCTCATTGCTCAGGGTGAAGATAGCCGAATAGTTCCTCGCCACCTCGTAGAGTTCCGCACTATCGCCCCCAAATCAAATTTCATCCTGCCTAGAAACCTACGCAATGGGTGTGCCCCAATAGTTCTTTCCCGGGATGCCCGTGCCCCTCATTTGATCCTGCACGGGGCACATATGTGATCGCCCAAGCCGCGGATCATAGAACCCGCGCGAATGGCATACGACCGAGTATGTATCAATGATCCGCGTCGCAGTAGAGAGTAAATGTCTCTCGCAAGCACCATGATCCGCGTCACAGGAAGACAGCTGTCTCTCAAGTATATGCACAGCACCACCCTTCAAAGCATAACCTTACCCGACACCATCAATGCACTGCAACATACAGCAAAACTATACCAATGTATACCAATATTGGATTATGACCCGTACATCCCCAGAATCAATACCCTGTAGCTCGCGCAGAAACAGCATAAGATTGAAACCAACGCAATTACCTAAATGCAAAAGGGCCAAAGTACATGAACGCCTATCACCCGGCAAACTAGCCAGTACCCCAGGCGCAAGGGTCCGATAATATGATATCACTCGGATTCCCATCAACTCAAACGGCTCCTAGCAACCGCCTGCATCACAGGTTAGACATGGTTCATATTGTCCATGGGGCTCCGGATCCTGCAAATCACCCGTGTCTGACATTCTTCGGATGGTCCGATGTGCAGGGCCGATCTTGGGCTAATGCTGTTAATCTTTGCTAGTATGCTATGCTCATGTATGGCTGATCCAGTGAGATGGGCAGCTTAAGATTTTGTCCCATTTGGAATAGTCTAGATGGTCCGGAGCCAAGAGGTGAGTACGTAGTTGTCGTTGTGCGTGCGCTGGTATGTGAGACGGCGGTTTGATTGCAACGCTACAAGTGTGCGACGCTGTAAGGTTAATTTCGTTAATTTTTTTTTTGATTTAATTTTCTTTTCCTTTTCTTTTCGAGCTTATTTGATCTGATCGTAATAGAAACTAAACACGTAAGTCAAAATTATTTTTTGTCTCAGGCGCGACTGGTTCTAAGAATTAGGAGAGCTCTACTACGTACATGTAACTATTCTCCTTATTCGCGACTCATCGCGTACCTGTAAACAAGTTTACAGGTACACTTACAAGGAGACGAGGGCAAAAGGGCAAACCCTGGTGAGCCCCTGAAGGTATACACGCTAAATATGGGAACACAGTATCCACGACCCACCGATCGCAGTAACGACGCAGATCAAACAAAACCCCCTGTGATGGTAAGGCGGAACATAAACTTTCGCCACAAGAGTTTGAAACAGGAAACCGGGATTAATCAATGCAAGGCAATGTGACGCGCTGCAATGCGAGTCTAGGAGAATGCGAACACCCAATGAGCGGGGATCTAAAAAAGCAACGAAAGGCTTTGTTCCCAAGTACCTTATCAGGATGCTAACAAGAAAAAGGAAAAACAAAGCCACGCCAAAGCCAGAACCGTTGCCGAAAGGCCTAAAAAGGACGAAGATTTGCAATCTGCAAGGGGGTGGGGAGTGCTCAGGTACCAGGGACCAAGGCCGGACCTTTTCGGTTTTGTGCAGCTTCGCTATTATTGATCCGGTTGTTGCAGCTTCGATGATTTGCTCAGGTGAGCCCTTCTTATTGGCGGCTCAGTTCGTCCCTGCAGGTACATTGCCAAGATACGAAGCTTTGAGACAAATCATTGTCTGCGGGTGTCCAAATCGATTCTTATCCTCTACTAAAGAGAGAAAGAGTCGATCGTCGCTGAGTCACTCAGCAGTTGGTTGGAAATGATTTCCAGGTTCATGTAGGGTTCGCAATAAGATATCCACATTTCGATCTGTGGATATGTGAGACGATCCATCTCTAGCACAGACCAGGAGCATAACAGCCGACGCCATGACGTGTTATTTTTGAATTGGGTAGCTTCATAGTAGTGATGGTAGTAGTAGTAGTAGTAGTAGTAGTAGTAGTGGGAGAGTAGTAGCGGTGGTACGAATGGCATTCGGAGTTGCGTCAGTGGCACGGAGCACAGTTCTACGGACCTGCAGCCCTGCATCACTACATCATTGCAACACTGCAGCGGCGACTAGACCAGGAGCCCGGATTGCCAGAGCAGTGCGTCCCGAAGAATGTCAGTGCCTATTGGTGAGGATCAGTGGACTAATACAATAGTACGGGCAGGTATGCTGGGCTGAGGGCTAGTGGCTTGCATGAACGGACCACTCTAGAAGTGCCCCGCAAAACAGATGAACTGGCGGATTTGTCGTGGCTTGCATATCTTGCTGATCATGTGGGCTGGGTGGAGTTACATGAATAGTTCAGATCTTGGAGCTGTAGCCGGGATTTGGACGTCAAATCCCGAAACTGGTGGAATGCCACAAACATCGTTTTTTGCCCCGAGTACCTGGTTCCTGATCAATGGCGGTCGTTCTCATACAGTCATACCATTGAGGTTAGATAAAGTTTAATTGAAAATGACTGACCTATCTACTTTTGTTGAGGATAGTAGATTGAATATCCGGGGACTAAGGTGGTCTTCTGTTTGGATATTTCTCTCCGTGGTCCCCGCTGCATGATCGACTATCCAGGGTCAAGCGTTTCAGTCGCCACCGGCTCTTGCTGAAACAAAGTTATGTGGCGATCATGGGTAGATAGAGAGCCTCAGGAGTTACAGTAGTCTCAGGTTAGCCTATCACACGAGGACAATCATAACTACAGGATTGGAGGCAAAATGCCCGCGGAGTCGTTGAGCGGCGAGCTGACCTGGTTGAAGATCCCCGAGGACAAGCCATGAGCACAGACAGGGGCGGCATGTAAATCATGAATGCCTCGACGATCACTCCAGGTCAGCCACAGTTCGCGCCACCGGATCAAATTCAAAGTGGCGGAAACAAAGTCATGAGCTACGGAGGCCCAATCTGTGGCATGACTCGGTGTAACGAAGACCTGGAACTCAAATCCACTATCAAATCTTCTAGCGTCGATGATCATGGCATTTGAATCGATATGTCGCAGAGTCTGAGCTATTGAGGTATGAGCTCACGGGTTGATCTCACGGATCGTCAACTACGAAAGGATATTAGTGATAGTGGACGTTAGTGCCGGGAATAGATATAGGCTCAGCTCGGCAAGTTCGTGGGAATAATCAGCCATATACGTAGGTGGATGCCATCCCTTCAAACGCAGGGGCTTGCCGAGATCTGGGGTCTTTTTTTGGAGTGGGGATTTGTCGATGGCCCTTGCTGGGCCCGGTCCGTGCTTCATGAAATTGGCCAGCGAGAAGCGCAGAAAAGAGATTAAGGTAATTTCCCGCACTTGAGATATGATAGCAGAATGGATCGAGTAGATTAGTCTGGGGTTGAGCCAAAACCGAAATTTGAACTATACACGGGAATCACAACAAACAGCCATAGATCCTGGGGAAATCCCCAGGGGTTCGAGAACAACACTATTGAGGACATGCATCTGAAGAAGTACGTCAAAACCGGTTTTCAAGCTCATGGGAGAAAATACATGCATCAAAATCAATAGGCGCGATGGTGAATGTTTCACGTGGGAGATATTCAATAGTAAGACGCATGAGATTCAGGATGAGAGAATGAAATCAGATCTGACAGTGGACAGGATCGACAAGGGTACCCCGATTTCCGACCATTGCCTCGTGAACTTAATCGCTAGAGAGCAGAGTTCCATTCTCCTTCTAAACTGAGCTGTTTGAGAGTGAGAGGTGTCAGAAATCAGCCGCATAGGGTTCGGTCCAAGCGCTCGTCTATCTAGTAACTGATCCGATATGACAAACTTCTCGCAGTTTGTTCGAGGCTAAGTTCTGCGTGTAGGGTACGATAATTCGGAAGAAAGTGATCTAAATTGGAGATCGCATTGGTAATCAGCTGGACTGACATCCAGGCCGATCGCTATCTGCGCGGGCACAGAGGAAGAATGCGAAACTGAGTACGAAACAGTGAGGTTTCGACTGACGCGTGATGGATCAGACGCATGTGTAGTTACAACCGAACCGTTGGGTCCCAGAGGTATAGGAGCGAAGTGCGTGTTCGCATTCTTGGTGACGTGTTTGTAACTTGGTGATTTAGGGCTAATTTTGGCATGGGGAACCTTGGAAGTACACTCGAACACCGTAGATCAACTAGCACTCAGCAATCACTCGACAGAGTACAAGATTCATAGCCTTAAAAGAGCTGAGCAGTGGGAGAATGTGCAATTGGAATCTGGGATGCTTGGGGATCCGAAGATCGCTCGCACAGACCAGTTGAGGCTAACGTCTGACCTATCGCAAAAGTACAGATGCGATCGATCCAAGCCTCCACCGTCCGAGCGAGCTCATATTTCGCCGGTTTATGGTTTCTATAGTCTTTCAGCTCTTTATCATTATGTACACTCGTGATCATAGAACAATAATTCTCTGAATGTCTAAGTTGACCTGAGACCCCAAGTGGAGAGGGCGATCCGGGTCTCAGGTGGTTAGTGTGATCGACAAAACCCAGAAAGTCCGGGGAATCAGCCAGGATCCGCGCTGCATGTCAAATGGCAAATAGACTTCGCTCACATTGTGCGGAAACCAAGTGGTACAGCCGCCTATACATTCCAATGTATGCTGGAGCATGCTTCAACCTGCGAGATCAGATTGGCTGTGGTGGAGACAGTGGATGATTCGGGAGAGATGCATGAAGAAGAGAATATTGAGAAATAAAGTCAAAAAAGAAAAGTCCCAGAGACGAATGGAAAATAAGCAAAATCCGAAAAAAAGAAAAAGTGAGGGATGAGGCAATCAATCGTGTCGATCAAGTTCTTTTCCCCCCAAAAAAGGTACCAGAAACAAGCTTCCACTTCCCTATATCTTGTAAGACACTGTCCCTCGATTTCCTCTTAACCTCTCCTCCTTACTGAGCCCTGTTCTTATAATCTCTCCTCCCCCTGCGGTCCACTCAATCAATCTGAGACCAGCCTCCCCTTCTACTACCCCAGCACCTCGTTTCCCAGTAACAAGGTAGCGCGTCTAAGGGCCATCTGACACCAATAACGCCTATCTCGACCGTGTTCAATTCCAGCCACGGTCCTTGGGTCCTATTTTGGCAATTCGGGTCTCCATCCTGACGCGAAACACCACCACTCCGCGAGACGACCTCCATTAACGGTCGATCCCAGCCCAGATCCAGCCACAGACGTTTGCCGCGGTAACATAGGATCTCATAGTCTGCATTCCTGGCCTTGCTTAGGCACGCGTCGCGCCTGTAACCAGACCTTAGGATCGGATCTGAGCATTGACCATGGCGTATAGCTGTAAGTCCGATCCTCACCCCCTCGGGATTCTATGCTCGACCAATTTGTTTATTTCTGCCCGTTTGTCCTCCATTCCCATCCTTCAGACATTCTTTCCTTTCCTATACTCCCACTACATTCTCTTGTCTTGTCTCGTACCTTCTTTGTCTTGTTCTTTCTTGTTCCTCCCCTCCTTCCTTTAAGTCTCTTCCTTCTTTCGGCTTCATTGTTCCCTCGTTCTACTCGACTCCTACTTTGACCTTGTTCTATCGTTCAATCTCTTTCAAACACTAAGTGCTCTGGACAGGTGATACTATTGACCCTGCTGCACCTCGATCTTTCAAAACCGAAGATATCGACGACATGAGACCTCACGGACAGCAAATCTCCGATCAATTGACTGTCGAGGTTGACTGCCGTTCTCTGGGCCCTAGTGAATGCCCATCGATGACTTCGAGCTTTTCTCCTTTGGACTCTCCAACTCCAACTCCCACCAGCCTTTACAGCCAAGGCTCAATGGCGTCTCCCGGATGGCACGAGGCCCAGCATTATCACACTATGCCCATGGAAAGACGGACTTCAGCTACGCCACTGCGTAGCGCATTCAGAATGGCCGATCTCACGTCAGGTGAAGGCATGGGTATGCCCTGCGGCAACATGGACCGCCAGGAACAGATGCCCATCTCCGAGTACCTGCCTGGTTACGATGAAAATGTCGAGCAGTTCTGGATTCCCCAGGACGTGCCCAAGACCTACCATGAACAATCGTTCCCTTACCAGGCACCGATGCCTCAGTACAACCAGATGGCTCGCAACTACTACCACCGTCCTCAGCAGGCTGGATATCTGCCAGAGTCGGCCTCCAACCCTTGTCTTTCTCGCCCAATCTTCAACCAGCCCGCTGAGCGGATGCCCAACTCCGCTTCCATGTCGAATATGATGCCGTGGATGCCATCCCACGAGTCATTGGTACCACAGACCATCACTCCAGCTCAAGCATTCCCCCATCCTCCTGCTACTCCTCCTGCTTCCACTTACTCCGAATTCCCTACCAACATCCCCACCTTCAAAACTCACACTCCCTCTACTCCTGTCCGGTCTGTTTCACTGGGTACACCCTCGGGTACTGATACCCCAGTCAGCCGGGTGTCCGGACATGACTACCAGGAAGAATTCCAACTTTCTCCTGTTTATCGCGATGGCATGATTCAGCGCCACCGCCAACCCTCTCGCAAGTCCTCCAAGAAGCAGCTGCTTCGATCTAACCTCAGCCTGGAGAACCTGCCTTCAATCATTAAGCAGGTGCAGTTCAAGTGCAAAGAGCCTGGCTGCAAGGGTCGTTTCAAGCGCCAGGAGCACCTCAAGCGTCATATGAAGAGCCACTCCAAAGAGAAGCCTCATGTTTGCTGGGTCCCTGGCTGCCACCGCGCTTTCTCCCGCAGCGACAATCTCAACGCACACTACACCAAGACCCACAGCAAGCGGGGTGGTCGCAACCGCTACGTCGCGACCCTCGATGAGACCAGTCAAGATTATGATCCTGATTTCCGTGGCCAGCTGACTCCCGACGGCCGCCCGATCTACGGAAGCAAGCTTGAAGATGCTATTCCCGATTGCGGTGAGCTCAGCGTCGATGGCTGGGACGACTAGTTGCAAAGCAGAAAAAAGCAAAAAACCCAAAGCAAAAAAATTTGACGAAAACGACAAAAAAAAACCATTCTTCCACGCAACTCCAAAAGAAAATATGGATTCTTAGAAACAGAAACGCGCCATCATTGGCCCAGGATATTTGATACCCCGTCTCTGGATCGGCTGCCCACAGGGCAGTGGCATTACAGGCCAGATTAGCCTCTGACCACGGCGTTGTACATGTCTCCTTGGATGGAGACTTTGCCTTTTCCCTTTCTTTCCTTTTCTCTTGCATAATTTGTCCGGTGTCAAAGGTTGGGGAGGTATACTTTGAACGTCGGTGTTTATCTGGCGTTGCATATGATTTTTACAGGTTGGGATCGCTCATAATTCATGCCCTTAGGGGTGGGCGATCGTGTACAATCCGCTACAACGTGATGTTATTTTCTTTTTCGCTTGTACCACCACCCACTAGCACTCTGTGGCATAATATACAAAAAGATCTACATTTTATGTTGCATCTACACAGTCTCTATACCCTTCATAATATAATTAATCAAATCCTTGTCACATTTAACTTCGCCTTTTCCCTGGTTTGTAGTTTTCGGGCGCCCCGTGGAGACTCAAATGTTACACATCACCTCGCGTCTAGTTGGATCTCTCGAACAGATCTATCTTTTCCAGTGGAGCGGAGTGGACCGAAGAACCAACTTTTGCCAAATCAGAAAGCTCAGACGCGCGCCATTTAACTGTTGTTTACTCATCTCTACACTTTACGCTCCACATTCCACTAACAGACTGTCTCCCTATTCGCAATCCCCCTATTTCTGAAATGTCAGTCATGATCTACTCCTAAGTAGAGCCCAGATAATCTCTATCCGTATCGAAATCTGTAACCCGATATTTACTCGTGAATTGGACGAACTTCTGAGCACATACGTTCATGTCCTGCATTACAACCCCGTGAACCATGCAGCCTAAAGAGGAAAACCCGCCGCGCCACTGTCGACAGCGCAACACGGGCTACGAAGCATGTGGAGTTTACAACATGGCCGGAAAGACAATGTTATCTGCTATCTATAGAC